CGTTTTTTTTGTAGGCGGTGCATTCCAGACTTTTGCGACAGGGATTCCCATGATGATGGTTGGCCGCATAGTTGCGGGTTTGGGGGTCGGGGCATTATCAACTATCGTCCCTGTATATCAGTCTGAGATATCGGTACTGTCTTCCTCGTCTGCCTGTTTGAGAATTATACTATGCTTAGAATGCTAATTCCGTACTAGCCGCCTCACAATAGGGGGAAGTTGGCGTGTATCGAGTTCACCGGAAACATCTTTGGATATGCCGCTAGTGTCTGGGTCGATTATTTTTGTAGTTTCATTGACAGTGACTTCTCCTGGCGCCTACCGTTACTTCTGCAGTGTGTCATGGGGCTTTTACTTGGATTGGGAAGTCTTATTATCTGTGAATCACCAAGGTAAGAATGATTTTCTAGCGCTTTGCAACGCGCGACGAAAAATACAATAAGTTAACACCGAATCGAAATATAGGTGGCTTTTAGATAATGACCACGACGAGGAAGGCATGGTGGTTATTGCAAACCTTTATGGTAAAGGAGATCTTCACCATCCCGAGGCTCAGAAGGAATATAGGGAGATTAAAATGAACGTCCTCATCACACGCCAAGAAGGGGAACGATCTTACAGTGATATGTTCAAAAGATACAACAAGCGGGTGTTAATTGCAATGTCTGCACAAGCTTTGGCGCAGTTGAATGGGATCAATGTCATCTCATACTACGCGCCGCATGTTTTTGAGTCTGCTGGGTGGGCGGGACGTGACGCTATTCTTATGACTGGGATAAACGGTTTGTCGTATCTCGCATCAACAATTCCCCCATGGTATCTCGTGGACCGATGGGGCAGACGTCCTATACTCCTTTCTGGTGCCTTGGCTATGGCCCTTTCTCTGTCGGCAATATCGTATTCCATTTACATTGATATCGGAGCCACACCGACCCTCACTGTCATTTTTGTTATGGTTTATAATGCTGCGTTCGGCGCTTCATGGGGACCAATACCTTGGCTCTACCCCCCCGAGATTCTTCCTTTGAGTATTCGCGCCAAGGGTGCAAGTCTCAGCACAGCTACCAACTGGGCTTTCAACTGGCTGGTCGGTGAGGTTACGCTTGTCCTCCAGGCTGCAATAAAATGGAGGCTCTATTTGGTCCACGCATTTTTTTGCGCTTGTAGTTTTGTTGTTGGTGAGTGTCCTTCCATCGTCTCAAAGATAACTCCCGTCTGACACACATTTTTTATAGTTTGGTTTCTTTACCCTGAGACAAGCGGTGTCCGTTTGGAGGACATGGATGTCCTCTTTGGCGATGCAACTACAGCTATGCCAACCCCGGCCACTCAAGGGGAACGCGGCTCTCTTATGAGTGCTGGCTCACCAATACCTTCTCTTGACATTAGACGGCAACATGGCCAGCATGGAGCTGAAAGTGCAATCCCCGGATTAAACATCAACCCTCCCAATATTACAAGCGATAATAACGGTAAAGGCCCGCAAACGGCCCCCCAAGGCGAAAGCAGAGGCCGTTTTGAAGGACTAGGTGGGTGGATATCCAATATAGTCAGCCGCAACAGAGGACCATCACGTCGTGCACAAGACTATAGAAGGCTAGAAGACCAGGATGCAGAGATTGAGCATTAAGAAGGCTGGTAAAATACCTGCATATTTGTCACTACCCCAATTTTCTTTTACAAAATTAAAGACACTTATTTTCCTATTATCTCGACTGCCTTTTCTTTTCTTTTCTTTTCTCTTCTGTTACCTGTTCTCACTACAAATGCTTTCTGTTCGACTTACCTCTTCTTTTTATTCTTCTTTTTATTCTTCTTTTTATTCTTCTTTTTATTCTTCTTTTTATTCTTCTTTTTATTTTTATTTTTGGAATGACTTGGATTTGGCGTCGCGACTCGAATGCGACGGGTCCTGTTTTCAGACAGCTGGAGATTGACTTCAAGTTCCTATATTGCGGCACGTGGTCTTTGTTGCTAGGTATCTAGGGAGTGATGCAGCTAGAAATCAAGGCTTGTGGAAATGGGCACGAAAATTGTTAAGCATATAATATAGTGCCTATAAGCGGAACTATTACTACTACGAGGAGCTCTGCAAAGCTTTCGTGATTGATTTTCAAAACTTATTAAAGTACTAGATGATTTCGAGTCTGCTCTGTTAGAACTGACGCTAGTACGTTAGAGTGGCCTCGGCGGGGCGGCGGCATTTCGGCGTCGCGGTGAAGCAACACCTATTAATATTCTGCCGGGTTGGATAGACATCTGGCCAACTCTCCATTATCTGGACTCTTAACCTACCCTTGATGTCGATCCTGCTCCCTCAACAGCGATATTCATCTGTTCCTCACTAGCTATCATATATCGTCTGCTTCGCGCTGTTTTTCTTTCTTCCTTTCTCTTTCTTAACTCGTACTTTTTTCCTTCCTGAAGGTACTCAATCCTTGAAGCACTCTTCACTTACTCGTCCCCTATTCGATTGCAAAAGGAGCTCTGTGCCGCAGTCCTTCACTAGATATGAGCGTGTACTATTAACCGCTTATTCTGGTCCTCTTTTTTTTTTTTTTTTTTTTTTTTTCCCTCATTCTCTTGGCCCCCTCTACTCTTATATTCCTTGGTTTAAGGCCAATTACTTATTTCTATCGCCCCTTCGTGTTTCTCGGCACTTTACTAGCTTGAACCACATTTTTTTCAACATGGCTGACACCAGCTTTGCATCGACTACCGGCGCAAGTTTTACCTCTGATGTGCGACGTAGGAACGTCACGCACACGGAGGAGCAAACCAAGACCTCCCACCTGGCTGAGCCTGACGATGGGAAGAAAAAACCGCTGGTATGACCTTGTTTTTTTGAGGTTTAAGGCCACATATTTATTTACCAGGTAACTAATATATGGCTTTGTCTTGTAAAGCGAAGCTCTTATCTCTCCGCTCTCGCCGATTGGGAACCTATAATCGCACCGATACTTCTAACAGCCTTGTCAATGTTCACTCGTATGTACCAGATCGGTCGTTCAAATATTGTTACTTGGGATGAAGCACAGTAAGGACCACTGCACCTCTAAATATAGTTCCAGCGCAAATAACAATCCTATTTAGCTTCGGAAAGTTTGGGTCTCATTATTTGAAACGCGAGTTCTACTTCGATGTCCACCCGCCTTTGGGGAAGATGCTTGTAGGCCTGTCGGGCCTTCTTGCTGGCTATAACGGATCATTCGAATTCAAATCCGGCGAAACATACCCGGAAGACCTGAACTATACCTTCATGCGCTTATTTAATGCTGCCTTCGGTGTAGTATGTGTGCCTCTCGCCTATTTGACAGCACAAGAACTCGGCTTCCGTAGAGCTACGGTTTGGCTGGTGAGCTTGATGGTATTGTTCGAGAACTCATATGCCACTATATCACGATTCATATTGCTCGACTCTATGCTCCTTTGTTTTACTTTCACAACAACATTTTGCTGGGCGAAATTCCATCGCTTACAATTTGCTAGCTTCTCTCTTGAGTGGTTCACATGGCTTTTCCTAACTGGTGTCAGTATTGGTTGTGTTTGTAGCGTCAAATGGGTTGGGCTTTTCTGTACCGCACTTGTCGGCATTTACACTATTGAAGATCTATGGAACAAGTTCGGTGATTTAAAGATGTCGGAGGTTCGTCCACTGGTGTTGCGTTTTCCCGAGATTTGCTGATCAGTTCTACAGGCAACGCTAGCGAGACACCTTGTGGCACGCATTGTGGGGTTGATTCTAATACCGGCCCTGGTTTATATTTTCTCCTTTTATATCCACTTCTTGATCTTGGAGAACAGCGGTCCCGGCGATGCGCAGATGAGCTCTCTTTTCCAAGCAAACCTCAGGGGAACTCAGGTCGGCAAAGACAGCCCGCTCGAGATCGCATTTGGCTCGAGGGCTACACTTAAAAACATGGGATATGGTGGCGGACTCTTGCATTCCCATGTTCAGACATATCCTGAGGGCTCTTCTCAGCAGCAGGTTACCTGCTATCACCACAAAGATGCGAACAACGATTGGTTTATATACCCCAATCGCAAGGAACCTCAGTATGATGCAGAGGCACCCCTCAAATTCGTTGGCGATGGTGATGTCATCCGTCTCATTCACGGTCAAACAGGCCGTAACCTGCATTCCCATAATATTCCCGCTCCAATAAGCAAGGGCCATTATGAGGTTTCTTGCTACGGCAATATGACAATCGGAGACGATAAAGATCACTGGAAAGTCGAAGTTATCGACGATGTGGCGTCGAGGGACAGAAGTAAAATCAGGACTCTCACGACTGCGTTTCGCCTGCGACACCCTGTCCTAGGTTGCTACCTACGGGCGGGAAACACGAACCTTCCGCAGTGGGGCTTTAAACAGATTGAAACAACTTGTGTGAAGGAAAATAAGCCTCGTGACGTTTATACGCACTGGAATATTGAAACCCACACCAACGACCGACGTATGATTACCCGTCTTTAATGTTCCGGTTGTCACTAACAGGATTATAGTTCCGCCCGGCGATCCCGGGTCGTACAAGTCGCCATTTTTTAAGGACTTCGTGCACTTAAATGTTGCCATGATGACGTCGAACAATGCTCTGGTACCTGACCCTGACAAGCAGGACGATCTTGCTTCGAAATTCTGGCAGTGGCCGATACTCAATGTCGGACTTCGAATGTGTTCCTGGGATGAGAAAGTGATCAAATACTATCTCCTTGGCAACCCTGTTGTCTACTGGGGAAGTACCCTTAGCCTGGTTGTTTTTGGTCTGCTGAGTTTGTGGTATCTTGTGCGGTGGCAGCGCGGCTACAATGAACTAAGCCAATCAGACATCGACCACATTCACTATGCTGGCCTGTACCCTGTTGTTGGTTGGGTTTTGCACTATCTGCCTTTTGTCGCCATGGCGCGAGTAACCTATGTTCATCACTATTACCCTGCTCTTTATTACGCTATTCTAACCTTTGGCTTTTGTGTTGATTGGCTCACGCAGACCTTAAGCAAAAAAGCTCGCTGGGCGGTATACGGTCTCCTCTATATCCTGGTGGCTGCGATCTTTACTTACTTCAGAGTGATCGTGTTTGGAATAGAAGGCCCAAGTCAACAGTGGCGCCATTTGAACTGGCTGAGTGGCTGGCGAATTGCCAACTAGACGCTTTTGTGATTGATGTACATCATACGTGCATTTCTCACTTGCCGTGCCTCGGTTTCTTCTCTTCGCTACCTTTTTTCCCTATACTTGTTTGTTTCTCTCGTTATTTAAAAAGAGGCCTTTGTATATTTATGGATTAATTTCTGTTTTGCTCTGGTTTCAGCAATATTTCGTGTGTCAGAACGAGGTAATTAAATGCATATCGCTCTTTGGAGCTATATAATGGGAGATTCAAAATTCAAATCGACATACGTGATGTATCGGCCTTCAACTGAGAAGTGCGAAAAAGGGAATTTGAATTAGCAACAATTGCTGCCCAGGCTATTACCGCCTTTGCGCATTGCATCATTCATTCCTAAAGTGACAGTTTTGGGGGTTTTGTTGCTTGCACTGCCAGTCGCCCCAAAGCTTTTTACTCCACTCCGGCGATCATTCAGATCATATTTGCCAATTTCAATATTGCGGTATATTCTCTCAGCAACTTCGAGAAACGCACGCTCTACCCCCTCACCCGACTTCGCGCTCGTCTCTAGGTACTGGAAAACGTTATTCAAGCGACACCATTCTTCTGCCTCTTCTCTAGTAACGCGCCTCTGGTCTGAATTCGAATTGTCCCCTGCAAGATCACTTTTGTTTCCCACCAAAATGACAACGATGCCTTCTTCAGCGATTTGGTGTAAATCTTGCAGCCACTGAGTGCATGAAGTGAAGGTCGTTGGTCGAGTAATATCAAACACAAGGAGTGCACCCGAAGCGCCCCGAAAATATGACCGTGTAATGGACTTGTAAGTTTCTTGCCCAGCAGTATCCCAAAGAGATAGCTTCATTTTTTTCTGGATTTCCTGGAGTTTTTGAGGGGGGGTAGGTAATCCAGAAAGGGCACGATTGATGGGGCTATCGGTCTGCGAGGACGACTCCTGGTCAGGCGAGACGTCATTTGGAAGGTATATTTGAGGGTCCGCTTCTAAATCTCTCGACGCGGGCGGACCGACTGGAACAATCCGGGATCCAAACTCTACACCGATGGTTACATCATGCGTAGAAGAAAATCGACCCTCGCACAGTCGGATAGTCAGCTACAGCGAACAGCAAATTGTTAGCAGAGCGCTTCGCAAGAATAAAGATGATCGGTCGTACTTACGCTAGATTTCCCGGTTCCAGAGTCACCGATACAGACGAGTTTAGCAATATAATCCCATGGCTGTGACATGGATACCGAGCTGTCCTGTTTTGTCCGTTTTAGAGGGAAAAAAGAGGCGAGCGCGTTTTGTGATAGAGATTTGGGCTGCGATAATTTAAACCACAAGAACTCATCTGGAGTCTATTTGCTGGAAACCCGCAACAAAAAAAAAGCACGCGGCGTCGATTGTGGGTTATCAGTATTAATGTAAATCAACTCCAGGAACTAGAACGCTGGGCATATAGATTTGGTCTCTGCCTTGTTGGTGCGGCTTTCGAATGATGCGATGAATGCCGGTGGTGAATCGCTGATTGATGATGAGTCAGCTATCACCATGACCATGTCTTATGACGCTACTGGTTTAAACGACGACAACCGTCTCCTACATGTCCTATTCACTTATATTCGGGTTGACATCCCCTTCATAGTATACCACCTGTTTATAGGTGACCCCCAAAATAACCTTGTCTTACTTGTCTTCCCTGTACCAAAACTCATTTGGGCTCTTTTCACCACTTAACAATAGATACTCACCGCTCCATCATCTATCAAGAGGCGATAAGCTACGAAATCAAATCTGAGGGATCGAAAAGGCACTCTGCCTATTCCCCTCACAGTGAGATATGAGAAATGTTCTCTGAGTGTAAGCAACTTATCCCAGTCTTTCCGAGTACCCGTATTTCCAAATCTCATCAAAAGTACAGATGCCTCTCGCTTCCTAGCCCAGTCGCAGTCACGTATTGTACCTCGCTCGGATGATAAACGCAGGAAGGGTCACAGTCGCATAGCGCAAAGGCCCGGTAATTCCCGACATTTATCATCACGATCTTTTCTACAGCGACGGGCGGCCGACCCCTACTACGCTGGAGCTTCCCAATTTTCAAATTTCACTTTGGGCTCGCGGAACTTAGCCCAACAGGCACCCCTGTTTCATAGTGCCACTGAGGACTTTCACGAAGAAGATGAAGAAGTTGAGCATGAGCGCGAAATAGCAGATTTCTATGCGCTTCAAAGATCTAGGCGGCATTTCGGAGGCAGTCATTTAAGGGACTCAGAGACTGATGAGGACGGCGGCCACTCTTTTGATGCCAGCACACAGGAAAGCTCTGGTGGGATATCAGGAAACCCCAGACGAGGAGCCAGGCGCACCTCCCCTGTTAGCAGACAAGGACAGGAGCGAGGTGGGACTGTCGATCCGGTAACAGAGATAACAGATGGTGAAGTGGGGATACCTCATGAGCACAGCGGTGAAGCAAAGGAAAACCTAGTCGAAATCCGCCTTGAAGACACACTTAAGTCTAGTTTTCATGAAAACGATGGTCTCTTTTCCCCACTTGACGATGATAAACCGCCGTCCATCCAGCGATTTCGTGACCAGCCTCAGATAGATAACCTGGGAACCATTTCTACATCGACGCCTAAGGAGACAACAGACCATCCACTATTAGCAGAGTCTCAGCTACAAGATGATAGAATCTCATACCAGAGCTCTGCAAATTCCGCAGGGATCGAGTCTCTCGACCACGATACCTTTTGGGGGCACCTATTCCTGATATCCTTTGCTTGTATCTTCGCAACCTCGTTCCTTGTTTATTTGCATACATCACCGCCACCAGGGAACAAGGGTAAATGGGGTGATACGATTTATTTGACCATCCATGGTTCTTTTTACCGTCTCGGCGTTTATACTCTGGTTTCAGTGTTCATTTCTTTGTTATGGCTTGCCCTTCTACGTTCTTATGTGCGCCCTCTAGTATACGTTATCATATTCACTGTTCCAGTGATACTCTACTCCTTCTTTCTATACCCTTTTATTTCAAGTTTCCGTGGCGTTTCGGCCTTTCAGGACAAAGTTATGCGCATCGGATCGTTCGCCCCGTTCATTATGGGAACCGCTTGGATCTATAATGTTCTACGGGCCCGTCATGCCATTGGGAAGGCAATCAGTATCCTCGAATTTTCCTGTCGGATCCTTGCCGCCAATGCAGAACTGTTACTCCTTGGTCTTGGCAACCTAATTCTCATCACCTCATGGACGTGGGTGTGGATGCTAATGTTTACTCGAGTCTTCCTTGGGGGGCATTTATCTGCGTCGAAAGCCTTTATTATCAACGTTAGCAGTTGGTGGTTGGGGACTTTCTTCGTCGTCATATATCTGTGGTCCCTTGGGGTCATCGCAGGCATTCAGCGAACTGTCACAGCAGCAACAGTAAGCCAGTGGTATTTCCACCGGTTTACAAATCCAGCTCCAACCTCGAGACAAATAGTTCAGGCGGCAACAGTTCATTCTCTGACAGCGTTATTTGGGACAATTTGCTTATCTAGGTTGATATCGTTGCTAATTCGCATACCTTTCCTCGTGCTACCTAGGCGTGTGGCCTCGTTATTGAGCTTGGTTGCTTATGCTTTTATTCCCACCCCGGTTACTGCTGTCACAGATCCTCTTTCGCTCACATATGCTGCAATTCATTCTCAGCCACTCATTCCGTCTGCCCGTGGCCTCAGCCAAATGACGAATCTTGTGCCTTCAGTCGCAACTTCATCATTACATCCTCGATCGTTCTCTCGATCCGGCCAGTCTCACTCCTCACTACTCCCCTATAGGCTTTCTAAACTGATCCTTCATGCTGCCCGGCTTATGATGTCTCTCGCTCTTGGATTCGGTGGTTGGGTGAGCACGGCTCGAAGCTTGAAGGTGTCTACAGGCGACGGGGTGGCGCGCGGCAGCATATACGCGTATATTGTTGGCTTAATTGCGGGATCCATAGGATGGAGCGTACTTGGAGCTATCGAGGGAGTGGTGGCGGATATAGTAGATGCCTTGATCATCTGTTGGAGAAGCGAAATTGGGACTTACGGTAGGGAAGCAAGGTACTGTCGTGAAGCTGGCTGGTTATTCGGTCAGGATCCGAACCCTGACTTTCGTTGCCCAGCGTAATGCTTGTTTATATCTTTGTTTCGAGCCTCGATTCAAAGTTAGTCAACAATTCGAAATTTCCAACTTTTCCAAGCATGCTTTTCGGAGCAAGTCGTTTGGTCTTGCTTTGAATGTATCAGAAAGCGCGGTCTTCCGCCTTTCTAGGCTTCTCGTCGTAACCATCGAGTTTAAAACCAAAGGATTTTTAGCCAATATAATAGGGTTTGAAAACTATTATTATTGTACGCTCAACCGCTATGGCAAATGGAGTAAGTATCTCGAGCAAAGCTATAAACCGGTGGTATCATAGAAGTGACAACGACTTAGAGAGAAGAAATGAAAGTAGATATGACGAAGTCGTACCAAGACGCCGCGCTTCCTTTCCTATGTGTAGGGGAAACATAAAGTCGAGGGCAGAGCAAAGAAGACAAGCCCATCTTGAATCAATAAATAGCATGTATCAGTGACCGCAAGAACATATGAATATTTAAGGAAATTCAAGCAAGTAATTCATCATAAGAGAACCGGCTATAAATCGAGTTTGCCTTGCCACTCGATATTCTCTTTCGAGCACCATTCGCTTAGAAGAGAGTAACTAAACCGAACAATTTCGAGGGGTGTGCTAGTTCTCCCGAGTGGTAGGTAAATCTCACCGGAGTAGTCTCCGGGCTTCAGGCGTTTTCTCCCCTGTTCAGTGTAATTTCTGGCGCGCTTCGACCAAGTCTCTGGAAACTCGCGAGCAAGTATGTCTTCTGACAGACCCCGGTAACCATCATACCACAGTCGTTGCGACTCCCTGTAACACTCCGGGAGTCTACTTTTCAGCTCAAGAAAATCCTTTAAGCCCCTCTTACTATCTTCCAATTGAGCAGGTTGTCCGTCGCTTACAGGGTTGGAAAGAGGTGTCTGTTCACCAGGTATAGGTGTGATTGCCAGACGTTCGAGATCAAGAGAATGGATAGCGTCGTAAGAGATGGCGCCCAAGATAAGGCAAAGACTATGAAGTGGTGGGTAAGGGAGACTATTCTTTTTCACAACCCGCCAATATGCGATGATGGATAGCCAAGTGGAAGAATCGCCAATCTGTCGAGAGATTGCCTTGGACTGGTCCTCTGCGATGAAGGCAAGGACGAAACAGATAATAGCTTCTATTGCGGTGGCGGCAGCAAGCTTCTCATCAGTGTTTGCGACCTTATCCTTAGCCGTGTGTCGATCAGCAGCATGTTTTAGCTCCCTACCCAAATTACCGTACTTCTGGTACTCATCCTTCCAAGCTCGGCGCTCAGCATTCCTATCCGCACTATTCGACTGGGAGGGCGACTGTGTAATTGTGCTTGGAGATGGATCTGCCGGCGTTTTCCGAGAACCTGGGCGCGAATGTTCCTTCCTATCATTGGTGACTGGCTCATACCGAGAAGAGTGCTTGAGGTCTTTTGCTGGCGTTATCGATACTGGTCTTGATTTTTCCTGCTGTACTTGACTTAGGACTGGGGTTTGAGGTTTCTCTACGCTAGGTAGACGTGACTCTTTCGCCCTATCTCTTGTCGAATAATTTGCGCGATTACCCCCCGTAAGCTTCGTTTTCCCATCAAAACGGGCAGTCTTATCAATCTGATCGGACGTTGGAACTTTTGGCTGCTCAGGCTTCGTAGAATGAGATAATTCTCGCTCGGCTACATCGGGCGTGGGCGAACTCTGGTGAGAAAGCTTCCTCTTACCAGCGAATTTTAGCAGACCCTCAACGCGCTTCCTGTTTGACCTCCCATACTTCAATTTCACAATTAAGCGAGACCTCACCGAAGATTGAATAGGTTTGGTAGCCAACGTCTGCAACGGCCTGCTATTCATCTGCGGCCGTATACTGGTCTTTGAGAATGCGTGGGAGCTGGCTTTCACAGACTCCGCCTCTCTTGAGGCACATTTTTCGGAACTCGAATGAAAGTTCGGGATGTTAGTCGTTATGGATTCCAATTGCGAAATGTCGCATGCAGACGCCTTATCCCTTAGTTGTTTCTGTTTTGCGCTGTCACTATTCACAGTAGATTCCGGTTGCGAGTCTGATGCCAAAGACTCATTCCCGATCTTGGCCAGTTCCCTTTCAAGATCAGGCGGCAAAGTAGGCGATAAAAGGCGAGGTAGTCTGGGAGTGCTTGAGGTTGGCGGGAGGGTAGGTGATAGGAGTTCTGGAAGGCCATTGGCATTTGAAGGTTCTGTTTTGGGTCGAGCTACTGGAGCTTCAGGTGATAACTTTCTTTTCTTCGCAGGAGCATTATCTTTGACCTGCAGGGCGTGCCGGCCAAGGTCGCGCTCCGGAGCGCGCTTGCGATCTACATGCTCGGAATCCAATTGCGAAGGGGGGGTTGGAGAGAGATGTGTCTTCGGTGGCTTTTGACGGCTGTCGCTAGTAGGGATATGTTTAGAAATATGATTGTCACGGTGGGCGTAGACAGCAGGGCCCCCTTGGCGACCAGGGGTGTCCTGGCTCAAAGGCGAAGGTGAAGTGCCACTCTTTCTTTTATTCTTATAGTCATGTAGGCTGATTTTCTTTTTGGTTGAACTGCTAGATGGTGTGCTAGTGGCACTCTGAGGTCGCGATCGCGGGTCGGCCATTACGCTCCCTGTGGCGTCGGACCAATCACCCACGGCGACCAGGAGAGAATCACTTTCGTCGTGTGTCAAAAATGTCATATATTGTAGCTGTTGTTCCTCTGGGGCGAATGGCCCGTCATCACTCACTGCCCAATTGTTGACAATGCGGTTGCCAAGTCGAAAGGGAACATCGGTGGGCACGGTGAGGAGAAAAGGATAGAGAGGCAGAACCTCTTCACGAAGATGCTTCAGTCGCCAATCAATCGAGTCTTGTTCAGAATATGTCGATCGTGAACGAGTAGATGCCGAAGGTCTTGCAGAATTATCAGTGGAGCGAGGCGACATTGCAGTCTCGCCGGTGATGTGAGGGCAAAAGGGTCAGGCGAGGACTTCGTTCCTAATATTATCTTTTTCAATATTCCAAAAATTTTACCGTTCGAGCACCGCAGGGAGCAGAGGGCTAGCTGTAAGTCACACCGTAGAGGTGAATGGATGGTATCATGCAGCGGACCCAAGTAGACGAATACGGACGACTTAATGAAATAACTTCCCCCCTCCCCCCATTCAAGCTTTGTGATAAATTGCGCTGTCGTTCTCTGCAATATCGACAAACCATGGATCGAGTCGTGGACTGAGTCTCATCGCACCAGACAAGCGCGGAGCAAGAGACCCGTTTCCGAAGCCAGCAGCAAGGGTCCTTTTTTCAGACCAACGCAATCTGCGATTCCCGAGTGCGAAATATATGGCGAATAGGGATATGGATAGGGCAGTTGTCATAGAGAGAATACGTGTCGCCCGCACATGAAATCGGCGACGATCTGCCAGCGAATGGTCGTGAGAAGCTATTGCACAACGCCGACAGCCATTGGGGGATTGGGGCCTCCTCCGGCAGTGTCAATGTATAGATATATGGTCATAAACCCAGAGTCTAGAGGAAATAGTGAATGGAATAACGATAAGCAGATATGAAAGAGACAGAGAGACGGCGACCTCCCTCAAGGGTGTGGCTAGGGAGGAGTTGAGTCCGGAATGGCAGAGGGACTGCGGGAGCAAGTAACGTCCCTCTTTCACTTTCACTCCTTGGGGTGAAGCGCGGAGAGGCTTGGCAGAACCCAACGTTTGTTTGGCCCTACATCGAAGGGTGGCTTTTTGTACAACTCTCTATTTTGGTTCTCAATTACAATGCTCAGAAAGGTTTTATATAGCTCTGCGAGGCACGCTACATTTAGGTAGGTTGAAACGGCTTCATCGCGCTTCATGTTATCGTCAACATCGTAACGGCAACCTACTCATACCGGGCAAGTGGACAAGAAGTTGTCGGTTCCTGGATATCGTATAGCCTACCATTTCAGTGTTGTACTGAAAAGTATGGAGACCTTAATGGTAGTAGCCTATGTCCATTGATTTTTAAAGGTCTAAGGACAGTATCAATGTCGTACACATCTTCTGCTCTACGACCTATCATCAGACGCAAACTTCTCTTGCCAAAAAGCTCTGTAATGCTTCTGATCACCAAGGCGGGAAATCTCATCCACCTCCTCAGGTGTGAGCTGGAATTTGAGGACATCCAGATAAGTGCTAAGACGTGATTCTTTCCCGCTGGTTGTGATAGACACGGTGCCTCGGTCAATGGACCATCTCAAAAGAATTTCTCCCTCTTCAACACCATACTTTTGTGCCAGTCTCGACAGGAGCGGGTCCAATGGGCCTCCTTTGGCCCTAATAATCGGTGTGAGCGGTCCATAACTGGCTGTTGCAATTTCTCTTTTTTCGTGGTATGAGACGAGAGAACCATGCTGCAGGTATGGATGATATTCAATCTGATTGATTGCTGGCGGAATCTTTGCAACTTCCGAGATTGTTTCCAGATGGCTCTCAAGGAAATTGGATACTCCAATGGCACGAGTTCTGCCTGCTTCCTTCACCTTTTCCATAGCAGCCCAAGCATCCTGAAGCTCAGTTGTGGATTTGGCAAAGAAAGGTTGATGTATCAAGTAACTAGGTGCAACCGTCGGCAATCAATGCTTCGCTTCGGCAAAAAGAGGGGGGATACATACAGGTCAACATAGCTCAGTTGGAGCTTCTCCAAGCTAGCATCGATTGCCCCGGGAATGTCGTCGATATTTTGATTGACCTTTGTTGTCACAAATAACTTTTCTCGTGGGACGCCACTCTCTTTGATTGCAACACCGAGTTCCCGCTCTGTGCCGTAGACTTCGGCCCCATCCAAGTGGCAATATCCTAAATTAATAGCTGTTTTGATTGACTCGACTAATTCGCGATTGACGGTAGTGTCCTCGCCTCTTTTAAACCAAGCGGTGCCAGTTCCGTATCCCACCTAAATTGTCGGTTAAGAGTAATATTATTGGAAATGGAACTGTAGAAGCCTTCCTTACCACTGGAATTAAAGTTCCATCATTTAGTCGGGTGGATGGGATCGGTTTCAAAGAGGCCATGGCTATATCAAGCTGGATTGCACATACGTCGGATGAGCGGAAATCTTAAATGTTTTCAACCAAACTGTGGAAGTGCGCACGCCGGCTTTTATGTAGACACGGGTAATGGGGTCGGATCGCGGAGTACTGTGCAAATGGTCTCAGCTGTGGAGAGAATGGCGGCACCATTCCGTTCAAGTCTGGCTAGACGTCTCCACGTTTGAGCTTTGAACGTTTATGGGCTCCAGTCTACTTGCCCTTGTTTTCTGAGTATGTACGGTGTAGGTTAGCGAGTGATGTCGACTGCGTCTTCTTGTTGATTAATAATAGCAGACCAGGGTAAGAATGGCTATCATATTCCGGCGGGAGATACCGGTAGGTACTCCGTACCGAGAGATGCAGATGCAGACGGTGCGGGACACATGCTCCCGGCCTTTTTCAAATTAGCTGACGAACCAACTTCTTCAAGATTACTGGGCTTAGTTAACAGTTTGTGAAATGTGCTTACTAATTCAAACTCGGGCCAGTTTATCTGCATCCTTGAGCTGTGGGAGAATATCGAGTTTGATTTGGATATGATGTCACATTCGGTTTTCGTCTTCCCGCAGCATCTCGACTAGACTCATTAGTAACAGAGGACAGGAGGGGCGACTCGCAATCAGTAATCAAAATTTGGCACAAGCTAGTTAAATAATAACGGTAGAATCGTCGGCCAACCTATTATAAATTCTTTTAATGACTGCGCAGTTATATGTCTCTTCGTGGCGCCTTTTCGCATTCATACGTCCGGGGTCGTTTCCGCAAAATGGCTTCGCAACTCTCCAACGCAAACACAGGTCGAGGCCTTTCGCTAGCTGGACTTCCAAAGTCAAACGTATTTACATCCAAGCTTCCTCCAGACCCAGCCTTTGAGACGCCCGATGTGTCACACAAAGCGCAGAGGGAAAGATTATACCCGCGCACCGTGAAAGGAGCCTTCTTCACTTTCGTCCGCCCTGAAACAGCAGAAGATCAAGAGCTTTTGGGAGTCAGTCCCAGGGCAATGAAAGATCTTGGACTCAACATTGGTGAAGAGAATTCGGCACAGTTCAAAGCCGTGGTCTCAGGAAACGAATTTTTCTGGGACGAGGAACACGGAGGGGTATATCCATGGGCACAATGTTATGGAGGTATGTTGCTGGCGTCACCCAGCCTAGTCTGTATGATCGCTAACTCATTCCAGGATGGCAATTGTGTGTCGCTTAAAGGTTACTTGACAAATGTTCAATGCTGACGATACACAGCGGTACGTGGGCTGGTCAACTCGGAGACGGTGTAAGTTTCGGCAACCTCCTGAAGTTTGGGATAGCAGAGACTAATATCAGCAGCGTGCGATCAGCCTATTTGAAAGCACCAATCCCAGGACGAATGTCCGATACGAAGTCCAACTCAAAGGAGCTGGCCGGACACCATACTCCCGGTTCGCAGATGGAAAAGCTGTGTTACGATCCAGTATCCGTGAATATATAGTATCGGAAGGTACGATAACTTCATTACTTATAGACACCCCTAAGCTAATCAGCATATATTCGTGTAGCACTCAACGCGCTCGGAATTCCCACAACTCGAGCTTTGTCTCTGTCTCTCCTACCCAAGACAAGAGTTCTACGCGAACGCATTGAACCTGGAGCTATAGTTTGTCGTTTCGCTGAATCTTGGCTGAGAATCGGAACATTTGATCTTCCACACTCTCGCGGTGACCGTGATTTGATTAGAAAACTCGCAACTTACACTGCTGAAGATGTGTTTCAAAGTTGGGAATCCTTACCGGGAGCAGTATCTCTTGGGAAAGATCAATCGCCGGATGCCGTGGAGAACCCTACTCGCGGTCTTCCATGGGACAAAGTACAAGAGCACCAGAATGTGGAAGAGAACAGATTTGCAAGGCTCTATCGAGAAATTGCCCGGCGTAATGCAAAGACCGTGGCCGCTTGGCAGGCATACGGCTTCATGAACGGAGTTCTAAACACCGACAACACATCTATATATGGGCTATCACTCGACTACGGCCCGTTTGCTTTCATGGACAATTTCGATCCTCAGTATACTCCCAACCATGACGATCATATGTTGAGGTACTCCTATAAGAACCAACCATCAGTTATCTGGTGGAACTTGGTGAGATTAGGCGAATGCTTCGGAGAGCTCATCGGCGCTGGCAGCCAGGTCGATGAAGAAACTTTTGTCACAAAAGGAGTGTCAGAAGATGCAGCCCCAGCTCTCATTAAGCGGGCGGAGACCATCATTGAACGAACCGGCGATGAGTACAAGGCAGTTTTTCTGAACCAATACAAGCGGCTAATGTGCAAGAGACTTGGCCTCCAAACCCAAAAGGAATCAGATTTCCAAGAATTATTCTCCGAGCTCCTTGACACATTGGAAGCATTAGAGCTAGACTTTAACCATTTCTTCAGACGTCTATCCAGCGTGCCTCTCGCTGACCTCACAACGGAAGTCGGAAGAAAGAGGGCGGCACCTATATTCTTCCACATCGAAGGATTTGGCGGTATAGGATACACGGAGGACTCTGCAAGAGAGCGTATTGCCAAGTGGCTCGACAAATGGCGCCAACGCGTCATAGAAGACTGGGGCTCTGATGTCGATGCCGATACCAAACGACAACAAGCCATGAAAGAGGTCAATCCAAACGTACTCAGTCCCCTTCCCTTCTTTTCCACATACAGTGCAACTGACAATACTTGGACCGCTTAGTTCCTCCCTCGTGGTTGGATCCTCGATGAAATTATCGAACGTGTAGAACGCCGTGGGGATCGGGAGATCCTGGGCCGCGTGATGAGTATGGCGCTCAATCCATTCAATGAAGAATGGGGCTTAAATGCGGAGGAAGAGGAGCGGTTCTGTGGAGACGTCCCGAGATTTCAGAGGGCTATGATGTGTAGCTGCAGTTCATAAAACGTAAATGATTCTTTTAGTTAGATGGTGTATTATTGCCCGCATTTCGAGTCAGCTCGATGGTCATGTTGAGTAGTTGATTACTATACGCTCAAATTCCGAAACGTACGGAGGATTGCCCATATACACCGTAGAGACAAGCACTTGCTGTTCACATTTAGTGGACTTGTTATTCTCTCCGGGTTTGTTGATGAAACAGGCGTGGGGGGGGGGGGTGGAAAGGCAAAGACACAAGTGTCAGTAGTCAATATGAATTTTTTTTTTCTTCTCCTTCAAAAGCTAGACATCGCGCGCAAACCCCACTCTTCTCTTTTTTTACCTTTCTCCTTTTTCCTTTTTTCTTCTTTTGGCCCCGTTCCTCGCATTGCATTTCAATGTTTTTGTTCCCTAAGTCTTCCGCAATACACAAGAGCATCCATCCCATTGATCCATCCATCCGCAACCGAGAGACCATCTCCACAGTCTTGAACTTCAATCTGCCCTGTCTCTAATGGTTTCAGAGATTGGTAAGGCAGGTAAGTCGTAAAGGCATGACTCAATAGTACAGAGATATCTTTGGAATAGATATCTTGGTTAACCGAGGGGGTCTAAACCATTTCGGAACCAAGTCCATAAAGCCAAGGGCTATGACTTGGTTGACGGGGTTTGAGCAAACGGAAAGCAAATCGTCATGAAGAGGACGGGCTGGATAAACATCCCTGAACTCTGGATCAATTGTACAAAATGGAGGCGTAAAGGAGACAAACGAGCCGACCATATGTCAACTAGTTGTTGGGGCAGGCACTTTGGATGTGACCAGGTTGCTTGCAGTTGTAGCAAACCCGCTCGCCTTTCGCCTCTGTGGGACAGTCGCGTGAAACGTGGCCGACCTCTCCGCCTGCATTGCCCCCGTAAGCATGCGACGAATAAAAAAGGCGAGTATATAATAATATAGAGGGACCAGCTTACAGTTGTAGCACTTCTGACCATGAGTGCAGTCACGGGCCATATGACCGAAGCCACCACAGGAGTAGCAAGTCTGCTGGCGGCCACCATAGCCACCACCACCGAAGCCACCTCCGTAGCTGCCACCTTGAGGGCAGTTCCTAGCAATGTGACCGACTCGACCACACTTGTAGCACTCCTGGCCGCCGGCGGGGCGGTCGTTTTCACCGGCTTGGGGACATTCGCGAGAGATGTGGCCGACACCACCGCAACGATAGCAGGACTTCTCCTTGGGGGCTACAGTGCATTCACGGCCTAGAGCGACGAGAGAGATTAACTTCTCTGGTATAGCGATGGATGGAGATTGTGCCAGGTTTACTTACTGACGTGTCCTTGTCCTATTGAAGTGAAAGACGGTGTTAGATGAGAACCAGAACCAAGGGCAAAGAAGCAGTCGCTGCAATGAAGGGAAGCAAATGTTGCATACCACCGCAGTTATAGCTATATGCAGGGTGTTAGCAGAAAAGTTTTGGAGCGAACGCATTGCGAACATACCAAGTAGGAGTTCCCTTCTTGGGGCAATCGCGGGCCTACGACATTATGAGCTTCAAAAGGCCTGTTAAAAGATAAATCAAACGGGCTTGGGGTTTACCTGGTGGGTGGCCTCGCCGCCTATTGTTCAAAATGTTAGCCAGGTCATTTTTTCTCTCCTCCCACCAAGGGTTTCGAAGAAGAATAGTGGGACACGAATTCTCATCCCTGCAGCATGCATTTACACATCGAAGTTCAAAGTCAAAGCAATTGGGGGAGATTGAAATGAAGATGATGGGAAGAAAAAAAAAAAAAAAAAAAAAAGAGCTCTCCTCGTTTTTCTTAACAGTTTGAATTTGAACATCGAGTGTGGGTAAAAAAAAAAAAGCAACGGGGACAGACCAAGTGCCAATGGCACTTCGCCGATCAGAAATTTCTTTAGACTCACAATTAAAGCATACACGACCTCCAAAGCTCATTTTGACGTTTGGGTTAGTTATTCGGAATTGAAAAAGAAGTGTTGTTGTTAAGTGGGAGTAAGTTTTTGTTTGGAAGGGGAAAAATTCAAGCAGAAATTTAGTGATTTGCAGTGGCGGAAAGAATCTTGATTGCAGATAAACGGAGATAAGTTGGTTGGCCTTGCTGGTGCGGGGGCTTTTAGTTCAAGGCCCTTTCGCGTCGTTCTGACTGTCTTCAGAATAATGTTGTGCAGTTGCTCAGAGAGGATGTAACTCCGCGTTTTGCCTGTTGGAGAAGTTCCAACCTGAGGTTTTTTTCTCGCCCCTCTTTCCTATTTTCCAGCTTTCTTGCTTTCCTTTGACTTTGAGGCTGGTCGCTCCCATTCTCCCAACTCGGAAACAGCACCACCCGAATGTCTTTTGCCAACAGCAAACAACCTAGTAAATGGATGTCGGAACAGTTGGACACTGTGATAATCCCTAGCTGCTTGGTTGGAGATTGAATATTCTACATCATGGTTCCGGTGCCTAACAAACGTTCGGGCAGAGTGAGAAAACGTAAGAACATCTTCCCCCATAGCCAAATAGCCAAGCCGATTTGATGTGGAAGTTAGATGTCATCAATAGAGACTGCGTAAATCAACGGTCAGATCAACTTTGGGCATATTGTAAGTATGCACGTTGGTTGTGTGACCCGCGAGCTAACGCTCGCGGGGCGATCGAAAAGAAAACATCTTCTTCCTAGGTGGGTGGCCGCCAGGGTAAGTTCCTCGAAAGTGAATTAAGCAATTATAGAAAAGGATTAGAGTCCTCCGGGCTGTGAGGACTGTGATTATAATATCTACTTTCCAGGGTCCTCACAAAATCTACCTTGGTAGCGAGGTTCGGGGTGCAGTTCAGGCAGATGCCCCAAGCAGTCCCAAGAACACGAGGTTTTCTCAGAACTGGGTATCCAATTATTCTATCGACTTTTCAGAAGGTCCAGCCTTCCGTCCCACCAGCAGAGCTATCTAAAATCGTAAAATTCGAGGAGCTGAGGTCCATGTTCCTTTTCTCGAAGTAAAAGCAGTCGTTCGTCGTCAAATCCAATGCAATCTCGCGCTCCGGCCGTCTTATGGACCATGTTCGCAGATGGCGATTGGGCCCGTCTGAAATCACGGTGGGATACCCCAGACAATAAACCGGGACCTTCGCGATCTTGCGGGTGTGGTTGGTTCCCAGGCTTGACTTTAATGCTAGTGTCACCTTGGAACACCTTTTGGCTGCCAAAAGACGATATCAAGCTTTCAAGTTCCCATATTCTGACTTCATCTCCGTGTGAGCTCACAGAAATTGCCTTTCCACGGTCACTCACTTGGACTGCCGAAACAGAAGACGTATGGCCCCACAATCTTTGGCCTCCTTTCACGAATAAATTGCTCGACGTAGACACAACAAGGTAGATCGTGAGAGTATTGTCTGCGTGTGACGTGAGGAGATAAGGATGAGAGTATGAAACAGAAGTAGGTGGATCATGATGTAGTATAGTAGGCATTATCGGGTTTGCACGAGGGAATACGATCGACTCGACCTCTGGGGTCAAAACTTGCCCGTTGATTGAGGCAGGCAGGCAACGTAAGTGCAATCCATGCTGCGTATCCACTGTGGTGGTAAGTCGAGACTTGGTTTGCCGCCCAGTTTTGTCGAAATGTAATTCTTGAATCCCTAGTGACCACCCGCAACCAAGGTGTAGGAAGCTGTAGACTATAGAAGCGATTATTTCCGGTCCTGCAAGGCGAACGGAAAGCGACATCGGCGATAGGGCGCTATCCGCCTTTAAGGATGCAATTGGAGGGGCGTCGTCTCTCCAGCTAGAATCACCAGCTTCGGGCAGTAATTTATATAATGACAGCATCATATGATTTGAGACGACCATGAGATACGGGTATGAAGCGGCCATGGCCGTTATCGCGCCGTGGACGGTTATAGTGCGAGAGGAATGTATGTCGAGTCGCAGGCTTGTCGAATTCATTTTGTATACGGTGAATACGCCATTGTCGAACCCAACCACAATTTCGATGCAATTCTTCTCTGAGCCGCAGGTTGCAGTCAACGCAGTCGGAGCCGTTGGAAATTGTGACTCGGAGCCCAGAAAATGAAGACCAGCATTGCACCTTTCTGGGTTCTCTACCGACCAAGCCCTAAGTCCCCCGTGTGAGTCCGCAGTAAATACATAGCCAGCACAGAGTGTTGCCAGTATTGGTGGTTTGGGTGGTTGGGGAATTTCGACCTGGGTCACTCGGCAGGTGCCTCTAGACCAATTATGCCTTAGCTGATATTGCCGCTTCCAATTTGTGGCTTGATTATTCCGATCCAGGTGGCTATGGTCCAGCCATGTCGATACCCTCGGAGAATATTCAAACTTGGATTGAGGAAAAGATGTGTGCCGGGTTATCGCTAATCGGCGCGCGCGGGGCCGTACCCATTTCGCAAAATACTGTCGTTTCCAGAGCTCAGAGTCTCCAGCAAGAACATAAAACCGGTGAGATAGTCTATATGAAATAATTATTAGGCTTTGGAATAGCATCTGTGCGGAGAATATGCAGACCTTTGGCAAATAATAAGAGCTGGTATTGGCAAGAAAGAGAGAATATGAAGCAGGATCTCATTACTCAACGAAGACAGGTTGTCGGCCTGACATCCAGCTTCGGTTGTGCGCGGACGCTTTGGAGGAGGATGTTTCGACAACCCGTCATCATTGCGCCTTTTTGGCATTTTGCAGCGTCCATTGCAGTGCAGACAAAAGGGCTTGAACTTGCCAATATCGCCATCGCCAACAGAGCCACTTATCAAGACGCGATAAGCGATAAGCCGAAGCCGAGGTTACCGTACAGTTACACACCATTGTAACTTTACTATACGCGATACGTCATAAGTTGTCAATTACCCTCAAAAGTCAAAACACGCGTTCTCTCTGTACATTCTCGAAGTTAAGAACACTATCATCCAGTGTTTTATCGTCATTGTTCCGAATGGAGGCCATACAGCGACTCCATATATCTATTGCTCAAACTTTTGAGAATTGTTTCGATACCGCTTACAGGGATTTCAATGCAGAGCTCGCCGCGTACGATGCACGCGTGAAGGATGCAGAGGAAAGGGCCAAAACTGCTGATGAGGCTCGCCAGAGGGCAGCTTCTGAAGCGGAAGTGCTAAGACACAGGATATCTCTCCTGCAGGAAAAAATGCGGCAAGGTGAATTTGATTCGAAAGAGCACCATGACTCCACCGAAAACGAGCTTCAGTTAGATGGTAAATATGAGCCACGGCTTGTCTTGGGAAACAAGCACATCTCGGATATAAGTGCGGGTGATGTGGAAAGAATCAGCGATAGATATGCCGAACTATATGAACAGGCCGGCATGCTTGTGCAAGCGTCGAACGATCTTAAAAACCGAGTCAAACGTCACAAGAAGAAGCTAGAGCAGTGGCAGAGCCTTCTTCAACACCAAGAGTTTGCTTTTACAGTTAATGGTAAAGCTGTCAAGTTTCAGCGAGTTGAGTCAACGGGCCCAATGAATCCCTTGGTGCTGTCACCTAGGCATTCATCCCGCATACCCAATCCATTAAGGAGCCCCGACGAAGACTTGCAAACATACATGTCGATTAGAAATCCCACAACACCCAAGCTTGAGGTGGATCACCAATTCGGTAACGACAATTCTGGGAACGAATGGGACGGGACAAGTGAGCAGTGGCGGCGGAAAGAACACCCAGAGCTGACGTCTACTATGCCGTCGGATGCTTCAGCAGACGAGTTGCCGCCGGACACTCCCACTCATTCAGGAACTTGCGCCGTAATGCGGAAACGAAAGCGATCTACTCCAGTACAACCTCCTGGTAATAATTTATCTTCTAAGTGCTCACGCAATGACTGCACGGAACAACCTATTACGATCAAAAGTGAGACATTGCCTTCTAGCCCTCTGAAAATCCATTCTCCGCAAAGCAGGCCACTGGGAACTCAGGACCTAGATGATATCGGTGATACTGTGGCTACTCCTACCAAAAGGGTGCGCTCTCATAGGAATCATGATTTATATGCTCCTCCAGGCGGCCTCCTGGTCAGCACGGGATCGCCTTCGCGCCAGCATATGGTGCGCCCAAACTGTACACACGAGGGCAATCAGGCCAAGCATGATAAGTTAAGGGTGCTTCAACCTATTTATAGCAACTTGAGGAACATAAACGGTCTTGGTCAATCATCGGGCAAAAAAGGGGCGAAAAAGCCGGGAAGCATAACGCGGATATCTTCCTTGACGGAGGATGGTGATGAAAATCAGCCCCCGCCGCTCGCGAATGGAAGAGGAGCAGAGCCACCGCGGAGTAACCAAAATGAGCGCGATCTGTCAAGCGGGGACCGACTATCGGATCTACTCGAAGGAACACCACCGAGGGACCAAACATTCCAGCTTGGGATCACTCCCAATACTTCTTCACGCACTGAAGGCCGCAGAGGTGGCTCTTTGAGAAGCTGCGATGTGGCAGGTACCATTTTCAATACGACACCAACTTCGAAGCCCCCTCGAGGAAACCAGGAATCGAACTTACGAGATTGTAAACTAGATACACAACTAGGGCTTCCGGGCCAAATGGAAGCAATTCCTAACGACGAACCCTACAGAGCCCGGCCACTGCTGCGGCTCGGCCTCGAGAATTTTAAAATAAACCCTGATTACAACAACGGACTAGATTACGCCTACGATGAGGTTATCCGAGGAAATGACGGGCGCAAGTGTGCCAGTGGCTGCACGCGTCCTGGTTGCTGCGGAGAAAAATTTCTTGCCATGGCACGTTTTGGCATCCCGGTGGATGCGTCCAGAGAAGCATTGAACGACCACAAAATCCTCGAAGAATATTTGGCGGGGTATAAAAACACGGTTGACACGCTTAGCCCTGAGGCGCGTGGAAATCTATTAGTCGAAGCAAAGGCAAAAGTCTTTGCTGATCGATTTGGCAAACACCGGCATCAACACCACAGACCAGGTACGCCCCCCGGGTTTTGGCGCACGGAAATGCCCGGCACGCAGGAATTAAAAGAAGACCGTGAGGAAGCCCAAAGACTAGAAAGAGATAAGGTGAAGGAGCGGCACAGAGAAGCGATGCGTCCAGGCGGGCGGTGGCTGTTTGCAGATGAGTGAACAGTAGGGCTAGGTCTGACGATACTCGTTGGCAGAGATATATATTTGTACATACTTGAGATATGGCTCGATACGAGCCAGATTTGGATCTTTGACAGATGGTACGGATACATCGAACGTAAATTTATCAGAAGCATCATAATGTTATACATTGCGAGATGACTGCATTACGCCGGGCATAATCGGCAAATTACTTGCTTGCCAGGACCCGAGAGTTCAAGCATAGACACAGATATACTACCGACCTTGGCTTTGGCTCCCGATAGCCCGCAGCATGTAGGTAGATGAAGTACACTAGTATGTCATACTAAAAGCGGTCGATGCTCTTTGTCGGGAGAGCTTCTCCGATCAGACCTCGGCATTCCATGGCCCTTGGCACACGCGGGACACGTGCTGCTCCCAGCAGTTGGAACTCTCTCCTGTCTTCCGAAGGACTTCCAAGTCACCACCTGGTAGTACTAATTGGTTCATCGCTTCATTCTCTATTTTGTATTCCTTCAATGTGTTTCTGTCCACTCCGGTATGGAAGCTACTCAGAAGTCTAAAAGTCTCGTTCCCGCCGTCCTGCTACAACCATCCAAGTGGCTGCCACTTTACGAGGACTTTGTGACAAAGAATGCAAGTTCAATAGGCCAGGTTGAATCGGCACTAAGGTCGTTGACGTACATTATTCCAGGTTCGTTACTCGTATACATATGATGGCTAGGTCCTAATTCCATTTTTTTTTTCTCAAGGACGCTATCGCGATTCAGAAATACCCTCAGAATGTGGTATGTTGGCAACCTTCAGTCTTTTGCAGGGCGCATCTAACAGAACGAATTCAGTTCATTCAGGAGTTCAGTTGCTATCGCTGTACCATGATTCGTTGATTTCGAAAGTCGTCTCTAACCTACCGCCGACCGTTCGTCGACCAACGCCGACTCCCCACGCCAGATACACAAAGTATTGGTTGTCAGAGTCTTCTTTATATCAAAAAGTCGCCCTCACACTTCAAACTGTTCAGTACACGGAGCTGCTGTGGGAAATGATCGCGCGGCGCCGTGGCGATAAAGTCCGCTGGCGTGTGGTTGTCCTTATTGAATTCGTGAAAGCAATATGTCGCCTTTTCCTACTACGGCTCACAAACTCGCGGCCGCTAGTTAGTCCTCCCCTACCTGAGCGCGAAGTAGACCCTAGGTCTCAGGAAGAAGATGGAGGCGATTGGAACGGAATGGGGTCCCCTGTCAGCGAACGACCCTCCGACCTTAATTGGACCATGCCTCGTACTGGGTTATCACTTCCTTCTTTGCCCGACGTTAATGATGTTTCAAATTATCTCATATCCAAGGTCCTGACCGCGGATGATATCAAGCCCCCAAAGGCGCTTCTGCATAGGGTCACCGGTCAGGGACAATTGGCGGAAATTCTACACATCCTTCGGCCAGTCGTTTACGCACTTGCGCTTCAGAGATGGAGCGGCGACAAGCGGAGCTGGAGGCCATGGTTGATCGGTTTTGGTATGGAGTACGGCTGCCGCCAATTAGCCAAGGCCGACTTCCGGGAGAGAGTCACTGGCGGCCTCCGTGGACTGACCGGCCTCGAGCGAGAGGAGTTGAAGAAGAGGGGCTGGTCGATGGGTTGGTGGGTGATGCGGGGAGCCTTTTATGAGAACATTACCAAGTTCGTCCCAGCACCATCTCTGACAGATCAATATCGAGACGCTAATAACATTACTAGGTCTACACTAAAAGGGTTCACAGGAAAGATGAAGGGTAAACCACTTCTTGATCTAGTGGGCAGCATCATTGAGGACTACGAATATCTTTGGGATAACTATTATTTTTCGACTGCGACACTCTAAATGACTCTTCTTTTTTGGGTGGAGATTTCTTTTGGAATACCATGTTACTTTAACCAGATACCCGACGGATTTAATTAATCTTTTTCCATCCACCTCTATTGTCGCATTAATATCGACATGTCTACAAACTAAGATATTTGTCATGGCGGCTACTGCTGAGCATGACAAGGTTTCCAATTTTTTTGTTTTTCTTTCCAGGCTGGGGTATCATATCATTATTCACGTACCTATAAAATTTCTGCTGATTTCTTTCCAAACCACTCTCGAAGTTCACGCTCCAGTCCTTTGAGCGTACTACCGGAAGCCAGCAAGAAATCCATAAGCTGTGTGTTATCCTCATCCACAGGCCAGTCGACCATTTCCCCTCCCTTGGTCTCTAGCATTTCCTTCGCTGTACCCCAGCTAAATCGACACTCATTCCCCCACCCAAAGATAGCGTCCATATTGTTTCGCATCCAACCCACGCACTTTGAGTCGGAGGGATATCCACTTCCCCAACCATCACCAGTCTCTCCACTACCTTCCCTGAAAGCCTCATATAAGACCTCCAACGCAACGTCCCTTGTAACCTTAGCCACCACACTCGCTGCACTGACACAGGGGTATAACGAATCCGCCTTCTTAGCAACCGTAATCTTCAGTGAAGGGAACACCATCTCCAACTTCTTCTGATAGCTCGCCGGGTTTCCCACTGTATCAATGTAAACCTCCCGCACATTCATTTTTCTCTCCTCGACCACGCCCCTGATCAACTCGATTGTCGCATCCATCGCCTGAGCGTTGAGATTATACACCCCACCCACGCCCGCTGCAGGCCTCATCATCCCCGATGATATGTCTCTAGCAGAAAGAAGTTTTGTCGTCCACCCGCATGACTCGTAGAGATGTGAGCCTTGTGTGCATAGAATACGCGTGAGGTTTGCCCTAACACCCGCTGTAAGAACCTTGCTATCGTTGAAGCTGTACTCCTTCGCTAGGAGGGAATGGTGTAGAGAATTGGGGAGGTAGAATGCGCCGTAGACCATGGGACCGAGGACGGGGCCACGGCCGGCTTCATCGACGCCAAGGACTAGGTAATCGGAGTCCGGATCTGAAGATTTTTGTGTTGGGACTGCCGGCGGCGCTGGCGAGAAATATGCGTAGGATTCGCCCGAGAGGAGTCGGGTTTTGTCGATGCTTGGAGGAAGGAACACAGACGGGTCAATATCAAGAGACCCAGTGTCGGCGACTGGGGTGTCTTCGCCCATTTTGGAGGTCGAAATTGGCTCTTGGTGAATAAAGTACGTTAGAACTTAGAGGTTGTGAATTGAATAAAGATGGGTTGATGTTCAGTATGCCGGGAAACGCGTTTCACGCGAGCCGCGGCGCGTTCCCCGTGGGGACCAACTTGGTAACCACAGGAAACGAGGGCGCCCGCGCAACAAAGTTGCCTTGCATGTTCTTACACATATGCACTATTAAAGTAATTGGAGGCGCTTTGTGCCATGCATTCGCAGAAGCATCAGATACAAGTAGCTACTTATGTAGTCTACAATGCTGCTTACCCGCGAGGGCATGTCCATACTGGATTACGAAACTACCGACACCTAGCCAGATCCGCTCGGCAAATAAACAAGCCAAATCCGACCATGGTCGTTGCAGGGATTGATATCACGCTATCAGAACTGCGCTGTGGAAACGTGCTCAAGGGCGCAACAGTTTAAGCATGCTAGCGCGATCCGGGTTGGTCGAACGGCCGAGCCCCAGAATTGCCGGGCGGGTGGCGGGTCTCCGCGGCAAAAATTGAGAAGTTAGCCGCCGCGACACATTTACAACAAAACACAAACATAACAACATCTAGGGTCGGTAGCTCAGGGGTAGAGCAAGCGGCTGCAGTCCGCTAGGTCGCGCGTTCAATTCGCGCCCGGCCCTGAAATTTTTAGCATGTGGATTTTTTGTGGCTGTGTAGGCCCAGAGTCGGTGTATTTCTGGTCCCTCGCTGATTGGTGTTGGGTTAGCGCACGCAGAAGTGGGGTGCTTGTGTGGGTATTATACTATATAGGGACTAGTGCGGTCTTCTTCTGCATCAAGAGAGCCTCCGCCAGACCAACTTGTAGTGCGAATAGTAAGCTTGGTTGTGTGAATACTAACTACGAGGTCTGTCTGACCAGATCCATATTACCAGCGTTTCTTTTGTATCGGTTCTACCTGCAGCGTCTGTGCAAGTATTGCGAGGATATTACCCTGCAAAAAACAGGGTACGCGGAGGAATGAGTTAGCATGTCGAACTTAAACACTCGTTCCTACTTTCCGTTGGTTGCTATATTAGGCAGTACGGTTACCAGGAGGGCCTCTTTGTCCGCGCGCGTTGGGCAGCGATTCGGAGTATTCTTATTCTTAAGGTAGTGGGTTATTGCAGAAATTCTATTAACATCTCTCGCCTTCACTCTGCTCGACGCCACATCGAAGTCTACGGCGAACAAACTTGGGGGTATACATTGCATGCTCTCTTGCTAGTGAGTGCCGAGGGGCGTGTTCTAGTGTTCGTGGAAAGGAGAGCTGTATTTCGTGGGCAGCGCACTGTGCAGCGCAGTACAATCATGTCTTAAGATCCCCCGTGTGAGGAACCTTGGGTGTGGGCCGATCCCGGTATCTTTTATGCCTTCGAGTCCTTGTTTAATATGTGGTGACAGTCATATCTGTGCTTTATTTTATGTACGAAGCACTGCGTTGGTTAATTTGCGATGTGCATACATCGGTAGGTGAATGAATATATATAGTGACAGCTATTTTACCGGCATATTGCGTGTAGACATGCAGGCCAAGGCGGGGTCTGAAATCCGAGTCGACCATCATGGCTCGTTGGTCAACTGATGCAACGCCGGAGCAGAAAAGGAAAAGTGAAGTGAGCGAAGGCGCCTGGCTTGGGGAGTGGGTAGTGAATCACTGCATATACAAACTGCCGAGTACGGAACGCGTCCCAAACCATTTTGGACTAGCGCACTCGCGCGTCATGAATTCCAAGTCCCCTCCAGCTTCTTTTCCCTGCCCAAGTTTGATTCCCCTCACAATACTGCATTCGCATCGGCCATCTGTTTAAATTATTGTCATATTTCCTGGACCTATTAAGCGCCGTCCGGACTCCTCTGTTACCCGCTCCAGTGCCCGCGAAGTCAGGCGGACGAACTTGCATCACCAAACAACCGCAGCGATGGCTCCTCGGGGCCCGGCAAAGGCTCGCGACTTGGACTTCTCCAATGTCGGCAAGGCTGGAAGGTATGTTCTATAGTATTACTTAAACCTCAATCGGGTGAGACCAGTACGGGATGAGCTGACTGTTAGTAGGCGCACAGGTATCACCCTGAAGGAAGGCAAGCGGGATGAACATGGAATGGAGGATGTCGACGGAATATTCTCATCACCAGAAAAATCGCCCGTGAAAGAAAATGGATTCGATAGCGAAGAGTCAATGGGCTCAGAGATGTCCATGGACGAGGGTATGTATCCCCAAATCGCGTTATCGTAAAAAGAGGCTTAACCCGGCAGGCAACGGGCCCGGCCCTGCAGATTTCCTCAATGGCCTCAACGGTTCGCGTACTCCCCGCCTGCCTCCACCCGTTGCGCGATCACCTACAAAAACTGGCATGACCGGGTCTCCGCGCAGAACTCCTGGATTGCGCTCCTCCCAGAGCCCACAACGTGATCTCCCCTCATCGAGCCCGTCAGACGGCAGGAGCTCAAGGAGAGACTCGCGACGGGACTCGCGGCGCGATGTCTCTCCACTCACCAACCGCTCCATCAACGCCACACCCTCACTGGAACACTCCAATACTACACGCGCCAAGGGTCTCAAGAAGGCCGAAAAAGCGCCACCGATGTCTTTCTCCGACAGTGATTCCCACGGCGATGAGAATGGGCATTTACTAGATCAAACCGATTTCGTGGATAACTTCAACGCTGGCGATGACCCACTGCTGGGTAATAACTCGGAAGCGCAGGATGAGAGCAGTGGTGAAGAACTGCACAAGGTCCCAGCACCCGAGACGCGGAAAGGCCCAGGACGAGGCCGTAAGCCAGTTGGAGGCGCAAACACTGCGGCACAGGATGGAACAGAGGAACAATCAACACCACAGAAACGAAAGCGCCCTGGACGGCCACCTAAAGGTCAAAGCCAGCCAATACAAGATACAGAAGAACAACGCCCAGCAAAGAAGGCCAAAAATTCCGAACAAAAACGTCGGATCACTGGGCCGTCAGGCGACCCTGACCTGGACAAAGTAGTCGAAAACCACGTCAATCGAACCGGGCCGCTCAAGGGCCGAAGCCTCTATATTCTCAAACGGGAGGCGCCTACGGATCCGTCTACTACACACACACGATCAGGACGTGTATCGGTCAGACCACTGGCCTACTGGAAAAACGAACGATGTGTGTACGGTGACGAGGGAGTAGCCGAAGGACAGCGATATCCTCTCTCAAAAATCAAGGAGATCATCCGAACTGAAGAGCTAGAGCCGGAGAAGAAACAAAAACGCCGATCAAAGAAGTCGAAATCGAGAAAGGACAGGGATGATGACTCTGATTCTGATGAAGATCAGTACCGCGATCCATACGAGGAGACGGGTGGTGTCCTGCATGGTTATATCAGGAAATGGGACCATGAAACGCAAACAGCAATGGACGACGAGGAAGTGCTAGGTATGCGTTCTTTCTGACCTTTGCCGACCCAGGACTAACAGCGCTCAGATATCGCATACGCCCCATCTGGCATTGAGACCCGAAACGTCAAAGGCGCAGCTTTCAGATTTGCTAAGCTTCTGAGTTCTCCCTTTATCGGTTCTGGCATTGTCGAACTACCTCCCGGAGGGGTCAAGAAACCAAAGAATGCGAAGAAAATGCATATGATATTTTACGTTGTTGGCGGGCGAGTCTTAGTGGATGTTTCTGGCGTTCAATTCAGTGCTGGCAAGGGGTGTGTTTTTCAAGTCCCACGAGGTAAGTCTCATTAAGAACCACAACAACTGTAAACTGACACCTAGCAGGCAACTACTATAGTTTCGCCAATACTTACAGCAGGGACGCACGGTTATTTTTCACACAGGGCTGCATACCTAGCCCGGCAGAAAGCGACGACACACCCGGTTCTGCAACCAAAACGGACGCTCTCGATGGCGAATCAAACACCCCGCCAACTCGTCCGAAGACCACCGGTAAGAAGACCACCGGGAAGAAGACTGCTGGGAAGAAGACTGCCGGCAAAGGCAGACCTAAGGGGAAGCAGAAGGCCGCTGCTTAAAAGACCAGACTTTCATATTACGGCCTTTGATCCCCCTCCTTTTGGCTCCATCGGTTACTTTTTTGCATAACTTTAACGTCCGAACCTTTTATTTGTGGGTGTGATTTTAAACCGACTTTTGAGATTCGTTGTGTTTTGGCTGCCCAATTTAGCGATAATTCTTCATGTTACCCTGGTACCCGGTGTTGGTGTGTATGTACTACATCTATATCTATATCTTCTTTCAGACTTCAGCACCGCACAGGCGACGACTGCACATAACAGACCGGTCCCAGCTGTGGCCTGCTCAATGGGAATTGAAACCAAACTGAACACATTGATCAACCCCTCTATATCTCTTCCATATCTCCGTCCAGGTCATCGTCAAACCCCAGTGGAGGGAAATCTCCCACTTCAACCTTCTCCGGCTTAACAAAGACGCCAGTTTTATTCGGACATGTAAAGTACCGCTTCCCATTGACGCTCCCGTCATTTTTCCCCGTTGGCTCGTCGAGCTCGATCCCAACCCAGATAGGCAATGGTGTCGAAGGATCAACCTTCCCCATATCAACCCCAGGGTGCGGAATTACGGGCACTGGTCCAACGAAGCGGACCGTTCCCCGTCGAACATGCGGTGGCGTCGAAGGGAGAATAATAGCGCGTTTTGAGACAGATATATCTAGACACGGGGAGCAAAAGCAAACGAATTAGAACCCTTGACGCCATCTTAATTGCACAGTATGATCGAAGAGAGTGCACGAAGGAGGGAAAAAAGAGAGAGATACTCACCGCGCTTCTCAACCTCGTCCTTATCTTTCTTCGTTTGTTCGATCATTGCATCAACCGGAGAGAGCGCATCTGGGTCGAAGCGCCCTAGCTTCTGATTCTTTTTCCATGCGAGAACTGAATTTGGGAGGCTCTCGTATGTCTCACTTGGGAGGACATATTTCTCGACGGAGGAGAGGTCGGTGAAATTGACTCGTGCCGCTTGGGGACGTGTGTCGTGGACCTACGTCGTTTGTAATTCGTTAGCTGGCGCGTGTTCTTATAAAAGACGGTGCCCACAGAAAAGAGTAAAGTTGGGGAAGAGCGTGAGGTAAAAAACCATGGTGTATATACCTCAATCTCAGAGCCCCTCGCCAATCCCCAATTTCCGATTATAGAGTCATCACCCTCAACCCACTGATCTGGTTGACCAGGGGTTTTGAGACGGAGGCGCTGGCTGCTGGGCGGCACACCGGTCATGGTCTCTAGTTTTGACTTGACTTGCTGCAGTGTCCATGTTGGCGTGATTCGGCGCTCGGAGTGCAGGCGGGGCTCGTCGGAGTGCGAGGACGTGGAAGGTGTGGTGATTGCGACGGCAATGTCGGTGGGAGTTGGTTGGAAGGACATTCTGGTTGAATCCTACGGTTTACCGTAGTGGCTTTGGTTGTAAAAGTCGGGCAGTTGGAAGCTGGAATGATTGGGGGTTGTTGGTACGTTATCGGGATCCGGGGATGGTTTACCTTGCAGAATAGGACAACACCAGATTAGCGCGAGGGATGGAGCGGTTTAGCTAGGCAACAAATATTGATATAAAGCATGAGTGATCGAAGCAAATAGAATGACATGGCTGCTATTAAGATGCGGGGAGGACCATCCCCCGAACCCAAAGGTCCCGTGAGGCTCAAAGCGGTTTTATGCCTCGGAAGCAAATATTCAAGAACAAATGAGGACTGGAAAGCGCTTACAACTGGTGAAACCTTGTCTGGGAAGGAATTCGCCGGGCTGAATGTTGTCCTGGCTTTGAGATTGCGGAAGAGAAAAGTAGGTATCACGAACCACCCCAAGACGCGACGCGGGGCTTTGGGGTTTTGACATGGCCAATCAGCTTGTTCCTGTCAAGCCTTGGCTCCTTAATATTAACCCCGCATATCTACCGTCTCCCGGTATGATCTAGATATTTACATTGTCCGTCGCCTCCAGGAGAAGCCCTACTCGACACTAAAAAAAAAAAAACCTGATTCATAACTAACAATATGTACATAGAATGTGAGCTTGTTCCATGACCAAGAATTGTTGGTGATTCATCGACGTTTGTTGGTTGGACTTGTTTATTGCTCGGCACCGGCCTGCTGTCTTCATTGGCAATGAAGGTAGGCTTCGCCTGGGCGTTGGTGGTTCATGACATCGGTCATTTCGCTGCCCTATATTTCACCTCTTTTCATTACAGGTTGGATTGCTGCTCGTTTGGAGGCTGAGGATTTCAATGTTTCCCCTCTCCTTAGCCTATCATCTCCGTTGAGGTCTGAATCGTTTTCGCCCAGCGATTCCACCATTTCTGCCAGGTCAGAATTGGTGGCTTGTCTAACGCTAATGCGTCTTGTATAACTTGGGGATGTGGTTGTTGGCACTGTTGCTTTGCTTGGACCAGGTGTAGCTTCTTTGCCAGCACGATTACCCGGTTTAGACGCCTTTTCAGCTTTCGATGGGCGCCCGCGCTTTTTTGGAGGCCCGGCCACGGCTTTATCAAATTTTCTCTTCTTCGGCGTGAGGCTAATGGCTGCTTCTCCTTCGAGGAACTCCCCAGTTGCTTCAGACGTAAGTACGACATTAAAACTGGCCCGGTGGACCCTTGCCCTGTCTTTCAGTTCAACAAGATGGCCAACTTCAGCAGGAAATGGTAGGCGTTTATGGAAAGTCCACTCGACGCCGTCTCTGATGTATATGGTTTCCTTCACGAGAACACTAATTCCACTCTTGCGCATCTCGCGATTCATGGACTGTCCGTTGAGAGGAAGATGACGGTAGGAAAGCACATAAGCGCGGTGTTTGTTCTCATTCTCCTGTACGGTTTTCAGCAGCTGATCCAGTGAGAGTTCATCCTTCACGGAGCCACTTTTATCAGCGCCCACTTATTACTAGGTCCCTTGACTGCACAAACATCCCAGTCATCCTTGACCATGCTGACACCATAAATGTTTCTGTCAGCATCCGGGGTAATAGTATAATGGAAGATGATGGAATAGAGCTCATATCGGACACCTTGCCTGCTAGGGAAATTCGGATCCTGCCAATATGCTGGAAAGGTCAGAGTATCCTCTACGCTGAGCCTGCCGGCTGCTCGTTGTTCCTGGTCAATAATATAGTTGACTCGGACGAACAAAACTTACGGGACGTGGCTGATATGCATGATCGTAGGGATGGGTTTCATCGTGCTTTTATTCCGATTGGATATCTCACATTGGTTACAAGTCCATCCAGAAGCCTCGCCAAATTGAAAGTGGTGATTATTAATTGCTTCGGCGACAGTATACAGAGCGGGTTGCATAAGTGGTATCCTGCGTCGGAATGAAGCGTTAAGGCAAAGCATTCGTTCTTCCTCAGACGAACCCTCCGCGCACATTCCACATATTTGCCGTGTTCTGAGACCGACCCCGAAAAAGTGTTGCAGATTCTTGATCGTTTCGTCCTTGTCCTTGAGCTCTTCCTCAAGCTGCCCTAAGAAGGCCTCCATAAAGCGCCAGGGGTCCTGGTGGCTGTACACGCTCACAGCGCTCCATGTCGTACTGCATTAAATTGCCCAAACTCTCTCTATATCAGTGTTATGTGTATCCTGGCTGATATCGCCATGCCAGTAGGACGTCGCCAGGTGATAGAAAGCGCAAAGCAAGCTCATGTCCGATGTATCACACCTATGTCTTGCCGGGTGGATTTACTGAACCCAGTTCAGCAGGAGAGGAGTATGAAGGAGCATCAGGATAACGACATTGCGGTATTCAAGCATGCCAGGGCTCTTGAATGACCTGATCTGCTTATTGTCGTAAGAGGCCAACCATCCAATCGGGACTGAGGTTCGATGCTTGTTTTTGTTAGAAAGAATAGGGCTTATATGTTAGGAGTCGCTAGAATGTGGCTTACTTGTATTTTCTTGGTTGTAGCTGTAGCCGTTGGCTCCATAATATGACTTCGTTTCAAGGTATACAACCCCCAGCGTTGGTGTTTTGGGGGCACCGATAGTGTTTTGTTAGGAAAGACCGAAGGCATACGGTAAATGTCTATGTGGTAGCATGAGCGCAATGTGTTCTGACATCCAAAGATATATACAAATAATGGCCGCAGTCGCTGTGAGCAAGAGGATTCTTTGTGAGTGCCTCTCTCTCTCATTGCCTTATTAACCGCAGGCTTGATTGTGCGTTCCTGCTTTACTGGGGATTCTTGCAATAGATTGAAGAACCGATCAGACCCTTTAAAGGGAAGAATATTTTTAGAAAGCTGGTGGGTTCGCTCTTTGATAGCTGTGCAGGTGTTCGAAGTATCTTCCCTTTATATCAAATTACCTAGGTGCTACCAAGTTTCGCGGGTTGTTAACAAAGAGCACAACCTCGAGGCTCCATACAAAGTCACATGTGATAAAAATAAAAAAGGCATTTTGATTCCTAGCATTATCATGATGTGAAATTTGGTATTTTTGCCTGAGGTTAGTATACTGCTTTCCAAACGTTGACTACCAAGTACCGTATCGCTATACTCCGAGCACGTTGTTGCCAGCCCCCAAAATACATCACAGCACCAGGCAATCATGCAGTATATGACCAGTAGAAAATGAAAATAGATGCATAACTCTCAGACCTCGTAAAACGCATCAACCCGTTGCTCCAAGGAGGAACTGAAACTGGGTGGTTGGAACTGTTCCTCAGACCAACGATGATGTCAAAGAGCCTTAGGCTAAAAGAGACGATCGTTCTCCACTCGCTTAGAGTCTCCTACCGAATTTAGTAGTAGGTCAGTCGGTCTTCTTCAACAGGGCCAAGTCCAAGCTGCAAGATTTCGGCCGTTCATCGAGCAGCAGCCCAAACACGCCCTAGGATCGGATAGGGGATTCATTGCATCCTGCCCGGGGAATTTGGGGCGAATGGGAGGGGGTTCTGGTTCGATACGCAGCGCCTCACACGATCCATTGAGCACTGATCCCGTCCGACACGGGAAGTTTCGAACAAATTAGACGCGGGATTGGAGTCGTCTCCCCGTCAGCTCTCCTTCCCAACATAGTATATTCGCAGACTCGGCATTGGTGGCGTTTGCGAGGGACTTCCCCCATGTATCTGGATGTTATTCGTCGATCAAGTGATTCAGATTAAGCCTCGCAATGATATGGAAACACGGGCGGGGCGGCGAGGAGGGACATCCTAGGAATGTCAACAATCAGACAGGAAGCGACTGTTCATCACCATGGTCTGGAATTAAGACCGGTCTCGACCACTTCTTGACCCCCATGAACTGGTTCCTGAGATTAAGAACCAATATAACGGGAGCGACGGGAGGTGGCCGGCTCAGCAAGATGATGGGGTTGTTTATCGAAGTCCTGCAATATCGATTACTGAATAATAACTGGGATAGTGTCCTCGGTTTCCCCACAAATCTCATTGATTTCTCGTTTCATCTTGCGCGAGGCTTGGAGTCGAAATGGGTGATGGCTTGGGCCGATGGCTTCGACTGGCTCGTTAACTCAGTGCCCTGTCATGCCTGGCCCCGCGAAGTGCCTCATCCATTTAATTTCGTCCGACAAGGGTTCCAACCAACAAGCGGATACAATTGGCGCCCACTATCCTTCAAGAACAGTGTGGCCTGATCTCACGATGCTGCGTCGGTCTTACAATCGATGAATCACCCTGCCCTCCGGAATCCCTCCCAAGATATTCGCCTCTTGTGTCCTGTCCCCAATTCCCAATTACCCAAGCGCCATCTCGGAGATGATCGCGCCCAGGTGAATCAAACTGCGAGATCGTGGACCTTCCTGGCTTTGTTAAAAGTGGTCCTTTGAGTTCAAGCCAAAATTGCATGCAGCCCTCCATGCAGGGTTGTGTTCAGTAATAAACTTCAACGGCAGAGGAGGGGTAATTCATTCCTGTATCGATAAGGATAATAAGTCGAGTAATACGTATTCGCGAATGGGTAGTGCGGACCAAGGCTCGCAGGATTTCTGGTTTCAGCTCCTCAAGGGCAACAATGTTTAAGTTGGATGAGGGCGATCGCTTCGATCCACGCAATCTGGTTTTATTCTGGGCAAATAAGAGCCCATCGCGCGTCGGAGCGACGGACAGTTGCCGAGTCGGCAAAGAACACGAGGAGAGCCTTGGCAGCAGGTATACTATCACTGTCTCCATGAGACAAAACACATGCTTCGTGTGTTTGCAGCCCCTTTGCTCCGTTTCTTGATGTTTTTACGATCAAGGAAATCGTGATTGACCCACCGGGCCATGTCCGACACTTGAATCGAGAACCATCGGCTCGGAGATTACTGAGTATGAGACGGTTAATGGTGGTAGTCTGTGTCGACTCAGTCGAGCCCTCGCACTCCACAGGATAACCGCGTAAGCCGATCTCGTTCGCGCTATTGTACTGCTATCCAACAGATGGCCAAGATGATAAATCCACATCGGTTGGGCACCATTGTTCTTGGGCCTTGAGCCCTTGACACTTGCCAATCTGGTTTTCTTCTTGACCGTTGTTCTCCACAGCCAGCTCGCATACTTTGAGGACGCATATCTTTGTTGACTGGTGTGAGGCGTCGATCTCAGAACGTCCGACCTCCTTCCACCTTTTTATGGTATACAGGTATGCTATTACTTCCAGTCGCCACGCAGGGGGCCCAGATTCCGAAGTCGTTGGATAACAGGCATCAGAAGCGAGATTTCAGATCTCTTTCTGGGCCTCTGCACATTTCATGCTAACTTAGCGTCCGGTGGTCATCAAGTTGCAGGGGAAACCCCGGTTTATGAACCAACGCACCACTACAATGTGGGCATGAGACTGGCCCTGGCGGGCTTGAAGGGGCAAAATTACATCACCATCATCGTAAGTTATCGAAAAATGGGGCTGATCTAGATCGGAGCCCTGCGACTTGTAGATTTGTACCCAATTTTCATCCTCCCGTCTCAAGGAAGCGAGCAAGCGAGGGAAGATTGAGGACTGAGGAATGGGGATTGGGACGAGGCTCTAAGCCTCGTTTGGGGTGACCTTGAATTGTGCTGCAGCCCAAGGCTCCAGGTGAGACCAGGCGTGAGGAGACACCCAGTGACAGTTCTCAGAGAAAGGCGGAGCTTTGGGGACGTCATCGATAGTAGGGCCGAAGGCATGCTAGACATTCGGTAGCGACGATCATTGCTGCGTGCTCGGAATAGAGCGAGTATTCGCAGCGGTATCCCTGCCTATTCGACCCACAAACGCCACCACTCGCACTGAGGCACTCACTTCCGGCACTCTTGAAACTTTTCTCAACTCTCAAAGCAGTCGCAGAGTGAAAAGAGTTCCAGTGCTGAGGTGCGATCTTCCTCCTTCCCAATGAGGCGGAGTACCTGGCTCCCACGCCCTTTTTGTTGGAGACATGTTTGTTTCCTTAGTTTCTTGTCGAGTCTCGCCCGGGAGAGGATGATCAAACCATTCCTGGTTGGAGGACTGGAGCACGAAGTCGCTGACGGAGTTTTCCGCGGTTCAAAGCTTCACCCAACGGGGCTGATGAAACACGAGGGAAAAGGCGATGAGCGAATCAGGGCCTTCAGCCAACTATCTCCTCCAAAGACGCCACCCGCCTCAGGAACCTCTTTGATAGAATACTACGTAGTATTATTCAAGGCACCGCAGTAGTCGTCGATATGGTAAAATCATATGCAGTGCACATGTCTCGGCCCAGGAATCGAGATCCTCGCTCGGTCGAAACGTTTACGATTCAGATGCGCCCTCCCGCAGGTGGACAAGTTCCCAAGAGTAATATGCATCTCGACCAAGAGCCTGAACTACTGCATAGATAGCAGGAACACCATGTTCTAGGCCCTGAAATCGAACCCACCGCCAATTATCTCCCTCTTAGGCGTATGATATCACGAACTGGTAGAGACAAGCTCCAGGGAAAGCAAAATTGGACCCAAGAATCCAAATTAACAAGGTCTATCATAATATTTACATACTCCTCATGATACATCGAGTCCACCGCAGCCGATAGATGCGATGGTGCCAGTCACTTTTCGGCTGGGGGATTGATCTGTCTGCGGCGACTGACCGCTCCGTAACTTTCACGAGCTTCGATCCTGCATATGTGTTGTGCTGCGTCGCGTCGCGTCGAAACATCTGGTATTTGCGTCCACAAACTGCGGAATAGACGGGGAGCATTGGCTCGCGCATAGGTTGGCACTCGCCCTGTAGACAGCAGCGACCCGCCGAAATGAGATATCTGTTGAGTGTTGAGCCCACATACAACCTCGGGTTTGACCGTTTGACTGACTGGTGGTGCGTGCGTGTCCTCCGATGGACGAATTCCGAACCTGAACCCACTGGGCTCCTTCGTAAATTGGCAGGAGTTGATCCAGACCTGACCAAGACTCGACCATTCTTCAGCGAATTCAGGATAATTAAAGTCTTAAACACCGAATCGTACCGTGATAAATTGGGAGGCGTTCGGCGGACCCATGGCAATCTTGAAGTTGGCGTTGACAAGTCCCCACTTGACCCGTTCCAGTCTGGGGCCCGAGAGTCGAAAAGCCAATGAAACACACAGTAATCAATTCTCCGTTCAGGCAAGCCACTGTTTGACCTTGGAAGGTCCTGCTGGGCCCCACCTGTCCCTGGGTAATCTTGCAGAACGAGTGTTTCAGAACCTCCCCTTGTCTCTCCTTCCCGCCTGTCAGCCCCGTCGTTCGAACGAGGCCTCCCAACTTTCTCCGCAATCGCGACTATTACTATGATTGTCGTCCCATCAGCAATTCAGCATGTGCTTCTCGCCCCTTTGTGCCATCCCTTACATGAGGGGAGTCACATAGATTGACAGCCCTTGTCTTTGTTTGTTTGGGCTCTTTGGGCCTTTAGGACCTGCCTCTCGGGAGGTGGTCCGTACTAATTTCCACCATCAGGATGTTGCATGCTGTCTCAACCAAACCCTGAAAAAAATGGAGCAGGAGGGCCATTGAAGAGCGTTCTAGATTCGAAAGAACAAGCGCAGACGCGGCGGCAAGCGAAGGCTTTTTGGTCTTAGACCAAGGCGGACCTAATCGAGGGTTGCGTGGACTTGCTCCCTCTGGAGCTATATTATTGTGAATTGACGATTAGTCTCCGACTTGTACGTACTCGCGAGCCAGAGAGTGTCCAGCAGTACGCTGGGTACTGTATCCACGATCTACCCCATGAATGAATGCGACCTCCATGCTACCCAACCGTTGGATGATCCCGGATTGACTTCCGTCTTGTTTGACGCTTTGACTGTTTGGCCCTTCTCATTCCCTCGTAATAAGGATCGTTCCCAGCGGCTCACAAACCAACGCCGACTCGTATAACCGAAATGACCAGGCCCATGAAAGGCAGATCACACTCTAAGTAATGGGTTCGTCAACTCAGAAGGAAACCAGGCGCGCAAAAAAAAAAGGCGCCAAGTCCTCATAAAAGACCCAGTGTACTTTTGCGTTTAACGTTGTTTTGTGGCAAATGACGATTCATCGCGAAGTTTGTTTTGCTGCTTGCGGGTTGACACATGATAGTCTGGAGGGCCAATAATCAAACCAGCGTCTATAAGTCTCCGGGCGACAATGATAATACCCTTTGCCCTTTTCACAGTAACGGCACTGTCGAATTTCATGGGAAAAAGCGCACATGCAAAGACCCAGGACAAACCAAACCGCCCCAACCTTGGGTGGTGCAAACTAACACGGACTAGGTAAGACCTTCAACCCAGCCCTGAGTGATTCGGAGAATTTGCACGAAAGAAGAAGAGTCGCGCGTGGTATTTGCTAGGGTCTTCCCGTCATACTTCCGAATGGAAGAAAACTCCGGAGCTCAGTTCTCTTGAAAAGAACCAAAGCTTGCTCGTTCAACGTTGGATCGTTGATGATGAAACCTTCCCTTGAGATGCCAACCCACGCTGCTCCACCATGCAAACTCCGCAGTTTGGTGCCTGGTGTCGAGACCCGATCGACTCCTGACAGCGACACGAGAATTGAGGGTGGATGCATCACTTTCTGGATAAAATGACAATGAAATCATAGCTCCTGGCCGATTATTATTAGTCCATCACCGCCTTTTCCTCGCGCGCCCTTGGTGCGACTCTTTCCCAACATGGCTCGAGGAGACCTTCCTCCGCCGCCACCGAAAACCGTGATAGGTATCCCACCTTTTTTCTTTTCTTCTTTTTTCTTGTTCTTTCCCTTTTTCTTTCTTTTCTGCCTTGTCCAGGATGGCGGTGGCGGCCTATATTTTCTTCTCTTGAGTTGGCTCGGAAACATGCGAGCCAGATGGCAGACGGGTTGCACCGATTAGCTGCAGTTGGACCGTGAACAAAGGCGAACAGTCGCTAAAATAGACCCCGGATCCCAGCTAGTGCGCTTGCTAGTGATATTACCTAGGCCGATACTTGCCCTTCAAGGTTTGGGTTCGTGGCCGTTGGACAGATCCATCGCCGTGCGCAGGATTAATTGGCTGGCCGATCCCACCAGCCGTTGGGACTTACTCGAAGTGTAAGACACCAAGAATGGAAAATGCGAAGGGTCCGAGGTTTTGCGAATGATGAATTGGCGGCTATCGACTGCCGCCATGGAGACTCTGCGTCGAACGCTGGAGGTCAGCAGCAAAATAAGCACCTTTTTCTCCGTACTCTTCCCGTGTGCCGGCCGATCCGCTGTTAATACTGCATCCTATAGCTTGTAGCCAGTTGAGGATCTGACGCCGTTGAACAACGTCAGCCCCGTTCACTTTCCTCCACTTTGTCTCCAGAGGACTAGTATGAGGATAGAATGGTTTCTCCACCGCAGGTGAACCATGTTTCTCAAGAGTTGTTCTTTTGCCTTACCGCGGCTGTTTCGTTTCCAATTATCTTTCAGGCTTTTTTTCTTGTCTCTTGCGCTTCGCCCCTCTTCGAAGTTCGAACCCATGGGCCTCAACAGGTACCGAAGGTGAAGTGCTAGTACTGGGGTATATTTAGGTGTGACCTGTTTCGAGCTGTTGGATTGCCTTTGTGACTGCAGACAACAGCACATACTCCGTACTGCTACATACAAGGGGTTGATAGCGTTAAGATCTATCATGCATCAGTTTACTCCGGAGTAAGTTAACATGTTGCAGCTTTGGAGGATGCAGAATCGAAACTCGTCGCTGATTTGCCCCATCGTTTCGTTACAGAGATCCCGTCCCAGGACTCTGCTCGGCCGGTAAGAGATTAAGTACATGTAATTTTTAATCTGAGGAACCAGCAAAATTTCTCGCCTGGCGAATACTTTGGCAACTTTGCGCAGTTCAAACGGGGGCTCGAACGTTCGGGAGGGGTTGGAGCCGTTCTTTTTCCTAGTGTCTGTATCTTCGAGTGGAACCGTTTGATAATCATCGTTAATATTAACTCTTTTTTTTTTTTTTTTTTTTTTTTCTTTTTCTTTTTTTTTTTTTTCCTTTTATTTTTGCCCATAATTTTAACCGTTTTACCGTTTTATTCATGTTTCTGCCCTCCAGCCCGGCTTCCCTCGAGACAGCACAAGCGGGCGTCTGCTACTACAGAGACAGTATAATACTGGAGCAGAGACTAAGTACTGTAGAGATGACGGACAAGTCTGAGAAAGATAGACATGGCTCCTCGCCATGAACCCGTTTTATTATGACCAGGGCTGTTAGAGGGCATCTAACAGCCCTGTATCATCGGTGTCATAGCAAATTAAAAAAATAAAATGAAGGAAAATAATGGTAAAACAATTAATGTCAACGGTTTCTCGAACCTGGGCTTGCCTCTGGGTCAACCTAGTGCCTCCTACGCCTGAGACTGAGCTTCTCACTGGCTGCGAGCTGCTCAATCAGCTGTCATGGCTGAGGGACCTCCTCCGCTACCGATGGATGATCTCCTTCCAATAATGCCATCCAGGCGTGGTTTCATCTCTCGCCGTTGGCTTTTCTCTCTTCTCTCTCTCCTTCTCCTGCTCCTGTTAACTTTCTTTTTCTTCTCATCGCCGTCCCAATTCTTCCTTCGTTTTGATTGCTGCCCTGGGTATTCATTTTCGCCCTTGACGGCCGCCAGGCATCTCTAGATCTTGTGCCATCCGAGGCCCTCCTCGTTGTCTTCGTTTCACTCCCATCGTTCAAACTTTCCACAATCCATCGATTAGATACATTAGATTCGCGATACCAGTTTATTATCGTCCTCGGAGCTTCTTCGCTTTGCGTCTTGTTTTAGGTCGCCATCTGTGCTTGGTCCGTGAAAGGATACGCTCCGAAGCTACTCAGCCTCCGCAGGGCAGCCATCTATCTATCGGGCTAGTCAGCCATACTCTCGACAGTAGTCAAGGGTCATCCAGCCGGTTGCCTCGCTCTGTCGCTCGTTGCGAGTCTAAACCAAGCAATTTTAACAAGGCTGATAAAGGTACCGGTATTTATCATTCCGCTTTAAGGATTTATCATTCCGCTTTAAGGCGCTGGCTTGTTTGATCTATCCATTTGCACCCGCCTGTTGTCCTACTCAATTCGGCTGGGCTGTGAGTGGACTACTGGAACGTCTGTTGCCACTGTCAAGACGTGCGCACCCATCTAAATATCGGGCACCCAAGGACAACGGCAACAGCAACTCATTTCTTCTTTTATTTTATTCTATTTTTTTCCATCTCGGCGTATGCTGCTCCATTCCTGCCCATCGCAACACCATATAAACAAGCAAGCCTACAACCCCGTGAATCGCGCATATGATTGCGTTACAAAACCATCCTATCCTACCGCCTCCTGCCAAAGTGGATATCTCACTGCTGTTGAAGCCCCAAGATGAAGAAGAAGCGGCCCCCATGAACACCACATCGACCCTCCCGCCAGTTCCTGCTATGCACCACTTGCCCCCGATGGCCCCGATTGCACCACCACCGGTTGGGCTTGCAACCCAACCATCGGTGCCTTCGGTGTCCTCGGTGCCCCCGCTAACCGCCAAGGCTCCAGCTGGCACGAAGCGCTTGCAACCAGCTCACACAGCGGAATCGCCGGCGAAGAAGCAGTCAAAGTGGTCTCCAGAAGAGGACTCTCTGATTATTGAGCTGCGAGGCAGCGGTATGAAATGGGAGGACATCAGCAAACGGCTACCCGGACGAAGTGCAATTAGCTGCCGCCTTCATTATCAAAATTATCTGGAACGCCGAAGTGAATGGGATGAAGATAAGAAAAACAAGCTCGCAAGGCTTTATGAAAGGTATATACATGTTTTCTTTTGAGTGAGGTTACGCGAATGCCGGGCATTTGATTGCTGACTCTTACTTGACAGGTTCAAGGCCGAGATGTGGTCGAAAGTAGCGGAGGAAATGGCAATCCCATGGCGAGCCGCAGAGGCCATGCATTGGCAGCTGGGGGAACAAGAGATGGCGCGTCGAGCTGGCGTGGTCCCATTCTCACTCTCTAGTTCTGCGATCGACCCGCCTCCGACTAGGACACGCAGAGCGAGTACATCATTATCCCGACCAAGAAAGGGCTCAGCATCACGGTCGAACTATCCCCCTCCTCAGCTTCCCTCCGTACAAGAGCTCACCGCTGGTGTCCCTGCTGCTGGTGTACCTGCATTCGCACCACCACCTTTCCCACCTCCAATGCCCCCGCGAGACGCCTACCGGATAGCAGGACCACCACTGGATTTGGGAAGAGGTCACCCCGGTCACCTAGGCCCCAATATGGGACTCCCCCCTCGAACGCTTCCCTAGAGGGAGTAATTTTCCTTTGTTCGTTTTGCGTTGTTACGATTTGCATAGCGCTGGAGGTCTTTTGATTTATAGGGAGGGTGCCACTTATAGACGATTGCTCGAATTTTATCTCCTTCACTCAAGTGGGAGACCCCTTGATAGGGGTGGCTTTGTCGGTTCTGCCTTGTTTCCCACTATCACAGAACCCAAACTACTCCGAGGCTGGATCTCGGAGCAGAATTTTCTCCGCACGATTTCGGCCATGGTTATTTCTGATCTAATCGTGTCACGATCGCCCACCAGTTATCTTTATCGTACCCGGATTCCAGAACCCGACCGCCCGCGCTGTCAACATCCCGCTCCAGTTCCGCAGCTTGGTAGAGATGATAATACCGGTGGAACACCTTTGGTGGGGCATCTGGAGTGTTTTGAGGGTTAGGTGTCTTCATGACCCAGGGAACCATGATATCCTGGTCGTCCCCTTTATCCCATCCTCTGCGGCTAGACTTTTGCTCAAGTGCCCAGACATAGATAAGAGCTTTGCCGCCGGGAGCATCGCCAGATGCAGGTTTTAGCGTGCGCAGGATTTCATGAATTGCTTGAATTCTTCGTTCTGGAGTGGACAGATGGTGCACAACGGCAATCGAAATTGCGAAATCAAAGAATGAGTCTGGATGTGGCAGATTCAGAACATCAGCCAAGATGGTCGAGTGTGGCTGATGTTGATGGGCAATTCGTGCGAGATTTTCGGATCTAGAATTGTCAGTTGGGTATATCAATCAATCCATAAAATAGCAATTATGTGCGAAGATATTTCGCATGTAGCAGTTCCTTTGTTTTATTGACGGGAAAGAAAGAAACGATGTAAATAAACGACACAGATGAAGACAGATTCAATGAATGATAAAGAGATACACGTACCGATCAGATGCAACAATATAGACACTTTTATTTACCGGCAGGTACTTGCCATTGCCACATCCTACATCCAACCCAACAGCGCCGGGGCTCTGGCTCTGAAGAAAATGTTCCACAATTGGCCATGGCTGTGGCAGCTGAGTTAACCTGACTGTTGCATATAGGACCAATAGCAGGCGGGCAAACCTTGTATCTCGTTGCCGAAAAATGTTTCGCAATCTGCTGGTACACCTCGTGCACATTCTTCTCCTCATACGCATCCCGGTCGTCTTGGTCCCCAGAAGCCATATCTAATTGACAGAGAAGATTTATCAACAAGCTGTAAACTGACTCAGTTCGGTGCCCAACTCCGCCACGAATATATTGGTGTCGTCCGGTGTTTGGTGGTTGGAAACGAGAAAAAAGCACCTCTCAATTGTAACTGCAGGAGTGGGATGGTTGGGCCTCGATTGGATACAATACCGTACGGTAATTTCTGCTGCTTTGCGCGCTTGTCATGGACTACAAGTACGACACCATACGGGCGATGTAAAATTAAAGTTGGAACTTCCATGCGCATCGGAGAGTTTCTGAGTCAGCAGTGATTGATGAGCTGCGCGATGTATCCGTATGGCGTCTCCTCGGCACTCCGTACTTCGCATGAGAGACAGCGTGGACTTTAGATTGGAGGCCTTTCCCTGTGCCACCACGGCCGCTGGCTTCGCTGATGGTTCCTTGTTAGCTCCTTACTTTCTGGCCAGGGTTTGAAGCATACTCGCCTACACTATCGGTATATCAAGGAGTACTATATGGAGATGGATAACATGAGCATGGACCTCCCTCATACCACAGAGTTCATCAACAGGATCCTTTCCCAAGTATCACGATGCGTCACATCCACCACACCGCCACCAGGAGAAGGTGGACTCGAGAACCAAACACAGCGTCATCCCCGCCTGACCCAATCCCAGCCGACATCCGCATTTCCAAACTCACAACTAACAAACTTAAAACCGTTAATGCTGACGCTTCACTGCATTTTTCCGAATGAGTTCCTCCTCGCACTGGACATACTGGATAGAGGACTCGTTAGACGTGTCCGCACACGGTGTAGAAACGAGTCTAGAGAGAGAGATGGGGAAGAAGCGCACGCCAAAAAGGAACCCGTTGGGCTTCAACCCGACGACGGAGACAAAGACAAGAACAAAAGTAGCGAGACACAACAAGAAGATTTTTTTTTCGTCACATCTGCTTCAATAGCTCCCAGTGCGTTGAGGCCATCATATCCCGCATCTCAATCTGGCGGGGCCCAAAGCCAGTTGCAAACCCAAAAACAATGGCAGGAAAAAGGTTACGAAGTCCGCCTCCAAGCATGGAACTGCACTTGTGCGTCCTTTACTTTGTCTGCATTCAGCGGCCTAGGCCCAGAGCCATCATCGCCCCCACCGTCTTCGTCATCTTCGGACCAGGGAAGGGATATAGAAGGCAATGACAGTCCTATGGCTGCCTATGATCATGGCGGCGGCGCTAACGTGGATGCTCACGCCTTTGACACGCCTGCTTACTCCTTTGGTGGCACACTGCCTCTGCGTCCGGAGTCAGCGTCTCCCGTCTGTAAACATATTCTGGCTTGTTTGCTTGCTGCGCTTTGTCCAGGCCTTGGTGGAGGAGATGAAGCGACTGGTAGTTGGCAGTTAGTTAATCTTGACGGGGATGAGATTGCCGCACTGTGTGCTGGTTGGGGTGGGTGAATTCGTGGCTTTCTATATGAGAGATTACCTAGCTTGCATATAGCATACCGGACATGGTGTTTGATGAGACGGCTTTATGACTTATTTAACCTCTGTTGAATTGCCACTAAGTACACTAGTCTCTAATCCTAAGTGGTAAATTGACCTGAGTTGAATAATGGGACAGTTAGAACAGTTAGTCACTGGGTATATCTTCAGGATGACCTAGCCCACGATCTTAACAAAACACAATTACTCTACATTAATTAGATACGAACTAATAAATTAACATCAAGGAAGCTGATGTAATTTGATATAATATTCAGTGGCCTGCCTGCTGCCCTAAGTGCAGATGTCACTATGCTTAATTTGGTAATTTCAAATAGTTTTCGCCGCTAACATCAGCGACTCTCCTTGGTCCGATATTATATTCCAAATCCGGCTCGTAAACGTATCGATGATCCGAGTATAGTAGTAAGCCTTAGTTATAAGGGGCCGATGAAGGTGGATCTAAATGGACTCCCATTGGCGGGCGGTAAAGGAGTATGACATAATGTTTATCTGGCCTCGAACGTGACCGGATTATCTGATATCGAATTCCAAAACAACAATTTGAAGACAGCTTGCAAGTTGCCTCGGCTGGGCCTTTCAGCTTGTCTATATATTTGATGCTTTCTTATTTGCACCTTTCTTCCTGAATTTCACTCTCCACCAACTCATCCCGCGTCGCTATGGCCCTGCCCGCAGACCAGCGGAAAACCATCCTCAAGGTTCTAATGACCTCCTTACTGTTGGATCTTGTATGTCCCGCATCTGTACTTCTCTATTTAACCCTAACAATCTAAATTCAGATATCATTTACTTTCATCCTACCTCTATTTCCGTCGCTTTTATCCTTCTATCGCACCCAAGACCCCTCGCCAACATCTACCCTAAACCGCATCTTTCACTACTTAAACGCGTACAAAAACTCCTTCGCAAAACCAATCGATTCTCGCTATGATATTGTACTCCTTGGCGGGGCACTCGGCTCCCTCTTTTCACTTCTCCAAGCTATCGCTGCCCCCTTCATTGGTCGCCTCTCCGACAAACATGGCCGGCGCACTGCTCTTCTTGCCTCCATGGTTGGAAATACACTAAGTGTTGCGCTCTGGGTCGCCGCGACAGATTTTCGCACGTTTCTCGCTAGCCGTGTCGTCGGGGGTCTTAGTGAGGGAAACGTGCAGCTAGCGCACGCAATTGCGACAGATATTAGTGATCCGAGTCAGCGCGGGTCAACGATGGCACTTGTGGGTGCTTGTTTTAGTATCGCGTTTACGTTCGGCCCTGCCCTAGGCGCGTTTCTGGCCAGCATCACAACCGTTGCGGCAAACCCGTTCGCGACAGCTGCGGGGGTCTCGCTGGCGCTTATCGTGCTCGAGACAGCATATATCTATGCCTGCCTTCCCGAGACGCATCCACGACTCACAAGCCTCCCGAAATCACAACCCACATCTTCAACAACGGAAGAGAACTCGACAAAGTCAACTAAGCCCATCGCTAGCTCGCAGACAGCGCGAAGATACACCAACAACCCCGCAATTCTCAACACCCTGCATTTTCTTTTCCTTCTCCCTTTCTCTGGCATGGAATTCTCTCTCCCTTTTCTGACGGCAACCTTTTACTCCAACTCTACGGCTTCGCCAGCGGCACTAAACGGCCGTCTTCTCTCAACAATGGGCCTTATTGCGTCTCTTCTCCAAGGCACAGTTGTGCGCCGTCTCCCACCACTCCTAACAGTGCGTATTGGCGTTGTAAGCGCAGCAATCTCATTCTTTTTACTATCCCGTGTCACCTCAATAGCGGGCCTATATACCGCCGCGAGTTTATTAGCTGTTACGAGCGCGACAGTTGTGACGGGGTTAAACAGCTTTGGCTCATTGGAAGCGAAGGAGGAGGAGAGGGGTGTTGTTTTGGGAAGGTTAAGGAGCTGGGGCCAGGTTGGACGTGCGGCGGGACCAATACTGTTTTGCTCACTGTTCTGGTGGGTTGGGAGAGAGGTTGCATATTTCACTGGAAGTATAGTCATGACTGGGGTGTGCGTGGGCGTTTTTGTAGGGCTGAAAGCGCCTTCGGTCGCCCATGACCTTGGGGTTAAGCAGACGTAAATAGATGTACTATATCTGGTGTTCTGCCTTTGAACACCCAGCAGAGGGCGACTTATAATATATGCCCTACCCTATATTACTCTGAAATTGAATCAATGCCACTGCTGGCCAGTTGTGTTATTATTGTCAGATGTGTCGCATGAATCGTTCATCGGGGTATAGACATGTGCAATATTATACAATCCTAAAAAAAGCATAACATCCACCAAGAAAGGAGATTTTCCAGATAAAATACAACAAACAACTCCTTAACTCTAGCCGTATCTCCCCAACCTAGACTGAAAAGAGTGAACTATAACGATGACGCCTCTGACATCCTGTCGCTATTTCCCTTGTGATGGTGTTCGGGATATCGCTCATGATCCCGACTATGCGCGGAAGAGCCGTTTAAACCAAACTCGGAGCAGCCTAGCAATCCCGCTGGCGGAGCAGGATCTAACGACCCCCTCGCTTTCCCAATCAACCAATCTGTAAGGGTAACAAACTTAGCTGTGCGCTCCCATCCGCTCGCGTCCTCGGCATGCTCGATCGTCTGCGTTAAGACACGGCCTTCTTCATCAAATGAGAAGATGAAAAGCCCCGTAAACTCGTCATCTCTGGATAATTTGAAGATGGGTGCATCGCCGCCTAATAGGACGCTGAGACCTTTATTCGTTCCGGTCTTGGATTCGCCGTCGCTACCTACGGCGTTCCCTGCACCCGTATCCGGCCTTTCCGATCCAGAGGAAGACCCCGACCCTGGTGTTGAGGACGGAAACGGTGTATTCGATGAATGAGTCCGCTCTGTCCGCCATCGCACAACAAGTCTTTCATCTCCACAGTCCCCATTTCCGCCTTGCGAGTTGCCATGCGCGTTGAGATGCGGGTCCGGGACTGTTCCGGCGCGCACGATCCGTTCACTTAGGATTTGCAACTTTACGTTCCCAACTAATGGGACGCTGCTCCATGCCACCGGGACTGCCCATAAAGCCGCGCGGTAGAGTGTCCGTCCCTTGACTGTTGGGAGGTGCGGATGAGTTGACGGGAAAAGATGTAATGTCACGCTTGGGGAGAGAATATGCGGCGGGAGAGGGTTGACGAGGATTGTCGGGAGAAGGGGGGAGAGGATCCGTAACGCTGCATGAAGACACTCGTTAGCTTAGATTCTCGTAGGCAATCTCCTTGGATAAATTTTTGCAATGAAGGGTGGGAGAGGGTAGGTATACTCTTTCCCAGCTTTAGGATCCGCTCATCGGGAGGTTTGTGATCGTTTTGGTTCTTCGGGTTGAGGTCATCAGTCAGGGAGTATTTGAATTTGAAGGGCGGTAGAGCGTTTGGAGATGAACGCGATAGGGAGATGTCATGACGGGCTTGGGCGCTTGCGAGGGGTCGGAGATGAGAAGAGGCGCATCTCGAGGGTATGGATCGAGGATGATGCGAGCCGGTATTGATGACACGGGAAGGGCCGGATGACAGTGGTGGTACAGCGAGCTTTGGCATCGCGAGTTGAATGATGATGTGGTTAATGCATTAGGCAAAGTACGCTATAGGTATGTTGAAAGCAGGACGGAGAGATGAAGGCGACTGGAATTTGGAGACGGAGAGAATTACTTTAACTAAATGATGACGTTGCCCCACAACGCCTCCAAGGTTCTACTTGGTCGATCCTGGGATCTTAATATTGAAACAACAACACTGTCCACAATTATCCAATTTATTTCTTGGTATCAAACCTGGTGCTAATCATACAATCGTAATTTAAAGTGCCAATTCATCGTCATCATCATCCCCTGTATATCGCCGCTCAGCCAGACCTCGGATCTTATCCTCCAACACTCTCCGATTATACCGCTGTGCAACCTTGACAGCAGCCTCGACCATCTTGCCGTTGCGGTCCTTCATCATGTGTACCAGTTCCAGCGCCTTCATGCCCCTTTCCTCACCTTCCCGACACTCGATCGCTAGGAGTTGCAGAAGTACCTTGTCCAACTCCAACTCTTTTCGTGATAGTTCTGTCCGCTGGGTTGAAGTCGCATGCGTAGATGAGACCAGATCTTGGAATAGAGATAGAAGCAGGTTGCCCCGAACGAAGGATTCCTCAAGACGCATACTGTCATTGCGCACAGCATTTTCTTCCCCGTCCTCTTGGGCTTTGCTGGGCTTGTCGGAGATTGGTATCCGGAATTCGAATTCACTGAGCATTGGCCGAGGGAAATAAGGATATCGGTCTCCTCCCTTCAGGATGATACAGTGGAATTTGTCCTGAGCGACCGCAACGGGCCAGTAAGTTTCCTCCTTGCGTCCGCTTGCCAGTCGCTCCAGCTGCCTCGTATCGAGTAGCGGCACCCACCGTGCCTGGCCTGGAGTGCGCCAGTGCTGGAGGATCAGCAATACACCTTCTGAATCGTAGATACAAGGGTCCTACTGAGGTTAGCCCATCCTTTTAGAGGCTATCCAGTAGGTACTCACTCCTGTATCGGTGAAGAAAACGCTCTTCAGCTCACTTCCGTCTGGCATAGCAACAACGTCCTCGTTCTGGCAAATCTCATCGCGCTTGACATTCTCCACAGTATATCTTAAAGTTGCCATTTTCCCATCGCTTCCCAGGGGACCGTTCCCTATGGTCATGATATAATCTCGCCAGGCAGCACAGGTCACGGCCGAGCTTTTTTGACGGTACACTTTGAAAGGTGTTCCGTATAGGGTATAGACTCGGATATAGTCTTTCGTTGTTACCGCAACGATGTACGATTCGCTTAGCGCCAGCGCTGTTTCTATTAGCTAACTTCTATAGACTGGAATCTGTTCATACCTCGAATGAGCTCTCCCTGGGGTAGCTGGGTTCTCCAGTCTGCTCGTGTGGTCCAAGTCTCATGTGGACGGTAGAAGATCGTGGCCGGACTACCGTCTTTCGGATTGTTCGAAAACAGAGCACCGTGTTCATCTTATGAGGGTTAGTATGTGATTGTATCTTGCAGGACAGAGAAAGACATACTCAGACATGCCCGGTCATATAGATACGGGTCTGTAAAGTGGAAATCACGATGCAGTTCCCGGTCATAAAACTCCACTGTCACCGTATTATGAGTTTCTTGATCGACAGTCCAGACAGCACCCGTTAAATTCAGACCTATAGCTGTTAGTAAAAGTAAACGGCATGCCAGGGGATGGCGTTCTTACAAAGGTATCTGCGGTTACCTCTCCAAGGTGTGCTGCCAGGTTGGAGCGGTGCATGAATGGCTGGCCTTGCAAAAGACGTCAACATTCGTTTATCCATGTGTCCGTTTATATCATCCAGATGTTCGTTTGTGCGCTTCCCATGTCCATTAATACCCTCAGCATAACCAGCTCCATCATCATCTTCTACGAAATCTTCCATATCTTGATCGTAGCCAAGTATATCATCGAGCGAGTCAATGCTGCCCATCCTCCCTCTTGGCTGTACTTCTTTCGGCCGATTCGCCAACGGCCGCGTCGCATTATCGGATATTTCAGTCAAGGCGCCAGGGAATATGGGAGCTGCCTGCAGTGGCTTTTGAAGCATAACTTGGTGATCCTTTGGCACAAAACCATCGTATATGAATAGTTCTCCATCCGACGTCGTAAGTGAGAGGGCGTTTTTGGCCGGATGCCAGTCGACATTGATCACATTCGGAAAGTCATACCGATGGAGAATCTTTTGTGTCTTGCTTTCCCATAGTAGAACCTGGCCATCCTTGGCGGCAGTCACCAAAAGCGCACCGTTCGGAGACCAGCTCATGGCCGTGATATCCCCATTGTGGCCACCGGAGAAGGCCATTTTCTTCTTCCACTCGCCCACGGAAAAGACAGCAATATCTCGTGTTGTTTCCGCCACTGCGAATGCAGTCCCGTCAGGATGCCACACCACTCTTGAAGTCGCTTCATCCTCTGGCTCTAGCCGCCGAATCACGCCGTCGAGTTTGCGCACCAGCTCCGGTTCCTCAGTATCCATAGAATAAAGGTAAACGATGCCATCCGTACACGAAACTGCGACGAATCGCCCGTTCGGATCAAAGGTAATATGTTTCGTCCCTTTCGCCTGCTCGCGCAGGTACTTGATCTTGGTCATATCTTCGATATTGACCAGTTTGATCGTGAGCTCACTGATGTCGCATTAGCTTCCACCCAGTCTAGTCAGCGTTAGGTAGAGTGTGCCAACTTACTCGCTCGCGACAGCAACCCACTCCTTATCTTTTGTAACGGCGATATCTCGTACGGGCAATGCACATCGTACGAGTAGCTTCTCCATCCGCCCCGATCGGACTTCATATTGCCAGACTGTCCCGTCTTCAGCACCCATGAAGAAATACTCGTTCTGCAAATATAAGCCATGCAAACACCCAGAATACCACAGGGGAAATTGCGTGATGCACTTACCGTGGATCCTATCCCCAGGTGTCCATCGGCGCCTTCTTCGACGGTCTTCGGTTCTCCATCTTGTCCGACGGTGTAGATTCGGATAGCAGAGTTCGAGCCTCCCGTGACAATATAACGGCCATCGGGGGTATACGTCAAGACCGTTGTTCCGGGTGTATCTATATTCAGTAGACATGTTTAGTGGTTGCGTAGACTGCATTGAGTTGAGTTGAACTCACGAGCCGGTCTTCCCCTAGGTCGCATTGGCTCAGACATCGTGAATCTGGGTTATAGGAAACTGAAACGAGATGATGGAATCACCGTTCGTTTTTTAGCATGTCGCAATTGACTTCGTTTTCAGAATAGAATGCTTTGCTATGGAGACTTCATAATCGCAGCTCGAAGTTGAAGCGTTGTCACGGTCCGGAAGGATAACGCGTTGTCGCGCGCGACGCGTCTTTAACCGTATCGGGTAAATTACGGGCTTAGGGCACAGGGTCAGGGTTTCAATTCATCTAAACCAACCACTTGGAAGCTGAGACTAGATACGACGGTAGAACAGATCTGATACAGGTTCAATCTCTTGATCCCCCGTCCGCTGTAAGAAAATCGAAATCCGCGCCATCCTGCGCTTGGTTAACGGACCGCTCGTACAACCCGCGATACCCCCTCTGCCTTGGTTTCTTCTCCATCTCGAACGCCGATCTTCGAGCCTCAATCCTCGCGTCCATTTCTTCGGCTGATATTTCCAGTTGTAGCTTTCTACTCTCCACATCACAACTGATAAGGTCACCCGTTTGGACTATACCAAATGGCGAATCTGGGACTGCTGATTCTGGGGAGATGTGCAAAATAATTGTCCCGCCCGCCGTACCAGACATGCGGCCGTCTGAGATCCGAAGCATATCCTTTACACCTGCGGCTGCAAGCTTACGCGGAATAGGAAGAAGGCCGGCTTCTGGCATCCCGGGATTCCCGATTGGCCCTATGTTCTTAAGAACAAGGATTGAATTTGCCGCGACCTCGAGGCCTGGGTCATCGATGCGCTTGGCGAGGTCAGCGGAATTGTCGAAAACAACTGCTGGTCCGGCGTGGGAGAGGAGATTGCGGTCCTTTGAGGCCGAGGCTTTCATTATTGCACCATTCGGTGCTATATTTCCGTGGAGGACTATCAGCGATGACGAAGGATAGAGGGGGTTTGATAGTGATCTGATAATTTGTCGAGAAAGGGGAAATTCACGGAATGGTGACGTATCAAGAACTTCGCCCAATGTTTGGCCCGTGATTGTCATGGCAGATAGATGAAGGAGGGGCCGTAGGGTATGTAGCAACGCTAACATCCCCCCGGCATTATGGAAATCAGTCATGTAGTTATCGCCACTGGGCTTGAGGTCCACCAGTAGTGGTGTATTGCGCCCGACCTCTTCAAAAGTTTGCAAGGTAATCACGCCTTGCAATTTTGGATGCCGATTTGCGATGGCCATCAGGTGAACTACTGCATTTGTTGAGCCACCAATCGCTTGCAGGACGGTGATGGCGTTTAGGAACGACTCCTTTGATAGTATGTCTTGCGGCTTCCGCTTTTTGCGCGCTGTCAGTACAGCATTTGCTCCGGTTTCTTCGGCAACTCGAGCTCTTGCAGACGAAACTGCTGGCGCGGAAGCTCCGCGCAGAGGCATCATACCAAGAGCAGCAGTAATGCACGCTATTGTGCTAGCAGTGCCCATAACGCCACAGGTTCCAATCTAAACATGTCAGATAATATGAATCTGGATTTTTCGTGAATGCGAGCTTACCGTCGGAGCAAGTTCCTCATTAATTTCCGAGATCTCCTCAATATCTATTTCTTCAGCACGAAAAGCTGCCCAGTTATTCCGGCAATCCGTACAGGCACCTATCCTCTTACCGCGATGACTCCCAGGCATCATCGGACCGGTAATTAACGGAAGGACAGGCTTGTTTGCAGATATACCGCCCATCAATTGTGCTGGAACAGTCTTGTCGCATCCTGGAGAGCGTCAGTTTATTCACCAACAAGCCTGAGGAGGAGACAAACAAACCTCCTATCATGACACACGCATCCATAGGCTGAGCACGGATCATTTCCTCCGTATCCATACTCATCAGATTCCTTAGAAACATACTTGTCGGATACGAAAATGACTCATGTACACTTATGGTTGGAAATTCAACTGCAAGGCCGCCATTGAGGTGGATACCGCGTTTCGCCGCTTCTATAAGCTGCGGTACATTCCCGTGGCAGGGATTGTAACCGGAGTAGGTGTTGATAATTCCAATTATAGGTCTGGAAAGGGCGTCTTCGGAGTACCCTAGTGCCTTGACAAATACCTTTCTCAAGAAGAGGGAAAAGTGAGCATCGCCGTATAACGTTAAGCCTTGTCGGAGGCCTGAGGTGGAGGATATAGGTGTTGATAGATCGTAGTCATGAGGGACACCGGTGCTGTCGTTTTGTTCCATGGTTTGTTGGATGGATATATGCTAGGTTCACAAGTTACACACGACGCATCCAAACTAAAGTTGGCAACGGGTCACGTATTTGAACTCATGGGTGGTGAGACCTCGCCAAAGTACACTCGGCGTAAGTCCGCGTGCTCTCCGGATTCTTTTCCATGCTTATCGGATTCGACCTATAATTGGGCTTTATCTGTCAAAGATGGGGGCCCTGCTTGCTATCAGCGAGAATTCAATTCGCCGGCGGGCTCGAAGATCTCCCCCGTGTTATGGCCGGAGGGTTCTGCTATTCATTATTACATTTTGTTTGTTTTGAGATCTCTCTATATCCGCACAAAAACACACACAAGCCGCTATTAAGACCATTTACATCATGAATGACAGCGCGATGATATTCGCACCCGAATATCATTTTTTGGCAAAAACGCAGCACTCGAAATCTTATGCTCTGGAATCTTAAAATCCCTCTCATCCGCTGGTTTGACCTCCCACAGGGACACAATTGCCGCCGACAAGGCCAAAATCATCTTTTCTGCAAAAGCCCGTCCTTTACATGCGGGCATTCCACCCCCAAATGGAGTCATAGTCTCGAATTTTGCGCGGTTCTCGCCGGTGCCGGGGTCAGTCTGGATGAACCTGAGAGGGTCGAATTGGTCGGGGTTAGAAAAGTATGTGGGATCGTTGTGGACAACTCCATGGGGGACGATGACTAGCTCTCCGCTCTTAAGGGAATAGGATCGTGGAGTCGATTCACCTGCGCTCGTGGCTTCCTCTTTCGTTTCGGTGAGTGTCAGGTCTGCAGTCAACTGCCGGAACGAAATTCCTGCTGAATCCAAGCGTAGAGTTTCGTAGAAGGTCGCCTTGAAAAGTTCACAGGAATCACTTAGCTTGTCCATGTCAATAGAAAGTTTGGGTGCCTCCAGGATTGGGAAACCAGTTTCCTCTCTGCTCGGTCTCGACACCCTAACATACGGGGCAATCTCATTTCGGATTTCCTCCAGCAGAGTCGGATTGGAGTATAAGTGAAGAAGGTGATAAAACACAATGTTGGGTGAGTTGCCGTTCATAGCCCAAAGCAAGGCTAAATGTGCGGGAGCGCTATCCTCTGCCGATAGTCCCAAGTCCTTCGCCATGCGGATCCGTTTCTTGATCGGATCCGAAACGTCGTCGAGGTCGCGGAGATCGCGGAATTCCATCCCAAGATCTTTGCCTTCATCCCAAAATAGTAATGCTTGGTGGAATACAGAAAGTATGTCTAATAGTCGGTCTCGGGCAACATAAGCTGCAGAAATCTTGGGAGTCAGATACCGAGGAGGTCCCATTGATAAAGACGCAAATTGGTCGTCAATACTCCAGATATCTTGAAGCAAATTCGGGAAAGTTTCTAAGATAGATCGACCAAATAGTGAAGTAGTCGTCGCTGTCCCAACAAAGTGTCTAATGAGTGTAAAGAAATCTACCTCGCAAACAGGTTGATTCATTCCCTCGACAATACGGACGTCGCCTGGACGCTCCCAAAGCATCTGGTCAATGGGGGCTGAGCAGAAAGTCACTAGATTCGGAACCTCCCGTTCGATAAAACGGGCAGCCGATGTCGAGGTTTGAGAGAGAGATGGCTCATGCATGAACTGATTTGGAATGTTGTGAACGAAAACATGGCTGTCAGAAGGGTTCAGTTTCTCAAAGGCGCCGCGATCGCCGAGAACTTTCCGTGCAATATGCTTGACTAGAGGGGCTGTTGTTACACCCCTAAATGTCAAGACAGACTTAATCAAGGATGGTGACATGACAACATTGTGCTTTGCGCCACCCATAAGTATGGAAAACACAGCCTCATTCAGTTGGTTCCTACCACGATTAGTCAATTTCCCCTTGGGCAGATCTCAAAGAGTCTTCACCTGGCCTTTTCTAGGAAATCTATGTGATCCCGAGCAAACAAGACACTATGGCCTAACCATGGTATCCAATGTGGCACTGTTCTAGGCCGGCGCACCTGCTTTGGGTCTTTCAGCTTTCCAGCATAACTTTGAAGACCGCTAAGAATGCGAGTAAGTATGAGGACACATGTTGAGATGAGGATCACGGCCACGGGGAGCGAATTCAATTGTAACCTGGCATAGGCTGTTTGTATCGTGGTCATTGCGGCCTCTCTGAATAACCGGCTGTAGGCTAAAAATCCAAAAAGAATTTCTAGGAAGAAGAGCCCCGCCAAAGAAAAATTATGAGAGAATAGCAATTCTACTAAATCTACTCATCAGGATGGCAAATTCAGAATCGCGAACGAAGTTTCTTGCTACAGGAAAAAGCTGAAGTTGGCCAGCCTTGAAAATTGTCCGTATGTAAGTACAATACGATAGTTTACAGCTGACATCAGCAATTGTGGCTCAATGCTGTAACTATGAAATGACGAGAATTTAAAAATATATCTTGAAGTCGTGTTACAGTGGTGCATTTTTTTTCATAATATCAACAGGGGAGTTTATAGAGAACTAAGAGTTGCTAATGCTCGTTTTGCGAAACCTTCTGAAGTGCTGCGCTTTCTGCTTCATACTTCGCGATCTTATTTTGTGAGTTGTACACTTTGTTCAGGAGCCATTGGATTCTTCCTGTGAGCTCTCGTGGTTGTTTCGGTAGTCTTCCAAGCAGCAGGAGTTCCTCCTCGTACTTCCCAATGCTCTTGTTTTCGTTGCTGATTAGTTGCGATAATATCTCGAGATTTAAACGACTGCTCAGAGTTTTGTCTTCGGTCAATCGCTTGAATACCGCCTGGTAAACCGGTCTTCCAGCCCTCACCCTCTTTGGAGAGCCGTTCACACTGACGATGGAAACAAGCTCTGCTTGCTCGAGTTCTCGAAGAGCTTGACTATTAGACTTGAATAAATCAGACTCAAGAACACGGTTGTAGGATACACTGCCATCCGTGGAATGTGCAAGCGTTTTGATTAGATGCCAGGCTTGTTCATGACTCCACTGCTGCGAATCAGACTCAGGAGTCAAGATGAACATTTTCAAGATCTCAGAGGCCGACTGTTCAACAATTCGAGTAACGGCGCTTCGAGGGGTTTCCCCGGACTCAATGCGATGCGCCATGAACTCAAGATCCGTCACGCGGCCTCCCAATACGGCAATGCAACTGTCCAGTTCTGACAGGTCCTCTTCTTTTTGAGCAGGCAGGTCCTTGTTCTTTGCTTCGTATTTGAGATGGTTGAGCACGAACCTTCGGCCAACTTCAAGAGAGCAGTCGCCTAGGGAGATCGTTCGAAACACCGAGTTGGGCAATGCTTTACTTAACGGTTTGGAAAAAGACACATCAGTTGTCAAAAAGATGACATGTGCAATATTCCCGCTTGTTAAGCCTGCAGCCCATTCTGTAATCTTGTCATAGACCACATTCCCTTCTGGATTGTTGTGGAGATAGTTGTCGATGACTACTACTGGGCGTAGCTCGGGATGGGCCTCCAAATACTCTTCATCTGAAAGCTGCGCATCTGTATCTGTCTTTTTTCTGTTCTCCAATGTGATGCTCTTCATGGCCATAGTAGTGTTCTGCCAAATATTGCTGAGTTGAGCGTCCAGAGTCTCAGAAAAGCCCGCCTTGGTGCCAATCATTCCCTGAGCTGCCAGGTCGATGAAGCTGCTGATGCTATTCATCCATGAGAATATCGGTCGGTAGCCCACTTGACTAGCTGCACGAGCAATTTTGGCCGTATCACCTTTGGCGTCTTGAAGCTGTTTACAGTCGATGACGAGTTTGTACCTATGGTCCTTAAGAGTTCGATCTAGTACTAGCTCGCGCTTCCCTGAACCGCGTGGGCCATGTATCACGATGAATGTTTCGGCACTTTCCGTTAGCCATGAGTTAAGTTGAGAAATATCGCTTTGGCGATCCTCCCAAATTGCCGTCAGGCCGCGAGCATCGGATTTACTCTGACCGAAGTAAATATTTGCCTTGCTGACTTGGTACCGGATCCACTGAACGAACTTGTTTCCCTCCGTGTGAAGTGTCGCCTTTATCTTCATCTTGATGAAGAATGTGCGTATTGGGTCGAAGACGGTCACTGTGATGGCTGCAATGAGAGCGGCCGCTGCAGGGATTACTATACGGGGATGGCTCAGAAGCCAATCCTTAATCATAGACAGTCTGATCTTCCGTTCATATTTGATTTTAACGCGTGTACCAGACTTGCCCCCGCCCCCCTCTGGAGGTATGGTGAATCCGTGGATGCAGTTTTTGGCTGCAACAGCATTACTAGTACGGGAGAACTCGACTAACGCATATTTCGGGGTTTCTTTCGAGTCTGGCGGCTGCCGCTCAATATATCGTAGCTTTCCATATCTGCGGAAAATCGTATGGAGGACCTCTGTGGCCAATTCTGTAGCTGGCCCGTCTGGCACGGCTGGGTAAAACTCGACTCGGATACGTGGACTAGAAATGCGATAAAGATCTTCAATCCACGGCCTTCCTTGAACATGAGAAACCGTCGCCTGCTGGAACGGGTAGAACCAGGGTCGAATAGGATGTTTTTCCAAATGCCGCTTGATTGTGGCCTCGATCTCAGTGTCTGTGGCTCCTGGCTTCCGGGCATATTTTACGAAGGCGCCACCCTCACGAAACCGCGGGATGACGTCTTTGATATCAATATCCAAGCCTGGTGGAAACACCTGATGAATAATACGCAACGGATCTGACGCCGCGAGATGTGGACGGTTAATGCGCTTTAAGGCCTTTTCGTACGACTGATTGCCGTTGAGTGGTCCCAAGAGCAGCAGCCATTGGAGCTTTCGAGGGAAGATATCTAGAACTAGTTAGATTTTTATAGGGTCAACCCTCCATATTGAAACAAGCTCACTATTGACAAAGACCAGGCCCTCGTTTTCTCCCAATTCAATGTGGCCACTCTCGAGTGAACTAACATCTGCGGAACTGATTGTACTTGCACGTCGGGCAATAATGGAAGATGTCTGGGGAGCCCGATAAGCAGTAGAGCCTTTGCACCAAGGCAGGGGTCTATAACCGTAGGACACCCTGCCAGCAAACAGAGCTCGCATCATGATTGCGAGTACGTGAGGGTGCTAGAAACACAGAACAAGCGGAGGGCTGCTACTTAAGGGCCCGAACACATTGCGATAAATGACGTCAAGCCGCCAAAGTCCACTACAACTTAATCAATGCATGTTATGTTAGATTACCATCCCGTTATGGTATTGTCATAACCAGCCCCAAATTACACCGCCAAGCAAAGCTGCAACAAACATCGCAAACACCATCTTTTCAACTCCGCGTCCCCGATAATAATCGCAGCTCATTACCTGTGCTGCCTATTGCATATAAGTCCAATTCTCACACCCGGAGAGCTATATTCAATCTAGAAATATGGGCTGGCTTTGGAACTCCTCGTCCTCCAAAAAGGACGAGTCTCAACCTACTCAACCTCCACCTGCACCTGCACCTTCAACACAAGGCAACCTACCAACACCACCACAGCAACAACCACAAAAGCTCAGTCGGGAAGAGCAAGCAGACGCCGAATTCGCCGAGTTATGGCAGAGCCTGAAAAATGATATCAGCCAGACTGAACCGCAACAACCCTCAGCAACGTCCACACAATCCCCCGCATCCAATACTCAATCTACTCCCGGATCTATAGCTCCCGAATCCCTCTACCCCGATACCATGTCCTGTCGCTCGGCGTTTGATTACGCTTTCTTCTGCCAGTCGTTAGGCGGTCAGTTTGTCAATGTTTATCGATATGGTGAGCTGCGGTCATGCAGTGAGCACTGGGAGAATTTCTGGCTGTGTATGAAGACAAGGACATTTGGCGACAACGAGAAGAGGCGCGTAATTCGAGAGCACAATCGGAGAAAGGCTATCAAGTATAAGACTGGGCCAAGTAGTGAGGACGTGTGGGAAGTACGAATGGAACCGGTCAAGAGTGCCTTTCAGGGAGACTTTGCGGCTTTGGAGAGGGAAATGGAGGCAGAGGAGAAAGCTCAGGCGCAGGCGCGACACCCGTCTAGTACGATTTAGTTTTTTCTTTCTTTCTTTCTTTTTTCTTGTGAGTTATATAGCCCCCACTATTTTTCTCAAATTCCTGTACTAACAGCGTGTAGCAGGATCCCTTGGCCCTACGTGTTTGGGGCTATGTACAATAATTGTATAATATGGAGATATCTATTAATGAACAAAGACAAAACGACCCTCTTCTTTATGAATTTCTCATTCATGAGATTGCAAGTGCTTCTATGAAACGCCTTTATCTTCTCTTCACACAATTGGTCTTTGATCAGTGTCGCCATTGTCTGCACTCGCTCTCTTTGTCCTACCATCTTCGTATAGTGAAGGATACATAAACGGGGGTCCCTTCTCCCTCACATGGATTTGAACTTTCGAAATGTTCGCTCCACTAACATTTGAAACTGACTGGCCTGCTGCACTCGAAATGCCATCACTCTATAGCTTCGTCGAATGGGCGGCTGACAGAATTATCTCCGCCGTCAGCACCACCAAACGCCCCTCGAGTCCTCCACCACCATATACTGATCAGTCACCAAACACTTACAGTCCAAACCATCGCCCGTTTGGCGGCAAGGATGAACCATTCTCGTCCAACGGGCGTCGATCAAACCGAAAGCCCAATTCTATTGCCCTTGCGGCGGCTCACACCCGAGGTGAAAAACCCAGCCCCAATCCCGGTTATCTCGATAACAAGGATAATAAATCTGCCGACAGTGACAGGTTCGTCCGCAGCGCGTATCGCGCGAGAACCGTTCACTGGGGTAATGTCAGCGAAATTCCAAAGAGCCCAACCCATCCTACCACACCGGGTCTAAACGAGTATCACCAGAGAAGAAGCAAGGGAAACAACGGCGCTATTCCCAATCTCAGTCCTACGAGCCCTCGTAGCGGTAGCCCTGAGCACGACGGCAGTACTATCCGGGCCGACTTGGGCGACTCTTACGAGGAAAAGCGCTATCCAACCTCTTGGTATTCGCGTTCTTCATCGCCATCGGGCCAAACGCCGCCTGATATTGGCACAGAACACCAGTTTCATGGCAACAATGGTCTACAGCCGAGACATCGTACACACGTTCCGCGCAAAACCATCCTGAAACCACCAACGCCAACGGACGATGAGATGCTCGTTCGAAACCTGTGGGGATTGGCTGTGTCAGCTGACGAGCGGCTAGCCTACATGTATGAGTTCCTATCCCAGGTGTTGCTGGTTGGCGACGACATTCTCGACTCGATGCTGAGGGTGGGAGAACTTTCGATGTTCGAGGAGGCCACGAGACATGCGAATAGGATGGGAGAGAAGCAAAGGGCAAGTAGGTTCCGACCAAAGAAGGCACCAGTACCACGTCAACAAACTGCTCGTGGGCGAGAACTCCCGGTGCATGCGAAGAGCGAGGGGAGGATAAGGAGGGGACCCCCTGGGCCGGTGTTTACAGCGCCAAGGGAGATGAATATTGCGGAAGAGGAAGGAGAGGGATAAAGAATCTATTTATTATATATATAAACACTATGAACTTAGTAAATCATTAGCGATGTTTGTGTTTTTAAAACGTTGAATTAGCTTAAGCTTAAGCTATACATATTATGTCTATGGGGTAAGCGCTCTTGTAGGTATCCACAAAGTCACCTAACAACCATAACACAGAGGTATTTCGAATACTGCAAGCAAATGGTACAAGCACTCGCGGACATGCAAATACCAGTGAAAACGATGACCCAACGATAGGACAACGAGGGGGCTCCGGAAAAACGCCCATGGCTTGCCCTGAAGGCGGCAAACGGCCCTTCAAGAGAGGAATCAACGGGCCGGTGAGCAAGGTGAGAGCCACGGCCACAGCACGAAGTGTTGTTCTGTAACCGTACTTTGCTAACAGAGTTTGCAGGGCAAACGGCATCACGGACCCTGAGACGCCAGAGGCACCACAGAGAATACCGTAGGCCATGCCACGACGTGCGATCCAGTACTCATTTACCATGCTGAGGATGGGATAGTAGAAGACAAGGAAACCAAGGCTATGTATAGGCCACACCCTGTGTGAGGATAAGAACTTCCAATGTGGACGCAAAGGATCCAAGCACGAGCCCAGTAATGCAAATCGGCCCTGACATATGTTAGCAATCTACATCTTGCCCCCCTAGGAAATTATGAATTCATGATGCATACAACCAACCCAGATCAGCTGGCGCTGCCACCGCTGGTAGCGCTGAATAAAAGGCATGATGACCGGTGCTCCAAGATAACCAAATCTGGATGCTATAAATTCTGGAACCTTGGAGTCGTATTCTTGAAAGACGCCAAATGAGAGAGGGAAGCCTGTGCATAGTTCTATGAGCCATGTCTCAAGCTTGAGTTCGATGCATAATGGGAATTTACCCCATAGCAATGCTTCAAACATGAAAGCGGCACAGAGCAACCTCCAAGCAGCAGCCCCTCCATCTACAAGCCCAAGTCCCTACTTCGCTCGGCCGTCACTCGTGGGTTCATCCTCTACATCCTCAGGCCGTCGTAGCGATGCTCTTGCACATGGCTCAGAAGCTGGAGTCGTAGTGGTACTTGTGACCGTGCGAGAGGCCGCGATGCTCACCAACTCGGTATTGCTTATCGTTTTTGAAAAATAGAGGGATGGGATGATGTGAGTTGCCGATCATGGAGCTGAGGTATAGTAGTTATAGTGCAACCACTGGGCCTCCTGCTCTTACCGAGGCTGATGAGCCCGGCTTTTGTCGGTTGTCCAGCTTCCTTATAGTTACGCCGTTCCTACTGCTTACTTTCAAGTACCACCTCAACTCAAGGAAATTGAATAAATTGTTCAACGGAAATTCTAAATCACTAAAGATATTTTACATCTTCCAATTATCCCGCTGATCAAGAAGCAAAGTTTTCCCTTTCTCTTTTCGCCGTGGTATTATTCATAGATCATCGTCATCATCAGCCATAGAACGAACCTGCCGTCCCGCCGGAGCCTGTCCAGCGCGCCGAAGTTTTATCTGTTTACCGTGTTTATGCGGCAATAGTCACAGTCTGCTCGGTGGCTTGGCGAACTGCGTCAATGGCAGGTCGGCGAACGATACCGCCAGTCACGGGGAGCTGAGAGCTGATGCCGGAGAGGAACGTGTCGACCTCGCGGGCGCATTGGCGACCCTCGTTGATACCCCAGACGATCAGGGACTGCCCGCGGCGGCAGTCACCAGCAGCGTATACTCCTGGTACGTTGGTGCCGTAGTGGCCAGGGTTGGTCTTAACGTTCTTGCGGGCATCACGTTCAATTTCTTCACCAAGGAGACGGTCCTCGGGACCAAGGAACCCCATGGAGAGGAGAACAAGGTCGGCAGGGAAGAACTGCTCGCTCCCTTCGACGGTCTTCATGTCCCATCCACCAGTGGCACTCTTGGTCCATTCAACGCGGACAGTGTTTATTCCCTTCACACGGCCGCTACCGTCGTCAACGAACTCCTTGGACATGATGCAGAACTCGCGGGGATCCTTGCCCATGTGGGTCTTGACTTCAGAGTGTCCATAGTCGACCCGGTAAATACGGGGCCACTGGGGCCAGGGGTTGTCACGGGCACGCTCTGGGGGAGGCTGGGGCAGAAGTTCGAAGTTGACGACAGACTTGGCGCCGTGGCGGACAGAGGTACCGATGCAGTCGTTACCGGTATCACCACCTCCAATGACGACGACGTGTTTGTCCTTGGCGGAGATGTAAGAGCCATCGGCCAATTCAGAGTCAAGGAGAGACTTGGTGTTTTTATGCAGGAACTGCATGGCGAAGTGAACTCCATCAAGCTCACGGCCAGGGGCTTTGAGATCACGGGCAACAGTTGCACCAGTAGCAAGGATAACAGCATCGTTGCCCTGGCGAAGGGTCTCCAAGGAGTGCTCACCGTCGGGCCCAACAGTGGTGCTGGTGACAAACTTGACGCCCTCAGCAGCCATCAGATCAACACGGCGCTGAACAACCTTCTTGTCAAGCTTCATGTTGGGAATTCCGTACATGAGTAGACCACCGATGCGGTCGGCACGCTCATAGACCGTGACAGTGTGTCCGGCGCGGTTGAGCTGGTCAGCAGCCGCAAGACCAGCTGGACCGGAACCAATGATGGCAACGGTTTTGCCACTGCGAACAGCAGGGGGACGAGGAACCATCCACCCCATCTCGAAACCACGGTCAATGATGGCACACTCAATGGACTTGATACCAACAGGGTCTTCGTTGATGCCCAAGACACAGGCGCCCTCGCAAGGTGCAGGACAGACACGGCCGGTAAACTCGGGGAAGTTGTTTGTCATGAGAAGACGGTTAAGGGCATCCTGCCACTGGTTTTGGAAGACAAGTTCGTTCCACTTGGGAATGATGTTGGAGATCGGGCAACCCGTGTCGGACTGGCAGAAAGGAACACCGCAATCCATGCAACGAGCAGACTGGTATTTGAGCTCATCCTCAGTGAGGCGATTAGACAGCTCTGCCCAGTCGCGGGTTCGGGTAGCTGGGTTGCGGTACTTCTCGCTGCGGCGGTTGTACTTCATGAAGCCCCGGGTCTTGTCGAGAATAAGCGCGGTTCTCTTCTTCTCGACCTTGGAGTCCGTAACACTGTCTTCAATATCCAAAAGCTCTGTCTTTTTGGAATCAGGCGCGGCCGTGGGCTTCTCTTTCTCGGCAGGAGTGCTAGGCAACTGAGGAAGCGTAATTTCAGGCTTCTTCGCGGCAGCAGCCTTGGCGGCTTCTTCCTCAAGGGTACGCTTGTAATCAATGGGCAATACCTTGACGAAGTGAGGAAGAGCACGGGTGAAGTCCAAGAGAACACGAGCAGCTAACTCGGAGCCGGTGTAGTGGTGGTGATCCTCGATCAGGCCACGGAGGAAGGCAATCTCAGCTGGGTCTTCAAGACCAGAGCACTCCACCATCTCCATGTTGACCTTGGAAAGGAAGTCTTGGTTCATATCAAGAATATAGGCAATGCCACCGGACATACCGGCAGCAAAGTTACGACCAGTTGAACCAAGAACAACCACACGACCGCCAGTCATGTATTCACATCCATGGTCACCGACACCTTCAACAACCGCAGTAGCACCAGAGTTACGAACAGCAAAACGCTCAGCGGCGGCACCACGGAAGAAACAAGTACCGCGGGTGGCACCATACAGACAGGTGTTACCGACGATGACGTTCTCCTCCGCTTTGTAGGCAGCGCCGCGCGGTGGGTAGACAATGAGGCGGCCACCCGACAGACCCTTACCGACGTAATCGTTGGCGTCACCCTCAAGTTCCAGTGTAATTCCGGGAGCGAGGTAAGCACCGAAGGACTGACCAGCTGAACCCTTGATATTGGAGTGAATGGTATCTTGGGGAAGCCCCTCGCCGCCGTAGCGACGGCTGACTTGATAAGAAAGAGTAGCACCTAGAGCGCGATCAGTGTTGACAATATCGCACTCAACGCGGCAGGGTAGGCCCTTCTCCAAGGCAAGTTCAGATTCGGCGATGAGTTTGTTGTCAAGGCGAGTGTGGAGGCGGTGGTCCTGCTTTAGTTAGTGACTGAATCTCTATACTTATTCTGAGTTCTATTTCACAACTTACCTGTTTCCGTACGTTATAGGTGGCGACACCGGGGCGGAGGGAGTGGGCGGGAGTGAGAATGAGGGAAAGATCAATGTTCTCCTGCTTGGGGTTGCTGAGGTCATCCCTAACCTTGAGCAGTTCTGCACGGCCAACCATTTCGTTGATAGTACGGATACCCAACTTGGCCATAATGGCACGCAGCTCGTTGGCAATGTAGTAGAAGAAGTTGATTACGTGCTCAGGTTGACCCTGGAACTTTTTGCGAAGCTCAGGGTCCTGAGTCGCGATACCGACAGGGCACGTGTTGAGGTGACATTTCCTAGAGTAAAATTAGCAACCATGTAAGTAAAGAGAAAGGGCCATGGTTCGAACCTCATGTAGATGCATCCCATGGCGATCAACGGAGTAGTAGCGAAGCCAAATTCCTCAGCGCCGAGAAGACAAGCAACGGCAACATCACGACCGGTACGGATCTGACCGTCGGTCTGGACAATGACACGGCCACGGAGGTCGTTGAGAACGAGCGTTTGGTGAGTCTCCGCAAGACCCAACTCCCAGGGAAGACCGGCATATTTGATGCCAGTCCAACGAGAAGCACCAGTACCACCATCGTGACCAGATATCAGGATGTGGTCAGCCTTGGCCTTGGCGACACCAGAGGCCACAATACCGACACCGACCTCGGAGACAAGCTTGACGGAAACACGAGAGCGGGGGTTGGAGCACTTGAGGTCGTAAATGAGCTGCTTCAGATCTTCAATGGAGTAGATATCGTGGTGAGGAGGAGGCGAGATAAGACCGACACCAGGGGTGGAGTAACGGGTGTGGGCAATAGGTCCAACGACCTTGTGGCCGGGAAGTTCACCACCCTCTCCAGGCTTAGCACCCTGGGCCATCTTGATCTGAAGTTCATCGGCATCGGCAAGATAGTGAGACGTCACACCAAAGCGACCAGACGCAATTTGCTTGATGGATGAACGCATAGTATCTCCATTCTCCATCCGCTTGCTGCGCTCCGAATCTTCACCACCCTCACCGGTGTTAGACTTTCCACCAAGGCGGTTCATCGCAACGGCTAGAGTGGAGTGGGACTCCATCGAGATGGATCCGTAAGACATGGCACCGGTCACGAAGCGGCGAACAATCTCAGTCCAGGGCTCGACCTGGTCGATAGGGATGGGGGTCCGCTGCTCGAAGTCAAATTCAAGCATACCACGGAGAGTACAGTTCTTAATCTGCTCGTGTGCAGCCTTGGCGTATGCTTCATACGACTTGTCGTTCTTCGTGCGCACCGCGTCCTGAACGTTGGCAATGCTGACGGGATCGTTGATGTGGTCCTCGCCACCATCACGCCAGTGATACTCACCCGACTCGGTAAGACCGGGGATATCAATGATAGATCGAGATGGGTAGCCGCGCTCGTGGATAGCGAATGCATCCTGGGCGATAAGCTCAAAGGTCATACCGCGAATACGGCTTGCAGTTCCAGCAAAGCAGCGGTCGATAACGCTGTCATCGATACCGAGCGCCTCGAAAATCTGAGCGCCCTTGTAGGAGGCCAGAGTTGAGATACCCATCTTGCTCATGACCTTTAGGATACCGCCGTCGCAAGAAGCTTTGTAGTTTTCGATGGCCTTTTCATCAGAAAGTTCCTTGCGAATCAGGTTCTCTCGGTTCATCTTGAGGATGCACTCCATAGCCAGGTAAGGGTTGATACCGTCAGCACCATAACCGACAAGAACGCACATGTGGTGAACCTCACGAGCTTCCGCGGTTTCGACGATCAATGCAGCAAGAGATCTCCACTTGTTGCGGACGAGGTGATGGTGGACGAGACCTGTGGCCAAAAGAGCAGACACGGGCACTCTGTCAGCAGATGTAGCACGGTCAGAAAGGATGAGGATCTTGTCTTCGTTTTGGATGGCCTCCGTGGCAGCATCGCAAATACGGTCAAGGGCCTCGATGTATCCGGGGACACCCTTTTTCTTCTCGAAGGTGATGTCAATGAGCTTTACAGTCCAGTCCTTGTGGACGCTGTTGATGTTCTTTAGAGAATTGAACTCGGGGATGGTCAAGATGGGAGAGGGAAGCAGCATGCGGCGGCACTGCGATGGATCCATTGCTAGCAGGTTACCCTGGGGACCAACGTAACACTCCAGAGACATGACAACGGCTTCACGGATAGGGTCAATCGGGGGATTGGTGACCTGAGCGAAGAGTTGACGGAAGTACTCGTACAGAAGGCGCGGTTGTTTTGCAATACAGGCTAGCGGAGCATCGTTACCCATGGAGCCAAGAGCTTCCTTGGAATCAGCACCCATAGGCCCGAGGAGAAGAGTGACCTGTTCGAAAGAATATCCGAAAGCCTTGAGACGAGGGTCATTTTGAATGGTGTGGTTATCGAGGTTGTGGCGGATGTCCACGTTGCGCTCAACCAGATTCTCAGTGATAGCAGGCAGTTTAACGAGTTCCTTGTTCAACCAACCGCTGAAGTCCTGGCGGTGGGAGACGGTGTACTTGAGTTCGGAGTCATCAATGATACGGCCAGCAACTGTGTCGACCAAAAGCATTTTTCCGGGCTGCAGACGACCCTTCTGGATAACACGCTCCTGATCAATATCGACGGCACCAACTTCGGACGCGCAGATAATGCGGTCATCGTCAGTCACGTAGAATCGGCAAGGTCGCAGGCCGTTGCGGTCCAGGTTGGCACCACAATAACGCCCATCCGAGAAGGTGAAGAGAGCTGGGCCGTCCCAAGGTTCCATCTGGCAAGCAGCCCATTCGTAGAAAGAAGCCTTAGCGGGGTCCATGGCTGGGTTGTCCTGCCATGCCTCGGGAATCATGATCATAACGGCTTCGGGTAGAGAAAGAACGCCATTGATCATCAGAAGTTCCAGGACGTTATCAAAGGCGGCAGAGTCAGATCCACCATCTTCAACAATGGGAAGTAGAGACTCAAGCTCTTCGCCGAAAATATCGGACTTTAGCAGACCCTCACGGGCACGCATCCAATTTTTGTTTCCTCGTAAGGTGTTAATTTCACCGTTGTGAGCAGCCCAGCGCAGAGGCTGTGCGCGGTCCCAAGAGGGGAATGTGTTGGTAGAGAAACGAGAGTGGACAAGAGCAAAGTGGCCCTCATAATCGACGTTCACCAGATCGTGGTAGTACTGGTATACTTGAATAGGAGCGAGCTGACCCTTGTACACAATGTTCCGGTTGCTGAGAGAGCAGAGGTAGAACCAATTGGCAAGGCCAAGGATGTGCGTAGCGCGCTTTCGCAGGACGTAAAGCTGGAGCTCGAAAGTCTTTGCGTCAAACTTCTCCGGATCAGTGATCTCGGGCTTGCTACCATCGCCGTAGGCAGATTTCAGCACTACGAAAGGTTGCAGAATAGTAGGCTCCCGAGACAGAGCTGCAGGGCCAAGGATAGTGGAATCGCGAGGAACTTCACGCCATCCTAGTACACGCAGTCCTAGGGTTGTAGCAATTTCCTCGAATTGTTTGATGGAATCTTTCAGAGACTCTTCATCAGGCTTGAAGAAGAGGTTACCGGCGGCATACTGGCCAAGTGGTGGGAGATCCACTCCAACTTCACGAGCAAAGTTTTTGATAAAGAACTTGTGAGGGATACTAGTCATTACACCAGCACCATCACCGTCTCGAGCGTCCGAACCGACTGCACCTCTGTGCGTCATGTTACAGAGCAGATTCCGGGCTATCGAGATAGAAAACGTATCGTGAGTAAGGGCAATCCCAATATTTCGGATTTTAGGAACTCACCATCGCTGACAATCTTGTGACTAGCTCTGCCTTTAATATTGCTGTACAGTAGAGAACGTGTTAGAGTATGATATGCGATAGGGCCCATCCACTTACGCAGCAAAGCCTACACCGCAAGCATCCTTTTCATATTCGGGGTCATAGAGACCTTGCCGCTCAGGCAAAGTGTTAGCCCAGCCATATCCCTTCTTTGGCTGGTACTCCGAATACTCATTCGGCTTCTGCTCCTCAACTATAGTTTGGCCATAGATTTCCTCCAAGTTCAGACCCATTCTTCCGCCGGTGGCCGACAGAGAATGGAATTACAGAAACCGGGGGAGTGGTGATGAGTGTTGGGTCGGCCGCCGCTGTTAGGTTTGGGCGGGGCTGAAGTTGTGATGTATAGATAAGGCGTAGTATGTCGTCGATAGCGGAGCGTGGGCAATGGAGGTACAATCGCAATGGTACTTTGCCCGACTTCTGGCTCCGGGGACGATAAAAAAAAGTAGAAAGGAGAGGAGAAAGAGAAGGAAGAGGAGGGGGAAGCCAGAAATAAGAGGAGAGGGGAATTTGGGGGGGGGTGCGTCGCAAAAAAAAAATTACTGGGCGGGAGGAGGACAGGCCCGGGGAATTCACTTGGGACGCTCCGATACGGGCTCAGTCTGGGTATTGTACGTATGTATGGCGCGGTACAGCAGACGAGGGAGGATACTTCGATCGTGAGATCACGGACTGAGGGAGAGGAGCCCAATTCGGGAAAACTATTGTGGTGGAGATCGACGACAAGGCATTCCAGCGTGGCGAATTGCCGTTTGCTTATACATATCCTTGAGCCTAGGAGACTCGCAGTCCTCTCCGGGGCAGATGAAAAGAAATAAGATAAGCTGGCTTTTCAATTATCACGCACCGGCAAGATGCTACTTTACTACTATTCGGGGGCATATTTCGTCCTTGACTGATAGATACAACGACAGAGCGTTTTCGGCGGCTTCCGCTCCTGGCTAGAAAATGTCCGCCGCAGCACTTTGGTTTGGACTTTGGAGTACTTCTAGGGTCTCAGGAACTCGGCTCAACTTCACATGTAAACCCGGTCGTCAAAATCTAGGGCAACCAACGCAGAAACTCCAATTCAATTTCACAAACGAATCTCCAGCTAACATCGCTAACGTCCACACTTGCCGCTAAACACGTTCCCCCAGGACAGCACTGTCTGCGAGACTGCGACTCTGCATGCATCGGGATGGGGGCTGGTGGACTCCGGGACGCGTTCGAAAGTCGGGGAGCAGGTCAGAGATAAGGGAGCAGCAGCCAATCAGCGCATTGCCTTTTCAACCCTTTAACCAAGAAGATTAGGTTTCTGCTACGTCAAGATCCAAGCCGGTGGGGCCAGAAAAGCAAAGCAACGGGCACTTGGGACGCTAGTCAAACAAGCTGGTATTGGTATTTCAGTCTATTTTACACACTTTCCGGCAGCCGCCAGTCTCGTCTCTGAGTTGTCATCCAGCGTGCCTCAAATGCAGACTCCAAGCAATTAAGAGTGGGCTCAGAAAGCTCATAGCGCAATTCCGGGACGTCGATGTCATGGAAACCTCGTCTGCTAAGACAGCTCCGTTAACACCCGGTGTAGACGATATGTACTCAGTGTCCTGCGATCAGAGTTCCGAGGTCCCCATCGACCCAGGCAACCTTAAACGCTGCAAACTCGTGGCCCAGCCATTCGCCGACCGCGGATTTCAGAAGGTCGAAAAAGAAGGAACGAAGAATTACTGCACGTCCCGCATCGAGGGGGAAGCGAAAATCATCAGTTCGAGCAGATCAACAAATGGTCTGACCATTATGCTGATTGTGGTCTCCATGATTGGCGGGCCTTTCCACCTTCTCATTCGTTTCAGCCATCAGTCCATCTGTCCCAGGTGCAAATCATTGTTGACTCGGATAATAATCCTTGAAGGCGACGTCGACGTTTGTCCCCCTTCAGCCACGAGCAATGAGTCAAAGGCTTTCTAAACTTGCCACCTCAAAGGATTCAAGTTTCCGTCTTTGCTGCAGGAGCATAATTAATTAATGTGGGTACTTTCTGTACTTGCACTCTGTCTGGCACGTAACAGTCCAGAGGAAAGAAAGAGGCGCTAGATGGCGCGTCAACAAACGCTACTCAGTGCTCTTTCCTACGATGCAAGGCTAGCTGACCTCGCGTAGTAGTCAGCATGCTCATGCTTTACTCTTCCCCCCTCACGAGATCGAAGGATCCAGCTAGATGGATAATTGGGCACTATAATGGTGGGGCGGTGCAAGGATGCAGTGCTTATTCCACATTTAATCAACATGCACAGAGTCTGGAAATGTGCACATGGCCAAGTGTTCAAAGTTCACCCCCAACCAGCCTCTGCTGGAAATTTCAGATGGCATTGATAAAGAAAAGCAAGCATGGCGTATTATTGAACGATGGCTCTTGGCTGGCAATCTGCCCTGGAATCAGCAAGGAGTCAAGTGGTGCCAAGGTCCTAACCACAGCGTAACAGAAACCATTGAGATTGGTGGTGTCTGATGGAGAACTACCATGTACGACCATACAAAACAGCGAGATGGACACAGTTGGCTACCTAATAACATTCGGAACGTCGGGAAAAGAAGGCAGAGAGCTGCTGCTCGTCTTTCGCAGCGAGCACAATGGCCTGCGTACGCGGCCGGTAAGAACTAAGAAGCTATGGGCGAAGAGTTAGTGGCATGAGCCACCAAAAGTTGCATTGGGCACTGAATGGTCTCAGGGCCCTTCGGGAAAAGCGCAAGATTTCCGCTAACAAAAGGACTTGCATTATTCCCCACGCCCAAATGCATGATGTCGGTCGATCAGCGGTAAATCCAGCGGTACTAGCGCGTACACAGCTTGATCAGCATATGTATTTTTGGCAGGGCCGGATTGGTGAATGACTGGCACGGAGCGGCGGTCCAACGCTCGCTGACCACCTGCACTGTCCGCTGCAAAGTGAAACTTCCGACAACGGCCAAGCTAGCACTATCCCCTTTCGGACCGGGGCACTCCCTTTCCTCCTCCCTCCAAACCCTCCCCGATCCCTTTCCTCTGTCCACTGTTGCACGGCCAGCTTCCCCTCTTTTCCTCCCCCGAAATCGGGGACACCGAGCCGCAGCCTGCCATACAATGATAACGTGCTGATTGGCTCGTTGGTGTTTCCCCAGCACATCCGTTCAAGTCATAGATGCTTCGAAGACTGGACATGCTGCCGTCGGCTCAGGGACTCAAAGATAAATCAACAGGTGCCCGTTCGAGGATGTTTTCATCTCCAGAGGATAGCATCTACCTAGGTATATGAGAAGAACCAATTTACTTCTTTCATCTGCCGTTGACCTTGTGTGCCACCATGGAAGCAGTTGATTCTTCCCCGGAGAGTTGGGCTCCTGGCGTGGCTGGCCCCGGCCAATGGGCGGCCTCGAAAAACGCTCGGGATAACGATGTGATTCTTGTAAATCGTAACGTACGGAAATCAGAGTTGCCACGAACTGTTACCGGAAACTTGGACAGATCCTCGTCTCGTCCACGGGTTGTTCGGCCTGAACCTTGTTCCAGATGAGAGCTCTGCTGATAAGGACTTGGAGAAAGGTAATGATAATTTGAATACATAAAACAATTCATTTCCCATCCCCCCATGCTGGCTGGTGTGTTCCCATCTGACTGGGCAACCTCCTCCTGCCCCGAGGAGGAGCACCTTGCGCCAGGTCATGGATCTATTGTTGTTTTGCGCCCAAATACATCCAACGTGATTGGATTCCATTGTTGTTACCCCATATCTTCGGGTTCTCCCCACGGAGCACACTGCTACGGGCCTGCGCCCACCGAAAGCGGCACATTCTGAGGACAGCAGCTCCCATGCACCAGGCAGGCGACACGATGAACTCTGCTTGCCAAGTATATTGATTGCGCGGGGCCACCACAAGCACTGATCATGACCAGTTCACAATAAAAAGCCAGGTGACTCGCAACTAAGGAACATCATGGTACATCATGGGTCCACGAAGCAAAGTCGCTCTGTCAGGTCACTCTCGATTCCGCAGCATGTCGAAAAATCCCGATGAAACTGCAACGCATCTGCTGAACCCTCACATGACTGCCCTGGGCGGAGATGCCAATCCCTCCCCACTCCCGGATTCACCCGATTCCTCCTCTTTGGTCTTGCCCTCTTTGGGTTCACCGGCCGTGTCTTCGCTGGTGGAGTGGGAGACTGCAATACTCCGGAGAAAACCGGAAGTCGAACAATTGGCAGATTACCGCAGTTTGGCGTTGTTTCAAGCAGGAAATACGCCCGGCAGTGTTCACTCCAATAATGCGACGGCCATTATTCAAATGATCGTTATTATTACGGGTCTCCTGCATTGGGACGTTCTCTGCTGGTCCAGCCCTGACCGAAAATGAATGAATCGTCTAACCGAAGGGGAGGATGATCCTGAACGCAGTCTCGAGACGCCTACTGTCTACCTATACCCAAACTCGGAATACTATCCCCCTGCTCCCAAGCGCAGCGCACCTCGATCTCACCCGCGCATCTCATGTCCCTTGACTCCCTTCGAGCTTTCAGTGTGCTCTGTGCGGTCGCAGGTTCATCTAAGATCAGTTCGCCTGGGAGCGGCGGGCATGTTTTGCTCGAGCATGAGATCCTCTTGAAATGATTCCACTAATCTATTCATTAACCACGACATGACCCCTGCTAGTCACATTAGCTGGGATGGAGCTTCAAGGGATTCCCCCGAAATGGAACCAACGCACGCTACTTTTGGGTTCTTTGTTCTTCGTCTGTGTTCCAGACTGGAAATAAGACAGAACTAGAACTCGCCCGGGTTGGCGACCATTGTGTGGGAATATTAAATGAGCATGGAGTTCTTGCCCAATGACGATGACCAACGAGCCCAGCCTCGGTGTGCAATGGTCATTTTCAGGCAAAGCAATTTATCTGTGATACAGAAATCTTGAGAAAGCGTGGGTGGAAATTCCAACACAGAAGGCATGCCTCCACTATTTGGGGTAAGTAATGATAAGAGAGCATTGTCTATGGCTCGCCCGTAGAAAATGTACGAGAATCCTTGGTGGCAGAGTGCTTTACACGCTACGATGACATTTGGATCATTGGTAAAGTGAGCCCATATAATCGAGGAATATCCTAATATTTATCCATATGGTTCCTTCACATATCAGACTCGATCCTTTTCACAGTAGATGGTGTTTAAGCCAGAAGACGTTGACTCTGTAGTTAGGGCTGCCTTCCCCGCGCTGGGGCGAGCTTGAAAGTTAATTCTGGGCGACTCGTGGATCTTTGTTTTTCTCCCCTCATCACAGTCCACTGCGTCGTTGCTTGCAGGCCACTCACGGTTGGTTTGTCTTGTAGACTATTGAAGATCTTTTCTTTCTTTCTTTTTTTTCCAGCCACACCTTTCTATCTAATTATCATTCGGTGTTTTTCTGCGTATCCGCGTGGACTTGCGCCTGAGGTTCGACGGAGTGTTTTGATTGCTGGTTGGGCAACTTTGTTCCAGCCATTCCAACCGGAGACTTGCAGGTTGAAGCAGAACATACGGACAGATTTGAATGAGAGGGATTGAGCTCACTGCCCATCCCATTTACACGCTGAGCTACCTCTGAGAGCTAGGAGCTTCCGCAATAATGCTCTCGCTCCCGCTCTTCACACCGCGCGACGTATGTGCATCACCTCCCCAATTTTCTCAGCCATGAATTACACAATTGAGCAATCAAACCTAACGTAAAATCAAAAGTCGCACGACCTCTGGTTCGCCCCGCGAACAACCTCCTTCTCTCAGTCCTCCGAACCCCCTTCATCCTCCGCCTCCGCCTCCGCAAGCCAGGCCCAAGCCGCCCGCCGCCATGGAACAGCACAGTACCGCGCCGGCGGAAGCTCAGCAGCACACGGCGGCGCGAGTGCGCTCGCAAACACGAGCGATACGCTTGCGACGCTCATCTTGGAAGAACGGGCCTTGCGCGCGCGCAAGAATAATATCGCGTCGTTTGGGTGCTCGTGGATTAAACCGGCGGGGTGTCCGAAGACGATGCTGGGAATGAAAGAAGAGGAGGCTGAGAGAGAGGAGGCTATGGCTGCTGCAGATGCGGAATTTGCTGCTGCTGCTGCTGCCGCCGCCGCCGCCGCCGCCTCCGCGGGTGGAGAGGGTGAAGAAGGGATGGAGGAAGAGGAAGAGACAGGGATGGAGAGAGATTTGGACGCGGATATTCCGGATGCAGATGGTGATGAGGATGGTGACGGTGATGATGGGCTAGTAGAGGATGGAGAGGAGGGATTGGAGGAGGATGAAGACGTTGATGAGGAAGGGTATATGGAGCGGGATTTGGACGACGAGGTGCCCGAGGCATTCGCGGATTACGACGATGATGAAGATGATGAGGCCGATTTTGATAACCAGCCTGATTTGGACGATGACATTCCTAGCGCTGACGAGGGCATGGAGGGTATAAGCGAGCTTGAAGAGGGAGGGGAGGAGCGGGACCTAGACGACGATATTCCGGAAGCTGAGGCAGGCGAGGAAGACGAATGGCAACACACGGATACAGACGCTGAGTTCGACGATGAAGAGGACGAAGTCAGTTTCTCGCAGCATCCGTTCCGCACCAGCACAGCAAGCAGCACGCGTGGCTTACCGCGGGAACCGCCGCAACGAGAGCGAGAAACAGAAGCACAACGACGCTTCCTCCAGCGTTGGAGCGGCGGCGGCGACGCCTTCGATACCAGTAGCATGAGCACAAGCATGTTGGTCGACGAGCTTGATCAAGAACACGACCGGGACCGAGACCGAGACCATGGGCGTGATCTCCGCGCATCTCTGGCAAGCCAAACAAGTCGGCGAAGCTCCGGAAATGCCAGTGTCTTTGGCCGGTTTCCAAGACGTCGAGGACGCACAGGGATGCCGATGCCGAGGGATAGCCTCGAGTTCTAAGGCACCCCTTCCACTATCTGTACTGACTTGCCGATATCAAAGGCTACGCCAGCCAATAATTATTGGTCTGCTAGCTTCTGCCCCGACTATGGGCAGCTGTATTTGTTATGCTATACCTACTATGCGAGTAATAGGGGCGTTTGGTGGATTGATTATGGCTCGGCCACGTTTTTCAGACTAGATGCATGCATGGATAAAGGTGGTTTTTTTTTTTTTTTTTTTTTTTTGCATTGTTATACTACTAGGTAATTAAGTATGAATAGATAGTTTGTACAACGTTAGCTCTGCTTCTGTTGGGAGTTTGTACTATTACACTAATGATCATGGTTTGGTCTCAGTATTAGCCTTGAATCCTAGCAAATAAGACATACATTTGCAGCATTTTACATAAGTTACATATATGCTTGGGGTAAGTGATTAAGAGGAGTTGATTGTTTCTATATCCTAACAGACCCGCCAACCGGAACCGATAACACTATCGTCTATCAAATACAAAGAATAAAAAGCTGTCGTGATTCCAGACAGCCTGATGAATATAAAGAAAATAAACGTGCTATTAAACTCCATATACCGTATATCGCTTTCCTTAGGTCTTATGTTTTCGGTGATGTTGGGTGGTTTATACGACCTTGCCAAAGGCAGGAATCAACGTCTGAGCCAGCCAGAAGCTGAAAACAAGCTTGGGTCCGGTCATCAGAAGCTTAGGCGTCAGACCCTTGAAGAAAGAGGTGACACCTTCGTTCTTCATCATGTTAGAGACGATACGGAAGCCAGATTCGGGGTTCTCGAAGTTGCGGTTTTGAATCCGGGTCTTGATCACGTCGAGGGGAGCCGAAACGACAAGAGATGCGCTAGCACCGCAGACGGAGGCGACGAAGTTCTGAGACCACGAGGCCTTGTTGTAGTCCTGCAGAGCGTAGATGTATTCCTTGGCGAAAGCAGATCCACCAAAAAGCTGCCATAACCAGTCAGTCTCAAATCCCAGTAGCAAAGTGTTTAGAGAAACATACAGCGAATGATCCAGGGGCGTTTCGAGCAGCAGTCCAGCCAGCTCCACGGTAGAGTCCCATACCCTCGTCGGAGATAATCTTGAAGAGGCCACGACCACGGAAGGCTTCGGGGTTTGTCTGACGCTTGATCTTCAGAACGTCAAGAGGAAGAAGGACGATTTCACCAATTCCAATCAAACTAATTATATAGTTAGCACCAGATCAAGAACACCACATCAACACACGAACCTTCCAGCCGTTGCGTGCATGATAGCCTTTCCGGTACCCTTTCCGAAAGCCTTGTCGAAATCACCACCGTAGTGCTGCGCCAAATAATCGCGAGCGAACGGCTGACCGCCGTACTTGTAGATACGTTGGAGGACCTGAGTCATTTGTGAGCCAATGAAAATTACGGCTACCATTTCTTGTACCAACCTTGTAACCAGCGGCATAGCCCAGACCGGGGAAGAGAGAGGTGAACTTGCGGCCCACAGAGGCGGTGGCATATTCCTTGAAGACGACTTGGTTGAAGCCACTGGCGGACGTAATCTAGGAGACAATCGTGTCAGTTTATTGAGCATCTTCAACTGTGTGGAAAGGCGAGCTTACTCGGGTCTGGTTGCTCATCAAACGCTTTGCCGTGGTATCAACCTTTCAACTCAGTTAGCATCATGAAAGACGGTGTTTGTGACGGAGCGGAATGGCTCAGGGTCGACTCATCGTACAGGGTGGAAGACGAGGAGTTCCGCAATACCAGCGGTCCCTGGTGGCTGTTAGTCCTGATCTCACTCCCGATTGAAGTAATGGCGCGCATACCTGATCCAAGCAGACGGGCAGTGGCAGATTCCTTCTTGACATCCGAGGATGCGGAACCGTGAGCAACTGCAGGAGACATTTTGATTGTGTTTTATGGGTGTCGTATGACCGAATTTTTTGTTATTTTTGTTCTCACAGAGATGAAAGGCAGTAGATGCGAGAAGAGAATGAAAAAAAATGAATCACCAAGAAGAGAAAGAAGTCCCAACCCGAGAACCGTGAAAGCAAAATTGGACGTCGACGAAGGAGAAAAAGCGCAAGCACAGGCCGGAGACGAGAAAGCGAGCGAGATCGCAGTCCCGACGGGCACTTTTTTCTGCGCCGAATCGGAAAGCTTTGGGGCCTAGTTGCGCTAGTCTCTTTTTGGTTACCCAGGGCCCGCTCGAAATTCGCTGAGATAAGCCGCTTCTATGAAGACAGCGAAGGTTGATAAGGACGGAGTCGGTCCTACATCTGGTGTATTCGATGCTCTACTTTGTCTACATTCTCTTCAAGGTTGCTCCTGACTTTAAATAAATAACAATTTCGGTAAATATGATTCCATTCTAGTGACGGCCTTCCAAGCCTTGCCTTACCAACCAAACTAGGATTACAGCGTCATTCCAGAACGATCGCAATTTGGAAAACACTTGCATCAAACTTCGTGCCAATTGCTCGTCAAAAATTGAAAAAGAAATTCCCAACAAGTCCATTTGAAATCAGTGAAAAAACTCCTGTGACAACGCCCGCTATATGGAGCCACCGCGGGTTCTAATTGCCTCATCCCAGGGCCGACCCAGCTGACAGTCGGGCCTGAAGCTGGATCTTGCAAAACGAGAGATATTTTGACGGTGGGGACAATCAAGTGAGATGATACAACGGTGCTCCAAGCTTAGCAGTCTCCGAATGTGTTCTCGCCGGAGTATCTAATAAATAGTCAGCAGCCGCCGAGGAAATGTATCCAGCTGGCTTGGGGTAATAACGTACGTGATGTATAGGAAACCGTCTTCATCCTTGTGCTCTTCGTAGATGCTGCTCATCAGAGCAGCCGTAGGGGGTAATACCTCATCAACGAAGATGAATATGGCCTTTTCGGGAGACAGTTTGATACGCTTCCGAATGACGTAGACAAACTGTCCAACGGTGAGGTCTGCAGGTACCAGGTACTTCTTCTTGTCGATGGTCGCAATATCTGACTTTTCAACCTTTTCGCAGATCACCTGGAGGGTAGGTTAGCCATATTAGCATATTGAAGAGGCGGTGAGCATAGCTCCCAAGTTTATCATGAAGAATAACAACATCAAGAAGCTTAGGGTATTTTGTTAACATTAAGAAAAATAAGTTAAGAACATACCGGGATACGGTCAGCATATTTCGCTCGAATACGCTCGGCTTCAGCCTTGCGCTTCTCGTAGGGGTGCTCGTCCTTGAACTTGGAACGCATGGTTGGTAGTTGGAGAACGGGATATGGATACGGAAATGAAGCTCAGCTGGGTGAGCTGAGAAAAAGACTGTATAAGTGTTGTAAATAGATGAGATATGGCTGCAGCGGTTATGCAGTTGATGAAAGCAAGATGGAGGTGAGAAGGAGGGATGGATGACTGGAAGAGAGAGATGTAGGTGACAAGCCCCGCGTCATGTTACTAAGGATGGCTGATAAGGCGTTGGGGCCGGAGGCGGTGAAGCCCCACACGTGAGTCACTGTCATGTGCCGCCTGTAGTCAGATGGAAAGGTATTCACGTCACTCAGTCACTTACACATGAATAATTGAGACCTTAGAGTTTTACCTTATTCACAAACATGTAATAGACAGCCTCAGTGACCGGAGCCTGGTGATGTTTGACGATGTGGACCTGTCCACAGTGCTGCGGCTTGAGCCTCCACTTGATCCGCGGCTAGAGGAGCCTGTTCCAGACTCCAGTGCCAGAAGTACACCAACAAGTACCTTGCAGAGTCATCATCCTTCTGAACGAGTCACTTGAAACATCAAGTTTATCTCTCGGATCTGACTCACTTCCAAGCCTCATTCTGCAGCTCATCAGCCCCTCCAGAACCACTCGCATTAATATTCTTAGGTGCAAACACTGCAAACATAGTATTACAAACAATGCAAACTCGGCCGGCGCGGACTCTCGAGGTGGTGGTCCCATCCGCGGATGAACCAGCAACTTTTCGACCCTCTCTGTTGCGACCTGGGGTGGTGCCATTGCCGGAAGGATAGTAAACGAGGACCACCTGATATCTCGGCATACCAGCCGATACCTTTCATATACTCCAAAAATGTCCCTACCCCGATCATATAGCATGGCTCTTCGCAGGTCGCTTCACCAGGTTTCAGCTCAAGCCTATCGCAAACCGAATAACTTCCAAGGGACAGTCCGCAGGTTTTATTCAGAACAAAAACAGCACAAGAAGGAGTCCTTTACTGTCTGGCGCCCTTACCTACGATTGGCCGTCGGTGTCCCATTCGTTGGGGCTCTCATTTACTCCATGGTAGTACTCTTGACTCGCACACATACTGCTTGCAGTTAGCTAACTGTATGATGTAGATGACAGGCGAAGTGACCGATCTTGACTCTCCATCAATTGTGGAAATTGACGAGACCCTGAAGAAGCAAGCCACCATTAGCGAGACCTCACCAATGCGGTTGCGCATGGAAAAGCTGATTAAAGATCATCAACAGAAAATTGCGGAAGAGCTTAGCCGGATAGATGGGAAGCAATTCAAAGCAGACAGCTGGACTCGGCCAAATGGAGGCGGTGGTATATCCTGCATCCTGCAGGATGGAAATGTCTTCGAAAAAGCTGGAGTCAATGTCTCTGTCGTTTACGGACAGCTACCCCGCGCAGCGATCGAGAAGATGCGCGCAGACCACAAGTCCTTTGTGGGTACTGACGTGGACTCTTTGGACTTCTTTGCTGCTGGACTGTCTCTGGTTGTGCACCCTCATAATCCCATGGCGCCAACAGTTCACTTCAACTACCGCTACTTTGAGACATCGGACCCGAAAGATCCTATAAACGGCGACAAGAACTGGTGGTTTGGCGGCGGCTCAGATCTCACACCAAGCTACCTCTTCCCGGAGGACGCCAAACACTTCCATCAAACTATCAAGGACGCCTGTGACCGACACGATGCGACCTATTACCCCAAGTTCAAAGAATGGTGCGACAAGTACTTCTACATCCCCCACCGCCGGGAATGCCGCGGTGTAGGCGGCATATTCTTCGACGATCTCGACGCCAACTTTCTCGAGAGCACCTCTCACTCATCACAAAACCCACAGGAGACCCTCTTCTCATTTGTTTCCGACGGTCTCGCCTCATTCCTCCCGTCTTACGTCCCGATCATCGAACGCCGCAAGGATATGCCCTTCACCGAAGCTCAGAAGCAATGGCAGCAACTCAGACGCGGTCGCTACGTCGAATTTAATCTCGTATACGACCGCGGTACAAGCTTCGGGCTAAGAACCCCTAGTGCCCGCATCGAAAGCATCCTCATGAGTCTCCCGCGGACCGCATCCTGGGCCTACATGGATCCCGTTTCGGGCACCCGGACCGAAACGCAGGTGGAGGATGAGGAGCCACTCGGTGAGGACAAGGCCGCTGAGAAGGAGATAATGGACGTCTTAAGACATCCCCGCCAGTGGGTTTAACACGTGATGTTGCTCGGGCAAAACCCACACACGAAAACTATATATGTACCATATCCAACACATTGTATATTCCGCATTATTTTATTGTGCATTGTTCCTTGTTCATTTACAAACTATATCAGACTATATAGACCCTTGTCCGATCTAGACAGATCTGCTATGCAACGTCGCGCGCTCAGGACTTGTAAAATCGTACCTTTGATGTATATCACGTGAACTGCATTTCAACGAGTATGGAATTTCTTGGAACTTCCCACTCCGAGCAAGCACTCACATACAGAGTACAGACAACGTCAGCAAAAAGGTGGGATTACCCTAATCTACTACCCAATTGAACCATATTCCGCCTGAATTTTATTCATACTTTCCTTCAACCCAGTTATTTACCCGACCAATAATATTTATTTGGAGTCTCCCACAGCCGCACCTTTCACATACATCCATACGTAAACCACGTACAATGCCAGTTTACCTGATCTCGAAGTAAGTTATTTTTTCTCGATTCCTTATGTCTCCCCTTTCCCCAACCAGACCAGACTCCGTTCCATCCCATCCCTTACCTCATCCAACTTCATCTAACCACTCCTTCGGGGTCCGCAAACACAGAGCTGCAGACCCGCTCTTCGCGTTGGCAATCGGCTCATCGGCGGCGCTGCTTCGCATTAAACGCGAAGAGAAGGAGAAGAATCCAGACTCGGCGGCAGAGATTGGATATGGAACTGTTCTGGGGACTGGTGGTGAGAGATTAAAGAGATGGTGGAATGGGGAGTTTGATGGTTCTGTTCCCGGTGGTGCAGATGCTGCTAATATTGCTCCAAAACAGTGATTATTCTGTTTTTGCTGCAGTTCTGATGTAATTTACGTTATGATTGCTTTCTTCGCTTCTGTTGGGTTCGTTCTGAGTCAAGGTTTAGTGTCTTGTATATAAGAATCATCTGATAAACTCTACGAGAATTTAAAGTCTCTACTGGTAAAGGAAAGTATTTAAGGTATTAAAGTCTTCATTCATTGGTACCGGAACTTTTTTTTTCCCTCCCAATCTGCAGTTCATCATGTATCAAAACTAAAATCTATGCTGTCATGCGCGAATGGATCCCCATAATCTCGTAACATAGGAAAAAACGCATAAGAATTAAGACAAGGAAACGTTAGAAATAAAACACACATTAGACGCCTGAAAAAGAGAAGAAACCCAACCAAGTGCTTTCAAAGCATTTAGTCAAGGTCGTCGTTCTCCTCGACTTCACCGTCAGCGCGGGTGGCACCGCCGCCAGGGGCAGCACCAGCACCAGGGGGAGCACCACCAGGAGCACCACCGGCAGCAGCGTAGGCAGCAGAGATGATGGGGTTGGCAACACCCTCAAGCTCCTTCTGCTGGGATTCGTACTCGTCCTTCTCGGCGGTCTGGTTGGTGTCGAGCCAGCCGATGACCTCGTCGACCTTGTCGCTGACCTTCTTCTTGTCATCCTCGCTGATCTGGAGCTGACCCTCACCGATGGTGTTCTTGAGGGAGTAGGCGTAGGACTCGAGACCGTTCTTGGCCTGGATACGGGCAGCCTCTGCCTCATCCTCAGCCTTGTACTTCTCGGCATCAGCAAGCATGCGCTCGATGTCCTCCTTGGACAGACGGCCCTTGTCGTTGGTGATGGTGATCTTGTTGGTCTTTCCGGTACCCTTCTCGACGGCAGAAACGTTCATGATACCGTTGGCATCAAGATCGAAGGTAACCTCAATCTGAGGAACACCACGAGGAGCGGGGGGGATACCGGTAAGTTCGAACTTGCCGAGCAGGTTGTTGTCCTTGGTGCGGGCACGCTCACCCTCGTAGACCTGAATCAACACACCGGGCTGGTTGTCGGAATAGGTGGAGAAGGTCTCGGACTTCTTGGTGGGAATAGTGGTGTTACGCTTAACAAGAGCAGTCATAACACCACCAGCGGTCTCGATACCGACGGACAGAGGGGCAACATCGAGAAGCAGGATCTCGTTGGTGGACTTGGAAGAAGTGTCACCGGACAAGATGGCAGCCTGGACGGCAGCACCGTAGGCAACGGCCTCGTCGGGGTTGATGGACTTGTTGGGCTCCTTGTTGAAGTAGTCGGTAACAAGACGCTGGATCTTGGGGATACGGGTGGAGCCACCGACGAGGACAATCTCGTGGACGGAGGACTTGTCGATCTTGGCGTCACGGAGGACACGCTCGACGGGCTCCATGGTGGAGCGGAAGAGGTCCTGGCAAAGTTCCTCGAAACGGGCACGGGTGATGGAGGTATAGAAGTCAACACCCTCGAATAGAGAGTCGATCTCAATGGAGGTCTGAGCAGCAGAAGAGAGAGTGCGCTTGGCACGCTCGCAAGCAGTGCGGAGACGACGGAGAGCACGTGCGTTTGTGCTCAAGTCCTATCAAGACAGTTAGCCAAAAAGAACCACAAAAAGGACCATGGTCATATTTAAGCCACGGGAAATGAATTAATTCATACCTTCTTGTTCTTGCGTTTGAAGTCGTTTACGAAATGGTTGACAAGACGGTTGTCGAAGTCCTCACCACCAAGATGGGTGTCACCGGCGGTTGCTGGTCAATGTTAGTCACTATATAACGGAATAAGGAAGAATTTCACGAACCTTTAACTTCGAAAATACCTTCCTCAATGGTCAACAGAGACACATCGAAGGTACCACCACCAAGATCGAAGATGAGCACGTTGCGCTCACCCTCAACCTTCTTGTCGAGACCGTAGGCGATAGCGGCAGCGGTGGGCTCGTTGATGATGCGGAGGACGTTCAGACCGGCAATGAGACCGGAGTCCTTGGTAGCCTGACGCTGGGAGTCGTTGAAGTAGGCGGGAACAGTGACGACGGCATTGTTAACGGTACCACCGAGGAAAGCCTCAGCAGTCTCACGCATCTTGGTCAGGACCATAGAGGAGATTTCCTCAGGAGTGAACTGCTTGGTCTCGCCCTTGAACTCAACCTCGATGACGGGCTTGCCACCCTTGTCAATGACCTTGAAGGGCCAGTGCTTCATATCAGCCTGGACTTCAGCGTCGGCAAAACGACGGCCGATCAGACGCTTAGCATCGAAGACAGTGTTGTGAGGGTTCATGGCGACCTGGTTCTTTGCGGCATCACCGATGAGACGCTCGGTGTCGGTGAAAGCCACGAAAGAGGGGGTAGTGCGGTTACCCTGGTCGTTGGCAATGATGTCGATACGGTCATCACGGAAGACACCCACACAGGAGTAGGTGGTTCCCAAATCGATACCAACAGCGGGGGCCATTATGTCTGTATGTATGTGCGGAAAATGAGGGGTTCGTTAAAAAAAAAAAGGGAGGGGTGAAATGAAATTCGTGATGTAGCGGAGAGGGAGAAAAGAGACAAGAAGGGAGGATAATAGAATGCCTCTTATGATGGTAAATTCGTGAAAGAAGAGAGAGGATTGATTTTTGAAGACGAGGGGAAGAAAATTGTGCGAGGGCAAGATTGATATACTGGTGGGCGGTGTGTTGCTACTCCAGCGAAGCTTCTAGCAAGCGACATCTTCGATGGGCATCCATCGGGTTCGATGGCCTTCTGTCCGCGGCTCGCTGGACCTAGGCCCTCCGATTGGCATTCTACGTCTTTCACTCTTCACTAGTCTGAGATTCTGTTTCAATTCTTACTGGAGTGGTACATTCGTGAAAGCGCCTGTCTATTCTTGAGACTGCAGGAGTTTTCGAAGCGTCAAAGACAGCCACGGTCATGATGACGCTTTGACGGAGCTGGAGGCAAAAAGAAGCTGGACCCATCTCGACTTTGGCGGGGTCGGATGACGTAACAGAAGGTTCCCTCTCTTTCGCAGGGTCACAGTTCTTTGTGTTCTCGGCTCGCCTCGCTTCAGGAATCTCGACGAAAGACAGCGTTTCTGTCACCCCAGTAACTTGGAAGTTGGAACTCTTTTCTCTGATCCACTTTCTGCATTATGGACAAGGCAGGCAGATCGCATTCGACAATTGGCTGCCCAGCCCAGTTGTTTGTCGAACAGGACACCACTCCAGGCACAGGCAGATTCTGCTGTTGAGCTTCGATCCCAAATTTAATGGATTGAGAAATCGTGGTATCTTATCAACTTCTCGAGTATATTGCGCATTCAAAATTATGGGCAACCGCATCAAGCTTCAAGATTCCCCAACCGAGCCATTTCGGCTCTGTCAACACGTCCTACTTTGTCACCAGTATATCTCCTGGGATACATGGTTCCTAGTTGCATAATATTGAATTTAATGCTTGCACGCCTTGTACAGCGTAAACCGTAGAGAAGTTAATCGGTGGATGTGATGATTTGTTATGAATCTTGAGGGCAAAGCTCGTCACGGGAGCGGCGCTTTGATCGACCGCCACTCGCAGCCAATCAGCAACAACAATCGCCTCGAGGTGCGACGGGGTGATTCTCCCTTACAACAACTGAGCTTCGATCTCGCACCCCGACTCCTTGCTACTTAAACCCATCTCTATACCCTTGAGCGTCTACTACCCCTTTTCTCTCCCCAGCCAGTTGGAAGCTCTTCCCTAACCTTTCTTTCCCTCCCACCTCGTTTAACCTCCAAACAACTACCCCTCCATAACAATGGGTGACAACAACCAAGCCACTTTCCAGGGCAATGACCCTGCTTCCAATGCCCCCGACGCCGCTGCCTACGATAAGGGCAAGGGAAAGGCCGTCGATGACTCCATGGACGTGAGCATGGATGAGGATGAAGAGAGCGAGGGAAGTGAGGGAGAAGAGCCTGTATGTGTCCGTGACCGCTTATTTAGAGTGCAGCTGGCTGATTTGATTTCGTTATTTAGATGGTCGAAGGTAAACAAAACCAATTCTAGCAGAACTAGAATGAGGCGACTAACGATGACAACAATAGACGACGATGACGACGACAACGACAACCTCGAGCCTGTCTCCGCCGACAACATCCTTAGCGGTGGAAGACGTACCCGCGGCAAGACCATCGACTACCAGGAGGCTGCTGAAAGGATCAATCAGGACGAAATGGACGAGGATGACGATGATGACGAGGAATACGAGCCTGCCGACAAGCAGTGATTTATCGGAATATCTAACGACACCAAGAAACGTATTTTGGGGCGAGGCGATACTCGGGTATTCAAAATAGGCGCAGGGTCATTGGGGGGGTTCTCATTTACTTCAAATTTCAATACTCAATACCGTGGCATATCCACGAGATTGGACGACAATGAATAATTGCATGCCTACATAAATAACCGTACCTAATCTAGTCGATTCTCTATGTTTTGTTTGGAAATAGTACAAAGTAAACGCCGCCCGCCCCTCACGTGCTTGGCAGCCAGTTCGGCACGGCGCAAGCACCCATGTGGCAGCCACCGTGTTCTCGATTCAGTAAACCAGTTTATCTCGCCGCAAGCAGACTACAGTCCATAATATCTATTCCAAATAGCCGGATAGGTCTTGTTGGACTGAGATCTTATTATTTTTTTGCATCATGATGTGCACACACTAAACTTGAATGGCCACTTCGCAAATCAAATAATAAGCTTGATCAAATCTCCTCTCCTTCTCCGCATCCCATACCTCCGCTATGGCTTCACGGTATGGCAACACCCATCGCTCATTGTCTTTTCTATGGCTCCGAATTAACCTAACATGCTATTAGATTCCCCCAGTCTGACCTGCACCGACGGGACCCTCGCGCATCTTCATCCCTCTTCGACTCCTACAATGGCGACTCCAGACCCGCGAGCAGGTCCCCCGGTAGTGTTGGTGGATACGGGTACGGGAATTATCCAGGAACCGACAGGTCCATGAACGGCAATGGAAGTGCGGCGGGTTATAGAAGCGCGACTCCAAATGCGAAGTACGTAGCCGGATACGAAAACAAAACAGAAGCATCAAACTTGAAAAGCAATACTAATAAACATATTATGCAGGGGCCATTACTCCGACGCCGTGCTTTCACATCTCGAATCGCAGAATGACGAGGAAGTTGAAGGGATTTCAGCCAAAGTGAAAATGCTTAAGGATGTAGGTACCTCCCAAGCTACCACCGGTTTATGTATCTGGTTGGGGCTTCATATTGATATTGTGCTTGATTAGATCACCACGGCCATCGGAGACGAAATTCGGGACACGGCACATATCACAGACCTGAACGACTCCTTCGAGAATACACGGACCCGGATCCGGGGAAATATGAACCGAATGCTGCGCATGGCGGAACGCACGGGTGTCGGCTGGAAGGTGTGGGTTGGATTCTTCGCCCTCGTCTTTCTCCTCTTTTTCTATGTGTGGATTACTTGATGCCTCTACTTTCTTTCCTCGCCCTGCGACCTGTCACTGCGATTGCGACTCTGGCCAGCTCAAGGAAGCGCCAACTTACCCGTATAGCATTTTGCCCGTGGTGTTCGGTTCAAGACTGTTTTTACGTCATATTTCACCTTACTTAATAATTTTTGACGAGGCCACGCATACTCGGAGTTACTCCTCTCTCTTTTGGGCCTTTTAGGGTGACCTAGTTGCTAATGATACTCCTTGGTTCTCAAGGACGAACAAAATGTACTGTATATAATATGCTAGACGAGAAGAGAAGATTAACTAACTCGACTTGCGATGAGACTTGTTTTCAGACCACAATCTCAGTTTATCGTTTCCTGAGATATCAAGATTCGGCGCCACAACCGTGGGCCCCACGCAGGGAAAACTGCCCGCCTAAGTGAAACTTGTCAATCATTTAGTCTGCTGCTTGATAAACGAATCGCGCTTTGTAAACGATACTTCCAACTCCCTTTAATCCAACAAATTACTCCTCCCGTCTCCTTTGCGAGGATTTACTTCGGCGTCTCTCCTCAAGGTCGCCCTGAGCAATCTGCTTGCTAGCCTGAACAAACTGAACCACGTTGACATATTGCTTGTAGAGCATGAACGGGAAGGAAGCGCAAAAGAGAACCTGGGGCCAGTAATGGTTGATTTTTTTCGCCCTATAGCCGTTAATAAGTGGCTGAATGTGGTTACTTTGCTCATGAAAGGTGACATACCGAATCATCTCCATTGCTCCCGCGCCCCAGGGCGAGGACCAGCCCTCTAATGGTGGGCTAAGATCCGATGAGAATGATAAAAGATAAAGTGCGATAAAGCACAGCTCGTTGAGCGTACAGACAGTGAAAAGGACATTCTGTAGCGCATGTTAGATGCTCACCCAGTTACAAAACGAAACACAAACATACAGAACTCGAATAATAAACCCTCAAAGCCCAAGGCCACTCTTCGCTAACATCCTTGTGGCTCTTATTCCCACCCATAGCCAGAGTGGCATACATGTGAATATAATGACTGGAATAGTCGAGGCTAATTAGGGTTTGGAAGAGTATGCTCCATTTTGGGAACGCGCTCGCTAGAAATACGAGGAGGCAGGTGGTTGTACAACGGTCAGTGACCATATCTAGTACAGCGCCGAACCGGCTTGACTGGTTTAGACGCCGTGCGGCTGCACCGTCGAGGGCATCGAGGAGGCACGAGATGCTGTACAGCAGGGAGCAGGTCCGTGGGTGGTAAGGCATGTAGTGGAGGGATGCGACGGCGAATATGATTCGGGTATACCCTATGCCGTGGCTGTGAGCTCACGAGAATAGATAGAGCTTGGGATGGATTAAATACCAATAAGGTTTGGGATAAATAGAAAGACATTCTCTTGTTTGCTTACTACAGTGCTAGGAGGCATTTGGTTAGATTTGAAGTAAGGCAATAGCGAGCTGAGGAGCAATAGATTAGATACTCAGTAGAACCCTTAGGCACTAGTAGGTAGATAGATACATTGGGTGGATGGTCAGATATGCGTGCCGGATTATTAATTTGCGGCGCAGCTCTCTTGCATTTTAGGCACCGAGGGGCCAATATAGTTAGCGGGAAGAATAAACAGCGTTATTATATCACGTGAGTATGAAATGAAAAGGATCTCTGAGATCCCATCCGGTGCCTAAATGTCCGCGGGCCCCGAGTTGGGGGCTCGCGGAGTGCAGCTACAATGGGTGGCATTGTCATATAAGACGTTATTTATAAACAACATACTTTTTTGTAGGAAGGGTGGTAACGATGGGTCAGATATATTCTCTCTATCAACAATATGGTATATCAAGATATAGATGGCTTTGTACAATAACAAAAGAAACCTTTACCGCCGCTAATATCGAGTGACAGATCAGAATGAGCAGAACACAGGGGTATGTACACACAACAAAGTAAATAATGGAGTAAAAACAGCCATTATCGACCAGCAACAGCACTTCTTTGCCTGGCAAGCCAGCCCTTGTGAGCGTCGACCAGCCCAGCAGCGCCATGGCGATATCTCGAGGTAGGGATGTTGTTGGTACTGTTTTTACCTTGGAGTTCATACCAGGACGAACTCATGAGGGCGAGTTCCCGGGTTAAAGACTCGATCTGCTTTTGAAGCTCGAGCTGCAAACGGCATACTTAGTTAGTCAGGGCTCGCTAGGAAAAGAGTAAAGATCCCATATATAATGACGAAAATGGTGAGGATGGAATATCAAGGCAAAGCGGGCAAACCATGGTCTGGGTGACAAATCAAACAGCCTGCTTACCTCGCGTTCTCTACTAACGGTGTCTTCCTCGCCATCAGTGGCTTCGGTCTCTTCGGCTGCCTTCTCGAGCTCGCTTATTCGATCTCGCAGGAGTTTGATTTGTTCGTTTTGCTGGTGAATATACTAGTTGTTCACAGAGTCAGCGATATTCCCTTGCCACTCATATAATTATGGTCATGTTCAATGTTGAGTGGTCACCCAGAGTGATTTTGACGGGTTTGTAAGGGGTTCTAGGGGAAGATCGGGAAGAAGATCGGGAAGAAGATCGGGAAGAAGACGCGGAGGTAGTTCCTCCCAAGCCAATCCGGACGCAAACATAGTCTTGAGAAATCGATCCCGCCGAAGAATATGGAGATTCAGAAGATGCGGAACATGGTGTGCATCCTCCGCTACTCCAGATATCTTGATCACCGTCCTCGAGTGCCGGTTGTAACAAAGACTCTGTGGACTCTTCTCTTGCAAGACGACGCCTAGGTCTCAAAGGGGAAGGTAAGGGAACTCTGAAATGGTCACTAACCTGTGCACGTTGAGCCAGCCTCTCGTGATCCTTATCTATCATTTCCGAAATCTGCCGTGTGAGCCCTTCAAGAGACTGTTGGATAGCCTCAGATCCTTCTCCAGTCTGTTGTGATATAAACCGCGCAAGCTGTTCTTTCGCATCTTCGAGCGGTTTGAGCATCTCTTCGAGTAGTTTAGCCTTGTCCTCCTCTTGCAGTGCCATGTCTTCGTCAAGTGCCTTATCCGGCACTTCTTTGGGACCCTCTTCGACTCCATTGATTAACTCAGGGTTCTCTTCTTCTCCGAGAGATAGCGTTGACTCCTCGAATCCAGCAGCTTCCAGATCCTTTTGTAGGTTCCCGTGGGCACTCGGTGTCATGATCCCGGTAGTGGGGGTCCGACTCCGGGGAGACCCTAGGTAATCATCGTCTGTCCCTTCCAGCTCACTGATTCTCCCTTTCAGCTGATGGATCTCTTTCTCCGCGCCTTCCGCGCGCCTCCGAAGCTCTTCATTGTCCAAATCGACGTTGCTCTTTGTGACGGATATCTCACGAGCTTCTCGTTCAGATCGCGCAAGTGCATTCTTACATTCTCTAAACGCTTCGTTGAGCTTTTGTTGCTGCACGTCATATTCCATCACTTGCTTTTTAAGCTCCTTCTTCTCAGCCTCGAGATTCTGGTTCTTCGACTGCAGCATCTCAATTTCCTTCGACTTCTGCTCAGCGGCAAATTTGGCATTGCGGTTCGCGTTTACATAGTTATTCTTTTCAATGTCAAGCTTATCCCGTACAGCTTGATAGTCTTTTGCCTCGCGAAGGAGTTCGTCGATTCTGATCGAGAGCTTGCCGTTCTGCTCAGAAGCTATGAACAGTTCTTCCTCTAGTGTCGCGATCTCCTCGGTTTTCTGGTCGAAATCTCTTTTGCTGAACTCGCCCTTGCCGGATTTCAGAAGATCGATGCGCTCTCTTAAGAACTCCAGGTCTTGCTTCATGTTGTTTTCTGTGTATTCAAGCTCGGCCACACGCCTATCTTTTTCATCGTACTTCTCTCGTAGCACACTGTTTTCCTGCTTGAGTTCTTCTATTGTCTTAACCAGCTGGGATTCTCGTGACTCGCGCGCTAGGTCGTCCAGTTCATATTGTCCTTCTTCCACGTTCTCAAGGAAATCCTGGAGACTTTCCTGAATAGGGCTGTCTAGTTTTTGAATGGCATCACCGTATGTCTCATAACTTGCGGTGTTCCCTTTGGCAGTGATAGTGGCAGCAAAGAAGACAAGCTTCAGCAGCTTCTCGGCATCCCTGGCCGAGTTATTTTCCGCGAACTCTATCAGGTTCGGCTCCGGATCCAATCCTCGAGGCCAGCCCTCTGATTTCCGCAAATCAAGGATGTTGTATTGTAACCGTCCATGTATAGTAACGAGGTTCTCTAGGTTCGACTTCTTGGGATCGGTCACGTCGGGGAAACGCTCGGGGTCAATGTCGTGCAGGATATCCCAGATAATTCTTCCATCGGACAGTTCTGCCAATTGTTTCGGGTCGCCTACCAGGTCGAAGCTGTTGACCCATGCCAACAGAGCTGCAGTATGGGTGACGCCATGCTCCGAGTCCATCTTGGATGAGCGCGGGGAGCCGGCGAGGGGGAAAGGACAAGGGGTAGTCGATTTGAGGAATGTTCGGGCGGCGAATGGGTAGATGAATCTGTTGGCTGTGGAATTAATCGCGCCCCTGGACTCCAGGAGAGGCCGACCAAGGTCGTTGAAAATGGGTTGGGTGGATTGGACGCGTGAAACGGTGACTCGACTTTCGCGACCTTCCGAGTAGATTAGGAGGGCTCTCGGCAGTCTCGCCCGCAGGTGTCGGCGGGTCCTGGTACCTGAGCCGGGGAATTAAGTATACGCCGTATATGTAAAGCCAACAAGCTACAACCACCCAGGAAAATGTCGAGACTTTGCTTTCGTAATCCAGGCATTGGACCAGTTTAATATTTCATAATTTGAATTTATCATAAAGAAATACAACTGCAACATTCGTGACAACAAAGGTACGGCAAGCATTGTGTATTATCCAATTCATTCAAAACGCCATCGTAAAAGAATGTGTTTGTCTGCGATACATAGAGTCGATGGAAATACAAAAATTGATTTCTCTGCATTTCAGTCAACTCCTGTCGTTATTCATTACAATGTACCCTAAATCTGAGAGGCATTCATTTCGTTGACAAAGCCTGGCATAAGGCAACCGAGGCATCTCCGTTCACGAGATTGAGACAGGCTGGTCCTGTTCAATATTTGGTTTGTACTCTGTCGATTCCGTCGAAATTTGCTGGATGGCTGCCTCCGGGGCGTCCGCGGAGAATCCCCTGGTGCAGTTAGAATCAAGTGCTCAGGAGCTTAAATAGGTATTAACAGCAGATCTGTAAAGAACATACTTTATCACCACTACGGAGAACTTGTCAGCTGTGATTCAATGTACTTGGGGAGGTACTTACATGTGTACTCATGAGTGATAGTGCCACCCTATATGTACCTGGTCAGAACGTCTTGTATGTCAGGAGCATAACAACATACAGCCTTCCTGACTGAATCTTTCGCGCTATCAATCACAGAGTCTGGTGTATTCTTGGGGTAAGTGACGAGGATTGAGTTGGCAAGTGCAAGCGGCAGTAGGCCCAAGGCGACAACGCCGGAGAGAAGCTTCATGTTGATAGAACTAGGTTGAGTCGGATGGAATAACGAGCGGGCTGTTCCTTGTGGTTCCAAAGTAGATGCAGTCTTTGACTACAGCTAACAGTTTTTGATGAGAGAACAGATGTTCAAATGATTTGAGGATGGGAAGATGAAACAACATGGACCATCCGCCGCATTCAATGGGATGACGGCATGCAGCCCGGCCGCCGCTGAGTCAGCACAGTCACGCTCCTACTTTCTTTCCCGAATCGCGAGTCTTTGCAGTTCAACCTCCGCTCTTGCCATCCGATCCCTCATCCTTTCACTGTCTTCTGAACTCGACATCACATCTCTGGCGCTCGTTTTTATTTTATTTTATTTTATTTCAGCTCATCTTCTTTGCTTACATCGACTCGCTCGCGTTTATATTGTAGGATCCTCGAACGGCATATCTTCCCTCATCCCTCACATCGGGCCGACTTTGCTAGCTGCGGTCATTGAAGGATCAGTCAGGGTGGAATAACATCTCATGTGATAGCCTAACAATCCAGGGGTGGATTATCGTGGTTTCTTCGTTTCTACGTTTCGGTGATACTGGGTACAGGATTGGCGTCTACGTCCTCTAGTTGTTTTCTCAGGTTGGACCAAGATAGCTAGCAACCATTTTACAAGTTCGGACACTTTCTCCAGCTCTGTTTCCAGCAGGCCGCTTTTATTGGAAGCCAAAGGACGTGAGAATAGAACCATATCTTCACTTAGTCAAGGGGAAACCTGAAGAGAGATTGCAACAAAGAAGAAAAAAGAAGCCTGTGTTAAAAGAAAGACAGAAAGAAAGAAAAAGCTACCAAGGGGCGCTCCTGGGGAGAAAAGAAGAAGAATAAGACAAAGGACACAGGGAGAAGAAGGCACAAAAAAAAAAAAAAACATCGATATCTATCGGGGCTGACTTGACATTGTTCTTTTCCACCTACAACCTCTTTCCACCTACTCACCTGTATCCGCCATCATGTCAGCTGCGCTGGCCTCTGATGAAGTCGCTGAGGACTACAAAAACTCCTTGGAAGATCTAACTTCAAATGACAGGTTTCAGATCAGCAATTTGACCGTTATCGCAAAGGAAAACACAGAACATGCAATGGCCATCTCCCGCGTCCTGGAGAATCACATTCGAACAGTAGGTGACATCTCTTAGACTCCCCTTCTGTTTGCCGTTATGGACGACTTCCTGTGTAGTTTTATGGGATGAAGCAGTTCTAATCTTACTTTGTAGACACCACCGGCTCAAAAGCTGCCTGCGTTGTATGTAGTCGACTCTATCGTGAAGAATGTAGGCACTCCCTACACTCTGTTTCTCGGGCGGAATATGTATCAGACTTTCATGAACGCCTACACGCTGGTCGACGCGCAAACTCGCAGGAAGCTGGATGAGATGTTGAAAACATGGAAAGAGCCGGTCCCAGGTTCGCTGGATACGAGGCCGGTCTTCCCACCTGATATCACTCGCAGCATTGAGAATGCTCTTATCAAGGCGAGGACTGCTGCCCTCCAGCAACAGCAGGCTAGGGGCCAGCAAGATGTCTTCAATCGTGGTCGTGTTGGAACTCCTCCTGGCTGGCCGAACACACCTACACCTCCGCAGAACGCCGTTCGGCATCCGCCAAATGCAACCCCCCTGCAAGGCCAACGACCTGGGCCAGCCAACGGATATCCGACAGTAAGTCATATATGATTAATCTATGCGCAAGTACGGGTCTCTAACAGTCACAGGGTGAAACCATCCCAGTCCGCTCTACTCCAACACCACAGCTTCAGCCACAAGAAGTCGACATAGCATCCTTAAACCGTGATGTCGAGGTTCTCATAGCTGCTGCTCGAAACGAATTCGCGAACAACCCTCTCGACCCATCTGTACAACAGAGATTAAAGGCTCTTCTAGATTTGCAGGGCATTATGCAGCGCCAACAACTCACCCAGGAACAGCTAAAACTTGTCCGTGACCAAGTATCCGCGCTTGCTCCCAAGGCTCCCAACCCGCAAACTCAACCCGCTCCATCACACCTCCCAATCACATCAACCCCAACTATAGGCACTCCACCTGTCGCGCAGTCATTCTCTCAGCCACTTCAGCAACTCTTGAATCCAGGGACACTTGCAGAACTCATCAAAGCTACAGCTACACGACAGCAGTCCACTCCACCACCACAAATACCCACTCTCCCCCAAATACCCGTCAGTAGCACTCCGCAAATACCTACTTCGGGCGCAGAGAATCCGCTTGTTGCAGCTTTAAGGGCGAAAGGCCTCCTACCTGCAGCATCTGCACCCCCAGCAGCATCAGCCCCTCCACCGGCCGCAGGTGGTACGTTTCCATTCATAGTACCTGGACAAGTACGATATACGCCACCCGTACCTACACCACAAGCAGTAAGTACTGCAAGTACACAAACTAATGTTCAAATGAACACTGCGTCCATCAAAATGTAAGTTATACCTAGTAGATATTCGCACGGGCTCTAATCAATTACGTAGCCCGCGTAACATGTTGATCGCTAGTCTCTACGAGGCGCGGTCAAATAGATGCGGTACCTGCGGGCGTCGGTTCTTTGCAACCGAGGAAGGGAAAGAGAAGAAAGCACGACATCTCGATTGGCACTTCCGGACCAACCAGCGAATGGCTGATGCCGCCAGGCGCGCTCAGAATCGCAGCTGGTACGTCGACGAGCGGGTAAGGAACAATCCCCCAAACGACGTTTTTAACCAAGTACTAATTCAAACAGGACTGGATAAAATCACGGGAGCTGGGAGATGATCAAGTTATCACAGACTCTGAGATTGCAAATGAGAACGTTGCTGGGACCGAAAACAGTCCCTCAAAGAAGGGCCCTGCTAAAAAATGGATTCGAGCACCTAACGATGCCACATTGCGCAATACTCCATGTCCTATCTGTCAGGAGCAGTTCGAATCTACATGGTCAGAAGATGTTCAGGATTGGATATGGCAAGATGCAGTCAAAGTGGGCGCTCGAGTATACCACGCCAGCTGCTATGCGGAAGTGACGAAGGACGACCCTACTCCCACTCAGCGAGAAACCCCATCAGGACGAATAGGGACTCCCGATTCAGTGTTGGGTAAACGCAAAGCTGAGGTGAGCTTAATCTAGAGGAACTCGCGGTCTCCTTGTGCTAGGTGCTAACGTATTTCTAGGGAACCAACTCGCCTGGTCAAAATGCGCGGGTCAAGACAGAGCCGGTATGAGCTTGCATAACAAGTCTTCGAGGCTACCCACGCCTGGGTTTATTCACAGCAGTTCCTCTGAGTAGTTATTCGCCCATTATGGTGTTATTTTTCTCCTTTACTTCCCGGTCTGGGAAGCTTGCATTTAGCTGGCGGCTGTTTTTACATTGCGCGGGGATCCCGCAGTGTTTTGACTTCAAGGTCTACAAGGTGTTGATGTCGGTTATATAGCATTTAGTGGATTGGTGCTTTGTATATAGTGGTATATTCTTAGACATACCCCAAATGATCGTTTAGAACAGACGTTTCTCCGCATTGGTCTCCGTATTACTGTAATATTTATTAATTAAATGACGTCGGAAATGGAAGGCGACCCGCGCGGCGTCACTCCGTGGAGAGAAAGGAATACTACGCTGTCTCACCTCGCGCCATTATAAATACTACTACTAATAGCACACTGGCCTAGTCCATTTTTTGTACCTCCTCTCTTCTTCGTGATCCCCATATCTTTTTCAGCATACGTTGACCACACAATCTTATTCGACATGGCTCCGTACAACGTTCGGTGGGGTATCTTGGGTACGGCCTCTCCCCCCTCTCTCAATCCAAACACCAACACTAACAATGGCATCAATTGAAATACAGCCACTGGTGGAATCGCAGACAGTAAGCAAGCAACAAGCTATTCGCACATCAAAGGGACGCACACTAACCGACTGTCCAGCCTTTGTCCGCGATCTGCTCCTCGACCCCGCGGCCCGCTCGGCCTCCGACGTTTCTCACACCGTCGTAGCAGTGTCGTCTTCGTCCTCCGCCTCTCGCGCAGAGAAATTCATTGCGGATACCGGAATTCCATCTCCGTGTGCCGCGTATGGCTCCTACGAGGCTCTCGCGGCCGACCCCAACGTTGATGTCGTCTACGTTGCAACCCCCCACTCGCACCACTTCCAGAATGTCATGCTTATCCTGGAAGCAGGGAAGCACGTTCTCTGCGAGAAGGCATTTACAGTAAATGCAAAACAAACAAGGATTCTCGTTGAGACGGCGCGGAAGAAGAACTTGTTCCTCATGGAGGCTGTGTGGACAAGGTATTTCCCACTGAGCATTGAGATCAGGGACTTGATCAAGGCTGGCGCCATTGGTGAGGTTCTGCGAGTGAGCGCAGATAATAGCTTTGGCGGCGTGGAAAAGTTTAGCACTGAGCATCGAATGGTTAATATGGATTTGGCTGGGGGGGCTTTGCTTGATCGTGCGTTCAGCCATCCACTCCTGTTCTTCTCGTTTCTGCCTTAATGCAGGCGTATGCTGAAATACTAACGTGGGTGCAGTTGGCATATACTCCCTAACCTGGGTGTTCCAAACACTCTACCATACGCTTCCCAAGGAAGCAAGAAAGCCTCCATCGCGCATCTCCGCTCACATCACACCTTATCACCTCACCGGCGCAGACGAGGCAACCACAATCCTGCTATCCTTCCCAACAACCACGCCCGCAAACGCCAACCACCCAGGTGAATCCCAAGCTATCGCGACAACGCACCTCCGTGTATGGAGCGATCCCGACGAGACCAATGCCGCTCGACCTGCGATCCGTATCCAGGGCACAAAGGGTGAGATCCAGGTTGATGGGCCTGCGTTCCGGCCGACCGCGTACCGTATTATTCCTCAGAAAGGGGAGGGCGATATCAAGGAGAAGAATTTTACGTTCCCGTCTGGTGGGAGGGGTATGTATTATGAGGCAGATGAGGTGGCAAGGTGCTTGAGGGATGGGAAGCTAGAGAGTGATACCTTGTCTTTGGAGGAGAGTATCGTGATGATGGATGTAATGGACGAGGCAAGGAAGCAGAATGGCCTGACTTATCCGGAGAAGATCGAGTCGACCGTCTATCCTACGCAGCTGTAAAACCGAGGCAATGGTCTTCCAGTTGAGGTTGCAAGGCAATAAATTAATTCAAGGATGGGTTTAGATCTCATTCAAAACACGACCCTTAATACTATTGTACATAGTGTGGAGTCTCGCGGTTGTCTATATCTCGACTGACGCCTGTGAGACAGAGCTTTTCCAACAAGTTCCATCCCCTTCAAAATAAAGACAGAACAAAACCCATTTACGATTCCCCTAAGTAACCGCTCATGTCACTATATCAAGGAATTGGTAGACCGCACGGTTTTGGCATCACTGCGTACATAAACAAAGGAAATTATAGCTTCTTAGTTTCTGAAAACACCGAGAAGGCTCTTCCACACCTGACCAGGCTCCTGGCTGGCATCGATTCCCCGCCAGATGCCGGTCTTCTTGTAGTACTCACAAACCGGGGCGGTCTGGTTGTGGTACGTAACCAGGCGCTTCTTGAGGGCATCGGCATTGTCGTCGGAGCGCTGAATAAGAGGCTCGCCAGTGACATCGTCCTTCATGGCGTCCTTGGGAGGGTTGAAGATCTTGTGGTATGAACGTCCAGAAGCAGGGTGAACCAGACGTCCGGTGATACGGGCAACCAAGAGGGCGTCGTCAATCTTGAGCTCGATAGCGTGCTGAAGCTTCTGGTTGCTAGCAACAAGCATCTCGTCGAGGCGCTCGGCCTGGGCGACAGTGCGAGGGAAACCGTCCAGGATGAAACTAGTAGACGTCAAGATCAGCATCATGTGGTGTGAAAGAGAATGGAACAGATACACACCCGTTCTTGCACTCCGCGTTGCCTTCCAATTCGCTCTTGATCATGTTGACCATAATCTCGTCGCTAACCAGACCACCCTGATCCATGATCTTCTTGGCCTCCCTTCCGAGGTCGGTCTTCTTCGCGACTTGGGACCGCAGCATGTCACCAGTGGCCTAAGAAAAGAAAGTCATCAGCCACGCGAGTCTGTCACAGGTATTCCGAATGCGGGTAGCTTACCAGGTGGCAGACGCAGTACTTCTCCTTGATCTTTGGGGCCTGGGTACCCTTGCCTAGTCTCCGAGTCAGAAGCTGATTAGAACAACCAAATTTGCATGTCCCAACGTACCAGCACCAGGAGGTCCCATAAGGATCAATCGCATTTGCTCCGTGACGGACTTGGGCTTGGCTTCGCCGCCAGGAAGACGGCTTTCCAAGTCCTCAATGCGAGCTTCGAGCTTTCCGATCGTGGACTTGAGTCCATCGACCACCTCGTCTGTGATGGGAGCCATTGCGGAGAAAGAATTAGGTGCGGAAGGAGAGCGATAACTCTAGCGAAAGAGCTTATCTGGGGGAGATCGAGAGAGAGGTTGGGGAGGAAGCAGGGTAAGGCGCAAGGACGGGGGAATGGAAGGGAAGGACGGGAACTGGATGCTGGGCTGAAGAAAACGAGACCGAGAGCGGAGGACGCACCCGCTGCTCCGAGGCTTGTCTCCGGCTTATGTCGTCGCCAACTCCGCCGAGTCGCGAAGATAGATTCGCAGGAACATTACGTAGTTGTATTTCTACAAACTCTATAATAGCTTAAACCCAACTTTACATGCTTTATAAGTGCAACCCCGGTGAAATAATCACGGAGTAGAACATGTGTCTTTATGCCTCAGGCCACAAGGTATATGTGGCTTTGGCGGCACCAGCCACTGTGGCTCAAAGAGAGCTCCAGCGTCAACTTAGGTGACTTACCTAACTGACGCAGACAGCCAACAGCCTGAGCTTCCATCTCTCATCATCCCCATCAGCCTACACCATCCGCTTCGAAGCTCCCTTATTCACCTTGAACAGCCCTCTCATTCTGTCTTGTCGGACCCCTGACTTCGATCTACCTCCGGCTTCTAATTTATTCCTATTTCTGCTCCGCCATGCCTGCCACCACGGCGGACACGCTCTCGCTCGTCACGCGGACCGTCACCGTTGCTCCATTGGTACTTCTCTCCGTCGCAGATCACTATGGACGTTCCGCCAAAGGTACCCGGAAGCGGGTGGTTGGTGTGCTGCTAGGAGAACACATGGGAGGGAATGTTCGGGTATCAAACAGTTTCGCTGGTACGAGCTGGCACCTGAGCCGTCCTGTCATCACAAGCTAATGCAATCCAGTCCCCTTCGAGGAAGATGAGAAAGACCCATCTGTGTGGTTCTTAGATCACAACTTTGTCGAGTCAATGCGAGACATGTTCAAGAAGATCAACGCCCGCGAGAAGCTGATCGGATGGTATCACTCTGGGCCGAAACTACGAGCTTCCGATCTCGAAATCAACGAGCTGTTCAAACGTTACACGCCAAACCCCCTGCTAGTTATTGTTGATGTGCAACCGAAGGAGGTTGGAGTTCCTACTGATGCGTATTTTGCGGTGGATGAGATCAAAGATGTAAGTTCCGCGAATCCTTCGCCAAATATCATGCTCATTCTCTGTTTGTCAGGACGGCACCACTACCTCCAGGACCTTCGTGCATACCCCATCCACAATCGAGGCGGAAGAAGCAGAGGAAATTGGCGTGGAGCACCTCCTGCGAGACATTAGAGATGTCGCTGTCGGAACGCTCTCCACCCGCATCACATCGCAGCTACAGTCCCTGCAAGGTCTGCACCTCCGCCTGCGTGATATCGGCCAATACCTCCAAAAAGTCCTCGACCACGAACTACCAGTAAACCACGCCATTCTTGGCAACCTCCAGGATGTCTTCAACCTCCTTCCCAACCTATCCACACCGGCGACGACGCCCCGCGCCGGCGGTGAGCCAGAACAACCAACAGATAACGCCGAGCTAGCCCGCGCCATGAGCATTAAGACGAACGACCAGCTGATGGCCATCTACCTGAGCAGTTTGGTGCGTGCTGTCACCGCATACCACGACTTGATCGAGAACAAGATCCAGAACCGGCAACAGCAGGAGGAAAACGAGCAGAAGAGGGAGCAAGAGGCCAATGCCGCGAAAAACGAGAAGGAGGGTGCAAAGAAGGCCAATGGCACTGCAACTGAGCAGAAAGAAGAGGAGTCCAAGGAGAAGACGAAGAAGCGATAGACAGGCACCAAGTGAATATGACATGATCTAGATGGGTGCATCGAAATGTACACTATGATTATTTCAAAGCTAAAGTCTTAATATTCACGGTTGCCAACAACGTATCTTAGCTGCATTGTTAAGGCTCGTAGGTTTAACGGATAGTCCACCAACCCCGGTAAAAAAATATCGATCTAAAACCGCAGGCCGGAGTACAATCTTTCCACAGTCTCGGAACCTGGCTCCCACCGGCCATGGTCGAAATCATGAGGCTCGTTATCTACCCCGACTCGTTCACAGAACTTCCAACATGGCTTATCCGCAGAATACTCAAGTGCTTAGTCGACCAATCCTATCATAGTGGCTGTGGGATTGCTTGTACAAGGCGGAGTTGGTTCTTATCTGGGAATACTCAACGGGCAATGTGCCCCATACTCCTGTTACCAACCCAACACGAGTCATATAAGGCGTCCAAGGTAAGGCTTTTGTCCCTGAAAATTGATAAAGATCTGATTTCTGTAGAACCAAAAGGGTATTGAAGAAGTCCCCACAGGTAGATCTTCCTTACGAGCCACCCAATCGCGTCAACAAACCGCCTTGTGGTTCCTGGCATATACAACAATGCGTATATCAATTCCAGATTCATACTCCAGGGCATGGTCTTCGCCTTCACAGCCTTGCTTCCCAAATAGGGCGGAGACGCTTACAGAGTGGTATAAAGAGAGCGATGTTGCTCTTGATATCGATCAACAGAATCAACACTCAAGTATCTTTCGCACTCCATTTTCTAGGTTGACAAGTCTTGCAAGCTTCACCATGCGCTTCACACATATTCTCGCTGCGTTCCCAGCCATTTTTTTCACTGCTGAGTCCTCTATATTTACTCTGTTCAATGGCCCTCTAATACCAGTCAGGCACTCGGGACTGCAATCCCCCAAGACTTCCCGTTGCAGGATAACAACCTCGTCAAAAGGACAGACTTCTCAGATGCAACGGTCAACTGGCACAATTACGATGGCACCAGCTCCGGTCGAGTTTACGATGGGATCCAGTATCTGCGAGGGGTACGAGGTCAGCCTGAGATGGGACCAGGCCCAGGTGCTTGTGCTCGAGTGAGCTGCGATACCGGCACCTCTATTTGGTGGTGCAACGATGTGAGTTTTATCTTGCTATCTTACCCTTCTTGTACATATGGGATGTGGAGCTGTACTAATACTCGCTGCGTATAGGACTCTCAGGATAAGACTCTGGATGGTTTTGGAAGTATTGCCGACGGTGCAGGGCAAATCCAGTGGAAGTGTTCGTGGGGCGCATTCGGCCAGTGGACTAGTGGGCAGATTTTCCACAAGACAGGCTGGAACGTTATTGTCCGTGCGGACGATTGTTAGTTTGCAGCTGGATATCAGGTGGATACTATCATTTTTTTGTCCTTCCTTCAGGCTGTCTACTGCGGTTCAGGTTAGCTCTCGTACAAACTGTTAGGTGGCTATCACTGCAATAGATGAGACATTTACACTACAAGCTCCTTCTCATCGACTATGGCCCCAAGTCATTCTACCCCAAGTAATCGCTGCTAAGCACCCCGTAGTCAACTGGTTGGCTGGCATTGACCGTTAGTCTCGCAAACACAGTCAGGTCTTCCTGGCTAATATAACCACAGTTTTATAAGTAGCTACATCTTCAGAAAACTCTTCTATTCATGATTCTCTGCACAAACAATATGGGCATTGCATCTACCGGTTTATCCAATTGGGGCAGGCGAAGTATAAGAGTATAGTCCCACTAATCCCAATCCGTAATCACCATCCCGGGCGGGCGAAACTCCGTCCCGCCTCCAGCAGCCGCAGACCCGCCAAGACCCACAACACTCCACTCATGTGACCTCGTAAACCCGCATAGGCCCCTTGTCTAACCAAGCCAGAATATCTCACCGATCTAATATCCACTAGGGTCGATAGCTCAGGGGTAGAGCAAGCGGCTGCAGTCCGCTAGGTCGCGCGTTCAATTCGCGCTCGGCCCTTTCATTCTTTTTTGCGATTTTTGGCGGTTTTTTGAGCCTTCCTTTCAGTAAGATGGCTGCATTCAGGGCTCTGCCTGCTCGGAGGTCAACTGGCCCGTGACCAGCCACTCGTGGAGTACCACCAGCGTACAACAGGAGGAACACAAACAAATAAGAGTGTGCTCCGTATTCTACTCGTCTTTTTATTCATTTCATTGTGTTTTGAGCCATGACCGAGCGCGAATTGAACGCGCGACCTAGTGGACTGCTTGTTGCCTGGTCATGCCAGGCGATGTTGTAACTATATATTTCCTATACCCCTGATGATGCAAGTCGCCAATCAATTACAATAACGGTAGAACACCACCACCACACATATCCAACACCTGCCTGCTCCCTCTGTTGTGCATCAAAAGCACTTATAACCGGAACCATGAATAGCGTTGATAGATTTAAAAATATGATGTTGATTGTAACACCCCGCGGTCTCTTAGAGAATGATAAGGATACATGCGTAACTGGTTTAATGACCTATTTAAGCCCTGTCTATCCAGCCCAGCCGACGCTCCTCGCCAGCCAACTGACTGCCCAATCCGCATCCCCAGGATTTATATGTCGACATATGGGTCAAACTAAAATACAGAATGAAGAAAAGATAGTGTGGGTATTGAAAGAAGACACGCACACCACCAAAATAGGCAACGAGCGCGCCAACAAGATCAAAAAGAGAAGATAGAATGAGATATCGAAGAGCAATCAGATGCACGCTCAATAACCACAACACAAATGCCAACAGAAGCTTCTTTGCAGTGCCACTCAGAAATAAAAAAAAAAAGAAATGGCGGATTTTCTCTGCAAAGTCTTGTTGTATCGTTTTGAAAATTCATTGCTTTCGTGAACCATAACACCACCGTTACCCCGTAAATGAGATTATTAGAGAGGAATAAAACTGGACAATCTGTAGAGCCGAAGGGAAGGGTCGTAAGGCAGGATAGACGGGGCGCTGGCTATAGATAAATAGAGAAGTCGCTTGGCAGATACCTCCCCTAACAAAATAGCCGATATAGGCATTGTCACCAGTGGTCAGCTACTGGGATGCAGGAGTGGCAGCGGGAGCACCGTTTGGTCCTCCGCGGCCTCGACCACCACGGCCCCCCCGACCACGGCCGCGAAAGTCACCACGACCACGGCCACGTCCGCGACCACGTCCGCGGAAGCTAGGCTGCCTCTGGTGGTGATTGCCGGCCGAGTCGAGGCCATTGTCACCAGGCTTGGTGGGTACAGAGGTTTCTTCGGGTGCAACGTCGGCGTTAATATTGGCAGGTGTTGCCTGGAGACCGGTGTCTGTTTCGGCCGGATTACGAGGAATCTCGACAAAGCCATCCGTGTTCGTGGAGGAGGCAAGGGGATCATTGTGCGGCTCCCAGGCCGCTTCGGCGACCGCATTCGCACCGTCCGAAACGAGCGTCTGCGGGGGTGGAGCAACGTTTTCAGTTTCAGCCGCAGAACCTGTAGGTTGGTTTGAAGCAGCTTCGGTAGTATAGGTAGAATCTTGGAGCTCGGTGGATGCTGCGTTAGCTGCGGTAGGGTCAGATGTAGGCGCAGCCTCCGGATCCTTTGTCTCTTCGGAAATCTGGATGACCTGGGAGTCTGAGAATTGAGAAATTAGCTTTGATCCTCATATAATACATCAGCAGAACACTCACAGGTGATGTCTAGTATGTTACCCTCAACACTGCTAACTTTCTCATCAGTGCCATCGATGAGCTTCTGCATTGAAACAACTGCATTAAGATCACCGCTATAGACTTGCGCCAGCACACCTTCAAAGGCGAGTGTGTCAACCTCAGAGCCGAGACCACGGTGCCTCCTGACCGCAGCAGCACAGAGGAACTTGGCCACACGGAGCAACTGCTGGCTGAAATCCTCCTTCTTCACTTCAGGAGCTGCCTGAGCGGCTGGTGCATTGGCGACTTCCTCTCGGAGAGCCTCCAGTTCCTTGTGTGCCTTCTCGAGCTCCGCCTTCTGACTAGCCAAGCGCTGTTCGTAGAACGTCGCGAACTCCTTGTAATGACCGATCTGCTCCTCTAGCTGCGAAACGGCGGCCTGAAGAGCAGGTTTCTTCAGGGCTTGCGCCTTTTGGTCATTGTTGATCTTCTTCTCCGCAACCAGGTCATCCAGCGTCTTTTTCGGGTTTTCGGCGATGATAGCGTCAACTTTAGCGGTCGCATTCTAAATGGAGTTAATACAAGGAAATACATCGTGACTCAAGCTACTGACCAGCTTCTTCACATTGTTGCGCAGGTTCCTAAGTATCGGTCAGCACCCCCAAACAAGCAGCCAGTGAGAGATGTGAGAGCTCCGAAGCGATCATACTTATGAAGTTCTTTGTAGTGTGGAAATCCAGAAAGCTCTGAAGCAGTGCCGGCAACAGAATTGCTAACACTGGTTGGCTTTGCTTCTGAGAGAGCGGGAGATTGCGCTGCAGCCATGATGGAGGTAGAAGATAGTGAAACCCGAATTTCGGTTCAGAGGTGATAAGGTGATGATGAGGGTTGGGTGGAAAAGATAAAAAACGAAAGGGAATAGAGATTCTGAGCTCAGACAGCAGCCTGAAGGAATACACGAAAGTAGGTAACAGACAGAGGAGAGAATGAGAGGAGGAACTGACGTGTAGAATCGAGTGGAGGGCCGAAGAAAGAAAGGTGAAAGGCGGGCCCGTCACCGATCATCAGCGCCGCCTTGGTTTGTCGCGTGCTGCAGGGGTCAGCCCAACAGTGACACAAGCACTGCCTGAGAAGAATATATAGATAATGACACTATTTACTTGTGTGCGGAATGATTATTCTATTTGGGAACGATCGTGGCTTTCTAAGGCTGTCCATTGAGTACAAGGACCATCTTCGCACCGATGAGGCTCTTGCGGAGCTCCAAGTCGTTGACTACACTGTATAGTTAACGGCCACGCATAAGTACACCATGCATACATCAAATTGGGTATCGTAACAGTTAAATAACGCCATAAACTCCGTCCATACCTCGAAAGGTGACAATATTTCCGATAGAAATCAAGAAGCCGCGCGCCCAGCCTTATGCCGGCTATCCTGAACTATATCACCCATCATACCCCATGCCGCGCAAATCTCGAAACCATCGTAAAGCTCAGAGTAAGAAAAAGGATTCACTCGGCTCAGCCTTTGAATTTCCGCAACGTTTTCTGCGATACCAAAACCCCATGAATCAGCATTATCCCAAAGAAACCGCCGTCGTCCGACCAAACATACTTCAGTCACCTTGCGAACAGAATTTGGGCTGATATGCTTTTCACCCGCCTTGCGCGATCGAATCGAAGCTTCACGCATCAATCTGTTATCGTCAGAGCGGTTCAAGTCGCGGTGCTATACGCGCCATCTCGGGGTTGGAATCGCAGGCTTTGGGGGGCCGCGCGGAGTCAATAGGCGAGTGGGGTAGCATTGACTTACTCTTGCATGAAGAGCATGTAATCGAGAAATATCTGGCAACAAAACCATAGGCGTTAGTAATTATTTATCAAACAGTCCCTTGGGTGATGCTTTGTTTACCAAGATATCGGCGTTTTTGTTCAAGCTGCGGTTGGCTTGAGCTTTGACTATCCGCTTCACTGTCGCTCGGGGATAAAGTTTCTGAGTAGCGGCCATTGTAGCAATGGGAGACAGGCGCCCGCTTGAGAGTAGTTTGCTTCGAATTGATAACGTTAATGGTGATGTTGATTAAGGCTGTCCAGCCTCTGGTGGATACGTGCTTTACATAATCTTTTTATCGGAAACTGACCGAGACGGGAGTTTTTCGGTATTTCCATTACCGTACGCTGTTATGACGCAATGGACTTTTGGAACAAATGGAGTAACTTGAAGTGGAGATGGATAGTTCTCGACTCTAAAAGCATAGATTGGGTATTTATTTAACAAGAAGGCAGATAGCCCCATCCAATTAGACTGTTTATATAGTGAGTTTTCGGCGGAGATATCTCCAGACGCATAACGCCGCCACAGACCCCATAGTCACTCGCCAGGCAACAAAGATATAGAGAGCGACTCGGACCTTTTCATAGTAACCCTTGAGCATGATGCCGACTGCATAGGCACTTTCATCGGGGCTCTTATCAGATGATCCATAATATCTTCCAACCCCAAGCCCTCCGATGCCGACTTGGTTACGGTCGTCGCCCTCACGATCCTCAACAACCACCGGCAGCGCTGCCGTTTCGCCATCAATAGCTGTATTGCTCGGCCGACGCCGCGCCCCGAACTTGACCTGGTGCACATTGCGTTTCCGCAATTGGTAGGTAAGGATGTTTATGAGGAGGCGCAAGTCAGGGGACGTGAAATTGGGGTAGTTCCACAGCTGGACGGCTGTGTGGGGAGGCAGCATGTCCAAAAAGTCTGCTAGTATGCCGAGTGTTAGACCCCAGAGAAGGAGCGGTGGTTTTTGGTCCGACCTGGCTTGAGATTTGTAGAGCATTGATTTGCATGTTTGCAGCAAGGTGGGGGGTTGAGCAGCCTCGAGATTGCGTTTGAGATTCGTACTGCATTGCAAGGTCTCAGTAGGATTCAAGCTAATGGCCGAGAATTGCATATAGCCCATCATAGCCCGGCTTGCTAGACGAGCCATTAGACCCCCTGTATTTGCAAGCCGCTGTGTCATGTCGACGTTCTCTACAGTTCGTGACGCAGGTGAGAGGAGGACGTTTAAGGACACCCAGTGAGTCGATGCCACTTCGTCAGGTTGTAGTTCGAGAACGGGGGAGTCGCATCCCGTTAGGAGGAAGACATACGGACAGAGGACCATTAATCTGCCCCAATTAGTACAGTGAAGTCATAAGAAGGCCAGGGAACTTACGGAACGCTGCCCCAGCTGGATGTTACCACCCGCTCAGGTAGATTTCCCACGTATATGCAATCGTCTGTTGTTAAGTCGAGGCCGACCTCTTCCGAGGCCTCTCGAATTGCAGCCGCTCGATCATCAGCATCCTCTGGATCTCGTTTCCCTCCAGGAAGCGCCACATGGCCAGTCCAACGGTCCCCAATGCGCGAAGCTCTTTTAATGAATAGGACCTCGGGATCTCCGTTCTGCACCCATGGCTGGGAGAAAAAGGTGCGTAGCTGATCTGTCACGGGCGCGTTGGCATCATTTTGGAGAAGTGAGGATCGGTCCGGTCGGTGATTATACGTAGACCGCACCCGAAGGACTAGGGCAACGGAGGCGCGTTTCTTGCATTGCGGAGGGTTAGGGACATGCGGATAGGAATTCTGGTAGAGCTCTAGCAAGACATTGTGGAGGGACGAGGGCAATGAAGTCGCCTGTTGCGACGCTGAACTAGCGTCATGCATGAGGCTCAAAGTGTCTAAAATGAGTGCAGTAAGAAACTAAACAAGGCGCATAGATATATACAAGGCGGCGATGTATACACCAAATCTAGTAGACGAATCGCGCGGAGTAGAAAGGAGAAGATGCGGAGAGTGGGAAGAACTCCGAGGGTAACGGTGCAAAAAATTACTAAGAGCGCAAGTAATTAATTTATGAAAGATTAATACAATACCGGGAACGTACCGGACCCACTTTAGCGGTATCGCCATCGGCTCCCCGATTGGCGAGAACTGGGAGCTTTTCGGCCGCACGTGCTCCAATGTAGCGATAGCTATCGTCCAGTGCCTCAAGAGAGCCCGCCTGCCAGACGACGCTATAACTGCTGGGTTTCCCTCCACTCGGAACAAATTCTGATTTTGGTTTGAGCTGAGGGAGTCGGTGACTTATATTGAAGATATTTCGCAGCCGGGCACATCGTCTATTTTATTTTCGCCTTGCTGGTACTTCATTCCCCAAGCTCCTTCATACAGAGTACGATCTCTCCACCCCCCACCTCAGAACGGCCCGCTCTGGAGAAATTGTGCTACCATGCGTTTCGGAAAGACTCTGCGAAACTCGGTGTATCCGCCATGGAGCAAGAACTATATCGACTACAACAGGCTGAAAGGCTTACTCAGGGAGCATGATGTTGCTGGCGATGATAGCGATACAGACAGCTCATGGACGGAACAGGACGAGGAAGCCTTTGTCCAGGAATTGCTCAATGTCCAGCTAGACAAGGTCAATGCTTTCCAGGTACAGACCTCGCAGCAATTGAAAGACCGGACCACCGCATGTGAGAATAAGCTGCGGCCTTTGGCTCAGGTTGGCGAAGAGGGTGCAGAAGAGGATAAAATTAGAGTTGCCTCCGAGGCTTTGACGGAGCTTGATGACATTACCAAAGAGGTTAGCGAGCTGGAAAAATATAGCCGTATTAACTTCACCGGCTTTCTCAAGGCTGCAAAGAAGCATGACCGGAAACGAGGTGCTCGATACCGCGTGAAGCCTTTACTCCAGGTTCGCTTGTCACAATTGCCATTCAACTCAGAGGATTATTCGCCGCTAGTTCGCCAACTGTCCGTGATGTACTCCTTCGTGCGGGAGATCTTGAGCACTAGCACCGTTGAGCCAGAACATGGATTCGGCAAAGACCATTATTCTTCGTTCAAGTTCTGGATTCATGCCGATAATATGTTGGAGGTTAAGACGTTGATCCTACGCAAGTTGCCGGTTCTCATCTATAACCCCAAATCTTCGAAGGAACTCGAGAGCCACACGAACGACCCTACCATTACCTCACTATATTTTGATAATCCCCAATTCGATCTCTACACCCAAAAGGTCGCTCGCAGCCCCGAGGCTGGCTCGCTACGGTTACGCTGGACCGGAAACCTGAATGAAAAGCCCCCGATATACCTGGAAAAGAAGATTGTGACAAGCGACAATGTCAGCAAGGAAGTCAAGGTTCAATTGAAGCAAAAGCACGTGAAGGAGTTTCTTGATGGGGAGTATCGCCTAGAGAAGCAGGTCCATCGGATGGAGGATATGGGTAATAATGAGGTGGAGCACGCAGGGTCTCTTAAGCGGGACGTGGAAGAGCTACAATCCTTTATCAAGGAGCAAAATCTGCAGCCTATGCTCCGGGCCAATTACACCCGCACAGCCTTCCAAATCCCCGGCGACGACCGGATTCGTATCTCTCTTGATACAAACTTGGCACTCATTAGGGAAGACTCTCTGGACAACGAGCGTCCTTGCCGTGATGAGAAGGAGTGGCATCGTACCGACATTGATGATGCCGGGATGGAGTACCCCTTTCCCGCCATCAGGACCGGCGAGATAGTCCGTTTTCCTCACGGCCTGCTAGAGATCAAACTGCGCGGGAGTGCAGCCCATAACTCAGAGTGGGTCAAGGACCTGATGGTTTCTCACCTTGTCAAAGAAGCTCCACGGTTTTCGAAGTTCGCCCACGGTATTGCACAACTTTTTGAAGACCACGTCAATAGCTTCCCATTCTGGCTCTCCGAGCTTGACAAGGATATCAGACGTGACCCTGAAACAGCATTCCATGAAGAGCAAAAACGTCTGGCCAAGAACGCTGAGGAAGACATGGCTGTTGGAAGCTTCCTTGGGACAAGATCGAGTCCATCTGCGAGGCCTCTTGTGGGTTCACCAATAACGAGGTTCACAGATCTTGAACCGACACGGGCGCGGCAGTCGTCGCATTTCTCGGCTCCACAACCCCGACCCTCTGTACCGTCTTTGGCACAGGCTCGCGAGCGCGATGCCGAAAGAGAACAACAGGAAGAGCCAACACTTCTCGCCCGACAAGAAGAACCCGTAACACAATCTCGCTTGGCCGCTTTATTCCCCTCGTTCATTGGATACAACCGCAACAAAAGACCATCCGTTGTTTTGCCTCCGGGAGTACAGGAGCCAGGAGTATGGATCAAGGATGCAGGCCCAGTCCGTGTTGAGACCAAGGTTTGGCTTGCAAACCAGCGAACCTTTATTAAATGGCTGCACGTCAGTATTTTGCTTTCATCTCTTTCCCTTGGCCTGTACAATGCGGCTGGTAAACACAATGACATAGCTCGTGCATTGTCTATTGTATACACCTGCTTCGCTATATTTGCAGCTGCATGGGGATGGTACATGCACGAGATGCGCGCAAGACTTATCCGTCAACGGAGCGGACGTGATCTCGACAACACGTTTGGTCCAATCGTGGTGTGTATCGGATTGGCCGTTGCACTTGTCCTGAACTTTGCTTTCAAGGTATCTATCTCCTCTTCAATAGTTATGCCCAGAATCTAACCACATCTATAGTATTCTTCTACACTCGAAAAACTCCGCGGCGGAGACCAGCCCGTCGATACGCCTGCCCTGGACGCTGCCTTTTCAATGGCGCAAAAGCCGGAGATTTGGAAAGTTGCTAACCAGCAACCTCTTAACTAAGCCACATGCATACACAGTATAACCGCCTCATTCATGGAAAGTGTGCTATATTAGTTCATTGCGCCGTTGATGTATCATTCAGTCCGACCAGTCTAGCCATCCGGGTCGACATGTTTCAACTATTATTAGTTTGATGTTTTCATGACACAGGAGTAGGATAGTGTTTTGTTTTACTAGAACCATCAATATAACACAACAAAATCACGGATATGCGTTCTACACTTCCAGTATGGTACTCAGTAACTAAGCCGAAGTGTGCTCCAGCAAGCCCACCGGCAATTCCTAATGCTGACAAATCCATACAATGAAGCATTCCAGAATCCAACTATATGAATCCCCGCCTCCAACTCCTCATCACTATCATATCATTTTTCCTTACATACCTCACATATCTTGTTACGTTAAAACCGAAGCCCCGGAATAATGACGAATTTCAAAATTCAAATCACGTCCGATAGTGTCTGCCCGGTACATCCATCCACCCATCCATCTCCCTTCCATACCACCAAAGGACCTTGCTAACAAAAACCAGTGGTGCTACGTCGGCTACAGGCGCCTATCACGCGCAATAGCAACACACAAAGCCACGAACCCCCTGGACACATTCACTATAACCTGGTCACCTTTTTACCTGAATGCAGGCGCGCCAGCGTATCCAGGCGTCGACAAGCAGGAGTTTTATGCGTCCAAGTTTGGGGCGCGGGCGCCAGCTATGTTTTCGCGGCTGAGCGCTATTGGTGAGGCCGAGGGCATCGCTTTTAAGTTTGGGGGGAGGCTTGGGAGGACGAGAGATTCGCACCGACTTGCTTGGTTTGCGGGGGCAAAGGAGAAGGAAGGCCAGGGGAGTGGGAATGGGGGTGGGGTGATTGGGGGCTTGCAGACGAGGGTGGTGGAGAAGTTGTTCCGGGCCTACTTTGAGGAGGAGAAGAATATTACGGAGAGGGGGGTGTTGGTTGATGCTGGGATTGCGGCTGGGCTGGAGAAGGGCGAGGTGGAGGGACTGTTGGATTCAGATGCTGGAGGGAAGGAAGTTGATCAGGAAGCTGAGGCGGCGAGGAGGCAGTTTGTGACTGGCGTGCCCTATTTTATGGTGCAGAGCCAGTATGCCGTTGAAGGGGCCGAAGAGCCAGACACGTTTTTAGACATTTTTCAGCGTATAAAGGGCGCGGAAGCTTCGTGAAGAAATCTCTACGGTTCAATGGGCACCAGGGCAAAATGATAAGCTGATTGCATTTGTTTGACAAACATGATCGAATTAGAAGCAGTGGTAAGACTAATACACAACATGAAAACCCGACACCGTAGAAAAACCCACGCAGAAGCCAATCCAAGATGAGAAGCGTTGCTGCAAACGCCGGTGGCATGCGAACATCTAGAAATACACAGTGGAAGAAATAAGAGGGCAACGAGGAACCGCTGATGAGAATGAGATTCGAACATGCCATCCAGCGCCAAACAGAAATAAAACGCAAGAAGAAAGCAAAGGTGAGAATGTGAGCAATTTCACCCCCATGAGTCATAACTGTGTCATAAAAGGATAGAGACGTAGTAGAGATAGATGCAAAAGAGAAGCTGACTCTATATCTAACGCCCCCCTATCGATAGCCTTAAAGCTGTGTAGCTTGCTGGAGTTGGAAATCCGGAATGTACTCGAACCCGTCGGATTTCGGGTTGTAACGATATGCTTTGAACTCCACGCCATAAGGCTTAGGCTCTAACATGTACAACATTCCTAACGGCACATCTAGATCAGCAACCTCGTCACGCTTGAGACCGCGGAAGTAAGCTAGTAGAACGCGTGCCACTGAGCGATGAGTGACTAGAAGCACATGGTCGGTCATTCGCTCCATCTCGATGATGACTGTTCGAAGTCTGTTGATAATGTCTAGGTATCCCTCGCCACCAGGGCCGGGATAACGGTAGTACAGCTTGTTCTTTTTGCGGGTTGCGTACTCGTCGGGGAACTTGTCGCGGATCTCTTCGTAAGTCATTCCTTCCATTTTGCCCGCATAGAGCTCATCGAGCATCTTCATTTGCTTGACATCATAGTCATCTTCGTTGAAATGCTCAACTGATTGTACGCTACGCTGCATCATTGAGCTCCAGACACAGAAATTGCGTGGCCGGTCTCGGGGAATGTATGAAGGGTTTGGTGGAGTGCTATCCCCAGCGCGTGGTGGCATTTGCGACATCATATACTTCTGCCTCTGATTCAATTCCCAAAGTGCTCTCTGTTCATTCATGAACCGAGTTAAGGCCTCTGCATACCGATGGCCATTCTCGCTCAGTTCAGAATCACCACCAATACGACCGGCCTGGTTGTCTTTACTCTCACCGTGCCTGGTGATCCAAATCTGACGTGGTGAGAGGTTGAAGTTCAGTAGATAGTACACAACCTGGGAAGAGAGGAAGCCGTGAGTTTGATGCGAGACGACCTTGCGCCCCACGTCAATCATGCGGATATACGGCATATTCAACGACTCTTCGTATTCGCCGAGCGGGAAGTACGACTTTTCATACAGCGCAACACGTTTCTTGAAGTCCTCAAGGGCTTTGACAGGATCCTGATCTCTGTAATCCGGACCGGACAGCTTCAGGCGCATATTCGCTTCTAGAAGAGCGGGATCCTCGCAGCTGCTTTCAAGGAACAGAACACCGAGTTCCGGACCAGCACGCTTTTGAATATGATCGACAATAGCTTTACGGCGCTCGAGCGTGCTGTTGGTTGCGTCCAAGATGCCAACGCTGCCACCGCGCTCAAGAACGTAATCCAGAAGTTCATCCAAAGTTTCAAGGGCCACCTGCTCTCTCAGTTTCAAAGCCTTTTGGTTCTGAGGATCGAAAAAATTGGCTGACTGATCCATTGGCTCGGGAGACGCTTCGACTATTCTTTCCTGATCTTGAGCTTCAGCTTCACTGGCGGGAACAACGGCGGGTTCGTCCGGCAGCACAGCCGATTCATCCTCTCGTCCATTAACGAGGATCTTGGTCGGCATAACAGGAGGCGGCAGAGCGTTATCAAGCTCGGGGGGCGATTCATCCTGGGGTGCAGGCACCGACTCATTCTTCGCAGATGTCATCCCACCGACACTAACGCTGAGACGACGTACGGAGTCAACGAGTTCTTGCTGCACAGAACTATTTCTGTGACGCCCCGGTGCAGCTGGAGACTTTCCCGCTGCAACGCGACGACGCTCCCCGACATTGAATATTTCGGTATCATGCTGCAGCCAGTTCAAGTAACGGGCAAGTTTCTTTGTGACATAGCTCTTACCCCGTGCAGGTAAGCCGACCATGATGATGACCAGCTTGGAGCCGAGGTCACGCTGAGCGATACGTCCATCGGGAGAAACCTTGGATTTGGTAAGGCCGGGGATGTCAAGGGTAGTGGCACGAACGCGGCCGGGTGTAGACGCCTGGCTTGTAGCGACACTATACAGCGATTATTAGATTCACATCATATTCAAGAGATAAGAAAAGCAATGCCCGAAAGATTATTGATAAGCATTGATGCAAGGAGACAACGATAAGGTATACACTAGTGGTCCACGAAGATTGGGAATATCCCGACAGTGCAGAACGCATCTAGACCACCAACAAGCTCTCTGACAGGCAGACCAAAGCTGCATCGAGAGAAGAAACGAACCAACGGGAGGTCAGAACGAGAAGCAGCACTTACAACTGTGGGGACGAAGGTGCGGTAGAAATCGGAGTGTCTGTTAGGGCGAACCCGACACCATCCCTGGATGCCTGTGATTTCTTGTGGGAATCGGAATGTAAGTCATTCCCGAGTGCTCTTCCGGCAACAGTTTTTGGAGGGGGCATCAACGTTGCATCCTTTTCAGATCTCGGCTTGCCGTTAGATGCTGTACCGTTCATTGTGGCCGAGGTTCGATTGCGGAAATGGTCGGGGGAAGAGGCGCATGAGATGATCGCTGAGCGTGCAATGTCAGTGTGTTGGGCCATCCCCCGCGAGTGGCGCAGGGAATTTGCGACCAGTATGGACTATGAGCTTGGATGGTGGTTAAAAAAAAAACAAAAAAAAAAAGTATAAACCCCCAGCAGCGGGCGATCCAAATGATTTATCAACAGTGCAGTGTCTCAGGTCTTGCACACACCAAGCTGAATGAATGAAGGGAGGCAAGACTGGAGTGTGCAAAAGAGGAGGGGAGCCGGTGGTGGTGGGCGGATGAGTCAACCCACTCGCGAACTGGAACAGAAAGTGATTTTATTCCCAGCAACTCGAACACCTGCCAGCGGGTAACGACGCGATAGGTCCGGGTTGGAAAACGTGAGATTGCAGGGTACCAGTTGGTGTCTATAAAGTTCTGAAGGTGTGCCCTGCGTCATTGAAGGCTTCTTGTAATGCCAGTAAACCACGGAAGACCCGGAATAATTGGACCGGCACCTATGATGTCAAGTCTCAGAAATCATGATGCCCGGGAAGAGCGAACTGCTTAAATATTCCTGCTCCACACCTCCTATCTAGTATCTACTACATACGTATCCTACGTCTAAACACTCCATTATTGTTCTGAGGTCTACTATGTACTGTAGATCACAACAAAAAGAACGAAGGCTTGGCTCCAGCCCCTGGTGGCCGCACAGCGGATACAGAATGCTTGGCCCAGGTAAGGGCGCATCACGATAAGCTGCCCTCTGCCCACCATCCAGTCTGTCCAATCCAGGAGTATGGCTTGTCAAGGGGTCACTACAGTCGGCTCACTTGCCCATTATCCTTCTGCGGCTTCGTCGGTACTTCAGGCACGCTTTGTCTTTACCAATTGGTCCACATCTGCCGTGATCCGACCAACTTGATACCCAGAGGATCAAACATTTCGCTTGTTTGAGACTGAGCAAGCTTCGAAATCTTCAAACCCTAGAAGACGCCTGCCCTTTTAATATTGCGGATGGTAAGGCATTGCCGTCAGACCATGTAACACACGCTTTGACTCCGCCGATGTGTGGTTTCACTGCCCATCAAGACATCCTCTGTGCTCTTGGCACCGTCCCGTGGCCAGTCCCATGACTTCGTTTTCAGGTGTCGTAGGGTCAGATCGTTGTTACGAGGGAGAGAGAGTAGGAGTAACCACGGCCATCGTATGCTGCGGAATACTTGGCACTTGGCAGTCGCTGGAGGTTATCCGCTATGAGCCTTTCAATTGATCATCGGCATTGCTGGTATAAACGTTTCTCACAGCCTTCCAAGCTCAGACAAAGTCAACCTTACTTATCCAATCTCAGAGTTAAAGCGATGAGCGTGGCGTAAGCCGCGATACTCAGGGCCGTTAATATCACCACCGCATTCCCACTTGTTCGAAATTTGTGTCGGTGTACTCCGTCGTCGCCTATTTCTTCGAAGAACTGGCGATTGCCCTGTTGGCGTCGAAACAGGCCGATAATAAGTACCCCTGTACCGTAGACAGCGAATAGAGCTCCAGTGCTGTAGAACTCATTGGTGAAAATTTTGAGAACAACAAGGGCGAATGAAAACTGAGAGAGCGCTGTGCGGATATAAGCACCCTCGAAGGTCCGCTGCGCCGCTCGCACTTCCACGATCTCGTCGTTCGTCAGGGAAACAGTACGGGCGCGGTGCATCCGCAAACGATACCGATCTGCTGCACGGCGCTGGTACGCGTTAGAGTCCAACCAAGGATCAAAGTCGGTGTTATACAGGGTGGTACGAGTGGAAGCACGGGTTGTCATTCCGGCGAGTAGACTTACCTCAAACATGGCTTGCTAGTTGGTGAATCTTGAGACCGGGTATACAAGTCGTGCTGCGAGAAGTTGTCCACAGCAGGGTCGACGGTCGTTCCGGGCTCTTTGATGTCACCATAATCATCGAGGTGAGGTGATGTTGCTGAAGCGGTCTTCGCGGGGGAGCTAGTCAGCTGGAGCTGCAAGGCCGCTCACGTGGACATTGGCACGCTCTGGCTTTGGACGGCATGTTTGGAATACAGGCTCAACACAAAGAAAGTGCGCCGTAGCAATCATATTTTCTCTTTGATTCTACATATAAGTGCTACTAGTATTTGAACGTATTGCAGACAGGGTTATGTGTTTTGGCCATGTCTCCAGTTCAATTGGAACTTTGGGGCACCGACCTCTAAAATGACTTCATATAATTGGAGCGGCAATTGTCTGCAACTGGCAGAATAAGATTTTCCACCAATGATTTTCCCCCATTAACAATTCCGCCAGAAGCTCCCACTGTCGGCTATCGAGATTGCCCGGGATAGCAGTCAATCGCCGCCCCCATTTTTGGTGGCAGTTCCCCACACCTTATCCAGACCGAAGAAAAGGTCGGAGATGGGTCCGACAGAGTAACCGTTTCGGCGGCGACCCATGGGGGCTCGGGCGAGAGAACCCCGTGTGTTTGGTCAGATAGCAGAAAAAGATTAATATTGATTGGACCGACCCCAACCGGCTCGACCTGCATTTTCTCCTCTCTTGACAGCATTCTTCCTCCCTTTCTTTCCTCGTTCCTGGTCTGTCTTCCAATTGTCTGTTCGATCGCGGGTTGCGAAAATGGGCAAGGTATTCGATGCGGCCGAGGGTAGGCTTTGCGCAATGAAATTCAGAATCGGGCGCGACTGTTGCTAACATGTCCCGCAACAGTTGCAAAACACAACTCGAAAGAGAGTTGCTGGGTAATTCTCTACGGGAAAGTGTACGATGTACGGGCGCCTTGTTGCATCCTTTCTGACTGGACCATATGCTAAATGTTATTTGTATTTGTCGGGATAGGTCACAGATTTTCTCTCAGAGCACCCTGGTGGTTCCAAGATCATTCTCAAACTTTCGGGTCAGGATGCCACCGAGGAATATGATCCAATCCACCCTCCCGGCATTCTAGAAGAGAACCTGAAGCCCGAGGCCTTCCTTGGGACCGTTGATGCGGCCACATTACCGAAGCCGCAGGCTGATGCGACCCCGTCCCAGGAGGAAGAGAAGGAGGCGGAGGTTCCGATGGAGGCTCTCCTTAACATGGACGATATCGAGCAGCTGGCCACCAAGAAGGTCAGCAAAAAAGCATGGGCTTACTACTACTCTGCATCCGACGACAAGATCTCGAAGCATTTCAACACAGAAGTTTATCGCTCGATCACTCTGCGGCCGCGGGTCTTCATCGATTGTATGAAATGCGACTTGGACATTTCCGTACTTGGACACAAACTTGGGATCCCCATCTATATCTCTCCCGCCGCCATGGCTCGCCTGGGTAACCCAGCTGGCGAAGCGGGGATTGCAGAGGCCTGCCGCAGTTTTGGTGGGATGCAAATCATCTCCAACAACGCCTCTATGACCCCGGAACAAATTGTCGAAAATGCCGCCCCCGATCAGATTTTCGGATGGCAGTTGTATGTGCAGACTGACCGCAAGAAGAGTGAGGTCCAGTTGGCACGTATCAACAGACTCAAGGCAATCAAGTTCGTGGTACTCACATTAGATGCGCCGGTACCTGGAAAGCGCGAAGATGACGAGCGGGGTAATGCTACTGGTGGTGCTGGTCAGGGTGAAAGCGGCGTTGGGAAACAACTATTCCAAGGCACAGACCCGACGCTCACCTGGAGGGATACACTACCCTGGTTGGCCCAACATACCGATCTTCCCATAATCCTCAAGGGTCTTCAGACCCATGAAGATGCGTACATTGCATCGCTTCACGGACCTCAGATCAAGGGCATTATCCTTTCAAATCATGGTGGGCGCGCTCTAGACACTGCCCCTCCTGCCGTACACACCTTGCTAGAGATCCGGAAATACTGCCCCGAGGTTTTTGACAAACTCGAGGTGTGGATTGATGGTGGTATCCGACGAGGAACAGACGTTGTGAAGGCACTTTGTCTCGGCGCAAAGGCTGTAGGAATCGGGCGACCCGCTTTATGGGGTCTGGGAGCCGGTGGTGTTGACGGTGTAAAGCGCACATTACAAAGTATGCTTTCGACACTTTTAAAACGCCTGGATAATTTACTGATGTGTCTAGTTCTGGCGGATGAAACGGCCACCACCATGCGGTTGCTTGGTGTTGAACGCGTAGAGCAATTGGGACCTCAACATGTAAGTACCGAAACACCATTTCGCTGCCTGTCACATACTGAACATCATCATAGATCAATACTCGCATCGTAGACCAGCAAATCTATGATGGACCCTCGGGCCTCGATTCTCTACGGTCGGTATACCGTGCCAAGCTTTAGACAATTTAGACCGGTGTACATTTGATAGCGTATGTTTGTATACAAGAAGCATTATGGACAGTCGTCATTAATGGATCCAAGACTGTCAGGCTCAACCTGATGGTCGTCGTATTTGAGTTGGTAGTACGGGGTTAGTGGCGGAGATAACAACGGAGACCGATCTAAACGGCCCCCCAAAACCATTTCCAATTGGCATGACATGGTCGACTTCTCAGCCTCACCTCCCCGTCCTTTGGCATTGTCCTCGCATTCTTATTGGAAATATATAAGATCCAACAGATTATACCTGAAATTTCTAAACTCCAAAGCTGAATATATCTTCTACGTGTAACCCGCCCACAGTCCGCCCGCCGTCCGAGCATGCTGCAATGGCTGAAATTCAGCCCAACGACACTCATCTCTCTAAAGAGAGAAAGAGAACTAGAGTACAACTTTCCTGCACAGCTTGCAGAAGTCGAAAGTACGTTGATCAATAACCCTATAGTAGGAGTGCAGTGCTGAATAAGTCTTCCAGACTAAAATGCTGCCGTACACACCCTTGCACCAACTGCTTGAAGAGAGGCGAGGCTCATTCATGTACATTTGTCGGCCGCGGACCCCGAGGGAGGTCATCTCATGGCCGAGCCAGTCCAACTCATGTCCAGGATCGCTTGCAGCATCTTGAAAACTTGATTATGTCTTTTGCCCAGCGGAAGCAACAGGAAGAACCCCAAACCCAGAGTGACTCCTCCCCATCATCAGGGCCTCCGCCTAGTGTATTGTCAAGGGAGCAGCCAGCGGCGCTGACGACCCCTTCGCCACCTAAGCCTGAAGGATCTGAGCCGGAAAATGAAGGTTCTCCTCCCGGAGGGATTGGAAAGCTGCTTGTAAAAGATACCGGGACAAGTTATATCGACAGTGCGCATTGGAAAGCTATTCTTGAAGAAGTTGGTGTATCAATTGCAGTTTTTATGTGGGGTTGTTGTGCTAACGTACTGCTAGATAAACGAGTTTAAGGAGTCATTGGAAGGTGATGATGAGTTATCAGATGAAGAAGACCTCGAGAATGATGGCTCCAATGATATGGAGCCAATGATTTGGTTTGGGATAAGCAAACAAGTAAGCAAGGAGGAATTGCTATCTGCTATACCACCTCGGGAAATAAGCGACAGGATGGTCTCCTATTTTATGAACTCAATGGAGCCTATAGTTGGTAAGTAACTTGATTCCACTTTGTAAGAGTGTTTTCTAATAGTTAATTCAAAGCGATCCTCCATGTTTCAACCTTTCAAAAAGAGGTATGATGAACACGCCGCATTGTCAAAGTTTTCGTACTTCCCACTAAGACGCTATAGTATACTAGCTTTTGGTCCAAACCACAACAAGTTTCCCTCCCGTGGCTTGGAATGTTATATTCAATCCTGACACTAAGTACTCTGTTTTACCAACGTATTGGGGACCCGATACATGGTCTTACTGGAGATTACACCGAAGTCTGCAATATCTTCAGAAAACGAAGTGCACAATGCCTTGTACAGTCGAATTATATTGTTGCAGGACAGTACAAAGTTGAAGGACTATTTCTCTATACTATGGGAGAGTTCTACAAAAAGCATGATGTCAAATCAGGTGTTGCGTACCTTTTAGGTATTACGATCAAACTAGCTATGCAGATGGGCTATCACAGGGATCCACAACAATTCCCAGCTATATCTGCTTATGAAGGAGAAATGAGAAGGCGTGCATGGGTGTTTCTCTGCCAGCTTGACGCTTTGATTTCATTTGAGGTCGGTGTTCCCCGGACAATACAAGACGGGCAATATGACACAGAGCTACCACGTAACCTGTCCGATCAAGATTTCAGTGAAGAAACATTGCACCTTCCTCCATCACGGCCGTTGAGTGAGATAACGACATCGACGTATGTCATTTCCAAATCTCGCTTAATGATTGTATTCGGGAAGATTCTCGATATGGCATTTTCGCGAATACCAGTGACATATGAGGAAACCCTGGAAGTCGACCGACGACTTGAAGAAGCACATAGCCTAATGCCTCCTGCATATAAGATTCGACCCATTAACCAGTCGCTTGCAGATCCTCCAGAGTTGATATTCCGGCGATTTACCCTGTTAAATGTATACCAGAAGGCTCGCTGCGTTCTTCATCGGAGGTACCTGGGAGAGGAGCATACCCACCCGCGGTACGCATACTCACGGATGGTATGCATCAGTGCGTCCAAAAAGATCCTACAGGTTCATGCCGACCTACACCGTGAAATTCAACCAGGGGGGCTGCTGTATCGGAACCGACTATTCCCCAACTCAATTCAGTATAACGACTATCTCCTTGCCGCCATGATTCTTTGCATGGAACTGTCATATAACCACGCTGCTGGATCTCCGGAGTCAAGAAATGATGATGTGGCTGTCGTGGTCAAGGATCGGGACGATCTGATATCTACGTTGGAAAATTCACACCAAATACTCAAGGACCTGAGCCAACAATCCACGGACGCTCAAAAAGCTCACGCAGCATTAACAATCATGCTCCGTAGAGTAAAGGGCGGCCTGCATACTATACCACCACCGAAAACAAATATCCCAAGCACGACAACAACAAACAGTCAGATTACTGAGGCAGATCATGGTAAGCTTCCGGTTTTATTTAGACACACAATAGAACGTGCTAATCTGATTATAGCGCCGCCACCACCATATGATGACTGGTCGAAACTAGACACATCAACTTTGGACAACCCACTATTCCCTGCAAACCTGGTACCAGAGCCTATATCTGCTATGGGTGCACCACCGTATGGGTCTCTTGACGTGATTGGGGAAATGCTTGATACACCCGCCAATCTTGATTGGGTAAGTTTAAGTATTACCTACAGTGGTTAAATATTGTCTGTGCTAATCGTAGTAGCAACTTTGGGACCAACAAATTCAAAACCGGGAGAATCTTATGAACGTGGATAGTAATGATTTGTGGTATGTGCAATAGGTGTTCAGGTATTTACCATGATCTTAATTACGTATTTTATTTTATGGAAAAGTCTCTACAAGATCAATATAAAAGAGTGCATGATTTCGCATTAAACACAGAGATGTAAGGCCCATTTACACCTTCCTATTGTTACGCTAGTAATAAGCAAGTTTTGCTTGTATGTATCTATGGTGAATACTTCGTTTAATGTGCAAACGGTGAATGTCGACCTTGACACTTTGACATTGATGTAGGAGGTGAAGAACCGCCTTCACCGAGATCGTCAATACCGACGTATTTGGCGTGTGAGAGCCCTATATGGACTCGTGGTCCGGAATATACGTCAATCGGTTTCGTAGAATAGCTACATTTCCCGTCGCACCTGAAGAACAGGCATTTTGCAGTACTATTTTATTGTTCTACATCTGCATTTTGTGAGAGCTGTTTATTTATGCAAGCACTTTTATGCAATGAATGACTAAGCTTCTAGAACAATTATCGAAGATCAGCTTCCCAAGGTTCTCCGAGATAGAAAATAAGCAACGAAAACACCACCTGATAATGAAACAATAACCACAATTGTGTCTCAATCATTTCCTCATACGAGTCATGAATCGCCTATCCCCATCTCGATGCCTCACCCGCATTCCGAGACCCTCCATTCGACCTGAACCACGAAGATGCCGCCACCTCCCAACCTACTATAGCCCGCCCCAATCGCAACAATCCAGGCTCAATTATAGTCCTAGCTCGTTCCAGCACCTCCAAAGACGAACATTCCTTTCCTCGTTCATCCCATCTCCACCACATGCAAAGAATGGCAACAGCAACAATGGCCGCGTCTTAACAGCCTCTCGCACCCTCCCCTACGCACCCCCGCCACTTTTCAAAGTGATCTCCTCCGTCGATTCATACGCCGAATTTCTCCCTTTCCTCAATTCGTCAACCGTTACAGCGCGCGATAAAGAAACGGGGTATCCATCACAGGCTTACCTAACCGTCGGATACGGACCGTTGAGCGAGACTTTCACATCGAAAGTTGACTGTGATTCGGAGAAGTGGATCGTGGAGGCGCGGTCTGGTGAGAAATTCGTTGAGAAATCTAGTTCAGGCTCTGGATCAGGGTCTGGGCTTGGAGCCTTAGCTGGGTTCGCGGGATTTCCTGGGGCCGACGAGGGGATCTTCGAGTACTTGAGTACGAAATGGGAATTGGTTCCTGAGTCTGGGGCTGCTGCTGGTAACCCGAAGACGACGGTGAAGTTGGAGATCCGGTTTGAGTTTAAAAATCAATGGTATGCGACCATGATGGGTGCAGTTGAGGGGCAAATGGCTGGGGTGATGATTGAGGCATTTGAGAAGAGGATAAGGGAGGTGAATGGTGGTTGAGTCTGTATAGATATTTGATAGATGTACAATATGGGTTGGATATTGGAGTATGTTTTGTAGATGGGTATTACGTGTTTAGATACACATTGAGCGAATTTGGCTATTTTCAATGAGACTTTCTCTATACGTTGTTTTCTACATGCGACAACTCGCTGTACATTAGATGAACAAATCCTAACCGTAGTGTATAATACAATTTCTTAGAAAAAACATGTTAACCCACGCCGCATTCATGCCATGCGAAGGTTGTGAGCCATGTTACCTGGAGCCCGAGCAGACTTTGAGCTGACAGCATTGTAGTTATCAAAAACCACTTCCCAATTGATTCTGTCCCACCACCGTTCCAGGTACTCGGCCTTTCCAGCAATACCATAATCCATCAACCAAACGTGCTCCCATGTGTTGACACAGAGGATGGGCTGGACGTCAACAGCTCCGGGAGCAAGGTTCTTCTGGTTCGCGGCGTGGGCACCCATTGCACCAGCGTACTGGTTGCCGAGGGCAGTGTCGGGGGTGTGCGTAGCCATATCTATAGGTTGTCTTCGCGCGTGGGCTGCTGGGTATGGCGATCCCGCGTTGTATGTGCAGAAGATGTGGAGGAGACCTTCCCGTTCGAGGTTCTTAGCCAGCCAGACAAAGCCGGGACCGAACATGGAGTTGGCGGTCGCGAGGAAATCGAGCTTGAGGGATTCGACGGAGGAGCAAGTGTCGACGATGTCCTTGGCGAACTTATCTGGGATTTCGGTGCGAGTAGGGGACTGTGAGATAAATTTCTGTTAGAGGAGCGGAATCCTAAAAAGGTCTATTTCTGACTCACAATGCAGTTGAAGAAGAAGTGGTTGTTGTGAGCCATTGAAGCGTAGTTGAACACGGACGCCATCTCCGGACGACGGGAGTACTTGACCAGCAATTCTCCGGGCTTCGCATCGGCGTCGATGGTATCTATAGCAAGACCATCAGTTCTCTGATACGCGCAATTCCTGACGGTATTCCGTTCCAAATAACAGCAGTCTGGGGTCAGCCTTACCCTGTGTCAACAAGTTCAGCTTATTGACGAGGAGGCTCTGATATTGTGTCCAAGAAAAGTCGTAGCCCTCTGGGGATAGCAGTTCAGGAACTCCATTTTCTTTGAAATATGCGCCGTGATTTAAGCTGGGTACTTGGTGCAGTCCTCGAGTCTGGAAGCGTGGGAGAGCGGAGATGGGTTTCTAAAGCACATGTTAGCTGGGCCGAGCCATTGGGGCATGCGTGGCTCACCTGGCAGATGGAGGAGGCAGCACGCAGGGACGCCTGCGGCCGGAGGAGTCGATTGAGCATGGTGATAGGTTGTAGAGGGAGAAAGCCGCGAGAAGTCCGTCCAACAGTCCAAATCGCAGCTTTTCTCAACCGCAAACCGGCAGAATTTCCTTTGCCAGTTCCAGATTGGGCCTAGCGTGGCTGAGGTAACCAGGCGCCAACGGGAGCCAATCACGGCCCGTAGATCCTCTCCGGCCCCTTGTATCCAATCTATTTCTGGCTCTCCTCTGGACATCGTAAGTTCATCTCTGCTTGCTGCAGCCGGTTCGTTCTACGCGCCTTGATTTTGGCCTGTCGAACCAGGTGCCTTCATGCGGACCCAGCATGGGCCACCCCATAGGACCCATTGTCCCGGCGGCTCTTCGCTCGTCGCCATTAGACCAGCAACTATGACCCCCATCTACTCTCTCTATTCTAGGACCACGGCGCCTACAGGAGCCTGGCCTTGGGATATTTCTGTAACATGATGCAGGAGTCGAATTGCTTGGGCGACAAATACCTTGCAAGCCCCAGTGTCAGTTCTTTCGGACTTTCCCCCTCTCTGTCTCGTGTGGTGCTTTGTTATTCATTCCAATAAAGCTGGGCTCGTTGCTGCAACTCTTTGACTATTCACTTTTTGTTGAACTGGGAAAATATATCTTCTTTCTCGTCTCGATATTCATTTCTTCCAAGCTGCATATATTCTCGTTGTGAGACCAACATATCGCCAGACGATGACAAGGTCTCATACTCGTCATGTCTCTGTGAGAGGCTCCATCCTAATGCTTCTGGCAATCATGACTACAAATACATCCGCAAACCACGGGCTGAATCTACACCACAAACGTGCCGACACTTGCTCTGAATCCTCGCAGAAGTGTAGTGGCGCCGGCTTACCAGATAGCTTTTGTTGCTCCTCATCTTCAACCTGCATTGGCATAGACGGCGGGAGCTCAGTTATCTGCTGCCCTGAAGGCCAGGATTGCTCTTATATCCAGCCTATAACATGCGACGTAACGAAGCAAAATGCCAGCCTCCATCCAAATAATGTCATCAAAACAACCCGACTAGATGACGACTTGCCCAAATGCGGGAAAGCATGCTGCCCGTTTGGATACACCTGCCAGGGGAATTTTTGTGCTGTGGACAATACTGCATCGTCTTCCACTTCGACCAGCACGACAAAATCCACCTCTACCCCCACCTCTACCTCGTCGGAGTCTACATCGGAGTCTTCCACGGACCATTCCACCGAGTCTTCTACTGCGACTGATGCCGAAACGACAACTGACTCTGCGATTCCTATCGCGGGTGACCTATCTTCCATAACAGCCGTCGACTCATCAAGTATCGCAGAACCAACCCCTAATGCTTCACAGTACTCTGCTGCTTCTTGCAACAACGTTTCGGAGACCGAGAATTCCTGCCCTGCTTTCCCAACCAACGCCGTTCTAGCAGGCTTCTTCCCTGGCTCCGTTTTCGGTGCCGTGGCCGCCTTGATACTAACGGTCTGTATTCGGAGACAACGAAGAAACAAACTCCCACCAGGCGAAAAGCTCCACAAAAGCGCATTTCGCAAATCAACGGGCACACTAATCGGCATATCTGAACCCATTCCGTCGGACGACAGCTCTTTCCGCACGGACTTTCTCCTCAGTAGAAATTCTAAACGTAACTCTGAAGGATCCCGTTCTGTCCTCCAACGCAGCAGGTCTCGGGTAAAGAGCCTCTTCAGTGCAAGCCCAAAACCGACCCCAGCGCCAGCGGAGGATATACCGGCCGTGCCGCCTGTACCAGCCGTCCTACCTTTACCAGTGACTCCTCGACAGGCCCCGCGGCAACCCAGCACGGAAAGCATCCGTGTCTACACGCCCCCTGGCGTATTCAATACCACAGGAGCCCTTCACCCCTCGCCCTACCCAGACCAGCAGCGGCCCAACACGACCCTGACCGAGATTCTCGACCGAGCGCAAGCGCAAATGCAAGCCTCTGAATCGGCTCCTGCCAGCACTGCCAACAGCAAAGCCAGCAGTACAGCCGCCAACAATGCAAACCAGCGCTTTCTGCTCCCTCCGCCGCAGCAACTAGGCCGGCGCAAACAGTTACCTTATTAAACTTGCGCATTCGGGTTTCACGTCTTATCAACCCATATTCAATAACATTACTTCGTACCGCATAGTTTGATTGGGATGCACAATCCACGCATTGCAATACTCTACATTTCCGTTTCATTGCGAATCTGGCGTGAATTGCAGTCTAGCATTTCAGCGAGCATATTTTCTTTGTGTATTAACTTTATGTTTATATCACCTTGTAATGCAGCAGGCTGCTAGAGCAGAATACATATAATTAAGACAGAATATCTTTATATGAATATCAACAACCTAAATAATCTAAGAGTAAAATAGTATACTACCAAGAAGTCAAGTCTATGACGATGCAGCCCCTTGTGCCCTTCTCGCTTTCCACCCAGCAACAACCCTTTTCACCTCTTTCAGCAGCCCCAAAATAAGTGGAACCCCGATAGGTCCCAATAGCGGCAAGTAGACAGCTACTCTATGCTCATCAGGGAAGTACATCTGACCGACCATACTTTTCTCGAAGAAGCTGCGTTCGGCCTCTGTCTCTGCGACACGTGCACTAGCCAGTGCGGACTGGAAGCGTCCGTTGCGAAGATTTTCGCAGGCGGAAGATAGATGTAAGAGTGTTGTGGAGACGGAGGAGGCGACTGTCGCGGGGATGGGAATTGAAGGGAGGGACTCTGTGAGACGCGCGAGGGAGCCCATTGTTGAGGAAGCGGAGAGGAGGAGGGTTGCAGCGCGGATGCGGATGAGGGTCTGGAGGCGGAAGGGGAGGGATGTTGGGGTTGATGGGGTGCCTAGAAGGCTGAGGAGTTGATGGGAGAAGGTTAGGAAGGCTGGCCGCAGGGCTTCACTCTCGAGATGAGGTGGGTTGGAGGGAAAATCGGTGGTTGTAGGGAGCGGAGGGTTGAGGATGAAGACGCCACCCCATTGCGGGATGATCCAGCTAGTAGCCCTGCTTTCTTTCACAACAAGGGGAGATTGTGAGGGTGCGGGTACGTAGAGTATGAAGTTGATTGTTGGGCCGCTCCCAATGCTGGGGCTTAGAGGCCATTCTGCGGCGTTGATGAAGGCACTGAGATTGTCTTCATTCAAAGTCCAGACGGCCTGGGCTTCGTCATGTTCGGGAGCGGGAGCTGTAGGCGAGAAGGTTGCGTAAAGTTGAACTTGCGTGTCAACAGTGAAATTGCTAATTGGCGACAATGCCTGGACAAGCGGAGATATATACTCCTGAACGGCGGCTTCAATGTCCCATGAGGAGGGGGCAGATCCGGGTGTGAAGAGGGAGAATGCGAGGTGGTACGTCTCCGCGTACTTCATCGACCGTCTTAATCGTTTGGTAATACTCTCCGCAAGTTGCGGGGGGGTCTGCTGCGCCTGGCTGTTGGGGGATGCAGGAGCGTTGGCACTACTACCCACTGCGTTATTCGACAGAACATGCGCTATTGTCGCTTTCTCCTCCGCGAACAAACGTTGCAGTTCTCCAGCAATAAACGAGGAGAGTGGTGAATTGGACGAGGAAGGAGGCGGAAGTTGGCTTGGCGCATAGAAAACATCGAGCGTTGTCGTATCTGCTTGAAGTTCTGAACGAGGACTCGAGAGGCCATCTTGTGCCTGGAGGCGAACGGTTAACGCGGTATCGGCCTTTTTGGTTATTTGTTGAGCCTCCTCGTCGGCCAGCTTTAGGCGTAGATGATGGGCGGAGAACTCATTGAGATCGTCCAGGGTGTGTTGAGTGACGCGGAGAAGTTGCTGCGCTTCAGCAGCTGGTAGGGACGGGGTATCAAATCGGATCTCGAGTGGAAATACAGGGCGGCAGCTCTAATTACATAAATTAGGCCAGTTAGCTATTTTGCCGGAATGTCATGGTGTTTTGTAGGATAGTCACCTTCCCACCAGCCCAATCGAGCATATCCTGGGTGGGCAACTCAGCCCTGTAGATGGAGGTGGTCTTCCACCATATTGGAAATCCCAAGAAGAGGATCACAGCCCAAAACGCGGCCACGACCTTGGATCGCGTGTATACGGCGCTGGGCTTCTCCGGAGGGGGAAGGGTTGAGGCGGAGGTTTTGGAGGTCATATCGGACTGTGAAGACCCGCGGTCTTCATGCTTTTCACTCATGACAGACAGTACATGCTTTAGAAAGCAAGCAAATACCTCGTCCACTTGAGATAATGGAAGTGCGGTGGTGAATCAGCTAAGGGAGCAAGTAGAAGGCCAGGTGGTGGTTGATTGTCGATGCCGCGGTTGAAGGCGGAGAGCTAATCGCAACACAGTATAGCTACTATTTACTATGCGACAAGGGTTTGTCTTTCATTTTCACGAAATCCCAGTCTTTAATTGAATAATTCTAATTAGAAGTAAAATTAATTAAATTATCTATTTGACCGAAATATCTATTCTAATTGGGTATCAAACCGATGCGCCGGACTCCTGCAATATAATGGGCCTGAAAATGAGCATAACCAATGTGGTCATGGATTGGGCTGTATTAATATTCCTTTTCGAAAAGTTTCTGGATCGGTTTCGCAGCCTAGAGTCCCAATTAGCAATGCCCGAGAAAGACCGTGTAAAGGTTGCCGCTCACATCAATAAACTTCTCGAGATCCTGGTCGAGGCTGGCCAAATCCTCCTTCCGTTTGTTATTTTCGGTAATCAGCGCTTGTTTGCGCTTGAGGAGCTCTTGCCGGGCCTGTTCAAGCTTTTCGCGTTCTGCATGTTCGTGACTGATTCGTGCAACCATCAGTTCATGCTCGTTCGACTCGCGGTGCTCGGGATGCAGTTCAAGAAATTCTTCCTCTGGTATTAGAGGAAGCGATCGGTATTTGTGACTGAGAGAACCGACTGGTTAGCACGTAAAGCACTGGAATAAACATTCATATGATTGTGACGTACTCGTAAGACTCGCAAGCGGCAATCTCTCCGGTCAGGTGTCGCTGTTCGTAATACAGATTCTGAAGCTGAAGATGCAGACGGTCGATTTCCTGCCGGGCCTCCGCGGTGCCCTGCTTGGTATCTCGAACTCGGAAGATGGCATCGCGATTTTGACCACGGAGCTGGGCAAGAAGAGCGAAAAGGTGCTTCTGGACGGTTTGTGGCGATTCGGATATCTGGTCGGGTGTGGGTGACGGGTCCAACAGGGACAGCAGATTGTGACAAAGATCCCGAGTCTCGGCGGCGGTATTCAACACGGGCAGCAAGGACGGGTCGGAGACGATATCTCTGATAGCTGCTGGAGCCATGGCGATGGAAATGGCGATGGCAAATGACCGTCGGACGACGAATGACGATGGCGGAGAGAAACACTTGGGGAGACGCAGGTGGGATGGTGGGTTGGAACTCGGACCGCGAACGTGGAGAGAACGCGCCAACGGATTGGGCTTTGGATGATAGGGCAGAGTGTTGGGCTCGATGATCATCGACAAGAAAAATGCCTAGACGCTCGCCCTGCAAGGAGAGGGGACTTTTGCTGCTCGGAGAAGGTCGTTTGGCAAACGAGGACCGGACGTTGAGAATTAATTAACTGAGTCTTCCCCACTCTTTCTTGTCTCTTCCGCCAACTCTCCTTTCCCCCCTCTCTGTCGACAAGGACGTCCATTCCCTTTTATATCCTCGATCTTTGTCCTCCATTGTTCCGCCATTCTTATTTAACGTCCTTTACTCCGTTCGCACTCGTTTTGTAAGTATTGTCGATAGCTGTTCCGATTGCCGCGGCGCTCGGGTACAACCACCCGCCACTGAACATCAACTCTCTAACTTCTCGAATCCAGGCTATGTTCGATTGATTTCCCACAGGAAGGGTTTCTTGTGGGTAATATATTCCTTTTTTCATCATGGCGTGCTCTGCTCAATCCGTCACTATCGAGTCCTACCTCGACAACTCGGCTTTCTCCTCGGCTTACGCTACTCCCTCCGAGGAGACCTCTCTGCTCCGAGACCGGAAGCGAAGGCATTCTTTCCATACTGCGAGGAAGCTATCTTGCGACTATGATGCAGATGCTGTATTCCTAAGGGTAGGATTTTCACTTTCACGTCACGGGATTCCCACTGATTTACTGAAATATAGGTTGAGCTCTTCCTTGCGGAACTGGAAAGACGCCTCCACTGGATCGAACAATATCGCCGATCTCACATGGTCCAGATCGATACCAGCCTACGCAGAGCTTATGCAACACTCGAGGCTGTACGTGATCAGTGCTCCCATGCATCGGGGGAGCTGATGGGTAGTGGCAAGAAGAGGGCAAAGATTCTGGTGGAGACTTTGGAAGACCGTTATAACGATGCGTTGGCGACGAAGGAAACATTGGAGCAAAAGGCTCAAGCAGGTGTCCGCTTGATGGAGTCTTTCTTGACAGAGCTGGAATCTCGCGCCCATGCTGTCCGGGGCCGCGGCGTCTACGGAGCTCTGGACGATGGCTGGAAGGCGGTCGATTCGAAGTTGGTCCAAGCGAAGGAAGTGATGGACGAGGGAATGGAACGGGCTCGCATGGTCAAAGATGCGCTCCGAGAAAGCATCGACCAGGCTATCCTTCTAGCCCAAGAGAAACGGTTAATCGCCTATTCAGAGCTACCGGATCCGTGGAGAATAAACCCTCATATTCTCTCTGGCTATCGGTTCACCTCATCCAAGGTGGAATGCTTCACTTCTATGTTCACACCCTCCAACGAACTCGTCAACATCTGGTCTCACCTAATCGGACTTATCATTGTTCTCTCCATCGCTTTCTACTTCTACCCGCTGAACCCTAACTTTCACCTAAGTACTAATGCTGACATGCTCATCGCGGCCGTCTTCTTCTTCGCCGCTTGCAAATGCCTGGTCTGCAGCACCTTATGGCACACAATGAACAGCATTGCCAGTCAACCACTGATGGAGCGCTTTGCCTGTGTCGACTACACTGGAATTTCCTTCCTCGTCGCCGCGTCTATCGTGACCACCGAGTACACGGCCTTCTACTGTGAACCCACATCTCGCTGGGTTTACATTCTCCTCACAATGTCCCTAGGAATTGGCGGCGTCATCCTTCCTTGGCACCCTACTTTTAACCGCGCGGACTTCGCCTGGATCCGGGTCGCCTTCTACGTCACTCTGGCGCTGACAGGCTTTGCGCCTATCGCTCAACTAACCTACACCCGCAGCTTCTTTTGGTGCCTCTATTTCTACGCTCCTGTCATGAAGAGCATCCTCGTGTACTTCGCCGGAGCCTGTGTCTACGCCTCTCAGGTTCCGGAACGCTGGCGTCCAGGCCTTTTCGACTACTGCGGTGGCAGCCACAACATCTGGCATCTTGCTGTTCTTGGAGGCATCCTATTCCATTACCATGCCATGCAGGATCTCTTCGCCAACGCTTTCCAGCGCGCGCAGGGCGAATGCCCTAACCTTACCTCCTAACTTAATTAGACGTTATCCATCCTACGTCTACATAATACCATATCCTATCCATCATTAACGTCCATGGTTGTTTTCGGTTTCTGGATTGAAAAGTGCCGACTGTGAGAATGAAGCACGATGTATATACGAATTTCGCTTTGAGCTGCCCTGTACAAAGCACATCACAGGCAATTAGACAATAGACCGTCTTTCATTTTGAATTCGAGGCTGGATTTCAAATGATCCCGCTAGTTGCTTTGTTTCTCTCTTCTGAATAAGTTCCTTGCATGGTTCGAAGGAGCCCACTATGGATGGCTAGGGGGACCTCTGTGGTAATTGAGCAACTAGCTGTGGGCTAATAAAGTATTTTGCATCCCTGGAGTACCCTTTTTTACTTTATTTCTTGCTGGCTATGTCCGATATCCATATCTTTCTTAGTGCATAGCTATATTATTGTTATTAATGGACTGCCATTTTTTTTTTTTTTTTTGGAAAGATTTCTTTTTCTCTGGTGATAGTTGTGGTTTGGATATGCCGACGAATATTATTTACATGTTTTTGTTCTTGCACCCCCTGGACTATTGCAGATTGGATGTTATTTGTAAGACATGTTTCGTGACCGTGGGTTATTCAATTCCTCTAGTCGGTCTATCGGTTCGATCTAGCTAAGGACATGCATGGTCGGTCTATATGCAAAAGACGGATTCGACCCTTTTGTCCCAAAATCCAGAATAATACAAGAAAATATCATCCCGGCCATGGCCTAAATAAATGCAAAAAGATCATAGACCCTGGAAGTCTGATAGGATAAATGGAAAAAGTAAGTGTGGCATATATATGCTATGTTATATTCAGAACCGGTCCTCGGTTAGGCGTCGCGCCTCCACGATAGACCCAATATGTGATTGAGAAAACCCCTGGCCTCTTGTCCGAATTCCATACCATGCTTTCAAAAAAGGTAGTGGGCTAGTGGTGAAAGGGCAATGGACTGGCCATTGGGCCTGGGTGCGCGCCTCCTTGCTCACGAAGCCGTCGGTCGTGATGGAGTCCTGGGGAATATCAAGGATCCTATCGGGTTTGAATCCGAAAAATTGGCAGGCACTCTGGTATTCGGCAAAAGAGTCAAAATAAAGACTTCCGGAAAATATTTCAAGATCTCGGATGGCTTCCGGCGAGATTTGGGCTTGGGGGTTGGGCCTAGGTTGGCCGACTGTGAGGAAGTCAAGTTTGCTGAAGGAGCACATGTCTTTAGCCATTCTGGGGGCATACATGTGAAGTGTAACATTTTTGGACTTGCGGATGCTGGGCAACAGGTAGTTTGCTTCGTGCTGGCTGATAACGATAAGCATTTCATTGCTGTTGCTCGAGAGAACCCAGTGCACAGGTTTCAGAAACTCATCATCAACAGTGTTATCATCCTGTTTTATCGTATCGAGGAAGTCGAGCGAAACATGAATATGGGATCCGACAGTGGAAGGGAGTTCGAATGCATGAGCGGATGTCCGCGATAGACACGTTTTGAATGCTGGTTCGGCGGCCTCAGATGAGTACCAATCGGGGAATCGGCCGTGCTTGACAAAGTGCTTGATATGGGCGTGTACGGTGTGATTTTGGGCTTCCACAGATGGCGGACGGTGGATTTGAGGCTCTCTTTGGATTTCCTGGGTTAGCTCTCGCTCTTGCTCCTCGCAAAGAATAGTCTGCGTAGATTCGGCCCTTTCCCATTTCCCAAGAAGTTCATGGACTGTTGGATCGTATGCGGCTAATTCTCGGAGTAAAGTAATAGACTGAGGAAGCTCCCCCCATGGAGCATATAATTGAGAGAGAGACTTTGACTCAGGTTCCTGGATGCGAACCACAATATTTTCTAAGGAGCTGGCACGCGTTCTGAAATCATCCCATACTTGGGCGCAGCGGAAATGTTGTAGGCCCTGCCATGCCCAGAGTGGTTGCAATTTTTCCAGCTGATCGCAAGTCTGTTCTAGCACCCACTGTACAACGTTGATGGAAGTAATGGCTGCGCCGTTATTCTTCATACTATGTTTAACTTCTGGAGGTATAAAAAAAGCCACTGATTGGCCGTTGGCTAGTTCGCGCATCCTATTACATGCTGTTTGAGGTCAGTAAGGGCTGCGTATGATATTCAATGTTAGAAACCTACCTTGAACGAGTCGGTCTTTGGTTAGCCGGGGTCCAAGTGTCACTGCTGCACGATATGTGCGTGGAAGCTTGATATCGACGCCTCTAGCGCGGTGTTGGTCAAGAAAGACCAAGCAAAGATGTAGCCGGTCGTAAAAAGGCGATGCAACAAGCCGCTCGACGTAACCCTCTCGGTCCACCACCATAGCCTCATCATTGGTATCAAAATAGATAGCAGCGCGGGCTCTCTCAGCTGGAACAATAGATAGCCATGTCTTCGCAACTTCTTCGTTACTTGACTCTAGTACTAAGGCTCCGACATCAATGATAACCTTGATATGAGGATCTTGATCATTTATAAGATGCAAGAGCCCGTTCACCGGAAGCTGACGACCATCCTTATCCTCTACAAGGATGCACTGCCTATTATCTTCTTGAAGAAGCTGACTTAGAACCATGGCGTTGGTATGAAGAAGATACGGTAGATCTTTCTGGGGCATTGATTTTGGCAGCAAATATCGATTGTCATTTGTTCCACTGAATCCGGTCGTAAGTGGCTGAGGCGGTTTCGATGGGATGTCCCATGCAGACAACGACAATTTGAAAGGAAAACCTTTTGCCTCCCTTGGAAAGACAACTTTGGCAAGGAAGAAGTCAATGATTCCTTTCTGATACTGGAGATGATGGTAGAATGCTCCCTGGAACGTGTCATCATCCTCCAAATTGACCCCATTGAAGGAGTGTAGACCCTCGGGCAGTTCATCCCGGTTCCGTGTAATCCAGTGCTGATATTCAGCCCCGGGATCGTTCTCTTTCATTAGGAAATAGAAGCATTGTCGAACTTGCTTTTCGGTAAGGCCCTCGTAGTAATAGCTCAGGCACGTCAATACCAGCGCAACATCCGCATGCCCGAACTCAGCATTCTCTGATGGCACCCCCTTGGCCCTAAATGGCACCGCTGACAAGCACCGCGAGGGATGAACGCCGTAGTCCACAAGCCAGCGCTTGCTTGCTAGCACAAAGCGTAGTATACGGTAAGCAAAAAGGCCCCTCAGGACCAGGAGTTTCTTGAGAATTATACTATCCTTGAAGGTATTTTGTACTACCCTCTCATCTGCCTTGTCGGTTTTATCGCAAGTTATGAAATTCAGCACGCTCTTTTGGGTTGCCTCTGCCCACTCCGTGAATGATAGTCCTGGGAGTTCTCCACGGCTGATAGCGTCGGTGACCCTTTTAAGCAGTCGATCCGGAGCAGCCTCGCTCAAAAAATGAATAAGAGGATAGCGGACGCCCCGCTGTTCGATATCCAGGCTCGTCTGATCTTCCGACTGCAAAGCCACGACTTGTTTTTCTACTAACTCAAGGACATGCTGGATAATGCCCCAGCGATCACTTTCCCCATCGACATTCTGCTGATTACCTCGCGTGTATATTAATTGAAATTTGGGATCCAGGATTTCATCGCTCTCGTCAATGATAGTGCGACAACTATCCTGTAGTGATTGTTCTATGTCAACGAGTCCAAGTGCATTATCGCTGGGTGCGAGATCCAGGCCGACTAGTCGGAACGAAAGTAGCTGCTCTGGAAGAACAATAAGGATTCCTCGGTTCTGCTGGCATTCGCTATAGATTGCCTGTAAGGTCTCTATAGTGCTTTTGTCAATGTGTGTATTTCTTGAAAAAGGAACATGGTAAATTTGACGGTTCAGTAGACCCCCAAGGCGCTGGGAGAGAAGGTTTATACTTTGTCGCAACAGTGGTTTCAGCACTACAATGCGAACCATCTGGGTGGCATTTGCGAGGCACGCCGCAATCATCGGTGTGATAATGGTCGTTTTCCCTTCCCCCATGTTCAATTGCAGGACACAGTTTTCGTTAGATTCAGGTGTAATCATTCTCTGTGCGACATTTGCCTGGCGTTCTCTGATTGTCAGGTTTCCCTCGATTTCCAATAGTAACCAATCAGGAATACTTGATGCCTCCCACCCCTCGCAGCTTAGTGTTTCTGCTTCTTTGTAGAAAGTATTGACATCCTTTTTGTCAAAATGTTCTAAAAGTCGTTCGTATCGACGCAAGGAAGCAGTGGCCTTCGCAAACATCACAAGGGTATTCTTCCATAATGGAGGAACGGAATCCCACTTATCAGCGGCGAGAAACGACAGCATCGACAAGACAGTGATAGAAGGCCAAAATACGGCACCACCTATGGCCTTCCATCTACTGTCCACCGTTGTTAATGCCAAAACAATCTGGCTCCAAAGGCTATCTCGTTGCTCTATCGCGCGTTTGTGATGCTGGACAAGAGTGTCTCTCTCAACAGGGAGTCCCGCAGATGCACAGGGCAAGTGGACTTTCTTTAGTGCTTCCAGACTTTCCAAAAGATTAATCGCATATTGTTGGCGCAGGCCATTGGAACCTTCGCGGAGACCCCATATTAAGGATTGGAGATCAGTTATAGGGCCGGTATCAGAAGATGCAGGCACTTGAGGTCTCTGGCATCTCAGGGGTGCTTGATCTATGTCCATCGGGAGCGGAGCGTTTGAGGAACATAACATATCTTGGAAAATTGGGGCCTGCCAGGGATTTGATCGAGCACAAATCAAGGGCCGGCACTTTGGAAGAGCAGGTGGTATTGGTGGTAGGTCTGGAAGTGAAGATGTAGGCACATCATCTAGCTTCTGTTGTACAAGCTCAATAAACTGATAAAACTGGACATTTCTGTTAAACTGCTTGAACAGAATATCAGAGGCATTCCAGCTCTTGACTTGCCAGGGCTCCATATTGGTAGGCCGTTGGAGGACTTCGCATGGCCACTGTCTGGTGATTTGGCTTGCCAGGGCTTCGATTTCCTGTTTTTTCGTTTTTTCATACTTTTTATTCCGTTCGTAACGCATTTTATCCTTTTCGGGTTTTGATAGATTCTTCATGTTTCCTCTGGGATTGGGTTTTTTAGGCGGGTAGTTGTTAGATATCTCTTCTTGGACTTTTGACCTGTCAATGTCTTGCCCCGGTGCCAGACCCAGTTGCACTGGCCCTTGGAGCAACCTTTGAGGGATTTCGGGAAAATATCCAGAAAATGCAATCGTTAACAGATGACGCAGTTGCCAGGTTGGTACTGATCCACCGAAGGCAATCGTGCAAAATACTGAAATCAGTTTGTATGTTCCCGATTCCCGGTTGCTCGAGCGGCACTGGCTGTATAGAGAGCCCCATAGGTGTTGAATCTGCGAATCTATGAGTGAAGTATATGTGTGCTGATCTGGCGTAAGTATTTTCATATAAAAATTACCCCATGCTTTGACCATATTGAGAAGCGCTTCTTTCTGACTTGCATTGGAGGGCCAATCTCGGATAAGCGCAGCAATCTCATACACACGACGGCTTCGATCACTAACACAGCCATGGCGATCTCGCGCGTCATATTCAGATGGCCTGAAATATTTTATATCTAGACCGGTGGAATTGTTCGCAAACTCAGACCGACGGAACCGGGAATGACGATGTCGTGCTCTATCGAGAAGGTGGATTTCTCCACGATCAAGCCCTGATGGAGGCTCCTTCTTCGAACCATGCAATGACGCAAATTTAGCTGTGTGATTAAAGATATCTTGAGTAATCACCCTGAAGTCATCATGTTGTGCTAGTTCAGGCATTTGTGGGTTCCAGATGACCCTTTGCATGACCTCCATTCCAGGCGGATGATACTGCCGCCGTGGAGTTAGAGACGCGATAAGCTCCAATAGGTGAGTGCAATCACTATCTAAAGGAAACGAGCTTTTCATCCGGGCTTGTCCGAGTATACGCAGAGCTTCCTCGGTCCCAGAACGGTTTGTTGCAGTGTCAGGAAGCACATGGGTAGTAACGGCGTGCAAATAAGCTTGATATAGCGTACCTACCATGCCGGAGGTGTCTGAGAGTATTCCAAGGGTAGGGTCGAAAAAGTAGTGAAAATATTTGACGCGTGAATCGCTGGAAGGCTCTATCGAAACTTCGTTGTATAGACCCCCTTTGCTGATTCTTACCATTCCGTAAGGAATCAATAGCGAGCGTTGGCGCTGGCCGGTTTTCCCGCGTAAAATGAGTTTGCTGGATAATCTGGAAAGACATCCGATATCCTGATCTCGATCAACTATAGCATTATGCTCCCGGCATTCTAATGCTCCGTCAGAATTAACAAAGAAGCTCAGATGTAGGCGGACCAATTTGGCCTCGATTCTGGTGTCCTGGGTTGACGTGATTTGGATATGCTTCAGATGGTCTAAGCGAGACAGAACATTTGAAATCTGTGCAAAGAGGCCGCTGTGAACATCGACCAACACTCGTTGGCCCTGTTTGGTCCTTGGAATCTCTCCATTTTGGTATTTATAGAATGTACGCCAGTTCTTCGGATTTGGCTCCCAGACTTGATCAAGAGGTCGGAATTCAATTTCTCCTGTCTTTAGGTCCAACCAGTGCGTAAAGTTCGTGATAAGGGAGTCTGGAAAGTCTTTGGCTAAGACGTCATGTGGTATTAACCGCAGGACGCGGTCTGTCATCGTTCTAACCACTAGCTGGTCTCCTTCAAGGCGAAAATACACCTATATATATTAGTTTTGATCCACATTCTGGCCGAGTGGGAGGGCGGCCTACAATGTAATTCCCAAACTGTTGCGTTGATGCAAACTTCGTACCCTTTCTGCGGCAAGAGACCACGGAAATAGCTTGCTATAGTAGGTAAGTGAGTGTAATTTTGAAGAACTTGATATTGGATATTCCTACCTGGCCAAATAGCCGCCGGAATAATGGATGTCTTGTGTACTCCTCCGGAAGGCGCTTCGGCCGTTCATTGTTAATCAGGAGCTCGCCACTCAGTATATTATAGTGAATTTCCTGTTTCTCCCCATCAGTGGTTACCGAGTTATTCGTAGCCCATCTCTGGTTATCACCAGGGGCGAAGCACCAGGGTGATGAAATCTGAAGGTGGTTGGCGGTTTGTTTGATAGCAACATTAAGAGCCGATGGGTGCTCAATGATAAGTTGCGATACTTGCTTCTCGGAATTCCGGAGAACCCTTGTACCCTGAAGAACTAAAGCTCTGGTTTCCAAAGATTGGCTCTCGATTGGCTCAGGCGTATTCTCAAAGAGCACGATTGAAGATCTCAACAGGAACTGCAAATCTTCTTCGCTTTCAAGGACTCTCGCAAGATGTCTGTCCTCAACAGAAAATGTTAAAAGGCAGATTCCCCCGATTCTGAAAAGTAGTGACAGGCGTGAGTCATTCTCGGCACCCATTTTGGCATCAAGAGCCGTCTTGATCCTTGCGCACCAATCTATCGCGACCTTCCTGCATCGCTTGAGGAAGGACGATGCGCGCTCGACAGCTGACGTGGGACACAGACTTAAAATTCGAGCACCTAAGATGACGAGTGTGTGCAGGGTATAGTGTTCATTCCAGTTTATCGAAATGATGCGTAGCCTATGTTCGAGCGACTCCAAAAGTCTGTTAACGGACGCGAGCTCTTCAAAGAATGCATGAGCCTCGCCAAGTTGCGTTCCGGACCCAGGTGAGCCAAGCTCCCAGGCTGCTTGTCATAACAACTTGTGGACAGAGCTCTCATTCATCGAGAACGAGGAAGACACTAGTTCTCGGGCTATATTGTACCATTGTAGACGCTCACCAGCACGAAGATGGCTGAAGGTGCTCATCTCCTGGAGCGTTATTTTTGGGTGCAAATTACGTTGGTCTGCCAGTACCTTGTTCTGTTGATGTTGACACGACTCGACAGCATACTGAAGGCCGGAATATTTTGGGTCGTTGAGCGTAAGCGTGCATAAATGGTTGAAAGCCGGGTACTTCTGGAGCCTGAATCTTCCTGCAACCCATACCTCTCTCTCTGTATCCCATAGCGAGAAGTTGAAAGCATTGGAAACTGCAATCGTGTCGAAAGTGACTGGAAAGTTCTGAGCTTTGTAATGGGTATTTAACCATGATTTTGTGGAGGAAGCGAGGGTCAGCCTCTGGTCCCATTTAGCAGCAAAGGTTAGCGTGGCCGGGTACTCTAAGATATTCATTTCCATCCTTGCAGGTACTCTTGCCTGAGGCCTGCCGTAGTCGTCCACAAGTTTCCAAGTGATATCTCGCCATTTAGCAAACCAGGCAGGGCAATTAAGTTCAAACACAATATTCTTTGCCTTGTCCTCATTTTCAGGAAGTGGCCACTCGTGGACTTGAATGGCCAGCTTTTGCGCCTCTGTTTCCAAAGTACATTTACCGCAAGAGAGAGAGTGAGTCTCATTATCCCATTCATCCAATTCAGAGTCGTGAGTGAGGTTTGATGCTTTGATGATGAGGTCTTGATACTGTTTTGACAGTTTTTCCCACTCCTTGCGCAAAGCCTCGCGTTCCTGTGTGGCATGACTTTTAATACCTTCAAGAATCCTTTTATGTTTCCGGGTCTTATCATTGAAATATCGAACGGCAAACGTGTCGGGACCTGGGTCAGAAAAGATGCTTTTGAGAGAGCTACTTTGCCTTGAACGGATATAGTCCTCGACTTGTCGTGCTCGCTGCATTTGATGAAAGTGAGGAAGGAGTAAGGGCTCAACGAGCTTCTTAGATAGCTCAGGCGAATATTCTTTAAGAAGAGGACAGAAGCGAACACAGAGGCTATCAAGGACAACCCATAGTTCCAGCAAAACGAGAAGCATCAGAGAACATGCGTCTCGCATCTGAGCGTATTTGCTGCTCGCGAATTTGGAGTAGTACTTCATGAGATCCGCAAGGTCACTGCAAACTTTCTCAGTTGGGTTGGTTTGGGCATGCCATTCTTGTAGTTCAGTGTCCACCCAAGCCTCAAAGTCAAGTAGTGAGAGAACCTCGTCGTCTTCTAGCTTCGGGAGGCCAGTTGTCTGGCGTTTTTTCCGCGGTTTCTGCTTCCTACTGAAAGTTGACAAAGGCGGAGCTGATGAGTGATTCTGCATTGCATTGTGTATGTAATCTCTGGAAATCTTCAGCGATGTTTCCAAGTCACATTCTTGCAGCGGCCCAAATGAATGGGAAATATTTGTGAACTCGGGCTTCTGAATGCAGGCACGGAGCTGTTGTAAATGCTGCAAAATGGCTTGATCGGCTTCCATTGTTCGCTCCACCACAGTTTCGAAAGATTTGCCTTGCAGCTTATACGTACGGCGGGCCACCTTGGCTCGGACAATGGCGAGAATATCCGCGATGTTAGGGAGTTTCAACTTCTGAGCTTCCTCTCCAATCTTAACTGCGAGATAAAGCATAAAATTTTTATATTCTGCGTGGCCCTCATTGTCCGGGAAGATGCGATAGAGAACCGTTTGAAGGGCAACTTTTATCACGAACCACAGGGGTGAACGTCGCCATGGTAGTTTGGCGTCATCATAAATGACCTCGTCACGCACGTGCTTTTCAAAGGACTTCCAGACATTGTGTTCCCCGAATGGTAAAATCTGGGACATTAGCCCTTCTGTGACCAAGCCAGGATGTACAGTATCCCGGATTTCCTCGATACAATCTCGTGATTGAGTGGCCTTGGGACACATCTCACGGACAGTCTCCAGGTTTAGACGGCAAAGGTTATGAGCCAAATATTTGCAGAAGCCAATTTCATTGATCATCGAGGCGGGAATGACCACGCTCTGGCCCGGAAAGCAGCGAGTAAGAGGACCTGTGGCCTTGAGGATAGCAGCTGAGGTGGCGGTTACCTCAAAAGCATCAATAATGACATTGTCACGGGCACTGTCATAATGTGCTAGCCACCCACAGTTTTGCACACAAACGTACAGTGCAATGGCTCCTATATATGGTCCATGTAAGCAATTTACTTTCCAAGGGGTATGAAATCTGATACCATTGGTTTTTAGATCCTTTATATGGCGCGTGAGAAGGTCTTGATGGCGGTTGATATCATCCCCTCCTGCATCGACTGAGAGCCACAGTCCAAGCATATTGACAGCCGGCTTCCATTTGTCCTGGATATCTGGCGGTCTCTCTTCAACAAAGGAGACAAGAGTATCTTTTACAAACCTCATCATCCCGCTCTCAAGGGGTTTTTGGTTGCGTTCAGGTTCTCCGGGTAATTTTGGAGGGAAGACGACATGGTGAAAGATGTACTGAAAGACTTCAGAATCCATGATGGCGAGGGATGAGGGAGAAGGAGTAGGATGGTCGTTCATGGACGTTTGAGTTAAATGGATTTTCCTTTGGGAGATGAATGGGGTTAAGGAAGGAAGCCAAAGAGTTAGAATGTGGGGGCAGATGACCGAAAACGGGGCTAACTATAATTTGAAGCAGGATATATGGAAGAAGAGAGAAGATGGAGAAGAGATTTTGGGAAGAAGTTCGGGAAATAAGAAAACAGTTGGGAGAGATAGACGGAGAGTTGAGTATCAGAATATGAGTACAGGAGGAAGTAGAGGACGAAAAGGAGAATATGAGCGGAGATGAAGATATAGAAGCGGGAAGGGGGAATAGGCAGAAGGGATATTAAAGGACTTTGGAGTAGAGAAGAGGTAACAAGATATAAGAAGAGAAGTAGATATAGAAAAAGAGAAGAGTAGATGTAGATGTGGGAGGAGAAGAAGGAGGAAGGGGGGAAGTAGGTTATAAAGGAGAGGTTACGATCAAAATGACGAGATAGAGAGTAGATAGCCTTGAGAGATAATTGAGAGAGAGAGAGAGAGTTAATATTGAAAAAAAGAAGTTGAAGTAAGAAGAGGTGGAGGTGAGACTGGATAAGATGCAAGAGAGGAAAGTAAGGAGTACAAAGTAAGATAGGTCAAACCCAGGATGAAAAGAACTGAACTGAAGTTGGAAACGAGCGTTGAACGTGCATTGGCAGAAGGGAAGCATCAAAGAAGATGCTGAGTTAGGAGCATCACAGTTGGTCTCAATTTCATTCCAATATCAGCACCAAGACGGACAAGGATTCCGTATACCATGCAGAAACTGCAGTCGAAATGAAACCAAACCGGCAGACCCAGCGGTAGCTAGCCCTTGATTGCAGGTACAAAGTGGAAGAACCAGCCTGTCGAGACGTCAGTTACTTTCTGATAATGAGAGTTGATAGAAAAGGTTTGATCTCAGACCATTTGCTTTCGGCCAGCCTCAAGTTGCCATGCTTTGTGCATATCTATACTCCTGTTAAAAGTGGATATATCCGACGCCATTGAACATTCCAGTCTCTATACGATAATAATCGGCTGCTTTTAAGATGAATGTTAGGTCTTCCCTAGAATTTGCAGTAAAATCTTTCGATAATCTCATGTGCTGACAACAAGACCTGTTATACGAAAGTACCAGCACATGTATACCCACCCACTGATATCTACGGCGTCATGGTGTTCTCCATCGCAACGGAAGGCCTGGTGAGCGACACAAAGCCATATGAGCAAGCCAGCCATCCGCCATCTCCACCGGACGCCGAGAAAGGCACCATAGGCATCTAGAGCACCAGGTTGGGTATAGGGCCGTTAAGTTGGGTGGCAGGACTATTGTTTCTAGCCGCAAGACTCAAGAGTACTGGTACTACTGTTTTTGTTCCCGCGCTTTTTGCTCTTCGTTTTCATGGTGTGATGCTGCATTTGTGGACTCACATGCCCTAGAGCAAGTCCTTTTGTTAGAAGATCAAGCGGATATGCTATGTCCTGAGAAGATTGAATCGAAGACAGTGCATCTATGACCGTGGTTCAAGCTTATATCCTGCCAAATCGGCTTCTCCGCCAGTCGCAAGCTTGGCATGACTCAGTCAGAGTTGAACTCCGCTTGCAGCAGTCTATCCAATGGGATATACTCACCTTTATGTATACAGAACAAAGATAAGCTCTGGATGTATAGTTGGATAACAACGATCAACCTGGGAACGGCGTATAGATCTGCACCAGAGGGCAGTATACAGACGAAGGGTTATCATCTACATTGCTCTAGATGAAGCGGTCTCCATTGAATTTTCTTCGCGGTAGAAGAGGACGGGTGTTTGACTCCTTCGAGAACCGAGTGTCTTGCTAGGAGCCGAGAACGTGACCAGACGGGAGGACGGTCTGCTGCTTTGGTCAGTTCCTCCACTTTCTGGCCGTCCGCCTGTTCCCTCCACCACAGTATCCAGGCCGTCCTCGGGAGCATCGAGTCAAGCAGATTCTCCACGCTTGCTTGCTTCCGCGCCGTGGTGGATAAAAAACGACCCTTTTATCGCAGCTGTACCAGAATAGAACGGCTGGCGAGCACTGGATGGAGCGTTGGAGACGACGTCGAAGAGAAGTACCGAGCAAATGACGTGCAAATGTGAAACAATTTACCGAATGCTAGCTATGATTTGGTCTCCGTCTCTGACTCTTGAAACATTCTAGAAGCGACCACTGCTACCAAGACAAATGCTGAGATTGATACGTACCATGAAGGGTTTGTACATAGTGAACCAATCACATTTACAAAAGAAACGGTGGTTCGCCTCAACTCTCAAGCCCTCGCCCTTTCGACAGTCTAAAAGGTCGAGAGTGAACTGCGCGTGTTGGCCCCTAGAATGTACAGCTCACATATCGACCCGAGCTCTCGCGACGTTGCCAAGGAGATAAGCTATCGAGATCGCTACAACATGTACACTATTTAACACCCGGTTGTCCATCGCCCCTCCTAACATCAGTTGCCAGGCGAACACCGGATATATGTAAGGTACTGCAGAGTCCAGATGGCAACTCCTGCGCCACAAGCCGAAGTCATAATCCGGAGAAGACGCAAGGGGGCAACCAGACCGGTTACCCGAGTGCCAATGGACGAGGGGACACCAAATCCTGGAACCTACGTACGCGGAGGCACAGACTCTCTCTTCGAAGGAGGTCTAAATAATACTCTGGGCCTTGTCGCGATCTGCAGCTTGCCGAAATCTCATACATCGGGATGCACGGAATCTGCAACCGGGCCAAGGGTGGATGGTGATGTCACTGTTGCTGGGGAGCGGAGAAAACCGAGGACGGAATAATCCAGTGCATTAGTTCGAACATGCCATTGTACGGAGCATTGAGCCCGACAATCCAGGTTTAGGCTGTAAGAATAAGTGTCGAATGGTAATGCGGAATTGCCACGCCCAGGCACCACTGAACCAGAGAAACAAGAATAGAAACGGGGGGAGGCCCGGCCGGCATCCCATGGATGATGGAACATGAGAACCGTGGATGCAGTAACCAAGGTCTGTAAAGGGGTCAAATAATGGCAATTCAGGGGGGGGAAGTAGTAAAAAGCCATTGTAGAGAAACTGGGTTAATGATGGCAATCCCTGCAGCACGCAGGGAAGCCGTCCGTTGGAATTGAGTTGCTGGCTGTGAGATCCCCAGTGGGAAATTGCTGCGCCATCTCGTGTTTCCCCTCTCAAGTCCAAGGACGATCATCGCCAACTACCAACTTCTTTTGCTTCTCGCCTGCTTTATTTCCTTGCTTTCTCCCCCTTCTATATACAGCTCGAGTTCAGGATTTTCGTCTCTCGCTCAACCCAGCCTCGTGGTCTCCCGTGAGTCGGACAGTTTGGGGGCTTTTCGGACCGCAACTCCTTTTCCAGCCTCCGTCACGATCGGTTTCAGACCGACTCCTGCACGCCGTCCCTCAAAAATCGACCTGTCCGCTGCCCAACTGCCTGCCTCTGCAACGTGTGCCTCGCATCTTTACAGCAAATTCCACCTGACAATAAACCGCATCGGTTTCTCCCCCAACATCATAACAATCATTGCGCATCCGGATCGTTAGCGGCGCGATCGTGACTGGTTCGCTGGTCGTGGGTCCACCAGGCGAATTCGACCTTGACCTCGACCTCGATTTCAGGTTTCAACTTAAACCAGGCCCGTCGCTCCACGCTTGATTTCTTCTCGTTATTCCCTCGCATGGTGATTGTTTGATTTCAGCGTTCGCAAGCCATGGGTTCGACTCAGTTCGGGAATTTCAACGTGAGTTGCGGCTCAACCCACATGCTGCATGCCATGATGGTGAACTGACGCATTCTCCGCCCAAAATAGGACTTTTGTCGCGATTCTACCCTTCCAGTCTGCAATGTATGTTAACCAGCATCCCCCCAGTCTGGCGCAAAATCTTCCATATCGAAACCCGATGTGATGCTAACCACTATTTTCTTCAAAGCTCTTTAAATCCAACCAGCCCCCTAACAGTGCATTTGGTGGGTGCGAGCTCGTTGGAATCCCACTTAGCGGTGACCGACATCTTGCGAACCTCGGTATGGCTTGTCGTTTCCTCAAAAGAAAAACTTCGCTCACCTTAATAGGGTCTATATTGCTCGCGTTCATAAGCATCCTTGTCTCGTTGGTTTTGATATGGCGATCGGATCGGAAACAAGCCGCAGTTGGGCGGAGGTACGTGGTTTCGACATGTTCCCGACGAATATAACAAATCCTGATGAGGATATACAGGGAAATGCAGTTATTTCTGCTGGGATTCGCCATCATCGAGATTTGCGAAATATTTACCGTCGGTGGTTTTCCCCTTGACGATAATGTCCGAAAGGTATGGCTTCTCCGAGATTTATCCTGAATTGCCTAACATCCTGCAGGGCTTCTCAGCAGTTCACATTGCTGCGATTACAGCGACCTGCTGGATTCTTTTCTTAAATGCCTTGGTTGGCTTTCAGTTCCTTGACGATGGAACCCCTGCTTCACTAGGACTGTTTGCCTTCTCTGCCGGAATTTTATTCATCGGTACGGGGTACATCGCCTTGGACACTGCTTTCGACTGGACCGGGACGTTTGCGACAACCGAGGCCAATAATTATCGAAACATCGCGCTCTATGTATTGTACCAGCTCTTCCCGCTCGTCTGTCTGTTCGCATTCTTTGTCCTGGAAGCATACCTAGTGGTTCGCATACTTGGGGAATTCCGACCAATGCGTGCGTATATCTTCTTCTGTTGAAACAAGCCAATTTGTCTGACCAAATACAGTGTATCTCGTCGCGACCACGATTCTTTTCGCCATTGGCCAAATATTCAACTACGTTATCAGCACCCACCTCTGCTCGGCCACAGGAGGAAAGATCAACGGCGCCTTGTTCGAGACACTTTTCACATTAATCTCGGTTGTTGTGCTTTGGTTTTTCTGGAGCAGCATCACAGAAGATGACTGGCCCATGCCAATGTCCCAACCTGTACCAGGATACAATTAATTTTTAACGCGACCAATTGAAGACTAAAAACGAAAACAACGAAAAAAAAGCATGTCCAATAAAGAGACTGTCATTCTCTTGCTGTCCTCTCCAACATGGCATCACTATCGCTTACGATACTTCCACTCGCTTGATACCCAGTCCACAACGTCTCAACCTGATACCACGAAGAGGCATTGAAATTTAAACGCATGTTTCTCGCTATTTCACCGCTCATGTTTCACGATCGTCTTGGATGTGCCTATGTGCCACGACATCTGCCGTTTCGAACTATTTATGCTTTACCTTGGCCACGTGGTCTGCCGGTTGGAATGGTGTGGCGGAAACCTAGGTTGAACTTCGTCCACTGGACCTTCTTGGCACTTCATCTCGTCAGTAGGCCTGGTTTTAGATATGATATCCGCACGGTTCTCTATTTTTGCTGCTTTGAGTTAGATACCTATTTCGCGATGTATGTAGTTAGTAGTTAGTAATAAACAACTGATATTTGTACCTTCAAGCTGGGTTTTGACTATGGTATCTATATATAGCTCTAGCAGCGATCCAGGCACTGCACAACATTCTGGGAAAAAGTGTCATACATGACTTCGTCGAGACACCCAGAAGTGGATGGCCTCAATTGAGGAGGACCAATAAGGCAAAAGGCGGGAGCAATCCCTGTTGTATATCTCAGCCGTGAAGTTAAAAAAGACTCATTCGTAAACCTAGATGGGGCCAAATAAAGCCTTTTAAGCCTTTCTAGACCTACTAGCAGCTCTTGGTAGCGCATGGCAAGTTAGGGCTATCGCTATAAGATCAGCGTCTGTACAGCCAGGGCCCAGGGACAAGTACCCTCTGAGTAGTACACCATGAAGCAAACCACAAGAGCCAAGTAAACACTGCCAGCAAACATGACTTTTTAGCCTAATACGCCAATGCTCCTAATATTCTTTGCTGGCATTGTCGCGTTGATAAACGTGCATGCATAGGATTGGGGTCGGCACAGATGAGTAAAACTCATTGGATGTTCTCTCCTGAGGGCACCATTGTGCAAGAGTGTCACGTTCGCCATCGGCAGGCAGTACTCGTCCTTCTTGTTTCTAGCTTTCGGGTGGCTTTCCATGCTCAATCAAGTTTACAGTATTACGGTATTGTGTTGGGATGCGGCGTAATAAAGAGACAAATTCGCCATTTAGCGTGGTATTGAAATAACTGAGCTTCAATCCGCTTTATCGGAATGTGATGTACATGAAATTGCGACGCCATGCTAGGAAAACAACGTACTATTAGTTGCGCATATCCAAGCCCAATACGGCGAACGTGTCTGTCAAACCAACTGAACACACGGTGAAAATGAACAATATAAAACACGCATCGCCAGTTAAAGTTAAGACAAATACACGCCTATGCCAAAGGAGAAGAAAGCCAGACAGGAATTTCATACTCGTCATAAGCCCTTTATGTGCGGTCACTGGTTTGATACTATATCATACCCGAACCTTAACATCAACACAAGGAAGCGTCCATTCCCGCCTCCCAACTAGACTTCGCAGCCATTCCAGTCCAAATCCAGTGAGTTCATCAGCAGTGCTCGCTCCTGGCGTCGCTGACGAAGGACAAGAGGCGTCGCCCGCGGATAGCCGTTTTTGAGTCTCATCGACCACAGCCCCGGCAAGTGCTTTCGCGGTGTTGTTCACCGTCTCAAAGACATAACCGGCTAGCGACTCGTTTTCCATGCCGAGGAGAGTGGAAGAGTTGTTTTGTGGAGTAGTCATGTTCAAACCGTCTGTGCCATCGTAGGGTGCGTACCGCGGAGCGAACCAGTCAGCGCGGAGATTGAGGAAGCAGTGGTCGGACCAGTTGCAGGTTGAGGCGAAGAGAATAACGAGGAGGGCGGAGCAGTAGATACATGGTCGGTGGAGGAGGTAGGTGAGGGTTACGAAAGAGATGAGGAAGAGCGGGGAGGCGTTAGTTGGGATGAAGAGGAGGGGGAGCCAGCTGGGACATCTTGTTAGTTTGGCTTCTACATTTCAGAGCAACCATCAAGGAGATTCGGTACGGCGGACAGAAGGGGCGATATGCCCGCTAGCATCCAGCTACTTACCTCCTGAGACAGAACATGTTGAGGGAGCGAGTCCAAGGCTGGACGACGTAACAGGCGGAAAGCTGCCGGTGTTGCCAAACGTGAGAGAAATGTCACCGCGCAGAAAGTGCTGCACTGAAAAGGGTGTTGACTTGGATTTTTTGCACAGGGGGGATGACACGAATGAATGCGGAATTGACAGTCAGTCCATTTTGAGAGGCCGTGTTGACTGTTTCAAGACTTTGCTCTTGTCGGCCGATGATGTCGATGAAATTCTGTGGTCACGGTTGGCTTTGCGCCACAGTCCGTAACTTACAAAGTTACCGTACAGTCAGCCTCAGCGAGCTCCAGCCACACAGCGCTTGAATCTGCAGTTGAATTCACTTTCTCGTCTCCTTCGGTTCTCTCTCCTCTTCCTCTTTTCTTGCTCCTCCCTCCCTTCCCTTTCTCTTTATACTATTCAATTCCTCTTTTTGCGTTCTACTTGGTTTTTCTTTCCTTTCCGTTGCTGGTTTTTCGATTTCTTTAACTCCATCGAAGATTGTCGCTTCTTTTATTCGCCTGTCTCTGCTGTCTCTCGAAAGAGAGCTCCTGTGGAAACACTGAGCTTGGTATCTCAATTGGTGGTCGTCTTTTAACACGGCGAGCGACAGAAATGTCCACCCCCAGTGATATTCAAGCTCTCCTGGCGAGCATAAAGTCTCGACCTTCTCCTTCGAACACCCCTGCTCAGGATCCTGGCATGGCCCAGTATCCTCAGCATTACCCGCAGCATGGATACAGGCCGCAGGCGCCGCCCTATGACGGCCAGGGCTACGCGCATTCCCATCTGCATCAGCAGGCCTACCATCACCCCTCGGTCTCGTCGGCCCTGCAAAGCCCTTCTCCAGTCAACAATCCTCCTCGTCACCCATCGGACATCCTGAGCCCCAACGTCGCCACCCCCGGCGAATCGTTTCCCCAGCATCAACCCCAGCCTCAGAACCCTGACCGCTCCGTCAACTTGTTGAATCTACTGAAGTTCAACCAACATGGTGCTGGCTCTCCTCAGCAGCAGGCCCCTACAGCTGCAGAACAACCTGTTCATACACACCCATCGGCCCCCGTCCCAGAGGATGCTTCGAGGTCTCACGCGAGGGACATCTCTGCGTCTGACCTGGTAACCACTCTTTTTGGTAGACAGGGACAAGCTGCTACTGCTAACCCGGGCCAGCAAGCGGACCAACCCGCTGCCGAAAGCCCTTCTGCTACGACGAATCCCGAAAAGCCGCAAGATATGTTACTGCGTCTGCTCAACCTGCCCACGTCAGGTCAGAAATTGTCCGATGCTGCTGTCCAGTCTCCTGGTTCTATTGCATCTCAGAAGAATACGTTTTCGGAGTCTGGATTAGGACGTTCGACACCGCCAACGCAAGGTGCCGTGGAGCCGACGAGTTTTGCTCCTGTAAGATCGGACAACCCAACCCCACCCGGCAATGAAACCATTTTCGCGCACGTTAATCCGTTCGAACAGCTGGCGGCTGTGTCGCGGAACCGAACCCCTCAGCCCAATCTTCAAGATGAGAGCCCGGTTGTTGAATTTACGAAAGACGAGAAAGTGAATGTGACTACCGAGTTCCAACCTCAACCCGCACCACGAACTGCCGAAAACGCGCGCCCGAACCCTCCTAGTTTGGATGGACACCAAAAGGAAGCCGTTACAAATGTGGTTGACAGGCTCGTAGAGCAGATTACACGGGACGTTGACGAGTCTTACGAAAAGTTGACTCAGGTGAATGGTTCTCCAGGACCAGCGCTGCAAGAAGATAGCGTTAAAACTACTGTGATGACCACTGAGACTACTGTTCAGGATTCCAATGGTGAGACGGAAGTCGTGAAAGAAACTACTGAGGAAGTTGCTGCTACCACAGGAGTGAAAGAGAATTCCAATGGCAGTGGGGAGGCGTTGGCGGATAGTTGGGAGAGTGCCGAGGACAGTGCTGAAAAGGATGAAGAACGTGTCGTTCCCGTACACAACTTTCCCCTGAGGCCATTCATATCCATTATTGTCAAGCCGTATGCTGGAAAGCTCCCGGCTTTGCGCGACGACGGAATCATGGATATTGCTCGGTTGAAGAAAGACTTCGATCAGCTCGACCGTTCGTTGACCTCTGCTACTCCCGACTATATTGTCTATGCGCTTGCCAAAAATGGAGGAATGAGAATTATTCGTCAAGACGATGGAAGCGACAAGCAGGTGCTACGCTCCACTCGTGACCGTGTGTTTAATGTTGCGGTATGCACATCACAGTCTGCCGGCGGGTCTTCCGAAGACCAAGCCGTTCTAGGAATTGGTGTCAGTGGCACTGTATACTGGATTTTGATTTCTCGAGGAGATAAAGATCTTTTTGAGCAGGATGCTTTGGAGAGTGAAAGTCTCATCTTCCCACCGTTCCCGGCTTCTGACGAGAACACCTCCGGCGGCCAGCTGAAAACGCGGGCTAAACGGAGCTCTCAGCACTCTGGGTTCTTTGCGATTGGGCGGGGCAAGAACATCTATGTAATCTCTCCACAGGCTGCTGCAAACCCTACATACGGCGTCTCGGGCAACAACCGAACTGTGAATACTGAAAAATTCTTCAAGGAGCGCGCTTTGAAGATCTCAACCGGAAAGGCCGGGAAGGACTTCGTGTTTAGCGCTGACGATACCGTCATTGCTTCGCTCGATAAAACCGGTCGCCTTCGTTTCTGGGATATCCGCGAAGTGGTCAACAACCCAGACGCCGGTATCAATGCTTCTGAGATCCGTATCCCGCTGAACACTTTTGTGACTGGCTCTCCTACCGAGAAGTCGTGGCCAACATCTGTCCTTTTCATGGACAAGTTGCGCCCTTATGTGAAGTCGATGGCGCTCCGTTACGTTCTTGTTGGATTGAAGCAGAATCACACTTTGCAGCTCTGGGATATTGGGCTAGGCAAGGCAGTGCAGGAGCTCAAATTCCCGCACGAGAACGAGTCCGACGCCATTTGCAGTGTTGCGTATCACGCACCATCTGGAATCCTTGTTGTCGGACACCCGACCCGGAACTCCATATACTTTGTTCACTTGTCGGCCCCGAAGTATAACTTACAGTCGATGTCACAGGCCTCATTTATCAAGCGTGCGGCAGAGAAGGACAACACCCTTCCGAAGCCGGAATCAACCGCTTGTCTCAGCGGGATTCGTGAGGTATCTTTCGCGTCAAAGGGCCAACTTCGCAGTCTGGACCTTCTGCCGATCACAAAGGCAGCCGGCGAGGAAAGTGGCCTTTTCGAACTTTACGTTATGCACTCTCGTGGCGTTACATGCCTTAACATCAAGAAAGAAGACCTCGGTTGGAGCCAAGACAACAGAATTGTTCGCCCCGTTAATGCTCTTAGCGAGGGCCTGATTGAGATTTCTGATCTTCAATCCTTCCCAACCTACGTTGCAGACGATTTTTCTGTAAACGGTGATTCTACTGGCACTCCCACAAAGGTTGTACCAAAGGAATTTGTGAAGGCTACCCCGGAGCCCATCGCTGAAGATAGCGCCAGTGCCGGTGCTGGACCCAGTGCTCAACGCACACAATCCCCTACAAAGGCCGCGCCCAAGAAAAAGCAGGTTGATGAGCCTGTAGAAGCGACGTCTGCGGGCCCGTCTGAAAAACCTGAGAAAAAGAAGAAGAAGAAGGGAGCTGCTGCGGCCAGTGAACCTACGAAGAAGGAACCTCTCTCGACACCTGATCAGTTTAACCGTGAGGCGCCGAAGGTTCTGGCGAGTGCACCCAAGCCCACAGTCGCAGGAAATGGTGTTGGCGATTCTCACGAGACCTGGAATAAACACATCGAGGCATTGCAGGATGGAGTCACTTCTGAATTCAACAAGAGCCTCGGCCGTGAGCTAGAAGGACTATACACTCGGTTTGATGAGGAACGGCGTAGCTGGGACGCTGCGTTTGCTTCCAAGCAAGACCAGGTTTTGCGCATGGTATCAAGCACGCTCTCCGAAAACGTGGAGAAGAACCTTGCGCGTATTGTCACCCAGAGCATCCAGTCTGACGTGGTCCCCGCGCTTGGAGACCTCACTTCTGCTGCTGTGAGCAAGCAATTGAATACTGTTCTGTCTCAGCAATCTGGTGGTGTCATTTCCCGTGAACTGCGGCAGTCTCTGCCGGACTCAGTTTCCCGCGCTCTGCAGCAGCCCGACGTAATGAAAGTTGTGTCAGATGCTGTGAGCCAGAGGTTGAGTACTCATGTAGAAAGCCAAATTTCCAAGACTCTGCATGATACCCTTGCGCCCACTCTGAAGAATGTCGCTCTCCGGGCAGCGGAGATGGTCGGAAATGACGTGGAGAAGCGTATGCAGACTCAGATAAAGCAACATGAAGCCCAACGCCAAGCCGATGCTGCCAAAATCGACCAACTCACTGCTCTAGTTCGCGGCATGTCGGATACTGTTGCGTCCATGGCCGCTGCGCAGACTGGATTCCAGCAGGAGGTTTTGCGCCTGAACCAGGTTGTTTCTGCGCAGAATGAACCCGGAACCCAACAAATCCCAGTGAATCAACCAGCAGTCGCGCCAGCTCCGTTCAACGAAGTGCCAAACCCTGAAGAAAGAGAGATTGCAGAAATTACACAGTTGATACGCGATGGGAGATACGAAGAAGGCTCAGTTAAGGTATGTTCCATTTTACTCATTAATAATACAACGTTTCTAACTTGCGCCAGTGGCTTCAATCTGAGCAACAGGCAGATCTGTTCGATCGCCTCTTTGTCCACATTGACCCGTCCTACTTGAACACACTTTCCCCCATAGTGGCACTGTCAGTTGGTGTGGCCGTTACATCCTCCATGCAGACAAATGCTATGGAGCGTCTCACGTGGCTCGAGGTCGTTCTTCAGACAGTTAATTTAAGGGTCAGTAAACATCATTCACACGAGTCCACCTTGTTAAATACTAACTTGTATTAGGATGCCGATATTCAAGAGGTCGCACCCAAGATTATGGACATCCTGATCGCTCGCCTGAATGGCCTCTACATGTCTGTTGCCAAAGAGGCACCTCACAGCGCCATCCTGCGCAGGATCCCCCCGCTCGCTCGCCGGGCTACCGATCTCCGTAATCTCCGTGGTTAAAGGTATCGGAATCGGTAATTATGACGTGCATGTTGAATGCGTTCTGCATTTGGATCTCTAATGATGGTTATGAATCATGCATTAGCGCAATACAATCAACATGAAGGGTGATTGATATTCTTGATATTTTTGCTGTCTTTAATGCATAGTGCGACATGGCATGCATGACATGAACATTTACTATGATCATTGCGATGGCATATCGAGGGCTAATTACAATTGTCGTAATGAACCATTATTTTGACTTTGCAGTCCTTCCAATAGTAATCACCTGGCTATAATTGCCTGCACCTGTCTCTCAACTTGACGAGAACCTATGATGGCCACTGAAAGCTGAGATCCTCGTAGATTATCGGTTACAGCGGGTTCTTACTGTAGATAGAAGTGTATTCGATTCGCCTGCCCCTTGAAATCTGAATCCCACTATATAAAATGCGATATAATGTTAATACAATACATGCCTTCCCACTCATCTAACGCCAGACAATTCCCATAAATAGGTGTAAATTGAATCAATCATGCATAAAATGCAACCCTCTCTTTAGTAGCTGCAGCCACATTTCCAGATTCACCGTCCTCAACAAACTCAAACCCCAACGCCCGCCAGTTCAGCTCCTTTCTCCAGTGGAGGCCATAATATAACCGATCCTGTACCTTTTCTTCCTGGTCATGCGCTGGTCCGCTGTCTCCCTCGTGTTCAGTTGCCTCATCAGTAACAGGTACAGGCGCGATGACAGGCTCAGAAGCAAGACCCCCCGTAACCATCCTCCCACTTTGCGGAAAGATAACAGAGCGGAACCGCGAAAGGAGGAGACCCATGGAGCAGCACAGACAAGGCTCATGTGTCAAGTACACGTCCAGGTCAGTACATAGATATCCACCTCGCGAGCGCGGACGGATTCTGGGCTCTGATTTCTCTTCCCCAGCAGACGTTGAGATGGGAACAGCCCGGGAATCATCGTACCCAGTCTTCTGGTATTTCTCTGGGACGCCTGGGGTTGTATCTCGCGTTTCAGGCTCAGACTCTGGAGCTGTAAGGTCTTTTTGCGAAAGGAAATATAACTCCAACGGAGACAAAGATGGTTTATCATTCTCCGCATCTGGGTCCCCAGCCCGTCTTTTATACGCGATTATCTCGGCGGCGCGCATGAGCGCGTGCAAGTCCGGGCCCCCCTCGAGGTCTGGGTCGTATGTCCTGGTGGCTGGATTTGGGCCTTCGCCGGTATGCAATTCAGCTGTTGAAGGGCATCCGGCTTCGCCACGAGAATACCGTGCGTCGCCGGCGACAGCGACGATTGCATCCGCCCAATTGGTGTCCATGTCGTCTCCTGCGTCTAGTATCCTAGAGATGATATCCGAATCAACGACTACGGCGCCGACACCGCGGCCTCGACCGGATTGCTCTGCTTCCTCGGCGACCTTGCGCGCGAAGGCTAGATACCGGCCTGCGTCTGGCTGAATGAACTCGCGCGTACGGTTCAGGACCTGAACTGGGGGTGAGACTGTCGCCCGTGCAGCGGCTGGGTTGTAAACGACCGGCCATAATTCCTTGGACCATTTCTCGGCCTGCGCTTGGCCTAGTGGTGGGAGGGTGGGGACTTTAATGGTGTGCAGCTCAACCTGGCCTGCAGGATCTGAAGATTGCGATTCGGGGTTTTCTGGTGTCGGGACAAAGGGGGCGAGGAGTTCTTGTAGACGGTTTACGTCCGGTAGAGGTGGTGAGATTAAGACAAATATAATCTGTGGCGAAGGGTTGTCGTTTAAGAGGATCGGGTGTAGACGTTCTGGGAGGTTGCCTTGCTTCGCGAATCGGCGGAGATGGTTCATGGGGCGGGCAGCGTCGCGGGGAAAGGCAGCATCGAGGACTCTATACTGATCAACGCTCGGACAGAAAATGATACGACTCGGCAAGCGACTCACTTTACGACCTTCGCGGCACTTTTCACGTTCACCCCCGCAACGTAGGCGTCCCCTTGGAACCATTAGATCAGGTAGGCCGCAATCCAACTGGTTAATGTACATACCATATTCCTCTACAGGTTGAGTTTCTTGTACAGTTTTTATAGGCGTTACTTCGCCTACGAGAGGCTGAACGTCGCGAATGATCTCCTGGGCATCCATGAGCTCTGGAGGGGAGCGAAGAAGTTCCAGGGATTGCGAACTTGGGCCAGCCGGTTAATGAGCGGCAAGCACGAGGGAAGCGACTAAAGGGGCAGGTGAGCTCAATATCATGACATCTGGACGTGTATATTGAGCAGCACTGGTTATCTGGCAGTTTGATGGTCTTTGGCGGAATGAATAAAGATTGAAGTTATCCCCGCTGCAACCCTGTACCCTAAAACCTAAGCCCTACGGGGGTTTTTTTGCCTGAGGCACAAGTTACGTCACAAAGCCGTCGTCTCCTTTTGGCCAGGAAACAGCATTAGTAGGAATTGTAGCAAGACATAGCAGAGAATTATAAACAGATGAAATTAATAGTTGGTATTCAGATACGCGAAGAACTGGAATCTCAAAAAGGCCGCCCTGCTACCTGAAACGCCGAGAATGAAGTTGTACAAAACACAGAGGGATATAAGAACACAGGAAAATGAAACGCAAATATGTGGAATCGTAAGCAGAATTAGGATAAAGCCCCAGTATAAACAGACACGCCACACGACTTGCTCTCTGTCGAGCGCTCTAATGCATGCAGAGAAACTCCAAGTCCCCTATGTGTGCTATTTCCGGTTGTTGCAACGCCTCGTCGTGTATACCAGTCACAAAGGAAAGCCGGTTTGGTTGGCCCAATCAGGCACTGGATTGGATCTCATACCCTTCGCACCTTTCTGCCAGGCTCTGGTAGTAGTCATTAAGAACCTCGGGTTGAGGGACGATACGCCACTCGACACGGAAGAGAAATTCTAGTTCAAGAAGGGCTAATTCGGTCATACTGATTCCCCCAACTCGGGCGTAGGTTTTGTTGGTCCAGAAGCTATCGCTGAGTCCTTTGGACGCAACAGTCGCACTGGTAATCAGGAACCGATGGATTGTCAAGCTCGAGACGGTGAAGGCTGGGTATAACGCACAAAGCCGGTCGATATAATACACCATACTTAGCAGAATGGGCGGAGACAAGGTCGCGTGAGTCGTGAGTCGTTGTAAGTAGTCATGCACTGAAATCCGAGGAGGCGAGCGTGAGTGGAAACGTGTCAATCGACCCTGGTGCAAGGGTATCTTGTCATTAAACCGAATAAGCTCCAACAGCATACTCGAGATCAGGAAAACTAGGTCCTTGGGGTTGGCGAATTCATAACGAGCCGGAAGGTATTTAACGGCGGGCTTATCCGAGCGTTGTCTCTTTGACTGCGAACGTTCGAGGTCTAAATTCTCTAGCTCCGCAGCCGCTGCACGGCTAGGAGGAGAATCATTTGGGCTGTTACGCTTGTTGGACCCTGCGTTGCTGGTTGGCGCCGGCATTGAGGGCGCTTGCGAGCTCTGGGGAGGGGGGGCTGGGGCCGGAGGGGCAGATGCAGGAACAGACGAACTGTTACTGGCAGGATGGTCGGGGTAATCGGGGAGGGCGGCGTTAGGACCGGGAGCTGCAGCGGAGGCAGCTGCAGCAGACTCGGAGGCGCTAATTCCGCCCCCAAGGGAGGTCTGCCCGGCGGACATACGACCGCAAGGAAGGTCCCCTGAGGGCCTGACAGACGGAGTAGAAACCGAGTGCCTCTTCAGAGCTGACCGGAGCTCTTCAATGGCCACACGAGAGGAGCGGGGAGTGAAAGGACTACCGGGCACAGCAGATCGATCGGCGGCAGAGTCATAATGCTGGCTATGATAAGCAAAGGCAGCTGACGTCGACGACAGGCGGCGCGAGAAGGAAGTCGAGCATGGAGAGAGAGGAGGTTGGGGCTGAGAAGTGGAAGGAGAGGAGGGAGAGGGCCGAAGGGCGGCGGAGGGCGAGGGCGAAGAAACTAACATCTCCGCCCAACAGGTTCACCACGTGGGCGCAGGATTGAACGAGGTTGCTCGAGATTGGCAAATGCTGTGAAACCCAAGACCGGAACTATTGCATTTGGTGTCGTGCACATACTCATCGTGCTGATCCCCTACTCAAGACACGGCAGTGATCAGATACAACGATGATGATGAGGAAGGTAAGTGTCAGGATAGTTGATTTAAAAGAAGAATCATTCCACCACTAGGTGCCAGTCACACTGTGCCCTGTTGTGAAGTCTCTGAAAACCTGTGCCCGTTCGGTACTGTAAGGTCGAGACCCAGCAGAAGGAAATCTCTCCTTAATAAGGTTTAGTGTTTTATGTTCAGCCAATAGAATTCATTAATAAGCGCTTTTCCGGAAAAGCCGGCCGTACGGAACGTCCCCAATACATCAGTACGCCTGGCAGAATCAGCCACTTGTGGACCAGGCCTGATGAGGGCCTTTCGTCACTGGCGCATTCTGCTTTTATTGGCAGATTAAGAACTCAATGCGGTCGGATCCCCAGACAGCCCTGGAACCAAGGAACTTGGCCCCCGGGAGAACTGACCTGCCAGACCAGCTGACATGCTGCGGAACTGTCAAGCAGAGGCGACAGTTCCTCCTGTTCCTTTGAGGGCCGTGCGATTTGACAGAGTTATCAGATCCTCAGATCACTTCCAAGCTCGGGACCGTCTGCGCAGCTTCAGCCCTTTCAGGGGCTACTTCGGTGCCTAACGCGCTAAACCGTCCTGCAACCTGCACTCTGGCAGTAAGGCTGAGTCACGTGATTACTGTCTTGATTAGTAACCAGTTAATGTCATGTGACGGTCACCTGATATACTTCCGAAAACGGTAAAGCATATCTGCCCGCGCCAAGACCTGCGGTTTTGAGTGTCAATGACCTGGTCGATCTCCGTGTCGACTGTCTCTTTCTGTATTTTACAGTCTGGCTTTTTTTGTGTCATGATAGATGTGTTTATATTTATACGACTTGCATCATCTGTTAGTCTTGTTTAGTTGTTGCATTGGTGGGTTGAATTCGAAGCTCCAACCTTGAATTGAACTCCGGAATCGCATACGCCCATCAACGACCTCACCTCCGCACTTCTCCGTATCACCACCACATGCGTTCGCCATCATCACCCATCATTCGCTCGGATTATTAGACGCCCCCGACTACCTAGCTGCTCCATATAATCTCCAGGCGAGCCAGACTCTACCCGCTACCGGGTTCCCTTCCGGGAAGTGGTGATTTCGGACCATGACTCGCGCTGAGACGCCGCCCATCCTCCGCCAGCTACAAAATGCGGATACCCTGTCCTCACAGACTGTTGCTTTACGGGCCTTGAAGAATGAGACAATTGGTCATGACCAACGCAAGGGAACTTGGGTGCAGTTAGGGCTTATCCCTGTGTTAGCCAACGTTCTTGCCTCTCGGGCTGTCGGCAAAAGTGCTGGGCTCCAGAGCGATTCCAAACGCCCGGAGCTACCAGGCTCTGCGGAAGAGGGGGACGATGCCTGCTTACAGGCAATCATACTTCTTGGCAGTTTAGCGCAAGGTATGTTGGCGATCTTCTTGAGACTTCGCAGCTATGTTACTAACGCCAGAACAGGGGGTGTGCCGTTCCTATCCCCGATCCTTTCAAGCAACCTACTTCCGATCCTCCTCTCCATCTTATCATCTCCTGATTGTCCTCAATCCTTCATTCTTCCCATTCTCCGCATTTTGAATAGTGTGGCTGACCGGCTACCACTACAAAGTCAGCAACAATGGCCGAAGGATACGCGGTTGGCGGACCTTCTTTTCTCAACAGAGCACATTGGCTGCTTGGCACGTATCGTTGGACAGGACTATAGTACTCATGGCCGTCTAGCATCAATTGAGCTTGCTGCGGGTCTCATTGGGAAGCTATGCACGGAGGAAGTTCACAAGGCAGTTCTGGCGGACTGCGGGGTATTGGACGCCCTGGCAGTTAAGGTCGCGTCTTTCATAGTTGCCCAGGGATTCGTGTTTCCGGGTGCTGAGCAACATTTAGATGATCCTGGCGCGCTGCGTTCGTTGCCGTCACCTGCGCCCCGTGGGGCTAGACTCGCCCCCATCCTTCGTGCAGTGACGGTCATCATTGAGCAATCTAAATGGCGGGCAGAGCACTTCCTTTCATCTCCTGGTATAGTGACTGTATTCCCGCGACAAATACCCGAATTTGCTCCATCCGATATCAAGAAAGGACCCTGGGGCTCCACTTATTTATCGGGGACGGCGGTACCGCAGCATCATGGGGGCACACCTCTAGAGTACCTCCTTCCGTCAGTTCCCCTGGCACAGCTCAAATCCCCAGCCAGCGCTTCGAGCTTTCCACCACTCGGTCAATATGGGCATCAGCGTCGACAAAGCCACTCCTTTCCTACTCCGCTCTCCAGCTTTGACTCACCATCGGCCGAAGATGACGAAAACCCCGTTGTTCCGTGGCTCTTATATCTTGTCCGTGCGGAAAATGGCATGGCTCGTCTAATGGCAGCTCGCCTCGTGACTGTGCTTTGCCGGCTGGGGCTCACAAAAAAGCACAGGGTTTCAATGCTCTGTTATCTACTGATTCCAATTCTACTTCGCATGCTTGATAAGGACTACGACGCGTCTGAAGACGGGATTCAGTATGGTGGACTTATTCCATCAACAAAACGTATCAAAGAAGAAGCTCCGGGTGTACTTGCTGCCTTGGTCGTCGATGACCAAGAATTGCAGAAACATGCGGTTGAGGGAGATGCAATAAAACGACTATCTCAACTTCTCAAGGAAACATACAACCCCGTTCATGAGCCGTCACGATCCATGTGGCATGCAGAAGAGCAGCCAACAGCCGAAAGCCTTAACGCAAACCCGCCAGAGTGCCGACTTGGCCCCGCTGGTTACTCACCCCTTAATTGTCATATAATGAGATATCGAGAAAATATTCTGAAGGCATTAGCTGCATTGGTGCCTTTCAAGGATGAGTATCGCAAGGCGGTCTGTGATAATGGAGTTGTCCCATACATCATTGATTCGCTCAAGCCCTTTCCGAATACCCTACCAGCCGAGCCTAGCCAAGGAAACAGTACAGGTGACGGAAACCCGACGCCGACTTTATTGGCAGCCTGTGGTGCTGCCCGAATGCTCACGCGTTCAGTGAGCGTTTTAAGGACGAGTCTTATTGACGCTGGCGTCTCGACTCCTTTGTTTGTTTTGATTCGTCATCCGGATATTGAGGTGCAGATTGCGGCAACATCTGTTATTTGCAACCTTGCTCTTGATTTCAGTCCGATGAAAGAGGTATATTTTCTAGATCTTTTCTTCGCCTTTTGTCAAATTACTAATAGATCTCTCGCAGGCAATCATATCTGCTGAAATCCTTCCCATCTTGTGCGAGCATGCACATTCCCCAAACACTAAACTCCGGATTGAATCACTATGGGCGCTAAAACATGTCGCTTATAACTCAAAGAGCGATGTCAAAATCAAAATTATTGATGGTCTAGGACCGGACTGGATCAAGCAGGTCATTTCTCAGGACCCGACGAGTGTCCTAGCTAAACGTGGACCTGACGAGGAGACAGACAGCAGCACTCCCGGTGGAATGAGCCGAGCCAACTCGGCTGGGCAGCGGGTCGACCTCCTGAATCCAATGGACAATCCCCAGGAGGGTGATGAAGAAATGGCTGATCCTCTGCCTACATCAAAATTCAGTCTGGATATGTTCCTTCCAGACACAACCAGACGGCGCAAGCTTGCGCTTCACGGTGATCTTGACCAGACAACCCAGGCCCGTCGGGATGACATTGCGGCGCAAGAACAGACTCTTGACCTTTTACGCAATGTTGTCTGTGGGCCTGATGCACCGGAGATGATCGGCCATCTATTGAACACGATCGGCCAGAATTTTTTGCTAGATGCCTTGGCAGAAAAATTGCGCCCTCGTTCCATTCAACTGCCACATCGGCGAGACTCACCAAATCACCGCACTCTCCAGGTCCCAACCGAGATTCTGGTCGCGGTGACGTTCTTTATCATCCATCTTGCCGCAGGCCTCCCATCGCACCGTCAACTCATAGTTTCACACCGAGACCTTCTCCGTTATTTGATGGGCTATTTCAACCACAGCCACCGAGATGTCCGGACGAATTGTGTGTGGGTAGTAATCAACCTCACATATGAGGACGATGCCAGTGATCGGGAGGGTTGTCGGAAACGCGCCCTCGAACTGCGCGCCATCGGGGTGCTCGATCGACTAGCTAGTCTCGAGCATGACTCGGATCTCGATGTTCGAGAGCGAACCAAAACAGCACTGCATCTGGTAAACTCGTTAACTCATTCTTAGCGTGTCTTGTAAATTATTGCCAGTTCTTGTTTCCGCCCTGGCCAAACAATGGGTGGCCGAACATCACGACAATCATGGATGTACAAAACATAATGCCATTGGGGCTGTTGCCAAATAATACCTAGTCATTAATAGGTAGTGTCTACCGTATACGTCCCGGACCTTCATTCCCTCCAGGATGCTCAAGTCATCTTATCAGCGGGTTTATCTTATCGATAATTGGGGAAATTTAAAAGCACAACGTCATTGGAACGATCGTTGGACCCCAAGACTTCCAATACGTTCCAGGCACTTTCATCATCATCAATTCTTCTTTTTACTATCTCGAATCAAGAATAATCCTCACGTAAACTATAAACCAAATCACACATAACGCCATGCCTCCAGTCCCAACTTCCATTCTCCGTGCCCTCTCCATCTCCGACCCCTCCAAAGCCTCGCTCTCAACAGCAGGCCTAGGCTCTGGGTTTACAACTACAGGCGCAATAAAAGCCACAGTGCCAGGCGCAGACGGGCAAGATGAAGAACGGAAATACTTCGTTAAAACCTCCGCCGACGGCAACGCCGCAAAGGAGATGTTCGAGGGCGAATACGAGTCCCTGAACGCCATCGCGGGCGCAGTGCCCGGCTTCTGCCCCCGCGCAATAGCATGGGGTCCACTTGAAGAAGGGAAGGGGGAGAGCTACTTCCTGGCGACGGAGTTTCTGGATCTAAGGGCCAGTGGACGTGGTGGTGAGTCGCTTGCGCAAAGGCTGGGGAGGCTGCATTCTACACCCGCGCCGGTGAATCCGGAGACAGGCAAGAGGATGTTTGGGTTCCCTGTGCCGACATTTTGTGGAGATACGAAGCAGCCCAATATTCCGCGTGAAAGTTGGGCGGACTTCTATGCGAATGACCGGCTGTTGACGATACTGGCGACATCGGAGAAGCGGAATGGGAAGGATGCTGGATTGAGAAGGTTGGTTGAGCAGACAGCGGACACGGTTGTTCCTGCGCTGCTTGGAGATAAACATCTTGGGTATGATAAGTCTGGAAAAGGGGAGGGTATTGTCCCTGTTGTCGTTCATGGGGATCTCTGGAGTGGAAATGCGGACCGTGGTCGGATTGTGGGGAGTGGGCGGAAGGGCGATGAGGAAGTTGGCGATGTCGTTTATGATCCTTCGGCTTCTTATGCTCATAGTGAGTTTGATATTGGGATTATGAAGATGTTTGGAGGGTTTGGATCCGCGTTCTTCAATGAGTATCATCGAATAGTGCCCAAGACAGAGCCGGTTGAGGAGTATGAAGACCGGGTCCGGCTCTATGAACTGTAAGCTCCCTTTCCTTGACATGGGTCTCTTCTAACATGTCTAGGTATCATCATCTGAACCATCATGCTATCTTTGGAGGCGGGTATCGATCCGGTGCTGTGTCTATAATGGAGAAGCTTCTGAAGAAGTATGGCTGAAGGAATATATACTTTGGGATTGGCACCACTTGATTGGTGATATACATGCACACAACTTCCATAGATGATTCAATACAATCCAGACGATTCTAATTAATATGAAATAGTAATTATACCACCACAAATTTCTTTATTTTCTGTTGATTCTGGTCTTTAAAAAGATTATATACAGTGCCTATGCGCCGGCGCGGATGAACATTTCTACGGTGCTATCACGTGTCAGCTCCAAGCTTCATGGCAGGATGAAAAGAACCAAGAAACTCGCACTCGATCGGACAACCAGCGGAACTTTCTGGAGGGTATTTGTCGCGCCTGACTCCCAGAATGGCCCCCGAACAGAAGCAGGACTCGAAGAACCCGCCCGGCTCCGACGTGGCACTGCCTGAACCGCCGCCCATCCACCCGTCCTTCATCCAGGTAGCGAAGCCGTACATCTTCGAGCAAACCATCCAGAAATGCATGGCCTCCATGGCGATCAATCCTCTGCGCGAGGATAATCTGCGCCTGCAGGGTGTCACCTGGATCGATAATGTTCGTCGCGAGCTTAATCTGTATGTGAAATGTCCTCTTTTCCCACGACGGTTTGCTAACGATATAGGCCCATTCGGACTTTTAACACCGCCGTGATTTATTACCACAAGTTCCGACTGAACCACCACGATTCGGAGTACAATAATATGGTAGGATATGGTCTCTACACCCTACAATTTGGCGGAGTCTGACGGTTTAGGATGCTGCTGCGGCTTCGCTGTTTATCGCCTGCAAGATCGAGGACACGCTCAAGAAGTCGCGTGAGATTATATGCGCCGCGTATAATCTAAAGCAACCGCAATCCGAACAAATCTCTCCAGATAACCAGGTATGATTCAACCTGCCATGAAACCGAGTATTTTCTAACACGGAATGTCTTTTAGGTGCTCGATGAACCCGCCCGAGGCATTATTGGTTTAGAGAGACTTATGCTCGAGAGCTCTGGATTTGACTTCCGGACGCGTCATCCGCAGAAAACTTTGATTAAGCTTGCTAAGAAATACGGACTTGGACCGCAATCGGAGGTATCGAACGTTGCTTACCGCATTTCGCAAGATCTCTACCGCACCTTTGCGCCGATTAAGCAGACCACATCCACAATGGCATTTAGCTGTCTCGAGCTTGCGGGTCGTTTGATCGAACAACGGATTGAAGCAGTGGAGATTGGAGCAGACTATGCGAGGTGGGAAACAAGTCGGGAGGAGGTCATGGGTATGTTGAGAATACGGCAAGAAAAAGCAATTGGAATAATACTAACGCTGATCTAGAAACCCTCCTTGATCTCCTTGAGTTGTACACTCACCACCGCAGCTCTACATCTGTCGGGCCTCACTTCCCTGCTGACCGATTCCTTACTGTGCGGATTCCCCTGAATAAAGAAGCGGAAGAAAAGAGACTGCCACGCTATACCCACTCGACAGTCGAAGGAAGTTCTCCAAAAGACTCGCGGAAGGGGCCAACAACCAATGGGTCGGCAACTAACGAGAAGAATGCATCCGGCTATCATCCTCTTATCCCAGCCACAGCCCACGGAGAACGCCCGAAAACAGGAGAGAGGGGCCGGGACGCGGCGGTGCGGTTTATTGTCGATTCTGAGTACGCGGCGGCTGAGAAGGCCCGTGTCGCCGAGTACTTCAAGGTTGAAATGGAAGAATATGAGGTGGAAGAATGAACATCAGGCTGTTCAACAATCTCTCGCCATCGCACAGCGGAGCTTCCCTGATGCCGAATGGGATGTTCTTCATGACCTTAGTCACATACCAACGCACAAAGGCAACAAAGACCGTTTGGTCATGAACCAAACTGCTGACATTGGAAAATCAGTCAGCTCGATGCGCCGTGTGTACTATGCATCTGAACGACCCTTACTGGGGTGCCTGACAGGCGCGTCGAGCCACTGGACAAGCATCCCCCCTCGAAACGCAAGTGAACATACGGGGTCAACACACGGACTTTTTCTGGTGAACTGCGTCTGATTGATATGGCCGTGGGCGTACTCGAAAGCTGGACCAGTAAGCGTTCCTACCATACGTCACCTGGTCAGTATATATCCAAGATTGCGAAACAAACATTCACCCGCAACACGCAGCCGCATGTCGAATCAGCAGAGCCGGAGACTACTCAAACATCAAGTCAGATACCGTAGCTTGTCATTACTTTGCATTAAGGAAGGGAAAGAAGAAGAAAAAAAAAAAAAAAAAAAAACTTGGGTAGCGATGCGCTATCAAGCCTATATACAGTGTAAATAGCCTGCCGTATAGAGAAGATATCGTGATATAGAATTGAAAAGAGAGATGTAACTGATGGCATCAAGCATAGCGTACACCAGTATTATCAACGTTCTACGCAGACGAGAGCCAGGAACCCAACACTTGTCGCACCTTGCTTCTAGCTTGCCTGTTTGTCTTCCAACGCAAGACTCAAGGTACCCCGAGAATCTTTGCTACCTCAAGGCACATAAGTGAAGCCACGGATCCAAGCCAACAATCATGACGGTGAGATATATTTGGACGGGAGTATATTCAAAATACCAGAAATTGGCAGTGACTATACACCCTATAGTGAAAATAGGAATAAATGATGAATAACAGCCTTGATAATTTCGTTCTAATATGAAGCTCGGCATTCAAGAAGTTAGCCCTAAGTCAAAACATTACTGCAATTATATACCCATTTCTCACCTAAACACCATAAAAATACCAATTTCAAGATCCTTAGCTATTATTCTGCGTATAATAAACGATAACCACATCATAGCAGCCTAGGACTAGGGGGTGACAAGGCTCTGCACCTGCATGCATCGTCGTCTAGGGCAGGCTTATCTAAGCACTGCAGTCAGCCTTGGGCGTGCCTCAGCCTCAGCCTCGTCCTCCAGGAGTGAGGGGAAGACGGAGATAAATAAATCCAGAATTAAGCGCTCGACTGCCAACTATCCTGTAGATGAACTCTATTGAACGTTATCCTTGAAGGTGGGCCACGGTAGTTGTTATCGGGCAACGACACCAGAAGAACCAAGAACTGAAGCCAGCGATGTCTCTCAAGCGCCCCCTGAGCGCGATAGAGGCAAGTGGAGATCCGAGTCAAAACGGGAATCTATGGCCGGATGACGACCCGCGCGTGCGTGCGCGACGGGGGCCTGATCTAGGGTAGGTCGTGGAATTGTCCTGTTTGATATATTGGGGAGGGGAGATTGTTAATATTTCATGCACCAGGACGATGGATGCAACGGGCTACAATGGTACAGGGCTCTCATATCAAGATGAACTCATGTCTTCAGGTGCCTTTGCTGGATCGGATATTACATTTGACGAATCGCTTGACCCGACTTCTACTGCGTTTTTCAATTCCGGCCAGCAGCAATTGTTCTTGGGACCCCCGTCTGGGAGCAATGCGTTCAGCAATACATCATATGCGTCAACCCCTGTGGGATTTACAACAGATGGAGGCGAAAGCACCGAAGTCGATATGAGGGATGTAGATATGGCAGATTCAAACAACGAACTGATTTGTTACGGGGTGGTCAGTTTTGCTTTGTTGATGATGGATTATACTGAAACCGGGCTAACAAACGAACATAGTTAATCAACGAACGAGTCCGCCTCGTAGGAAAAGGCGCAACATTACAAGAAAAGATCGTAAAGCTAAAAGAAAGCAGCTCGCCCATGGAACTCGGACGGCCCCAAAGCTTCAAGATCGAGAGGTCCAATGAGAACGGCCAGCTTTTCCTAACCTTCCCTGACGGGACCAGATTTGGCTATTTGAGCAAGAAAATGACCGACGCCATGGACGGCCTTTTGGATGCTCTGTGGTTAGAACTTGAAGCGTTCGCACCGCTCAATGAGATCGGGGATGCTGTACTGCGTGCTGGGAAGGCGGTTGAAGCGAAGTTTCGTGCCAATGTCAACATATATGGGCTGGAGGCTAGCAGGGACCGTGTAGGGAGCATGCTCTCGTCGAGTGGGCTGTTTTTCCAGGCTCCTGAGATTTGGAGACGAGGTGTCCGATATGATAATCCGCATATGCTGCGGATGGAGGGGATGGAGGATAGTGATGTTGAGGAAGTAGAAGGAGAGGTAGAGGAAGAGGAGGAAGAGGAGGAGGATATAGAAGAAGCTTCCGAGAGGGTCGAACCGCCGCCTGAGATAAACCAGGATTTCGAAGACACCATGGCCCAGATCTTTGGGTCGTTACAGCGCCAGAATGACCTACATCGAGTCGAAGGAGGTGACAACCTGAGTAGTAAGCTATATGCGTGAGTCTTCTGAGCTCCGAATTGGGTGTTCCATCATTAACTTGATCCCAGGCACCAGGAAGAGGCACTGGACTTCATGATCCAACGCGAGACTGGGGATATCCCGGAGAACTACCGTCTGTGGAGGCCTAAAATGGTCGAGGGGGAGCAAATGTAGGGCATTCCATTCTTAATAGGACAGCATACTGACTATCCAGGTTCTGCAATGTCATTGTTCCCAATATTCACGAGCGAGAGGTACCAGACGAAAGTGGAGGGGGGATTCTCGCTGACGAGATGGGAATGGGAAAGTCACTCACGACGCTGGTTCTGATAGGAAAGACCATGAGAGAGGCACGACAGTGGGTTGAGGAAGAGAAAGCCCTACCAGACGCTGCTCTCTCAGAGAAACCCTGTCGAGCAACCCTGGTTATTGTTCCTTCACGCGGTAGGATGCCTGGTCTGTATATTCTGTATAAGCTAACATTGATAGTACTGATTACAACCTGGACCAGAGAAATTGAACGGTGAGCCTGCTCTTCGTATATTCAGGGCATAGGTCTAACAGATGCAGACACTTAAACGGATCTCTGGATTACTTGCTATATCATGGCCGAGGACGCAGCGAATGCGTAAGCAAAATCGAAGAGAAAGACATCGTCATAACTACATATAACACACTGGCAAAAGAGCACAGCGCAAAGCTTCTTGGACAGGGGAAGAGCCCACTGCATGAAATAAAATGGTACAGAATTGTGCTAGACGAAGGTCAGTCTACTGCAACATTCAGAGATGATGATACTCATCCATATATAGCACACTGGATCCGCCGCCGAGAGACCACCTTCCACAAAGCAGTTATCGAGCTCACTGCAAAATCTCGCTGGTGTCTCTCAGGCACTCCAATTCAAAACAGCCTGGCCGATCTGGCATCTCTCCTGACCTTCATCCAAGTGCGGCCTTTCCAGGCGCAGCGACACTTCCGCTACTGGATATCCCAACCATTTGAAGAGAAGGCACGCAGAGAAAAGGCAATTCAACGGTTAAAAAGCCTCTTAGAAGCCATATGCCTCCAAAGGAAAATAGAAAAGGCCAATCTGCCAAAACCACAAGAAGAGACACGGATAATTACATTCACGCCCGAGGAGCGCGAGCAATACCGACTCACCAACGCAGATATGGAGCGTTACTTTGCGCAGCAGCCGAGCGAATACAAGGAGCGCGCATCTGCATTTGGCATGTTCCAGATCTTCCTCCAGCTGCGCAGCTTCTGCAATCATGGAACGTACCAGCCGCGGTTCTCTTGGGCGAAACGTAACTTCCTGGACGAGGCAGACGATGTTCGCTCGTTGGCAAGAACGAGTTGGGACCGCTGCTTGGGTTGCAGACAGCCTTTGCCAATTATTACGCGGGAACAGCCTCAGTATGTTGAGAAGTGTGGGCATGTCCTGTGCGAGGACTGCTGCAAGGGCAGTAACCGTGTACAGGCCGACGGGAGAAAACACTGTCCGCTATGTGAATCACTCCGGAGCCCTAATTCTAATAACACCCGTGACGGTAGTTCTCTGCATAAAGAAGGATACTCCTCCAAGATGCAAGCCCTTGTTGAAGACGTACAGAAGGATATCAGGACGACGCAAAGGTTAGACTCTCAATCAGGCTTCCATAGCGCCACTAATTGCGAACTATTTAGTATCATCTTCTCATGCTGGACACGAACCCTGGACTTGATAGAGAGACATCTGAGGAGAGCAAAAATCCCATTTGCTCGTATCGATGGTAAAACACCGTCAGGGCCGCGTCAGACTATACTTGACAATTTCAACAACACCAGGTCTGTGCCTGTGTTGATCATGACAACGGGAACCGGTGCTTTTGGGTAAGACTGCTAGCCCTTGAAGAGTAATTCAACTGACAGCAGCCAAGGTTGAATCTGCAGTCGGTAAATCGAGTATTCATCGTTGAGCCCCAGTGGAACCCCAGCGTAGAAAGCCAGGCCGTTGCTAGGGCTATCCGTCTGGGTCAGTACCAACAGGTCCGGGTGATTCGGTATCGAGTAGAGAATAGTATTGAAGAGGTGAGCTTGCCAATCCTATAAACTGTATGTGGATTAACCCTAGTTCGCGTTTAGCGCATGTACACGCAGCAGGCGAATAAGCAGACCCTCAGCAAGATGGAATTCGGGCGAGAGCTGCTAGCGGGTCAGCAGGAGGAATCCCATGATATGCCAATTATAGATTATCCTGTACCACATGTCCCTAGTGCTGACTGGAATGTCTGACATGCACAGTGGATACTTGCGTTGGTTTCGACTTGATATACATACATAGTATTCCTCTATCTTCTTCGAACTACATGGTCACTACAAAGTGCAAGGTAGTTTATATTCAGGCGACAGGTCTCTGGATGCCTAAAATTGCAGTACATTACAGCCACAAAAGGCTTTCCAGGCAGACTCTCAGTTTGTGTCGTGCCTTGAACAGAGCCTCCGACAGCCTAAAAATGCGGTACACTGAGCCACACCGTCCGTAATAGAGTGGACCATGATATCAGGCTGTGATAGGTTTCTCTTTCGAGGATTCAACACCTCTGACAGCCTAAAAATGCAGTGCTGATGAGATCATTGTGAAGCTTGTCCTTCTGAAAGTTCAATGCCTCCAAGTGCCTAAAAATGCAGTGAATGAGAGCCTCACGCCCTAATTGGCTCATCAGTAGTCTCACCCCCGCAAGGCAGTTCTGGATGTCGACTATGCTAGGCTACTCTCCTCCAAGACTAGAAGTGAACGCCTGTAAATATGGTAACCACCAGAATAGCGACGACCCTGAATAAGTCTAGATAGAATCTTGCTGGCTACTCTTCAAATCCGCGAGAGAACGCCGAGTTGTGCAATGGACTCACGGCCAGGGCCACAGGACGCCATCAGGGCGAGCTATCTCACGCCCCGCCGAGTCTAAAGTTGCAGTGTATTGAATTCTGCAGAAATCTAGCCAAAAAGGGCAGCTTTTCACTTGGCTGCTGCAGCTTTTTGAGACTAAAAATGCAGTGCATCTGAGCCTCACGCCACTGCCTCAATCTTGCCAAGCGTTGCATGGTAGGCCATTTTCGCCTCCCAGTGAGTCGAAAGCGCAGCGCAAAGAAGAACTCTGGAATCTCTGTTCGCCAGTAATCCTGGCAAGGGCCCGACGATACTAAAAATGCAGTGAGCGAGCCTGAACGCGAGCCTGAAAATGGGAAAGGAAACAAGAGTTGTGCAGCCCTGTCGCTTTGATAGTGTCGAGAAGTAGGTATGAGTTTTGTCAATAAGGCGTAGTAGTAAAACAAGAGCTACCCTTCTGTTTGAGTACTGGGAATGGTAAACATCGTCAGTGGCTACAAGGATAATTCGGATCCAGCTAATAGTCTTTTGGGCCTCACATTCCCTCCAACGGGCCTAAAATTGCAGTGACGCCGACAAGAAACGCGAGGCCATGGGTTTCTAGTAGAGTGCTATATACTGTATAGTGAGAGGGTGTACATGATGTTATGGGTACTGACGTACGCAAGCTGTCTAGTCGTATAAAATGTATTAAGTGCATTATCATTATCTCTCTAGCTACTATTATTCCAATATAATATTGTTGAATATGACAGACTGGAATCGGATTGCCCCAGTTGGACGATTCACCAAGCTCATGCCGCAAACTCCAATGAATTCAACCCACCGTCCAGATTCTGAGCATGGTTAGCTTAGACATTGAAAAGTAAAAAAAAAAAAAAAAGCAAACTGACCCAGTTAATAAAATCCGCATCTAACCACTCCCGCACATCCGTCCAGTCCTCGAACGTGCCCTCGATCTGCGTTTCGTCTAATGGCTGCGGATGGTTCCCAGCACCAGCGCGAGCCCTGCAAAAATTGTTAGTTGAAACACTCATAAATATATAGTAGATATGCGGAGACGCACTGAAGATGCCTCAAAATGCGACACCCCTTCGCACAGATCGAGCTGCGGGTCGAATACTCCTCCATGCGGGAGACGAGGCTCTCCAATTCCTCGCGGTACGGCGCGGCGTCGAACCCCTCTGGCATATCGAGGAGACACGAGTCAAGTGCTACAGCGGCGTGGAGGGCCTTGAGGCTTGTGACTCCGTTTAAGAGGAAGAGGTAGTTCCGTAGTAGAGGGGCTTCGGAGAGTTGTTTGTGGATAGATATTAGTGCTGCGGCGGATGCGATGCAGCGTTCTCTGGATGAGGGTTTGAAGCAGGGTTTCTGGGAGTGGTGGAAGGGGCGGTGGAGGAGGAGGTAGAGGTGGTAGGCGTAGGTTTGGAGGATGCACCAATGGGCGTAGCTGGAGTCGAGAATGCTGGGGGAGCCTTGGGTAGTTAGGAAGGTGTCATCCCAATGTTGTTGCTCTGCGGCGATGGCGGCGTCGAAGTTGGAGAGGAGGACAGGGTCGAGGCGCGAGGGCCCGGAGATGTGGTGACAGATTTTGGTGGAGAGGCGGAAGAGGCGGACTTTGGAGATCATGACGGACATTTGCGTTGGTTTGTGAGAGTTTGAGGGTGCAGAGACGCCGGACTCGGTGATGTCGGAGTCGTTGACGTCTGCTGGCATGGTGGTTTTGATGTTGAGCAGGAAGGACATGTCGACGTCGCGGAAGAGTATGCTCTGGTATGTGTGCAGGGAGAGGAGGCCGGCCCAGCAGCGACGACGTCGTTCAGTCTCGATAGGGCTGAGATGCTGCGAGTCGACATTGCAGCGGAGGGCAATTCCGATATTCAGTGCCATTCCAAGCAAGGCCCAGCCCTGATCAACGGACTCATTGTGGGAGAGATTGTAGATTACCATCAGCAAGGCCTCTAACGTGCTCAGTTTGTGTCGGATGAAGAACTGATCTTTCGAAAGGCAGGCCATTGCCGTTTGCTGAAGCCGGCGAGACAGAGAGACAAGCTCTTGCGCAGGGTTATTCGACCGTTTCGGCCAGAGCCCTTTTAATTTAGGATCGTTTGGATCCATGGTATACAGCACCAGAGAGCAGATGGAGAACAGCAACGCCAACCACGACAGGTCCCCCTCATAGGGATTCTGCATAAAGGCAGCATACTGCGCCTGAAACGTCGGACCATGAAGAATGGGAAACAGAGCAGCTATATGCGTGAAGAAGTGGGACACCAAAAAGTCGCACCAGTTCCTCGGAGGGAGGATCTCGAGAATCTCCTTGAGAGAGAGGCCCCGGCCCACTGAGAAGGGAGACAGTGTGTCTGGGACTGCAGTGACATCGTATTCCGGAGCAGGCCTTTCGAGCACGACTTCCCAGTCGCTGTCTGGAGGGGCCTGGTTCTTATCGGATACCAGCTCTGGCTGGGCTGGGACTACAGGAGATCGGGCTCCAACAACAGCTGAACCCGCTGTACGCGGCCGTGCGTGAGCAGTCGAGGTAGGCTGGAATGAACAAGAAGCCTCATGTCCGCGTCGCTTGCAAGAGGTACACGGGTGCTGGCGATCGCATCGCAGCTTGGAGTGTCGGCAATGCTGGCAGCTGACGGGCTGTCGCTTGCGACGATGCGATGCACGGCTTTGTTTGCTATCGTTTGCCAGGTTCATCTTTTCGGAGAAAGAAACGCAACAGCATGATGGAGTAATGAAGCAGTCGGAGATCGATGACGCACTCGGAGACGCGGTCGGAGATCGGATTCTTGTTTCCGATCGGGGATAAGACAGAATATCATTAGTAAACAATTAGACAATTAAAACATCAATTAGTCAAGTGGATTGTTCTATCGCGTTCTATCTAGTCTAATCATATTCTAGTACTCTAACTATTAGGTCTATTATGAGTCATCTTTATACCCTTCACTTCTCAACATCCACCGCATACTTGCTCCTCTTCCGAATCCTCGGCCCATAAACATAGAACAGGTACGGAACAGGCGTCATGACAGCACTGAGCGCCCCCATAATGGTAAGCGTATAGTGGACGCCAATCGAGCGGTAAATCGGACCTCCAGCAACAGTCATACCTCCCGCAACAACATACCGCGTGAAGACAAGGAACCCCAGTGCGGAGGCCGAGTAGATGTCGTACGAATCAATAAGGTACATATAGGCCACGATGAAAATGGCTGTCATGCCGTAGCCGAAGACGGCAGTGGCTATGAGGGGAGACCAGATTGAGATATGGGGCTGGATTGTGTTAGTTATAGCACAAGTATGGGCCAAAGCAGTCGGAGCACTCACATAGGCTGTCCAGCCCATCCAGAATAAACTGATCGGTACCGCTGGAGCCCCGCCCAGCATTGCGTACCAGAGTCTGGTCTCCGGTGCGATACGGCCTGTCTTTTTGTACTCCTTTGCCGTCCATGAATAGACGACTGGGACTATGGCCCCGGTAAGCAGGATTCCAGCCAGCATGCCGCACCAGCAAATGGAAGTCAGAGGCTGCGAGAGGCCGTATATCTCGCCAAAGATAAAATTGTATCCTTCCAAAAAGGTAAAGAGGATCAGATAGATGATAGTAAGATAGAGCGACATCAGGATGATAATCAGCTCCGAGTAGAACATCGCGAACGGCCGGTAGACAGACTTCTGCAAACGCTTTGCCAGACCGTCGTGCTTGAGTTCCATCGGAGCCTTATACCGCTGATCACCAGTCTCTTGCCGAAGGGCCTTGGCCTTCCAGTATAGAATGAGGTTTCCATATGTCTCAGGCTGAAGGATGACAACCACAATAAGGACAGCACCGCCCATGATCAGCATGATCCACTCTAGCCAGCGCCATCCAAGTGTCGAGGGGATATAGCTCCCAATGACCTGGCCAAGAACTGGGCCTGTGAAAGACGGCACAGCATAGGCAGGGAAAGCATAAGCTTTTTGCACCGGGTCCCACAGATCCGCAACAGTCCCACCAGCGCAAGTCAGTGGCGTGGAGGCAAAGAAGCCGGCCAGGAAGCGGAAGATGAGATGGCTCTGGATGTTCGGGGCCAGTCCGGCGGCCATGATCCAGACCAGATAGAAAAGGGTTGTCGTTGAATAGATGGCATTGCGTCCGAATGTCTCGGAGAAGGGCCCTGATAGTAGAGAGCCGCACGCGAATCCAATTAAAAAGAGTCCTACTAATGTCAGCTTCTATCCAATTTTGCAGATAAAGGCTTCATACCTGTCGCAAGAGAGCCAACAACTTCAGACACTCCAAAATAGTCGCTGTATACCGTCACGCCGCAAGCATCGATCGCAGAGGCGGCAGTGACAGCGACTCCGATCAACGAAACAAACCATGTCATGCAGAGTTTCTGTAGGACGGTCTTGTTACGCGGATTCAGCGGATCATCCGGTCCATCCCAGCCCACGAGGATAACATCATTGGAGCTGGAGGGGTTCTCCGGCGACTGTTTCTCCAAAGGGCCGTTCTCGCCTTCAGACAGGCTGTGGCGGACTGCCTGGCGAACTCGCTGGTATTGGAAATAGGCCTCCATTGTGACCAGCTGCAGTGATGTCTTCTGGGAAAGCCGAAGAGGATGTGAAGGAGAATATATAAGTTCGAGATGCAAATTTTTAGCGACAACACCAACTCCGATGGGGTCTCCGAGATGACTCCATTGTTGTCGGGGATGTCGATCTCGCTATCTCCGACGATGTTTCCGATTTCTCCGATCTACTATAGGTTCGTCTGTTGAATGTAAAGCTGTTTATTTCTACTGTTTCTAGCATTAACTAATCAATAATGTCCAGAGGAAGAATCGAGACGTAATCGACCGCTGCAGGCTCTTCTCCATCTGGCGTCCCAACAATACGCAGCACACTGCCAGAGTCTACATGGACCTCCTTGAATGTAACACGCGTTGCTGTGTGTCCGTCAATATACGGAGACGGTGCACGGCCAATAACATATTCCAAGTCCCCCTTCCATTCGCCAACCAGCTCGTCATCCAAAAGCAACTGCCAGGTTGAGTTCCCAATGGCCTGGTCAAAGTAGTTCACTGCGACGTTGTATGTCCCAGCCTCCACATCCAGCTTCGTCGACGCCGTGCCAGCAGTGGAATTGTCGATCGTGACGATGCAATGCGAGCCACTCGCGGCCTCAAACGGACTAACGAGGTACGTCTTATAGCCATCCAGATCCATGTCCTCAGCCTCGATTCTATACGGATGGTTCCCTACACGCCCAGCCTCATCCGGGATACTCGACTTGTTGAAGTAGAAATTGTTAATCGAGTCCCGCCAGACAAGGGAATGGCCAGCCTGATAAACCAGCCGGAAGAGGACATGCTCATAGCGCTCTTGATCGATTTTCCCCTTGAGACTTTCCCACAGCGGAACAAAGCTCTGCGCCGTCTCACTGCCGCGATAATGCGCATCGTAGAAATGCTGGATAACCGTCTTCCCGCTCTTCAGCACCTGCGTATAGGGCACATGGTGGAACCACAGAAGCAGGTTGTCTGGCGTTGTTTCAATGTCCTCGTACATCTGATATACCTCCTCAGGATACTGCCCGGCATTGCCAGTGCCATTCCACACAGTCCGGTCCATGCCAATGCTATCTGCGTCTGCGCGCGTCCACTGCCCCCAGGGATTCCCGTCTTGGGACGCAGGATTCGGTCCGTAATGCCCCAGCAGGATATCCGTTAGAGTCTGGATGCCGAGGTTCCCCGAGTAATCCTCGTACGCGGGCCAGGAGGCCATGGACATCTTGGTGATGGTGTCTACGACGGCCTGATCGTGGCTGAATGTCATTCTGATCCACCGCTGCAGCATCTCCGTGGAATCCGAGGACGGGTCCCAGGCGAGATTCCCGTAGGCGTAGAGGTTCGACATGGCGAGGTGGCTCCCTAGCCAGGTTGTATTGAGCCCGACGTTAACGACGCCAGCGGAGCCACCAAGGCCGAGTTTGTGGTTGAAGCGTTTCCCGCTGATGATATCGCTGACCGGCGAGTCTTGACCGTCGACTCGGAGATCAAAGTCGAGAACCTCCTTCCACATCGGCGCGAGATAGACCAGATGGCACTGCTGTCCGAGATACTCCTGCGTGACCTGCAGTTCCACGGCGCTTGCTGTCTGGACCAGATGCGAGAATAGCGGCGAGACAGGCTCGCGGACTTGGAAGTCAATAGGCCCGTTCTTGATCTGCACGACGACGTTATCCTCGAACTCGTCGTCGAGACCTTTGAAGAACTCCACTGCCGCATTGGCACGGTCTGCCTTCCAGTCTAGATCCTCATCTAGGTTCTCATGGTCATAGACAAACGCACGGAACATGGCAACCCCATCATACGGCTTCAGAGCACGCGCAAACAGATTCGCCCCGTCAGCTAGAGTCCGGTTATACGTGAACGGACCAGGCTGGCCCTCGGAGTTCGCCTTGACAAGATACCCCGCCATATCAGGGATACGCTCGTAAATCTCATCCGTGATCCCCTGCCACCAGGTGATTACTTTCTCGTCAAGCGGATCAAACGTCTCCAGCCCGCCCAGCGACTGCGGCGCCGCAAAGTTCAACGACAGCCCTAACTGGATCCCATACGGCCGAAACACATCGGCAATCCTAGCCAGCCCATCCATATTCTCAGACGTAAGAATCGTCTCGTTCGCATTGACATTATTGACGACGACGGCATTGAGTCCGATGGACGCGAGCAGACGCGCATACTGCCCGGCCCGGGCGAGGTCGTCTCGCACTTTGCCCTCCCAGAAGAATATCGAGTCTCCGCCGTATCCGCGCTCGACGCTGCCGTGTGTCCCGCCGTCTTGCAGGTTATCCCACTGGTTTACCCACCGGATTGGAGCGTGCGGGTTTGATGTGGATGTGCTGTCGGAGATGTTTCCCTGCGCTAGGCGCTCGAGGTACTTGAATGTCCCGTATAAAGCGCCGCGCTCGTTCTGTCCGAGGATGAGGACATCTCCGCCGGAGATGTCAATGTGGTAGCCGTCTTCAATGAGGTCTGGGATGGTGTCTGTGTTGCCCCCGCTGTCGGAGTATGCGCTGACAGTGCCGACGATTACGGCTGGTTTTTTGGTTTTGGAATTGCGGCGGGTGGATAACTTTTTGCTGTACATCCCGCTGAGTCCGTCGGTGAGTTCTTGGGCGGCGGTATACACTGGCTGGCCCTTTGTTGCGTTCAATGGGATAACCACCGAGGGGAGTTTGTCGTGGCATGATTTCGCGTTGGGGACTGGGGCGTAGCGCAGCCATGCAGCGAGGCCATCTTCTGCGGCGGCGAGGCCGAGAGAGGCGAGAAATAACAGAGAAACTCGCATTGTAAAGCGCATCTAAATTAGAGAAGGAAAGAGAAGAGAAAAGGAAAGGAAAGGAAAGAAACGAATTCGGGGTGCTCCATCTCGTCTAGTCTGCGCATTGACGCCTAGGTACCGGGTATGTCATGATGCATTTGATTCAGGCTTCCATTCAGGCTATATTGAATAAGTTATTATGAAGACGGAATTACCCCGATACAGAACCCCGCATGAGAAAAGCCGTGAGAGCCGTGACTGAACTGTCGATGCGCTTTAGGCTAATTCGACAGCGATGATCGTTGCGGAGAAATTACGGACATCTCTCCGTCGATGAGTTGAGGGCGTATGTAGGACTTAAGTGACATTAGCACCTGGTCGCCAATACTGGGTGTATCAACATAATCATGAAATTCGCCAGGCTGGAGTATGGTCTGCTGGCAGCATGTGCCCTCATATTACCAGCAGCCAGCAGCCCTATTAACCAACAGGACTGGATCGCAACATGGACAGCAACAACACAGGAAGTCGAGGTCGCCAACCTCGCACCGTTACCATTTGCAAGTCCTGGAACATATAAACCAACATATATAAAACTGTCTACTAACAAAAGTAGGGCGGAGAGAATGTCACCCAGTTCGAAAACGCTACACTGCGCCAGACATTCCGGGCAACAATTGGTGCTGAACGCATCCGGTTCCAATTCTCGAATCTCTTCGGACAGACAGACCTGCCCATCACTGCGGGTTCTGTGGCATTGTCGGTAGATGGCAGTGCCGGTGTAGCTGGGATTGATATATCCACAATCCAGAGCATAACGTTCAATGGCTCTGCATCTGTGACTATTCCTCCGGAGGGGGTTATCTACTCTGACCCGATTGACTTCCACCTCTCTCCGCTGTCGAATGTTGCCCTCACTCTTTATAGCGAGACAGGACAGGCAGGGAACAAAATCACAGGCCACCCCGGTAGCCGTACCACGTCGTGGATGGAATCAGGCAACAAGGTCACTGCCTCCTCGATTACAGAGACTAGTGTTGAACACTGGTACTTCGCCAGTGCCATCGAAGCCTGGGCTCCAAAGAGCAACTCCGGCCTCGTCATCCTCGGCGACAGCATCACAGACGGACGAGGGAGCGACGACAATAAAAATAACCGGTAAGCCGATCCACACGTCAATAACTTGCAAATTCTGATATATGAAGATGGCCCGACGCCCTCGTCGAACGGATGTACAGCAACAACCTGACCAACATCGCTGTTACAAATCAAGCGGCCGGTGGCAATGCCATCCTTGAAGGAGGTCTCGGGCCTCCTCTGCTCGACCGGTACCGTCGCGATGCCTTGGGACAGAAGGGAGTCAAATACGTTATGATCTTCGAGGGCGTCAACGACATTGGAGTCTCGGATACAGACTACCAGACGCAGGAAACGCTCTTCGACGACCTAATCAGTGCATATGAGCAAATAGTGGCAGACTGTAAAGACGCAGGACTGGTCACTATCGGGGCGACCATCACTCCATTCGCTGGCAGTCAATATGGGGACCCGGCGCGTGAGAATACCAGAGCTAGGGTTAACGAGTGGATTCTTGCAGCTAGTCCTTTTGACCATGTGGTTGATTTTGCTAGTTATATTGGGGATGGGGATAGCCTGAAGCCGGAGTTTGATTCAGGAGATTATCTGCATCCTAATGTTGCTGGTTATAAGGAACTGGCAGGGAAGTTTGACTTGGGAATATTTCGGACATAGTCTACGTACTTGGTGATAGCAAGAAAAATACAAACAAGGCTGATATTTCAGGTCTTGTTAACCCTATTAATCAACCTCTAGTACACCTAGAAGTTCCAAGCTGAAATCTGTTCATAGTTCAATGCCCTTACAAAAGACAACTTGCATTAGGGCTACACATCAGTGAGTACCGGTCCTCAGAATGCCTCACAGATCGCCTTGCAGAGCCTCACACTGCAATTTCAGTGAGTATGGGAGATCGATAACAGTTCCTTATGAGAAAAAGTGTCCAGTTGAAACCAATGAGATCAAGTTGCTAATCTACCTAAAAATACGTAGTACCTGCAAGTCGACTACCTACGTGGCGCAACACTGCACTTTTAGGCTCTGGAGGGGATAGTAAGACACTATGCATATGATCATCGCTGTACTGCACTTTTGGGCACACCAGGAGGTTCTCAAAAGGGTCCACATGTCTTCGTGGCTCAGACTGTTCATTCCAGTCCTTTTCATCTGATGGTGATAAGTTGGTCCGTGGCCTCAAGATATATTCCTTACGGTACAAAGTTGTCTTGTGTTTGCTTTAATTGAAGTTCAAGAATATCATTCAATTCAGATAATCATTTATCGTGCAGACGACCGTCGAACATAGTTCGCCCCATCCAATTCGCCCACCTGCCGTGAATCAATCTCGAAATTCCTTCCATCCCCAGCCCACGGTCCCTGAGGCGGCGCAGTAGTCCCAGGGTAACCTTGGTTGATATACGGACTTGGATTATACGGGAGCTCGGGCTGGTTTGTTGGTAGAGCAGCTCCCTGCCCAGAAACTTCTGCAGGTGAATAAATCTCTGGTTGACCTGCATATCCCGGCGGAGTCTGCTTTTGGGTTTCTGGCGGTTCAGGTCCCTGGTGCTGATTCTGTCCGGTAGTAGCTTTCTTCCGACGCGAGTGGATAATGAGGTATATCACCGCAAATGCAAAGATACCTATTGCAGCAAGACCACCGACGACGCCGCCTACAATGGCCCCGACTGGTACTGACGACGAGGAAGAGGAGGACGAAGTGGAGGCTGTATCAGCATCAGTATCTGTATCCGACGGCTCGGATGTCGACGTATCTGTTGTCGAAGAGGATTCCTCAGACGTGTCAGTCACACTGGGGTATCCAGGTGGATACTGTGTCCCTGTTGAAATCCCCTTCGCGCCGGTGTATATAGGGAACAAGATCGGACTCTGCATCCCGCTCCATGTTGGCTCCATGGTCCATGTCATATCCGGGGTATCGGTGCAGAACCATCCGTAGTAGTCTGGTTCGTATTTGACGGTCAGGCAGTATGGGGATGGGGAGTCGGATGAACTATTGATTCAATATTTACATTAGCGATGGTGGAGTTGAACTGACGAGAGGCAGATTTCGAGGCATACCATCGAAGAGCTGAACTGCCTGGGCTTCCGTCCTCAAAACAGGTGGTTATAACAGGATCCTGATCTTCCGGACTACCAAGGATCTTGTAGTCGCTATTCCAGAAGCAGGTTATCTGGGGGTTGTAATAAGACCATCTGGTGTCTGATAATCGGTTATATTAGCGACGTTATTACAAGCATCAGCTGCAGACACACCATAGCCTGAGCCTGAGTACCAGCCGCAGATATTTGGCGGGACATATTGGAAGTCTTCTCTCTTTTCCAGCAACGGTGGTTCTGTTGGCAAAGGGCCTTGTTCAGCACCTGCTAAGGAAGTCGTCTTGGGAGGGCTGCTATGCGCCTGGAGGGAGAATGCTCGACCCAGCAGGGTGAACATAAAGCAAAGTGCTAGAGAAGCCATTTCATTGACATGAACTGTCAGTTGCGACGCATCTTCAGGGCATGTTTTTCTCGCGGCTTCTCGGCTTCTCGTCCACGCTGGGGGGCCATGCAGTTATAAACCAGCCGAGTTGCGCAACCAACACCAGAACCGCCAATACGAGACTGGCACCAATGTGGAAATTGATTGCCAGCGCTAGCAAGACGCAATATCGCAGAACTTAAAATCGCATCATCATTATTATTCGGATGGTGTGCGGACTTGAGTTGACCATGGACTGAAGATCATGGACGGTAAGGACTTTACTCAGGTTAAAGTACATAATCAAGCATTCAATAGTTCGGTCCATCGTATCTCTACTTGCCTGTTGTATTGAGTATCTGCGCAACGAGAATGCGAAGGATCGAAGGATCGGGCAGGTTTCCGTCTGACCAACAAGGCTGTGTCTGCACGATTCCTCGCAGTCAGGCACGTCTGGAGTTGAATATAAACGATCTCTAACAAATCTAGCAGGCCCCAGTCTTCAGCAACTGCAGCATATGCAGGGATCAGTTTCACTCGGGAAAGAGAGAACGACAGAAGTACTCTGCAGTGCACTGCATTGTTAGGCCAGTCGAGGGGTGAGACAGGCTGTGAGAAATGAGTTCTTTGAGACGCCGTCATTTTCTGTCTTAATTCTATTCATTTATTGTCTATCGTGGGACTCCAAACTTGTTGAGCAGAGGATCCTGCAGCAGCCTATCCAGACAAGTCTCCTCAACACCAACAAGAACCTCCATCCCCCCATCCGGCAGCACAGGAAGCACCACCTGCGCCCCGTTGATACAGCCCACATTCGGCACTCTCACGGCGTCAATCTTCCCCCCCAGCAGAGTCCCCCAGTCCAGCCCATACAGCTCAAAGCCAACCCACGACGTCTGCACACAGTTGAAGCCAGGAACATCCAAAAACGCAGTCGGAACCAGTCTATCCACATCCTCCAGCTTCTCAACAAGAGACACGACGTCGTCTGTGAACTCGCCGTCAGCGCGTAGAATCGCCTTGCGGATCTGGACCGCCAGGTCAGCCAGATTCAGCTCGGACAGCATCTTCCGAATCGGCGTCGAAACAGCGACATACTCCAAGAAGCAGCCGAGTGTATTCGGGTGGACCTTTGGGTTCGTGCGCTGTCGTCCGTCAATGGCGACATTGAATGTCGATACAGGGTCGCCCTCGAGGGTATCCAACGGCGACTGAACCGCCATGACAGTCCGCCAGACAAGCGCAGATAACGCATCGTTAGTCGAGATCCACGACTGCTCCGTCGCGGTTGTTGCATTCGCCGGAGACGCTTCGGCCTTGAGTGCCGCCAGAGACTCAGGGGAGAAATAGTACACCTGCCCCCTGTGGCTGGGCGAGAGCATCTTGGGCGGAGCTCCCTGCGGCGTGAACGGGAGAATGGTATACTCAGGGTGATTCTCGGGCTTCCCTTCATTATGACCGAGCGGTTTTATGATCTGTGCTCTGTCCTTCCATAGCTCCTCTGATATCTGCGCTGGTTCTGCGATATCGAGGCCCTGCGCGACACGACATCCCTCCGCCCATAGTTTCGTCCATGTATAAAACGCCGTCCCGTCGCCTGCCATATGCAGGATACACCACGTCAGAAGCAGTCCGCCCGGAATGAAATTCGCCTGGACCAGAGAAACAGGCAGTCGTTCGCCGGCAGTCGGCCACACGGAGCGACGACAGAGGGTATCAGCATCGAACGCGGAAACGGGGAAATGGCGCGCTTTCAGATCGGAGTAGCTTTGTTCGAAGGAGTCGCGCAGGTCCCTGACGATGACTTTGGCACTGTCCTCGTTCCGGCCGTGGAATTTCAGCACGCCCGCTTGTTTGGCGTCGGGGTCTGGGATGGCTTCGCTCGCCACCACGGGGATGCGCCGCGTGAGGGTGTCGTACCCGGCTTGCACGACGCGCGAGACTTCGGACAGGTCGTAGTTCTCTGGCAGCTGGAAGGGGAAGACATAGCGGAGGTAGCCCTTGGGGCCGATGCGCTCGAGGGCTGTGAGGTCTTGGATAGGGACGGGCTGGGACATGGTTGAACACTGGCACTGCGAGGAGCTGGAGAGGATGGGGTGGGTCAGGGGAGAGACTTGTTATATGGCTTATAGCTATAGTTCGAGCTAGAATTGGTTTCAGCAGGAATTCCATCGGCAATAGTCCATCCCTATACTAGTCATGCAACGCTTCCTGTTAGGGCCGTCTTCTCCAAAACACAACCTGAGTCAAGATAACGCCGGTTGTCCAAGCAGACACTTTCTATACTCCATCAGGACCCCCCTGAGTCAATCAATGCCCTCAGATTCGCTCAATCGAATTCTGTGCTCCGCCTGGCCCGTCCCGATATGTGGTCTCGGGATAACCCCCACTGTTCTGCTCCACCTGTCAAGCCTGTCAGTGTCAGCCGCTGGAGGCCAAAAGAAATAAGACGCCCTCATTGGTCTGTATTCTCTCTAGTCTAACGGCCGAACTCTGCTAGCGAATCCTTTGCAATGACCATGGTTCCCCCCCCCCCCGGCATTGTTGCCATCAGCGAACGCGGCATATCCGGCAACCCGGTGCCAACTTTGCCAGGATCAGCGAATTATAGCTTCATTTCTGTCGGTTCAACAGCCCGACCCATGCGCCGGTGCTTGTCTTTGGCCCAAAATACTCCATCCCAGTGGCATGTCATCCCTTTCCTGAAACAGCAGCAGCTTCTGTCTCCATTGCAGCGGGTCTGATCCTTCGCGGCGCAGGAGTCAGGAAAGAATCATGCCCTAAGATGTCACTCCCTCCAACGGTCGGTCCACCGATAAAGACCTCTCTCGCTTCGTGAAGCGTCGACTCAAGTCCATGTTTCTCATTGTCATACACATGTCCCTGCTATTGTGAATGTCATGACTGACCCTGCCATCCTCGCGGCCTTTGGGCCACCCCCTGCCAATGTCAATCTGGCAGAAAGCAGCGTAAGGGTGAACAACGGCGCCGTCATTGGACTTCTCTGTGCATCGTTTGTGCTTGTCGTTTTGCGGTTTATGGCAAGGATTAGTCTCCGCAATCCGCTTCTTGCGGATGACTGGGCGATTATTGCGGCGCTGGTATGCTTTCTTGTCTAGGGCAACAGCGGGCGGGCTGACTGTTATACAGTGCTGTATAGGCGCGACAACTGGATTGAGCGTTTCAGGTGAGTTGGCACTCCATATTTATGAACTATCATTAGCAATCCGTAGGCAGCTTCGTGGGGGCAGGGAGACATGTGTGGGCCGTCTCATTAGACGATTTGACGAAGCTATACCGAGTCAGATAGCCCTATCTTTATAACCAACTCACCAACTCTAACAGCATTCAATAGTTCCTCTACACATATACCTTCATCTACGGCGCCGGCTGCACCAGCACCCGGGTCTCCATCCTCTTCTTCTACCTACGCATCTTCTCCCCGCTCGAAAAACCGCTGAAAGCGGCCCTCATCTTCGCCAGCGTCATCACGGCCGCATACCCCCTCATCATCTGGATCACAATGGCCAATGCCTGCAAGCCCGTGAGCTTCTTCTGGACGCAGTTCAGCGGCACGACAACCGGCAAGTGCATCAACATCAACCAGTTCTTCCTGGCGCTGGGGATCCTCAATATGCTGAACGACTTTATCATCCTCGCCCTGCCGTTTCCGCGCATCATCAAGCTGCAGATGACGCTGCGGAAGAAGGTTGCTATTTGCGGTATCATGGCTGTTGGGATTTTGTACGCCCCTTCAACCTCAACCTCGGTATTGTCTTATAGCTAACGTATATTAGCGTCTGCGTCGCAAGTATAGTCCGCATCCACTTCCTCAGCACCTTCATGAACACCGCGGACGTAACATACCTCATGGGCCCCGTCTTCATCTGGTCCACCATCGAGCCGTCCGTGGCAATCGTCTGCGCCTGTCTCCCCCACCTCGCGCCCCTGGCCCGCATCGCCCACCGCTCCATCTTAAGCAGTTTCCGCTCCCACCCCTCCACAACAGGAAAGGGGACTGGATCTGGGGGCCGTGCGCTTGGGTCTGGACCTGGGCATGGTTCTGGACATCACCACAAGGGGGGTAGTATACTAGGGAATAAAAAGCAGCCATTCCAGCATGGGTTTAATCGGCTAGATGGGAGTAAGGATAGGGGGTTTGATGATGACGAGATTGGCTTGACGAATTATGTTATCGCGGGCAATGACAATGTGTCGATTACGCCGGGGTATGGACCGCCTGTTAAGGGGGAGATTACGGTCAAGTCGAGCTTTGTGCAGTCTTCGTCTAGGGAGGGGCCTTTATGATTTCATTTTGTATAGGGCACTTCAAATCAATTAAATCATATATTCTGGTAGCTAAACAGGCCAGTAGTTGTCAGGTAGAACATAGTAGGTGTAATTCAAGTTCATAGATTGGGTTTGGCTTAGGGCTTCATATGGCTGATGTTTATGGGCGGTCCGAGTACTTGTACACCCAGGGTGCCCCTTCACTGCAGGATGTCAATGTAACTCATTCAGCCTCTCACTGCACTTTTAGACTCTGAGAGAGGATGTCCACCCCACTTGGCAGTAGGGCCAATAACTCAGCCTCTCACTGCATTTTTAGCTCGCACCGGAGGTTGAAGTCTGCTGCGCTTTGATATCCAACTGACCAACCTAGCTTTTCTGGCTGCAAGACTACAATGCTGCCCATTTTATCAGCCTTTCAAATGTTCTGGCTGTAGATATATTACTGCTCTACACTACATGTCGCTTCTGATATACTTAATATAATATCAGCAGTACCAGATATCTTCTACATAAATCATGCAGTTCTACATTATACCAGGACAACATAAGCTACCACGTACTGCATCCAAGGCTCCCAGTTACAAGATCTTATCTACCTCACCGACTCTAGATTTTTTGGTAGTTTTATGGAAACATGACGTAACTGACTTTCTGCATCGCTTTTTCAGTTCCGTGGAAGGATTATCGTGGACTTAGGCAGCGCAGTTCTAGTCCTGCCTATTACCTATACTAATGGCTATAGTCCGCTTTATCCCAGTATAGAGCAGGGATGGCCTAGGAACTTGAGGCTTGGAATGGCCTTCGTGCGGCTGATCGCACATTGCACCACGCCCTGGTTCCCCACCACCTGTGCAGGACTCCGCCTGAGCCCAATGAAAAGAGGCTTCACTGCATTTTTAGGCTCGTCGAGCAGTGGAATCGGTCTGTGAGGAGGGGATGATGTCCAATAGTCATCCTGCTCAATTTCATGCACTGTCTCCACCGGTTTCAGACTCTGCAAAAGTGCAAAGCCTCTCGCACTGCAATTTTAGCTCCTGCGAAGGGTGACACCCTGGATATTACTCGGGGCCGACTTGCCACACTCAGTCCATCTACTGCACAGCATTGTAACATGGAGACTTGTTTAAATAAACGAGTACATTCCGTCTATACCGAAATACAACCCAGTATATCATCTCGCGTAACTTGTGTCTGTCACTACCGCCGCCCCCTCTCATGGATAGTCTTCTCATGCCTCCTCATATCCGACTTTCTCGTGAACCCTCTCCCGCACTCGGAGCAGCAAAACGGCTTCTCACCTTGATGTGCCCTGGTATGGTCTTCCAGGATATTCCTCCTTACAAAGAACTTTTTGCAAATCGGACACGAGTATTTCGTCGGGGAAACCTCCCGCCTGTGTATATTCGCAAAACTATCGCCAGTGTCAAAGTCCGCCGGGTGGAATTTCTTTTCGTGGGCCGCGAGGTCGTTGTTTGAGCGGAATCCGAGCGTGAATCGCTCGCAGTTCTCGTCCTTGCATCGGTATGGCAGGTCATGCTGGCTGTCGTGTTCTTGCCGCAGGGCGCTTCCTTTGAAGCCCTGGTGGAAGTAGAAGCACATCACCTTTGGACAGCGGAATGGGCGGTCGTCGTATAGCGAGACGAAGTCCATTTGGGGGTCTTGGCTCAGCTTTTCGAGCAGCTCTCGGTTGCGTGCCAAGGTTTCCTTCAACGTGGGGATGCTTACGCTATTTCTTGCTTCTAGGCCACCGTGTTGTGTGGTATAGATATGGCCCCAGACTCTGGTGAGATTGCCGTAGAATGGGTACCTTTGGAAAAACGCACAGTCCTGGAGTGCTTTGTCGGGAACGTGGTGTGGGAATGCATCTGCGTAGAAGGATACGAAGTTGGCGAGTTCCTGGGTTACAGTGTCCGCTTGGCTAGGGGCGTTGTGTTCTATTTGCACTGTGCTTGCGCCCAGAAATGAAGCCTTTTTATCGATAAGTGTCCTGATGTGCCGATACCAAGATGCAACTGCGTAGTCTTGGAAAGCTAGATCGCCTCGTCGAGCATACCTTTTGAGGGCTCTTTCCGATATATCGGGTTTGAATAAGTCAAGAGTGAGGTATCGAAGGCAGCGGACGGCGAGGTCACACTCTGCGGTGCGCCAATTGATATAGTCCGTATCCTCTATAAACCTGCATCAATGTTAGCGGTTTCTATGTAGGACGGGTTAAAAGAAGCTTACTGTCTCGCGGTGCTGTGGATGAGCTCAAACCGGTTTCCTTTCAGCTTTTGCACTAGGGATCCACACAACCCCTCGGGTTCGTCGCATATCCTCAGGTCCATGTCAAGTTCATTTGTGTCCAGGTCCTCCATGTCAATAGACAATGCAACTTGGATTTCTGTCCATTTCAAGGGCCTCTTGGCGTACACTAACCAGCCGAGCAGTAGTCGAGTGTACTTCAGCTGCCCCGGGCTGAGATCCCGTTTTAGGCGTTCCATTATTCGAGCATATCTATTTAATGGTCAGTATGTTATGTTTAAAGTAGAGGTGTGTTTGCATACGCGTCGTGTAGTTCGCCTGGAAGTATTGTAGGACTTATTTCCTTCTTAAAGTCGGCAATAGTGGACTGTTTTTGCAAGTTGTCCATGACAAGTCTTGCGAAGAGAAACATGCCTATGGATGTATTAGATTCGTCAGATCGAAGGCCTTTTTTTAACATACCATTTGATTTGATGCAAATCTTATCCACTGCTTCATTGACAAGCCACTCTTCAGACTGGAATTTCTCCAGTTCGCGTGTCCTCCTCTGCTGACAATAACTCCGGATATCTGACATGGTATTCTCTGGCTCCAGAGCAATGACAGAGGCATTCGGTATTGCACTCCTAATTTCGGGCAGTGGTCTGCTTAAGAAAAGGATGCGCAATTTTCCTGGGGAGGAGTCCTCGGCCTTCTTAATCAGATTTTTGAAAGCCTCGAGGAGGTCTTTTCTGGCATCTTCGCATTCGTCAAGCCCATCAATAACCACATTCAGACGCGGCAGTCTCTCACAGAATGTCTCTATGAGGGTCTGTGCCGTGGATATGTCGGATATGTTTGAGGTATGGGAGCCTCTCTTCTTTGAAAGACAGTAAGGGACAAGATCCTCGTCCTTTGGTATGAGCTGCAGAAGAATACCACACAGTACAGAGAGACCGGAAGATTTTGTTTCAGCCTTCTCGTTGCAGTAGAAGTAACACGTTTTCCCGGTCGAATGCTCCTTACATGCATCGATTATAACGGATGCAAGGTAGGTTTTGCCTGTATAGGTAAGTATAATGGTCAGTACACATAGTGGTCATGTTCTTACCTGTCCCTGGGTGTCCGTTGATCCAGAGCAGAGAACTATATTCCTCGAGATCTGTGGATAGCCAGTCTTGGACCTTTTCTTGTTCTAAGATCCAGCTTCCACTGCCGCGATAGCTATTCCTGTCACGACATATGTCTTGGTGCTGGGTATAGCTCTCTGCGCCCCCGACCCAACCTTGGACTTCCTCTATTTCTTTCTTTCGCCGCTCTGTTTCTTTAACTTGACAGTCGTGGGTTTCCTTCTCCTTCTCTTTCAGGTAATCACGGATTTCCCGCATATCCATATCGTATTGCCCCAGGTGGCTGTACGAAGCCCGAGCCTTATCTTCGATCATTCTAGTGTGGGACTGTATTCTGAGCATAATACTCTTATACGTCGGATTAAAATCTTTCCAGAGGCTTTTGAAAACTGCCTTCAGGGCTAGAATCGGAAGGTTAGTGGAGCCCAAACTAAACTTCAAGCGGTATCTCACCTCCCCCTAGGTATATTCTCAACGCGTTGTGGTGAAACTCTGTGACATCCACGAAGATCCTAGCAAGTATCCGCTGCAATCCCACGTTATGTCTGAAAGCCTCAAGTTGGTCCCCAAAACTCGGCAGCGCTTCGCCGATTTCTTCATATGCTGTCAATAAAGCGTCGAAAGTGTCTACCTGGGCTTTGGCTTTCTAGAATGCAACTGAGAAAGGCGTAACTTAATATAACATGGGACACTCTTACCTGTATAAGTTCCTTTACCGGTCCCCAAATGAAGCCCATAAGTTCCGCTGTCCCTAGGATACTTTGCAACACTCCCCCGTACTGTTCGAACTTCACAATAAAAGGTTCAATGCGTCTTAAATTCCGCAGTGTTCTCGTTCGTTCCTGATCATTCTGGATGTGTTTCAACTCCCGCTTCAAGGTACGAAGGTCTGTGGTCCGATAGACATTTACTTTATTCGAGTCGAATTCCCTCTCAAAACCGTTGAAAATTCTATTGAAAATCTCTCTGGGCAGAGAGTCATCAACAAGACCTAATGATTGAGAATCCAGTCGAGTGCGTGAGAGGCTTGACGTTCGTGAAGCCAGTTCAAAGCGAGCTATTCTCAGTCAGATAAGCGACATTTAGAGTAACGTCAAGAAACAGTGAGCTTACAATCAGGTGTACCTGAATGAGATCGCCTGTCATGAGGCGCATAATACCCCAATACTCCCTTTGCAACCGATGCAGCAACCGCGGCTGCATACGTCTGCCATTTCTTGTTCTTGTGACTGTCCGCGTAGTCGCACACTCCTTTGATGATCAGACAGTTGAACTTGTTCCATATTCCCACTCCTTCCATTTCAAAGCCTATAACCTTTTCGGTCCTTGCCCATTCATCTCTATGCTCGGCTGATTTCATAACAACGTTTCCGGTACCAATTGATCCAAAATGAATCATATGATTAGGTGGGGCTCCATTGACCTGCGCAAGTAACCGCTTACGTTGCATGAGTCTTGCGTCGTCACAAGGTATTGCGTCGCAGGAAGATTTCAAGGCAGCGTTGCAAACCGATCCCGATGTACTGCACTCGAGACACCCTGATTGGTGTCGATGAATATAATCTGGTTCGAATAGTTTATCCTCAGATACTGGAGGACAGTTTGTATCCATGGCCGGTTTGCGCAGTAATTCGCCAAGGTTGTCCATCATCTTGGTGCGCAATCTGTTCAACTCAGCTTGAGTCTTCAAGCACTGCAACAGACCGACAACCTCCTCGCTCGGCTTCATAGGTGAGTCATATATGGTGTCCTGTCGTCGTTGCGTGCCGTGGGGGTACTGGCGAATATTGTCGAGCTGCACCAGCACTTCACTAACAATAACATCGCCGAGAATAATCTCCGTTTTGTTATCATCAGGTGTGAAGGGAACCGCGCCGCAAACTCCAACCAGGAGAACGAGATTAATGGAGGGAAAGCTCATCCTAAGCGATTGCGCGGCAGTGCTTGCAGCTTCCATCCCAATCTTGTGAAGAATAACGATAACCACGGGCTGTCCTCCACATCTCCCAAACCTGTACTGGATGGGATCGCCCTCAGCCCGACCATAGACATGATTGGCGTCATCCCAGTGCTCATCCAAGGAACAAATAACAGCGTTGTTCTCAAGCGGCAACGCGGTGATTATTGCGACTTGGAAGTCGTGCCGACTTGCCGGGCGATTGTGGCCATTCATGGCTGTACAATGCTGGGTATAACGGCATTGGCGGGGACGAGACGTCAGAACTCGGATTCAGTTGAGTTCGAGGCGCCAGGGGCTGAAATTGTGGGCGACGCCCAAATAAAAGAAAGAAGCAACTGGCGAGGCTGAGCGTGCTTCAATTCAGCCTCGTTCGTCGCCTACATGCATATCTATCCGGACAGGGCTGTTGCGGCCGATATGCCCTGTCTGGATAGGGTTCACAGGAACGGTATGCATGACCGGGGGTTGCGTAACATCTTCTGGGCAAGCCTCTCGTCGACTCGCTTTGGATTGATTTCCTGAATGCTGAGCCCCTTCAATCTGCAGTCAGCAAGGCAGAGTCCGAAACTGTAGATAGATGCCGGACATTATACGTCTGGTGGTGATTGTTTCAGTATGTTGTATGTTTGCAGTGTTTGCAGATTCAACAGCACACCGGCGTCCCCAAGAATCTGGCTTACCTAACCACCTTCCCAACCAGGGATAGCGCCTCCGGAAAGTTCCTTCTGGTTTCCCAACATCTCCGAACTGTTGTGAAAGATAACCATCCCCGTCTCACTCTCCCTATCTTCCTTCCCCCCCTCAATTGGCTTTGATCGCTGTCCATCATGTTGTTCCGAACTGCGTGGGCTCGTCAGGCCGCGACTCTGCGACGTCAGGCTTTTGCTCCTGTTGCCCGGCGATCGGTCACCACCGACGCCGCCTCGTCGCATGCTGAAAATATCCCAGAGGTCGGTACCAGCTATCCCGAGTCATGAAAACCCTGCGCGGCAAACTTCGTTCTTGTTCGATTCCTTATTAACACGCGGTCTACTTGCAGGATGAGAACAAGCCGTTCACCGTCCGTCTTTCTGATGAGAGTTTCGAGACTTACGAGATCGACCCTCCTCCGTACACCTTGGAGGTGACCAAGAAGGAGCTCAAGCAGATGTACTACGACATGGTCGCTGTCCGGTATGAACTATTCGCTCTGCACTTCTAGCCTTCTGCGCGAATAAATACTGACATATTCGTCTTCAGACGTATGGAAATGGCCGCCGATCGCCTGTACAAGGAAAAGAAGATCAGAGGTTTCTGCCACTTGTCGTCCGGTCAAGAAGCTGTCGCTGTTGGTATTGAGCACGCCATCACCCGCGAGGACAAGATTATCACTGCCTACCGATGCCACGGTTTCGCTCTGATGCGCGGTGGTACTGTTCGCTCAATCATCGGAGAGCTGCTCGGCCGCCGTGAGGGTATCGCTTACGGAAAGGGTGGTTCCATGCACATGTTCGCCCCCAACTTCTACGGTGGTAATGGTATCGTCGGTGCCCAGGTCCCCGTCGGTGCCGGTCTTGGTTTCGCCCAGCAGTACAACGAGGAGCCCAACACCAGTATCGTTCTGTACGGTGACGGTGCTTCCAACCAGGGTCAGGTCTTTGAATCCTTCAACATGGCTAAACTCTGGAACCTTCCCGTCCTTTTCGGTTGCGAGAGTATGTCTTAATATCCTTTTTTTTTCATCTTTTTTTTTTTTTTTTTTTTTTTTTTTCAACCAACTAATGATTCGCAGACAACAAGTACGGTATGGGTACCTCCGCCGCTCGTTCCTCCGCCTTGACCGAGTACTACAAGCGCGGTCAGTACATCCCCGGTATCAAGGTCAACGGTATGGATGTCCTCGCTACCAAGGCTGCCGTCAAGTACGGTAAGGACTACGCCATCTCTGGCAACGGTCCCCTCGTTTACGAGTACGTCACTTACCGCTACGGTGGTCACTCCATGTCCGACCCCGGTACCACGTACCGTAGCCGTGAAGAAATCCAGCGCATGCGCAGCACCAACGACCCCATCGCGGGTCTCAAACAGAAGATCCTTGACTGGGGTGTCATGGCTGAGGAAGACCTCAAGGGTCTGGACAAGGCCGCCCGTGCCCACGTTGATGAGGAGGTTGCCATTGCCGAGAACATGGGTCTCCCCGAGAACAACTCCCGCATCCTTTTCGAAGACATCTACGTCCGCGGCAGCGAGCCCCGATGGATGAGGGGCCGCACTGTCGACGAGACTTTCTACTACTAGTTTGTTGTATAGAGAGCATGTTTCATTACCTTCTCTCTATGCCTGTGAAAATCTGGGGGGAAGCGAGTACAGGCGCGCTACACTTGACCACCATGATGTTTACTTTGTAATTTAGCCGGAATTTGTTTGCATTGGTTCTCCTATAGCAAATACTATTGGGATTGGCCACCAATATATCTTGTGTATTGTAGTTCCGAAAATACCTTGAAAACGTTGGAACGTTTTCCCAAAAATCAAGTAAATATAGCGAAATAGGTATCATAAACGCCAAACATATACACGCCGGACACGAAAAATGCGAATCTAGAAACAAATCCAGTCAAACCGTACGCCATCAAGACGGTTCCTGCCTCAACATGTCAAGAATCATCTCCTGCGTTCTTTGCACAGAATCGAGCTTTTCTTCTAGCACCGCCCGCTCCTTATCCCACTCCGTCCGCAGCTCACCCATCATTTCAGTCTTAATATCTTCTTTCAGTTTGCTGAGGGCTGGTGACGAGAGAAGACTCTGGAGGTGAAGATCCACATTCCCACCGCCATTACTATCTTGCGTCGATGGATGCTGCGATGATGGGGGCTCTGTGTTTGAGGTTGGCGTGCTGTTTGGGACGAGGGAATTTGGGTTTGGGTTTGGGTTTGAGTTTGAGTCGAGGTGCTTGTTTAGTTTCCCTAGTGTTTCGAGCATAGCAGCCATCATTGCGTTGTCTGGTGTTGGAGGGGCGGGGTTCGTGGTGTTTGGTGTTGAGGGGTTGTTGTGGTTAGACTGGTGGTTGTTGCGTTGGGTGTGTGAGGTGAATGGGGTTGATGCAGATGCGGACGGTGGTGTTTGGGCTTGGGGTTGTGTTTGGGTCTGTGGCTGCGAAGAGAATAGGGTGTCGAAGCCTGGAGGGAGGCGGACGGGTGTTGAAGAGAGAGGTGTTGCTGATGGGGCAGTTGGGGCGTGGTGGTTGGGCTGCTGAGAGGCGTGGTTGTGGTTCACCATAGGGCTGCTACTGGTGCTTGACGGTGCTCGCCAGGCGTCAGGGGCAGAGCCGGGTGCGGATGAAGCTGGCAAGTCCCACTGATCCGTGGTGATTGTTGTTGATGTAGGGGTTGTAATAGTCCACTTTCGTTTCCTGGGCCGCCTCGAGTCTCGTTTCTCGATCCGGCGGGCCTCTGCCTCTTCCCAGCGCTGCCATGTCGGTATCCAAGTATCGACCACGGCGCGCCATCGCGGGTTCGAGAGGTCGTCTGCCTCGGTGGCGCCCTTGTCGCGCTGTTCCTCGAGAAACTTCATGCGCTGTTTCGTGACAAGTTCGACTTTCCGTCGGACGGAATGCCATGAATACGGGTGTTTCTGGCCGCGCGTGAACTCCATAGTGACTGTCATCCACCATTTACAGAGGTTACTGCGTTGGCCGAAATCAGCAGCATGGCGGTTACAAATTTCGAACAAGAACACCTCCTCCTTTGTCGTGAGCCGCTTCCCATGTTTCCGTGTTGCAAGATTAGAGTGTGCCATATTCCCATTCCCAACTCCCTTCCCACCTCCCTCGGCCAGAACTTCCATATCAATATCCCCATCTCTCTCAAGACCTCTCCCGGCCTGTCCCGGGTCCCCTCCAAACTCCGGCTCCCCTAACGCATCCGCTCCGCTCACATCCCTAGTCCCCGGCGTACCTCCAGGACTATCAGACCTATCACTCTCCTCACTCTCCACCGACACAACTTGTTGTTGCTGCGCCGCCTGAGCCGCCCGCGGCCCTACAACGGCATTCTGCGGCGCGGGCGGCCTCGTATCAACAACCATCGGAACCGGCGCCTGCGCCTGAGGTTGTTGTTGCTGCTGCTGCTGCGCAGGGTGAGGATGCTGGATCCTCAAATTCGACGAGATCGTCGGCAGCGACGGATTGTGGTTATGCGAGCGCGTCGAAACCACACTCGGCAGCCAGCGCATCTGCGACATCTGGTACGGAGACTGCGACGGCGAGGCGCTATGCGATCCTGGAGACGAGTCGAGATCAAGTCTCGCTCCCGATGAGACAGCGCCTGGTACTGTTCCTGAGACGGATGTTACCGCCGCCGGCGCTTGGTGGTGCGGCGTGTGGTGAGGCCCATGGGCGTGAGGGTGAGGGTGTGTTTGTGTGTGGTGGCCATGGCTATGTGGGTGGGCGCCCCAGTGAGTGAACATATCCCTTTTTCTTATAATATGGTGGTTCCTTCCGTCGTCGATATCGTTGGGTGCTCGGTGTTCTCGGTCTGTCTGTCTGGAGGTCAGGTCGGGTCGTCGTGTTCGGAGGACGGGGTGCGTGGGGGGGTCGTAAGACTGTCGGTATAGATATATCCTACACGGCGAAGCGTAACGAGCGAATCAATATAGGTAAAGGCCTTCTATAAAAACAAATTCGCCGAAACAGCTGGCATGCGGTGCGGTGGTGTTGATTTCGAGATAAATTGGGATGGGGAGGAGTTAAAATTTCCCCTGAGGTTTTGCAATTACGTTTTCAGCCCCACTTGCTCACCCATTCATCAGGGGCGAATGTAATTTTACCGTAACTGATTTCCACTTGACCTCGGATTTTTCACTGTCTTTTCAAATAAGTACAAATATCGCACGGGGCATTGTCCCTCAATGTACCGTATTCAGAAAAGCAAACGTACATTGATGTAGTCGAGGCTCATTATTTATATTCAAGACAAAGTGCTTCCTCTAATTGTGATATAATTTACATAATGCATCCGTACATCAGCAGTGAATAATGCGACCACTTTTGTCGGACCCAACTGACAAATACAAGATGCGCGCCCGATCCCAGTAATACAGAAAGTGAAGAAAATGGTGAAAATGGGGGTTGATTACAAGAAATCTAGCGCCGCCTCAGGTACCAGGAGAAGGCACCGGTTGATATCCTTTCGGAGAACGGCGTCGGGACTTCTGAGAGTCCGGGTCGAGCAACTGGGTGTCGGAGGTATACGGCAGCACAGATATTCTGGTTGACTTCTAGGTACCGGGGGATGAAGGCGAAGGCGCTCATAAAGTCTCGTGGCCGCCAGGGGGTAGCGTAGGGCTTGGTGTTGTCGACGGGGTTGTTGCGCATCTGGACGAGTGCGCGCTTGAGCACATCGAATTCCTCCTCCGTCAGCTCTGATGTGTCCACCTCTCCTTCCGGGTTCTGTGTTGCTTGGCGGAAGGCCTCGGTGAGTGCCTCTGTTGGCTTCTCGCTGTCAGCGGATTCGGGGGCCTCTTCGGCATCCTTAGACTCAGACTCGGCTGGAGTTGCAGATTCCGATTTGGAATTCTTGGTTCCCTTTGCACCCTTATCCTGAATTTTTGTAGCCTTGAGAAGCTTCATAAGCTCCGAGAACTGGGTCTCGAGGTTGTCGGTCAGAACTGATTGGGAGCTACCGGCTCGCGACATCACACGACGAACGGCCTTCTGGAAGCCACGCAGTTCCTGCTTGCGTTTGGCGGCGAGGTCGTCCTTGTCTTTCGACATGATGGTCTTGGCCTGGGTGAGAAGCTTCTTCAGCGTCTCGCGTGTATCGAGCTTCTCTGCTTCGGCCTCCTTGGCTTCGACCTCCGCGTCGTTTTCCTTGGGCTCCTTGGCCTCCTCACCTTCGCCCTCACCCTCGTCCTTCGCCTCCTCTGTCTTAGCGGCCTTTTTCCGCTCAACACGAGCCTCCCGGCGTTCGAACTTGTCTTTTGGTGCACCAGTAGCAAACATAACACGCTCGGGGTCGACCTGGAACATATCGCCGGGGTTAAGAAGGTAACCGGGGTATCTCATCTACAAACGTCAGAACATCCAGTCAGGACCAGTAAGGCCGGAGAAAAGCGGGCTAAATACCTTCTTGCCATTAACCGTCACAGCACCATGCAGAACAAACTGCCTCGCCTGTCTCGCACTGCTGGCAAACAGAGCCCGGAAGATAGCAACATCTAGCCGACGCTCCAGCGGAGCAAAAGTCATGTTTGTGTACGGCGTCGCGGGACCCATATCGGACCTGGTTAAATTCGAGTTAAAGCCGTCCAGGCCTGATCCTCGACCAGCAGCCGCGCCCGATCCATCATCCCGCGCTAGTTTCCAGGGATTCATAGGCACGACGCTGCGGAGGCGGCGGGAGAACATGCGCGTCCATTGACTCTCGCGGACCTGTTCACCGTGGTATGCGCGGGCCATAGATTTGGCCGTCCATTTTTGCTGGAAGAAGGTTCTCATTTGCGTTGGGGGGTCGCGGAGGCGGCTGAGGTTATACAGGTTGTACTTGCTCCATGATTGCCGGATTTTCTGGCTGGTCAGCTATTTTCCTGGAACGTAATATGAGAATATCGAGGCAATCGTACCGGCTTGCTCAGCTTCGTGGTAGCCCTGTTCCTCATGCTGGCGAGTGCGGGCAGTTGTCCTGTCTTGCCTGTCCTCTCCAGCTTCAATCCATCATTTTCCGGCCGCCAAAACTTCGCAGTGACACGTGACCAACACACCACATGACATTTATGCCTGGGATTTCAGGTTCCAAAGTTATTCATTTAGTCACATCTCATTGGCTACCACGGTCTCGCTTCCACTAGCGCGGTTTTGCCTCGCCGCCCCAGCTATAAATTCTTCTCCCTCCCGCATTCTTTTGACTTTTTTCTTCTTTCTTTTCTTCATACTTACCTTGTTTGGGTGGCTGCGATCAAGAAGGCGGTCCACCACAGATTGGTCCCTGCATTGCACAGCGCGGCGGAACGGTCTGTTCAACGGCCTTCGGGTCATTGACAGGCGTATTCTTTGGCACTTTCCACTTTGTGGTCTTTCTCTTTTCATCATTTCTTCGCCTTGCGCGGGGGTATGGAGAAGGGGGTTACACCTTGTAAGCTTGTAGTAGTTTTCTAAATAAAACATTTCCTCATACCTTGGTATTATTGTGCTGTAGTCAATCAACTTGTTTTACTAGTCAAGTTGCTACTGTCCTGTCGTACAACTTGGTCTCGTGCTGCTATATTATTGTGTTATCTAGTCACCTTCCGTCCTACTAAATTGGGTATATGTGTGAAATCCATCAATAACGCCAGACATGCTCCCTAGTCCTTCATCTGCGTATCTTTCTTCTCTGCACTCTTTGCCTCCGTGTCCTCCCATTTTGCATGTGGAAACGCTTCAAGCAACGCTTCCGCCTCCTCTGGGTTCACCGCGTCGTCGAGGATCCCATGCGCCATCTCTACAGACTCGTCTTCAATGCCCGCCTCGAGAACTAAGCCTTCGCTAAAAGCGAGTCGCGTCATCACCACCAGGAATTTCTGTTTCCCGCCCGGGATCCGCTGAAGTTTCGACTGCAGGTCAACCTCTCCGGGGTGCCGGCGTATAACACTATATATCAGGCGCATGAGTTCGTTTATCATCTGCGAGTGCATATCTCTCTCCGGTGGGTATGAATAGAGCGAGTTTAGCTCATCATGCATGGCCCTGATCAGTTTTGCCAATGTTGTGGGATGTGATGCGATGACAAGACTCCCATGAGTATCTGCCGGTACAATGGGATTGAAAACCACGGCCATCAAAAAAGCTATCGCCTCCAACCGCATGTCGCAGATCTCAGCCCGGGTGTACCGAGGCTGGCCTTCATCCGGCTGCAGCGTTTCACATAGAAGGCTAGCTACCCGATCAACAATGTATTGTTCATTCGCACTTTGGTCCTGGTCGGATTCCTGGATAGATCCGAACGAATTGGCACGGACGCTGGTCATGAGTAAACTCAGCGTTAACTTGACGTCCTTGACGGGTTGCGAGCAGCTCAACATCATCAAGACGAAGGAGTAATGGATACGGCGCCAGAAGTCCTCCAGCGCCCGGTCATTGTCCAAACTCCGGCAAGCTATTTTATACAGCATTCGAACGTGTTCGGTTGAATCCACTAACGGTTCAAGCTCAGATGGAGGAGTTGGCCGCACCTGCCCAAAGCTCTGACGTGCGTAAGGAGAATGTTTGAAACGAGGAACCCCGTTGACTTCAACGGTCTCCTGCAGCAAGAGTACCAAAGGGTCAATTAAACTCAAGATAGAAGAGACGTCAAAGGCAAGTATAAAATATGTGACTTCCAAAAACATCGGTATGGGCTGAAAGAACTTTTCCTGAAGTGCTCGAGACCACATTGATAATATCGCCTGCATATGCTCCACCGCGTAGTTGCCGAGATCATGTTTCGTTGTCTCCTCAAAAAGGATAGTAGACAGTGTCCGCTCCGGTTCTGAGGGAAATGCCAACTCAGCCATAGCTTCAATGTCCGATTTGTGGGGTAGTGTTCGGTGATTCAGAATCTGCTTCATGAGATGTGTATTCGGAGGTTCGCGCTTTAGCGAAGGCCCTTTAGGTATGGGCTGGTCCATTGCGATATCTGACATTGCCTCATCCGCCGCATCATCGGCAACATCCATTCCAATTGCTCCTCCATGAGGCGTAAGCTGGAGAGGGGTTGGACTATCTCTGCTCGCTCTTCTTCTTTTCTTTCCAGCCAAAGTTGGCGTCGTGCGTTTGGATTTCCCAGATTTGCTGGGAGACTCTGCGAGGATTTCCTCGTCGTTGAAGCCGTCTCGAAAAGGTAGGACCTTAGATTTCTTTGGTGTCACCGGCGCGGCCTTCTCCTCTGTCCGTGCCTTTGCTCTCATTTGATTTATCCTGGACGCTTCTTCGGCAAGATCCTGTTTCAAAAACGCATTTTCCGTAGCCAGCATTTTGCCCTCCTCGCGTGCGGCCTCTACTTCCTCTTTATGCTTGGCTAGCTCTTCAGCCATAGCCTTTCGCAAATTAGATAGCTGCCGTTCGTAATCGCCGATCAGTTTCGCTTGGTTTGACCGGATGATAGCGATTTCACCCGTTTTCGTTTCGGCCATGGATTTGGCGTTCGCAAGCTCGCTCTCCATTCGAGAATACCGGTCATTTTCTTCTTGGATCTGTTTCAACATGGCGGTCAGCTTTTGCATCTGCACAACATCCAGGGTTTATTATATTACCTTCGCTTCGAGAAGTTGGTGATCCTTGTGCAAATCAGGCAAAACCGATAATCCACCTCCAGTCTCCATAGGGCCTTCTTCGTCCTCGTTTAATACAATTGTATCAGGAGCATAATGAGACGGCCGGTCTGGAAACGTAGCAGACTTGTCCAATACGACTTCAGGGCTAGGGTCGTCATCTAATACCTCCGCGTCGAGTTCCCCAACATCCAGCGCTCCATAATCATTTGTTAACCCCGTGTGCAGCTGCGCAGGTGGCTGGAGGGTGGCATTGGCGGCATTTGTCGGTTCGTTCTGGGGATAACGATCGGTAATGTCGCGCGGGGCCCAGTTCAATCGTGTCTCCGGCACAAGCTCCGCGCGTTCCTGTGTCTGTTGTCCAAGCTGTGTTGCGAGAAAGGCATCGTGCTCGAGCTGCTGTAACGCATCCGGGGGTATATCATCGAAGCCATCGTCGGAAAAGAAGTCATCGTCGATACCTTCCATGCCCAAAAAGCGAGGCCGCCATGAATAGAGCGGAGTTAATTGGTGTAGAACGTGGTGGAGAAGAGAAAAGCTGCAAGGCCTGCGAGAGCGAGGAGGGAAAAACACCTGACGTAGGTAGCTGGCAGTCACCGTAATCCAGCCTCAACCATTTCCTCTCCTCCTCACCTTCCCCTCAACCCCCATCCCTCGAGTTCTCGCCGTCACCGCCAAATAGATGACGGAATTGCATTTGTTTTGCAACTAGTTGACCTTGTTACGAGGCTTGCCCTCATCGCTGCCATTTTATTTTAATTTTCGCCGGCGATCCGACGCTTCTCACATGAAATTTTGCTAGGCGACGATCACCGATTCCCCCAACCTGTTCACGGTCACGATTCCTCGCTTCCACCCTTTTCTCTCCTCTCGCACAACCCATCCCTCCACGCCTACTCGGCGCTATTCCGATCCACCCACTGTCCCTTGACGAACTAGTCCCCCTTCCTCGATCTCTTCCCCGCGCATCGGACCGGAGACGTCCCCTTCCAGATCCCCTATTCCACCATGTCGAAGTCTCGCCGGAGCGTTCGGTTTCAACATCGGCCATCCGATGGTCGCCGGCCGAGTGTATCAGATGTCAGTGATGCCGCTTCTGACCCAGGAAGCCCGTCACGGAATGGACCCGTCGCTCAGCCCGCAACAATACCGGAGGAGGTACGTGGACAACCAGATCCCCTGTCGTGCCGGGACTCTGTGCTGATGTCGTTCTAGAAACCTGACGCCGAATACCAAAAGAAAAGACAGACCTTTATTACGCGCACGATATGGACATTTGTCATGATTGCTGGCTTTTTTATTGCCATGTTTTCCGGCCACATATACATCATCGGTATTGTGACTGCTGTTCAGATTGTCTCGTTCAAGGAAGTCATCGCTATTGCCAACGTGCCGAGCAAAGAGAAGAACATCCGTTTCACCAAGTCATTGAACTGGTATTTCTTGGGAACCAGCATGTACTTTCTTTATGGTGAAAGTGTCATCTACTACTTTAAGCACATTCTCCTGGTCGACCGAGTGCTGTTACCCCTAGCTACCCACCATCGTTTTATCAGCTTTACACTCTGGATCATGGGTATGTCCCTCCCCCAGGTTATTTTGTTGTCGTTTGTCTAATACCGGGTGTAGGCTTTGTTTTCTTTGTTGCTTCTCTGCAAAAGGGCCACTACCGGTTCCAGTTCACCCAATTCGCATGGACTCATATGGCATTGTACTTGATTGTCGTTCAGGCGCATTTTGTTATGAACAACATCCTAGAGGGCATGATCTGGTTCTTCCTCCCCGCATCTCTGGTCATCACAAATGATATCTTCGCGTATGTCTGCGGTATCACTTTTGGTCGAACACAGTTGATTCAGCTCTCACCGAAGAAGACTGTTGAGGGATTCGTGGGCGCTTGGTTCTGCACCATCGGTTTTGGCTATTTTATGACCAATATTTTGATGCGCTACAAGTACTTCATCTGCCCGGTTAACGATCTTGGGTCGAATGTCCTGACCGGGTTGGAGTGTGAGCCCAACCCAGTCTTCGTCCCTCAGCCCTTTGAAATTCCCGACTGGACCGGATTTGGTAGGACATTCTACCTTGCCCCGATGCAACTCCATATCCTCCTTTTTGCCACTTTTGCCTCCTTGGTTGCTCCTTTCGGTGGATTCTTCGCTTCAGGTCTTAAACGGTCTTTCAAGATCAAGGACTTTGGCGAGTCTATTCCAGGCCACGGCGGCATCACGGATCGGATGGACTGCCAGTTCATTATGGGATTCTTCGCGTACATGTATTTCCACAGCTTCATTGCCGTTTACAAGGCGAGTGTAGGAGATATTATCGAAACCGCCATCACTGGACTGACCATTGACGAACAAATGGAAGTCGTCCGTGGACTCAGCAAATACCTATACAACCAGGGGACACTCTCTGAGTCGGTACGTACTCTAATCTAATTTATCAGTTTACCTTCTCACTAATTGCCGTTAGGTTTTGGACCATCTAAGCACGGAGCTTCTGCGTCGTTGAAAAAAAACCGTTTTGGGTGCCGCCCTCATCCCTTTAACCCGACAAGGAACGAATACATTCTCGTGCGAGACACCTATTTGCTTACGACTAATAACTTATAATTGACGTTAAACCCTTTGGTTGGCCTCCCCTTGAACGCAAAGGGGAGATTGACGCGTACGGCCGTTGGGACTTTTTGGATGAGGTCTTGTACATGTGAGGGCAGTGTCTCCTATACTTCGAGCCGTGTCTTTTTAATATTGCATTGTGTCGGCTTGGTCTAATCTGGTCGGTGGATTTGATGGACATTGATAGGTTTCACACCAACTTCCTGGCTCTAGAAGTGAAAACTGGACGCCTAGTGAATAGTCAATACACCATTCAGTATTAGAACCCTTTCTCTCCCCTTTCCCTTTCCCTTCTCGCGCTTAGCCCTATCAAAGGCCTCCTTCCAAACCCCCGGCACATGAACATGGTATCTTCTCGATCAAGCGTACAGCCTGGTCATACATCCTAAGAAAGCAGCCTTCCTCTTGTCGGGCGGTCCGCGCGCTCTAACTAATGATATCCGCACCATGCAGCACCAGAGTTGGTCTATTTCATTTCCTGTGAGCTCGTGGGTTTGAAATCCGGCATTTCTTTTGCTTTTCCTTTTGCTTTCAATTTCTGAACTCTCTGTTTTGGTCTCATTGTCAGTTGCAGATGCACATCCAGGTTCAGGTTCGATGCTCTGAGTCTCCGTATATTCGCACACTCTCCCCCTTGTCAGGTTCGGCGGTGTTCGCGGTGCTAATACTCGAGATAGAGAAGTGTCTATTTGATGAAGTACGGTTTTGTTTTCACCCGCTGCCATTACTGGTGATTGCATTGGCTAGCATTCTTCGTGCAGATTAAGTGAGCAGTCGGAATGTTAGAAGTCTGGATCGAAATCGAGGCTCGAATTCGCATTCAGGTCGAGTCCTGTCGCTGATATTCTTCGTTTTGTCATTTTGGTAGAGTTCGTAAAATTGATTGGATTGACTGTCCCATATCTTAGTCCCTGGTATGTGTCGCAATGTCCAATGGTTGTACTGGTAGATCAGATTTGAAGCGCAACGCGTTTTGTATACATAAATAATACACGGCGAATTAGACCACGAAGATTTCCCCTCTTGAGACCAGTCGCGGACCTTCTCAGGACGCGTCTCGATCCTTCAAACGACGAACGAGCCGCGTCTCGTGTTGCGGTCATCGGTACCTGCGATGAAACAAACTACCGGCAAAACGGCCGCCCCCTTTTTGCAGGACCAAACTGTGGCAACCGGCAATCCATGGATTCGGGCCAGCTCAACAGTCAATTCTTTGTCCCTCCGTCCCAAGTCCACGGCCCCGGCGGCTCGTACCTTATGGTTCTTTGGTAAAATCCCTCTGGTTAGTAGTAGAAGTGGGCTTAGGGCCAAAATGTCCTCGTGGTGAGTTCCGAAAGCCACCTGCATTTTCCTGAATCGGCCATTTGATTATACACCGGCGTAGGGTTTAAATGGCCGCTGAAAAAAAATGTCCGTATATTTTATATATATCTTGAGCGACGATGTAGAGATTGTAGGGGGGACGCGCGAGCGCGTAGAGAACGAGGATATTGCCCTTGACTTGAGGCTACTGTTCTGTTGGATTGTCTGTTGTTGGTGGGTGCAGATATATATTTTCATACAATTGGGGCTTACAAACACCACGTTCTTGATAAATACCAGGAACTACGTCTTATTTACTTCGGGATCTAATAAAATCGATAGACATAGAATCGTATCTAGTTACAACTTTATCGACTTCGTAAATTCCTCATGCCCAACAATATTCGCCCTCCCGTACTCACTACGTAGACTGAATTGGAGGCTTGGAGTGGACTGTCCGCAGGCTCACAAGCTAAAAGCCAAAGTGCCCGACCAAGGAATCAGGATCGAATCCTTAGTGCGAACATCGACGAGTGAAGAGTCGAGACCGAGCAGGACCGAGTCGAGCCATAGGCCAGCTGAGATGTGCAAGGATGATGGGGGCGAGGGGGAGCGAGGGCTACTGCCGACTTGGTCTTAGCGGAGGCATGGAAGTGCCCGGGGCCGCCTGGGCATGTCGGTGGTTCCGGACGCAAATCATGTGAAAGTTAGTTAGTTTGAACTACTGTATTGAGTGGTTGACCCTCGTGCTGGTGCTTTTGTTCTGTTAGGGGCTACGGGGTATCGTAGATCCGTATTGCCTACACGATGACATCGAGATGGATTGATCTAATCTGATGAGTCGAGGAGGCAAAAAGTGCAAAGTGCGAGTCAATCTCGACACAAAGAGACAATCATGCAGCGTGATTGAGTAGGGTAATTTGGTGATTGGTATGCGCAAGAACACTGGATGCTTCGCTTTGTTTACGGGTTCGCGAATCAAGAACCGCAAAGGGTGTTCCGGTCGAGGTCGTCAGCCTGTTCATGAGTTTGACTGTTGTCACTGGCAGGAATAGGGTTGTGAGGAGTCGATTTTAAGTATACTCAAGGGCTGGGAACGTTGGTGAATGGTGAATTGTGTGGACGGGCATGTCCGAATCTTGACTCGCAACCGGTTGACCTGTCAGAAGTTTAGGTCCTTCAGAATTCGTCAGACGAATTGAAGACGGACGGCTTGTCTCTTCCTCCTCCCACCCGTCGCCCGTGACGTGGGCCGAAGAGCCTAATCTCGTGTTGAGATTGATCAGGAAATTTGATCGGTGCCGTCGCGGGGATGCTGTCTGATTGGGATATGGCCCCAGGAGCGCGCAGACATTTTCCGAGTCGACGACTGGGCCTCGACGGCCTCGCTTAGCTGGGAAATCACTGCGAGCGCAAGTGGCGCCATGGCAACCTCTGGATCGATCAGTCCTGTCATGTCGTTTTGACTGTTGATCAGTCAAGCTGGTTGCTGGTAGCGAGCCCCTAGCGACTGACAGGTGGTGGAGTCCAACCGGGCCGAGATGGACATAGTTGCATAAACTATTGCTGGAATCGGCGGGGACAGTCCACTCCCCTGGAGTCCTGGAAGGCTGGAAAGAGGTCGAGTCATCTTGCCGGACTCATAAAAGACAGAAAAGAAGGTCTAGTCAAGTAGAGGGGCTGGTTCCTGTGTTTCACAGCCGTTTCACCTGGAAATAATCGGGAGGCTTGTGGCACTGCTGGCCAATGGAGGTCAAACCGTCGTCGGATGGCAGCAAGCATAATAGGCTTATTATAACTGGGCCCTGCATCGCGTGTTGCACCCGCTGGTTCTGGGGCGAGATCCTCACCCATGATAATGTGAAGGCAGCACCCCAAGCTTTGTCTGGTGAGGGGTTAGCGTAACGGTCGGGACCAGCAGCCGACTCTGCACGAGACATGGAAAGCCATGATAGCTATCCTTGACACGATGGAGAGATCAAAGTAATAGCAACAGTAAAAGTAGAGACTGGCATTCCCATGAAGTACATTGACAGTATCTGAGTTGCTTGACGTTTGAACGATGTCACCTTCGGTCGCATTATTGTGTGCAATTGGGCGGCTCGCTGCAGCAATAAGCCAGGGTGATGATCAGCAAACATTATTCATGGACACGGCAGCTGCAGTCTGAAACAAACCGTATCCTGGTGGCGGTTATTGGGCCATTCCTTGGTGTCCTGCAATGCCTGGGGTATCGCTCGGCTCAACTGTTCAGGCCAGGATTGAAGGATGAATCCATCAGTCTGTTCTCTGTTATGACTTCTGATGGACTGATCACCTAGGAGTGCATCACTGACAACTGACAACCGACAACTGACACTGACAAGAGCGGACGCTTGCAGGTCGTCTTGCTCTTAAAGTCAAAGTTCCTACGTCTACTCTTCTGCTTGGCCAGTTCCAGGTCCAAGCTCGGGCTGGAGCCTGCAAGTGCACTGATGATTATCACCGGGAGGGGATCCGGGAAGAATAGCCCCTTTGTTACAGCTTCCATCGGACTGGCGGATTTCCTCCCTTGATGACTCGATGAGCGTCTATTTCTCCGCAATTTTAGCCTCCTCCATCGCAAACTTAAAGCTCCAGCATCAGCATCAGAGGCCGCTAACCGCACCATTTAGGAAACAGGCCAATATCTAAATCAGGAAGCACCGCAATGACATCGTATTGTCCGCGCGGTCGATCCTGATTTCAAAGTTTTGGGACAACTAAGAGGATTCGCGTGCTTGTCACCTCACCAGGAGTCGGTGCGACAGCGAGGGAACACCGCAGGCAACGGGCGCAGGTAGCTCCATGCATGCTGCGGTGGCTCTGAGGTTATGGAAGATCGACAGCCTTGTGATACCCCGAAGTAACGCCTGGAGGAGCGCAAATATCCAATCATTTCATTGGCGCCGGTCCAATTCCGGGCAATCGCTGTATCTCGTGAATTAGGCTCATGCAGGATGAGGACGATATGCAGCTAGTCGTACTTATCATGGCTTCAACTTCCAACAGTCGACAGTCGAGACTTGAGAGCCAGTCTGGTCAGTGATGCGCGAGGCAAGCGGCCGCGAAGACGATAGCTCGCTAGATATGCGAGGGGGTCGCATTCCACTTGCCGTATGGGGGGTGAAGCCTCAAGCCATTCTGCCGCATTCCGATCGTACAGCGGGAGGGACCGACGTCATGTACCCCTGACATCAAAGTGCTCAAAGTATCCAAAATGTCCGTCCAAAGTTGCGAATCGGACCCGAGGGGTTTGGTCTGTATTTATCTCTGGAACCAGAATGGATGGTTCGTTGGCGGCGCTGAGCGAACCGTGGGAGGAGCTGTCCTGGAACAAAAGGCGACAAACGAGACAAGAGACTTAGTCAGGAGCGCTAAAATTTCGGCGACCCAAACAGCTTGACTCAGCAGCGAGTCATGCTGGCCTTCATTTGCGAATATTTGCGATTTGCCTTCCAGAAATCTCCGTGCGGTGGGGTGGCCCAGAGGGAACTTGCAGCTGCGCCAACTTAATCTCTCTGGGAAACTGTCGCCGCTGGACGTTGGCTGGCATCATTTGTCACTTGGGAGGTTTAGTGACTGCTTTTTTGGTCTTCCATGGTAGATTCGCACTGACAGGAAACGCCTGCGATCGGCAGTTGAGAATTCGGCAGACTCGGAGATCATTATAATTTGCCTGCTAACCGTGAATAATAATAATAATGACGACGAGAGGACGGAAAATGGATAGACTAAATGAAATCGGACAGAGGGAAGGGAGTGCTCAGTACACCAGGGCGTTGCGTCTATACTCTGCATACATGGCGGATGCTCTTATGCTACGATGGCCTGTAGACCCGACTGGACGGGCAATTCTCCGATTGATAGTCTAATAAGACGCAGAAACCAACCTCAGTGACTGATCAGAACTGAGGGCAAGCCTGCAGAATTATACTGTGTTGAAGACAATAATAACAGAGAATCAGGGGTGTCCCTGAAGGCCCACACCATCCGGAGCCCATCCATGGATGCGCTTCGTTCAATTCATTCGCGAATTATTCTCCCATTCCCACTCCTCAGCTGCCTCCGTGTCGCTGCCTCTCTCCAACTGTCCAACTTCTCTCTCTCTCTCTCTATCATCATTATTCTTTCTCTCCTGTCTCCTTGCTGTGCGCTAGTGCTCTAGCTCTGTCTCTCGTTGCCCATCTCCTCCACCTTGCTCTGTCACAGTCGCACCCCCTGCCCACTGACCTGCTTCCACTGGCCTCCATTCCTTCAGTTTCAAACTACCAGCTCTTAATTCTCTTCGTATTATTGTCTGTCTCCACCGCACGGCTCTTGTGCCTTTCTCCGCGCTGCCCCTAAAAGTATCTTCCAGGCCTTGCTGTCTTCTCTGGCCTCGTCCCTCCCTCTCCTCCCCCTCCTCCTTTTCCCTTTTCGATCTCTCCGTCGTCAGCATATCTGGCTGAGTTTGGCCCATGTGGAAACATCGTCCCCCATCGCGATCCGATTCAAAGTCTGGGACCGTCGATTCAGGCGAGCGTGGTTTCTTTGGCTGGTCGAAGAAGAAGTCTCCGCTCTGTAAGTCCCGTCCTAGCGCTCTCGCCACTGCTGCTTTGGTTTGCATATTACTTGCTTGGGGCCTTGGTCTATACTCGTCCCGTTATTATTATTCTTCCCTCGTCATTTTTTCTCTATCCCTATTATTCCGGCTGCCCTGATTACTGTTACATCTGAGTTAAGCTTCTGGCCCCTTCTTGCGTTCTGCCTTGCCTGGACTCTTGTTTTGTTGTCATTGCTCTTTGTTGCTCCCTCTCCTCCATCCCACTGCCAGAGTCCTTTCTTGTTCAACTTCAGCTTCGTCCGGATCCTGCTGTATACGCCACGGAGTCTGGAGTCTTGTTCAACCCACCTTCGACCAGGGCCTGCATGCATGACAACCACACCGTCATCCCTCCCACTGCTCTCTCATTGGCGTCGGCGGCTTTTTGGCTTTTTCTCTGCCCTCCCTCGTTGCTAACCTGCACCTCTGCCTAGCCGTTGCACGTCCGGATTCCCCCGCTCGTTCGCATTTACGGCCTTTTCGCTCATTTTCCCGTTCAGATCGGCCGGACAGCAGTTTTTCCAGCCACACTGCAGCTTCACTTTCTCGCGCTCCTTCGACCGTAACTGCTGGCTCCTATTACTCCGAAGCTCCCAGGTCCGCTTCGCAATTCAACTCTTACTCTGACAACACAATCTCCAGGTCAAACACACACCTGACCGTAAACTCCAAGGCTGGGACGTCAATGGCTGGTTTGATGGATGTTGACCGCAGCCGCTCGCGGCGGGAGCGCACCTTTGTCGGCAGCGAATGTGCTGTCTGTGAAGAGCCATTGGAACACACCCTGCGTGGTGAGCGCGTGCTCCAATTTTCATGTGCCCATGTTGCCCACGAGGCTTGTTTCTACGAATACCTACGCGAAATCGAGGGTCAATTCTGCCCGACATGTGATGCGCCATTGGGGCTTGACTCAACGCGAGGCGGCAACGTCCTAGACATTGGTAAGCAAAGTTACACCATAACGTACCAAACTGTGATGGCTAACATGGCTTGACTGCAGAAAAATTGAGTAATATTGTCCGCTCTGTGAACAGCGATGCCGCGACCCAGCGGAGTGGGTTGACTACACCCACGCCATGGGATTCTGTCACAAGCCGACAACACCCTCCTAGTGAAGTAGGAAGTCGGCCGTATAACCGCGACAGCCGGGATCCTTACAATCGACGGGATAGCAAGGACACCGGAAGTCAGCGTGAGCGAGTTGAGCGTCTGACCACGGGATCCCGCCAACAGCATTCTCGAAATGGCAGTGCTGCTGGGTCCTCGGGCGAATACCATGAACGTCGCCACGACTATGACGTTCAAGCGATGGAGTCGGACTTGAGCCCCCGGACGGCCCCGACTTCGAAGAACCCCATTCCGGCACCCACAGTTACCATCCGCAGCGAGTTCCCGACACTCAACCGGTCCCGCCAGCAGCAGTCGCTCACGTGTTTGATCACGGTTGAGATGCCAGAAGGGAACTGGCGTCCAGATGCGGAGGATCTGCGAAGTGGCTCGACAACAAATTCGCAACCCAAGGATGAACCGTACCCATCTCGCTTCCCACCAATCCCAGAGCCGAAGCCTGCGTCATTTGAACCTCAAGAGAACCTTGAGGATATTGCGGAAGAACTCAGGACTAAGGTGGACAACTGGCATGGTTTAGAATTCCAACGGTAAGCCACACCTCATGTTCTATCCTTGTGTTAAGCTGACCTTCTAGATTTGGCAAACTTCGCTTGCATGGCCACATGCGGGTGGGCAAGGACCGCGAATCATGGCAGGAATTGGAGTGCTATCTGTTCCAAGAAATGCTCATTTGTGTCAAGGAGAAGCGGATGCCAGATCACCAATACGATCCTCAATTGCCGAAGCCCCGTCCTCGATGCACACTGAAGGGTTCAATTTTGATCAAGAAGCACTTGAAAAGCATTGAAGACCTTCCTGGTATGTTGTTAACGGCCTTACCATGACGAGGGAGCCAAGCTAACTTTATTAGATGAGCCTATTCTCACCTTACACCTATCTGTCAGCGAACTGCCCTGCTTTTATCTTCGCTTCCCCAATCGGAACCAGTTGGACATGTGGCGCCGTGCGCTTTTGGACTTCAATGCTGTTGATTTCCTTCGCAGTCCCGAGTTTGACTTTGATCGTCAATCCGGAGCAGAGGATGATGACTACCGAACTGGAAATATGAAGCGACAAGCGTCGTTGAACTCCTCGTATGGTGCGGCGCGGTCAAACGCCACCGCCATCACCGACTACACAAACATGGGTGTGGAGACATCGCCGATTCAGTCGGTCCATATTCCGGTAGATATCGTTGTGGTGATTCCAGTGTCTTCGTCCATGCAAGGCCTGAAGATTACGCTGCTCCGCGACACTCTGAAGTTCCTTGTCCAAAACCTCGGACCCCGCGACCGCATGGGTCTGGTGACCTTTGGCTCTAGTGGAGGAGGGGTGCCCTTGGTTGGAATGACAACAAAATCCTGGTCCGGATGGTCTAAAATCTTGAGCTCTATTCGCCCTGTTGGACAGAAGAGCTTGCGAGCGGATGTGGTTGAAGGGGCCAATGTAGCAATGGACCTGCTAATGCAGCGAAAATCGTCGAACCCGGTCTCAAGTATCCTTTTAATCAGCGACTCATCGACTTCTGACCCTGAAAGTGTGGACTTTGTCGTATCCAGAGCTGAAGCTGCCAAGTGAGTTGTCCTTGATGCCTAACATGGGGGCCAACTATGCTGACTAAGTATTCTAGGGTTGGAATTCATTCATTCGGACTCGGATTAACACACAAGCCGGACACGATGATTGAGCTATCGACAAGGACAAAGGGATCATACCTTTATGTGAAGGACTGGATGATGCTGAGAGAATGTGTCGCTGGCTGTCTTGGTGCCGTCCAGACAACATCGCACCAGAATGTGAAATTGAAGCTGCGACTGCCGGAAGGCTCCCCAGCCAAGTTCGTCAAGATTAGCGGAGCATTGCACACAACCAAGCGAGCCACAGGACGAGATGCTGAGGCTGCTCTTGGAGACTTGCGCTTTGGCGACAAGCGGGATGTTCTTGTACAGCTGGTGATTCCACCAGATACAGCGACCCATGAATCTCCCCCGCAAGACCCTTGGGAAAGTTTGGTGTCCGGATTGGAAGCTCTAGGCGGCGTTTCGGATGGCGACGAGCAACGTGTTTTGAGTGTAGAGGAGGTCCCGTTGATTCAGGCAGACCTGACCTACGGCGACTTGCTTCGGGATGGCCATCTGACACACTCACCACGCCCATCGCTCCTGGCAATCACCATGCTCCCGCCGAACCCTCGGTACAAGGGCACTGGTAGACCGGGCACACCTCCTATCCCTCCTCATCCGTCCATTGTCCAACGTCGGATGGAGTTGCTCACTTCAGACATGCTGACGCGTGCTTTGACACTTGCCTCTCGTGCGCAGCACGACCGAGCCCAGCATCTGTTGAAGGAAACCCGGAGTATCCTCAAAGGCCTAGGAAAAGGCAGCCTCCCTCCACTGCCTCCACCTTCACAGAAGCCCCCCAGCGACACAGAATCCCGCGGCGAAACACCCACCTCCGGCTCTCCCAAGTCGTCGAACTTCGACAGCCAGTCATCGACTGCTTCTGACACTGCCACCATCACTCCCGTCGCAGCAGTGGACAACCAGACCATGATGGCTCTCGATGGCGACCTCGAGTCTGCCTTGGAGTGGATCAACCACCCGGCCGTTTTTGGGCGGGACTCTCGCAAGGCAGTGCTGCAAAGCATCGGTGTGATCTCCTCGCAGCGAGCATATACCTTCCGGTCGCCTTCCGAAGCACACTGGGCGCAGCGCATCACGGGCGTGCGACGGCTGATCGAGCGCTCAAGAGACTGGCGCGAAACCGGTGACGACGCATTGACCGAAGAATAACTTAGACATGATTGATTACATTACGCGTTGGGCTTACTCATTCCGTTACTCTCGATCTTTTGAATATTTCCTTTTTTTTTGAGTTTTGATCTATTTTCGGCTGGCTAGACACCCGATTAGTTCACTTTGTTTATGATACCACTTTGTTCACCATGGCTGTGCGGCACGATACCACGGTTCTATTTGATTTACCTATACTACACTATCATACCCTAATTTTCCTATTTTCTTCACATCTACTTACAACTTACTGTCTCTGTTCGGAGCGCTGGATGGCTATCTGTCTATATCTACGCCTGTTGTATATGGATCCCCTTCTCTTGTTGTTTTCTTTTGGTCTGGGGATTGTGGTCATGAATGATGTATGCTTGCGCACCCTCAGGTTCTTACTTATACAACCTGTGATAGTCATGATTGTATAAGAAATCTATACTGCATTACATGTTATTGGCACCATATCGTATATCTCTAGTGGATTATTATCTTCATACCGCCATTTCTCCAACTATGTCTAGACTCATCTCGACCTGCTCACCCAATTTAACAGTACCAACTAAATTAAACCCAACGGCACTGCCACTTACCATCTCGACTTCCATCGTGAAGAAACCCTTCGCGATACCTGCCTGTAGTCTCAACTGTACGGTACCACCAGCTTGATCCCCAAATCTCGGCGCCAACGGCATCGGATTCCAGCTTGTGAGAGGCTGAGCAGGGGTCCGGCGCTTCCAGCCAGCTCTCGTATATTTTCAAGATTCCACCGCCCCAAATGAATATAGTGACTGTTTACGGGACTGATAAATAGGAATGGGTGCTGGGGATAATTATTAGTTTGGTGCTGGATGAGAATTCCAGATAGCTTCTCTTCTGTTTGCCCTTCCTACCTGGTCTGATCTGATCTGGCCTGGTCAAATAAAGACAACAGCTGCAGGGTCAGTGCTTCTAGGCGCATACGTACGTAGGAAGGAAGGCACTGCAAATGCAGCGACCCAATTACGCTCCTAAATACAGACTACGGACCCCTTGCTGCTACTTGCAGGTTAGGCCTCGCATGGGTGTGCCAACAAGACCTGGAGGCGGCGCTAAATCGAGAACTGTAGAGGGAGATGGCTTTCTTTGATTCTTGTCTTTGAATTTGTCTGGGTTGGATCGGTGACTACGTACGAACGCCGTGTAGATTGCTAGAAGAGGGGGGGGATACATGGCGTGGTAGAGATTCCCAATTCTCGTAGTATACACTGAGTGAGCAAGATATCCCCCATAGCTCTACATATTCAAGATTGGCATCAAACCCCCTCCCATCGTCACTCAGACCCTGATGGTTTCAATCTGCTTTTGGTTGGTTGGTCACCTGTAGGGTCAGCGCTTCCAGACATTCAGTGACATCTACCATGCATCCCATTTGCATGCACATTGGCCCTGAACCCCGCAGGGAACTAACTGGCATGACCTCACGGCGCCAATTAGAATAGGAGTCGGAGCCAATTATAGTACCCCGAACGGTGTCTTGTGTAGAATGTCTCCCGGGTTGGACCGGGGGATTACGCGGTCAAACGTAGACGAGGGAGATGATGCACACAAGGGGTCATCATGGGGTTGCTGGGCAAGTATTCCGTGACTTCTGTGTCTTGGATATAGATGGGTATAACCCGAGGTCTAAGACACGGGACCGAACAGGGGAGTCTGGAACGGACATGCTCAGCGAGGGGGTCATGGAAGAGGGGATAACTTCATTCATTCATTGGCTTACTGGGGATGTAAACAGTACAGTGTACTTACAGTACGCTTGATACTGAGAGTTCCAACATCGTCGAGGTGTAGTGTCATGTTCTTTGATTCGCGCATTGGATCAGATGCAGAGACTGACGTCCCGTTCTCTTCAGAGTAACTAGAACTTAGCTAATGAGGTGGTCGAAGTCAGCATTCGTCATCAGAGAGAGAGACGGATATGGACTCTTGCATCTTTGGAGATGTTTCCAGTGTGGTCTGGAGGAGGCCCAGAAGAAAGCAGTGGCGATGCGTAGAGGTGATCCTGTTCTAGATCTTGATTCCAGTGGGGTTCTGCAGTATGGACCCCATAGCGGCATGAAGAATCTTCGATATCCAGGAATCTAAGACGTAATCAGAAGATGGAGAAAGGCTTCGGCCAGAAAAGAGAGTATCGGTGTAGAGTTGGCGATGGTCTCGACTTTGATCTTCAGCGGGGTTCCCTTCCGACGGGCCACAGCTCTCCATAACGCCCCGAATAGTGTTGGCTGTTGAGTATCTAGGGGTCCAAGACACGGGATTGATATGAAAAATGAGTCTCCAACCAGATAAGCGAAGAAGACGGCCGTAAGCTTGATCTTGGTCTCGATCGTGATTTTCAGCGGGGTTCCCGCAGTCTGTTCTCCATAACGGCACAGGCGCTCTTCAGGTAGATACCGAAGGATCCAAGACACGGCATTGATGCGAAGAACATGTTGCCAACCAGAGAACGGGAAAGGCCAACAGTTGAGTTCTATCCTTCTGGTTATTGGTCTCGACCTTGTTCTTTGGCGGGGTTTCCGTCTCACGGGCCACAGTTCTCCATAGCGGGACAATGAATCTTGGGGACCTAGCATCTAGACACGACAACGAGGTGAAGAAACGGTCTCTAGCTAGAGAAGGGAAGACGTCATGCGCGGATTAGTCGTGGTCTCGATCTCGATTTCGGTCTTCAGACGAGATTCCACAGTACTCCATAGCGTCTCGAATAGTCTTCGATATTGAAGGGCCCACGACACGGAATTGACGAAAAGAAAGAGTCTCCAATGAGCAAACCAACGTAGGCGGTGCATTGACATACTGAAATGGAGAATTTGAACATGCAGGCTGCGTAACGAAATTGTTTGTATAGTGTATATCTTGGTGGCGTCAAATAAAACGGGCCCAATATGGGGCCAGCGCTTCCCAACCGCCCGCATTGATACTGTAAACCTTCCCGTAGAATTCGAAAAAGACGACAAAGGCAAGTCGGAAATACATGGCAGTCTTGCCTTCCTTACCCATTCTGCTTGTATTGAATTGGCCGGCGAGAGCCTTGCTTAACCCCATCCTAATTCCCCGCAGAGTATCCCAAACTCCTCCGCGGCACGGCAACAAACAGTTTCAGATCTCAACGTACAGAGCAGGGATGGGGCCCAATCAAAGTATCTCCACAGAGACAATAGCAAGCAGACTCCATTGTCTCGGTTATCTCCAGCGGCTGGCCCCTGGCGAACGCGTCAGTTATAGTAGACTTGGCAGAGCCCGTTAAGCGTCTTATTCATTCCCATATGCATTTAGCACTAAATATCAGGCGTGAGTAACTGTCCAGCCAGCCCACTCTGGCGGTTAGGGCTGGGAAGGCAGCCTTTTAGAATGATTGGACAAGTTCTGGGAGCCGTTCGGGGCGACTCTTGCTTTTGGGTGGGCTAAACGACGTTCATACCTATACGCTGGAACATAATCTGGATGGCCAGGATTCTGAATAACTTTGCGGATTTACCATCTTCAATTCTGCTGTAATGATGTCAGAGATTGTTCCTCTCTGCAGCTGCAGTATGGACCGTCTAGCCAATTGGGCCTGGTATTTGATTTGGAGTGCCCATAGATCTAAGATTCATGATTATCCGAGAGTGTGTCGATTTCGGCCTGGCTTTTTTGACCTGGAGAAGAGGTGAGCACTTTCTTCGACAGTACTTAGGATTTTATTATTATAGGTGGACCGTCGAACAGGTTCTCGACTATGATTATTCCTCTGACGACCCCTACGATGACGGGAGGCAACAATTCATGGCTGAGGCGGTAAGGTGGTGGATCTAAACTTCTGGTGGATATTAAGATATCCCTTGTAAGTCTCAATTTATTGAAAAGCCCTCCTAAAGACGCAAAAGGTAATTGACTGTGTGGTCCCGAGGAGGAGGAGGAGGGGAGGGGAGGGGAGGGGAAGGCTAAGTATAGAACAGCAGGAACGAGCTCTTGCTTGCCAGCCAACGAGAGCATAGGATGGCTGCTAGACGAGAAGCCTAAGTAAGACAGCGCGGGTAGATAAAATAAAGCTCTATCTTTATTTAGAACTGAGCTACGAGGGAGATCAGGGGGGAACTGAGATGACGGTATAGAAGTTGATACTTTGTATGGGTTTATAGTAGTAGGAGGCAGGGTGTACGATACGATACGGTACGTATATCAATACAGACCGTACAAATGCATCCGGATCACCACAAGTGCGACGACAGGAAGGTGATGAAAGACAGTCTAGCGAAGCTTGGGACCGGGAGTAGAATGAACTGACCAAGAGCAAAGACGCGGAAGCGCCGTGATGCTACAAGGTGCAGGCTGATTTCCGTGCCTGATTCTATAATTAACTAAAGATGGGGAAGCTCAGTGGTCGATTGGGCGAATCAGAGGGACGAGGATGGGTATAAACGGTCAAGCGATTCCAAGAATAACTCCCCAGGGCTTGCTAGGGGAGCTTTTAGCTTGACAGGTGGCGCGAGGAGCTTGTTATAGGCGAGTTGTGTTGGGATCGAATGGGGAATTGGCCAATGGGGGGTGGGTTTTATGAGGAAGAGCCGTGAGATTGGGAGGGAAGACTTAAAAAGGTTGATGATGATGGTGGTGATGATGATAAGAATAGAAACTGGACGGAGATGAGCAGAGCTAAATTTAGAGAAGTGAAGATAGAGAGATGAAGGCATGCTTGCCAGCGCGTAGAGAAGGCGTCTGTAAGGGCAGTTGATATTAGCGTTGGGAGCCAGTGACGTGCTTTGTGGAAGATGGACGGGGATTGGCTGTTAGCTGGGTTGATTTGAGCGGTTTTTATGCGCGTGCAACTGACTGTAAATTTAGACTCTCGAGTGCTTACGCTTGAGCTTTCTGAGCCCCGAAATCTAGAAAATAGCACGCATCAAGCGCAGCCTAATTAAATAACACACTCAATACTCTCTCATTAACTCTCAATAACCAAAGTAATACCAAGCAGACCTCGTTGTTGGGCGCAAGGGAGGGGGAAACGGTGAAGCTGGAGAGGTGAGGTTAAGGTCTAAAAATAACTCTCTGATCTGCCGCTATTCTTAGAATCCCACGCGGTGCCAAGACTGCCTGTTTTTGCGCTCCATTGGACACACCCTGGCGCCCTCGGCGGCTAGATGATGGTTTCTTGGAGGAGCGATTGTGCAGCTGTCTCTGATTGGCTGAGACAGTTTGCTCTTGCGTCTGGTGCGTTCCGTATTTAGCACCTTTCCGGGGGTTGATGAGGGGGTCAAGACTCAGGGGCACACAGTGCATTGAGCGACACCGACATGGCAAACAGGAGCTCACCAATGATAGGTAAGATTGACATCCAGGTCGAACTTAGTCAAGCTGCCAAATTATTCAGCTTAGAAAGCGTCATAACGGCGCTTCTCGTGGAAGATGATTCGTCGGAGACCCTCACGTAGACAGACCCCGACATCTCCTTGTAAATTGAACACAGCGTTAGAGATTCTGCATGTCAGTATCTCTAGTCCAATGGACTGAGCAAAGGTAGCCGCCAGAAAGCAGTCTCTATGACAACCTCCGCATTCGCGCCGGGGTGGATAAGGGAGTAGGGCGGCGCCGACCAGAATCAGGGTCCATGCCTCCGCAGAGCGCTTGGTCCGACGGTTTGAGAGCGGTAGCGCCCCCTTACCCTATGCCAGACAAACTCGTTTCCAGCGTCATGATTGGAAGAGTGAACATCCCAGATCGAGTTCTGCAAGCTATACCCTTCCTGGACGCCTAGCTCTGCAGGAACATGTTTCAAATGCTGACCCTTGCCCTCTTCTCAAGAGAAGGCATGGGATACCTGTGGTTGACTGAGCCGCGCGCCTTTGTGCAGTTCGCCAGGTCCAACAATTGGAGGAGATGGAACCCCAAGGGTATCCTGAATCTGTGGGTATATTGAGGGGTTGATTCAGATAGCGCGCGACAACGGTGTTGAGCGATGTTGAAGATGTCAACAGCGCCAAATTTTTGAGCTGATGGCTATATAATGCTGCAAGTTACTGTTCATTGCCATTGCTTGCATATCTCTGTCGTTTTCTCGATTCTCAAGCTTTAGCCTCTTCTCTTCTCTTCTTCTCCTTCATAGACTCAAGGTTGTCAGCTGGTCTGTCCTTGACTTAATCACGACGATCATCCGTAACCCGAGCCGTCCAACAAGGCTGTGCAAAGCTTTACGAAGACATCAGACGGCCAAGCAACGGACTGCTGTCTGCTAATTTCCAACACCCTCGCAATCACACACTGGCTGTGTGTTAGTTGTAAGTGGGCCGCCCTGGTATTTGGGCGGGAAACAGCACTAACCCGTTTAGGGGTACTAATACCGTATTGATACTGTCTGGTACAGCATACACCGTACGTTTACACCAGCTCCTCCTTCGGATGATGCCTTGTGCTCCTCGTTCTATTTCCAGCTCTGACTGATATAGATCTCTTCTTCCCCTCATCTGCCGGAAGTCATTCTCTTCATCTTCCTTGTCCTCCCACATCGCCATCCTCCGCCACCAACTCTACAACTTTTCTCTACAACTCAGAACTACACATCTCACAACTACAGCTTCACATCTTACAACTTCACCATTTCTACACCTGGCACACTACACTTAATACATTGATCATGGCTCCTACAAGACCACATCTGCCTCCATTGAGCACTCCAAAGAGCATGACATTCCCGTCAGAACTCCGAGAGCGCACCTACACATGTCTCGACTCTGCCAAACCAGTCGACGCCAGCAAAAAGTCAGAAGACATCGACATGGCCATCACCCCGCCATCAGCATACACTGAGTTTCTCAATACCTTCAGTCCCATCTTTGCCAGCCCTACCAGCTCTCGTGCAAACTTCTCAAAGTACATGCTGGACAAGCCTCGCCCTTCACCAACCTCTGCGCCCCCGAGCGCTGTTGACTTCCCTTCTTATCGCTGCCACGGCCGCTCCCACGGTCACCGTCGCAGCAACAGCAATGGGAGTGCCAACGGAGCCTCAATCAAGCATGCTACTCTCCTGCCTACCCCCTCACCCCGCTGCGTGAACAGCCCGAGCAAAAGCCCGGACCATATTCGCCGTCTGCGCCTCCCTCCTCCACAGGCGCAACAAGGGCCGGGTCATCTCTATACTCCAGTCACACCTTCGCCTCTAAGTGCGGCCAGCGCATACCCCTACCACCGCCGACATTCTCCGCGGCCCTCCCACCCGCATCCGCACCCCTACGCTTACTCTCAGTCTCACTCTCAGTCCCCGTCTGATTGGCGGTTTCGCCAGCTCGAGACCCCTGCTACAGACGGGTCGTTTAACCTGCGTCAAGTTGTTACGACAACGGTTACGTTCCGTGTTGCACCGAGACTTGCGGCGCCACCGGCGGGGAAGAGGAAGAGGGCTGGATGCAGGAAGAACTTTTGACTTACGTTTACCCTCCCCTTGCTATGTTAGTTACTACCATCCCATCATCCTTCTGGGAGGGTAGTGAATCCGCAAGAGCTCTGGAGCGCTTGCCGGCCTGGGTCAGGCACCCTCAAAGTCCATCGATGATCTGTTATTTTGCGTCCTGATGTATTTCCTATTCCTGTCCCGTTTTGTTACTAGAATTGGTTATGGCATGGCATGGCGAGTATTCTTTTTTTACTTGGATTGGAAACGACATGCATGCATCGCGAGTACGGGGCCGGTTTCTCGGAATCGGGAGTTGGGGGAGTTTATTGCTTGCTTGATTGCTTGCTTGCTACTGGGCTCTGATATGTACTTAATCTATAAAAAGCCCTATCCAACTATTCTGTCTACTTATCTATGCATTCGTACAGCCGGGGAATGTCTCCCTTTCTCAGCGCACGCATCATCGTAACATACACTCCATCCATATTCATTACTGCTCATCCATACCGTCCGTAAGCCAGCCACTTACCCTCTAGTCTAGATTACTAGACTTAGCCACGTGGACCCCAACCAAAGTAACGGACCTTGGAAGTTGGATTACGGATAGAAGGCGCGCCGAAGGATTCCAGGATCCAAGCCGCCAACCAATCCCGTCGGTAATTCGACCCAACGGCGCCAGTTGCGCGGTTGCGAAGACCGGAGTCGACGAGGCTTCTTCCTTCCAGAATTCCAATGTTGGAGTGAATTCCCTGGATAACTATTATTTCACTTTATTGGGCTGTTGGAGATGGTGGCGGCGGTGGTGGATGTGGATGTGGAGGTGGTCCGCGGGTAAAGTGGCAGTGGTTGACACTTCGACGGTGTATCTTAATTTTCAGGACTTGGAATGGAATGGGAGCTTCGAGGGATAGAACTTGGCATTAATGGCGGAAATTACCTCTTTCTTAGTCGACAGACTACTATACTCCTAAGAGTAGTGCTACCGGGACTAGCACTATGCGCCTGCACTTCACATGTGAAGAACGTTAGTACCACAGTAGTGCGGATAATATGAAATCGACAGCGCGAAAATTAATGAGTACTAATGGCGGAGTTGTTTCCGGGTTCCCATATGCAGTAATTTAGAAAGAAAGAAGAAAAAAAAAGTTGAATTGAAAATAAGCTATATAGTCGGAAATAAGCTAAGTACATCCGAAAGAGGAAATAGAAGAGGGGACCTTAGAGGCGTAAGGAAGAAGAAAAATATATCCATGAATATAAATAAAAATAGAAAGGAATAAAGGCCCTCTGGGAGTGGAAGCCTGTCCGTCTGACCTGACCATCAACACCGACCAAGCAGCTGTAGTAATGTGAGTAAACGAGGGATAGAGAAGAATGTAGAAGGTAACGAGGGTATCAGAGGCCGAAAAATAAGATAAAGAACAAAATTGGAGAGAAGAGAAGAGAAGAGAAAAGGAAAAAAAATAAATAATAGACAGAGGTAGGAAAAGAAATAAATTAGAGAAATCAGCAAACAGAAATCCAAGCAACCACGCGCAAAAGACAAACGCCACCGATTGAGAAAAAACAAAAAAAAAAAAAGAAAGTAACAAGAAGAAACACCAGACAAAGCAAGGCTGTCATAACATTCAATGGGGATCGTGATCTTTGTTGGTTCGATGGGGCCACTACATCAGTAAGTAATCCCATTTATTCTCCTTCATGACATTTCGCCAGCAAGGTAGCGGCTCAGGACCGGGCTCCGGCGCCTGAACCTGAGCCTGGTCCTGCTCCGTGCTGGATGCATACTCCGACGAGGTCGAAGACGCCGGTGAAGACGGTGTACTGTCGGCTACTCGCCAGATGGCTTTGAGCACGCGGTACATGCGGCCAAAGCTGCCAAAGCTGCCTAGGTACCCGAGGGCAGTGACGCGCTCTGCCATGACCTTGCGGAAGAGAGAGGAGGGAATGGAGTGCGCGCCGGCCATGAAGAGCGGCCAGACGAGGGCGCGATCGAAGCCATGCGTACCGGCGGGGATATATCTGAGGGTGTCGACGACGGCAGAGACGAGCGTTGTAATGGAGGCGTCGTACGGATCGAATGTGGGGAGAAGGCTGAAGAGATAGATGCGTGCTCCGAGGCGGAAAAGCGTTGTTAGGATCTTTATGAGGGCGTCTGGGCGCACGATGCCCGTGTTTGTGAAGGGGATTTCGAGTGTTGCGTCAAGGGGCTCGGTCCAGTCGAGCTGTGCGACTAGAGCGTTGATATGCTGGCAGACGGAGAGATCGTCGACCTGGTTTTCGCGCTTGAGTGATTCGAGACAAGCGATCTCGGATATGAGGTACATGATGCGGTCGTCACAGCCCATTAGTGGTTGGAGCCCCGAGGAGACGCCGCGAAGGTGCTTTGTGCGATAGGTGTGCGCGAAATGAGGGGTTTCCCCAAGCATAGTGGCGCCTAGGATGTCAATCCAGGCGATGAGGGAGACGTTGAACCGGCTGGGTGCGCTGTGGAGCATTTTGACAACGTTGGTAACGCCTCGGAAGTGAGCATGCCAGGGAATATCAGGCAGGTAATCGTCTGAGGTGCCCACTGAGCAGTTGTAGAAGATTATGGCGAGGGTGGCATCCATGAACCCTATCTTGTTGTTGTTGGCGTTCTTGAGAGCCTCGGTGAGCTGGCAGATTGCTTCATAGCGGTGCTTCACAATGTCATGGTCCATCTCATCGTGCATTCCCATGCTGGTCTTGAGATGAATCGCGGAGACGCTCAGACAGCAGTGCATGTACGAGCGGTTGGACTTGACAAGGCTGAAGATCTCGCGGACGCGGCCTGGTCCGGTTTGAAGGGGTTCCGACATGGGGAACACCAGAGGAATAACATTGTCGATGAAGTGATTGAGTAGCGGCCTGTCGGTTTCATTGATTGGAATCATAGACTCTAGACATGAAGACAAAGGTGCTGGTGCTTGTTGGTATCCGTAAGGGTTCAGTGGGTTATATGGCTGCTGGAGCATCTGCTGCGTCTGTGATGGGAAGAGGGTGCCTGCTGTTACTTGAGTTGGCAGGGGGTTAAGCCATTCGGAGTTAGACACCTCAGGAGTAGACATCTGTGGCTGCATGGGGTTGACGGGAGTAACAGGAGTAACGGCCTGAACAGGGTTGGCTGGGCTGACGGGGTTGAACGCCGCTGAATAGGGGTTAAGCACAGTAGGAACCGTAGGAACTGGTGCAGGAGCAGGAGCAGGTGCGGGCCACATAGTCTCGCTCTGGGATCTGAACTCGAAATTAAACGGGGTGACGGGGGTGGCGCCAGTTGCAGTGACCGGGGTGGGAAGCGGCTGGGCGACATAAGGCTGCTCGGCATAAGGGTTCACAGTGGTGCTTGGTGGCTCTCCGAGTAGGGCGTCAGCTGGAGCCGGCACAGACTTGCCGGGGGATTTGCGGCACAGCTCTTTGATACGTTCCATGTAGTCTGTTCCATGTCAGTAGGTATGACGATTATTAGCCTAGAGGCTAAGTAACTAACCCTTCAAAGAACCTTCCTTCTCCATAACCTTGGTCTGGCGGATGCGCTCCTTGACCCGGTCCCTCTGGCGATCACGTTGCTCCGGCGTTGCCCACCACTGTGGAGTCTTGTACTCGCAGCGAAGGCCATGCTTAGAGCAGGACTGGCAAGTAGGCCTCTCTTCATCACACTTCTTCCGTCTAAGTCGGCAGGTAAAGCAGCCTGTATGTAAGTAGTCAGCAAATAAAGACTCGCCAAGCCGCACCGGACGTGTCAGGTTTAAGTTTATTTGGCAATCATGCATGCACACATGCACGGACAGTGGGCACATACCCGAGCGAGATCGACGATGCTCCCTAACAGGGCTTCTCCTCTTCGGTTCGGGGACCGAGGGGTCGGGCAAGATGAAGCGGTTATCACCCTTCTTTGCCGACGACCGTCTCTGGGAGGACTTGGTGGACGCCTTCGGCATTGTGTTTGACTCAGGCAGGGTGGTGAGGTCAAAGGACAATGAAGTATAAGTGTGCCCGGCCGATGACGACAAGCTACCTTGGTCAAGACAAGACAAGCGATGGTCAAGTAAGACGAAGGAGGATGGTGACCTGAACCTCTGATGTCGAGATGAAACAGAGGATGGAGTCATGAAGGATGCAGGGCCGTCAAGGTCTTTATGAAGTTTGTATCAACTTAGTATCATCACCAATTCTCAAACAGGGCCCTGAATAAAGTGCTTCTATTTTTTGCATCCCAGGGGGTGCACGTTGTTTCAGAAGTCAGAACAAGAGAACCTGGAGTGGAGAATTATGCAGATAGCAAATCATCAGGGCCAGCGCGATCTAGATATTGAAACAGAGGCCTAAATTGGGTGTGTGTGATAGAGGAAAACAGCCGCTTAACCCAAGCGCCTGGGGATGAATGGGGTTTGAAGATCGCTCGATACCGCTGCCATGCAGGCCACGGGTTTAAACACGCGTTACTGGCCTGTTAGAATCAAGAATAAGAGCTGGGCAAAGGAACTCTTAGGACACTGGTGCGCCGTCATTGTTGATTTGATGTCCGGCGCTTAAATGATCGGCTCTGATTGGCTCCACACCAGGAACTGTCGTGGATTTCTTTTGCGGCTTTGAACAGCTTCTTACCACTTCTTTTTCCGGGCTTTTGGGGTTCAGTCCTTATTGTCCATAGCACTCAAAGTCTTCTTAAACAAGCAGATTCTTTTTAAGACCCTGATTACAACGCGTTTTTCCCGCTGCTCTCTACTCAAGAAATGGCAGAACTACAATGTGATGGAAAATGCCATCAAATCGTGAGGCCAAGACGCTTAATCTGTAAAATGGCCAATGGGGCTTCAGGATTGAAGAAGTGGATCTCGGCCCGCTCCCAGAGTGGAGCGAATCTTAACCGCCGAGCTGTCGATTGGCCTGTTCCTTATTCATGTACCCTTAATTAGTAACACTTAACCGCCTTTGCTGCACCTTAACGGCATTATAGCACCCGATTACCTGCAGAGTTCAGCACACTAGTGAGGTTAAATTTAGCTAAATCACCCCTCCTTGACTGAATGTCCTATTAATAACTTCCAGGCTGGTGTCATAATTAGCAACATTTAACCGCCTGGCTTGAGCTAAATTGCCCAATCGCCAATAGCACACCGAGAAAACCCAACAAAACCAAGCCTAATGCCAGCAAAATCAACTTGAATGCACACTTTTTACTTGGCTTCTGGATCGTGCACTTTTGCTCCCCGCAAGCATAATTAACATAGAACATTGCGTGTCAATATCACTTCACAGGGCGATTCTTCCCCGCTACCCTTTCCCTTCCCCAGAATCTGGCGCAGCGCCGCTGATGGCTGGCTCGCTAGTGAGGGGTTCTCATTTGCTCTTTTTTTGGTTTCTAAATTAAGTCTACCTGCGCTCGCTAGTTAGCTATCGTGATCTGTGTAGTATGCATTCTTTTAATAGATTATCCCAAATACCCGGTAAACATGCCATGCAACTACTGTCTCTGATATTCTGAACCTGCATCGATGGCGACGGAAATAGAAACCACGCGATTCAAGCTTGAATAACATCGTGGGTTCGTTCTAGAGATATGCAGACGAAAATAGAAACCTCTCACTCTTACCCCGACTCCGGTTCCCTCGAACCTGAAACTTGACACCTGAAACTGGGACTCACATCTCCGGACTCTAGACTATTGTGGGCCATGAAGCATGGAAGCATTGGCCATTGTAGATTGAAGAGCCTCTATCGAGGTTCTCGATGCGGTTCTCCTTGCCTGGCAGCACAGTATTCACCTAAACTGGCCACCTAGGAACACTACTCAAGGTCAAAGGCTAGTACTACAAGATCAATGGTTGGGAGTACAGTAGACACGCTCTTTGAAGCTTCAAGTACCTATATATCCTGTAGTTTGAGTATATGAAATCTCAATGGAAGAATATTCATGGTTCATTGTTGCATAAATGGATGCCCAAGTAAAGAGCATAATCGTGCACTGACACCTCCAAGTCTGACATCGGACGATCACTCCCCAGTGCTCCTGTCATACCCGAAAATACCTTATTGGCTATTGCCCTAATTACAATTGAGAGAATGCGGACAGAGAAAGTCTCGTTTTTCACTTCACTTCTGAGATCCAACGTGATGCAATGAGGGGCTTCGATCCTGAAGGATGTACTTTGTTTCCCAGTGAGCCCGTGACTGTGATTGTAGGATGTGACTGTCCGGATTGTGTGGTGGCTTCGGGCCAAATCAGACCCGAGATCCATACGGAAAACTTTGAGCCCTGGGTCTCGTCACAATCACACCGACCGTTCCGTCTGTCCCGCCCCTAAGGATTCGTTTTCCGGATGTTTCAAGATTTGATATCGTCGATTGTCGATCTTTGATTTTCTCTCTTTCGTATACCGTGTACCATCCCTCATTCTCCTGAGGTGGATTTCAATTCGAGATACCCGGGGTTGGGCACGAACACGAATGGCTGTGTAACTGACTCGGGAATATTCCCAATACGGCCATTGTTGCATGAGGGGAAACCCTGTATCTTCCGCAATCTACTTTGATTACTGAGCGGGGAAGTGATGTGAATTCTGCGGTGCATCTGCGTTGCGCACCAAAGCTACTGCGGGATCGAGGCGACTAGCCCTCTTGGTAGTGACACGTCGTAAATTAGGCAAACGACTTGTGAGCCAGGTTAAGGGCTGGTTCGAGCAATTGGCATTGGCTTCTTGAAATAGAACCGAGCGAAGAGTAGCTCAGATAGTTCAACCCGGCGACAAATCTGGAGATTGGCGCGAACTGATATCAATGGTGTGATAAAGTTCGGATTGCTATGAGACGATGGACATGAATTCATCATTGTCGAGGACAAAGAAGTACAGCAAGAACGAATGGAATTCACGAGAATAGGCGCCGTTGGGGTGGTTGCTGGGGATATACCGCTTCAAGTACTCCGTCGACGGCCAGCCTCGCTCGAGGGCCAATGCCCACGATTCGACACAGCATAATCCGGTTGGAGATAAGTGCCGCTCCAAATAGAGAGATTGCACAAATCGCGAACGATTCCTTACCGCTGGGGGAAGGGATAGCCTGACAAAAGATGGGCCGCCAGTCACTGAGTGCAAGCGATTGGGCGAAGAGGGACGAGAGCAGGGAAGACGAGGCCAGCAAGGCGCGTGCAGACTCGATGTGATTGCTCAGAGGATCGGTGAGGAGCAAGCTTCCCTGGGGAAGGATGGAAAACGAGAGGTGAAGGATCGAGGAATTTGTGGCCGCAGAGCTGCAGCGCTAACAGTCAGCAGCCAGTCACGGGCTCCAGACGGCGAATCCCACGATGCGATCCCGCAGCCCGGCGCGTACAGACAACACATCGGCCTCTCACAGCCTCCCATCGTCTGGCCGGCCCCTCGCTGCGTCTTGGCTCCTCACGGGCGTGGCTTCCATTGGCTGTTATTTCTGCGGGATCAAGCCACGAACCTCGAGCTACTGCAAGGTGATCACTACATCACCGTCCTCTCACGAACAACGCCCGCAAAACTGGCCATTCGGCTGTGCTGCATCGATGTCCGTTGTGAAAACGAAAGCGCTATGTTTCACCATCTCTGCGAGTCACGGCCCTCGCTATCGCCGAAAACAACCTGTCAGAGTGATTGTCGCTGGGGCTACGTTTTAACGCACCCCCTCCCCTGCCATCTGTCGCTCTCGCCTTAGGCGCCGGCTCATCTGCTTGCCCCGTTCTTATACTCGCCCTCTCCTCGTTTCACCGTTTCTCCTCTTTTTTATTTTACCTCCCTTTCTCCGTACGAGCTCTTCTCGTTTAAGGATGCAGTTTGGCCCTCACTAGAACTGCTATTGGTATCATTGAGTGATATCCTTCAGCTACCATACTGAATCCACCCCTCCCTGACTGGTTCAGAGTTCTCTTCACACTTTAACACAATGGTAAGTCAGTCTAAGCTGGTGAGCATTCGAGTACTCGAGCGAAGTCTAATTTCATGGATCCCAGGCCACATCACTTCGTGCTCGGCGAAGGGCAGCGCCCGCACAAGTCAATACCAAGACCGCTGGATACTTCAACCCTGACTGGGAGGTCGTAAAAACCCGCTTATCCAACGCAACCGACTTCGCCGATACCGACTTTGAATACAGCGATGAAGAAGATGAGTCCCCACGTGTTAGCATGGGCTCAGTAAGTATTACTGTATATCAAACTAAGAATAATAGCACTGACTTGGATCCGCTCTAGTTTGGCCATGACAGCAACTCTTCGATTTCCACACCTGACATTGCCACGCCAGATAATGCACCAAGGCAGCCTTTCAATTTCCAGCTTGACAAAATGATAAAGGGACCCTCTGGTCCTCATCTCTTCCGCTCATCGGTTGGGTCGATGGGCTCAGTTCCTCCCACGGCAGAAATCGACCTCTATTTCGAAAGGTCGCCTGTCCAAACACGTTTCTCCCAGCCCGAGTCCCAACCTGAGTCCCAACCTCGGTTCAGTCAGCCTCAGTCTGAGCCCACCGACTCCGAGCCAACTCCGAACAAGTACATGTTTTCTCCCTGCACACCCAAGGCTTATAATACGGTACACCCCGACGTCTCGCAAGTCGCAGAGCAGGAGATTCGAAACTGGAGTCCCAGCCAGGTAGCTCACTGGCTACACATCGGTGGATACGATGAGACCGTGATTGACACATTCCTGATCAACGATATCACTGGCACAGTGCTTCTTAGCCTCCAGGGTAGCGATCTGAAGGAGTTGGGTGTCAAATCGTTCGGCAAGCGTCACCAGCTTATGGGCTCAATTGACCATCTACGTAATACCATGCGGAAGGGGTCCCCACGGGTTCAATCTAGTCTCGGTTCTTCTCGATCCGGGTCACCACGTGCGCGGAGGTCCTATGTTATGACTGTCTCACCGACTGGAGAGGTCCTGAATGGCCCAGAGAGTCTTCCAACTCAGGGCCAAGAACCAGTAAATAACAAGCACGTCTCCATCGTGGGTATTGAACAGGTTCTCCCGAAACCTCACAGCTGCTCCAAGGGAGTAAACTGCCCCAAGTACCGCCGAAGGCAACGTCAAATCGAGAAGCTCGCTGCTGAGTTTCCTAACACCGTTTTTTCACCTGCAGGGGATGCCATGGTTGCAGGCAACCCAGGCAACCCTGAAACAGCACAAAATCTGCTGCGGCCCACTTCAGATGCTCAGCCATCCGTTGCCGCTTCTTCAGATGTCTTCGGAGCCATGCAGACTCCCCGTCTCTGTGCCGAAGCACTGAATGGAGTAACCCGGGTGGACCCCCAGGAAAGCATCCGGCATTTCCTTTCTTACCAGGGTGTCGACCCTCCCTCTGGCTCCGACAGCGATGAGAGTTCTCCTCACTCTGAGCCCCTTTACTCCCCGCCGCCCAAGACTCCAAAGACGGCTCCTGCGGTTGTCTCGCGGGGCAAGACCCGGTCTCAGAACCTCCGCAGTCTCCCAAAGCTCACGATCCCCGCCGAAGACGAGGACTCGGATGAGTTGACCACTGCCACTGGCCAGCCCGATACCGCTATGTATGCGTCCCCTACCGCTACCCAGCAGTATGGGCCGTTCAGCAACGCCCAGTACATGCCCTCTATCGATCGCTACCGCCAAGGCACACCCTTCACCGAAGCTGATGTGCCTGTAACTGCGATCCCCGATGGGCCCATTGCTCGGGACACCTCTCAATCCGTGCCGCCAAACATGCAGTATGGAAACATCATGCTGCAGCGCCAGCAACAGCAGGAGCCATACATGCGATCCGCTTCCACCCGGCCCCGGACTAACAGCAACGCGCCGTCCCTGCCGCGAGTTCACGAGGACAAGCCGCTCACTCCGATCGACAACCCCTCTGACATGCCAAAGACCTCGCGCAGCATCCCGCTTCACGGCTACAACTCTTCCCTTTCATCCGACCCCGATGTGACCAAGGCTGGTTGGATGAAGAAGCGCAAGCCCGCTCGCTTCCTCCGCCATGACTGGCAAGATGCTCACTTCACTCTCCGTGGAACCAACCTTGCCATGCACAAGGATGAACTTGCTGCCCTTCGGCACTCGCGAGCATTGGACCTCATTAATGTCGACGACTACACCGTCGCCTGCTCGACCAACGGCACCAACTCTAAGCTCTCTGCTGCCTTTAAGAAGTCCGTCCTCCGGTCCGGTACAAACGTAAGCCAGGACGACGCCGCCTTCGCGTTTTCTCTTGTTCCTGCCTCCAAGGAAAATGAGAAAAAGGTCCTCTTCAGCAAGAATGACATCAAGAGCCACCACTTCGCCGTTAAGTCCCGCGACGAGCGCATTGACTGGATGCGCGAGCTCATGCTCGCAAAGGCCCTCAAGAAGGGCAAGGAAGGTGGCGCTGAGATGCAAGTCAACGGAAACTTCATCTAAGCACAGCAACCAAAAAAAGATTAAAAAGCAAAAAAAGGAAAGAAACGAAGCACCCCCGCAACACACTAATCGCCTTGTACTCTATTCTCAAGACCCGACTTCCACCTCACGTCAGTATATGGCTTTTGTTGCCCTCAGATTGCATTCACACTGGGTCTGGTTCTGATTTTCGAACGTACTACTTGCACACATACCCCTCATTATCATCATTTTCTTTTTGTTCCTGTCTAATACATACATACAAGTGACGACTTAACGACCTCTTAAGACTTCGTTGTCCCAGGACACAGCAGTCGTCGCTGGCCGACGCAGAAGATTCAGATACCCGAGATACTCTCCCATTTTATCCACGTGTTTTGCTGCGTTCCTGTTTTTGCCTATTCGCTCTAGCTGCGTTGCTTTTTGTTGGTTTTTTTTGTTTTGCTACTGCGTCTCAGATTGTTATCTGATCTTGTTCTGCATTGTCTGTGTTTATTAGTTATGCATAACCCGGACGATCATGTACCTAGGTAGTTAGTGAGGTCAGTCTGGCCTGGCTTGGTAGAGACTGCGATTGGAACCGTGAGGTGGGAAGGAACTATAGTATCGTATAGATAAATAGTATTGCGGCATTAGTGTCGTCGCTGAGGTGCTTCTTTTGCCGTTCCCAACCCCAGGTGTGATTTAAGTACGGAGTAAGGAGTAGAGAGACTGACTGACTTGTTCAGTACCCACTTGGCGCCGAGTAGGCGTTTCTAAAAATATTTGTTGTATTGACTGCTAATTAACCGCCGGCGTTACAAGCGACGGACTTACGACTGGATTGGCTAAGGCCTAAGGTGGACGCAGTGCTAGGATAAAACCGGATCATCTGATACTGGCTAGGCTAAAACAGCACGATCGAGAAGAATGTATGATTTCTCATAATAAGGTCATCAAGAACGTGGAGCTTGGATCACCCTCTTATGATAAGTAGCAGCATGTATCTCATTACCCCATCATCCTCACAACAATGTAAACCCACCCATCCCCATAAGCCGCGCACCTCACCACTTCCTCCACAGGCGCAGACATCGGCACCGCGGCACCATGCAGCACAGGCTTCGCCAGGACAGGGGTCCTGCGACTCGGAAATAGATGGGGTAGGATAGAGTGAAGTGCTGTGCCGATAGTTTGCGTTTGCGTTTGCGGTGTCCCTGCGGATACTGACCCCGAGATGCGCGATGAAGAGAGTATAGTGGACTGGTTCATCTGTTGCTGGGGCTGCGTGACAGATATCGTTGGCGGGATGGGCGATTGGACCACTTTGAGGAAGGGGGAGTTGGAATCGGAGTCTGGCTTTGGTGGGAGAGGGAGGAAGAGGCGGACAGGGAGGTTGCGGAGGGGTTGATGGGAGTTTAGTGGGAGGAGGATGTTCATTATTCGTTGGAAGGAGGGGAGGTCGACTTTGTCAGGTTAGCGTTGGCTATATGCATGGAAGTCCACGGTTTGGTTTGTTTTGGGGGAATGGGACTTGGGATAGTTTACCATCTTGAACGGCCTTCCATAAACCCGAAGAATCATCCTTCGAGAGAGTCATGATTCCCTTTGCGGTACCGTTGCGCACGAAATCAGCCTCTTTGACGCTGTTGATGAAGGCATCGTTCATGACCATGCCTTGTGCGTCAAGACGGACGAGCTCCTCGTCGGGCCAGTCGCTAAAATGCACAACAAGTCGCCAGGGAAGGGGACCGGCTTCCGAAGTGGGCGAGTAATCATCTTCACTCGATTTGGTCGCTGGGTCCGCACCCGCGTAAAGATCATAGAGGAGACCGACGGGGTAGTGCCATTTCAGCGGGACGCCTTCGAAGGAGAACCAACCGTCATGGGGTTCTGAGGAGGCGGGGTCAATGAGTGATGAAGAGAAGAAAGCCTTGAGTCTGGAGAGGAGAGATGGCAGATATGAAATCCGCGGTAAGGAAATCTGGAACGTTGATTAGCCTAGCTCATAGCGATATGAGGGGCTCGTACGAGATATGGATCTGTCTGGTCGTAGGTGCGACTTTCAGATGGAACGAGAGTAATATGTAGAGGGAGTTGGCCTTCCCAGATAGACTTCTGGATAGAGCTTAATGTGATTTGATCCATAGCCATGCTTGTACCTGACAGAGTGTTAGTGCATTTGTCCTTGTGGAGCGGGAAGGCGACAAACATTACCGAGACTATCTCCCCACGGGACTACGACATAGTCCGCAGAGGCAGGCCCTCCTACGGGTTCAGAAATAGGATATTGGTGTTGCGCAAAACTAAGCAACCGAGAAGATGATGAATGGCGATAGAATGTTGTAGTGAAGATGGAAGAAGTCGTGTTGAGACTCCTCAACTAGGCAACTTTCCCGATCATGGCCTGCACGTGATATGCCCAGTATACTGTTGCTGGTCACGGTGTCTTCGTTACTCATTTTATGATTTAAATAGTCTATAGAATGTAATTTCCAGCTATTCATGCACTTATAGGTTTATAGCCGTTCAATTTCATGGATGCAATCTGTAAATACCCTAGGAGTGGAAACATATATCTGCATCATCTGACAGTAAAAACTGCATATGACCATCTCGAGAATGTATTTATAAGGCTGTTAAACGGCAGCCGAAATATAGAATACAACCTCTTTCTCCTATGCGGAATACACCTACCGGCACAGGGAGAAACCACTACTCATCCTTCGTGAGCGACCTTGAATTAGCCATAGTCATCCCTTCCCATAATATCCCCTTGCGGTCTACCTGTAGGAGTAGCGAGAAGCTCTTATTGAATTCGTGGTCATCGCTGGGGACGCAGAGCGGGCCGACTTTCATGACAGCAAAAGGTCAATGTAGGATTCCTTTTTTGGTGGTTATTGATGGCAGGTGGGCGGTTGCCTTCAGCTTCGCTTCGAGACGCTGCTCGTATCCAAGGCTTTGAAGACCGAATGCCCACGGACAAAGCAAGGCTAGATGAGCTCTGAGGGCACGAGATATGCTCAGTGGTAAGATTCATGTATGCACGGTTGCGGTCCGCGGAGACATTGCACGCAATTTGCACACCGTGGCGCTCTTCTGGGCGTCTCTACCTGAGCCACGTCATCATATTTCCGATAAGAAAGGCAACGGGCGTCCATTCACTAAAGATGCATGGCCGGGGTTTACACTCAATGAGTGCGTATTATAGCCCGGGGCATTCAAATCTTTGCCTGTTATTCGCATTGATACGGAAACGATGATTGTGGCTCACTATTCTGACGTGAAGCGGCTGTAGTGGTCAAGAATGTACTCTGGCCGCTACTCTGTTGAGCTTATGGGAGTGGTCCTTGGTCATGCTGCCAGTATGATCAACACTAGAATATGCACATCCAGTTTGTCGGTTTTGACCTCCACAGACCTTACGCTATGATTCCTGTTTAAAATTAACGACAGAGAATGACCTTGGCGTAAGCCTACCAACGCCGAGTGGAGTGGCTGCAAGCTGCCGAGCAGAAATGGGATGGCATCTGGTCTGCAAGGGATAGAGCCCTCCCTCGCGCCAACGGCGTGCCTTCAGCTTGAATTATGGCCCCTCTCTAAAGCATTCTATATCTGGGTTAGCCTGAAACGCTGCATGCCTGCTCGGTCGTGTTGATGCACCCTTAAATTTTAGTGGAAGAAGCAAGGGATACACGTGGCGGTGCTTCAACGTCGGCTGCGGAGTTAGCTCCTAGCGAAGCAGGATACCAATAACACGCAGAGAACAGACGTAATCCGCAGTAATGTATTAGCCGAGAACGCCTGAGCTGAGCTTTGGTTGAATGAACCAAGTGGCTTGATACGATATGCACGCTGAGGCTTCGCGGGACCCCATCCCCCCTCTCGACCGCAGCTATTGTGGATCAAATTGAGGGATTATCCGACGCTGGGCCTTGTATATTGGGGGAGAGGTGCAAAGCTCATGTTCATCGGGAATATGAGAAGTTGAGAAAGGCTCTAATTAGCCAGTCCGACAGGTATACTGCTGGGCCATCGTGTTTGGTGCATCGAGCAAAACACAAAAGAAGGACGCGCTTAAGCACGGACCATTGGATAGCTATTTGGAGATATAAAATGCGCGGGTTGCCAGAAAGTTAAAGATCGTCCGGCGCATAGGTACATTTTGAGCCGGCGGCACCCCGTCTGAAAGTACAGAGAGGTTTGGTTTGGCTCACCTTCGAGGATTCGGGCATCGGGTTCCGGCCAAGACGGAATGAAGTCGTGAAGGGACCCCAGTTCAAGTTTGGTTTCGGAAGCTCAGCCCTTTTCGGATTTTCCAGGCCGATGGAAAATGGCGCACGGGGGCTACTACTCAACTGAGAAGTCGTTCTTTTAGACGGGGGCTTTTGCAGGCTAGATTGTGGACGGGTATGCGGCAGCTCGTACGGTCGTAACCGAGCCATGAAGATTTAAGGCCATGGGCTGCAGACATCACGTCATGCTTAATCTTGGCACGAAGGATGGTATCCATAATCCAGGTGTTTCAACTCCTGTGGCTTCGGTTACGCAGGTCTGGAAATTCAAGGGAGGATTAGCGAGGTACTGCAGGTTGTCGATACCTTCCACCCCTGTCACAACCACCATGACCGTGCAAGGAAAGAAGTCCGTTGAGGCGCAGTATAGGTAGTGACGGGATCTGTTAAGATCGCGGAACGAGCAGCGGACTTCCCTCTTCATCTCTTTCCGAATGACGACGCTGCTGCATTTCGATGCTTGGCACTGGCAGCATCTTATTTGAGCTGCAAGGCAGTGCACCGCACAGGGCCACAAATCTGTGCGAACGATATGCTTGGCAACGGGGGATAGCCAGCCAAGACCAATACGGCCGAAGTTCGGACTGGTAATATCTGAATAAGACTGAAGGCTGATCGTGTGGTTCCTGGAGAGAAGCCCAAAACATGGGTTCGTGTCAGGGCGAGGGTCTGCTTATCAGCGATCCCGTATGCTTGCAAAAGCGAATAGACGAGATAATGTCGACGGTCCTGTGCCAGCCTGCAGAGCAACTTCTGAAACAACATCAGCATGTGTAATTTCCGGGGGTTTAGCGAAGGCGGTTCTACGGTAATACAGCGATGGCCAAGAGCTTGATATTTTCGATCAATCCGATGTGGCTGGACGGTACCACGGCGAAGGCCAATTGAGGAGGACACGACTCAAATGAAAACATAAAATTTCCGCGCACTGATATTTTCGGCTTCTGAAAATAAATAGCCAAAAGTTAATATTTTGGCCCACCCCTTTTCGCGCAGAACCACAGCTGTTGGCGCCGATGTTCCTAACCCAAGAAAGGAATCAGGATTCATGTCAAAACCCGGCTCTTTGGACCTGGTACAGATGGCGAGAAGCTTGATGAGCCGCGCGGGATGCCGATTGTTCGTGAGCCAACGGCATCGCGTCGCGCCAGGTGGTGAAAACCGTAATATCCCACGGTTTGAGGCGCAGCAGGACGTAATTTCGGAAGAGCAAAAGACTAACTAACTGCCGCCCCAATCTAGCAAGCGTAGTATTGCTTTTGAACAAGAGGTGCGCTTCATGAATCATAACCCTTGCTTTGCCAACTAAGCGGAGCTCACGTCAGAAAACTTAGTTGGCTGCAAATACAGGGGCTTCTCGTCATAGTTCACAGCCTTAGCGCCTAGTTTAAGCAATAGTTATGACGATCATCCAGACACATCTTCTGGTAAGCCAAAAAGATGAGACCCAGCCGGGCAGCAACAAGCGGTGGGCGATCCGAGACGCTATTTCGGTGAGAGCGACGTGAAAAGATTGAAATTGGCCTCGGAGGCGGAGACCATCATGGAGGGTGGGAAACGTAATCCTAATAAAAATTTATCATTGATAGGTAGGGATATCGTGGGGAGAAAAAAAGCAAAAACACCCAACGAGAACAACACTTTCGACATGGAGGTGTGATAACTTTTATGAGTAGTTGGGGGCTGTTCATGGTCAAAGGTGCAGTTGCAAAAATGTGCGGTCGAAGTAAGAAGCATCGTGCCATAGGTGTCGGATCTGACGGTCCTGCCAAACCTGCAAGCTGCGCGACACGGATGCAATATTGCCTTTTCTTGGGTTCGTGCAGAGACACATGTGTAGTAAACTTAAATTTTGGAGGTCTGAAGATTTTGCCGACGCCAGGTCCACAAGAGCGTGGGAGCCTGGGAGGGTTGATGACTGCGTGAGCAATCGTCATCAAGAATTTTCATAGTTATACGGGATCGTCCACGTTCGTCCACATGCGGCTGATCTTCGAAACGGTTGTCTTCGATCTTTACTATCTTTGGCAAGCCGTTCTGGCCAGCCAAATTAACCAGACAAGCCTCATTACGAATGACATTGCAATCAGCGGGTCGTGTGAGAGGTGCCGCCCTGCCTTCGGCCTTTGAAGATGTCGAAGATTTGGTATCTGGAGTTTCAGCCACTGGCCCTGCCAAGAAGAGTAGACATCACATACTTACCTTCGGTGTCCGCGGTCCTTGTTGACCAGACCAGGAATGGCAAAGTTATCTCGATGCACCTTCCTAGTCTGCGGCGAAGGCTGATGGGCGGTTGGCCCCATTGGTCCCAATTTATTTACCGGGAAACTGGAACTGGTGGCTTTCGGCTCATGTGCCCGACGGACGCGATGCGCATGGTTTTTATGGACCCCTGCCAGAGCGTTTCGCCTCGGCCCAGTACGTAGTTGTCGTCTGGGGAGGATCCGCTTACTTTGAGTGTCCTGCGTCGAGATTAGCCCCCAAACATGGCAAATCTTGCTCTTTTTGAGAACAAGGACACAGCTTACCAAGCCTGGTGCTCCTACTAGGCAGGATTGACACCATATTGTTGAGCTCAAGGCTCGCGGTTGTCGAAATTTAGAATGCGAGGACCGCACTCCAATGCGCCTAACCCTAATCAGAGTTCTCTTCTCGAATGACCCAAAGGAGAGGACATTGAAACGAAGAATAAAACTTTGTTTTTGAAGAACCTGCCCAGAAGCGCAGTATAGTTGAAGATCTCCATCTTGCCCGGCTACCGCAGCATCATCCACCGAAGCGATTTGTTCTATTTTTTCTGGCTGTTTTTGCCGAATCGCGTTTTTATTTTTATCCCGCTTTCTGTTCTTTACTGAGCCCTTCCATTCCTGCCCACGGAAGCGAAGCTGTGTGCTGCCTAGGTGCTATTCGGATCCACACGCCCATGGCTCTTGTGACACTTTCTATATTCGATCATTAATTCTGACCAGCGGGATGAATAACTGGAGTCCTTGAGGTATATAAGCTTGTGGACCCCTCGACAATTCTTAGCTACTCACCTGTAATCACCAAGAAGGACCTTCGAGACAAGCAAGCTCATCTCTATCTTACACCCTTGGGTTTGATATACACCCTTCGACACAACTTGCTCTGACTGCCCGACCACCGAGAACGGACGAGAATCTTCACATCCAAACCAGGACAATAGCACCAAAGAACCAAAGGCATTGGGCAGATACCATGTCGTCAAGTGGAGAACAAACATCGCAGTAGGTCTTCAGTCTCTACAACAGGGGAAAACTCGCTAATACTACCACTCCAGAGAAGCCAACGGAACAGATAACAGTCTCACCGAGGAGAATGTGAGCAATGTGCCTCAAGAAGCCAACAGCAGCATCGACAGATTCGCTCAATCGACTCAGTCAGAAGACCCTTATTTTGCTCACGCTGGGATGGGGGACCGTTCAGAGCACAATCGCGAGCTGGCTCGCCAATTGGAAGAAGCAAACGAGGGTTTGAACAAATGAGAATGGAACACCAATTCGATATTGCAAATTTCAAGGGCAGCACCGACACAGACTACCAGCAAGGATGTGGATAGTCTGGCGTGCTTTCTATATACAAGGTCTATTGTAAGAAGCATTGACATTAGCGATTAGGGGGATCGGTTGGAAACTCTCGCCGGTGGATGTCTAATAATGGGGCGTCCAGGGTTCCAAAGAGAGAAGAGGGACAGTTGTTGATGTATAATCGCCGGGCTCAGCGAATCAAAGCAGAGCATCGGAGATGATCTGTGCGACTTCGTCATATTTGGTGCTTGGAAACTCGTGGCCGGCAGGGAATGATTTGAAGACCACATCATTTCCAAGGGTTGCATTGGCATCTTCTGTTAGTTCGTTCTGAAGGATAATAGGATCATTCTCGCCGCACATAATCACAACTTTGTCGGCGGGGAGGCCATTTGATTTCTGCTCGTCGGCGGGGAGCCCTTTTTGTTTGGATAGATACTTTCCAAGGCGCTCCCATGTTTCCCGTTGCCGCTGGTACAAGATGGGCCCATTTCGCATGCTAGATACGAAGGAATGCACAAAACCACTGTGGTTATTCACTTGCCAGTAGACACTATCCGGAACCGAAACGTTAGGGTATGACCGCGATAGGACTTGCGTCTCGGTTCCTTGCGAAGAGAGTTCCTCGGTGAGAGCGTCACTGGCGCGGAATGTCTTCTGCGCGGGCTTTGGGGTTGAAAGCGGCCCAGCCCGCAGGCGCATACTGGAGAGGGTTCTGATGAGTCCGTCCGGGAGCCCTCCAGAGTACAGAAACCGAGTGCGGAAGTTGATATGCGAGTCACGGATCAATCCTGCTGGAGCAAGAAGCACCAGAGCTGACAAGAGCTGGGGGAAAAACGAGGCAAATGATGTTGCAATGCCGCCGCCTAGGGAGTAGCCGACTAGACAAAATTTACCGGAGCCGGTCCCTGTCCATGGGACTGAAGATGAACCCAGAGCGAGGAAAATCTGAGTTGCGAACAGACGCTCATCCTGGGGCAGGTCAGAGGGACAGTCGGAATAGCCTCTACCGAATCTAATTCCAATTATCAGCAAACAACGGTTCCTATCTCGTACGAGCTTGTGAGACCTACAGATCGAATAACATCACTCGGCAACCTCGGTCTACTAAGGCGTGCCCGAGTCCACCGAGGGCAATACAGGGGGTGGTGATTCCGTGGACGAGAAGTACTTTTGGGCCATCTTCGGGACCCCATTCATAGACACGGATCGAGCCGTATGGTGTCTGCACATCTCGAGCCCCCGGGAGTGCATCGGGTGGCAGTGGGTGATCACGGTTATCCGAGACCGTAGATTGTGTGACAGCTAGGGGAGAATGTATAATTTTATTCTCCACCTGTCGGTCCGGATAAAGGGCACGTAGGCAAAGAGCTACACTTAGGGACACCCCTGCGGCAGCGAGCAGGGTATAATGCGAGCGAGGATCCGCCAGAGAAGCCGAGAGGTTCTCGAAAGGCTGGCTGTACCATTGAGCCATGGCTGCGATCGGACTAAGTAAAGCTGTCACGGCCCAGGCCCAGGATTTCTAATTTTTTAAGGGGTTCTAAAGATGAAAGAACCCAAAAGAGAAAAAGCGATGATGCGATGGAAGTGTCGGAGCTTGTCGGCCCAAAGGTTGAAGATGAGGCGTTCCTGAGTTGGATCCTTGGGGATAAGGCAGCCGGCCGAGGTCCGGGTCTACGCTAGCTATTTGTGGCTAGTACGATCCAGCGCTGCACGTTACTCGACTGTCACGGGTACAGCATCATGTGACTGTTATACAGCCTCACCGTGAAAGTCAACATTCGTTTGCCAGTGCAGGCATTGCAGTGCAGATGACATATGGAGTGTCATGCGGCATCCCTCGTCAACCTTGTAGACGAGCCGGACACGCCGGGAATCCCAGGCGCCGTGACAAAAAGGCAGCGCTGCGTCCTGCGGCTTCCATCCAGTCACTGTGGATCTCCCATGCTCTGCTTGACATTCTCTTGCTCGATGCAAAGCGGAGGAATCCTCCGTGGTGGAGTTTGAGAAGTGTTTTGACTTGAATCCGGATAAATCAAGCAGAATGCCGGATACGAATCTCCGCGTCTCTTTTGTGGATGGACTGAGAATGTTTCCTGGCTCGACGGCATCCGAGTGCAGAGAGGCAATGATCGGCAAGGTACGCTCTCGACGACAAACCGGCATCCTTCACGGCACACCCCTGTCAGCTGTGATGATGGTATGATGCCCACTCTATCTCCGCGTCCCTGATAATGACGGCTGTTTTTGGATTCACAGTATACTGATGGTCCCGAATCAGCTACAACTTCGATGCTTTTTGGGATAGGCTCAGATCTGTTCTCCAAGATGGCCGTGCTGAATGCTTGTGAATTTTGACTATGTGGAGCGCTCTTGGCTGTCAAAAGTCGAGTCAGGCGATAAGCGAAACACTGGCGTTGTCCGAACTCTCGTGCAGAGCCTGGGGCTTGCCTGCAATTGACGGGATTCCTGCGCCTCCCCCGCACCCCGGAGATCGCGAGGGTGAAGAACAGCCTAAGGGATATTAATTAATCTCCACCAAAACTCTGGATGCTTCAGGATACTGCGGATGCCCAATCGACGTCACGTCCTGTTTTTCGCCACGCCTTTTTGGTATTGACTTTGATAGGCCTCCTTCGTCTTTGACATCGATACTCAAACGGTTGAAGGTCCCAACCCCCACTTCCTGACTATCCCCCTCCGGAGAAATTTTGGCGCTATCTATGGAGAATGCTATTGCTGTATGAAACGGGCTAGGGCTGACAGGGTATTCACCCTATTTCCCTCCAATCTGGCAATCATCTGATAGCGACGGTCTGGACTAGTGCGTTCATCTAGGGCCAGGTACCGAGTTGTTCCTGAATAGCTATATGGGCGGTTTACTATGCCTACGAGCTGCCTTCAAGGGTTCCTTCCTGAACTGTCTTTCGAAGCTAGGAGCTCAGGAGCCGAACTAATGAGTATGTGCCGTCGTTCGTCATGATCCCTCGTCAGTTCTACCGGCCACCATCGGACACAACTGCAGGAGAGGCGCACAACTTTTCCACCCTTGCAAGAGCCCACGCCTCAAACGAGATCGACAAAATGCTTCCCCGATATTGCGCTGTATCAGACGCATTTTATCCGGAGATTCCTCCGTGGTCTTGCATTTGATTTGACTATCAAACCAATTAGTATCTCTACTGCTTATTGGCAAGAACTCCACAACCTTCAATAGATGGGTCCGATCTCCTGGCGTAGCCGAAGGGACGCACGCATCCGGATTTGCGACATGGAGATTGCCCCGGTGCCTTGAATCCGCCATGGTTTGCCATTTTTCTGAAACGGTGGACAGCACGGCACCGCGGTCCGGCGCACCGTTTTGAGTTACGGAGGGTGCCTGGATCCTCTCGAAATGGGAATCGAAATGATTCAGGTTGAAAGATTGATCTCCAGATCAGGGTATAAAGGCTGGAGCTCTGCCCGCTCCCTGAATCCGATTATCAACTCTGCCGGACAGAACAAAGACACAAAAAAGAAAGCATCGTATCTTTTCAGACAAGATGTATCAGCGCGCTCTTCTCTTCTCTGCTGCCCTTTTGTCCGTTTCCCGGGCCCAGCAGGCAGGCACCCTGCAGGAGGAAGTTCACCCACCCTTGACATGGCAAAGATGTGAAGCCAGCGGAACGTGTACTGAGGTCTCGGGTTCCGTTGTGCTCGACTCCAACTGGCGTTGGACTCACGGAGTTGACGACTCCACCAACTGCTACACTGGCAATGAGGCAAGTGACTTGTATTAACTTCGATGCTTCTTAACTAATTATGTCAAACAGTGGGACGCGACGCTTTGCCCCGACAATGAGTCGTGCGCTACGGCCTGCGCGGTTGATGGTGCTGACTACGAGGCTACCTACGGTATCACGTCCACTGGTGACGCATTGACCCTGAAATTCGTCACTGGTGAGAACGTTGGCTCTCGTGTGTACCTTATGGAGGACGATGAGACATACCAGACCTTCGACCTCCTCAACAATGAGTTCACCTTTGACGTTGACGTCTCCAACCTCCCGTGCGGTCTGAACGGTGCTCTGTACTTCACATCGATGGACGCCGATGGTGGCTTGGCCAAGTATGAAAACAACAAGGCTGGTGCCAAGTATGGAACTGGTTACTGCGACTCGCAATGCCCGCGTGACATCAAGTTCATCAACGGTTTGGTAAGATAAGAATTCTGGATGCTCCAACATTTTTCGAAACCTCGCTAACGCTGGTGCAGGCCAACGTTGAAGGATGGGAACCATCTGACAGTGACGCCAACGCAGGTGTTGGTGGAATGGGTTCTTGCTGTCCTGAGATGGACATCTGGGAAGCTAACAGCATCTCTACTGCCTACACCCCTCACCCTTGTGATGATATTGAGCAGACCATGTGCGAGGGCGATGCCTGTGGAGGAACCTACTCCTCTGAGCGCTATGCTGGTACTTGCGACCCTGATGGATGTGATTTCAACTCCTACCGCATGGGCAACGAGAGCTTCTATGGCCCTGGCGGCCTTGTGGACACCGCCAGTAAGATAACTGTTGTGACCCAATTCATTGCTGACGGTGGCTCCCTTTCCGAGATCAAGCGCTTCTACGTCCAGGATGGAAACGTTATTGCCAACTCTGCCTCCAACGTTGATGGCGTCGAAGGCAACTCGATCACCACCGAGTTCTGCACTGCCCAGAAGACCGCCTTTGGTGATGAGGACATCTTCGCTGAGCACGGTGGTCTCACCGGCATGGGTGATGCCTCCTCGGCCATGGTTCTCATTCTTTCTATTTGGGATGACCACTACGCCAGCATGATGTGGCTCGACAGCTCTTACCCCGAGGATGCCGATCCCAGCACCCCTGGTGTTGCCCGCGGTACCTGCGAAAACGGAGCCGGCGACCCCACCAACGTTGAGTCTGAGCACGGCGACGCTTCCGTCACCTTCTCTAACATCAAGTTCGGACCTATTGGCTCGACCTTTGACTCCGCCGGCACTGGCTCCGGCTCCAACTCTACTGCTCGCCGCTTCTAAGCGGGTATAGTAGATGGTTGTCTCAACATACCCTGTGCGCCGCAAGATGCTTCTGATTGTTGATTCGAGCTCCCGAGTCCCAAAATTTGTATATACTGGACATAGACCCTACCCAGCTAGCTTGGCTATTTTCTTTCTTGTCTCTGTATGATTTCGACACCTGCTGATCTACTCTTCTGAGCGTCGGCAGGCTGTTCTATCCTTTTCTGAATCTTTTTTGTTGTTTTATGTACCGAATAAGATTAGTCAAATGACTTCCCTTCCTAAGAATATAAGAATTAGTGTTTCCCCCCACTTCTTTTCCCTCTTGAAATATGTTGGCCATAAAAACTCACCAAAATCCTCATTGTGCTTCAATATAGATCGCAAAACCAATCCTTATCAGATAAGCGGAATATCACTCGGTCCGCACCCACACAACCAAACAAATCAAACACCACGCAAAGCTCCCCAAAGCAAGGCTGGAAAAAAAACCGACGATCGCCAGAAAAAAGCGCCAGAACAAACAAATTGCACGCAATTGTGTCCTATCCCCATGTTCGACACAGTCTGCACCCTCCCGCTAAGCGGAGACCTCTTCGCACAGGCAATCCATCCCTCCGAGCCCGTGATCTCCGTCGGCTTGTCCACCGGCCACGTCCAGACATTCCGCCTTCCGGTTGAAGAAGAAGAAGAGAATAGCGATGATGAGGGGGACCAGGGGTCAGTTTCTAGCTCGCGCAATGGCACGGGACACATTGATACAGTGTGGCGCACGAGGCGGCATAAGGGGAGTTGTCGCACGTTAGCGTTTGGGGTTGATGGGGAGACGCTGTATTCTGCGGGAACGGATGGGCTGCTTAAAGCTGCGAAGACCGAGACTGGGGTTGTGGAGAATAAGCTTGCTATTCCGACGGCGAAGGATGGGTGAGTTTTCTTTTCTTTGGGCCCTCAATGGCTGATTTACAGTTTGAGATGCTAATTGGGTTCAATGGATAGGTCCATTGATGCGCCGACTGTTGTTCATGCGCTTTCTCCTCAGACTTTGCTTCTTGCTACGGATTCGAGCAAGCTGCACTTATATGACCTGCGAGTCCCATATTCGAAAGTCTCGGCTAAACCTCAGCAAACGCACCGTCCCCACGATGACTATGTTTCGTCTCTGACACCGCTTCCTGCATCGGATACCAGTACTTCGGGATTCAGCAAGCAGTGGGTGACGACGGGTGGAACAACGCTGGCTGTTACAGATCTACGACGGGGCGTGCTCGTGCGCAGTGAAGACCAGGAAGAAGAGCTCATCAGTTCTACGTACATCGGCGGCCTGTCAGCGGGTGGGACAAGCCGTGGTGAAAAGGTTATTGTTGGTGGCTCCAGTGGCATCTTGACGCTCTGGGAGAAAGGTGTCTGGGATGACCAGGATGAGCGAATTTATGTTGAGAAAGGTGCGGGCGCGGCCGGTGGAGAGTCCCTTGAGGCACTTAGTGTTGTTCCTGATGAGCTCGGCAAGGGCAAGATGATCGCCGCTGGTCTCGGAAGTGGAAAGGTGAAGTTTGTGAGAATGGGTATGAACAAGGTGGTTTCAGAGCTTACGCACGATGAGACAGAAGGCGTGGTTGGACTTGGATTCGATGTTGAGGGTCGCATGGTTAGTGGAGGTGGGCAAATTGTCAAGGTCTGGCACGACACGGCAGACTCCAACGGTGACTTGGCCGGTGGGAAGCGCATGTTTGGGGGGGATAGCGACGACAGTGATGACTCGGATGACAGTGACCGCGAGACTCAGAAGAAGGATAAATCGCGGAATAAGCGCAAGAAGCAAGAGGGCAAGGGCCGTGGTAAGGGTCGGGAGGTGATGGCGTTTGCCGATATGGATTAAGGGACCATTGATTATTGAGCGATACCATACCCATGTACAATACCCAGTACTTTACTCTACATGTAGAGCACCTAAAAACAATTACTCAGCCGCCACCGTTTAATTCCGCACCCAGGCACTCGGCACATCTCTAATATCGGATCGGGTGGGGGATTTCCGACGCGCAGTTTGCTGAACAAGTAGTACAGTATACCAACCAGCCCAGGCAGCGTAACATCGCCAGGCAAAAACAATTCCAATTGCAGTCGCCTCAGCTTCTGTAATTCCATGACCGGTATACAGTACCTGGTACACTCCCATGACCCAGCCTCAGAAACGGATAACTCTTATCCGACAGAGCTGCCCCGCGACTCCCCGAGACCCACGCAGCAAAGGATTTGCCGAAGCCTCGAGTTTAGCTTCGTGACGTCCCAAGCGTTGCTGGTGGGGTGTGGGGAGAAATGGCCGATTATTCATGATGATCAAGCTTCCTATATCAACCAGCGGGTTTCCCCCAATTTCCGTCCTGTTCCTGCTCTCCCAATTCCCAATACACACTCAGTAAAACACAATGGACGCATTCGAATACAACGCAAACCCTGGCCGTGTCATCTTCGGCAGTGGCACTCTACAGAAGCTCCCCGATGAGATCGCCCGTCTGGAAAAGAAGGCTCCTCTGGTGCTCTCCACTCCGCAGCAGGTCAGCCATGCCGAGCGCATCAAGGAGGTCCTGAAGGGCCAGGTCGCTGGTGTCTTCACGGAAGCGACCATGCACACACCAACCAACATTACGGACAAGGCTGTGGAGTATGCAAAGGCGCAGAATGCTGATGTGGTTGTTTCTATCGGTGGTGGGAGCACCATCGGCCTGGGCAAGGCGATCAGTATCCGCACTGGCATCTACCACATCTGTGTGCCGACTACATATGCTGGAAGTGAAATGACTCCGATTCTTGGTGAAACGGCCGATGGTTTGAAGAAGACTCGCTCCGATCCCAAGATCCTCCCTGGGACCGTTATCTACGATGTTGACCTTACCATGACACTACCGACTGGGATGAGCGCGACAAGTGGTGTCAATGCAATTGCTCATGCCGGTTAGCTTTCCTGGATCCCCTACCAATATTTCCACAAAGATGCTAATATCATGGATCTAGTTGAGGCTTTATATGCCCGCAACACCAACCCCGTCATCAACCTGATGGCTCTAGAGGGCACCCGCGCGCTGGCCTCTGCTCTGCCAGAGATCGTCGAGAACCCATCGTCACAATCAGCCCGTTCGCTAGCTCTCTACGGCGCATGGCTCTGTGGAACCTGCCTGGGAAGCGTGGGCATGTCAATCCACCATAAGCTCTGTCACACCCTCGGCGGCAGCTTCAACCTCCCCCATGCGGAGACCCACACAGCTGTCTTGCCGCACGCGATTTCATACAACGCGCCTAACATTCCTGAGGCGATGAAGAAGCTGGCCGAAGTGCTGCCCGAGAGCAACGGCGATGCGATCCACGGGCTTAACGTCCTGCTCACGAAGCTAAAGGTTAAGCGCGGCGTCAAGGACTTCGGTATGAAGGAGGAAGATATTGACAAGGCGGCTGATATTGCTGTCGGCAACCCGTATTGGAATCCTAGGGAGATTCAGCGTGCTCCGATCCGGGAGTTGATTCGGAGAGTGTGGGCTGGGGAGCCGGCGAAGGCTGATCTGTAATGCGGTGGCATTTTGTATATAAGCTGATACGAACATCCAAAATATTGACCATTTACGTATATTAAATCCATTCGACAGGCGTTAATACATGTTGACGCTTCGAATTAGCCCCTCAGTAATTGGCCTACAGATGCGATGGCGGGGTGAAGGTGGGGAGATCGGAGTCTGGCAGCAAAAAAAAAAAATTCATCCCACATTAGAACAACCCCTCCTAACGCCCAACACGATACAATTACACCCCATTTCGTGGTTTTAGAACAAAATGACTTCGGAATTGGAGGCTGCGCCCGTCCTATCTACCCCCGATGATCGAATCCTCGAAGCAACGGACTCCGTCGTGCCCGAGGCAAGCCGCTCCCTGTCGGAGGAGGAACTCGCCATCACTTATGACATCGAGCGCACGTTGAAGGAAATACGCCAGGCGCGGTATAAGCGGATTGCACTCCAGTTTCCGGATGATATGCTTCCTGATGCACCACGGGTATTTCAGTTGTTGAGTCGGGGATTGGAGACTCGGGATATTGTGGATGGCAAGAAAGACGAGGCGGAGGGCGAGAGCTCTACAACAAATGGTCTGGCGGATTCCGTATCGCGACTTGATGTTCAGGATGCAGCTGAGCAGCCGCCAAAGCTCTACATCTTGGCTGATACATCTTATGGGACGTGTTGTGTGGATGAGGTTGCCGCGGAGCATGTCGATGCGGATGTTGTCGTGCATTACGGCCGGTCATGTCTATCGCCAACTGCTAGGCTTCCGGTGATTTATGTCTTCACCCACAAGGAATTGCATCTCGATCCGCTTGTAAAGGCGTTCAAGGCGACATACCCGGACCCCACCGCGAAGGTGATTCTCGCCGCAGATGTGACCTACTCAGACCATGTTCCAGAAGTATACTCCAGACTGGCCCAGGAGGGATACAGCAATCTGTTTGCTACTGCATTGCTCCATGATCCGTCGTCTGTTATTCCTAATCGCACCGTTCCGGATTCGGTCAAGGAAGCCCCCGAGTCGCTGATAGATTGGCAACTCTTCCATATCTCCGAGCCACCAACTGCTCTGCTTATGACGCTGGCGTCTCGAGTGGCAGCCATCCACATCTATCCTACTGATTCCCCGGCAGGCAGCGACGTCAAGCCTCTACCGGCGTCGACTTCCGCAATCCTCCGCCGTCGCTACGCGATCTTAACCCGGCTGAGTACGGTGCCTATTTTCGGCATCCTGGTCAACACGCTCAGTGTAAAGAACTACCTTCATATCGTGGATCACGTAAAGCAGAAGATCGCTGCAGCAGGCAAAAAGAGTTATATGTTCGTTGTGGGCAAGTTGAACGCAGCCAAAGTAGCTAACTTCAGCGAAATTGGCGGCTGGGTCGTCATTGGGTGTTGGGAGAGCTCCCTGGTTGATAGTAAGGACTTCTGGAAGCCGGTCATTACGCCTTTCGAGTTGGAGGTTGCTCTCAAAGGAGACGATGAGCGGGTCTGGACAGGAGCCTGGCAGAGTGATTTCCAGAGCATCCTTGACCAGCCACCTGCAGGCTTGTCTAATAGTGGAGAGGAGGCAAAGGACTCAACCGCAACCGCGACCGGTAACGATAACCAGAACGACGAGGACCAAGACCAAAACCGAGATCAAGATGAGGACGATATGTCCGAACCCGAGTCTGCACCACCAGAGTTTGACCTCCGTACCGGTCGGTATGTATCCCACACGCGTCCGATGCAGGAATCTGCACCCAGCGTATCTGCGCAGGGAGGATCCAAAGCTGCAAATGCAGCAATCTCTGCGGCAAATGGCCCGTCCGCAGCGCGAGCGCTCGCAAGACGGGCTAAGGGTGATTTGGCCATGATCGGCGGGTCTTTCTCGCCAGGGGCGGAATTCTTGCGGTCACAAAGGACATGGACCGGTCTGGGAAGCGATTTCAATAGCGCAGCGAACAGTGTTCAATATGACGGCGAGGGGGAGGACGACAGCACACTGGTTGTGGAAGGGCGCAAGGGCATTGCAAGGGGATATACAGTAGGAGAATCCGTAGACAGGCATTGAACTATTCGGTCCCCTTTGAGATCTACAGGAACCGTTGGGCTGGAAATAATTTGACTCTTTGGGGCTTGGTCCCGATTCACCTCAGATCTGGATGCCTTGGGGAGGGATCCGAGGCGGAATGCCTGATTTTTTGCGTAATGAAGCGCACTCATTCCCAGCAATGAACTCAGTTTGAGACACAAGACAAGCGAATTCCTAAACTATAAACAAACACCAATTCTTCACTCCAAGACTGAGAAACTGGCGAACCAGCGGGAGCCGACCTGGTGAAAAGAAGCCTAAAGTGAGTCGGGGCGACCTATCACATGATGGGCACAGGGCAACGTCCGGGATTTTGCTAGGTCCTCATTCACTGCTTTTCTGAGTTGTCCAACGAACCCCCTCAGCGGTTGCATCACTCACAGGCTAGAGTTGGCTTTTTCATCGTGCCACTCCCTTTGATGGCTTCCCCCTCTCAGGCTCATCCTGGCTGAACCTCTCTTCCTCTCCCTCTCTTGGCTGTACCCTTATGATGCGCCGTGCCGCCCGCAGCCTCCGCTGTGTTCGCGATTTCGCGTCAGCCTAAGCTTTTGCTTGAGACGGAAGGAGAGAGAAAGGAAAAAAATACGACAAAAAGTAAAAAAAGAATAGAAAGAAGCATACGAGAAGTGCTGCCATGCCCCTCATGCAGGACTCGTTACCGCCTGGTGCGGAGAACCCGGAGATCGAGGAGACTGTGGAGGATGCTGGGGAAGACGACCACAGCCTGTGGGATATGGTAGATACTGCCTTAGAGCAGTCATCGCTTGCTTCATCGCAACGTCCTTTATCTACTTTCGAGCGAGTCATCACAACGCATACACCGATCCTTGAATCCCTGCTACTCCAGATGCCGACCGCGACCATCCTCAGACTCTCCCATGCCTCCCGATACCTACGATCTTTTCTCCGCTCTTATCCAACAGCATGGAAATACCTATCGTTTCGCTTGCTCTATCCTTCCGGTACACCGTCGCCGCTACGTATTGTGATGCCTGGCTCGTCGGATCCCAGAATACCGCGACAGTCTCGCCCGTATGCTCTCGACCAGCTGTTGATGAACGTGGTGGTGCCGTTTAGCCCGTGTTTGAAGAGCCTGGAGCTGGATAACACGGCGGTCTCTGGGCAGATCCTTATCTCTACTGTTTTACATTCGCGGCGGGAAACGCTGGAACACCTTTCTGTTCGTGGATGCAAGAATGTCTCGCTGAAATACCATATTATTCCGTACTTGATGATGTTCGGGCTGCAATACGATGTCAGCATGGAGGATAACATTGGCAGTTCGCCGGCTACGAAGCACCTTGCTCTGAAAAGTCTCTACACTTATCGATGCCGCCATCATCGACGACGACCTTATCTCTCTTCGTCTCTCTCCCGAAAGGACTCGGACTCTGAACCTACTCACGAGCTGGTAAATCTCTGCCATAAACTTGGGATCTGGACGGACACGGCTTGGTGCTCTACCCCGGCTGGTAGATGTTTCAGGAGGAGAGGCTACGTCTCTATGCGGGCTCCACAAGGCTCACCTGAAGTGTGGGTGGTATTTGATCGGCTCTGGCGGTCGAAGAATTGGATCGGCCCGGTTGATGCACCAGTTAATCGACCATTACAAAAGGATGGCAAATTGTGGGAGCACGATGAGACTGGATGCTTTGGTGAAGCCCTTGGTACCGGAGAGAAACGGGATGTGAGCGAAGGGAAGATGATGTCGACACACCTGCGCCGAAGCCATCGACGGTTTGTCGAGAACATTCGCTGTGACAATTGCTGCGAGGAGATCAATGAGCGGTGCGAGCAGTGTAGCATCTTGATGCATTGCGTTGGGTGTCGGAGGACGCTCTGTGCCAGCTGCGCATACGAACGGCCGTACCTTCATTCGCAACCACCTAAATCACCTACGACGGGGACATCGGATGGCCCTTTCTGGTGGGCTCCAGGCTCCACTACCTCGCCTTGTTTGATGTATGATCCTGTTGAGAATACGCAAAACGACACAACCGTACAGCCCAACGTCCCTGTGACTTATCCCGCATTGAAATTCCACTGGTGCTGCACTGAGCCAATATTTTCTGGAGGTGGCGGTATTAGCATCGGTACACCAAATCGAGATGTTGACCAAGTTCGCGCGGCTCCCTTACCCCGTGGCCAGGGCTGGGAAGACTTGGAATATTCAGCACAGGAATGGAGCAAGTCGTTTCCCAAATACGCCTATGGAGATCCTCGCAAACCGGACTATACACTTGAAGCTGGGCACATCGCTATGATGAAATGGCTGCTGGGCCCCCCCGATCGACCGACTTCGTCTTGCCCGAGAAACCTTTGCAAGGAATGTTATGATACCCCGCAGTGGAAGGTACATTGTAAGAGCTGCTCCAAGCCGTTATGCATCGAACATGATCTGCGTGGTCTCCGCTTAAGAATCTGTGGATATCGAGATCTCACCTTGGAAAAGCTGGCAATTCAAAATCGAACCGAACCAGCAGTAGCAACGAATTCCTCAGCAGCACCTCCAGTCGCCGAGTCATCTTCAACACCTTTTTCGAATCCTGCAGCCGCCGGCTTTGATCTTCCATATAGAACCCAGCGGCTGATCGATTCTCCCACGAGCAGTTTTACTGAAGACCAGCCCGACGTCAACCCTCAACCACTTGAAGGTTCCAGTGCCGGTCCATCTCAGTCTTCCCACCGCCGCTCGCGCAGCATGTCCGCTTCGAATTCCAACCGATCCAGATCATCATCCCCGTCTTTCTACTCAGACTCGCCCGTAGAACAACAGGCTGCAAAATGGCAAGGCTGCCAGTCCTTCTTCTGTCCACAGTTACGTCTCCTCGGTGACCAACGCCAGCGCTGTAGCAGTGTCCTCCGCGAATGCACCAGCTGCTCGGTTTATGTTTGCCAAGACTGCGTCACCGCGCATCCACCATGTAAATGCTCCTACTGCGAAACCAACTACATGTGTCCGAATTGTGCCGTACTCCGTGACCGAGATGGCACGTGTCGCCGTGCAGAAGAAGAAAAGGCCCTCCACGAGCAGAAACTTCAGCGCGACTTGCGAAAGTTGGAGCGGATCCTGGAGACAAAAGTCGCCAATGAGGTCGCAGAATATGCAGGCCAGTTCTTCGACTTTGTTGATCCTTCAAGCTCCATGGGCATTCTTAACCCGGATGTCGATGCTGATGACGGAGAGATCGAGGAGATTGAAGATGTTTCTGAAGCTCAATTGCCCCCGTCACAACAAAATGCCGACATGCAGGAGAGCTTGTCACTCCTGGTCATCCAGACTCTGCTAGACGTCGACGAGTAATGTTGCATGTATATCTCGCATCTGCTTCTTCATCAAGCGTAGTAGAATGGCCTGCTCTTCAAGATACCATGGCGTCGGTTGGCTGGCAAAGCTTCTGTCCTCTTTTACTCATCCTCGTCTTTTTTCAATGCACAGGGAGCACATCGGTGCGGAATGGGATACTTGGCTGGGAGTGATATGGTCTGATTTCATTTTTCGATCTTGATTGTGATTCTTCCTGTCGCGGCTTCGCGGAGCATCTAACGGCGCACTATTTCCTCATCCCCATTGTGATCTTTTACATTGTCTCGAGTAGCTCGTGAACTAGTTAGCTACCTCCTAGATACTGTTTGGGCCGTTCTAGCTCAGACATTATGATCTAGTCAATATATTTTACCATACTATTCATTTCAGCCTCTAGTTTTGATTTAAAGTCCTTAAACATCTAATAAAAAGGCGCAAATATAGCATGAAGCCACGAAAACAATGTACGCACTATGAGCTATGGAAGCACCCAGAACAACCAAGCTGGAGCTCGGCCGATCAACGAAGACCCGTTTATTGCCCCGCCTCTTCGCCGCAAGCTCAATCTTCCCCTCCAAAATATTGAACCGGCCTTCACCCAGTGTCTTCTTTCCAATCCTCCTCATCCTGCACCACTCGGAAAAAGGTCGATATCCAAAATGTCCGACCAAGAAAAAGAACCCACCCCCGCCGAGCTCGCCGCCCGCGAGGCCGAGGAGAAGCAACGCAAGGCCGCCGAAGAAGCTGAACAGGCCGCCCTCCCCTACAAATGGACACAGACGATTCGTGACGTGGACGTGACGATTCCGGTACCCGGAACACTCAAGGGACGCGATTTGGATGTTTCCCTTAAGCGGGACAGTATTCGGGTTGCTGTTAAAGGGCAGGAGGCTATTATTGAGGTCTGTTCATCACTTTGTCTACCTGCCGATACTGCCTCTGCCGTACCTACTTAGTTGCCTGGCGGCTATAGTGGTCGCTTTTGATATCTTACTATCGTCAGGATTGGAAGCTGTCAGAACTGGAAGCTAATGAGTGTGTTTTATATGAAAACAGGGCTCCTTCCCACACCCTATCAAGCTCGATGAATCATCCTGGACGCTGGAGACGACCAAGGCTGGAAAGGAAATCGCGATCCATATGGACAAGGTGAATCAGATGGAATGGTGGCCGCATGTTGTGACAACAGCGCCGAAGATCGACGTCAGCAAGATTACGCCGGAGAATTCGTCGCTGAGCGATTTGGATGGCGAGACGAGGGCTATGGTTGAGAAGATGATGTATGACCAGCGACAGAAGGAGCAGGGAGGTCCGACCAGCGACGAGCAGAGGAAGATGGATCTGCTGAAGAAGTTCCAGGCGGAGCATCCGGGTATGTATATGTGTATCCTTTGGCTTTGGCTGCTTTGCAGTTGAGATTTGGATTGAATGGCTACGATACTAACGAGTGTAATTCACAGAGATGGACTTTTCGAATGCGAAGATGGGCTAATTCAGTGGGCTAATGATAATGAAGTTGATGATATTTTTGCCTCTTGTGTTACTGTAGTGTAGATCGATCCCCGAGTTGGAGAAGGCTGAATGCGGGACCGCCGGGCACTTTTACGAGCCTCCTTCTCTCAGCTGCCTGCCCATGACAACTCAGCTCGTACTCTGACCCAGGGACTGACGTACGATGAGTCTCTTCTTCTTCATCCATTCCCCCGTCCGGTTGAAGCCTGGATAATCCAGCATGGAAGGCCAAAACACTCCATTCCGTGTCAAACTCCCATCTAGACCCGAGCAACGCGCCTACCATGCCCGTCGGGCTCATCGCAAGTCGCGCGAGGGCTGTGCAAAGTGCAAGCAGCGACGAGTCAAGGTGCGGTCATATCTAGACCCCAGGGCGTTTCTGCGATGTGACTGACAAGAGTAGTGCGATGAAACGCGACCCCGCTGCCAGAAATGCGAGCGACTCGGCCTCGACTGCACTTACGAAGCGATCCTCCCTGCAGGCTGCGGGAAAATAAAGAAGCGAGACAACAATGATGCTCTTATTGCACAATTCCTCGATCGAGTTCCCGTAATTTCACCTGACAGCACGGCGCAGTCTCTCGCCATCCGTGCAGTTGCGCTGCAGGTCGATAAAGTACTGGAGCTCAAGCAAGTCAAGTTCAAGGAGTGCTTGAGTAATTTGGATACGTTGCGCCATTTTCAGGATACGATTACGCCGACAATTATCAGTAATTCGGGGAGGGAGGTTATGCGAGGGAAGATGATTCGGTTGGCGTTGCAGGTATTTGGAACCACCCTACCTACATTGCAAAAAGAGCCTGGGCTAACATTTTTGGTACAAGTCGCCGTATCTGATGCATAGTATTATTGCTGTTGCAGTTGCGCACCTCCGCAATGTCCTCCCAAAGAGCAGTACAAGTCTAGATAAATACAGCGTGCTTGAAGCGCATCACTGGCAGCGCGCGATCAGACAGTACAGCACGGAGCTTCAAGGCCCCATCGGCCCTGAAAACATGGACGCGATGTTCTCCGCCTGTCTCCTAATGACTGTGAACTCCTTCACAATGGAGGAGTATAACCCGCGCAAATCGTTCGTGTTCTCGCCGAACCCTGCAGAATCACTGAACTGGCTATTTCTCCAGTCCGGCTTACGCCATTTACTTGGCCGTTCCAAGTCCTGGCTACGCAAAAGTATGTGGTTCGATATGTTCATGGAGTCCAGAGATGAGCTCTTTGAAGATACCCGCCCTGGAAGAGTGGGTCTACACCCCGAGCTTGCAGACCTATGTGGCATAACTGAATCCTCAACGGAAGAGAACAACCCATATCTTTGGCCGCTACGAATGTTATCGGCGATCATGAGGCTCGAGCCGTCGGCGAAGAATTTCCCACGGATAACGACATTCATGGGACGCCTTCTACCCCCTTACTATGAACGCTTGATCGCAAAAGACCCGCCTGCGTTGATAATTCTGAGCTGGTGGTTGGTGCTCATGCAGAAAGTCAACTTGTGGTGGGTGCAGAACCGCGCCAGGTCTGAATGTACTGCTATCTGCATGTATCTAGAAGACAGTTGCGATCCGCTCGTCTTGCAGCTCTTAGAGTTCCCTGCTGAAGCGTGTGGGTATCTCCTCCCGCATGTTCAGTTGGAACTCGTCTTCGGGAATCCACATCTTGATCCGACACCGGATCCTTTTGGTCCTTTACAGACCGTCTTCGACCCATCTCTTGAAAGGGAAGTAGTTGATATATCTGATGGCGTTCTGACCTAAAACTTTCGTCATCATGGTCAATTGAAGCTGCGTCTCTTCAACAATTATAGATGATAAATATTGGACTAATCTTGAATGTGATACCATGGTATTTCCGAGCAAGCATGTTCCAAGCCACCATTGCAGCAGTCTCCTAAGGCTTGACAACTGTTATAATGCCCATGCCGTCTGAAGCGCGAACTCACAACAGTGCTGTGGCAACCCAATAGCCACTTGGTCGAGCTAACGACAATGATACTAGTGAGAAGCCCTCGGCAGATTGGATCCCCGATAAGCTGTCACTTTCTCACACTATGACGCTGAGACCTGGCGAAGTTCATAAAGTCCGTCAGTATGCGACTCCGTTGGGAAGTCGCGCTGAAGGAAGTCACAGCCATGAGCCTCCAGCCTAGGCATCAAATATCTGAGACCTCGCCTTCAACATTTCAATACTAGGAAGAATCCTAACCTGATACAACGATATACTCCACATTATTATCTTATCATATTTCATTGCCGCTTATTCAGTCGTTATATATCCATATTGAAGTCTACCAAACGCTGTTCCAAACTATGACAAACCAAGAAGGCGCTACCAACGGCGACGCACCCACATCCAGTACGGCTGAACCTCCGAAAAATAGAGCTGCCAGCTTGATGTCGGAACTGCACGTAGCTATTATGAATTTCGATCGAGGGAGGATTCTAAGCCTTCTGATACATGAGAAATATCCCATTGATCGGACGATCTTCAAGGATGCAGCAGTGGTGTACTATAACAGGGCTGTATTCAATGCTCTCGCGTTCCACCTTTCCAAGCAACGACGGGACCTTTTGGAGCTCGCTCGAATACGCCTACCGGGAGAAGCGCTATCGCGATTAGGAATAATACCTCGGCAACGTATTTTAAATTCTCATGCAGCTTCGGTGGCAGCAGCTCTAGTCGCAGCCAAGGCATTCGATCACGAGACAGCCAGGCTATTTGTTCCCGATGTTATTTACCCAAGCAGCGGCACATCCCTCTACTTTTTGGTCGGCTGCAACAAGGATGCGGCGGATATACTGTACAATAGTGGCTTCATGAACGTCGACGAAGTGGACCCTCTAGAGTACTCGCCCCTTGCTGTATTAACCGTACCGAAATTGACCGGCTACGTTGGTCAGTATAAGGTCGACACTGCCGAGCGTGCTTTCGTCAACTATCTCGACATGTGTACGTGGTTCCAAAATAAGCGGGCCTCGTTGCATCGCGTGTTCGGATTGGCGCGAGGAACACCCCTGCACAATGTTGCTGGCGAGGTTGGAAAAGCCTTAGTGGCTTTACTTGAGGAGCAAGCCGAAATGAACCCGGGGGAAACCGATGAATCGCATGGGCATCGACTTAGCAGGAACTTCACAGTAATTTTCTGGTCGACTATATCAAACTCACCCATCATCGGAGCAATAATGAGCGATACAAGGCACCGAGACCGGTTTTCTTGCCCATGTTCTGCTAATGGCTCCCTTCCACTGAACGTCCTATTAAATGAGATGATTATCAACTACTTCCTCATCAATAACATCAAGACCCCAGCGATTATAGGCGCGTTGGTTGGAGCTTTTCTCCTCTCCCAGCAGCCGACAAAGTGTCCACCCGGTCTACTCGATCATGTCCCCTCAATAGTGTTCCGTGCCTGCTCGTTCGCAAGCCTCGGCCTTGCGCATTCATGCCGATCTGCAAGCACTAATCGGCTGGCAGTGATGTCCGCCGAGAGACGGATGAAGCACGAAAAATTAGACAATCTCGTTTCAGAATGCGAGGCGAGATTTCGACAGTCAGGCAAGCCACTAGCGATATTTCTCGCGGTGGATTGGGCAGTAGGTATGACGCATTACCGGTTGGAAGGCCAATCTCCAGTTATGTCTAAGAATTTGTCAACTCGATGATCGGCAGTTTATTCAAGCTAGATAGTTATAATAAGATAGCCAGCTTGCTTTTAGTAATCCACCCAGCGTTCATTCAAGCTAGTTAAATATCATAGGAGGCTTATGTATCTAACAGACATCCTCAACCTTCACTTCCTTCCCATCATGCTCGCCCAGATCAATCTTAAGAGTCCGTCCAAATACCTCTAGAAGCATCTCAAAACACACCTTGCTAATAGCGGGGTCGTAACGCCCTTTGCTAAGCTCGTCGCGGATAAACGCATCTATATGCGGTTAGTTATATGTAGCTGTTGAAATGGCATAGAGGACGAAATGTGAATAAGTAAGATAGGTGAAGAGTGGGGAAAGAACATACGCTGAGCCCAGGCAACCTCGTAGAAACTAAACAAGACGCCCTTCTCATGGAGCGTAGAACGGATCAAGTCCCGTCCTGCTGGAGGAACATGCGTGTCGTTTTTGCCAAATATCTGGCGCAAATCAAAATCGCCAATTAGCCACTACCTAAACTAAATCAAACCGTTTGAACCGAACATAGTTTGTACATACCATGACAAGCTCTCCCTTAATATCCCCCGCCCTCTTCAACGAATCATCGTTCTTGCCCTTCCCCAGCGTATGGCTGTGGATATCCGTCGCGAAATAGCACACGGCTGCTTGGACTCTGCTGTCCAGCGCACAGCGGTACGCGAGATGTCCACCCAGACACATCCCCGTGGCCCCGATCCGGCCTGTGCATGTTGGGAGACTAAGCAGATACGAGACAGATAGGGTTGCGTCTTCGTCGTAGGCGGAGATTTTCTATCAGAGTCCGTACATTAGCATTAGCTCTATCACTTCCAACACTAATATTCCAGTGTCCGAGGGAAGAGCGGCTATACTTTTGAAATCTTCCACTCATTTCCCTTTTCTGTGTCCTCGGCGTTGTAGCTGAGTGCCTCGGGTCCCGTGAACTCGTGGTAGCTCGATGGTGCAACGACGATGTATCCTTGTCCAGCGATTTGGCGGGCGAAGCGGGCGACGGGGCCGGTTACTTTTTGCGCAAGGGACACCAATTAGCACTGTTTTCCTTTCTTTTCATTTGAGAAAGTGGATTCAATGCAATGTATGCATACCCTGGTAAATTTCACTGAACACGGCGACACCGGGGAAACGTGCATTGGGATACCCTGGGATGGTGGGGTGGAAAACATATATTCCTGTTGGTGGTCAGTTAGGGGTAATTTGCAGGACAGGGTATACCGACGCATTGAGCCATTGCCGTCTGCGGTTGTGGGCACATCGTGATGATATTCCTTAATCAACATTGTGACTGTTTTTATGCCAATTGATATTAGGCTGTTGAGCTTGTAGCTTGGAGCTTGAGCTTTCTACGCTGCAGTGCGGGGTGACTGATAAGATAATCACGTGATAGATATGGTATGGTATTTTTTATTATCGGGATGCTCTAGATCATGCCTGTCTTAAATATAGATTATCGTAATTAGAATTTTGGCGTCGTGGCCATCCGGAATTGACAAGCAAGCTTGTACCCTTCGTATCGGTAAAAAAAAAAAAAGAAAAGGGAAAAAAAGGGGCGAAAAGTGCACCAAGAGTGTGAGAAAACAGGTGCAGAAGTGAACAAAATAGATACAGTGAATGGTAAACCAGATCAAAGGTTCATCGAACCCAAAAGAGACCGCGAGCGAGAATGTCACGATACATTCTAGGAGTCAAGCAGTTGATTGACTGAGTTGAACGGACAGTCCATAATATAGTGGACTAGACTCAGAGTTGGAGGAACGCGTTTAGAACACGTACTATAGGGCGTTAGCGTACGCTTGCGCTTGCGTAAGTGGTAGTGCTTATACGTACAGGAATGAAGAGGTATGGAACCCGTTTCTCATACTCGGTCCAAGCCTCGCCGTACTTGTTGCGGCAGCGTTGGATGTCCCGAAGAGCACGATGCGAGATCATGCACGCAAAGAAGACGGGGTAGAACCAAGGGAATGGGCTGTTGAAACCGGTGATAATGCCCCAGTTAAGGGCAAAGTAGAGGTCGCATGTGTAGTGGATCTTGCGAGCCATGCCGTCTGTGAAAGTTAGTACAGTCCATGAGAGTCGTTGAAAAAGACACTTACACCAGCCGTCAACCAAGATCTTGGAGCCGTCCGCGGCAGTGATAGTCTTGGGGTCTTTGATGGTTTGCCAAGGGAGTTGAGGGAAGGCCTTGCGGAACACAGTGGTGCCGCGCTCCTGCTGGCGGTATCGGTTCTTCTGGCTGTTCGTGGTATCCCAGACCCAGTAAACGAACAGATAAGCCACATAGAGGAAGGCCAGGAAATAGCGGTTCCAGTGGTAGGTGGCGGGGTCGTGGTTGGCAAGGTAGATCGTGCAGTGGCAGTAACTCAAGGGGACACCAGCCAAGTTCCAGAAGATCAGCATGAAGCCCCATTTTTCATAGTACATATCCCTGAAAACGTTAGCCAGACGAACTGCTGGTTTCATGTGTGTGCGCAAACTTACCATGTGGACACAATGCATTCTTCGCCCTTGGAGCAGGCGTTGGCATAGAGAAAATGTGCCATCAACAAAAATCCAACTTCTCCAGACACATATCCATAGACTTCGTACTGTCTCGCGGCAGTGCCCATGGTGACAAGTAGAAGGATGTACCAAGGCAAGCGAACTTCGAAGAACATCTTGAAATCCAAAATACCGAACATCCGAGGGTTGAGCTCTGCTCCCATGAAAAAGTCATAGATAGGATAACCAGTCATGCGATGCTCCGCTCCACGAGCCAACGCCGAAAAGTAGGCGATAAAGGCGACGATGAATCCAGACAGGATAGCCACGCTCATCAGAGGACCAAACTCATCGATAATAGTGTACAACTTGAAAAGTCCGGTGAAGTGGAGCGTACAGGCGATCGCAATCGTAGTCCAGAACGACCAAAGTGCGGAGCAGTAGTACGGAAGCTGCTTGCCTCCAAGGTGAGGCAGAGGACGGCCCATGACAGTAATTCCAGGAATAAGCAGATAGCAAGCACCTTCGAAGATGAAGAAGACCCAGTAAATAGTCCACGCCTTGAGGGACGGGAATGCGCCTTCGTACACCAGATGTCCGAGGTGTGCGAAAAATTCCGACATGTTCTGGCCCTCTGAGGGACGAGGAAACTTGCCATCGTAGTAAGTCGCACCAATCCACATGTAATACATCAGGAGCGGGAATCCGATCATCATCGAGAGGACACCAGGGGAACCACCGAATTCGTAATGTCCGCTGTAGTCGACCTTGGGGTCCTTGCCTTCCACCCAGCCATCAACGATGCGTTCCTTCTGGACCTTGGAGTGCCCATTGGAGTGCCCATTAGAGTACCCATTGGAGTGCCCATTGGAGTGCCCATTGGCGCGTCCATTGCTCGATTTAGTGTTGTCTTCGTCCTCGGAGAGGTCTTCGCTTTTCACGCGGGTAGAACGTCGTCGAGTAGTCGATCTTGTGCGGCCCCTGGACTCGGTCGCTGAATCGGATGGTTCCTCGGACGGCGCAGCGCTGCTGCGGGTGACTCGACGGCCACCAGGCGTCTCGACGTAACCGGGACGGTCAACTTTCCTAAGCAGACGATAGATAAGCAATTGACCTCGAAGGACGGCTTCCAAGGGCCATCTGGTGCAGCGGAGGGAGTGGCTGTCGCAAGGAGAATTGTACCCCTGATAACAGAGTGGCAACTTACTTGGGGGATCTCCCCGTCTGCGAGCGAGTGATGGTCATGATCCTGTCGGCATGCGAGAATTGGCAATTGAGCCTTTCCAAAAAGAAGATTGAGAAGGAAGAACGACGAGTGCCGGGGCCAGGAGGGAGAAGGAGAAGACTGGGAGGGAATGTTTTGACTTTTGGCGGGAGGGCAACAAAAATAAAGCCGGGGAAACTTTTTAGCTCGGCGATCTTTAAGGGGCCAACAACCAACCAAGGAATGCTCCACATAGGGTGGCTTGCAGGCCTAAGCAGTTTGTTCTTGCCAGTCAGATTTTAGTGTATTTACTATTTACGGCTCTTCTAATTCAAGGCTATATAGTGTATGATTCGTGAAATGCAAACAATGGCCGTCGACTCCTGTCCAGTTTATTCCCAATCAAAATACCGCTTTCGAACAGACCTCGAGGAAGAGAAATACAGAAGAGATAGTACAAAGCAGTCAAGCGCCCCGTTGAATATTGGTGGACATGAGTGTAATCTTCTTGTTCTTCTTTCCCTTCTTCTTCGCCTGCGAGGATGAATTGTTCTCATCCACAGCTGTCTGAGCAATCAACTCGCTCTCCTGGTGAGCAAACAACTCGTCTTCCCACCCTTCTCGCCAGCCGTCTCGAGGGGTAGCCCTGAGGTGGTCAGGCTTTGTGGCAGGTCCTGCTACCGCAGCGGTTCCCCAGACAGTGCGGGCTCCCGGAGGACTGGTCGAAGGACTGGCCAACGCACTGAAATGAGACGGTGGTCGAGGAGGTGAGGCGGAAGACCCGAGCTCGATATTTCCAGCATCGGCTGCACCTGCTAATGGGATAAAATCACGGTCGGAGAATGGACGGTCGCTGGTGCTGATACTCGGTCTTTTCTGACGTGCTGCAGCCCAACGCTTCTCATCCTCGTCCTTTTCAGCTTTGATGCGACTCTTCTCCTCGCGGACTTCTTTCTCTTTATTCCGTTTCCGTCGCTTTCCTATTTCCGTGCTAAACTGTGCCAAAACCTCTGGCATGACAACGTCTCTCCAATCGCACTCGAGGAAATTCACCTCACAGCCCTGAGGGAGATGACCAAGGTACTTGACGCGCTTGCGCAGTTCGTCGTCCATAATATGGCCCGTAGTTATGTGCTCAACACGAGGCAGGATAGTTGCGGGGAACAAGGAGTAATCCCCAAAGGCGGTCTTGAGGATGCGGATATCAAGAGGGGAAAGGTAGTAATGTGGCAGAGCTTGGTAGAAGTAGTATGGCTGGTCGGCAGGATGAGGCGCGTTGGCATCCTTTTTGCGGTCCGACTGTGCATTATTTCGGCCACTCGCAGGATGTTTCTGTTTGGACTTTGTGCCATTCGTTGCGACCAAGTCTATATTACCAATTGCTTCCGTTGTTTGGTCAACCTCGTTATGCGTGGTCGGCTCCTCACTAGGTGAAGATTTGCCTGCCTTGGTGGCATGCTGCGATGCATACATGAGTGCAACTTCCTCCGGCGGCGCCTGATGGGTAATTGGGTCTCTCGGTGGTCGATGGACGGCTGGCTGGGGTGAAATTTCAGGAGGATTCCCAATACCTTCAAGCCTTTGCTTGGCTTCGTTTATGGCTGATACTGCCTTTTTCGTCCATGTGGTCTCGTCTCCAAACAAGACTTCGTCTTCTTGTTCCTGCCTGCGCAGATCCTCAATCTCGGTATCGTATTGGGCGACCATGTAGTCTTCTCCCCCTTTCATTATACGTGCATAATCGGCCACTTCCGCAGCATGGTACCAGGGGACATCCTCTTCAGGAGCAAGACTCTCAGCACCGTCTCTAGGCAGGGCGAGGGTACTTCGCGTGTCCCTTTTGACGAGCCTCAGCACAACATCGCCGCCCTCAAAAGGGAGAACCCCTTCTTGACCACTGAACCATCTCACTGGCCGTGTTTCGGAGATGTAAATGATATCCCAACAGATAGGACACTTTTTGCAGCGTGCCTTCTTTTCGGGAGCCGGATTCTCATTGTCTGTCGAGTGCATAAAACGAATTAGACAGGGCAGACAGAATATGTGTCCACACCGAGCCATCCGAGGTGCCACAGGTGTAGACAAGCAAATAGGGCAGCTGGATGCCTGAGTCTGTGCTGAAACGAGTATTTGGAGAATCGAGTCCCAGTCAAGGTGGACATCGGCATTAGCTGCTTGGGCGTGGTAGACGCGGTTCGGTGTTACGATGAAGCGATAATTGGCATGAACGTAGCGGGCCTTGTCCATCGCATGATAGCCTGATCCAAGACCCCATGAGTTGTAGCGGCGGGTGTTCCGTGGTGGAGGATGATGGTATTCGGGACGAGGGGGCAGAGAAAAGTTCATTAAGTGGGTGATGGACGTCTGTCCCTTTCGGCTGGTTGTCGATCTCATGATGGTCTACATACTCGATCAGCTAGGCCAATTGGGAAAATTGCCCAGGGGAGCACCCACCGACTCATCAATATCATCATCCAGTAACCGAGGACGCCTTTGCCGCTTGTGCTGGCTTTTCAGAGCCTGATTGTTTCGAGCAGAGCTTGAGCTCCTCGACGCTAACCCTGCGCCAAAGCTGCCTGATCCTCCCACGCGTCTGCTATCGATTGCAGGTGCGGAGTGGAATGTCGAAGATGACGACTTATTCGGGATGTTCACCGCCTTGGAAGAGGGAGGAGTCTGGCCAGAATTGGACGACATTGCTTGCCTGCCGGAAAGCAAACAATGTCTGTAGGTTTAGGGCACTGATGGGAGTTTCCAAAAGGTATTATTGGTATGAGGGGTTGAGTCACCAAGACTCGGACGGGGTCGTCTCCCGCAGGGGGTTACAATCCAAGAAGCAAAACGAGAATTCCTGGATCTCTTAGCAATGGAGCAAACGGATCAAAAGAAACCCCGAGGGGCAGCAGCAGGAGAGGAGAAGCACCAGAAACCTGATCCTCCTCCGGCTCAACGCAAAAAGAGGGAGAAAAGCGAGTGAGGGGCGAGCCGTGACGGTATGTCATCGCCGGTCTTGGCGCTGGGAGCCTCAGGCACGTGCCGCCCGCCGAAGCCCCGAAAAAAACATCATCTCAACCCAGTTGGGGAACTCGTCGTCTTTCTGCCGCTGCCCGTCCCCGGTCCTTCCTCCTCCCTCGCCCGCCCTCTTTGTCCCGGGCTGTTCTGTCTAATATCACTTGCAAAATTGCGAGCTACTTGAATTTGCGGTTTGTATATCTTCGCTTTTCTGGCTCTCTTTTCACGCCCCGGCTTCCTCCCTTCCGTGCGTTTGTCATTGGCGCACTAAGCTAACACACCACCTCGTGTCGTCCTCCAGAATTACCTCCGCCGACATTCCCCCGTACAACTGCAACGAACTCTCCATTTTCATCAATATAACTGCCTCGAGGGATAATGGCCGCCTTCTAGGCTCAGTGTCCCCTCTCGAACCTTCCTTCCAATCCTCATATGGCTCCCATTGAGGCAACGCGCGGCTGAAATTGTCAAGGCGGCCATTCTACGTGCCTGGACATGATGAACCATCATCTGCCCGCAATGCCCCATGGGCAGCCACCCATTCCTGCGCCTCGGCGCCAGCAGGACGTTCCTTACGCGAGCGGACCTCCCAATATGCGGTCGCCTCCCGCCTATATGGGTTATCCGCCTCAGATGAACGGCCATCATCCCCCTCCGGCCTACCCTCCGCACCAGTACCCGCAGTGGTATGCACCTTTTCCGCCGATGCAGATGCCTCCTCGTGCATACCCCAATCCCTATGCCCCGGCATTCATATCTTCCTATCCTCCACAGCAACCCCTAATGGCTCCGGCCCATATGCCACCACAATCGCTCCCTCTTCAACCGAGAGCTACAACTCCATTCCAGAACCCCATGTCGCCGTCTATGGGTCCTGTTCCTGGAGCACTCCCGCCTCAAGCCCAATCTCCTGTGGTTATGCCAGTTCATTCTACACCTAGTCCGGCTACCACGTCTTCTCCCGGTCCGGTCCCGGTCAATACTGTTCCGTCGCCAAAGGAACCATTCCGCGCTCCGGTAAGATATCTCCCGCTGTTTTATTAGTTCGCACTTGATAGCTAATATGAAAATATAGCTTCCGTGGCTTTCAAACCCGGATAGTCCTTTCCCGGCCAGGGCGCCCCGTAGACGGCGCAGGACCCGCAACCTGCAGGCTTCTTCTCTTTCAGTGGAGCTTCCTATGAAGGATGGACAAGGATCTCAAAGGAGTGGGGAGCCAAGACAGGCCAAGGCCCAGCAAGCCGACGTGCAGACGCCTTCTGAGCCTCAAACCCCAACTTTGTCGGCCGCCCCATCTATCGCGGATTCCACTCAGCCCACGACGCCGTCTTCAGCCGTGCAAAGCTCTTCCGCACGGCCCCAGAGCCAGTCCAAGACACCGAAAGCAGCCGCTCCCGTTGTTCCCGTTGTCCCGGCCATCCCAGCGCCCAACGCCTCGCGTCGTGCGACCAAGAGTGACGATGCTAGCCGCCCCTCCGAGATACCGAAATCGACTTCCGAGGATGCTGGTCCAGCCGCCGAAGGAGCAGCGGGCACCGCCGAACAGTCCAACGAACCTGCTGAGAATAAGCAAGAGGTTCCCGCGAAGCCCGCGGCGCCCAAGTCGTGGGCAGACCTGGTTCGGAACAAGAACCTTGCCCGCGCAGCGGCTGGCCAAAGTGCTCCGTCACCGGGAGTAATCAATGGTGCTGGAAAGCCCCGAAACCAAACCATCGCGGATGTTGTTGTGAACCTGGGAGATGATGTTTCTCAGTACAGTGACAAGGTGACTTTCCTTGAACCTAGAGGCCTCGTCAACACCGGCAACATGTGCTACATGAATTCGGTTCTTCAGATCCTGGTTTCGTGCGTGCCATTCTACCAGTTTCTCGACCACATTGGCAAGCGCGCGTCCCACAGTATTCACAGCGACTTCCCCATGGTCGATGCTCTGATTATGTTCATGAAAGAGTTCCGTGTCATTGATGCAGCCGACGACGAAGAGCAGCTGCGCATGAGACTAAAAGCGAACGAACTTGAGCAATACGGAGAGGCCTTTACCCCAGAATTCGTCTATGAGGTTATCCGTCAACTGCCGCGGTTCCGAGACATGCGCCGCGGACACCAGCAGGATGCTCAGGAATTCTTGGGTTTCCTCCTCGAAGAAATGCACGAGGAATGCGCTCGCGCGGCCAAGGATCAGGAATCATCTAAATCTCCTACAACCAGCGTTGCCCCGTCCACATCTTCTACTGACGGGGAGGGCGCGGACGGATGGTTGGAAGTTGGCCACAAGCAGAAAGCTGCAGTCACGCGCTCGTCCGGCCACATTGCGTCGGAATCTCCGATCACGAAGATCTTTGGCGGCAAAATCCGATCCGAGTTCCGCGTCCCTGGTAACAAGGCGTCGGTGACCCTTGAACCGTATCAGCCTCTTCAGCTTGACATTGGCGCACCCGATGTCCACAACATTGTGGATGCTCTGAAAGGGTTGACTAAGCCGGAAAGCATCCAGGGAGACTTTAACTCTTCGCGCGGCCCCAATGTCACTGCCACGAAGCAAGTCTTCATCGAGAACCTGCCCCCTGTTCTTATTCTTCACCTGAAGCGGTTCCAGTACGACAGTGTTACACACGGTACCCAGAAGATCTGGAAGAAGATCGGATACCCTCTTGATTTGGAGATCCCGCGAGAGGTGTTCCCTCCCCACAGACGCAATGTGATGATGGCCCAGGGCGGTCTCCCGAAGTACCGACTTGTTGGAGTCATTTACCACCATGGCAAGAATGCTAGCGGCGGTCACTATACCGTCGATGTGCGCCGCCAGGAGGGTCGTGAATGGATCCGTCTTGACGACACTGTCATCCGTCGGATTAGGAGCGAAGATGTGGCAGAAGCCGGTGGAGAAGAAGACCCGAAGGTGTTGGCCACTGCGCTGGAACAGCACAAGCGCGACAACTCGCCTGCCAACATTTACGACCACATCGATCAAGGGGAGCAGTCCGATGATGGCCGAGGTTGGAGTCAGGTTAATGGCACCGGCTCGGGCCACTCTAGCAAGAAGTCCACTTCAGCTGCTGTCAACGGAACCCCTAACCCGTCTGGAGCATCCTCTGGTGTGCGTACTCCGCTTGGACGATACGGAACCCGGGACAACAAGGTGGCGTACTTGTTGTTCTACGAGCGTATCCCATGATCGCGTTCTATCGCGAGAGCGACCCATTTCAACCCTGGGAGACGACGACGCTCTGAAGAATCGAGACAGACGCTACCTTCAACAATTTACCTATCTACCAGCCAATCCCCCATGGATCGTGCACGACTGTCTACTCGTTGATCGTGCACATGATCCCACATCCAACTCCCGACCCTGATCAACAAATATCTACACCCGAAGAGGCCATTCTCGTTGAGTTTGGAGGCGCGAACTTTGCGATTGGCATCTCTTTTATTATTTTTTGCGATGGTCATTTCGACTGTCTTACCCTTGTAGCTACATGCTGCTTCCCATCTACATCATATCCGCTCATCTATTTGCATGATATGGTGTCCTTCCCTTTTGACCTTGATCTTTGACTTGTGACTAGTACTATGCTGTATGTGGTGGATGTCGCTCTGATATATACCCCCAATTTCTCGCATAGCCCATTTGGTTCACCTCATTCACGGCAGCATGTGATCTGTACCGTGGCGTGAGGCGGGATTATAACGACTGCATGAATTTCCTTTCATAGACGTGTGCGTGTTATCAAGAGCGTGGCTGTTGTTCGAGAAGGATATCACTACTTGATTGGTGTTTGTTGGTGACGGTGGGATGTGGATGGTTTATGCTTATATTAATGGAGGCGGAGGCTGGAGTTGGATTTGGCAGGAGAGTGGAAAGTCCGTGGATGAGATACAAAAGCATGCTTCAATAAAATTCCCTTCAACGTCTCGCAGCAGTAGTAGTAGTAGTGTAGTAAGTTGTATTCAGCCGGCATCAATCTCAAAACAGCACATCCGTGCCTGAAGCGGTAAAAGTCCGGCCTGCAGCTTGTTTCATCTCCAGTTTAGCCGTATATCAGGCAATATAGCTGCCAATTTTGGTCCCCAACCACATATAAACAGCCACCCCGCTGGCTGTCTGAATATATCAGTGTTTCGGTAAACAAACCACAATGGGCTTCAAAATCTCTACTTTTGCCAGCGCGATGCTCGCATCGCTCCCAAGCATCGCAGCCCAGTGCTCCCTCCCCTCAAGCTACAGCTGGACCTCCTCCGAGGCTCTCGCCGAACCAAGCTCAGGATGGGCCTCGCTGAAGGACTTCACAACAGTAATCCACAACGACCAGCACCTCGTCTACGCCTCCTACTACGCCGAGGACACCGGCTACGGCTCTCTCAACTTCGACCTCTTCAGCAACTGGACCGACATGGCATCTGCCTCCCAAAACGCCATGAACACTGGCACCGTCGCGCCAACCATCTTCCGCTTCGCGCCCAAGGACGTCTGGATCCTCGCGTACCAATGGGGACCGACAGCGTTCTCGTACAAGACCTCGTCGGATCCCACCGACGCGAACGGCTGGTCTGATGCGCAGCCGCTGTATTCCGGGACCCTTGACGAGGATGAGTCGGATACGGGCGTCATCGACCAGACCGTCATCGGCGACGAGACGGACATGTATCTCTTCTTCGCGGGGGACAATGGCAAGATCTACCGCGCGAGTATGCCCATCGACGATTTCCCCGGCGACTTCGGCACACAGGCCGAGACGATTCTCTCGGATACGCGCGAGAACCTGTTCGAGGCTGTGCAGCTTTATACCATCACCGAGGGCAGTCTGTATCTCATGCTCGTCGAGGCGATTGGGTCTGAGGGGCGCTATTTCCGTGCCTTTACGGCGTCGAGTCTAGGAGGGGAGTGGACGGCGCTGGAGGGTGCTGATACGGAGAGTGCCCCCTTTGCGGGCAAGGCGAATAGTGGTGCGACTTGGACGAACGATATCAGCCATGGGGATCTGGTGCGGACGAACTCGGACCAGAGGAATTTGGTGGATGTGTGTAACTTGCAGCTGCTTTATCAGGGACGTGATCCGGCGAGTGATGGGGCTGAGTATAACCTGTTGCCGTATCGACCAGGGGTGCTGAGTCTTGCTTGATTGCCTGACCAGAGTCAAGGGATTGAATGACGTACACTTTAAAGCTCTTTGATGGCATTTAGCTCCAGTTATCGTGACTGTCGTCTAAACCAATCCACTCATAGACAATCAGAGAACAAGCTCGATCGACAGTATATCGTCTACAGCGACGTAATTGTATCATATGTAGTCTCTGCCCTATTGTACTAGATGACGCATGAAGAACAGGCAGGCATGTGGGATCTACAACAGATCATTAAACAACTCAATCACGAATAAGCAATGTCTGGTTCAATATCGCCACATCGCATTGAGTTCTGCCCTAGCCTCGGAGTCGGGTGAACCAGAATAATGTATATACAGTGTCCGCACACAGGGACCGAAAATTAGATTCACAAGCCAGTCAGCCCGAGCGGCGAACGCCATTATTTCTATGATCGCCGAGCACACCATCCCTCGCTCCCCGCGTGTGTGGTTCAAGGGATGGCATGTATAGCATCAAAGTGGGCCGCGATGGCGCGATGCGGCAGATCCAGACTGCCAGACAAGGGCCTCACCCTGGACTCACCACCACTTCACTGGCTGGATCCTGATTAGACTTGCGCCCGTGGGCCCTTTAGCGCGCTATGCTTTCTTTTCCTGCTCCCTTTTGGCCGCTTTGGCCAGGATCTCTCGGGCGAGAAATGGACAGGGCGAACTTGGCTGGGTTGGCGCCCTATTCGCCCGAGAAGACAGGCACAGAGTGACTAACCTGAACCCGGCTCAGATTCAAGCTATTGACAATCCGTGCTAGATGGCGCTGGGCAATCAGATGTGATGTGACTGGTTGCGCGTGGGCTTGGTCCAAGCTTGGTAGCGACTGTCTTGCGAGCAAATCTGGGGATTCCGTGTTTCCAGTCTCTTCCACCTTAAGAATTTAAGAAACAAGGTTATCCTCGAGCTTGAATGAAAGATAAGATATACTGCTGTATGAATATAATAGTCTGGTGAGTACTGGCTGATAGCGGACGATGACATCGCCGCATGATCGATGCCCTAAGCCCAAAAAACTCGCAGCAAGCACCTCATCGCAAGGATGAATCAAGTCATTGTGGATCGCAGCGTGCTCATTCGCCATATCCAATGTGATTGTGTCTGGGATTTTGATGCAGCAGCCCGTGGCTCCATCGCATTTAAGCATACTTCTGCCCCGTCTGGTCTGTCCGTTCGCTCGGTACCGTCTTGAACAGCTGTTCGTGTCTACTGTCTACGTGACTGTATATCTTGTTTGTTATACCTGGACGCATAATGGCCCTACTTTCTAGGGCAGATGTCGACACAGGGTCGGTCCAGCCGCCCTTGTCGCAGACGGTTGGATATATCGTCGTTGTGCTCATTGGAGTTATCATCGCTCTAGGTAGGCACTCTAACTGTCATGCTTTGGCTTTTCTAACTGAGCAGTGATGATGCTGGTTACCAAGGTCCTGAAGAAGACCACTGGAGAGGACAACAAGAAGACAGAGATGTTCGTTATCCAGCCATACTTGAAGAATGATATACTGACAAGTGCAGGTTCATGACGGCAAACCGGACAGTCCGAACAGGGCTTACTGTATCGGCCGTCATCTCGTCCTGGCTATGGTCGACTGCCCTGCTTGGCTCGTCCTTTACTGGGTATAACTACGGTGTCTCTGGTCCTTTTTGGTTTGCTGCTGGCTGCAGTCCGATGATTGTGTTCTTTGCCCTGCTCGGCATTTCGTGCAAACGCAAGATCCCTGAAGCGCATACTTCGCTTGAGGTTGTTCGGATTCGATATGGTATGTCTTTGGTATTTTATATACGTCAGCGACTGACTTTATAGGCCGCGTTGCACACGTTGTGTTCATGATTCTGTGTCTGGTCAACAACATCTTCGCGAGCGCCAACATGCTTCTCGGTGCTTCTGCTGTGATTTCTGCAATGTACGTCTTTAGCTACAGTATAAGGAGTATACTGACATATCAAGGTCCGGAATGCATATCATTGCCTCGACATTCCTGCTGCCCGTCGGCGTCACGGTGTATACCTTTGTCGGAGGTATTAAGGCAACGTTTCTGACGGACTATTTCCACACGACCATCATCCTGATTATTGCCTGCTATTTCTCGGTCAAGGCCTTTGAGTCGGACCAGATTGGGTCCGTTGGGAATCTGTACGAGCTGCTCAAGGCGGCTGCTGTGCGCAATCCGGTTTCTGGGAATGAGAGTGGCACGTACCTGACCATGACATCGAAGGATGTAAGTGGCTTTTTGCTTAATTAGTTGATGACTGTACTGACTGTTTAGGGCATTCTCTTTGGTATTCTGCACACCTGCTCCAACTTTGGTCTTGTTATTGTATGTCCCCCACCAGTATCAACAGACAGATATTAACCCATCCAGATGGACACCAGCTACTTTATCAAGGCATTCTCTGCCTCGCCCAAAGCTGTGGTTCCTGGCTACACCATCGGCGGAATCATGTACTTTGCCATCCCCTGGGGTCTGGGTACAGTGATGAGCTCAGTCGCTCTGGCACTCGAGAACCAGTCCAACTTCCCAACCTTTCCTCGAGTGCGTACCTATACAATACACATACTTCTTCAAACTAACAATTCCCAGAGAATGACCTCCTCCGAAGTCAGCAGCGGCCTCGTCCTGCCCTACGCCGCAATCACAATAGCCGGAAAAGGCGGCGCAGCAGCCATACTGCTGATGATCTTCATGGCCGTGACATCGACGCTCTCAGCACAGGTCATCGCCGTCTCGTCCATCCTCAGTTTCGACGTCTACCGCGAGTACTTCAAGAAATCCGCCTCAGACCGCGACGTGATCCGCTCCAGCCATCTAGGCGTTATATTCTTCGCAGCCTTCGCGGCCGGGTTCAGTACCATGCTGCATTATGTCGGTGTTGATCTCGGCTGGACTTTGTATATGCTCGGTATGTGCCACCCCTACCCAAACATGCAATATGCAACACGCAAGAACAGTATATTAACGGATAAAAGGCGTGGTAACCTGCCCCGGCATCTTCCCCATGATCTTCACAGTCCTCTGGCGCCGCCAAAGCAAAGCCGCCGCCATCCTCTCGCCCATCCTCGGTCTCGCCACAGGCCTCGCCGTCTGGCTAGCCACAGCAAGACGCTTCAGCGGCGCCGTCTCCGTCGCTGCCACCGGCGAAGTCCTACCCTGCGTCTACGGCACGGTCGCCTCGTGCTTCTCGCCTATTCTGTATTCGGTGGTTATCACGGCGGTGCGCCCGCAGAATTACGACTGGAATGAGTTTAAGCGCGAGAAGCTGGCGCTGGAGAAGTTGGGGAGTGATCTTACGACTGCTCACAGTGACGAGACACCGCAGCAGGGGGACGAAGAAGCGACAGAGGGGAGCGCTGCGTTCGATGCAAAGGAGTTGAAGAGATGGGGCCGGATCGCGGCGTTCTGGTCTGCGGCGACGTTTTTGGGACATTGGGTGTTGTGGCCGTTGCCGATGTATGGCTCGCATTATGTTTTTGGGAAGAAGGTACGTTGCATATCCCTCCCAGTATCCCAAAGTATATGTTTTGCTGACAAGTCAGTTCTATGTTGCCTGGGTGGTTGTGGGTATCATCTGGCTCTGGGCGACGCTGTTTGTGGCCACGCTGTACCCGATTTTCGACGGCGGGTGGCAGCAGATTGTGCAGGTGTATCGGGGGCTTCGTGGGCAGCAGCTGAAGACAGTGATTTCGAGTGGAAAGGGTAAAGATGAGGGTGAGGCGTCGCCGTCGGATGGGTCGGTGAGTGATGGTGTTGTGAAGGAGAGTAAGACGTAATGCAGTATATTATTATATTATGTGGATATAAAGGGTATATGATATGGATTGGCGGGTTTCTTATGATTATAATTAATTATAATATATATAATTATATATATATGTTTGCGTTCAAAAATCAGACACAGTGCTAGATAACTGCTGACTCCTGGTATATACACTATATACAATACCCAGTGAGGACCGTCAATCCACCTCTATTGTAAACCTGACAAATCTTTAAGCCAGTGTGTAAAGTGGGAATAATGCCTTTCGTACTATATCAGTCGTGGCAGCGGCAGAGTCATTTCCCGCCCGACGTCATAGCCACCCACTTCACCAGCTCTCTCTAACAACACACAACACCAGACCACGGAATCAATACAATGCAGGTAATAGCAGTCCTCGGCGCAACCGGAAACCAAGGCTCCGGCGTCGTGCGAGCACTACTCGACAAGACCTCGCCGGCATTCACCGTCCGCGCCATCACCCGCGATGTCTCGTCGTCTGGGGCATCAAAGCTGCGTGAGAAATACGGCGAAACAGATCGCTTGACGTTCGCGGCAGCAGACGTCTATGACAAGGCTTCGCTGGTGAAAGCGTTTGAGGGCGTCTATGGCGTGTTCGCGGTGACGAATAACCGGCTTCCGGGGAAGAAGATTGAGACGGAGGCTGATATGGCTCATGAGCTGGATGCTGGGAGGAACATTGTTGATGCTGCCAAGGTATCTTCACTTAATTCCGTTAAATTGAATGGAATTGAATATGAGTTGACTGGGTAACTGGGATATAGGAATGCAGCGTCCAGCATTTCGTACTGAGCAGCTTGCCGAATATAAACCAGGCGAGCAATGGCCGATTCAACAAAGTCTTCCATTTCGACAATAAGAACCAGATCGAGCAGTGGGCGAGAGATGAACTCGCGGCTGTGACTGCTCTGCATCCTGGTAAGTTTGCCATTTTAAAGCTGGTTTTTACTAAGTGATAGGCCTGTTCTATACAAACATGCAGTGGCCGCAATACTGCAAGCGCAACTGTACGTTCTATCTTCTTTACTCAGTAGATAAAGTGCGGTCTATTAACAGATTCATCAGCCGACGGCACAGTCCGATTCTGTCCCCCAGTAGACGGCAACAAGCTCATCGACTGGGTCGATCCAACCTACGACATCGGCGTCTACGCAGCCGGTACCTGCCCTATAATCCTCTAAGTATTCTAATACTGACGAAAAAGAAATATTCGCCCAGGGTCCATCCAAAACCGCCTCGAAAATATACCCCGTGATCTCGCCCAAATTCCCCTCCACCGAGTTTCCAACGGTCTTCACCCGCGTAACCTCGCAACCGGCTATATTCGACCCGATCAGCCTTGATGAATGGGGAGCTACTGTTGCCGCGGCTGCAGGGGCCGGGTATGAGGAGGATATCCGGCAGATGATGGAGTGGGTTGGTGTTGCGCCGGACGAGAGGGTCTGTTATGGGACCATGGATCGGGGAGAGGACCGGTCGTGGGAGGATTTGGGAGTCCGGGCGAGTACTTTTGAGGAGTGGCTGTGGAGGAGTGGGTGGAGGGCCTGATCTACTGATTGAATTGAGTTGATGTTGATATACTGCCATGAACTGACTGTGATAGTCCCTAGCGTTCATACAGGGATCTGCAATTCTGGATACCTGGGTTTATCCGTATCTTCCCAATCCTCAATATTTAGGCGTATACTGAGAATCGGACGAAAGGGTTAGTGGAACTGCGTTAGGAAAAGTCTAATTAGCATATATACAGCAACAGTTATGCCAGCACGATGCATAAATACCAGAGCCAGGGGTAGTGCCGAGGACGCCATGTGGCAAAAAACCCCGACTGAGGAGTGAAGAAGCAATAAAGTTTCCCAACTGTCCCAGAAGAGTTCGAGGTCAATCCGGCATTAATATTGCTCAAACTCGGGACAAAGAGTGCTGACACGGCGATTCTGACATCGTGAGCAGCCAGAGAAGGCAAATTACAGGCTGGTTGATGAAAGATTCGCCCCTCTCCACGTTATTAGCTTCCGGATATCCGGACGCCGGCGTGGATGAGCGTTGGGATGTACATTGTCCAGCGAAGCTTGGCTGGAGAGCGTCATGCACGGCGACCGTGAAGATGCTGATACTGCCATAGACGGAGCTGTTGACGACGTGGCAGAGCTTACCATCCTGAAGCTCACCAGCTGATTTAATTTAACTTGGACGGGGGATCTCCGTACTAACCCATCAGCACATCAACGGTGGGAGGGACAAAGTTTTTGTTGGGGATGATGTGCTGCTATCGCATTGACCTGGTGGGGAAGGGTGTATCCGTGATATCGAACTGGGGATGATGATTCGAGCATGGACGAGAGAGAGGTCACTGCTGATGACGATCGGCTCTTTTGACTCTGAAGATGCAGCTGCATAAAAGCTTATGCAGGTTGGTGATGTTGCAGACATTGATGAAACACACCATAAAGATCAAGCTACAAGATGCAACGGTCGGCACATGGCTGTTTCACTAGACAGTTGAAGTAACTGTCACTGAGATACACTGCCGATCCTGGGTTACGCTGGGTTGGAGCATATATTGATAATGATTGGCACCTTGAGTGCAATAATCCGTACGCAGCCAGGATATGGAGGGGCTGCTCTCTTTAATTCCGTCTTATTGAATGATCTGGAATGATCAATTGGGTCGACTTCATGAGTCAGGCAGAATAGGTAGTCTGTTATAATCTGCTGCAATAAATCCACAATTACTGCATCCGGCTGAAGTTCGGGCTTCTGAGCGAGACTCGGCACTTCTTCGCCGTCGAATTGATCAAATAACAAATAACCAACAAATAATCCACTGAGTCATGGTGGGACTACACGTGGAGCCCAACCATGCTTTGATCTGCTGGAGATCGGAGATCCTCTGTTGGGACTTGGGACTGCCTGGCTGCGACTCATGATGAACAGCTTAAACCAAAAGAGGAGAAAGAAGAGAGTGATAATCCGTGTTGACCAGCCCAGGGATGGTCTGCAGAAATCGGAATATCAGCCAGCTTGTCGGAGAATTCCCCTGGAGAGCAACACGTTCAGCACAGTCCAAGTCCCCACACGATCAGCCTGAACAGTGGAAATAATTCAAATTAGACGCCAATCATCACATCTGGGGCCAACTAGCGAAGTTTATGCTTTTTCTTTCCGTGCTATTGGCCCTGGCGGCTGACCAGGCCCTCTGCCGTATGGAATACGCCGACAAATGCCGAATTTTTGCACACTAACTGGGCCAGTACCGACATCCTGAAGGTAAATCCCCTACAGGCTAGGCCCTACAGATTCCATCTTAGCCAGCTCGAGTCATGCTGAGAGCCAGAGGCCCACTTGCTCATTGCAGACTGCAGCTCAACATGGACGGCGGACGAGTGCCGACAGATCGTTTTTGCCAGTGATCATGCATTATTAAAATGATTGACCATTAGAATAATAGTCTGAACTCCAGACCCTGGCTGCTCCATCTCGTGTCCATCGTGTCCCTCTCGTGTCTTGCCAGGAGCTTAGACTCCACTGGTGGATCGTATAATATATCGCCAGCTGCACTTCGCTGTTCCCAATCCCCAGACTCAGACTCTGAACATGGACCTCCCAAGTTGCGCGGTAGGCCCCTGTTTATCAATCCAGTGGTATATGGCGTACTAACAGACGCAGCTGCCGTGCCTGATCTCGGCTGTAGGCAACTCAACATGCGAGCTCACCGATACAGCCTGTGTCTGCGGGACTCCCCAGATCGCAGCGCAGCTTGAGCCATGCATTCTGGCTGCATGCACCGTCAAAGAAGCCTTGAGTATGTTTACCCAGGCGTTAGGAATAGTGGATCTAACAAATGCAGCGTCGAAGAACATGACCTACACGATGTGCGACTACCCAATGGACGCCGACGTAGGCGTCTTTCCCATTACGAATATCGTCGGGATAGCAGTCGCAATTGCAGCGGTGCTTATGCGTCTGGCCAACCGGGCGATGGATAGGAAGCTGGGCCTGGATGATTATATCTTGATTTTCTCGCTGGTATGTGAATGGCATACTGAAACGATAGAGGATACTCTACTAACAGGTGTAGTTCCTTGCGGCTGCAATCTCTGGCATTGGAATCGAGCGTAAGTTCTTGACTATACCTGCCCTATACCAGTGATCCCGCTAATTGTTTAGTCCGCAACTACGGCCTGGGAAAAGACATGTGGACGATCCCCTTCGACGACATCCGGCAGATCCTCAAACTGTTCTTCATCGAGGAGGAAATATACTGCGTCTGCATCGCCACTATAAAAATCTCAGTGCTATGCCTGTATCTCAATATCTTCCCGAACCGCGGCGTGCGCATTGCTACGTACACCCTGCTGGGTCTGACGCTTATCTGGCTGATTACCAGCTTCTTCTTTCTGCTCTTCTCGTGCTCGCCCATCAGCTACTACTGGAATATGTGGGACGGCGAACACACCGGGAAGTGTTTCAGCCATGATAAGATCCTGGTGGCGCACTCGACTATCAATATCATACTGGATGTACTGATTGTTGGCCTTCCGATGCCGACGCTGGCGACGCTGCATATGCCGCTGGAGAAGAAACTGGGTGTTTGTGCCATGTTTGCCGTGGGCATTGTGTACGCACCTTTATTCCATTTATATCATATTATACTGACTTGTATAGCGTCACGGTCATCAGCATCATGCGACTCGTCGAAACAGTCGGCTTCAACAAAACCAGCAACCCAACACGTACGTCCCCCTCCTAACCCCCCAAAACACTAGATGGAAGACTAACATAAACAGGCGACTTCGTCCCCGTCGGAATCTGGTCGCTGCTCGAATTCGACGTCGCCATCATGTGCGCCTGCATGCCCGCCATCCGCTCGCTCATAATCCGCATCTACCGCGGAAATTTCAAACCACACCTCACAGCACTCACGAACAGTCTCTCCGGATCAACACGGTTCGGGAGTAACAACACCTCGAACAATAACTCGAAGAACGGGAGCGGGTCGCGGACGAGGGTGTCGCATAATCTGTCGGCGTCGTTGACTGGGACGAAATCCCGTGCGAAGGGCGCGGATGATGCTATCGGCCCGTTTATTCGTCTTGATGATGTGGGCACGACGGCTGATGCTTATTATACTGGTGCTGGGCGTGATACTCCTGGGGGTGGCCGTGCTACTCCTGGAACTGGTGGGTTGGGTCAGGGTCTGTCTGGACCGGCTCCTGGGAGTCCCGGGGTTGTTCCTGCCCCTGCGTCTTTGCAGAGTCCGAGTAAGGGGTATTTTAAGCGCTGGAGTCCGTTCTCGAGGAAGTCGAGTGAGCCTCCGCAGACGCCGATGTTGCCGCCGGCGCCCAAGTCGCCCAGTTCGACGTTTTTGGTGGGGCGATAAGATATCAACATCAAAGGCTTGTTTGGATGTGTATGGTTATTGATTTGGGTATGGGAGGGTTTTTGCATTGCATTTGGATTTTGGATACGCCACATAGTTTGTTATGATTTATGAATGGGTACGAGTTTTGACTCATTATTGACACTGAATTGATTGTAGACTCCTAGTTAAGAAGCATGATGATACTGCAGTACTAACCACAGCTATGGTATCAATGCCATTACCCAGAACAACCCTCTTCCGTATTACATTTAACCACAAACCCCATATAAATCCGCCCTCACAAAGTCCGGCGTGGGACTATCCCTATACCCCAATCTGACCAACTCCCCCCGACTGAACATTCGCCACTGCATCTCCCGAGAAAGCCCATCGCGGGGCCGATCGCAGAAAACAGCCCAAGCACGCTGTATTGTCTGCGTCATCTGCTTCTCCGCCTCCGAAGGCTCTAGGCCAGTAACGTCGCCCGACGTCCCAAAGAGCATGAATAGCTCGCTGCCGTGGTATGCGCCTCTGAGGGCGGCCAACACGCTACTATCGTTACTGTTATTGTTAGTACTGGTATAGAGCTGCGCGTTGGTCCAGTTTGCGAAGTAGCGGTATTGCCACACGGGGACGTTATGTGCGGTGCGAGCGTTGGCTTGCGCTGCTATCGGGCAGGTGAATGAGGCGAGGTGGAAGTCGGTTAATTGGGTTTCTGTTGGGAGGGCATTTATTCCGTTTGATAGAGATGAGAGTGCGTAGTAGCCTTCTTCTTTGTCGTTGTGGCCGATCAGGATGGGCTAGTACTGTCAGATATATGGATAGGCTGCATGGAGTAACTCACCAGTTTCGCGAATAGGCCTTTCTTGTTTAATGCAGGGTAATCAGCGAAGACCGTCTCGTTGTCGACAGCGGGGTAGAATGCTGGTGTTGATCGCAGCGGATTGGTATTGGTATTGTTATCAGGTTTAACCTCAGCAGCGGCAGTCCGGATATCTTCCCAGTCCTTCTGCTGCATACAGTAGATCTCGTCACTGCCGTCACATCCAACGGCCCGGACAACAGACCTCCACGCCGCCGTGGTATGTTCCGGCGAGTTCAGCGGGAAACTCAATGCAGTCCCAGACTGCATAATCAGACCCGCAACGATCGGGTCCTGTTTGTATGCATATGCCCAGTAGTCCACAGAAACAGCACCGGCCGACTGTCCCGCGATGATTATTTTCTGTGCATCTCCTCCAAAAGCGGCGATGTTGTCGCGGATCCATTCGACTGCGAGGCGCTGGTCGCGGAGGCCAAGGTTCTGGACACACCCAGATGATCCTGGAGTGCAAGAGCCAGGGAAACCGAGGATGTTTGTGCGGTAGTTTACGGTGACGACGATGATGTCTTCGGCGGCGGCGAAGTGGCGGCCGTTCCAGAAAGGGGTGTCTGTATTGCCGCCGGCGAATCCTTCAATTCAACCGGTTAATTTAATTTAGTTATTTAGGCTTGATAATATATGGAACGTACGGCCACCGTAGAAAAAGACGAAGACGGGCTTGTCGCGGCTTCGGGCTGGCTTGGACCAGATGTTGAGGGTTAGGCAGTCTTCGCTCTGCAGAGATCCGGTTTCTCCTGTAAAGGCAGCGAGGATAGCTGGTGCTTGGGCCGTGAGGTATGTATAATTGAATGTGCGAGAGCTCAGACGGGGGCAGTCACTATACAATTAGGAGAAATACAGGGAAAGTATATTAAATGAGGGTGCAAGCATACTATCCCTGTGGAGTGTTAGTAGAGTTATACCAGCTAGCAGAGACTAACCCAGTGTGCTGCTTCGTACGGCCTTCTTCTGGTCAGCTTCTGTGGTGGCATGAAGCGGAGAGATCCCAAAGGTGGCTCTGCATATGGAATGCCCAAGTACTCGACGACATCGCCGGTTGTATGGCCAGTAATGGGCCCATTGGAGGTGTACACGGTCCAGTTGGATGCAGCTAATGCAAATGGGATGAAGGCCAGAGTAGAGATAAACATAGTGACATGGACGATGGGAGTCTCGAGAGACGTGGAAGTTACACGAGTGAGAATGCGGGGGTTGAAGATCTTGGAGGATTAGAAGACATTTTATTCGTGGAAAGGCATATTTATTTAGTGATCGTCGAGGTATTTCTTTCCCCTACAAGGCGCATGCAGCCGATTGATTATGTCTGTTGGGGTCCAAGATAATGGTAGAGGAGTAGATTCACCCCAAAAAGGCATGTCGTGGACCGACTTGGCTGTATTGCTTGATCACTGCAGAGCCAAGAGCCAACCTCATCCGCCCGGAAATGGACGAAAGCAAACATCGCGCCATTGACGGGCGGGCTAGCGAAGATCAGGGAAAAGCTGGGATGGATTCACTTGATCGATACGAGGCGGAGGACACTCCGCTGAATTGGCCCCAGTTCATCTGCTCCTCACTTGAGGGTGCCAAGTTAATGTTGGAAGAAAGTGAGGAGTCATTCCTTGGAGGTATTCGGACGAAGGGAGTGCATGATTCATGAAGATGCAGAGGATGACGAAGAGAAGGAGAGAGATGAGATGAGGTGAGGTGAGATGCAGAAGTGAGATGAGATGGAATGTTGGCTGCCAATGACGAGCGGGTGCAAGCGACGCTATAAATAACACGAAACTCATCAACACCAACACCAACAGGATGCGCCCGATCGCCCGGCCACTGCACCTCCACTCTGCACCTCGAGTCTGCAGAACTCAAGGTTCTCACTCACAAACAAGAAACGAACAAAGAAAGGCCAAGTGGCGGATCCCCGATCAGACGGAGCTTGTTCACCCGCAGCTCGAGACTCCAATCCCATCGCCCTCTTGCTTGAATACGCCTGGCTCGACTAGACTTCCCAATCTCGGCAAGGAATGAAGCTGCAGTAAGGGCTGCCTCTGCACCCACCGGCCGCCTTCATTGGCAACCACAAACCGGTCCGCTGCGGACTCCTGTGGTCCTTGCAGTCGCCTTGCAGTCTGCTCGGATTCTGATGCCTGTGATACGCCCTGACGCCCTCGTGGCTGAATCTCGATCCGGCTGGGCCCGCGCGAACACGAGGTGACATTCGTCGAATCATTCATATCTGGCGGACACGGTCTCCTGGAACTCACCAAAGCATTGCGTTCGAAGATGGCTCCAGGTAGGTGCTCTCTGATTGCAGTATCGACGGTCTACCGTGTCTAACGTCCCCAGATTCAGAGCCACCCGCCCCAGGCCTCCATCGCAGCTGTATCTTCTGTCGCGCTCGCAAGATCCGCTGCTCCGGTGGCACCATTTGCACTGCTTGTCGCGAGCGCAATATCAACTGCATCTACAGCCCCGAGGCCCGCAAGGGACGCCCCCGACGGAGAGGCGCCAGCTCCTCCGATGCCCAGGGCCAGCCACGGAAGCCTCAACGCCGTCGTCTCGTATCCTCTCCGCCTTCTCCAGCTGGTGCTGCCTCTCCAGCGGCGTCTGGGCCAGTGACTTCTGCTTCTGCCGGTGCTTCGCGAGCACCGTCGCCGCAGCCAGTTGGGGGTGATGCGGACCAGACATTGGGCCATGAGCTCGAGCAGATGTTTCACGAGTACTTCATCCGGAAGAATGGCTCCCGATCGAACCTCTTCCAGGACTCGATTGCCTCCTTCCAGCGGCACATGCGTAAGCCTAGCCCTGGACATACCTCGCCGCGGCCAAAGCTGAGCTACGATGGGATGTTGTCCTTTCTCGCGCATGAAATGGTTGAGATTCTGCTTCTGCGGTTTGGGCAGCTGGGCTGTGAACAACCGGAGAGCACGCACCAGTATTTCTACATCGCCTCGCTGGCGGAGGAGACGACGCCGAGCATGTTCGACCCTGCTCGCCGCCAGAGAGGTCCCCTTGCGGCTTTAGGAAAACACCGCGTCGTGCAGATGGTGCATCTCTGGTTCATGATGCATCCCCTGTCGCCGCTGGTCTCCAAGACGCTCCTCCTAGATGCGATTCAAGACGAAACAGTGGACGAGGCACTCCTGGCAGTCATTCTAGCGGATGCGTTCCAGGCTTTTGATAGCAGTGATGGTCAGAGTGGGAGTCTCCCTGAAGAATCTCCGCAGCTGCTGGCGCACTTTGCTGCGTCCCAGCTGAGACATCGGCCTCTGTCGCAGATTGATACCGCGCCCATCTCGACAGTGCAGGCATTGATACTCCTAGGCTGGAGGGACCTCGCTCAAGGTCTAGCTCGACGCAGCACCTGTTATATCGGGTATACATGTCGCATCATCTCGCGGCAGTATCAACGTCGAAATCGTAGTGACGGCGGACCGGAGAGTATGAAGCTGAACGGGATAGACATTGGACAGGTCGACCAGGAGATCCTGCAGAACATCTACTGGCTGTGTCTTTCCACGACGACCTGGGCTTTTATGCAAATCGACCAGCCATTCACCCTCCTCCTGCCGGACGAGATTCCCGACTTCCCCAGCCTCGACGAGACAACATCAGCAGCGCTGCGCCTGGACCGGGCGTCCAACAACATCTCGACCCTTCCATCGCAAGTTCAGGCCATGCGCTGGCTGTGGCCATTGAGCCATATCACTAGCACCGTTGCCCATATTTACACCATCTACCTCAACGCCCCTACCGAAGAGCGCAAGGTCAAGGCCGCCCCATGGCATATCCGGCACATCCACCAACTCCACCAGCTCCTGCGAGCTCGGTTCGAACCATCAAATCTCTCCTTCGAAGTCCGGGCTATCCTAATCCAGGCCATCAAGCTGGTCGAGCGAGAAGTCACAACCCCGCACACCCAGTTCTTCCTCTTAACTTCGTACTACACCATCATCGTCCACATGCTCTTCTCCCCTGAACAACGGGCACCCCCGCCAGTTACACCCTCCACCATCCAAGCCCTGGGCGAGTGCATCTCCGCTGTCCTCGCAATCGCCGCAGGCGTCCCCTCCCTCCCAGCAAGCCCCGTTCCAACCCAAGCTTCCTACGGGAATAGAGCTCTAGCACTATGTCTCGACGCCTGCAGCCGCGCCCTCGTCCGCCTACATAACCAATGCCAACACAACTGGCAACAAACCGAAACCCGAAATCCCATCCCTGGACTGACCAAACTCGCCGAGCACGCCGAGCGCGCACACAATGTCTGCAAATCCGACTTCCTAGGCCAACACGCATCCATCCTACGGCCGGCAAAGAAGCGCTTGAAATGGGTCAAATCCGCCCTACACGCCCTGGCCTCTCCATCAACCTCTACCTCTTCTATATCGGATATAAACGAGATGGCAAACGCGGCCTTCCTCTCTTTAACCCCGCCAACAAATTTCCCCCTCCCATTCGATAGGACGGGTGATCTGGATCTACCCCTTGGATCATCAACAACTTCACTATCGGACCTCATGCCGCCGTACCATCTCCCCCCGCCACTCGAAATCCCAGACCCGGGCTTCTTCTGCGATGATCCAGCCCTGGATTCTTTACTGGGGTTCCCGGGCATAGCCCGCGCAGCAGATATATACCCGAGGGCAAGCGATAGCTCATCCTCGCACATGTCGCTAGGTACGCCTCCGTCAGCGCATGACGGCCGTGCGTTTGGGGTGGAGGGGGATATGAACACGGCCACTAGTGCTAGTGCTAGCACGGCGCTGGCGGATTTGTTCTTTCTCAGCCCGGATCTGAATTCGCCTGGTTTGGAGGGGTTGTTGATGAATGGTAATCCGTTTGGGGCGGTGTCTAATCCTGCGATGGCCGGGGCTGGGACTGGGACTGGGACTGCTCCTGGATCGGGCTCTGAGAGGATAGCTGGGGGTGGGGGGAATGCAGGGCCAGGACAGTATGATTTTATGGGCGATCTTCAGATGTAGTTCCTTTATTTCCCTTTCTATATAGCCTGTCTTGCTTGGTAGACGGTTGGATTGGATTTCGGCTAACAGTTCGACTTGGTTTTAGATGGTATACTTGAATATATGTTAGGGGTATTACGAGTCAGCTCAGCTGTCTTACTGTAGAGATAGCAGACACCAGATCCAAGTAACTACACTGTTATATATTCAAAGGCCAAGAACAGGAATAATGTAATATTATTTCTCAAGGGTATAGCTATTATTATCCAACGTAATATCGCATAAAATGGCGTTAACCGTTACTCATAACCCCGCATCTAGTGCTTCAGGCTCTCTACACAAATCAGCATCAGCACTCTTACAGATTAGAGAAGAGACATACCCTTGTGGACATCGGCCTGGGTGTCGTGGACGAACTGGTCCTTCTTGTCGAAGATGGCGTCCTTGGCCGCAGTAGCACGGGTGGCGAGGTCGGCGTTGTTGTCCTTTGCAACCTCCTTGTTGACCTCCTTGGAGGCGCCGGCTCCAGCGCCCTGGACGGTCTCGGTGACGTAGTTGACGGTGTTCTACTCTCTTAGTATATGAATAGACAAGTAGGTTGAGGTGCATACCTTGATAGACTCCATTGTAATGTATTATTCAGAAGATGTGAATGAATGAAAAGGAAACTGGACAAGTCTGGCAGGAAAACAGGGCCTTTATATAGCTCTCCTGTTCCTTGATCTCGACCAGGAAATGACATCATACAGCGATTCAACGTTGTGGACAGTGCGAGATCAGCGTCAGTGGCTGAGCAGATCTGGACAGATCTGGCCTTGTCTGCCATGGACTCGTGGAACTCCACAGAATCCAACACGTGCCGGCGGAACCAGAATCCGGTTTCTGTCGTGCTTGCATACGCAGTATATTATCCAGGGGATCGTCTATATTCCCGATACTGTTACGTGTCTTGCTGGCACTGGGTAGTCTCCCACCCTCTGGCAGGAACTCCGGCGAGAATCAGGCTCAGCTTCTCAGACTAGAGATCGACATGACTCGATCAATCCATTTCGCCTCCGCGAGACAAGAAGAGGAGACAAGAAGAGGGGTTGGCGAGTTAACTTGGACTGGAGACCCCACTCTCGACGACTGTGGCGCTACGGCCTTGGTTACTGGACGGCCTTGGTGACGGTCCATGGAACAGGCCAGCAAGACGGTGCTAGCAGATGGCTTAGGTTGTTTCGAACACTTGCAATTGGTTTTCTCAAATTGTTGGGCTGGTTGGCGCTACTAACTCGCCGCGGCTCCCCAAGGTTGGCTCACATGCACCATATCATGGCTATGCGCTACTGCCGATGGGGTTATTTGTGGCTCATTCGTGGCATTTAGTGGTCTAGAACGACGAGATGTGCCATGGTATTAGATTAATAGCCAGAACCTTCTGGTATGCATAGATAGGAGGTCCCAGAACTCGCTTCCACTAATGCACTGAGGTGCAGATATATTGCATCCGTGCTTGTGCTAGCTAAGAACCACCGTAGCCTCCAGTTCCCTGATTTTGCAGTTACATTGCATGAAGATCCACTATAGCGCCACTGCAGGTTACTATCCAACCCCCGATTTGGCCACCAGGCTGCCTTGACCACAGTCTGGACTCGTGGGGGCGGGGAGAAGGAATTCGCTTCTTTCGTCTGGCTAACCCGAATCCAGACCTGCTGCCGGTTCCGTTGGGATATTCCTGGAGCTGAAGATATGGGACTTTGCAGGCTACCTATTCTGTCCATTGTATAGCTAAATTGACTGCTACCAGACTTCAAGTGGTGGATAGAGTAATCATATTCCATTCGACCATATAATCTCTGCAACTGTCAATTCCTATCCGCACTACTGCTCCTTGAGCATAGCATCCAACTATAGAAAAACCCATTAGCAAGAAAACCTAATAACTAAGAACAGGAGATACATACCCTCCTCGAAACAGGCTGAAATCCATACAACCAAGTCAAATACCACATCCAGGCCGCGCTCGGCAGCATGCGATATACAATCGCCCTTAGCACCTTCCCAGCAACAGGACCCGGCCAAGAAGCTGTATGCAGGCGGGCATACCGCGCTGAAAACGAAGCGACATCTTGCGCGCGCTTCTCACGCACGCGGGCGTAACTATCTAATGCAGTCTTGTCGCCCGCGAGATATAGCGAGATGGAGTCTGCGAGGACTGTGGCGTCTTCAATTGCCTGGCAGGCGCCCTGGTTTGGTTGGTTGGAATTGTTCAGCAAATGGGTAGCAGTTTACTTACCTGGCCGAAGAATGAAGTCATGGAGTGAGCAGCTGTAGAGGGGTGAGAACTGGTTCGTTTGGTAAAGGGGATAGGGAAGTACCATCACCAAGAAGAGCAACGCGGCCACGGACCATGTGTGGGAAATCAGCCTCCTCGAAGACGTTACTTGCGACCACGCGCTCGGATGAATTCACAACTGTCCTGATTAGCATAATCACCATAACAAGTATGGATTCGTACTGGCTTCCACGCTGCTGTCCTTCCCGAATGGGTGGAACTTCCTCCCATACACCCCATTGACTGTCTCAGGCGTTGCGCCCTTCCATATAGACCGGTCGGGGTTCTTTGCGTCGCGCGCAACGGCCTTGACCCCGATGAACCACTGGCGGTTCTCCTTGCATGGCCAGGTGGTGAGAATGCAGTCGTTGTACAGCATCCAGTGCGCGATGCCCAGATCGTCTGTGGAGAGATGCGATAGGGGCTGAGTATAGCCAGACATGTGCACGCGGCCGGTGAACCGGATTGTATTTTCTGGCTGCAGACCAATTGATCGAGATAGCTGGGAGTATCATTTGGTCAGTCTGCATGTTCCAGTATACAAGGGCATACGTACAATCCGCCTCGTCACACTGCGGATCCCATCCGCCCCAACGACGATATCAGCATGCACCTCTCGTCCGTCGTCGCTAATGACTCGGAGCGGGCCATCATGTCCTTCGATATTCTGAATGTCGGCGACGTTCCAGCCTAGTTTCACCACCTCTTCGCCCCCCGCTGCCTCATACAGATACCCATGGAATTCGTGCCGCTCAATCGACAGCACATTGTACCCGAACCACCGCTTAGCGAGTCCAAAGTCAATAGTACCCCAGCAGTTTTTCTCGCGGTAGACGCGGACCCCGAGAAGTTCCTGTGCGTTCTGCTTGATCTGGTCGTAGAGACCGAGTTGGTTGAGCGCGGCGAGACAGTTTGGGGCCAGCGAGATCCCGGCGCCTTGTGGGGTTAGGACGGCGGTGCGTTCGAGGATGACGAAGGGGATTCCGAGTCTGTGTAGAAATGCGCCTAGGGTTAGACCTCCTATGCCTGCGCCGATGATGGCTACGGAGACTCGAGGGGTTGGTGTGTCTATCATAATGAGGGCAGTCGGAGTTGGTACATGGCATTTACCGCGAAGGGTTAATGCGTGTTTTAAATGGAGACATTCCATGGAATCATGTCTTAAAGTGTGAACAGTGTGAGAAAGTCTCCGTTGGCGTTCGGAGCTCGTATATGCAGCTGTGCAGAATGTCTCCGTTCGAATTCTAAACACGAGGCGGACATGTCCAGTTAACTAGTCTATCTATGTACAGTAACTACTCGATATCCTTCAAAACGCCTCTTAAGATAGCTGTCAGTTTGCCCACAACCCCTGCATCAAAACAGGCATCATGTGCCGCAGCAAACGGAACAGAAACAAAGCTCCCAAACTGCCCTGGCCGCCATCCATTACTCGGATCCAGGTTATTCTTCCTCGCAAATGCCCTCCTCCCCTCACTCAGTAGCGGAGAGAGACTACCCAGCGCCGTACACTTCACCAAAGTCACATCCGTCCCAGGGAGACAAACACGCCGATGCAGCGTCTGATACGACGCCAGCATACGCAGACCCTGCGCGATATGCTCACGGAGAAGACCCATAAACTCGTCCAAACCACCCAGACTCCCATCCTCACTATCCGAGCCGTAGTCGGTATTCTCCGGGCTGTTCTCGCTACTACTCGGCACCGTGCTCCCTTCAGCAGACGATGGCGCACTATCTTCAAAACCAGCAGCCGTATCCGTAGACACAGGCCCATTAACGCGCCACGCAATCGCATTATACGTAAGCGTTGAGAGAACCTGCCGCTCCTGTGCATCGTGGAAGGGCAGGTATACCTCCGGGTTCAGCGAGTCGATCATAAGGACGTGTTTGACTGTTTCGCCCTGCGCGGTGAGAATGGCGGCCATTTCGACTGCGATCATCCCGCCCATGGACCAGCCGCCGAGGAGGTAGGGGCCTTTGGGCTGGACATCGCGCTGGATGATGCGGACGTATTCGAGGGCCAGGCTGGGTAGGCTTTTGCTGTGGCGGCGGAAGGAGGAGGTGGATTCGAATATTGGGGATGACAGTCCGTAGACGGGTCTTGAGCTGGCAGAACCAGAGTCAGCGTCATGTTCATGTACGCCTGATAGAGAGCCCAGGGCGAAGTAGGGCAGGGCGAGGCCAGAGATTGCGTGGATCAGGATGAGCGGCGTCAGGGCGGACGAGGGATTGCCCTGGATGTGCGCCACGGTCTCGGCCATTGTGTCTGTTGCTGATCGGACATATTGGCGGTTCGACAGGAATATAAACTGTGAACTGTGAAGGCTTTGTGCCCTGTGGAAACTCTGAGTCTGGGAATTCAGGGGAAGGGTGGTATTGCATACACTCCGCTCCGAAGCGGGCATTTCTTAGGGCTAATGGGGCCAAATATTGGTATAAAAGGGCACACCCTCCTTCCTGTGTTCGTCATAGGCCCGAGTACATACGAAGTAACAATGCGGTTTATTGCATTTCTCGCCGTCGCCACCGGGGCGTTTGCAGCCCCTACCAGGAGGGCCTCCGGGGCGTTCGACATGCCCCTAGCCTGGACACCTTTTGGCTTCACTACAAACACCATCACAGTCGGTAGTCCACCCCAGAAGCTCGATTCATTCGTGGACTGGACCTGGATTGGCCAGTATGCCTTCACCCCGCGCTGCCATGGCAGTCTCCAAGACACCTTCGACTGCCTCCAGCCAGGCCAGCAGCTGTACAACCAAACCCAGTCGCGGACCTACACCAACCAGTCCAAGCTCTACCCTGATAGAAACTGGAACCCAAACCACTTCTTCTTCTACGACGACCTCTCCGTCGGCTTCGGCTCTGACATCCAACAAGTCGGAGACCACCAGGCCAGGGTCACTCTGCAGCTAGCGGACATGCATTTCCAACTGGACTTTGTATACCCCTTTGCCGGTGTATACGGCCTCTCGCCAGTCTTCAAGTCCGACAACGCCTCCACGCAGTCCCCATTCTACCAGATGTGGGAGCAGGGTCTTTATCCCTCCCCGCTCATTTCCTTCTTGTACTGCCACAACAGCACCTTCGACAGACCCGCGCCCCGTCGCGAGCTCTGCAATGACAACGACGGCCTACAGACTCTAGGCGGCCCATCTCCTGTCCTCAGTCTACCAGCCAACTCTTCATCTTCTGGCAAGAGTAAGACCACCGACTCTGTACTATGGTACGACAACATCCTCTTCCCCGCCGTCAACGACATAGACTTCGAATATGAACCGGCTGTATTGAACTACTGGGCCGTCCGACTCACCCAGCACCTCATCGGAGACGAGGAGCAGGCCCTCAACACCTCCGCCTCTATCGGCGGTAACCCCGGTGCTATCTTCGACCATGCCAGCTACGGCCGCGGCGTGCCCATGTCGGAGAACAGCTATGCACGGCTGATTGAGATCACGTCCGGACAGCCAATTGAGTTGGACGAGAATACTGCTCCTAATAACGGGAACCAGTCGTTTGTGTCTGTGGACTGTGCCAAGGTTAAGTCGTTTCCCAGTGTGAAGTTTGTCTTTGAGGGCCATGAGCGGGTGTGGGAGGTTGTGCCGGAGAACTATGTTGAGGTTGTTGATTTGAATAACGAGCAGGTTTGTGTGTTGAATGTGAGGACTCTGGGGGAGGGGGACTTTGTTATTGGTAATTTTGGAGAGACGTTTGCGAAGGATAAGGTGGTTTTGTTTGATTTTGAGGAGCTGAAGGTTGGTTTGGCGGATGTTCCTGGGGCTGCGTATTGATCGATTTACTGGTATACAAGTATAGACAATGTGAGTGGTATCATTATCTGAGAATATTATATCGACCATGATACCATATACTGTTTGCATCATGCAAGAGAAAGATGGTGTACCTCTAGTCACAGTTGACGGTATATCTACCATTTCGATATCATTCTATACTTCCGAGAATACTATATATATACCCCATTATAATATAACAACGATAGAATATTTATGCACCGGGAAGCTGAATATGCATTCTGAACAGCTAAGAGAATACGATAAAATACTAGGCGAATCGCACCTGCACATCCCCCTTGAGCCAGGGACTGCCGACCTTGGAGAAATCCAGCCCCCCAAGAGTCTGCTCGCTGCTTCCCTCTCCCCAGGATATCTCACAGTTCTTCACAATACTCGAGACAACCGTCTTGGAAATCAGAATCGCCATTTTCTCACCAGGACACCGATGACTACCAGCCCCGAACGGTATATACCGCAGCTGCCCGCCGTCGTTCAACTTCTTGGCCAGGTTAGTATCCTGCAACCATCGTTCAGGCAGATATTCATCTGGCCTCTCCCAAGCCGCAGGGTCGTGATGGGTAAGATAGGGAGATATCGAAACGATAGTTCCCTCAGGGATGGTGATCTCGGTTCCTGCCATGGAGGCGACGTCGGTGCGCAGGGTCTTGGGTTTCCGGGCCCAGCGGACGTCGCTGTTACCGGAGTAATGACGGCCTGTTTCTTTAATCAGGGCATCGAGGAAGGAAGACTGGTCTGGGGAGTGTGTCGCTAGGTCTTCGCGTAGAAGTTGAAGGAGGGCTGGGGATTTGAGCAGCTAGTGATCGTCAGAGTGTGTCTCTCTTGGTAAACCGGATAGAAAGTTACCTCTAAGATGGTCCAGGAGATACTCGCAACAGTACTAGTATGAGCGGCAAACATGAGGAGTGTATGGTGTGCAGCGTAGAAGCGGCTCAGATGGGCAGTTGCAGGGTCCTGCAGAGTGTACGAGATATAATCAAGACGGTCGTTCCATTCCTCTAGACATTTTTCTCTCTCCTGCAGGCGATACCGGAAGATCTCCTGCACACGGTCTCGCGATTTCCACAGATTACGGGCTGGAGCATGCGGAACCCAGGCTGGGAGAATGGTATGCCAGATACTCCCAACGTTGGCCTCCATAGTGTGCAGCAGATCGTAGAGCTCCTCGACATGGTGATCGTAAAAGTCCTGTCCCATCAAGCACCGCACGATGATCTTGTGGACAAGGAACGAGACTTCTTCGAAGAGCGCTACGGACTGTCCGCTGCTGCCGGTCCAACTATGGACTGTCTTGATGGCTTCTTCGTCCGCGATCTGGGTATATCTCTCGAGAGTAGCTTTGCGCGAGATCCCTCGACTCAAGGACCCGACCATGCTGCGTAGATGGTCAAAGTATCCTGGGATAACGATCTTGTTGAGGAACAGACCCATCCCGTCGCCAAACGACCATACATCCTAAAGTCGTTAGTACTGATAGTACTGATAGTACTGAGTTACGGGTGAAGAAGAACCTCTCGTGTTTCTAGGTATTCCTTATTCAGTTGAGGACTTCGCAGCCAGATCGTGCGGCCGAATAACATCGACACAGTAAAGCACTGTCCATGGCTGCTGGTGGCGGCAGAAATGAACCCAACCGGGTCGAGGGTGTATTTTCGCAGGTTTCCCAGAACGGGAAATCCTGAGCTGACGGTAGGGATCTTTTCTGAACGAAGGAACCAACGCACTGTCAGGACCAGGAGAAGAAATGGTAGAAGGCTGGCGATGAGAGGGCCGGCATTGTGGGAAGAGTCTTCGACGTCGTGTAGCATGATGAAAATAAAAAATAATATGATAATTAAATAAAATCAATCAAAGACTTGGTCATACATGAATGGGCGAATAGTGTTGTTATGTCTATTTCTTATTTATTAATAGTCTGGTCAATGCAAAACTCTCCGGCGGACGACGGACGTCAGATTTATATCCGCGTATAGTTAACATGGTCGCTATATATTGCCGGACACCATTCGTACACTTGGAGACCATGTTGCAATCTATTCGAAATGACTTCCAAAGAGACAGTAATAGATGCTAGGCATGTTCAAGACGAAGCTGATGCCGGCCCTCCAGATGGCGGCTCGCGTGCATGGCTCGTGGTGGCCGGGGGCTTCCTCACCTACTTTGTGACATTCGGTAGGTGGGAAATACAGATAATGTGCTGTAGCTAATGAAAAAAGGTCTGCTCAATTCCTTTGGGACATTCCAAGCATACTACGGACAGACGCTTCTGTCAGGCCGAGACGACAGCGAGATCTCCTGGATTGGCTCTCTGCAGCTCTTCCTGCTTTTCATCGGAGGCCTCGTGTTCGGGCCAGTATTCGACAGCAAGGGGTCAAAAATCCTTTTTATCCCCGGGACTGTGTTGTTTTGTCTCTCCCTGATGATGGTCAGTCTCTGCAAAGAGTACTACCAGTTCATTCTAGCCCAGAGCCTGCTCTTCGGCGTGGCAGATGCAATGCTCTTCTACCCGACAATCTCTGCAATTCCACACTGGTTTAGCAGCCGTCGAGGCCTGGCAATGGGCATCGTCGTGGCTGGATCATCTCTAGGTGGAATTGCATGGCCTCTCATACTAGAGCGATTGTTCCACGTCGTCGGATTCGCATGGGCCATTCGCATTGTTGGATTTATTAGCCTGGCTCTACTCCTCCCAGCATGCTTCATGGTTATACCTCGTTCATTGCCGAAGGGGTCTGCAGGTATACCCAAAGCAGACGTGGTTGCAGGCCTGAAGGATATACGCTACTGGCTGACCGTGGTCGGGATGCTCTTTGTGATGTGGGGGATGTTTATTCCCTTTTACTACATCCCGCTCTTTGCCATCGACAAGGGAATTGACTCTTCCTTTGCAAATGCACTGATCTCAATCCTGAATGTTGGCTCGTTTGTTGGGCGTATCGTCTCCGGTGCCCTAGCTGATCAAGTCGGACGGTGAGTCGCAGATGCATACAATCCGCACTCGCTGATAAAAGTCCAGGTTCAATGTCACGATAGCATGTTCACTCGGATCCGGAATCCTCGTTCTATGCCTCCACTGCATCCACACAAAAGGTGCAATTGTTGCACTTACCCTGCTGTACGGATTCACCTCCGGAGGGCTGATCTCGCTGCAGTCTGCATGCGTAGCGCAGATAACGAAGAACATGCAGATCATCGGCTTGATGATCGGCATAATGATGGCAGTATGCTCGCTAGGAGCGTTGACGGGCAATCCTATCGGCGGAGCTCTTGCGTTGAGGAAGTCTGGGGATGTCCCTGCCTGGGTGGACTTTGGGGGTGCACTTCTCCTGGCTGGGACAGTGCTGCTGGTTGGGGCCAGACTTGCTGTTGATTCTCGGCTTTTACGAGCTGTCTGAGAGGCAATGTACCGGTGGATCTGGTGTTTCATGGGTTATGAGGAATACGAGGCTGCGTTCAACTCCGACGGGATACGGGGACTTTTAGCATAACAGACAGATATATAAGGAACGAATACCACCTCTAGAGTCAGAAGTCAACCTTCTATCGTTCTTTAATCTAGCCCAACATGAGGTTCTATTCTTGTACCGTCCTGGCTGCCTTGACCAGCGTGGCTTCTGCCTATCCTCGATCTGCCGGTCTGTACAACTGCGTCTCTAATGTCTTTGGAAGCTCTGCACCACAGCGAGTTGTTACACCAAGCAACGCTACCTATCTGGATTCCCGGCTAGGCGAGAAAATACAATTCGACGAGCTGCCGGTACTCATCGCCTACGCGCAGGAATCCAAGGAAATCGCACCCTTGATCAAATGCGCCCAACAAGCGGATATCAAGGCCGTCCCACGAACCGGCGGCCATAGTTTCGAGGCATACTCCTCCTTGAACGGCACTCTTGTTATCGACATTGCCCACATAAACGAGGTCAACGTCTCCGAGGACAAGAAAACAGCCGTCGTTGGCGCAGGGATCCGGCTGGGTGCTCTCTACACAGCCCTCAACGAATACGGAACATCCTTCATCGGCGGAATCTGTCCCACAGTCGGCCTGGCTGGATTCCTGGGTTCGGGCGGGTTCAACATGCAGCAGAGATCTCAAGGACTGGCCGTTGAGCATGTCCTCGCAGCCAAGGTCGTGCTCGCAGACGGACGCACCGTTGTCGCCTCGCCAGATACCAACCCCGACCTGTTCTGGGCGATCAGGGGCGGCGGCGGAGGGACTTACGGCATCGTCGTTGAATTTACCCTGTCTCTCACGGAAATCCCACGATCTGCTATGCTTATGCTGCAGTGGAATGATACGGAATCCCGATTCCCCGCCGCGAAGCAGTACCTCGAGTGGGCGCCCAAGCAGATTCCTGAGTTCATGTCGCAGATCAACGTCTACCGAGACACTGTGCAAGTACTAGGATGGCATTACGGAGGGGCAAAGGAGGAACTGGCCGCGCTTGTAAACTCCTCTGGCCTTCTTGAGATTGGCAACCCCGACGTCGTCATCGCGGGGGGTTGCAATACGGACAATGCACGCATCTTCGGATACACGACGATGGAGTGTCTCCCTGATGCAGAGGTCGACTCGTCCATTCTCAATGTTATCCCCGACCCATTCAGCCAGGTTGGGGATAATACCCAGTTCCAGTGGAACGAGGTGCCCAAGTCTCCGTCCATCCCTGTGGCATATCCCTGGGAACGCTTCTACCGTCTAAGCAAGTCATTCTTCGTTCTCAAGGACAAGCCAATGACCGATGAAACGCTGCAAAGCCTGCTCGACCGCATCGCGTCCCTGGATGAAGAGAGTCAAGTCTGGGGCGAGTGGCACGCGTGGAATATCACGACGCCTGCAAAGGGAACCGAGAACGCGTTCCCCTGGCGGGAAAAGGCATATGCTCACCTGGAGTTTCAGATCCATGGAACACCGGATGACCAGGAGCGACAGGAGAAATATGAGGCGTGGTTTGAGGACTTGGAATCGTATCTGAGGCCTGCGGTTGGAGGCGCCAGTTACTCTGGCTATGTGGATGGGAAGATTTCTACGGATCCGTTGACAAGTTATTATGGCGATAATGTGTGCAAGCTCGCCGAGGTGAAGAAGGCATACGATCCAAAGGAGTTCTTCACGAACCCGGTTTCGATTCCTGCGTCTGGGGAGGGATGTTAGGCTGGTGGTCATATTGGAACCAGCTCTATATAGTTCTACTATACTCTGCATCTTAGTATTTGATATGGAAAGATCAATATTAATCAACCCTGATTATTTTTACTTTGAATTCGGTACCTATAGCCTTTGTAGCCCTAATAGTATCCTACATTACAACTCCAGCTATTCCATAGTCAGGTAGGCTTGAGTCAATCACCTCCAATATAGTTACATCAGGTACATATCCTCAAGACCAGCCTGGAGCTAAATGACGGGTTCAGGCGCATCATTTCCACAGGGATGGACCCATGGAAATCCATTCCAGTTACTAATAATAGATGATTATATTAGCGGACAGACTCTACAGTAAGCTCCGTTGATACACGGAGCAGACCTCGACGGAGTGCATCGAAACGCCCACCCTCGTATTGCTAAAGGTCTAGGCCCGTCACGGCATGTCGGACATTTTTAAAAGTCGGCAATGTACATTGGGAATTATATGGTTCCCTCTTCCTCCGTAGGTTCTCGGCGTGTTTCTCACCGTTAGTACCTCCACTGGGTGCGTCCGGTCATCGCTGGATATGTCCGATCATCGCTGGATATAGTCTTTTACAGTCCCTGTTTTAGCTTGAGTATATAATATCAATGACCGCTGGCCTTGGAAAATAGCGTAGGTTGGATTTGAAGAAGATACCTCTGCTCCTGCGAATACCCAGCCTCCTACCTGAACAAACTTAAACCTGAATACTCCATTAACATAAGTAAGTCTGTCATCCTTAGACTAATATAAAATGTCAATGCACTTCGAAAACCACACAAACCCGGTGACGGGCACCACGTCAATGGTCCCGACTGGAAAGGCAGATATGCCAAACCAATCACAAACAGACGATCCCCCGTGCGTGGTTGGGATGGCCTGCAGAGTCCCAGGGGCCTCGAGCCCGTCACAGCTCTGGGACAATATCGTCAATAAGAAAGACTTCCAGAGGAAGATGCCTGCGGACCGTTTCAACGTGGATGCGTTCTACCATCCGGACGGAACGCACAAGGGAACTGTATGTTCAACCAGATATGTTTAGGTGCTGTGCTAAAATCTATAGACAAACGCAAAATATGGTTACTTTCTGGATCAAGATCTGGGATTGTTCGACGCCGGATTCTTCAATATTTCGGGGAAAGAAGCAGAGGCCATGGACCCCCAGCAGCGGCTCTTGTTGGAGGTTGTTTATGAAGCTTTGGAAAATGGTATGCCATAATCAAACTATGAATCGAATAGGAATTGACAGTTATAGCTGGAATCACGCTGGATGAGATCCACGGCTCACTCACCTCCGTCTACTGCGGCTGCTTCACAAACGACTACAACGCAATGACGACCAAAGACCTCGAGTACTATCCCAAGTACACCGTAACCGGCACAGGGAACTCCATTCTCGCAAACCGAATATCCTACTTTTACAACCTCCACGGACCCAGCGCCACGATCGACACAGCCTGCTCATCCTCGCTGGTCTGCTTCCACCTAGGCGCGCAGTCCCTCCGCAACGCAGAGGCAGACATCTCCATTGTCGTCGGGTCTGCTCTGCACTTTGACCCGAACATCTTCATCACAATGACAGATCTGGGCATGCTATCTACAGATGGCCGCTGCCGCCACGGCGACGCTGCAGGCAGTGGCTATGTCCGTGGCGAAGGTATCGCTGCAATGATCCTCAAGCGCCAGAGTCGCGCACAGGCAGACGGCGACAGCATCCGGGCTGTTGTGCGTGGAACTGGAGTTAACCATGATGGCCGCAAGCAGGGAATCACCCTCCCCTCTGCGCGTGCTCAGGCGGACTTGGTCAAGAGTACTTATGAAAGAGCTGGACTGGAGCCAGCGGATACGAGCTACGTCGAATGTCACGGTACAGGCACAAAGGCCGGAGACCCGAGAGAGCTCAGGGCTATCCATGAGACATTCTCCGCTGATCGTCTGGATACGCTGTATGTTGGCTCTGTGAAGACGAATATCGGGCATCTGGAAGGCGCGTCTGGGGTTGCGGGTTTGATTAAGGCGACGATGGCGCTGGAGAGGAAAGTCATTCCGCCAAATATGCACTTTTCGACACCGAATCCTGAAGTGGACTTTGAGCAGTGGAAGCTCGAGATCCCAACGCAGTCGAAGCAGTGGGATGTGCTGGGGGGTGTTCCTCGTCGGGCCTCGATCAACTCGTTTGGATATGGGGGGACCAATGCCCATGTTATTCTGGAAGAGTACAATACGGAACAATCTTTGTCTATCTCGTCTAGCCTGCCACTCCCCGCTGAGCTGGCTGGAATGGTCGTAAACAGACCATATCTGGTGCCGTTGACTTCGCATTCGGAGCGAGCAGGAAAGCAATGGGCAGAGACACTCACCACATACCTCAAGAACAGCAATGCCAGTGCGTGCGACATTGGGTCTGCATTATCGTCCCGTCGCACAATGCACCGATTCCGGTCCTTCGCCATAGCATCCGACATGGAAAAGCTGATCGAGCGAATCCAAGACCCGGTTCCAGGATCAGGCTGGAAGGGAAAACTGGACAACGCGCCGCGGATTGGCTTCGTATTCACCGGCCAAGGAGCACAATGGTTCGGCATGGGACGCAGTCTCATTGAGAAGTCTCCTCTGTTCCTACAAACTTTGCACAAATGTGATGCCGTCCTGCAGGCCCTGCCGTCCCATCGTCCAAGCTGGTCCGTGGTAGAGGAACTGCTGAAGTCTCAGGAAGATACCATGCTAGGGCAAACGGAGTATTCCCAGCCTATCTGCACAGCTGTCCAGCTGGCTCTTGTCGATGTTCTTGCGCAGTGGGGCGTGAAGCCCTCCGGCGTGGTCGGCCACAGCAGCGGTGAATTGGCTGCCACGTACGCCGCGGGTCTCTTATCCTTCGAGAATGCCCTGGTCGCGGCATACTACCGGGGCGTGCATATGGGATCTGGTGCTGCGGCGTCGGGGTCTGTGCCTGGGGCGATGATGGCAGTTGGAATGACGGAGGCAGAAGTTACAGCGGAGTTGGAGCCGTATAGTGGTCGGATTGCCGTTGCGGCTATGAACAGTCCGTCGAGTTTCACGGTTTCTGGAGACGAAGATGCAGTCGTTGAGCTGCAGCAGGTCCTTTCTGAGAGGAAGGTGTTTGCTCGACGGCTGCAGGTTGCGCAGGCGTATGTCCCCTACTGTTGCTTGTAGAGAACATGCTAACTATTCAATACAGCTTCCATAGTCACCATATGTTCCCCCTGGCACCAGGATACAAGGAGGCCCTTGCTGCCTACCCCGGTTTCAAGGCAAACAAGAACCGCACTGCCATCATGGTATCCAGTGTGACAGGCCGACATGCAGACCCAGCCACCCTAGGACCAGACTACCTGGCAGCAAACATGACCGGAATGGTGAAATTTTCCGATGCCCTAACTGAACTTGTCCTGGATGAAGAGGACCAGCAGCGCATCGACGTTCTCATGGAACTCGGCCCTCATCCAGCCCTGAAGGGACCTTCCAACCAGACACTGGATCAGCTGAAGCTCAAGCTCCCATATCTCAGCACCCTCGACCGGAAGCAGGATGCGTATGAAAGTCTGCTAACCACTGCCGGCCAGTTGTTTGCTTTGGGATACCCAGTCGATCTTGAAAGTGTTAACCAGAATCACTTCCTCGATACGGCTGGCAGTGTGTTTAGTGTAGAGTCGCCGCGGTTGAAAATTGACCTGCCATCCTATGCCTGGGACCACCACGATCGCTACTGGGCGGAGACTCGACACATCCGTGAGCACCGTCTGCGTCCAGCCCGCCATGCTATCCTAGGGGGACGAGTCCCTGGATCGTTGGAGACCCGCCCTAGGTGGCGCAACTACCTCCGGTCCTCTGAGATCCCCTGGCTTGTTGATCACTGCATCGATGGGAAAGCTATATTCCCCGCTGCAGGGTATATCGCCATGGCAATCGAAGCAGCAGCTACTATGACAGATGGAAGCATCTGTGCATTCGAGCTTGCAGACATATCCGGTAACTCGCCCACACACCATGCTCCTGTATAATTATTAACCGTAACAGTGAAATCGGCCCTCGTCATCAGCGACAAAGACGCAGGAACAGAGACCATCGTCGAGCTGGCCCCAGCAGTGGAGTCCGCCGAAACCTCCTCATCCATATGGAAACATTTTGTCGTCCTCTCCGTCGACGAAGCCGGGAACCAGCGCGAGCACTGCACGGGCATGGTCCGAGTCGAAGCCGGCCCCCCAGCAGCTCTTCACAGCGCCATGGGCTCCTCCTCGGCCGATTCAATCCGCCAGCAGAGCTTCCGCAGTACAGACCGCATGCAGTATTACCGCCGCCTGCATTCAATGGGGCTGCAGTATGGAACGACCTTCCAGCTGGTGGACGGGAATGTGGAAAGCGGAGATGGAGTTGCCACTGCGCCGATATCTTGGACTCCTGGTGTGCACTCTCGCGAGGACAGCGAGATCTGCATTCTCCACCCGGCTTTACTAGATTCCTGTCTTCATCCTGTTTTTGCTGCAATTGAGGGAAAGATGGGCAGTGGCCTCAGCGCGCCGTATGTTCCGACGTTCGTGCGCTCTCTGCGCGTATCTGGTCTATTAGATGCGTGGAAGAGAGCGGATTCAGGATTCAAGTCGGAAGTATCAGTTGAAACGAGCGCGCTTGGGCCGCGGACAGCTACTAATGATCTTCGTCTGCACGCGGATGGGGAGCTGCTGCTGGATATACAGGGCCTCAAGCTGACGAGTCTTGGGTCCAGCGCGGCAGATGAAACTAAACGGTCTCTGTTCTTTGGGACGCAGTGGAAGCCCATGTTTACTGGGATTGAACTGGCTCCTGAGGGATACAATCTGGTGAAACTTGTGGAGTTGTTTGTGCATCAATTTCCGAATAGCACGATTCTTCATATCACCTCGTCTGCGGAGAGTACGGAGCATGTCCTGCCTGCCCTGAAGGGAGTTGCAGATTCCGAGAGAAGGAATATTGCGCACTTGACCATTCTGCCAGCCGGGGGTGTCCCTACAGAAGCCTTCAACGCCCTAGGGAAAGGAGATGGATTGGTTAGTGTCGTCGAAGACACAGAAGATGTCTTTGACTTGGTCATTGTGTCTGGAACGGATATGAACTCTCCGTCTATACCTGAGCGAGTGGCCGAGAATGGATTCCTTATCTCAGCTGCAAATACACCGGCCAACATGAGCAGCCTGTCTATTCTTCATTCGTCGTCAGATCTGCAGATATGGCAGAACAAACAGACCTCGAGCAGCTACACCAACGGCCTCACGATCGTGATGCCACCGAGCCCTTCCCCAGAAACCCGAGAACTGGCAACTCTTATCAAATCCGGAAGGCAGGGCCCGACATACGAATGCGAATTTCTGTCTCTCATCGAAGGCTCCAAGGACTTGCGCGGCGATATCGTCTTTCTCGCTAGTCTCGACGCAAACCTCTTCTTCGAGCATGATTTCAGCCGCGAAGACACATTCCAGGCTGCGCAGTCCTTACTGACTAGAGACGGGCCTGGAAATATCGTTTGGCTTACTCGAGGGAGCCAAATGGAGGTATCCTCTCCGGAGCAGGCACTTGTCTTAGGGCTTGCCCGCAGCGCACGCAGCGAGAACCCGGAGCTTCGTCTGGTCGTGTTGGATATTGGTCTTTCATCTGAGAATTCTCACACAGCCAGGTTCACATCTTCCATACTGGACTCTTCGATTAAAGAAGACGAGATCGCCGAACGCGATGGCATCCTTCATATACCACGCATCGTGGCCAGTGATGACCTCAACTCCAGGATTCCCAACGGCGTACATAGCGAGCCAACTATCCAACCACTGTATCAAAAGGACCGTCCTCTTGCACTGCGTATTGGCCGGCCAGGGCTGCTGGATACGCTAATGTTCTGCGATGACACAGAGCTGAGCAGCCCACTGCAGGACGACGAGCTAGAGATCGAAGTCAAGGCGTCCGCGCTGAATTTCCGAGACATCGCAGCCAGCATGGGCATCATCGACGACTTCAAGCTCGGCGATGAATGCGCCGGGATCGTCCGTCGTGTTGGGTCCAATGTCCCAGCAGGCTTTTCTGTCGGTGATCATGTCGTGGCCTGGCGTCCAGGACAGGGGGCTCATCGAACCATCCTCCGTAACCCTGCCTGTCTCTGCTACAAACTGCAAGGCCAGATGTCCTTTGCGGTTGCGTCTTCAATCCCCCTAGTCCTGACTACAGCCTACTACTCCCTCGTCGATACAGCACGCCTCCAAAAAGGCGAGACCATCCTCATCCATTCCGCAGCCGGAGGCGTCGGACAGATGGCAATCCAGATCGCACAGAATATCGGAGCTACAGTGATAGCCACCGTGGGCTCTGCAGAGAAGCGCGCGTTCCTGATCGACACATACGGACTCCCAGACTCACATATCCTGTCCTCGCGCGACGATTCCTTCGTAGAAGGCATCCACCGCCTCACCAACAGCAGGGGCGTCGATGTCGTCCTCAACTCTCTTGCTGGGCCTCTGCTCCTATCAACCTGGGCATCCATCGCACCCTTTGGCCGCTTCGTCGAGATCGGGAAACGCGATATCCACCAAAACAGCCGTATCCCCATGGACCCCTTCCGCCGCAACGTCTCCTTTGCGAGCGTGGATATGATCACCATTTTCGAGCGGAATCAGGGCCTTGGTGCACGCGTCTTCCAGGAATCCTGCGCCCTCGTCCATGAGGGCAAGATCCAGCCTCCCCAGCCTATCACCGAGCTTCCGTATGCGGACGTCCAGCGCGCATTCCGCATGCTGCAGACTGGTGCGGCGAGTGGGAAGATCGTTCTCACCCCGAGGATCGATGACCAGGTTCTCGTTGAACCGCCCCGGTTCCGCCGGAGGCAGCTCTTCCATCCCGAGAGGACGTATCTCCTTGTTGGTGGTCTGGGTGGTCTGGGCCGGCGACTCAGTGAGTGGCTGTTTCAACGCGGTGCGCGGCATATTGCGTTCTTGTCGCGCTCGGGGACGAGAAGATCTGAAGCCCGTGAGACGGTGGACTGGCTAGACGCTCGAGGTGTCACGGTCAGCGTGTTCAGTGGTGACGCAACGGACGCGAGCGTGGTCAGCGATGCTGTGGCCCGGATCGAGGCTACAGGGAATCGTCTGGCTGGTGTTTTCCAAGCTGCGATGGTGCTTCAGGATGCGCCGCTGCCTCAGATGAGCTTTACGCAGTGGCAGCGTTGTCTGGCTCCTAAAGTCCAGGGGACTTATAATCTGCATAATGCCACAGCTGCACTGCCGCTGGACTTCTTCGTCTGCTTCTCTTCGGTGTCGGCTGTGCTTGGCTCCAAGGGTCAAGCCAATTATTCTGCTGCCAACAGCTACCTGGATGCACTGTGTGCCTACCGTCGCAGCCTTGGACTGGCTGGCACGACTATGAACGTCGGAATGGTAGTCGGCGTCGGGGCAGTGGCCGAAGACGAGCAGCTGCAGACGGTGATGGAGCGGATAGGGTATGACGCGGTGAATGAAGAGGAGCTCTTCGCCCAGATCGACGCGGCTGTGAGCTCCATACAGTCTGAGAAGCTGGAGCTGGTAGACAGTCAAGGCCGAGACGCCCATCAGATCATCACTGGCATCAACCTGCGCCGGCCAACATACTACTGGGCCAACGAGCCTCGTTTCCGCAACCTCTACGCCAACCATGATTTCTCTGGCTCCAGCGAGGGCAAGAGTAACAAGCTGGACATCATGGCTCAATTGAGAGAAGCAGCGGACGATGCAGCACGCATCGAAATCCTCACACTACGTTTCCTCGAGAAGATTGCCGCCGTGTTGTCTGTTGACCAAGCCACGCTGCAGCCGAATCGCAGTCTTGGAGATTACGGGCTGGATAGTATCGTTGCTATTGAAATCCGCCAGTGGTTCTTCAAGACTGTCGGCGTGGAGCTGGCCATGTTTGACATCCTCAGCAGTCGCAGCATCCAAGCCTTGATTGAGAAGGTTGCTTCTGTGATGGTCCTCAAGAGTGAGATTGAGCCTACTGCAGCGGCTACAGGAGACGTGCAGAGCAATACCAAGTCGCCTGTCAATGGAGAGAGCAATGCGAGCAGCAGCCTGCTTCCTGTCATTGACAATGCCTTGACGGATCTGTCCGTTACTGATACCCCCATGTCCTCCTTCCAACGGCGCCTGTGGTTCATGCATAACCTCGCAGAAGACCCGTCGTTCCTCAATTTGCCTGTGGTATTTCGCCTTCGTGGACAGCCAAATAAACGCCTTGTCAAGGCTGCTCTGGAGGAGCTCAAGCGTCGGAATGAGATCCTTCGCACTGCCTACGCCGAGGGTGATGAGTTCTCTGAGCAGACTGTCCTAGATGATTGCTCCATTGATCTTCCTTCGGAGGACCTCTCCATGCACGAATGCTCTGAGACATTGCTGGACGAGTATGTCAAGTCCTTCATGCAGCAGCCATTAGACATTGAAGATGGCACGGTCATGGTGGCCGCGCTGGTCAAGCTCGCTGAGGACAGACACGCCCTCGTTCTCGTCTTCCACCACATCTGCATCGACCGAGGGAGCAGCCAGTCTTTCCTCGAACAGTTCACAGGTATTTACGATGCTCTGCGGAGAGACCGAAGCCTGGTACCTGTAGCTCAGCCTGCAGTCAGCTACAGCCAATTCAGCGTCTGGCACAACGCCCTCCTCCAGTCATCGGAGATGCATCCCAGTCTCGCCTTTTGGAAATCCGTCTACGAACATCCACCGGCAGAAGCAATGCAGCTTCTCCCATTTGCAAAAGCAGCCCGACCAGAGATCAACGACTACCAGCGCAGCGTCCACCGGACTACGCTAAAGAAGACCCTTTTGCAACGCATGAAGCGCATCGGTGCCAGACTGCAAGTCACACCAGCACAGTTCCTCATGGCTGGTCTTCGGGCATTCCTATACAGATACACCGAGGAGGAAGATCTGACCATCCACCTCGTCGATGGAAACCGTCCTCACCCTGCTGTTAACGACACCCTTGGCTTCTTCGTCAATGTTGTTCCTGTTCGCTGCCAGGTAGACCATTCCGGCAGCTTCGAGGCCGTCCTTCGACAGATAAAGGGCCTTGTCATCTCCGCTTTGCAACATTCAAAACTTCCCTTTGATGCTATTGTTGATGCCGTTGGTGCTGCAAGAACTCCATCCCATTTCCCTCTTGGCCAGGTCATCCTCAACTACCAGGTTCATGGGACCATGCCTGTGTACTCCGCGGGGGATTTTGATATCACCGATGTCCAGGGCGACGACATCCCTACTGCGTGTGAGATTGGATTAGAGGCCCTCGAGGATCCTAATGATGGCTTGAAGCTTCGTCTGGAGTACTCAAGCACCCTGTATGGAGACGCTGACATGGAGCGCTTCTTGGACAGCTTCGTCACTTTCCTGAGCAGCAGCATCCACGACTATCGTCAGCCGGTCGCAGAGGTCAACATGGTTGGATCGAAAGAGTTAGCCTTTTTAAAAAAGAGCATGTTTAACCTTGACTTTGTCCCAAACACCTGGGAGAATATATCCGTTTCTCAGCGCATTCTCGCCATCGCCCGACAGTATCCAGATGAGGTGGCTGTGGAGAGTTCAGGCGCCAATGACAACCTGACATACGAATCCCTAGTCTCCCAGGCATCTGATATAGCTCAATGGATTGTCAATGCCGGGATAAATCCCGCGAGCAAAGTGGCAATTCTCTCAAGACCTGGGCCGGCAGCAGTGGCTTCAATGGTTGGGACACTATTTGCAGGCTGTGGCTTTGTGAATCTGGACCCTGATTTCGCCAAAGAGCGTCTGGCCTTTATGATTAATGATTCAGGGGCTGCACTGGTCTTAACAGAGGACCGACTGGAAGACACTGCTCGAGCACTTTCGCCATCCCCAGTGTTAGCCCTAGGCCGTATTCCACGCTCGGAGGCGATTGACTATGCTGTCCCAACGAAAGCGGACTTTCCATTCTACACCATCTATACCTCTGTGAGTACGATAGTCTAATACCTTATATTTTTACTAACGAACCAGGGGAGTACCGGCACACCCAAAGGCGTCGTGCTGAGCCAGTCCAACACGCAGCAGATGCTCAGCACCCTCCACCACGACTACCACTTTGACCACAACGACCGCTTCCTGCACCACTCCTCAATCTCATTCGACCTATCAATCGTCCAGATATTCTCAGCCCTGACCTCAGGAGGCCGAGTGTGCGTCGCCAGTGCCGAAATCCGCAAAGACCCGCTCGCTCTCGCAACATACATGCAGGCGGCTCAGGTCTCCATCACATACTTCACGCCCACGCAGTTCGCTCTGCTGATTGAGAATGCTGCGGATGTTCTGCAAAACATGAGGAACTACCGCATTGCATACTTTGCCGGCGAAAAACTGCCCGTCCGCGTAGCCAAGGCATTCTACGATCTTGGAACACCGGCTAGGCTTTACAATACATGGAGTCCTAGCGAGCTGGTAGTGCAGACGACTATCCAGTATGTCGAGTACCCAGAGGATGATACGGTAAATATTCCCATTGGGTTCCCAATGGCAAACACCCGGCATTATATTCTCGATGCCAATGCAAGCCCACTCCCTGCCGGCGTTGTCGGCGAGATTGTCGTCGGTGGAGCCCAGGTTGGTCTGGGATATATCGACCGGCCGGATATCAACGAGCGGGCATTCCTCCCTGACCCGTTCTGTCATCAGGAAGACTATGAGCGCGGCTGGGGAAGGATGTTCAGGACCGGTGATCGCGGGCGTTTCCTCCCCGACGGGCGTCTGGAGTTCCACGGACGCATTGCCGGCGACAAGCAGGTAAAACTTCGTGGTTACCGTGTTGACCTGGGTGAAGTTGAGCAGCGGCTATTCGTGGAAGCGAATAGAGATGATTCCACAGACAAGGAAGTCCAGCTGGCTCTTGTCGACCTTGCTGTCGTTGCACGGCCAGTAGCAGTCGAAGCGCGTGAGGACACGACTGATGACAGACAGTTGATTGCTTTTGTCGTGCCTCGGACTCCTCCTTCGAAAGGTGAACAAGCGGCCTTTGCATTTCGGCTGAATCAGATGGCCAGTCGGTATCTGAATGGGTATATGTTGCCCAGTGCATACCAGTTCGTGGAGAAGCTGCCTACCACTATCGGAGGGAAGGTCGACATGCAGCGCCTGCTGAAGTGTCCCCTCACGCCTGTATTCCCGGTGGAAGAGAAGGTTGTTTCAAGGTCTGAGGCATCAGGACAGTCTGACGATGCAAACGGTGCTGTTCTGAAGGTCGTCATCCAGGGCTTTCGCCAGATCCTCAAGCTGCCACCAACACGACCAGTTGGGCCAGACGACAGCTTCTTCGCCCTTGGAGGGCACAGTCTGCTTCTGATGCGTCTGCAGGCTCGACTGAAACGTGCTCTAAAGAGGCCACTTGCCTTGAATCCGATGTTCAAAAGCCCTACCCCGGCTGGGATCACGCACCTCATTGTCGGGGGCTCCTCTTCGGTTACTGTTGGACAGTCATCAGACACTCTTTCGATTGACTGGGCTGCTGAAGCAACGCTTGACAGTGCGTTCAAGCCTTCTCCTGTCAATATCAAGTCCTCCGAGATTTCCTCTGTACTTCTGACCGGCGTGGACTCCTTCATTGGCGTGCACATGTTGGCCACACTACTTGAGGACACCTCAATAGACAACATTTATATTCTCGGAACTCAAAGACTACTCGACGTGGCCGATGTGTATAAATCTCTCGATCACTACCGCTTGTCTGATCTCCTCCCACCACGCGAGGACCTCGACCTCCGCATCCATATCGTCCCCGGCACCCTCGTCTCCCCACAGTTCGGCCTCTCGTCCGCAGCATTCCGTCAATTGGCACGCAATGTCCAGTCCATATACCACCTAGGTGGCTACGTCTCCCTCCTACGCCCCTACGACGACGCCCTACGCAGCGCCAACGTCGCCCCAGTCCACGATATCATTCACCTGGCCAGTCTCGGCCGCACAAACACACACATCCACCACCTGTCCACCTGGTCCGTTCCCCATCTCCAGACATGGTCTACCACAATCACCACCAGAGCAGCCATAGCAGCCGATGAAACCAGCGCCGCCCACTATACCCCCGAATCCTCAGACCGCCTGGGCTACTTCAAGTCCCGCTGGGCGGCAGAGATACTCATGGGCCATGCCGCAGAGCGTGGCTTTGCAGTTTCTATATACCGCGCCTCTGCTGCGACTGGGGACTCGCGCACGGCTGTCCCTGAACCGAGTGATGACTTTATCCGGACCATGGTTGTTTCTATGCTCCGTGCTGGGGCTATCCCGCAGCTTCCGCTTGCTGACCGTCCGTTTGTTGTGGACTTTGTTCCGGTTGATTATATCACGCGTGGGATTCATGCGCTGGCGATGCGTCATGCTAATACGGATTCCAGTTCTGGTGCTGGTGCTGGTGCTGCTATTTACCATCTCTCTAACCCCTCGCCACTCCCCATTGCACAGCTGCCTGCTGTTACAGAGGAGATTTTCGGGCAAAAGGGACGCAGTTTGCCGGTGGATGAATGGTTCGAGGAAGTGACGCGGCTGGATACAGCGCCTGAGGCGCAGGTTCGGTGGGCGGTGCTGAAGGAGTACTTTGATTTAGGACATTCTATGTTTGGGCCTGAGACTGAGAAGACGAGGAGTGTTCTTGGGAAGTTGGGGGCTGCTGGCTGTGAGGGTGTTGATGGGAAGTACCTAAAGACGATGCTGGAGCGTCAGGGATAACTGGTTTTTTCCTTTGTATTATGATAGGTGTGGAATTAATACTTGTTATAGTTTTAGTTTGTTTCCTAGCTTTTTACACCGCCGGTCTCTTTAACAAATGCAAATCAATCAATTCATATACTCTGGATATTAGGCATTACTCGCGACATAAATGTAACAACAAATCAAATAGTAATCGTCACAACCTCCCCAACATACTGACTCTCCCTATCCTTCACCAAATACTCAAAAACCCAGCGCCCAACATCCTCCCTTGAAATCGTATAACCCACAGCAGGACTCTTCTCAACACCAACCCTAATCTTGCTGAGATCACCAACACTGGCTCCATCAGTCAACAGACTAGGCCGCACAATCACATATCCACCAAGCACATCCTTCGCACTATCGAGAATCACCCTCTCCATAACCTTCTTGTCCTCGTGCGGGACTTTCAGCATCCAGTGATACATCGGGATCATAGCAATCGGGAGGTCGCGCTGGACATCGCTGATCCCCGTCGTGCTGAGGGCAATAACCAGGGGCCTCTTCCCAGTGCCACTGCTGCTGCTGTTCACCTCATCCACAGCGGTAATGATAGTCCGCATAGCATCCTGGCAGATCGTGGGATTATCCAGCGTAGGCGAGAGCGGGTTGCTGAAGAGTAGTTTCCCGCCAATACCGGAGACAATTATATCAGCAGTCCCCGATCCAGATTCAGGCTCACCCATCTGGATTGTCTGCTTGACGGGCTCGAGCTCTGTTGCTGTGCCGGAGATGATGGTGAGATTGGCGGTGATGGTTGACTCTTGCACGCCGCGCTGCGTGAGCAGGTCGCGGAGTTTGGAAGGTGTTCGGGCTACTGTTTGATATTAGCAACATTCTCACTGAATGAACAGGGCTGAGACGTACAAGCAGCACAGCGGTATCCAGCCTCAAGAGCAGGCGCCAGACAGGAGATGGTGCTCCCGCCTGTAGCACCGAAGAAGGCGATGGTTGGTTTGGATGAGGCCATTTCTGACGGTATTTCCTGGTGTATTTCCTTGCGTATTTGAAAGGAATAGTTGTAGAGAATGGAATAATCGAGCTGGAATATCTGGGGATGGTCATCTATATAGAATGAAAGAAAGTCTCCGTCTGCAGACGGAGCTTTTTACTCCCTTTCATTGGTTCACTGGCTAGTCTTGGCGTCGTCATCTTCTCCACTCGGAGGCTGAGCTTGTGTGGGTCCTAACGGCTTTTGTCGCCCAATCATAGTAGGGCAGTGACTTGCTGCTTCACAGGCTTCACCACCTCAGGCTGAGGGCAAGGGAATAACTGGCAGAATAGTCATGGTGTAGTTGCTGTGGCATATAAGAATTGAAATCGGATAACAGTTATACTAACTACAATACAGCCTAGGACGGCGGGTTATGAAATGTCCTTTCCATACTGGATATATATATCTATATAACAACATTGTTATGAAACATGACTTCCTTGGTAATAAATTAACCTAGTTAAATACAATCAAACAGCCGTTGCAATCGTCCATTAGTCTCAAGCCCATCTCCCGTGCTTCTCTGCCGGTAATTCAGCGGAATATCTAGGCTGAAACGACGAGTTACCCGGCAGCTCCATGACATTTCCACCACCAGATCCCGGACGATAGGGCTGGTAGACAGTCTCAGCCGGCAACTCCGCAGCAAAGCTCCGCCCAGGCTCCGACCCATACTGCGAGTTCACATGGGACGAAACCGATCCCACCTGTGAATGCGCCCTCGGCGAGCCCGGCATCTGATATGACGACGACCGTCGCGACGTGTCCCCAAAGCCCGATTGCAGCGGCGACGACGGCTGCATGATAGCTGCCGCACTGCTCCGATCCGCCGGGTTAAACGTCCTCAACCTGCCATCTTCCATGGTACTCGCCTGCAATACACCCGCGTCCACCAGCTCAGCTTTCTTCACGAACCGCTCAATCAGCGCCTTGGACGCGGTCTTTTGCTGCCCCTTCACCAGCGACATGAGCGTGACATTACACTCGAGCTCGGTATCCACGCACAGCACAAGCCCTTTCTCCTTGGAATCTGGAGAATCTTCAATACGGTACCGATTCCGCAAATCAATACCCAGCGGCGCATAGACATGCGTTTGCAACCCCCAGGGCTCATCGTGAAAACAGCCCTTGAAACTGATCTTGCCGGACCCCATCTTGCCCATCCCCGGGACATACTGCACGCGCTCGGTGATCTCGTACCAGGTGGAGTAGAACTCGTCTGCTGGTGCACTGCGCGGTGCTTTGACGGGGTGGTGCTCGAGCACGAGAGGGCTGAGCGTGATGATTTCGCTGTGGCTGTGGAGGATGTCGATCGCGAGTTGGCGCGGGACGGACAGCGGGATGGGTGTGGTGGTTGTGTAGATTTCTTTCTTGCGGAGCATTTTGACTCGAGATATGTTGGTATTGCTGTCTATGTAGGATGTGTGGGATATGCAGAATATGCAGCTTGGATGCAGTGTGGAGTGTGGGTGCGGGTGCAGGGGGCCCCTCGTGTTCAGCCACAATGCCAATGCTTAGTTGGCGAGTTAAGACTTACTAGCTGCATTGGGTCTAGGACGGCTATTATTAGTTCTGCATCGGGTTTATTGAGTGGAAGTGGCATTATATTGTAGAAACGTGTAGAGTAATATAATATCACGATGGGGATACCAGCCACTCCAGATTACTTGAAACCCACATAAGATTGCAAGCCCACCACATTCTGTATCTCACTGGATGGGCTTTATAGCGGCTGTACATGAATGCGATCCAGGTTCTGATATGTAACATTCACATACCCAGCCTCATGCGGCGCATCACCAACAAACCACTGTTTCGCACTTGCATCGCCACGCAGAATCCACTGCAGGATCTTCTTCCCAGTAACCCCCGGGATACCGGCAAACTCAACATCAAACGCCTCACTATGTCCAAGGGTATGACTTCCCTTCCACGCAGCTGTCGTATTCGGTAGGAATCCGTAGTCTCGTTCTCCCTTGAAAGATATTTTATCAGCTCATCATAATAGGATCAGAAATCAGGCAAAAGCATACATTCGGATACGCAACATCCCCGGGCCCTCCAAGAATATAAAACACCGGCTTCGTAATACTCCCGGCAACACTCTTACTCTCATTCGCAGCCAACTGCCCACTATTAAAGATACCCAGGTGGCTCACCCGGTCGTCATGCGCCCCGGCACTGTAAGCCTCCAACCCGCCGCAACTCTGCCCCCAGACGCCGATGCGGGTGTAGTCGATATGCTGCCAGGCTCCCTTCCCTGCGTTGGCAAACACCCAGTCGATCGCGTTGGTCAATGCGCCGGGGTCCTGGTCTGTTGCGACGGAGCTGGGATCAGAGCCTTCGGTGTAGGCTTCTGGGTCGGTGAATGCGGCGCCGGTGGCGATTGCGAGCGCGCCCCAGGATGTGACTTCGCCGAGGAAGTTGCGGAATTTGAGGCCGTCTATTTAGTTAGCTTGGTGTTACGAGAATTAAAAGGTAGTGGCGTACTGAATAGTTCGTTAGCAATGCGCGACGGCACAGTGGTTAGGGCAGACGTACCATGGCTCACAGCCCCCGTTTCCCCAGATAATAACCGGGAGTTTCAGGTCGGAGCCAAAGTCTTCGAGACTCGACTGCAGTGGCTGGTAGAAGGTGTGGTTTGGGAGGGATTCGACTTCGAAATAGTACTGTCTTTGTAAGTCGAGCTCAGGGGGGGTGATGCAGGACATACTGATTTGTAAGGGCCGGAGCCTCCATACTGTTCTTGTTAGCGGAATATATGACTGTCCAGAGTATAGACTTACTGAAGAGCCATGGTCGGTTGCGACTGCACACGCAGCGAGTGCCAGAGTGAGTACAGTCTTCATGGCGCAAGAGACGATAAATTCTCAAAAAAATGAAGACAACATTCAAACCAGCTACTGGTATTCTCCAAGAAAAGCTCCCATTAAATATTTACGTCGTCTCCTTTAATATAACCCCCGCATATTGGAGCAATCACGCCAGTGTCCACAGATGGAGAGATGGACAACCCCTGCAGCGGATAAACGATCTGCAACCCATAAGCCAGCGGATATTCGCATCTCCGGTTTCTGAACGAGGAGCTGCCCATACAAAGTGTAGGATAGAAAGGGCGTCCCCATTGATGTCCCCATGCGGCCCCACGTGTCCCCATGTCCTGACTCGCGGCTCTCCACTGCAGAAAACCCGAGAGGGTTATATACAATAGCTGGAGGGTGACTGAATCATGTTCTGTGGATACTACTCATCTGATTTCACTGGGGTAGGGGTTTAGCTCCACATGGTGAGTATATCAGGAGTATATCAGGCGTATATTGCTCTTATATGACTATAATTGACAAAAGGTAAATGATATTGCTTGAAAGATAAGTATACCGAGGTAGGTAATACTACGAAGACTGGCAAATGCCGACATTCACCCGTGCAGGCGTGATATGTCAATATGATACAAATATGGACCCCTGGACTTCTTAACAGTATCAAAGTCCTGTGCTAGGAGCATACTGAGTCTAGCTCAACCAGCCATTGTTGGCCCATTTCACCTGCAAGAGTTAGCAAGAACAGCGAGAACAAAGTAGAGTCTTACATATGAAGGGTTAATCTTCTTCAGATCAGGCAGACCCAAGTTGCCCGCATTGATGGCAATCTCATGCTTCAAGAGCTGGATGGCATGCTTCACGCCATCAACACCGTAGGTATTCGCAAACATAAACGGCCGGCCCAGCCCAACAGCCTTGACGCCCAGCGCAAGCAGCTTCAAGACATCCGCACCATAGCGAATCCCGCCATCAGCATAGATCTCAATCTGGTTGAACAAATCAGGATCCTCCTCATGAATCTCCAATGCAACCTCCAACGACGACGGCGAGCTATCAAGCTGGCGACCACCGTGGTTCGACAGAATAACAGCCGGAACATTATGCTTAATCGCAGCCCTGACATCCTCTACAGTCTGCAACCCCTTCAACACAATAGGCAGATCCGTCATACTGCGCAGCTTCTCATAGTACCCCCACGTCTGGAACGTATAATCCGAGTCACTCGACCCAACCCCAAACCGATCCGCACGATGCCGATTCCCATCCGCAGCCGAATCCGCCGTATACACAATCGCCTTCGAACCTAGCTCCTTCGCTTTATCAAAGATCTCCTGCGTCGCCGTCTCATTGCTATCCAGATAAACCTGCTGAAACAGCACCTGGCCAGAGGCATTGGCCGGCTTCGCAGCCGCAATCTCCTCCATGCTCAGCGTCGCATACAGCGCAGGGATATAGAGGATATTCTCCGCCGCAGCGGCCTTGACGAAATTCGCCTCTGCTGCTTCATGTCCGAGTCCCGCGCTCGCGCAGGGGCTGATATAGAAGGGCGCGGAGAAGTTGTGGCCCAATATACTGGTGGAGAGGGAGGACTCGATGTTTGTGATGTCGACCATCACGCGTGGCCGGAAGCGGAACCGTCCGAAGACTTCGAGGTTGTTCCTGTAGGACCATTCGCCGGCGGCGCCGTTGCGGTAGTATGTGTAGGAGGAGGCGTTGAGGTAGCGACGGGCGGCCCAGTCGAAGTCGGGCAGCCCGAGCATGTTCTCCAGGTCGGGGAGGGTGCCTGCTGGGGTGTCGCCGAGGACTTGGTCGATGCTGAGTATCTGTTAGTCTGCATGATGTATATATCTAGGGATGGGTGAGTACGCAGTATCAGGTTCATTGAGGAACGGCCTGGTCGCGAGTGCGACTGGCAGGAGAGAGAAGACAGCAAAACGCATTGTGGATGTATGGTAATTCGAGTGTCAGCCATCATGATGAGATACTGAGTGACATATTTGTACTGTAGTAAGCTGATAACAGCCTGCTTGCTAATGATGACCAAGATCACGCATTCTGGTCCAGACTTGGCTGTCCTATGAGTGACACACGATCTGCGACGACAAGACCCTCGACGCCACTTTGAAACGGCCGCCGGCGCACCGTCCAGGGCCTGACATTCTAGCCTGATCCTAGTTTGATTGAGGCGCAGGGATCTTGACTCGATTAGGGCAATGGCCAAGACCCGATGTCGCAATTACAGCCTTGGCAGGACGAGGTCATTCTCCGATGAAGTTGCAGAATAATACACAACACTGGCATATTGTCTCTGACTGCGATATCACCAGTTGGCAAGACAGGTAGTGGGTCTACTAACGTCGAGACAGATATCTCAGCCGTGTTAATCTCCGACAACTGCGGAAGGGATTGTCAAGATCAAGTCCCCTGAGATCTGCGACGTTCACAGCTTGTCAGAAAGGTCTCGGTCCGACTTTAAGACGGCGAGACCACTGATGTTCTGGACTGGCAGACGAGGAAGCAGATTGTGTCGTTACAACTGAGATTGAAAGGATTGAGCCTGCTGAGATCCATGGCTTGGAAGGATCATATCGGAGATTGGCCGTTCTCTGCCTGCTGTTTATTGGCCACGCAATCCGCTCGAGGGAGAAGAAGGGTCGAGGCCAAGTGTATGGACGTGGGGACCTGAGCCTGAATTATAGTTACTTGGCTATGGGTGTTGGAAGGATCATGTATTCAATTCAGATATCTTGAGTATATAGGACACATTCATTTACCCATGGCAACACACATGTCATGTCCATATATTGGCAAAACGTGACAGTCGCCTATCCAAAATATATATGTTAGAGACACGATGCTCTGGGTCATTAGATGCTGAACTCAGCCTGGGTTACACATAATATCTCGCTGCATATACGTACCAGTAGGGGAAGGCAGTAGCCGAATTCCAATGCATTCCCATGGCAGACGTCGATTCAGAAAGAAGTGCACTAATGCAGGGAGATTGAAAAATAATATACACGCACTGAATATAACAGCCTGATGAAGGAATTGAAATTCAAAACATGTCGACGGGAGGAGAGATTGCCATGCATGAGCCTATACCCTTATGTGCTCGGCCATAGACATGACGCATTTGGCCCTGGACTGTGCGTCTTCCACACTTGGGTCGTGGCATTCTGCATTTAATAGTATCAACGGACAGCATCCGACATTCTGCAGGCCTGGACAAGCGTCCTCTAGTCCTAGACAGGAAAGGAGGTGCGAGGTTCCCTGGTCTCGACTGTCCGGCCCCCAACGCCGACGATCCAACCAAGCCACTCGAGCCAGATACCCCGGGTGATCTACAGTGGGATGCGATCATACGAGGCTTGTTGAGCATATCTGCACCATTTAAACTGGGTAGAGAAGAGGTCTTCACCGACAGATCCAGAATGGTATGCACCAGGTCCGTTGCAGGAACGTCCTGGCCGACTATACTCGCCGGCCGGTGGATGGTGACGGGAAGGCTGAATGTCGATGCGCATGACTCGAGATATACCTCGCTTGCCCATTTTGAGGAGATATACCCTAGCCCAGTCGCTGTAGTGGTGTCTTGTATAGCAGGTGGCGGTGTGTCTTTGAGAGATTGGGGGAGGAGTGCACCGGTTTTGTTGAAGTGAGCCACGCCAGCTGTGGAGATGAAATGGATGGGAATTGGCATAGTAGTTAAGATATATATAGTCTACTAGAATTATTTATTTCAATACTTAATAAGTCCTTTTCAAGTACTTATTAAGCATCTTGTATTAATAAAGGGTAGTTTTACTACTTTATAGGCTCGCTTTTATGCTTTAGAATAAAGTATATAGATTTAATATAATAAAGTAATATTCCTGCCTGAGGCAGAGTGTGTCAGCATCGAGCCCATCTACGTAACTACGTAACTACTTTCTGGTTAGTGCTGACTGGTATATTTTAGTATATTCTGGCACGAATAACTTCTCCTGTTCAACCTAACTCTCCTCTCCTCATACTCGACTCGACTTCATATTATACTGATTCACCATGGCATCAGGCCTCTTCTTCGACCCAATCAAGCTGCTGCGCATCGCTCCCCTCGTCACCACGACGTCGTCCCTGATGTTCGCCTGGGACGAGCACTGGTTCCTGTCTGGCTTCCTGCAGTCTCACGCCGAACCAGCCACCGACGCCGACTACAAAGCCCACAGCAACGCCCTGCTGCCTCGCTATTTCCGCCGATTCTTCGACCAGGGCATCTGGATCATTGCCTCGCTCAACACCGCCACCCTGGCCTCCTCCATCACCAATCTGCTCATCGACCGCCCGCTCAGCAGAACCTCGACCCGCTGGTACAGCGCCGGTCTGGCTTTCACTATCGCCCACTTCCTGTTCGTCCCGCTGATTGCGTATCCCATTCGGGATATCGTTGAGGACCGTGCGCAGGGCGAGAGCTCGCGCGATCTGAAACGCTGGATCGATATCCACCGCGTTCGCGTCGTTGTGGCGGATATACCGGGCTGGTTGAGTTTCTTTGGGGCTGTTTTGGCGACGCTGAAGCTGTAACTAGCTTTCCTCGTTGAACCATTGCTGCCCGTCTGGGATGCAGGTTGGGATATAGCAGTCTCCCACACAGCTCGCGGTGCGTGTGAAGAGGACATCCAGTCACTCAGGAGTGTTAGAGGTTGCGGTGGTGTTCCGACTGTGATGTTGAATAGGGGACCTAGGGCTGATGACTGCATAGGAACAGCAATGGATGTTGGTGATGCCGTTGCCTGAGACTCAGCGAGCGTAGGCCATACTGGCTATGGCCAGTGCAATGAAGAAACCTTTCTGGAAGTCCATTTCGTGGTATACATGAAGATCCTTTCTTTTCTTTTCTTTCTTTTCTTTTATGCCATTCCAGCCGCGAGCGTAGGCAATATCAAAATTAACAAGCACATGTTGGAGATTTATAACAGAAGCTGGCAACTGATTGCAGTATTTTCAATTTACCATATATATAGGAGATATCTAAAATAAGCTATAACGCCCTAGACCTTCTCAATCTGGGCAACGCTTGTCTTTTGTATATCTGCATTCTCAGCTTCAGGCCCAACTTTAGCCCTCCATCCCATCCACCATCTCCCACCAAACAACTCATCCATCTTCTCCATCGGAATCCCCTTGGTCTCCGGTGCCATCACCGCCAGCAAGAACCACCCAACCGCACAAACCAACGCCCAGAAGACAAACGCCCCGTACACATCCAGCGTCACAAACATATTCGGCGTCACCCGCACAACAGCAAACTGGAAGAACCAATGCAGGGCCATATTAGTCGCGTAGCACACACTGCGGATGCGCGTTGGGAAGATCTCGGTGCTGTATAGATACTGCACGGTACACAGGCCGATGGACCAGCCGATGGCGTAGATGAAGACCGAGGCTATGGCTGCGTTTGATGCATGCTCGTTCTGCTGCTGTCCGGTACGGAAGAGGGCCATGTATATGGATAGGTAGACGTGCGTTATGCACTGCAGTCCGACTCCGGTCAACATGCACCGGCGTCGGCCGATCACGTCCACCAGTCCCCAGGTGAAGATCATGGTGAAGACGAGCTTGATGACGCCGTAGACGCCCGAGGTTATGAGGGAGGTGTCGCTGCCGACGATGCCTGCGTATGTGAATATCTGTGTATGCGTCAGTAGACTCGACTGGTGGGTTTTATTTGCATAGAATAATGTACCTGTGGAATGTAGTATGTGATGCCGTTGCCTCCACTCCACTGAGCTACCGTTTGCATGAGCACCCCGAGGAGAAATCGCTTGCGGTAGCTGGGGCAGGTTGCGATCTCTCTGATGATGGTCCAAGTAGACGCGTCTTCGAGATTCTGCTCCCTCATGCGGACTTGCTCTTGGATACCGCGGTATTCGAGCGCCACAGATGGGTCATCCAGGTCTGATCCACGAAGGCGCGTGAGCGCTGCCAGTGCTTCGTCGTCTCGGTCTTTGGATGCGAGCCAGCGAGGGGTGTCGGAGAGGAAGAGGGAGCTGAGAAGGGCGAATCCAACAGGAATGAGAGGGATTGCCTGGACGAGCCGGTACTGCGCTCTACCGACCTCCATTTCTGAATTCACGCCGAAATTGATGAAGAACCCTATAGCACCGTTAGGGTTATACGAGAGACTGGACGAGTCACGAACCGATGGTAAGAAAGGACAGCAGAACGACCATGTAGATGCTCACGATGGTTCCCCTGGACACTGCTGGTGCTATTTCAGACAGATACAGCGGCGCAACGACAGTCAGGCCTCCTGAACCGAGTCCGCCCCAGATGCGAGCAAAGAGCATCAAACCAAGGATCCCCGAAGAAAAGACCTGCATGAATGTCCCTGTTGCCCACAGCAGCACGAAGACCTGCCAGGACCGCAGCCGTCCGATTCTGTCTGTCAGCACCAGCGCGAGGAGGGATCCAAATGCTGCTCCGAGGACACCGAATGAAGATATATTGGCTTTACGATCGGCCATGCCACTAGGGTCGTCTTTCCAGAGCTCGGGGAGCAGCTTGAAGTCCTGCTTGAAGGAGTCCAAGCCGACAGAGGCGCTGAATCCTCCTTCATCGTAGCCTGAAATGGTCAGCCTTGTCATGTTTCTTGACTTAGTTTACCTGCCTTTTGGGATTCCCCCGCTGGCAATAACGAGAATCGTAAAGACGTAGTACGGCGTGAAGCTCTTCGCGTTGAACATGCTGTTATGCACTGGTCCAGGACGAACGACACGAGTGCATTTCAGGGCAGGGCAGACAGTTATACTTCTGTTACCCCATACCCCGGGTTTCCCCAAGAGTAACTGACAGAGAAAGGAATAACAGACTCTGCTCGGAAGCTGACCGAACAGACTGAGAGACCTCCAGCTCGGTCAAGTTCCGAGCATTCCAGCGATTTCTGCCTCTCGGTCAACTTCCGAACTATGTTGACAGTACTCCCTTCTCCAATGTCTATAGGTACGTACATCAACATGCATCTTCCGTGGTGGGCCCTGCACGGGGACGGAGTTGGGGGTAGGATCTCTTGCAAAGTGCTTATGAATTGGTACAAAGAGTCCTGGAGCATGGCTACTCCGTCTTGCGATTTTCTTTATATGGTTCATATTGCTTTTTGTTTTCATTGCAAGTCTTCTCAATGCGCCGATTCATCTCGTTACTCCAGAAAGGCCTTTCCGGCCTTTCTCAACTGATATGGGAACTTTTCTATCTACGCAAGGGTCAATCACAAACCTATCCAGGACGTATCGTCTCGAGACCTCTACACAGGATTCCGCGAGGCTCTTGGGACAGCCACATGCATGTGGTACGTACGCACACTGAACAAGCCGTCTACCGAAGTCCTCAGCCTTTAATATCTAATACAACAGGTCGACCCATCCACGTATCCCCTCGCCAAAGACGCACTCTACACGCCCAAACCACATCTCCTCTCCCAGGCCCTTCGCTTCGAAGCATCAACCGGAATCCGCAATATCGTCCTGGTGCAACCCTCCATATACGGAACAGACAATTCCTGCTTGCTAGACGCTCTGCGAGTCTTGGGACCCCGGCACGGACGGGCAGTCGTTGCCTTTGACTGCGACACGATAGACACCGTAACCTTAACAAAATGGCATCGGTGGGGTGTAAGAGGAGTCCGCGTCAACACACAATCAATCGGTAAACATATCGATGTGGAAGAGCTGGTGGCTACACTACGCAGATACGCAGATATCATCCGGCCCTACAACTGGGTCTTGCAACTCTACGTACCACTAGCTACAGCCGAGATCTTAGAGGATATTGTCCCGCAGCTAGGAGTGCGAGTCTGCTTGGATCATTTTGGATCTCCTGATCTCCTGGACGTCTCGACGTATACCGACGATGACTCGGACCCGTATAATCTGCGTGGGTTCCGTTCGCTGGTGAAGCTGCTGCGCCAGGGCAGCACGTATGTTAAGCTTTCGGCGCCGTATAGGATAAGTCGGGATAATAATGCCTGGAAGGACTTGGAGCCTGTTGCGAGGGAATTGCTGAAGGTTGCTGGGATGAGTAGGGCGGTTTTTGCTAGTGACTGGCCGCATACGCGCTTCGAGGGGTTGGATATCAAGCCCTTCGTGGAGATGTTGTTGGACTGGTGTGGGTATGATGAGGTTCTGGTTGAGAGGGTGTTTAGATGCAATGCTGAGGAGTTATGGCAATAGAACAGAATTCACTGCACTAGACGCATTCAGGTACATTGGTAGTTATTGTTTTGGCTCAGCGCGAACGCAGAAGCCAGACTAAACGTCAAGGACTGCCACGATTGATCAATTTCCTGTGCGCGTAATATCAAGGCCTAATTACGCTCGGTCAAGTTCCGGACAGGAGGGCCCATAGCATACATCACTTTCCACCTAGGAGGGAATAAGCCAGCTAAGGAGTATCCCTTATCATAGACTCTCCCCTGGCAGGCCATCTCAACCAAATACACCAGGATGGAAAAGACAAACAGTGTCCAGCAGGGCTCACCAGGAGTTACAATCCGACTGCTGGCCGGTGGCATTGCGGGAGCAGCGGAGACTATGATAACTGTAAGACAAACATCCCAGGTATTCGTCAACTAACCCCCCTCTCTCCTAGTATCCGTTTGAGCTGGTCAAAACTCTTCGGCAGCTCCCTAGAAGCAGCATCAGAGACTTTCACCCGCCGTCGTCCGTTTCCCTCCTTCAGTCCACTCTCCGCAGCCAGGGCATATTGGGACTATACGCGGGCTGCACGGCTCTCGCAACCAGCAACGCACTGAAAGCGTCGATCAGGTTTTTCGCCTTCTCCAGTAGTAAAGGCTGGTTGCAATCCGTTGGCTTCGTCAATGAGAATGCAGCAACGATGTTGGCTGGCGTCACGGCCGGGACTGCAGAGTCGGTTCTTGTTGTTACGCCCGCGGAGGCCCTGAAGACGAGAATTATCGAGGCCAATAAACGCGGCCCCGAGGTTGCGAAGCCAGGGACGGCGAGGATGGCGAGGGAGCTTATAGAAAAGGACGGTATCGGGGCATTCTGGAGAGGCACGGTGCCGGTAGTAGGTAAACAGGCTGTGAATTCCACAGTCAGGTTCACGACGTTTGGAGTGCTACAGGGGGAGGTTGCGAAGCGATGGCCTGAAGCCGCCGGGAATATGAGCACGACGCTGGCGATGGGAACCCTGAGTGGGATTGTGACGGCGTGCGTAGTTAAGCTTCTCCTCTCGTTATCGGACACTGACGGAACAGATACTGCTCGATGCCATTCGATAACATCAAAACTCGCATTCAGAGTGCTGGCCACACGCATATTGGTATGTTTGATTGTGCGGCAGATATGGCGCGGAGGGAGGGACTCAGGACCTTTTGGCGAGGTACAACACCACGTCTGATGCGCTTAATGGTAAGTGACTGCACGGCGGATTGTTCTCTGGCTGATTTAGTTGCTGTCAGCTGTCAAGCAGCATAACATTCACAGTATATGAACAATTTGTCCAATTTGTTAGTTGAAGTTGATGGAATGGTCAGCCATCCTGGTCATAGCTGATTCCAAAAGTAGCGTCGATGGGAGTGAGAAGCTGAAACGCTTGGAGGGTCTCATCGGATATAGTGAATTCATTAGGATCGAAATCATACAGAAACTTATCAGGGCTCTCCAAATCGCCTTGCCTTTGTCCTGTAGAATCGGATACTTCGGAAACCAATTCGGGATACTGGTGCTCTGGTACCTTGTCATCGGGTTTGCCTTCTGCGTCTGCCGGAAGGACAAGCGGGTGCAGCCCTAATTTCGATAATGTTTCGTTTACAAGGCCTAATGCGCTGCCGACAACTGGGCTCAGAGTGCTGAGGCGTTCCAGTGCTTGCAGACAAAACCTCAGCCGAGTCAAAGCCTGCACATTTGGTCGCGAGGCCGCCTGGATCTGCAGGAGAAAGATTGATAGAGCGGTATAAATAGCATAGGACAATGATAAAACGGTATGCTCGTATCCGAATGATCGGCAGAATAGGTCGTAGATTATAATTATAGATGTCGCAGACGAGATGCACTCGACAAGATGATGGGGATCCGGTCGTGCTCGGCTTTCGTTCACTATGTTCCCTGGAGACAGCATTGGCCGGTACAGAAGGATCTTGAAAACATGATATAGGCAACTGGATACGTTAGCTGAGTACGATCTGATGGTAGACTGCGGAATACTTCAATGTGACAATGTGACTCGGCGGAGAGTATTCCGGCAGGTTTTCTGTATCGATCCTGAGGAAGGTCGGAAGGTCGTCCCACCACCTGAAGTGGTCAGAAATACATTAGAGATATCAGAGAGTATGACGTGGCTTTACTCACTGTTTCAGTGATTGGCCCTCACTCTCCAAACAAGCCCTCAGCTCCACGTCGGTATGTACCTTGGACGGGTCGTATATGTGCATGAGAATCTGATTGAAAATAATAGAAAGGCGGCACATCCACCTAAAACAAGAGATCGAGTGCGCCGTCATTGGAGGGTACTCTAAGCCCGGAGGATAAACAATTCCATGCGGCGACCACAGTTCATGCTCAGCATAGTCATCCACTAACGTATATCAGTATCAGCAATCCGGTAAGGCCTGCTCTCCGAGTGAAAGGAAGAACTGACATATAATTTTATCAGGATTCGCGCCAGAGTGCTGCAGCATCGGTGTCCTGCCCAGATACAAACTAATCATCTTGTCCCAAAAGTAACAGCTCCAAAAGAGCCGCTGCCGGATCTCGACGTCCTCATCTTCGAGGTTTAGTTCTGAATGGCCCCCATCGGCAGTGAACGTCACCCCCATGTCCTCAATAAGTCTGAACGCCATTCCACTGTATAGCCAGGCCTGGGTTCGGTTGCCTGCGCTGCACTCCTGGGCGCTAAGCAGCAGGAGGGTTTGCACGGTGGGCACCTTTGAGTGGCCACTTGAAAGCTCGGAGAAGAGCAACGTGCGTGCTTGCCTTGAAAAGAGAGCTCCATGTTCGTATGGCTCCAGGAGCTTTTGGATCTCCTTGTTCTGTTTGCACCAGCGGACGGAATGCGCCAATATGGCGTTGAGAAGGGTGTGTGAGTAGTACGGTCCGAGGACCTCCATGTCGCCTGTCAATGTTATTTAAAGAAAGCAGAAAGCCAAGTCATTGTACAGGGACTTACGCGTGAAAGCCGGGCGGTAGACAAAGTTGAACAGGGGCTGGATCCAACACCAGTGGATATTCAGTAAGAACTGGAAAGGTTCCTAAGAGAACAAGGCATAAGCATAAGCAGAGTATACAGGGTATAATCACCTACCGGCGTGTCTTGAAACGCCTCGAGGGCCCGCTGGTGCCATGCATTGTTGACCAGCTTCTCTTTCCTCTGATTCCCCTCGTCCAGCATCAAGGCACCTCTCTCTTGAGCACCAGACGCCCCGTTCAGGTCCGACGTCGGCAACTGAAAAAAGCTCGTCGCTCCGTGATATGTCACTGCGCCCTTGGCATCCACCTTGAGGCCTTTGGTGACCCCTGAATAGGTTCTCTTTGCGGCCGAGCGTGGCAGCGCTTCTACTGTTGCAGATGGCGCTGCTTCAGAAGACACAACATACCCCTTCGGCTGCGCATTATCCAGCTGGTCCTGCAGTTCCTTGACCCGTCGTTCCAGGGTTTCGGTGTAGGACAAGGTCGGATTGAGCTTGTACTCGCAGGGCTCGTCGCGTGCAGTGCAGCGGGCGCAGCGGGGTTGCTCGGCACCACACTTGACCTTTCTCTTCCTGCACTGGTCGCAAGAAAACGCACTTTTCCGTTTCGCTTTCGCGGCGGACATCTCGGCCTTCTTTGCAGGTGACATGAGGCGATGAACTGCTTGACTGCTTGAACTGCTTGAACTGTCGTTGTGCGGAGCATTTCTCGACTGGGGTAAAGTTACCGTAATGTAATTACGGCTACGGCAGGCTATTGGAACAAAACTGCAATAATACCGTATTCCATGTAACCACGGGAAATATATAACTGTACATATAAAATACTAATGTTCGAGTATATATTCTGGTTGGTGTAAATACAGAGGCCAAATATGCAGACATATAATACTACTGTAAATTAGGTTAACAATGACTCATGTAAATATATTAAGACTGGTAGAGCCATCCAACCACCAGAGCCCCAACCACCATGTCCTATCACCGACAGCCTTTGCACCAACCAACAACAAGCACATATTAGTATCTAGCCAGAAGCAGCCAAGTCGTATGCAGTAATTCTAGACTGCCAGCATGCAGAATGTAACCCCGCCTTCCATTCCCAGTTACATGCCGCACTGAGTATTATCGAACCAGGCATATAAGCCTGCCCCTCCGCCTGCTGAACGATCATATTCAAGCCAACATGGATACCCTCACACTAAAAGAACGCGCTGCGGATATATTCCAAACCGCCAACAGCCTGGCCGATGAACTGGCTGTGACAGGCCACCCAGAACCAACGTTTGCCCTGGGCCTCCCTCCTCATCTCCACGGCGATGCACCAGAGTCAGCAGCTAGAAACCTAAAGGACCAGCTTGTCCGCATGGTTGATGAGCTCAATGCACTCCTTTCAGAGCCCCAAGAGCTGCTTGTTCCGGAGATTGTAACTCCCTATAACCAATCCCAGACAGACCGTTATTGATGAATTGGTACAGCGCCTCCCAACTTTAAGCATCCACCATATCGTCCGTCTCGGCATCGCAGAAGGCTTCCCAGAGCAGGGAACCACGGTCACCGATCTCGCACAAGCACTCCATCTGAGCGAGAGTGTCGTGGGTCGGTTACTCGCACATGCCGCAACCCATCATGTCTTCTACGAGGCCGATCCGGGATTCTACATCCACACTGCAGCGTCGAGGCTGTTATGCCAGAATAAAGGAATGCGGGACTGGGTTCGTGTTGGTGCGGAGGAGGTTCTTCCGGGGATATTGAAGGTGCATATCCAAAGCTCTAACGATTCTTCAGCTAATGCTATATGTTTTCTACTGTTTAGATTGCCGATGCTGTATCACGCCATCCAGACTCTCAGGAGCCTGAGCATTGCGTATGTTCACCAATCATCCCCTTAAGCACTACTGATCTAATGAAATTAGGGTTGGAATATAGCAAACAACACAGATCAGTCTGTATTCCGCGTCCTGGCAAGCATGCCCGACCGCGCAGCTACAATCGCCAGCGCTATGGACTGGCAAACAAGACATTCTGGCTTCTCCCCGAAATACCTGGCAGAGGCTTTTCCGTGGCAGATTGACGGCCGTCAAGGCCAAGCTCTGACAGTTGTTGACGTTGGTGGTGGTCTAGGGCATATATCGCGCACACTGGCAGAGCATACACATCCAGAAGCTAAGTCTGCCACATTCATCGTGCAGGATCTACCTGATATTGTAGCCGCGGGACAATCCATCCTCCCCGAACAACTTCAAGGGCGGGTGAGCTTCCAAGTCCATGACTTCTTCACCCAGCAGCCGGTGCAGGGCGCGGACGTGTATCTCCTGTCGTCTGTCTTGCATGACTGGCCGGATAAGTATGCAGCCAGGATTTTAAAGGCGTTGGTGCCAGCCTTGAAGGCAGGTGCAAAGGTTGTGATTAATGAGCGTCTGGTGCCGGGGTTTCATGAGGCGCATTATCTGGTGGAGAGGCATTATCGGTATGATAACTGGACATGTTGAGGTTTAGGGATAATGCTGATATGTTGTAGTTCGTTCGATATTACCATGCTCGGCTTTCAGAATTCCTTGGAGCGGACTAGGAAGAACTGGGAGGATTTGATTAAGGAGGCTGATGAACGATTTGAATTGACCAGCGTGAAGCAGCCCAAGGGGGCACTTTTGGCTGTTATTGAAGTAACTTGGAGGGGGTGAAGTATATATTGGTCATGAATTCGCGAACTGAAGTTAACAGTCAGGTCCTAATTATGTTTATATGAATACCAATGTTTTAATCAGCCTAGAACCAGTGAAATGTCCTCCAAATCCAGTTCCTCCCAGCTTTCCCTTCTAACATATCCACCAGCCAGCCGATACGCCACACCGTCCTTCCACTCTACCCAGAGCACTTGATAGCTTTCCCACGGGTCACCGAGACTCGAATAGCATCTCTTCTCCAGGTCAAAGATCCTCTCTCGTCGCCAGGAGCGGTAGATTGAAACTAGCTCAACATCCTTTCCTATGTCGTGTGTTCCCTCTCTGGGAAAACCGTCTAGCTGATCTTCGTAGTGAAGGCGTAGCTTTCCAACATGAAGACCTGATTTGTTCAACAGGTCCACTTCGTTAGTGTTCCGTTCTTGGGATACGCGAGCCCAAAGGGTAGCTCTTTTCGTTCTGCAATGGAGGTAAGGCGTCTGCTCTGGCATGGACACCGGCGTGGATGGTTCAATATCAGGCACCGGGAAGGGATAATACCAAACGTCACAGTGTTCATCGGCGGCAGTAAGCTTTGGGTGCTTGAAATAGTACTCACTGCACCCTTCCGGGTAAAGATATGGTTCTTTGGGCACTCGGACGTTCCGCGTATCATCCGGTAGTGGAAGGCCATGCCGCGTCCAGCCCGGAGGCAGAGGTTTAGTGAAGTCTTTATAGGACTCACGGTTCTCGAACCAGGTAGACCTTATCCTGCGCAGGGGAGAGCCAGCTGGTGTTTTGCTCGTGTACCACTCCGTTATAGGGATTGTTTCCTGGATATCTGACACGAGCGGGTTGATGCGCATTGCTTCATGTCGTCCGACATCAACCATGCCCTGCCAGCCAATCCAGGACCAGGATGGGAGATGGACATTGCTTGAAGTACGGCGTCTGAGGTTGGTGAATCTCCAATATGGACTCCATCCTAATGCTCTCTCGAATAGCATTTCAGGAAGGCCATAGAGAAAGCCCCCAGTGAACGACCGGCTCATTGTAGACAGGAGCGAAGATATAGCAGGGATAACATCCTCGTCATGACTCATCTCGCGGTCGTTGTAGCTGTAGATGGTGTGAACGAGGGATTCTAGATCTGGAAATCCAGCTAGTATCACTTTCAGGCGCGGGTCGATGTACTGGTCGATCTCGGTCCCAGGCGTGAGTTCCTCGTGCCAGACACTACATTGGCATTCCCAGTGTAGTTCCTTATTAACGATCATGAGCTTCCGAGCTGACATCTTGTAGTCCTGGTACGTCCAGCCGCGTTTGTGATATGCGCCCCAGGCGCCCATTGAGAAGATCCCGGTGTTACGGATGGCGATTTTGTCGTCTCCGAATGGAATAATTCGTTGTTTTAGGTTTCGAGGGCTGGATATACCTTGAAGGCCGGGAATACCGCTTCGACTGTCTTTGTCTGTGGATATAATGGTAACGAGGGCGTTTGCGTATATTGCACCCCTGAGTCCCCTCTGAGTTGCTGCATCTGTATTGACAGGGTCACCATGCAGAGAGCAAAGTGCATCAACCCAGAGGTAGTGCTCTCCAAGGGCAGATGTCAGATACATCGCGTGTTGGATTATCGGCGGCAGTCGCTGTGATATCTCAGGGCTGTCAATCATATTCGGCGTCTTCAGCGTCTCGACCATTTCTGCATCGTCGACCTTGAATCCTCCAGGATTCTCCTCCTCGCCTTCTATGGTATAACTTAATGCGATATATCTATCGCAGCCGGGGCCAGAACCAGGCACAAGGCACCTCTTCTGGACGTCAATAACCCAAACAGGTCGCACCGGCTGGACTTTCATAGGATTATCACATCTTGGGCCGTGCGATTCAATGCACATATCCTTCCACTGCTTGATACTTCCTGCTTCAGCCCAGTCTGGATTGAGAATACGTCCAGTTCCGATATGGCCTTCGTTATCTTTCTTGACGAGGACCAGATCCCAGTACGGTCCCCCGCCCGCACGCCGCAAGGACGCGCTTCTGCCTTTCTTAGCAGTCATCAGCTCAACTTCATCGCTGTCAGGGAGATCTCTTAGATCCTGGAATGCCTGTAGAAGAGGTGTATGAGTTGGACATCCTGAGGCTTTCGCTTGTTCGAAAGACCCGAGGTTGATGTTGCCTTCGTGGCCGTCTTTTGTAAATGCCTTGGAGATGTCATTGCATGCCTGGCAAGAGGCACTCTCGGTGTCTCCCATTATGCAGGTAGGTGTGTTTACCCGGGAGAGCTGTAGGTATCAGAAGCTTAAATGGAGACGCGTCATGCGGGGTTGATGTGTCTTTATATAAGCACTAAGGGTCCAAGAACTGTTGCCTGCTACATGGCCGATGTGCCTACAGACTGGTAGTATAGAAACGGTGGTGCCTGCAGTTAACTATTGTTCAAGAAAAAGAGACATCTAAAGAGCACAATTTCCTGGTAATCACTATATAGGCTATGATGTTAAAATTGCTTAACTGAATAAGGAGTAAGACTCTGCTCTATGCGGTGATGCTGAATTGAGAAAGCGAGGCTCCAACGCAGCAAAAGGACGACTCATTGTCAGTACATAACTATTTTGCTGTAGGGTATTGGTCTAAGCAGAATTAGTCTCGAGCTCACCTCTACATAGTATGTGCTTGTCTCCCGCGTGGTTACGCAATTCAACCTGGACGTTCAATGGTAAGTGCGTTCACACCAGTTCGCTAGCTAGGATTTGAAACGTACCTCGAGCATCAAGCAGGAGCTTGCCGGACCAACCATGAGCTCTTGGCTGGGTGGCAGAGCTCCAAAATGGCACCTTTCCTGCGTTTAGCTTGGGTGATGAGTTTCAACCCTTTGACCATGTAAACATTGAACTCGCTCTCTGTATCTCGCCACCCATATGGACAGTGGTATTCGCGCTGAATAGTTTCACGTCACTCTCTCATCCACGAACGGAAGCAGCTCAGGGGCTGGGATGGCTGCACAGCTATCGATGGTGCGAGAGAGCTGAACCCACTAGCAGGGGTCTGCTACGCTAGGCGGCCACAGCTTCAGCAGCCTCGTCCAAGTCGCGCGAACAACGACAGCAGGATAGGAGCAGCAATCTTATAGCTGGGGCTTGGATAATGAAGCACCAACTGTCTATGCCATTCATAGTTTGTACTACAGGTTCTACTACGGGTATTCCAATCACCGGAACAGGCACGTTGAGGTAGGCAGAAGGGCCGTGATGATCCCCTCGCGTGGCACTCATTGGGGGCCAAAACATTGCAGGTTCGAGCACAGCTAACAGCTCCGATCACAGCCTGATCCTTGCGAGACTGCCTCGTGAGCAACCTCCCGCCAGGCTGATTGGGGCTGGTTCGTCGTGTCCATGCAGCTGGGACGGACCGTCAGGCACCGCGCCTCTCCCGCTGTTCCCCTGTCCAATCAGATAGGGATTAATTGACCCGCCAGGGAGCCTGGGAGGGATATCAATCCTGGATGTTTCATCGACTGTGCCGCAGGGGCCCGGGCGTGCCGGCACATCCCATAGCCGCAGAGCTGGGAATTGGACTTGAACTGAGCTTCCCTCGTGGCTGTTTGAGGCTGGCGAAGACAGTTACTGACAGAGTTATCCGCAGGTAAGTCAGGTAAGTCAGGTAAGTAAAATGACGGAGGTACGGTTCATCGAGTTGCAGTCTATAACGTCCAAATGCTTCTTCAGCGGCATCCAGACATGCGTCCACCTCTCCACAGAGCAATGCCAGGTGTGTATTCATCAAGACGATCGAGAGCGAGAGCGTCTACAGAGTCTCTGCGAGGGGCTCCATACCAACGATGCCCTCGACAAGGATGAGCGAGCAGCCGCTTTAGAGGAGATCGCCAGGCTCACCCTCTGCTATGCGCACGGCGAGCAGGAAGATATCGACGCCGCCGTGATTTACTGGGAGGCCGAGATTCAGTCTCGAGTCTCGACTACACGGCCACAGACCCCTGCTGCAGATAACACTTGCAAACCACTGAGCTTCAACCACTACCATACTCCCCGATCGAACAAGAAGGCCGATACCCCAACCGCCGTCGATGAGCTGGTACGCGAACAGCTTTTGGGAATCATGAAAATCAAGAAGGACATACCCAGCTACCTGTATGTCTTCAGTGACAAGCGCGCACCTGGCCTTTACAAGATTGGTTCGGGAAATGCCCTGAGTCGACCTACAAAGGGCTGGGACAAGTGCTACCCAGATACCGTGCTACACTGTTTCATTGAATGTCCTAACGCCCTGGGCTTTGAGAAGGTGGTGCATGCAGAGCTTGCCCCATACCGGCGCAAGAATAAGTGTCACACGTGTCCCAGGGAGCACGAGGAATGGTTTGAAATGCAGCTGCCAGATATCCTTGACAGTGTCAGGGCCTGGTCCTTGTACGCAAGCATGTTCTACCGGTATAGTCGTGCTATTGATGGGGAATCCCAGATCCTTCGTTGGGCCGGGCTCTCCAGTCGGGATGATAGATGGCGAAAATGGGCTCTGGAAGAAGCTATGCGGTGGATGAACGGCATGCCACAGCATATAACCTCACCACAGGGGTCGGCACCACCGGATAACACTATAAATACAACCCCGGGTTATAAAGCTGGTTCTGAGACTGCATCTACTGCATCTACTGCGTCTACTGCGTCAAGTCCTGCGAGTCCTTCAGATACACCAGGAACCACTCCCGCGACGACCCCCGGGTCTTTTGGCAATGAAAGCGATTATGGTCTGTCGCCGACACCCGGAGCGAGGTACAATACATGTAAACAGGAGGTCATTGATGAAGACAACGACGGCCTTGAAGACACATTCCAGAAGCCCGTTAACAGAGCTTTGTTCAAACCCAACCCGAGTTCATCAGGCCCACCCAGCATCGTGCCAGAGGACGCACTTTCCAGCAAGACGGAGGCCTTGGACTTGAGCAAAGACAGTGCGGACTCCGGTACCAAATCCCCTGCTACAAACAAACCCTCGAGCACCGGGGTGGATCGCTCGGTACGCGAAGCTCTTGAACGCAACACCTCACGTCCATGCAAGCCGGGCACCGTCTACCTCACACCTTGTCATCCAGAGAAGGAGTGCTACAAAATATACCACCGCAAGGGCAAATCTTCGAGAATGGGACAATGCTACAGCAATCTAACTCCGTATCTCGAGAAGAAATGTACAAACCCAGCAGCCATTGAGGATCTGGTCCTGGCGGAATTCGGCCACTGGATCGATAGGAACAAGTGCGCGGGCGAAGGATGCAAAGCAGCACATACAAACTGGATCAATATGCCGGGAGATGCCATCAGCGAGAGTGTCAGCGCATGGGCGGCTCTGCTTGAGAAGGGGTACGACAGAGCCAAGATTCCCGAGACTGGCTTTTCGCAGGATGAAGATAGATGGACCAAGTGGGCACAGAAAACAGCAAAGGGCAAGCATGGCCGAGTCAGGACCTTCATCCGACGCGCATCTACCTTCCTGACGGGGTGAGGTATGTTATAGTGTGTATTCTTGGTATCTTGTTGATAGTGCTGGCTGTATATATACTACCCAAGCTGGTTGGCCAAATTTAGGAGCCGGGGCTGCCGGCCTGAAGTCCCTGTATCCTCTGTTATTAGGTATATAAGTTACCTAAACTTGTTACTATTGCGCTTTAGTATTTAGGATAGTATTCAATTTAACCCATGAGTGACAGCGAGTGTAGTGGAGGAAGCATTCCACCAGACAGCGCCCACCTCCAACAAGGTTTGCATAGTGAAAAGAATACTCATGGAAGGTAAGCAGAGTGATTTATTATCCCAGAGAAGATGTTCTACCTTGGAGTATGCCTGCTCCATTCTTTGGTTGAAGTATTTACAACCATTCTGCAGAAAGAGGGGTCCTTGCGGTGGACCTATCGCGTTATGAAGCTGATACTCAGGCTATTGTAAGGTAGGAACCGTTTATGATATCTCATACATAATTATTCGGGGTCTTGGTCTTAGCACATTCCAAGTCAAAAGAAATTTGTTCTGATTGATGGGTCCGTTGGTTTGCGCGGAGGAATGTGCATCAATGGGCAACCATCCGGAATTACATTAACCGGTATGTGCTCTTGATGGTGGTCGATTTCATTTGGCATTCAATAAGTGTACTCAGGAATGCATTGTGCTACCAGTTTGCTGGTGGCTGAGGCAGTATCAACCCCCCGGACTCAGGTATATAGCTACAGCTATGCCCCGGCCGGCGGTTCATAAGCCCCTCAACTGCACAAAGCGCGGCGAGCGCGGGCCACCAACTGGAGTTGATCTGATAACAGGGCTTGAAAATGCGCTTCTCAACTGAGCTAGCAAGACTTGCGACTTTCGCTACTGTATGGCTAGGAATAGTCGGTGCTTCGCCTAGCCATTACGCCAAACCTGATTCCGATGATACTGCCTGGGACGGAACCCTAGAGAATATCATCACTCGCGATGTCTGCGTGATTGGCGGCGGTGCTTCAGGCACATACGCAGCCATCCGCCTACGCGAGCTAGGTCAGAGCGTTGCTCTCATCGAGAAAGAGGACCATCTGGGCGGGCATACAAGAACATATCACGACCCAGAAACAGGAACGCCGATTGACTACGGAGTCTGGGTGTACGAGAACAACACCGAGGCAACGAACTTCTTCGCGCACTTCAACGTCTCCCTCACAGTCCAGGATTTCACACGGGTCTCCGAGGGGAGTCAAAGATATGATCTGCGTACGGGGGAGCCTGTTGCACCGCCTGCTGGGAATATCACGGATGCGATTCTGCGTTATACTGAGCAGTTGTTGAAGTATCCTTACCTTGCGGAGGGATGGGACCTTCCTGACCCTGTCCCAGAAGACCTTCTACTGTCGTTCCGTGACTTTGTCGCGAAGTATGATCTCGCCGCGGCCGTGGAAGTAATCACGCTTTACGTGCAGGGTCTGAATAGAAACATCCTAGACTATCCCATGGTTTATATCATGAAGTATTTTAGTCTGGGTGTGCTCCAGGGCATACAGAAAGGCTTCTCAACAACCGAAACTCATGACAATCAAGCGCTATACGCAGCCGCACAGGCAGAGCTTGGAGAGGACGTCCTTCTAAGCAGCACAGCTATCAGCATACGGCGAGAGGTTGTCGATCCTGAGACTGGTTCCGAGGAGCAGCATCACATCCTTGTCCGCACTCCAACCGGCGTGACCCTCATCAAGGCAAACAAGCTTCTCGTGACGATCCCACCTATCCTCTCAAATCTAGAGCCATTCGACCTGGACGACCGTGAAAGAAGCATATTTGCCCAGTTCCAACACAGCTTCTACTACACCACAGTCCTAACTCTCTCGGGCATCCCCAGCGACGTCCAGATCCTCAACCGCGGCAATGATACGGAATACAACATCCCTGTTCTCCCTGGTGCATACGTCTTCTCCCCCTCTTCTCTCCCGGGAACCTTCATGGGGTTCTTTGGAGGCGGCGACCAAAACCTAAGAGAGGAAGAAGTAAGGGGGATAGTCCAGGATAATGCGCTGTCACTACGGAACGCCGGATATGATTTAGAGACTCCCGATATATTGGCTTATGCAAACCATAGCCCGTTCGAGCTGTTTGTGTTTGCCGAGGAAATTGGCAATGGCTTCTATCGGGATTTGTACTCCTTGCAGGGCTATCGGGGGACGTGGTATTCGGGGGCTGCATTTCATGCTCATTCTTCCGCGGCGCTGTGGAAGTTTACAGAGAGTGTTCTGGTTGACAAGGTTTTGAGTGATTGAATTGCTTATGGAACGAGGGTGCTCTTAATAAAGTTACTGGTCTAGTTCACGCCTACAGGTAGATTTCCAGAAGGCGATCCCTCCAGAGACCATGGAAGTATAACCTAGTTTATTTGCCCTATAAACAAGGAAGGGTAGGGTTAAATAACCTTATACGGAGGATACTATTTTCTAATTGCAGGATATACAAAATTCTACACACTATACTATAAAGGACACCCTTTTTCCTGATCGCTATTTCCTAGATTAGCCCTTAGCATGCCCGAAACTACCACTGCGCCTCTGAAGGCAGCCAACCCCAGTGCCAAGGTGTTGCCGTACCCAGAGGCGAAGGCGCGCTACTGGCTCGAGCGCTGCAACCTCGGGTCCCCTGGATAGCCCAGGTCCCGGACAGCATCGAGGCCGAACAGGCTCGGCGAACTGGTAGCGCAGAGGCGCTTGATGTGTACGACTGGGGAAGCACAGTTCAGTAGCGAGCGAGAGAGTAACGTGCAGTGGTGTGGGGGACCAGATGGTGGGACAGCCGCATACGCCTGGTGGTGGGGGTCAGATGGGGGTAGCAGTTAAGAGGGGCCAGGAAAGAAAGTACTTTTGGAAGAGCCGGAGAGAGGGTCGGCTGCAAAGGGGAGGATTACAGAGGACAGAGTAGAGAGATGGATGATGCGACAACGGGCAACTCTTTGCAAGGTGGAAGGTTTCGCCGCTGGTGAGGGAGTTTGGTTTTGAACTCGGCCCCAGGCAGTAGCAGCAGCGAGCCAGATATTCAGGTCAACGTCCACAACTTCCAGCGACCTCGCCAATCAGGTCTTTTTTTCCGGGTTCCGTTCAGCCCAGTATTATCTGAACCACTGGAGTTCTCGGCAGCATCAACAAGCAAATTATAGATGTCCGTGTTGCCGGCACTCTGGGCTTCGTGGAGGGCAGTTCGGCCCTTCACGTCGCGTATATTTATAAGTCCCTTCGCGGGAACCAGAGATGAACCTTTGTGATTTCCCCTGTAAGCTTCAACCAAGAGTTGTACTATGCTTGTGTCAGTTTGGCCAACTGTGTGGTCTGCAGCGGCGTAGTGTAAGGCCGTTCTCCCGTTATTATCTTGCTGTGAGACCGAGGCATCGTATTCAAGCAGGACATCGAGGACCAAGAATCTGGCTACCAAAGGACCCTGAAAGGCGAGGTGAAGGGCTGTTTGGCCGTCTCTGTTAGTCTCGTTCACATTGCTTCCGTTCTCTAGAAGAGTCCGAATTGACATATGTCTGCCAGCGGTAGCTGCTTCATGTAGAGCTGTTCGACCAGCATTGTTGGCCTGTGTGGCTACCGCTCCAGAATTTAACAAAGTTTTAATTACTGAGGTACGGCCTGCTCGTGCTGCAAAATGGAGGCCCGTGTTACCGGTATCGTCCCTATGACAAGGGTCTGCGCCCCTAAGAAGGAGTTGCGCGATCGCGATTTCGTTGTTCGCACATACTGCGCATAGAAGGTCGGGGAAGTATGGAGCGCCCAGGTTGAGAATAACTTGAACTGCGTATCTGGACCAAGGCCGTCTGATAACGTCCACCACAATACGGGCGGGATCAAAGGTATCGTTTGCCATCAGGTAGTTGAGAATTTTGTGGCGGATATATTGTGGCCGAAAAGCAGCCCAGCACAAGGCTGTGTCCATCTCGCCTGCTTGCACCAGCCTGTCTATCATGTCAACATGTCCCTGTCGCAGAGATTGCAGATTGGCAGGCGCTTCCTCTGATGAAAGCAGGCCACTTAAAGTGGCGGACCCGAATGTCGTCGCCCACGACCGTGCAAGGTCCAGGTCTTTGCCTATTCTAACTGCCGCAGTTGGATTCTGACATCTGGATAGGGTTTCAATACTCGGGGGTGCTCTAGCAAGCACCTCCCGAACAATTCGCCAGTACCTCCCTTCATTCTTCCGCGGATTCTGCGGCTTGCAGTACTTGAGTACCTTAAGATCTAGGTATGCTAAGGCCACTGCTGCGTCCGCGTCGGGGTAATTTATTATCTCTCTAATATGAGCGTGAAGCCGGCGATCCTCTTCGGCCTCTTCATATGATTCATCTTCATATCCTGCGTTTTCGTCCAGAGACCACCGGTTGTCTTCCTGCGCTTCTCCATCATCACTGCCAGGGAGTGGCCTGTTTTTAGGAGCAGATGTAGCAACAGCCGCTCGGCGTGCATACTGCTCGCTCCTGTGTCGATTTTCACGGCACTCCCTCAGGCAGCCAACGGCCCTAATGTAAATCGTGTCGTCGTCAAGGCTGCCAGACTCGCAAACGGAGACTATTGTGGAGTACTTGCCGATTGCACCCTCCAGATCTCCTAACCTGGAATCTATTTCCGCGGCCTCCATGAGATCTTCGTGGTGCGGCAGCGATTCCTCGGATAAAGACCTATGCTGAGTGGCTATGGCCCAGAGGCGCGCCGCTGTGTCCAGCTTTCCACGATACCTGGAGACCCTGGCAAATAGCGGCGCAACGGCGGCACAGAGTTGGAAGAACCTGCCATCTGGTGGTTGTAACATCGAGCTAGGCATGTGCTCTTGGAATTGGTCCGAGACCACCGCAAGTCTACCCATGTGAGTGCGAATAGTGCTTTCCTCTGGCATCCGTTGCCCGTCGTAGAGCTGTTGTCCGTTGATCAGGAACGAGCACGCTATCATTTCCAGTCTGTCCTCCCGTGGCACCGTGGACTGTAAGAAAGATCGCGCTAAATCGTGAAGACCAAGACCTTCAATCAGTGTGTCACCTTGGCCCCTGTGGAGCTTGACAAATCCGGAGACCTCCAACTGTCGCACCGCCATAGCTAAACCAATATTCGCAGCCCGCATATCCATCAGCCAGGGTGCGACCAACGAGAGCTGCTCATTTGCCAGATGGTCAGATTTGGACTGTTCAGCAAAAGGTTGAACAGTATCTCCGCGATCCCCGGTTATTATAGAAAATGGGATGCGACCCCGGCCAAGGAAGGCAATAAGCTGGAGCAAACGAGCAGAGTTTGGGCTTTTTTGTTGTAGGGTATGGTAAAGCATGTCGAATGTTGTCCAAATGGTGCGGCCCTTCTCATATGAGCCCACGTACTTTCTCATGGGCGTCTTGAGGGTCGGCTCCCTGAATCGTGTCTCAAAGAACTTCTTGTAATCGATCATTGAACTCATTCCATAGGACAAGTAAGAGCCCGCCTGTTCAATCGCAAGAGGCATTCCACCGAGCTTGCGTGAAATGGCCATGGCTACTGTATTGTCTGGGGAAATCAGTAACGCCCGATATATTAGAAACGGACTTACTTGAAGGCTGCTGAGATACTACTCCCGCACACTTCATTAGGATGCTAGCCCCCGTCTGCTCATCGACGCCTTCTAGCTCGATTCCTGGATAGGCGAGACGTAGGTGTAAATCTGACGACGTAGTCACCAGGAGCAGGTGGCCATGCTTAGAGGTTGGAAAATAATCCCGTATATCAATGTCTTCGACCTTATCGTCATCTCCGATGCTCTCAACTCCGTCGAAAACGATGATCCAGGATCGACTCTGCCGTTCTAGCCATTGAATGACGCTGTCAACGCCGGACTTCATGTTCTTTGCCCCCAACTCTAGATAGAGGGATATCTGCTCGAAGGATTCTTCCACCATTGTCCGCGAGGAGCTGTCGATCCACAGAACCACCTCGTAGTTCATGTCCCTTGACGTGAGATACTCAAGCGCCAACTGGGTCTTGCCATAGCCGCTAGGGCCCCAGATAACGGCTACCTGTCTTGTATGCATCTCAACATCAAACGACTCCTGGACTTTACGTAGTTCATCATTCCGCCCGAAAAACACTGCTTTTGAGATGGGAATCTTCGACCGGATTCTAACGGCGTCGCTCGCTGAGGGAAGAAGCGTGGTGGGAAGCGAGGATTCAAGCAGCTCTCGTGCGTAAGCTGCAGCTGTTGCAGCTGCATAGGTCTGCCACTGCTTATTCTTGTGGGAATCTGAGTAGTCGCAGATCCCTCTTATAACTAGACAAGGGAAGTGATTCATGAGTCCTGCAGCCTCCATCTCGAAACACAGGATTCCCAGCTCCTCGCCAAGCTTATCGCGAGTTTGGGCATTCTTCATGACCTGGTTTGCCGAAGCGATTAGGCCGTAGTGAATAAATGGTGTTGTTAATTCTCTTGGGGATCGTGTGACGATCTGACTGCGGTCGCACGAACTGCAAGATGGCTTGTCATCTTCATGAACATACGACGCCTTAAACAGAATGTCTTCGTCAGTTCCGGGATAAATAAGCGATGCGGTCATAGACGGGTGCATGTTTGCGGCGTTGTTAAGGTGAATTGCGATGTTATTATTCCCCAGACGATGAATTGCTTCCAGGTCCGAAATTGCAGTCAAGAGCCGGTCTGGCGGATTGTTCAGCGATCCAGTTCGATGAAACGAGCCATCCCCCAGGGCCTTCCCATAGTCGTACTGCACAACCCCAGGGAATAAACCAGTGGGTTTACTAACGACAATGTCCCCCAGACGAATATCCGCCAACGTGCTGGGTACCCCTCCACCGATCCCAACCATCAGCCCAAACTCAATTGAAGGGAAAGTCGCGAGCATCTGCTGGGAAACAACCGCTGCAGACGTAAGGCCGTATCGCCCGCTGGGGAGGCATGCTATTACGATGTTGTGGTTGCCAATCTCGCCAAGGTGGTATGTGTTGTTGTCACTTTTTGGCTGGGGAAGTGAGGCATGGCTGGCATCGAGCATCGCAATCGCGGCAGTCTTCTCGAGCGGCAAAGCGCTGATCCAGCCGACCCTGTAGGCATCGTGGCTTAACCGAATTCTTGACGAGGACATGGCGGGTGCGCGATGTGGCGCTCATGTTGCAGCTGAAGGAAGCTGAGGGGGAAGTTCAGAGAAAGAGCCGCGTGCAGTTCAGATGCGCAGCCTCGTCACGTTATTCTCGTATGTTCGCTTTATTCGCCAATCATTCCTCCCGCGGCAACGATCTGTGTCTTCGGTGTCCTTGTATTCGATATCCAGGATGAATGCGGCTCATGAGCTTATCAATAGTTTCCAGAGCACCAGGCCCAAAGCTCGAGTGTTATTACAAAGGCCGTCAACTTGATACTCCTGAAGTAGTATCCGCAGTTGGAGTTGGCCTCCGTATGGCAACAATAGGGCCCATGCCCACGTGCAGACCATACGGGGACAAATAATATTTGAATCATATTGTGCAGTATTGGCAGAAATGACAGAATCATTAGTAACTGCATCCCATCACGCCTTCCCGTCGAGAGATATCGCGAGTTTGGAGACAATAAACATGGATATATAACATAACCAGACAGCATTTTTGTTCGAATTGATAATTATCAGGTAAATGCACGTCGACGTGATAGTACACTACGCGGCCCTGCGTATTCACTTAACTGATGGCCTTCTCGGTATAGCACGTTTAAATGCTGGTCAACACAAGGGTATCAAGGCAGTCCAAGACAGTACTCCAACTTTTACAAGGGGCTGGAGCATCCTAGCGCATGCTATAATGACGCGATGATAAGCACGTTGATATCCTGCAGCTGATGCGATCTTCATGGTTTATTGCAGATATTAAACTCCCCATCCTATGATAGCTGACAGTTCGCTGATCCTGTCCTTCCAATATTATTTCAGTCTATCAAACGCAGTACAGGGGTATTTAGGCATCACAAAATGGCAGATACAGCTACAAATCATAAAAATGATCCTACTGACAAGGCGCCCCATGCCCTGGTCGACGCAGCATCTGTTGACCATGGAGTCGATGGTGCTTCAGATGGTAAAGTCGATATCAAAGAGGAAAGAGAGTTTGTATGGTATTATTCCCACCCGACTTTAACAGATCTGACTGGAGTTTAGCTTTGGAGACTTGATTTAGGGCTTCTCACCATCGGGTTCGTCGGATACGTGTTCAAATACATCGATCAAATCAACATTGTACTGCCCAGCTGGAATGAGACTATCTGGACTATAGCTAATACATCCAGAATAATGCATATGTCTCGGGGATGCAAGACGACTTGAAGCTTTACGGAAACGAACTGAATTACTTCACGACCTATTTCAAGTAGGATTGAAAATCCGTTTCTATTTTCAAAACTAACCTGGAATTATAGTATTGGATATATGATCATGCTCTTCCCATCCTGCATTCTGGTCTCCTACATCGGGCCTTCCATATGGCTGCCTGCTTGCGAGGTGATTCGCTTGGCTATACACCTCCTATCCATTAATCTAACAGTGGAACAGGTTCTCTGGGGCGTATTTACATGTTGCCTGTCAGTGGTGACAAGTGCAGAGCAGGTAAAGACACTGCCATTGCACCACGGTAATTGTTTACTAAATTATTATAGGTCTACGGCCTTCGCTTTCTCATCGGGTTCTTCGAAGGCGTCGCCTGGCCTGGCTACTATACTATCATTAGGTTAGTTCAAGCATGATTATAAGAAACGTGGTCTAACTGGAACAGCCAATGGTACCTCCCTCATGAGCTTGCTCTCCGCATGAGTATCTACAACATTGCTCAACCAGTCGGCGCAATGCTGTCCGGCGCCATGCAAGGAGCCCTATCTACGAACTTGAACGGCTCACTCGGTCGCGCGGGTTGGCGCTGGGCTTTTATCATTAATGTATGCTCAGTAGCGTTATTCCATTGACTAAATTGACTTCTGTCTAGGGAATCTGCACCATATTCGTTGCGCTGCTGGCGTTTATCATTCTTCCTGGTTACGTATGTACCACTTTTCCACGGGTTAATCCTTGTTAGTGGCTAATATATCTATAGCCAGAACGTCCCAATCCACTAACAAAGTTCTATCTCAAACCCCGGCACATAGGTATCTCAGTGCACATCAACTTTGGCACAATTGCAGCTAACTATCTGTAGATATTGCTCTGGCGCGCGGAAGACGTGTTGGACGAAAGCCCCAGCGGGGAATCACCCCTAAGTCCTTCTTTCGGACGTTTAAAATATGGTTTTACTGGGCTATCGTCCGTAAGCATTCGACTTCACCTTGGTAGAATATCAAGTATAACTAACCGCTATATAGTTTCCTGGCCGATCGGAAGCAATACCGTACCAAGTACCTACTTCAACTTGTGGCTAAATTCGCTAACGAATCCCGACGGGTCTGCTAAATAGTAAGTCCCTCTGAGAAGATGTACAGGAAATTGCTAAGACGTTTTAGTTCTGTGGCGATGCTCAATTATCTACCCATCGCCGGCCAGGCCATCCAGCTCGTGGCCGAAGTTGTATTCAGCGGACTCAGCGATAAGTTTGGACGATTTCCATTCTTGCTTCTTCATTCAGTACGTTATTCTTTTGCAGGGAATTCATGGTCTGGAACTAACACCAGCAGACGATTAACATTACCTCCCTTGCCATCCTGATAGTCCGCCCCGAAAACGAACAGGCACATATGGCTGGATATTATCTGAACTACGCAGGAGCGTCAGTCACCCAATCGCCCCTCCTCGAAGAAGGAATTTTGTTTCTAATAGAACTGATAGTGTCTCCTTAATGCTCCTCTGCTCGTGGGCCTCAACACACCTCCAGGACGAGCCAGAAGCACGCACAATCATGTTCGCCAGCGGCACAATCATCTCATACGCACTCAACGCCTTTGTACCGATCGCAGCGTTTCCAGCCTCCGAAGCGCCACATTGGCGGATTGGCGCGAAACTGTATATGGGGTTTGCGGTTGTGGCGCTCTTCATGTTTGTCGGTACGTACTTTGGGTTTCGACGAGATGACAAGAAGAGGGGGAAAGGGGCCCGCCAAGGGGAATGAATGCAATGAGCACTCAATATGAAACAATATAAAAGGACGATTGTGTTGTATGGGCCAATGATGGTATTTTCCGGCAGCCGAAATCATCAATTGTGGAGATAGATATATGTGGTTCTTATCTGTCACCTCCAACATCGGCCTTGTAACTGGAAATAAATCCCTATATATGATAAGATAGAGGAGCGGATCTGCATTCCGTTTTGGGCCACTGTCTGGTCCGTACGGTTAGGTTTAAGAACTCTGCAGCCCGCTTCATGTACTATTCAGACCTGTATGCATAATGGGCCTCCTCAAGACTGCCGTCATAGCCACATGGCTCTCATTGGCATCGGTGGTACTGTCAGCCGTTGTAGAGTCGTCTGGACTTTCAGTCACGCTGGACAATGTGCACTACTTTATATCACCGTTCCCAGCTGGCGTTGCGTATAATGGCTCCCTGGATGCAATGCGCCAACAGGCCCATCTGGGATTCATTCCTGTAACGGTTGTTTCTGAGCCGGAGGAAGACATGGAAGCGCTGTTCAGGAACTGGACAGTGAAGGACGATGTTTGGCAACCGGGATTCCTGGACACCGTGCTTCTACCTGGCGTTGATAGTGGCAGTAGGAAGGTTTCTTACTACCCCGACCGCGAGTCGACAGTGGTGGAGCTCGATGGGGGTGATATTCCCTCAGGGCCTTACTTTCTCGACATATCGACTGGGGCTGTTCACCAAGTATACCGGCTGTACGATGACTTCTCCGGAGCCTTCACCCAGTCACTGCTACAAAGGCCGGATGGACACTTTCAAACACTATCAGCACAGGTACCCTCAGCAGCGTCCTTGACGATTGGCGTTCCCTCACGGCTATACTTCACACCAACTGAAGAGAAGCCCTTAGCTGGAGCCCGCATCGGCGTGAAGGATATTTTCGCTCTTGCTGCAGTAAAACGGTCCAACGGCAATCGCGCTTGGTACGGCCTTTATCCGCCAGAGAATCAAACTGCCCCGGTAATCCAGAGCCTTATTGATGCTGGTGCTGTCATCGTTGGGCTACAGAAGCTGTCCCAGTTTGCCAATGGGGAAAAGGCCACTGCGGACTGGGTCGACTACCACTCGCCCTTCAATCCTCGCGGGGACGGGTACCAGGACACCTCGTCGTCGTCTGCTGGAGCCGGCTCCTCAATGGCGTCTTATGACTGGCTTGATCTGGCTGTTGGTAGCGATACTGGAGGGTCTATCCGAGACCCGGCAAGCAATCAAGGCGTGTTTGGGCATCGGCCGTCACACGGTCTTGTAGGTTTGGACCATGTTATGCCTATGTCGCCGTCCCTGGATACTGCTGGGTTCTTGGCCCGTGATCCTCATCTTCTGGATGTTGCAAATGTGGCGATGTATGGGGTAAACTACACCCGGTATCAGCATCGTCCTACCTACCCCAGAACCCTATACACGCTGGACTTGCCCACAGATGACACACCAACATCGCGTATTCTGGCGAACTTCACTCAAAAGCTTGCTCGCTTTCTCAACGCAAATGCAACAGCTCTGGATATAAACGCCGAATGGCATCGCTCTGGGCCTAGTGTCAAGGGACAGACAATCTCCGAACTCCTCAACCTAACCTATACAACCTTCATTACAAAGGACCAGGTGCGGCTCGTGCGCGACCCTTTCTATGAAGACTACGCCGGTATGTACTCCAATCCCAATCTAACCCACCCAGCCCTAACTGCTCAGCCGTGCATAACAACCGCCTCCCCTTCATCGACCCAGCTCCCCTCACCCGCTGGACCTGGGGTGCATCCCAACCAGAGTCCCTCCTCGCAGAGGCCCACACCAACAAAACCCTCTTCGCGGACTGGATCAACACCCAGATCCTGCCGCCATCCGAAGAAACCTGCACATCCAGTTTGCTGCTGTACACCGGCTCCATAGATGCCTTCGCATTCCCCCGGAACCACTACCTCTCTCCCCCCGGGCCTCCGTTTGGTTTCTCGAACAGCCAGATATCTGTCTTTGCGGGAGTGCCTGATACGGTCTTCCCGCTTGGCGAGATTCCGGTGTTTAGTAACATTACTAACCATGTTGAGTATTTGCCTGTTGCTGTTCATGTTGTTGCCGCGAGAGGGTGTGATGGGCTTGTTTCCCGGTTGGCGGTGGATTTGGTGAGAGAGGGATTGCTTGTACAGCCGAAGACTGGGACGAGAATTAGTGGTGGGGCGATATTGGTTTAGTTTATATTATATGTACTGTTAGAAGTTAAATGTAGATATATTGCCAAGTGTTGATATATAGTCAGGCAATTGAGCGTATAGCTACTACCATAGTGCTACGCTTGGAAGGATTTTTGATATTGCAACTGATCAATACGCCAGATTAAACTAGATATAGAAGGTTATATTTTCCAACTATAATCCCGCCTTGATCAAATAACCAGTCCTTTCTGAACATTCTCCATTCCAATGTATCCTTCCTTTCTGATGGTTACGATGCTGAGTCTGCCATGAGTATTCCTCATCTAGATAGTGCCATCCTCCTTCGACACAATTCCCTCGTCACGTTTCAGGCCTGTCTCTGAGACTATTTTCATCAATTTATTAACAACATCCCCCTTGATTGGGAGCTGACGTTTCTGGACGTTGGCGGCGTCCTCGCCGGTGGGCTCGACGTCCTGGACCAGCAAGCATATCAGTATCCCGTCTTAACGAAGGGAAAGGTGCCTGTCTTACCGCGGCCACTGTTGCCTCAATGCTCTCGTCACGACGGACCTTCGCACCGCCGCCGCCGCCTCCAATTCCACCTGCCAACCCGGCTACGACTGGTACTACGGCCGACAGAACCTCTGTGCCGAGGGGCGAAGCCTCACGCCGCTCAATCTGCTTGTTGGTCTAGATAGTCCAGTCCTATCAGCTATTTTCCAGCGTGCAATGGAGGTTATTGGTATATACCGTTGATTTTAGGCTCTCCTCCCGACGGACCTTTCCACCGCCGCCTAGGGATCCCCCTACGGGAAGTTTTTTTGTAAGGTCATCGAGAAGAGGCAAACCGCTTCCCTCAATGGCACTACCCAGTATGCCGGGTTTCGCGCCTAACCAACCGTCTATAGGTCCGCCTCCTTGAGGGCCACGTCGATCGAGACCGCTGCTTACCGGGGTATCAGACTGGATGGTGGATTAGCGTCGATATATGTGATCCAAGGGGAAAACATCCGATATATCTTACCGACTGAATCGGAGCAGCGACGGCAGCAGCGGCGATGCCGAGAACGATAGTGGCGAGCTTCATGGTTGCGTAAGTATACGGGCGATGTAAGCGATGGAAGACGAAAAGTGTCGACAGGGACGAGAAATGAGTTGCGGATGAAGAATGTCAGGGTGGAGGACGGGGTGGGTTTAAATGCTACTCTGCGCTCCTTGCTGTCCACGGGGTTGACCATGTCAACTCAAACGTCCCACTCCTGCTTTCACATACTTTGGCTAGCCACCACGAAGTCCACTCCTTGGTGTGTCTCCTGCAGACCAACCAGCATGACGAACGAGGCCCCTTCGCCGCCGCCAGGGGCCGAGATATGGAGATCATCGTTTCGCATAGCAGGAGGCATGCAAGGGGTGCCATCACTTGGGAACCGTCGTACCTTGCACTTGCACCTGGACAAAAGCTGAAAAGATAGTAAAGGGCAGAAAGGGTAGATCGTGGTGCTAACCCGCTCTCCGCAATATGATAGACCACATGTCAATCGTATCTTGATGTTAATACAGCGTACAGCAGCGCATCCACCAAGTCCTGCCATCGCCAAACCAAACCCAATTAAAACGATTGACGCGTCCCACATGTTTTCTCCCGTCATGAATGCAGATGGGATCCCTGCTGGAGAGCTCTGCACACACGCTATTTCCACAAATGCAAGGGCAGAAACTTAACAACATGCCGAGAGATCACGACACGGCTGCCTGTGTTGTTGACAGTTCGTTTCAGGCTTCTCTCCACCAGTACTTTGACCCTAAAAGGGCTTAGCTTCTGGTATATTCATGGTGCATGTGGGTTGCCCTGCATGACGAAGTGGCTGGTCTCAAGAAGGGGTATAATCCTCGCGACCAGAACAACTTTCACAGGCAAGGGCCGAGAACTCTATAGGAAATGCCCTTAACACCAACTTTATTTCTATTCATCTAATGCTATTGGTGCAAAATGCACGGCTATTGGCGATTGCGTGTCCACAGCCGATCGATCTACGTGTCAACCACCATATAGCTCGAATAGGCTCGAGGTCGAGCAGCTACTCTGCTTCGTTATCGTGCTTTACCGTTAAAGGCGAATACGCTGAATATTCTCGTACGTCTCATGCATTCTAATGGTGTTGGAGTTTTTTTTAGGAACAAAGCTCCCATTGCCGCTACAATAGCCCTAACAGACTCAATCAAGCACCAAAATTCTCATCATATTGAAAGTCATCGACCTCGTTGAACGTCAATTATTATGCATACCAGCACAATTAGACTATTTGCTGTATCATCTCGGGGTATCATATTGGGCACTGCTGAGGCAGCGATTCTCCTATTGCATATTAGAGGCGGTACTTGCGAGACGGAAACCCCAGTATACAGATGACGACATAACGGGCACAATCCTTTTCATATGAGTCTGCCAACCCTGCCTGTCCGAATTGAAATTCCATTAAATATCTACCAAGGCCACTAAACTAGTGGCACCTGAGTGTCAACCGATGAATATAGCCCAAACACCGGTGCACTTGGCACACGAACCACCAAACCTCGACGTGGAGTCGAGACAGCGAGCACGAATAAAATCAATTTCCGCACCTGTCAAATAGGAGGATCTCCGCTCTAGGGCTGATGGAAGGCCGAAACGGCGCACCGTTATACCTAGCCTGGACGACGTTCTTTTTAGTGCTTGAGTCCAAGCGCCGGATAAGCCATTATAAGCTGCCACGTTCCCTGAAAACATGACCACAATCGCAGCAGCATAACATCACTTCTACTAGAATCCCGGCGAGGTTTGCTTCATCCCTTAGGGTTACCGCCATGGATCTTCTAGAAAGAACAATCTACCACGTCCCCGACCCCCCACGGCAGACGCGCGAGCGACCCATGAGAGTCCTCGCTCTGGGGTTCTCCCGCTCAGGAACCGAGTCTCTCTCTCGCGCTCTGCAGACTCTAGGCCACGAGCACGTCTTCCATGGCTGGCACGTCTGGCAGTCCCGGCCCATGCTGTGGCGCGCATGGGCAAAGCTCATCCGGCGCAAGTACGGGTCCGACGGGACGGTCCCCGGAGACTCTGGCTTAACTCGCGACGACTTCGACGAGTACATCGGGCAGTTCGAGGCCGTGACGGATCTCCCCTGGCCGACGTTCGCGCGCGAGATGATCGCTGCGTATCCCGAGGCGCAAGTGATTCTGAATCGGCGGGGTGATGTGGACGCTTGGTATAGGAGTTACTGTACCGTTCTGAAGCCTTTGACCTCGGGGCTGTTTTATCATGTTTTCCCCTGGTTCCAGGCGGATCTGTACTGGACTAGGGCTTTTGTGGATGAGTTGCTCAAGCCGTATTTCTATGGGTCGTGGGAGAGGCATGGGAAGTGGGTGTATGAGGAGCATAGTGCTATGGTTCGTGGCCTGGTACCTGGGGATAATTTGCTGGAGTGGAGTGTTGAAGAGGGCTGGGAGCCTTTGTGCCAGTACGTATTATATGGTTGGGACTGTTCTGCTGCTGCTGACAACCTCAGGTTCCTGGATAAGGAGACGCCAAGGGAAGAATTCCCATCTGGTAATACGCCGGAGTATCTCAAGGCGGCATACGAGGTTGATCTACGCCCTCTGCTTGTACGAGCGCAACGCAATATTGCGATCTCGGTGGGCTGTCTATGCGTGATTGGGGCTTTGCTTGTCAAGCGGCCCAACATCAGCTGGGATATCATTAAGAAAGTGGATTTCCAAGCGTATTTGAGAAATTAAAGTTGTACCACTGGGAATGTATAATATGTGAAACTATCCTGTGTTATTGGTTGTTTCATATTATGAACTGTGACGAGCAACCTCGGTGGTTGAAGAAATTGTGATATCATTGGATGCCAGCGTAGACCGTGAAGATGACAATAAATGAGTAGGTGTAGCAATCAACGAGTCATTAACAGTGAGGGTTATATCACCAGTTGACTCCAAAGCTATATAGCGTGTAATCTAGACGTAAATTCGTTGATTGATGGAACAAGTGGCCCCTTACACGTCGGACACTGGTTAGACAGCCCTATAAGCCCCAGGTTAACAGTGAATACAAAGCTGCGAGTATAAATGTCCAAAGCTCCCTGGGCTGACTCTGTTCATTTATCGCCGTTAAGTTCCCTTCCGGTGATTCCCCTCCTCAGCTTCCAACAGTTACCCATTCTACAGGGAATACAGTATCCGACATGGACCTCAAAGGCGCCCATGTCCTCATCACCGGTGAGTCCGCTGCTCTCACTGCCCTTCAGAACCTCCACTCACAATCCCTACAGGCGGCACTCAAGGTGTGGGCGAGGCTCTCGTAACGTACTTTCTAGCGCAAGGAGCAGAAGTCTCCTACTGCGCACCTACAGTCAGCAACACCGAATTCAGCGAGTTCCACAACTCCCTACCCAACACCAACACCGCGCGCGCCGTCGGCACTGCATTAGACATGCTGGACATAGAGGCTGTAGAGGACTGGGTCATGGATTCAGTGCGTCGAGTCGGCAGGCTTGATCTGGTTATTGCCAAAGGTACACCCCTCCCAATACAGCAGTCATCCCAGTCTCAGCGCGTAACTAATAGGAAAACAGCATCGGACATGCAGATGGACGAAGAACGTACCGATACCCAAATCCAGTTGCCGTCCACATTGGCCGCTGAGATCCTGAGCCTTAGAAAGCTCATCCGCGCCACAGCGCCGCACCTGGCGAACGCTCCGCAAGCATCCATCGTAATTCTGGGCTCATTCATAACCCGCAAGCTCTCCCGTCCCCCACCGGTATCGTTCAGCCTCAGAAGGGCCACGCAGCTACAGCGTGCTCATGATCTGATTGAGCACCTAGGAGCCAAGGGGATCCGGGTTACTGCGATCTCATCAGGGTCGATTCTGGGGGTTTATAGCAGGCGACAGCAGTTTTCGGGAACACTGCCTGAGCGTGAGGTGGAAGAGAGGCTTGGGGAGCTAGGTAATGTGAATGAGCTTGTGAAGTCTGTGGCGCTGCTGTTGTCCGATCCCGCCGCGTGGCCGGATGCTGGTAGCCACTGTTTGGTTGATGGGGATATTCAAATTGTTACGCGGATCTAGCTTGGTCTTGATAATAATACAGCCTATCTATATACATTACCTTCTATCGTTTGTCGATTGTTCTATTCTACTCCCGTAGCCCTAACTCCGAATAGCCTCAGCCGTTCCTCTTCGGGAAGTCCGCCGCTCCCAAACGAGCTAGGCCGGGCCCCAGCTTCTTGATATTAATTTATTGATCATGATCTAATATCCCCGCTAGATCTCAGTGGATAGCCGTCAAAAATTTCCTTAAAAGCCATATTGGATTAATATAGATCTCTTGGCTAGATTAAATCTCGTAAACCGATGGCGGGGAATGTCTATTTAAATACTGAGCGGACGAAGCATTGACCTGGCCAGCCTCAAACTAATCATCTATACACGATGAAGTTCCCCCAGGCTATTCTTCTCTCTCTAATTGGGACACTTCCCAGTCTTCTCACCGCAAGCCCTACATCCAAAACTCCATCGGCGTTATCTACCCGTGGCCATGAGCACATCCCCCAGACAGTTGGACGACACTTCGAAATAAACGGCAAAGTCCAATACTTCGCAGGGACAAACTGCTGGTGGCTCGGGAATCTTCTCAACGATTTCGAGGTGGAACTGGCCATTTCCCAAATTGCTGACGTATGTCCATCAACTACATCCTAGGAAATGTCTTTACTTACAGCTCTAGACCGGCTACAAAGTCGTCCGAACATGGGGCTTCTTCGGCGTAAACGACCCGACCAACCCCGGTCAGCCGGTATACTACCAAGTCTTGAATCAGTCCTTGTACGAGGGTGGGCTTGGTATTAACTACGGCCCGAATGGTGAGCATCCCCGATACTTACGATGCAGGATAGCATGAACTGACGATATGGATGTTAACAGGAATCTCCCGCCTCGACACCGTCGTCTCCCTCGCCGAGAAATACAACCTCAAGCTCGTCCTCGCCCTAATGAACAACTGGGATGATTTTGGGGGAATAAACATCTACAGCGCGGCATTTGGCAGTAACGCCACGAGTTGGTATACAAACCCACACAGCCAGAGCGCATATCGACGGTATATCGAGTTTATTGTCAACCGGTACAAGCACTCGCCTGCGATTTTCGCATGGGAGTTGGGTAATGAGCCAAGGTGTAAGGGGTGCGATACTGGGGTTATTTATGAATGGGCGAAGGGGGTGAGTTCGTTTATTAAGCGGTTGGATGGACGGCATATGGTTACCCTTGGAGATGAGGGCTGGCTGTGTCCACCTGAGGGGGATGGGACGTATGCATACGACTGTTCGGAGGGTGTGGATTTTGTGCGGAATTTGGAAATTGAGACTTTGGACTATGGGTATTTCTCCCTCTACTCCGACGAGGTGATATTCTAACAACTATGCAGTACTTTCCATCTCTATCCCGAGTCCTGGGGATATGAGTACGCCTGGGGCAGCGAGTGGGTGCGCCAGCATGATGCCATCGGCAAGAGATTCGGCAAGCCTGTGGTCTTTGAGGAATATGGGACGCCGCTTAATCATACGCAGCTTGAGCGACCATGGCAGTTGACGACGTTGAAGGAGACGCAGGTGGCAGCGGACTTTATCTGGCAGTTTGGGACTGTGCTTCCTATTGAAGGAACCAGATGGGGGGATGTCAATTCGATATACTATGGGACGGAGGAGTATGAGGTCCTTGGGTTCCAGCATGCAGAGGAGATGCTTGCAAAGCGTGTTAAATATCATTAACCCTGAACTGGGCTGCTAAATAAACGCCAACCAAGCCCGCTCTATAATATTCCTCGCCTTCTTCTGCGGCCACCAAATTGCATCCAACTCTGCCTTCCCTGTAAACAGATCGGCTTCTTCAGGTTAAATCCACAGGATATGTTTAAGCACTTTCCAAAACAGAAAGAAGCCAAAGAATATCGGAAACCCAATATAAGACGTAATAAACCCTGGCGTATTCTACCCACCAGCAATATAGTCGAACCCGCTAAAGAATACGACCATGCACAGGTACTCCAGCGTGCAATACGTCAAGTACGGCTGAAGTGGGAATGAGAATGGGAGAGAAGCCCGGTTGACTTTCTGCGCTTCTAATGCAGCGTGAAAATGCATATATGCGATACAGATCGAGATCCAGGTGGATAGTGTTGAAACCGTGGTTAGTTTCTGGAACCACTGGAAGGCCACGCTGGAGCTGGAACCTATTGACATGAACGTGAAGAAGGAGATGGACGTGGTAGCCAGTAAAGCCCATATGGGAATTCCTCTGTTGGTGCACCGGAGGAAGAGCTTCGGTGCTTGGTTATTCTGCGCCAGGGCATAGAGGTAGCGCGTACCCATAAAGACATAGGAGTTGCCAGCTGAAACACTAAAAGCAGGTTCTGTGAGTCGGTTACATCTGCTGTGCTACATTTGCACTCGTGAGGCCTTGCGCATAATGATATTAATCCGTACAATATCATGCTGAGGGCCGATAGATCTCCAGCCTTCATTGACTTTGACTCCTGTCAGCCTGTTGGGCATCGGCTGCAGTATTTGGGAACGGAGGGGTGGTATGAAAAGCTGTTTTATACCTCTAAGAAGGATCATGACCTATATGCGCTGGGTAAATTGAGGGAGTTGATTTAGGGTCCCAAGTGATTGATGTTATCCTCCTCTGTGGCTGACCTTCTGCTACGGGTGGATACTTAGGTGACCACTATACAGATTTAAAAGGTAGTAAACAAACATTTTCTTCGCAAGTATTTGGCTTCGGTTTTTATATACTCACTATCTTTCTTTATCCATATTAGCCGTTACGACGTAGGATGCTGTCTTCTATTGTCTTCTTTATCCGCTCACGCAGCTCAATCTTCGTGCGAGACTATAGCCTCGTGAATATCTTCCTGTTCATCATCAACCGAACAGCCAAAATCAGGCCTGCACTCGCCAGCGTCAAAGACCCAGCATAGAAGAACGCAGGCCGAAAAGCCACAAGCCCTGCTTCAGCACCACCATACGCTTCGAGTAGATATCCGGCAATCGGCGAGCCCTAGCCAATATTAGGAGATCTTCATCCAAATTCTGATAGCATATGTAGGTGGCTTTTTACTCACCAAGAAATATCCAAATGTCCAACTCGTCGTCAAAACCGACATAACACTAGCCAACTCGCCATCCCCAAACACCGCGCCCACAACCACCGGCATGAGACTGAAGAAACCCCCCGAACCAACACCATTCAGGATCGCAAAGAAGATGAGCAGGCCCAAGGAATTCGCAAACGGCCACAGCGCCATCGCCGTGATCCCGATTACCATCAACGAGGCGAACATGCTATTCAATGGGCCGAGGACAGTGTCCGCGCCGAATCCCATTCCAATACGACCCAGAGCGGAGGCAAGATTCCAGGCTGCAAGAATGAATGCGGCTGTTTGGCTGGAGAGGCCGACGGAGGTTATGTACAGTGGCAGCAAAAATGGAGGTACAAACAGCGGAAATGTAGCGATTGTACCCATGGCCAGCATGATGAGGAACTTGAGGCTGCGGAACAGGGACCTATATCCCTATTCAATTAGCACCCTGATCCATACCTTGAGTGGCTCGTGAGTAAAAGGCAAGACTGACCACTTCATAGTCGCAACCGCGCGTTCCCTTCCCGCCGGCGCCTTGAGGAAATATGCCGCCGGGAGACAGATAGCCCACGACGCTCCGCCGAGAATCTTCAATGCCGTTTCGAGACCTGTCGCGCTAATGAGTTTCTCCAGCGTAAGTGCAATAATAGCAGAGCCGATTCCTGCACCGCCGTAGACGACACCCGTTGCGAGTCCGCGCCGTTTCTTGAACCATAGCGATGGGGCCGTTGCTGCGGGCTGCCACGTATTAGCAAACCTCAGTTCTTACCAATAATTAGGAGGAGGGGATAATAGGTTAAGATGATAATAGGTAATGTACCAGGAAAAGCAAAGCAGACCCAACACCAAATAAAAACCCTTGCGTGACAAACATCGCAGGGACAGACTTAGTCGCCCACCCCGCCGTGAACTCGCCCAAGCCGAGAAATATCCCACCAAGAAAAGCAGTATATCTGTACCCGACTGCCCTGATAACACGAGCAACAAGCGTCCCAGTTAATGGAGAGATCGCGGCGCCGACGGATCCGATGAAAGACAGTGTTGATACGCTTGCGAGATGAGACTCTGCTAGGTGCAGCTGCACGATCCCGTAGGAATAGATGAGGCCTAGGAAGACGAAGAATATTGCCGAGCCGGCGGCTACGACGGGCCAGCCTTCTTTTGTGTCCCATTTTGGTTCTGTGCTGGTTTCGTATGGTGTTGCTGCTGTGGATTCTGGTTCTGGTTGTGTTTGTGTTTCTGGGTGTCGGGCGCGCAGCTCGGTGGCGCTGGTGTTTGCGACCATTTCGAAATGGATTGTCTCGGTACTGGCTAGATGGGATTGCATGGTTGAAACTTCCAGTAGTGTTGAAGAAGTGTTGAGCTTGGGGTCGATAAATTTCATCTGGTGAGTCAGAGTTGGAGACTGCGGGGAATCAACTACAGCCAAGATGAAATCAGTTCATTCTTGGTTACATTTAATGCTGCTCGAAAACTTCTGGCTTTCCATGTTCAGACTTGCCAACAATCAACACATCTGGGTAGACTGGTCCAATAACACCGGGTACAAACAAATGAAAGCCACTGTCAATGGCGGACTACTGTACAAAATAGAGCACGCAGAGAAATAACCACGGCAATACAACCACTCGCCTTTAATTGACCGGGTCGTGGAGGTACTGCACCCAGCTCTGAGTCTCACCGACTCCAGGGCCCGGATTCTGGTGACGTGGTGATAGGTATCCGTCCTCAAAGTAATCCTGGATGATCACGTTCGGATATTTCTCGCAATACCCACGAACGATCTCCTCGATGGGTTTGAGAGCCTGATCCTCGGGGAGCGGATCCAACATGTCGTTCACCTTTACAAGAGGTCTCTTCTGTTCCTCACGCTGGTACTTGTTAGTATCGAACCATATGTGCGTCCCGGTGGGAGCATACCAGCATATACTTCGCGCGAAGCTCCCTAATCTTAGCTGCATTCGCCCAGGCATCCGTTTTGTGGGTCAAACTGATGCACCATCTCCCGTAGGACTTCCAGCTCCACCATGTGCCGTTAACCTCCAAGAAGTCCAGCATCTCAGGGGTGCCATGACGGCATGTAAAACCATGGAAGATCAGCTTTAGGGTTTCGTCGTTGATCAGCCTTGCCGTCATTCCCATTTTCAGCATGGCGCCAACGACCTCCTTCTTGTCTTCTGCAACGGCAGTCAAGAGGGCGCGGATACCGTGGTCAGCGAAGCTTTTGGAGGTACGGTGGAAAAGCACAAGAATCCCTACGTGCCCCATTCGAATGGCCATGTCGAGAGCATAGCCACCGTACTTGAGGTTCATCATGGGGGTGGCTCCCTGGCGCATGAGAGCAGCGACGCCGCGAAGGTCGTTGCGCATAATAGCAACCCACATTCTGTAGCTCAGTTTTGCTTCTTCCGACGGTCCCTCGTTGCTTGCGTCGCTGACGGTGAGGGTAGATCCGCCAGGGGTAGCCTCAGGCGCAGAGATTCCGGGGAATACAAAGACATTTTGAGGAGCATCTTTGGCGATGCTAATGTTAGTCATGTCAGCGTCAGTGATGCCAGTGTTGGTGATTCCAGCGTTGATGACCCCAGCGTTAGGGATACCAGCGTTAGGGATACCAACGTTAGTGATACCAGTGTTGGTGATTCCAACGTCGGGTATGCCAGCGTTGGTACTACCAGCGACAGTGATGCCAGCGTCGGATTCGTGGGCACCACTAGGTCCAGCACTTCCGTGCCCACCCATACCGACATGACCAGAGACGCTGCCGAATTGACCGTTGGCTCCAGAGGCATCAGTAAACATAGAGTTATTGGTTACACTAGATGTAGCAGTGTAACCAGCGCCATCAGCGGAAGGGTTTGCCGAAAAATCAGTGGCGCCCAAACCAGTATCAACCTGGGATAGAATGTCTTCCATACTAGTGCCCAACGAAGCATTGATTTCAGCAAACATCTTATCGAAGATGTTTCCCTCTCCGATATCAGACATGATGGCGTGCCTCATCAGTCATCTGTGTCAGCTATCGGTCGTAACAAGATCCAGAAGGATATAACACTTACTTGGTAGATCTGAAGCTGGGCACTGCACGCTTTGTATACCAAAGACCCTGTTCCTGGCAAATATGACACCACAATCTATCCTGTGTTAGATGCTGACTGGCGAGGCCTGGACTTCTCTTACAGTCTCGTTCCAGTGATTCTAAAAAGGCATGCAGTGAAGTGAAAGGGTAACCAAGCTGGTGATATCAAGCGAGATCAGATAGCAAATGCCAATTGACACACTTCGACCAACAACGGAAAGACTTCAGGGAGGGGATATCGTTCAAGCACATTCTTCCATGGGATGTTTTGAAAAATTCGATTGTTGTGTTCGACGACATAAGCAGGCGTGAATGGGTATCATGCGTGATGATGTCGCGAGCAGAATCACTCGTCTACTGTCCCGGGCCATGATCCATCATTCACAACTCAGAGTTAGATATCACCAGAGCAATAGCCTCGAGCCTTTTATTGGAAGCTGTAATATTCAACTACATGTTGCAAGCACAATATCCGGGCAGGAGTCGTCATTTTCTTGGTGCAACCCAGGTCGACAAGCGACATTTCTCTCCTGGAGTCCTCATCAGTAGGATAAATATCCAATTCAAGCGCGAATCTTTTCTACTAACCCGGTACTCAGATGAGCCATTTTCTCAGTTGAGCCGGTTTCCTCTCATTGTCAATCACCGTCGTCTTCTATAGACCAAGCGGAATCACCTCGATCCAACGAACGGCGATTTAGGAGCCCCGATAAAAAGAAGCCATCTCTGACTGCTGAACTTGTACTTGATGAATACTAGAAACTCCATCATGCCAGCCTCAGCAGTACGTATTGGAGAGTTGCGATGCCATCGTGGGATGGGAGTGGATCAAACGCCTGGGTACGCAGATGTAGACGACTGCTCTCGGAGCAATTGACCTCACTTCCATTGATGTTTTATTGGATATTAGGCGCATGAGTAAACGGGGAAATGGACGATCTGGGCCCGTAATATGGTAGGAGTGCGAAGATTGAAAGAGGGGAAGAACAGAAGAGGGGTCACTATCACAGCGATATATATTGACTACTCTCCGCTTTCTAAATCACCAGTTCACTTTTCAGAGCAGCAGAATAAACCAAAGAGACGGTTGGATTGCAGGTGGCACAAAGCATAGACCGCATCTACTCGAGTCGTTTGACTTTGTTGAGCTGCTGACCGCAAATCGGCATCCGCAGAGCACACCCCCCATTGAGTGCTTGTCTCCAGGGAACCTCCACCCCTCCACCCCGACTTTTCTTCTCTTTCTTCCACCAGCGACCTCTGGAATCCTCTCCCTCTGTCGTCTTTCTTCCAACTCCGTCTATCAATCTGTCCTAGTTTTCCTCCGTCGCCAGTCAAAACGCGTCTCCATTGCTTCCCACCGCAGCTGGGACCCAGGGGTTCCCTCGTCCACCGCTGCAGGCCAGCAAACCTTGCCATCCCTCGATTCTCCCTTTGCCGAGATATAAACACCATCTGGCCTCGTCTGCCTGCTCCTCCAATCCTCCCGTCCGTCTCAAATCATTCGTCTCCGTGTCCGACGACCAAAAATCTCCCCGCACAATCCCCGCGCGACGTCATGAGCGACAACACACCCTCCCCGACTTCCGGTCCCGCGACAAAACCGTCAATATCACCGCCTCCCACCGCAGGCACAAAACGAAAGAGAGGCGCTGCTGGAAAATACTACGCCGTGAAGGTTGGATACCAGCCGGGTGTTTACTATGAGTGGAAGGACTGTTTGGCCCAGGTGACGGGTTTCAAAGGCGCCGTTTGTGAGTGATTCATTTGCAACACAAAAGGCACTCGTCTTTTTTTTCTATTCTTTCTACTCGCGCCAGATTCCAATATTCCAGTCAATTAACGGATCTATCTTCATCTTTCAGTCCAGGGCTTTCCAACTATCGAAGAAGCGAATGCTTTTCTCACCGGTGCGAAACTTCCGTCGCGAGGCGCGTCGCCGCTCAGCGCGGAGCCCACAAGATTCTACGCGATCCAACGAGGCCATAGACCAGGGGTTTACACCAACTGGGCCCATGCGCAGGATCAGATCAAGGGATTTCAGAAACCTCGGTATAAAAAGTTTGCGACGAGAGAGGAGGCGGAGGAGTTCGTAAAACTCGGCGGGCAGGCGGTTCAATTTGGGACGTCAGAAACGACATTACCCGGAGCCCCGGGATTGACAAAAGATCAACAAGGTTCTACAGTTGAGCCTGGCGAAGGTCCTTTACCACCAGGTGCGGAGGATGGGTTTGATCCGAATCTTCTTCTCGATCCGAAGACTGGCAAAGTTGTCTACAGGACGAATGAGCAAAAGGCCGCCACAAAGACACTACATAAGGGACCACCGGGAATGCTGCGGATCTACACTGATGGGAGCTCGTTGAAGAATGGAAGAACACAGGCTGCGGCCGGCGTCGGGGTGTACTTTGGGCCGGGCGACTCTCGGTTTGTCTACCTCAACGTACTGACGGTTTAAGAGTATACCTACTGACGTCCCCTCTCCCAGCAGAAATGTCTCCGAGCCGCTTAAAGGCAACCGCCAAACGAATCAACGAGCCGAGTTAACAGCGATCCTGCGCGGCCTCGACATCGCCCCGCGACATCGAGACGTGACCGTGGTCACTGACAGCCAGTACGCAATTAACTGTGTTACGGTATGGTTCCAGAAGTGGAGGTCCAACGACTGGTTGACCGCGGACAAGAAACCGGTGGAAAACAAGGACCTTGTGGAAGCAATTTTGAGCAAGATTGAGGAGCGTACGGAACTCCGGGTCAAGACCCTATTCGAATGGGTCAAAGGACATGCTACGGATCCTGGGAACCAGGCGGCGGACCGTCTTGCGGTGAATGGGGCGCACCAGGGCGTCGCAGGTCAGTCTCGTGGAGATGTCAAGGGCATGGAGGATGAGCTGTAGTTTAGACGGCTGGAAGTATGTCGGTCGTGATTGTCTCCGCTTATTCAATAAAATGCTGCGGGATATCTGAATATACATTTGAATGTAGTATGATGTGCGTAGAGTTACAACAGGGACAATTGTTTCAGGGTCCATGGTCGACTGGAGCCCTGGAGAAGACTGGTTATCCCCGATTGGGCGATCTCCGGCCAAGCTCGTCTTGTCAAAGCTTCGCAATCCGAACTTTTCTCTTCTTCATCTCCCACTGCCATCGCTCGCCAGATATCATCGCCTGTATCTGCATCTTCCAATAGCTAGCGAGATCTCATGAGACAAAGCTTGGTTCTCGAATATTCAAAACTCTGGTTCCTTACTATGGTTGAATAACACACAGTGAAACTCCTTCCGAATCGACCCCCACCTTAAGTAAGTCCTGTATAATGCGACCAAAACTATTTTACTAACAAGGACCCTTCAGTACTCTGTATTTACGGGCTTATCTGCAGGTGACATTCTGCAGCCATGCCGACTTTATCTTTGATCGACTTCAACATCGTTTGTGCGACGCTTGGCGGGTTCGTCTCCATCTTCGGGTTGGTCTCGTACCTGTTCAAGGAGAGATTCTACCTATCCGAAGCATGTGCGTACGCCCCATCGAAACCGCTTTCAGATACTAACCAAACCAGTAATCTCCCTACTGGCCGGGGTGATATTCTCTCCCCACGCCGCAAACTTCATCCGACCACTCGACTATGCGCTCGGCACAGAGCAAAACCTCGACCAGATCACGCTCTGCTTCACCAGACTCGTCCTGGGCGTCCAGCTAGTCCTTGCCGGCGTCCAGCTGCCGAAGCGGTACCTGCAAATCGAATGGCGGAGCCTCTCGCTACTTCTTGGTCCCGGCATGACTGCAATGTGGATGTGCAGCGCCCTCGTGATCTGGGCCCTCGTGCCTAATTTTTCGTTCCTGCATGCCCTTGCTGTTGGCGCCTGTGTTACGCCAACAGACCCTGTGCTGTCCAACTCTATCGTCAAGGGCAAGTTCGCTGATAAGAATGTGCCCCAGCCACTGCAGCGAATTATCATTGCCGAGTCCGGTGCGAATGATGGACTGGGTTATCCGTTTCTTTTCTTTGCGATCTACCTGATTCAGTATACAGGTATGGGCGGGGAGGGGTTTAGCGGGGGTGCTGGGAAAGCCATGGGCTTGTGGTTTTATGAGACTTGGGCTTATACGATCCTGCTGAGTGTCGGGTATGGAGTCACTGTTGGTTGGATCTCTAGGGAAATGCTTCACTGGGCGGAGGAGAAGCGCTATGTTGACCGCGAGAGTTTTCTCGTCTTTGCCATTGCGCTTGCGGTATGATCCGAAGCCAGCTCAGAGGGATACGGACTAAGCTAACTGTCGCAGCTCTTTATCGTAGGAACCTGCGGGCTTATCGGAACAGACGACCTACTCGCTTGTTTTGTCGCAGGCAACGTCTTTACCCAAGAGTATGCCCTATATCCTCTCCCAACATGCCTAAAGCTAACTTGCTAAAGCGACTGGTTCCGCCTCGAAACAATGGACGACTCCCTCCAGCCCACAATTGACATGCTCCTCAACCTGGCAGTCTTTATGTGGTTCGGTGCCGTCTGTCCCTGGTCGCTGTTCCTGAACAACAATGTAATCCCACTCTACCGCCTCGTCTTTCTAGGAGTCCTGATCCTCCTCGTCCGCCGCTTGCCTATCATCTTCGCCATGCACAAGTACATCGACCAAATTGAGAGCCTCTTCCAGACATCCTTCGTCGGTTTCTTCGGTCCTATCGGCGTTGGTGCGATCTTCTACCTCTCTGTTAGCCGCGAGTACCTCCATAAGATCACCGTCGATGGTAAGGTCCGCGAGGATGCGCAGCAGGTATCTGATGCGATTGAGGTTATTGTGTGGTTCCTTGTTATTTGCAGCATTGTAAGTCCCATCCTTAAAAACAAACGAAAGAAAGAAAAGAAGCTAATTGTTTATGATAGGTGGTGCACGGCCTCTCCATTCCGTTCGCAAAAGCAGGCTACCACCTCCCGCGCACCATCTCGGCCGCAATAAGCACCAGCACAACAGCAGAACTAGAGCCCGCCCCGCTGGCGTCGAACGTGCCCACACATAGCACGGCCACGCCGCACGGGAATACTGAATTAACCAGTCGACGGACGAGAAGGCATGGTGCCGAAACTCTACCTGCATCTGCAACGACAACTCCAGGTTCTGGCTCTGGCTCTGCATCCGATTCTGGATGGATGCCGAAAGGTGGAGTGCTGCCAAGGTACTCGCATTCATATTCGCGTACACCCGAGCCTGTAGCTTTCCAGATCGGTCGGAGCGTTGCGAGGACCATGTCTCCGTCTTCTGAGGCACAGCTTGGATCGGGGGGTGGGGAGGAGCCTTCGAGGCCGGTGAATTTGGTTTTGAAGGCGGCGGCTGCGGATGGGGAGGATGTCGATAGAGTGAGGACTGCTTAGGCGTGGCGTATGTATACTTGAACCGTCTCGCCTTTTAGTCATGGACCTCTATACTCCTGGTATAGGGGGTCAGCCGAAGTGTCAAGAAGAAGATAGGCATTACTGTAAATATCTTTGAACAGGGGAGACCGCAAGTGGTATACCAATGCTTATGCGGTCTCTCATTCTATACCAAGGGGGATATTCAAATGTGTGATAGAGACAATCGAGAGCCGAAGATACGACTTTGTCTCAGATATCTATTCAAATTCCAGAATTTATTGAATTCCCACTCCTGAAAGAGATGCACTTGCTCCCAGAGCCTAAAAATGCAGTGGCTGCACGTCAGTGTCCAATCAGTCTACGGCCTCCAGCACGGACCTTCGTAAGATATTGGCAGTTTCCAACCTCTGCCTGTGCCTAAAATGGCAATGCCCCGCAGTTACAGCAGATCGACAGTTCTGTCTCCTTGCCTTTGGGCTGGCCTTAAAGTTAGGCGAGAGCCACTAATCGTACCAGGCGAGCCTGGCATATACCGGTTGTATGACAGTGTCAATAACAAGCCAAGTAAATACCAGCCTGGAGGAACATGCCGTCGCTGGTGGTCCTTTTTATTAAGACAAGTTATAGCCATGGTATGGTCGGTTCTATAGGAATGCCATTTCGTCCACATCAGTATACACATACTCGTCTACTTCCGACAAACAATCTCAGCACTCGGAATCGAGAACCAAGCTGCCTCTTCCTCCCTCCACTGCCTCCAAGCCTCCGATATCTCCTCCAATTCCTGGGTAGTTGCCAGCCCATTCTCAACTGCTCCCTTTGCAAACGCCGACTTGACCACTCTATCCTGCCACGTCTCACTCCACCACTTGACCTCCTCAGGCTTCGCAAAACACCACGAGCTCACCGTATTCTCCACCTCACCGAACCCGGTGCGCCTCGCCCACATATACAAATGCCGCCCCGCATTCGGCTCCCCCCCATTCTTCCTCGCAACCTGGTCATACAGAGCCTGCCACTTCCTCAACGCAGGTAACTCAGGATACCACATGAAAGCCGCATAATCAGCCTCTCTTGCAGCAACAATCCCACCCTGCCGACAAACGCGCCTCATCTCCTTCAACACCGCCACAGGGTCCCGCACATGCTGCAGAACCTGGTGGCAGAACACAACATCAAAGCTCCCGTCTTCATAAGCAAGTGCATTAGCGTCGCCGGTCACAAAGTCGATGTTCGTGATGTTCCGCGAGGCTGCGAGTTGCTGCGCTGCGGGGAGAACGTCGCCCACCATGTCTAGCCCTGTGATGTGGCCGTTGGGGACGTAGGTTGCGAGATCTGCGGTAATTGTGCCGGGTCCGCACCCGATGTCTAGAATCTTCATGTGTGGTTCTAGATGTGGGAGGAGGAATTTGGCTGAGTTGAGCGCTGTGCGTTGCCCGTGGGAGCGTAGGACTGAGGCGTGGTGCCCGTGGGTGTAGGTTGCTGTTTCGGACATCTTCTCTTCTCTTATTACTGGAAGTCTGGTAGGGAAAGGTATGTTTAGAGTTGATAAGATGTAGAGTCTGACTGGATGATCTGTTGTATCTGTTGTTGTTATATAGGCAGATGGGCACGGCCGATATCGGCGCTGATCTCCCCGCGACGAGTATTAACAGCCAATCTGTATAACAAACCTATTTATAGTTGGAGTATTGACGTTACTAAGAGTGCAAGCTCATTGGACAAGGTAAATCTATATCAACACTCTACCCACATACCCTACCCCCCTTAAGTACCAGGCAGTACAACCAACCTCTATCTATATCTATACTAAGAATCACCCCCCACCACCCTAACAACACCCTCATGCCTCGGCACAAGCTGGATGCGAAACGGCTTAGGAGACCTCCCCGACAGCCCCTCATACTCCTTTAAATCAATCGGCTCGCCCGGAATCTCACGCATATCAAACGCCCAGAGCACCCGCGAGATAACAAGGAAGAGCCCACGCTCGGCGACCATAATCCCAGGGCACACTCGTCGCCCGATACCGAAGACCCAGTGGTCGCGCTGCATGGGGTCTGGCGTTTTGGCGCTTTCCGAGGAGCTAAGGGGGTCGTTTATATACCGTTCGGGCTATAAATGTATTAATATCTTGGTTTGATATTTTATTAATGGATAGGATACGTACGTCGAATTCATACGGGTTCGGGTGACGCATAGGGTCACGCTGCATTGTCCATGTATTCAGGACGACTACTGTGTCCTTAGGGATGAAGTGGTCGCCGTACACGAAGTTTTCGCTGGTTGAATGTGGAGTGCTCAGCCATAGAGGGCTCCTGAAGCGTCCGACTTCTTTGATTATGGCGCGGCAGTAGGGCAGGTTCTTTTCGTCGTCGTTGGTAGGAAGACGGCCACGGCCAACTACGCGGTCGAGCTCGGCCTGGGCTTTTTTCTGGATCTCCGGATATGCTGGTATTATTGCGAAGAACCATTGCATTATGGCGGCGGTCTAGCACAGATGTTAGAAACAGACGGTAGAGATTGGTGGAGATGCAGAATACCGTCTCGACACCCCCTATCATGAAAGCAGAGACGAGCATGGCTGCGTCTAGATCATCCAAATCTTCTTTCTCGCGACACTCGACTAGACTCCTGGCGAGACACCTGGGGACATCAACTCCTTGCTGCAGTTTCTGGTCAATCTCCGTAAGCAGCCCGCCGTATGTTTCCACCAGGCCGCAGTGGAGTCTCTTTGCGCGTCTCTGCATGGCACTGGGGAAGGCTTGAAGAACGGGAATAAAGTCCACGAGGTTAGATACTGGGCCAGTACAGTTCCTAGATCAATCATCAACACGGTATACCTTGCAAAATTGAACGGCACGCACACAAACTCCTTGTTAAGCTCCGCGCCGCGCTTCACAATCGGATGGTCGATTCCTTCAAAGCGGGCACCGAATGTGATTTCGGCCATGACGCTGAATGCACAGCAACTGGCGTGAGGCTGGCTGGGTGAGCATAAGCCTTAACGAGGGTTACTGTATATCACATACCTGGGGACTGACGGGCACCAATCCCTGTTGACCCTCATCCAGCATATCTTTGATGAGAGCCCTCGACTTGCGCTCCATCATCGGGGCGTACGTACTTACAGCGCGTGGAATCAGCCAGTTGTTGGCAAGACGGCGGTGCTTGCGCCTGATATCAAACAAGTTGCGATGTCAACGAGGCCATCCTTTCAAAGGTGTTGAGTGGGACAGTTCACGCACCATCGGTCGTTATATGGATTTGAGACAACACCACGAAAGCCAAAGACTGTCTGGCCCTTGATATAGGTTTCCCTTCGCGAAGAGAATACCGTGCCATTCGTAACCATCAGGTCTTTGGCTACTTTTGGGTCGGATATTATGACGAACAGTTGGCTGCCTATCCAGATGGAATAGAGTCCGCCGTATTTATGGGCCCATTTGTCTAGCGTGAGCTCGGGGAATTTGGTCAAAGATAGAAAGCAACCTGAATAAAACTGTTAGTCGGATATGATGTATGGTGATGCGGAGGGTAAGCAATAGCATACCCAGGATAGGAAGGCCCCTGGGCCCTTTTGGGATTCTGCTGCCTCTGGCACCCTTAAGTGGTCGGTTATACAAGATATAGATGGCCAGAACAAGCACTGCTGCAAGTGGCCAAAAGGTTTTGGGGTCGTCTGGGGGTATAATCGGCAATTGTATACTTGCAAAAGATGCACCCGCAAGAGTCGTGTTTTGATACATGCTCGGCTGCATATGCTTACAGGGAATCGAGTAAGCTGCAAATTTTATAGATACATATTGAGCATCTCCGTATATATAGGGGATTCCTTAGGACAGGGATCCGGGTCAATCTCCCACATCCGGAAACACCGAGGCCTTTCGACAAGGCTTCATGAATCAGGCGTGATCATCAGCCAGCCCTAGCCATGCAGTCTGATTAAAAAGGATACAGTATCTGCCTGATTCAAGCCACATCACAATGCATGCGAATCACTCATTGTCACCTGCGAACAGTATCCAGCCCATAACAAACAAGCCCCTCGACCCAGTTTGAAAGTTCAGGCTCTTCAGTACCCTCTAACCGGTTATGGCAAATCGATAATCTCACATCAGATCATGCGAACCATGGAGTCTGCAAGAGCATCCGCAGAATAGGGCCAAGAAATGCCCGATATGGGAAATATCGGCGACGACCTGCAGTGCTGTCCGACCAAGGAAATACCCGCGAGGAGAGCCCGAGATCTATGCACTCTGCAATATATCTCCAACTGTTGATAGGCTCGCTATGCTGCCTGCTTCGGTTGGAGTGCATGAACCCACCCCTGCTGTCTTGCATCGGGCACAACAGGTGTTCGGGCGATTATGCGGGTGACGCTGTGATATGCAGTATGGACGCACAGTAGGTCACGCCGACTTTAGCCGGACCTGAGACATCTGTTTTCGAGATGCATATTGGCGTGGGATGCTGTTTGTTGCTTCTTGAACGTCTTTGTCTTGTTGGTATTGCCTAGATCTGATCTTTGTCGAACTAGCTGGCTCTTTTCAAAGAGGATGTTAGAGTTTAGCTTTCGGTCAATATGAACGCCTAGAGAGTACCTAAATAAACTCTAGAGGTCTGTCCCTGGCTTGAATGTTATTAGAATGAAGACCACTACCGCTTTCACGGGTGGTATCGCAGTTTTATTATGGTTGTTCCGGAGCACTCGATAGCATAGTCATTTCTTAGTATATTACCGAGAATAAGGTTAAGTGGGTCCAGATCCCGCCGTTCCCGCTCTTCCGTCCCGCTTCTGTTCCGCTCCGACTGCAACTCCTCCACCACACTGCAATCTCCGCCACGATTGCTGCGATGGATGATACGGATCTAGTCCACCAGAGAAAGCGCCGCCGTGCCAAGGTCGCCTGCGAACCATGTCGCGAGAGGAAGCGGAAATGCGACGGCCGCGAGCCATGCGGGACGTGTACGCGACTTGAGTATGACTGCAGTTACAAGGGAATGGCAGGCCAAGCGAGAAATATACCAGCCCCGTCAAGCGGTTTCGGAGCTGCAATCGAGACATCTGCGTCTACCAGTCAGCCAGACGAGAGGAGGAAAAGGAAGCACCCGTCCAGCGGCCCGGTAGTCGACGTGCACCGCCATGTCCAGCTGCTGGAGGCCAATTCTGGCGCCGCATTCGTCAGGAAACTTGGACTGAATATTGATCCTTCGAATGCACCTCGGTTGCATCTATTTGGTTGGAATATCGGAGAGCGCCTGGCGAGATGCGCACCTGGGACTGCCCAGCCGGTGACAAGCATGCTGACCGCAGCCGAGATGACTCGCCTGGCCCTGATTTACTTCGACAAAGTCGCCAAAACATACGGCTGTATAGACCGCAGCCTCTTCTTCAAGCGACTGCACGCCAGATGGAATACCCCGGGGTCCATCACAACCTACGACCCGGTCTTCTGCGGCGTCGCGGCCCTGGCATTGCATTTCTCGGAGCGCTTCCCCATGGCCTTCGAGCCCGATCTCGTCGAGACCGCAAAGACTCTCCTAGAGCAGAACTCCCTGCAAACGCCACCGTCTGTCGATACAGTCACAGGCTGGATCCTGCGCGTTGCATACCTCCGCATGACTTCCACACCCCACGCAACATGGCTCGCCAGCTGCTCGCTCATGCACGTCGCTGAAGCCGCCAATATCCACCTCGAAGGCCACCTCGAGACCGTCTTCAACGACAACCCCTCCGAAACAATCGCACTCGATCTCCGCCGCCGCCTCTGGGGTCTCGCGCAGCACCTCAACACCTGGGCCTCGTTCGACCTCGGCCGCAGCAGGATCACCCTCTCCGGCGCCTGCACCACAAAGCCAGTCGAAGCCGGGCCAGTAGCAGCGTCATCTACAGCAGCAGAAGCACCCCCAGGAAGCATAGGCACACCAGGAGACTGCACCTCGCAAGTCCTCTCGCTGATCCCCCTAACGGAGCATCTCGACCCCAACAAGCCGCGCTCGGTCGAAGAGCTCGAAAACGACATCATCCAAGTCCTCGCCGAGACCCGCGATGCTCCTTCCGCCACCATGGCCCAGGTGAACCTCATGCTGTGTATATTCCGACGCCTCCGCGCACAGGGGTCCATCGATACCCTGCACCCGCACATGGACCGCATTATCGCGCTCGCCATGAAAGGCCTGGACGCGTCCCTGTCTATGGTGGCTAGTTACAGCCCCTGGCACCACGCAGCGAATATCCCGTTCCAGGTTGTTTGTCTGTTATTGGCGATTGATAGCCAGGCGTCGCTGGGGCTGTTGGGGAGGGCGATGGGGGCGTTGAGGGCTGTTAGGGATTTGTGGGATAGTGCGGTTATGCGTGAGGCGTATAGTACGGCAGTGCTGTTGGTTTATTTGCATCAGAGGCGGAAGGAGGAGGATGCGAGGAGTTTGAGGGGGGTGTTGGAGGCTTATTCTACGACGGCTTCGACGCCTGGCGAGCTTGGGTCTGCTGCTGGAGTGGATGCTGGGTTGGGGATGGGAGGTTCGTCGGTTGAGGTTGAGACAGGGCAGCAGGACTGGACGGCGGCGTATGCAGCGGAGGTTTCGTGGTTAGGGAATCTGGTGTCTGATATGCCGGCATTGAGGGAGATTGATGTAGAGCAGTTCTTGATGCAGCCTGGTGGTGGCGGGGGGTTCTCAATATAAGTAATCTAATGCATTATTGAATCAAGTTATTATACACTCATCTATACAAAAATATTATCTTAAACCTTCACCACCCCCCAACCAGCCTTCAACCCCCGATAAACCCCCAAACACCCCATCCCCACCAGAATCGCACTGCCAGAGAACATCTGCGCCCCCAGATACCTCCCCCCATCAACCCCAATCAACGCCCCCTGGATCGCCGGCGCCGTCAAGCACGAAAAGCTCACAATCGTCATCACCATGCCCGTCCGCGTGCCCACCTTGGTCAAATCATCCGTCTGCCTCGTCGCCATAGCCGGGAAAAGAGCTTGCGCGGCCCCCGCAAACAGCCCATATATCACAGTCCACACATACAAACCCGCCGTACCACCCCCTTGAATCCCAGCCCAGGAATACACACAGACTGCACAGACCAGCGAGATGAAGAGCGTGATGTTCATGATCCCCGTGTACCGCTCCGCGATGAACCCAGGCGCACTGCGGCCCACAACCCCCACTGCATTTAGCACAACGAGCAGGTTAATCGAGTCCGAGGAGCCAGAGAGATGGATCTGCTCTCTTGCGAACGTGCCCAGGTAGTAGAAGGCCATGTACAGGCCCCAGAAGTTGAGGAACATGGCGGCCGTGAAGAAGAGGAAGGGCTTTTCGCGGAAGGCCGTCCATTCGATTGCGGGGCCTGTGGAGCGCGGCGGGAGGTATGGCCTGTATGCTATTACCGACGGGACGTGGATTACGAACAAGATGAGTGCCAGGATGCGCATTGTCCAGCCGTATCCGACGGAGGTGTGCGTTAGGAGGGCGTTGGCTGTGGCGGGGTATAGGATCCCGCCTGTTGCGGCGCCGGCTGCGGCGAGTCCAACCGCGACAGAGCGCTTCTTGTGGAAGTAGGAGCCCATTACTGAGAGGCCTGGGGTGAAGATGAGGCCGCTTCCTAGGCCGACGCAGACGGCTTGGCTGAGGAGGATCTGGTAGAAGCGGGTTGAGATGGAGGCCATGCATAAGCCGAACACTTGCAGGATGATGCCGGCGAAGAGGCAAGGCCGGAAATAGCCTGCGTCTGTGAGACGGCCGGAGAAGACGCCGACGAAGAGGAGCAGGAACATCTGAATGCCCCCGATCCAGCCAATGTCGTCCTGGCTGCGGTTGAGGGCTTGGGTGTAGTATTGCTGGAAGATGCCGTAGCTGTTGGTCAGGCCCCAGGTGTTTAGGAAAACGGTGTGGCAGAGCGCGACGTGCAGCCACGCTCTGAAGCCACCGTCTGGTACTTTTGTCGGGGTACTTTCATCTTGAGGCTTTTCGGACTGCATGTTGAAGATATTGGGATGTAGTGGATGTAGTGGATGCAGTGGATGTGGGATGCAGTGGATATAATTTAGGGCCGGACCCTGCTCATTTATATATGATTATGGCCTAGGTCTCGTATCCCGCTGTTGCCGCAGCCCTGATATAATTGTTCGCAGTTGGTTGCGAGTGTGCTTGAATGCGGACGTGCGGCATCGGCGGCATTGGCGGAACAGTTGGGAGTCATAGCGAGACTCTCGACCGAGTCGCCGAACCACCGAGAAGAGTCATAGAAAATGGAGTTTAAGAATTAGTAAAGAAAAAGAAAACAAATAGTCAATTCCAATGGAGGATCAAAGTGCATTTTTAAGAAAATTATTGAAGATGCATCATACAATTTCCCTTCCAGCCTTCAAATGCAGCCCTATTTCCCGTTGCAACAAGTTAGAAGATACTGTGATATGCATGTCTACACTTGATGTCATGGAGACCAGAGCCAGAACTAGGAGCTCCTATCGTAACAGGTGGAGCTGATTATAATGTACGTACAAGGAGATATGACTGGTTTCTTATCCAGCGGGTAGTCTGGCGTGTCATTGTTGGAACTTGCCAGTGTTGTATTGGGTGAAGATACCGCTCCGTGTACATTAAAACTGTCGATAATTCTCCAGCATCGTCGTTCTTTTAGTATTTCGCCTACCCACGTACATTTGTTGTAGTTTAAGCCCTAAAAAGAACCTCCCAAACGCTTCCCCTAAACCAGCTCCTCTCCCTCTCCCACGCCTTCGTAATAAGATCCCTACCAAGCCTCACCAGATCTCGCACCTGCTCCTCAGTGCCCCATCCAGGAATGGTGCTTCCCCAGAAAATAAAGTGCACGCCCACATGGATGATCGTTCGGAAGGCGATGTCTTCAGTGATATCCTTGTACCCCTCCGCGAAGCCCTCGATAACCCAAACACCTGCATCGATATCCTTGAAGTGCTTGAGCATGTACAGTTCCGCGAGCATTTGGCCTAGATCAAGGGCTCGGGAGCCGCGTTGGGCCAGTTCCCAGTCCGTGATGAAGAGCGGCGTTACTGGGAGTGGTTCGTCGATGGCTGTTTTCGGGATTAGGACACTGCAATTATTAGCAAACATGATCTAGTTAATAGCAGGATATGAACCTACTTCCCAGACCAAAAGTCCCCATGAATCGGCCCAATCATCTCTCCATCCCCCTCCAACTCCCCCTTCGCAACCTCCCTCACCTTCTCAAAAACCTCCCGACTCTGACCCAGAATCTCCGGATACTCATCAATCTTATTCAAAATCCCATCATAGTTAATCCCAAACTTCAAGTCCCGCATATCCGTGAACCCCGCAAACCGACTCGCAACACCCTCCTGCGCCGGATCACTAACCCAGAAATGAAACGAGCGCAGCCACGCACCCAGCGTACGTCCAATTGACACCGTCCACTCCTTCGAGATACTACCAGCCACTCCAGGCGTCCGCATGAACGTCTTGAGATCTACAGCGCCGGGCAGGTCTTCCATGACCTGCGTGTATGTTGGACGGCTGAAGTGGAAAAGCTTGGGTGTTTTCACCGTGATTTGATACTTCTGACCATCTTTTCTTGAGCCCGGGCCCGGTCCAGCTATAGACGCTTCATTTGTTGTTGTTACGCTGCGCATCCCGTCTAGGGCGTGCAGGGCGAATTCTTCAACCAGCTATTACGGAGTCAGCTTTCTTATCTCTTGTTGAAAAATCGGGGAAGATAGCGGCATACGCATCGCTCTGCACTGAGCTTGAAATCCGCGTTCGAGGCGAGATAATCCTCAGCGTGCTTCACGATGATAGTGCTGGTGCCATCGGAGAGGGGTTGAGATAGAACACCGCGGTAGAGGAAATTGGCCGTTCCGCCGCTCAATTGGGTAAGGGAGGAGCAGGCGAAGGGCGTGCTGGATAGGTCCTTTGCAACGGCATCTTTTATCTCAGATTCGGCCATGGTGGTGTGTTTTTCTGTGTGTTGTTGAGGTTTCTCGTGATGGACTTTGTCGTGTTGTAGTGCGGGGTCTGTTTTGGGTTTAGTGTCAAGGGTCTGTCGATGGATGACGTCAGGAGTATACAAATAAAAACAATTACAATAAGACAAGATTCATTTGTAAAAGCCAGAGTGAGTATGCAAGAAGATGAAGCGTTCTGTTGATTACTGTGGATGCTACTCTTGTTAATCGAATGGTTCCACCGGGTTCAGCAGCATCACTAGCAGTAGGGCTGTCCAAGTGCCCATCTAAATGGCTCAAACGATTATATTCCCGAAAGTGTATATCCAACTCACACATGCTTCTAAACACGTAACTCATTATCACCACCCTCTAGGCCGGTCATGAACAGCATATCTCGGTATCAATCCAAAGAACAACCAAGAAACTCAATTATGCGTCAACCCGCTTCGTCGTCATCTTGACCACCCACTCCCCAATGTCACGCAGATACTCCTCCTTCATGCCATCCGGCTCACCATGAATCTGGTGGTACCCGCCCTCAAAAGATTTCCACGTCTTCGCATCAGCATCGCTCTCATTGTACGGCTCGAGTCTATCATAGAGCTGTTTCGAGATAGTGTACGACGTGATCATGTCCTTGGACCCGTGCGCCCATAAGACAGGGCAGGGGAGTCGTGTGGCGAGATGCTCGGGGGCCGGTTTGTCCGACTGGGATAGGGTTGTTAGGTCGCTTTCGCGTTGGAGTCTTGCAGTGGAGTGAGCAAACGAGACAACACGAAATAGTCTTTGCAAGGGTAAAAACTTACAGGGCATCCAGTCCCTCCAGGGTACCCGTATTATGGCACAGGGGGTCATTCTTATACAGCTCCTGGACACCACGGTCCCGGCTCGCAAACTCAATATTAAGCGGCTGCTTCCACTTGAACTTCGGGATGAGGTTCGCAACAAGCTTGCCCACCTTCACAACAAGCCAATTGGGGTGACTCGCCGGATCGAGGCCAATATACGGTGCATCCAGGATCCAGCCTGCAATGGGCGGTCTACTCCCGCTAAGTTCGGAGTCCTTAGAGAGCAGGTAGCAGGCAGACTCCTGCCCGCCCATGCTGTGGCCCATGAGGAAGAGCGGGGTGCGCTGGATGTCCGGGATCGTGGAGGCGATGTGCTTCAGAGCCTCGTTGATTTCACGTAGGATCTGCGGCGTTTGGCCGATGTCGCCGAGGTCGGCTTTTGTCTTGATGGTCTTTCCCCAGCCGCGACGGTCCCAGGCATGTACCTTGATAGGATAATTGGTGGCCAGCTGGGTGAAGAAGGGGTCATAGTGGTCACTGCGGTCACTGAAGCCGTGCATGAATGCAATATGGGCTTTTGGGGTTTCGGTGGGCTAGGATTCCGATTAGTTGGATTCTCTATCACATGTAATAGGCTGGAATGCCCAAGGCTGAAGCTGGGGCTGGTGGTTGCTTCTCTGACTTACTTCCCAGACCCGCGAGTAGACCTCGAGGCCGTTGCTTAGGTTGAACGAGCTGCTGGAGCTGGTTGCCATGACTGCTACGTGGATAACAAGTTAAAGGGGGAGGAAATAAAAGGTAAATAGATTTCTTTCTTTGAAGAACAGCTGAGCTTTCACGTGCGACAGCTGACACCACGTGATCTCGCTGACGCTTGTGTAACTATACAGGAGAGGATAATATCTTCAATGTTTGCCCAAGGGTAAATTCAGCTTAATAGCGCAGAATTGAGTGGTATAGCATTTTGTATATAGTCGGGGTTGTTTTATCGCAGCATGGCATTGAGAGGGCTAGGCCAAGCATCAACATATATAGCTGCATGATCCAGCAAATTGAACCATGAATCCACCATGCATTCTAGAATCCTAGAAAACAACAAGCTCCGTGGAATTAACCAAGATGAGCATCCATGTAAGTTATGCCCTGGACTTCAATAACGAAGAGCTATCTATACACCCGTAATCTCAGCCTTCATCCCAACATTCCCAGCAGGCGTAATAATCTCCACCGCACTCTTCTTGTCAGTCCCCTCCGTCAATACAATCCGATACTCATCCTCCGCATACAAAGGGCTTGTCGCGCGGTACGAAATCTTCTCAGGCAGCACCACATCCAAATTCTCAGAACCGCCACCACCGCGGAGATCTCTCCATAGATCCAATATCGAGATTAGGTTCAAGGGCCCGTGCACGACTATGTCTTTGTGCCCTTCGACATCCCGCGCCCACGGCAGCGAGTAGTGGATTTTGTGCGGGTTGAAGGTGAGTGCTGAGAAGCGGAATAGCGTTACAGCTGTTTGGCGCAGTGTACGGGTATGGGTGAGGCCGCTCGATGATGTTGCTGCAGAGGCGGGGTGCGGTGATGGTGGTGATGGGGGTGGAAGGTTCTGTGCCGCTGATGTTGCTACTCTTGTCCCTGTCGGTGTTGGGAGGGCTTTGCGAAAGACCCAGTTCCTGTATACCGGTTAGCGAGTAGGCTAGGCCTAGGAGAATGAGATAGTACGTACCGTCGGTCAACAACCGCAACGCCCTGCGCATTGCTGAACTCCTTCTCGACGCCCACAACGATCATCTCCTCCCCTGTCTTCCGCACTATCTTTGGCTCCGCGCTCAGAACCCTCGTTGTCTCGGTGACGTTATCGCCGACGCGCAATGGGTTCGGTTGGCCGTTCTGTCGCGGCCACAATACCTCCCCGCCGGCCCACATGCGCCGCGTGAATGGATGTGCGGGGTTATAGCTGGCATCTGTGCCGTCAGCACCGAGCTCGTTTTCAAGGAAGGCGGGTGTAAAATAGACGAGGTGGTATCCGGCGGGAACTGGGGTTCCGGGCGCATGCTCGACATCGGCAGTGGAGGCATTGTTTGGAGCGGTGGTGCTGGAGAGGTGCGGGGAGGCAGGGAAGAGAGAGGGTCGGTTGAGTGTTAAGGAAAGAAGTCGGAGCTGGTTTGCGTCGAGGGTTTGGGAGCGGGTTTGGGGCCCCAGGGATTGGAAGCGCGAGAGGAATGAGGTTGCGATTGTTGATGCGGAGGCGTCGGAGGCGGATGAGGAGAAGCGGAGGTGGGACAGACGAGTTGGGGTGGTGAGGAGGGATCGCGTCGTCCACCGGGTGGCTGGTGCTGAGAGGAGCATGGTTCTAAATATTTTATTCAACTGGCCCTCTCTTTTGGGGTTGTGACCATGCGATCGCGAGTTGTCGATGCTCGATGCAGTGATTAAGTGGTGGGTGAGTGCGGGGACATAAAGCCTTCTCGAAGCCTCGGATAAGCCGTTCCGAGACCGGAAGAAACCATATAGGCGTCTCCGAGAGACCGGCCTTCACAACCACGTTTACAGCTAGAGAGACATGTCGGGGATTTATGTCAAGTAATTAATGAGATATAACTATTGGTATATACATAGTAAAGCCGACTTCAGGCGTCTATCGGTCGGGCATAATCAAGCAGTGGAAACTACAATATATCGCTCTTCGAGTCTATAAGCTACAGCTTCACCTGTCCACCCTGGATTTTATCCCAATCCTTCGCCTCAAACGGGAGATAGGTGTCTCCCTGTAGCCAGAACAGCTTGTCGGTGTCCCCAACACGCCCAGGGTCAACACCCTCGGTCCGCAACACGTGCTTCTGCTGCTTATTGTTACCCGTCGCCTGCATTTCAGTCGTGACACGGAGGAACAGTGGCGCCGCGAAGCGGGGCAGGTTACGCAGAGCATGTGCTGCGAGACTCTTTAGAGAGTCTGAAGATGGTGGGAGAAGCACTGACTGATCGGATGCCCGCAGTTGGTCGTTGAACACAATGGCAGCACAGCCGGCGCGACCATCGTGGTTAGGCAGGGATACACCATAAACGTTGGCTTCATGTACATCTGGATGAACACCCAGCACTTCAGATACCTCGCTGGTCGACACGTTCTCGCTCTTCCACCGGAAGGTGTCGCCTAGACGGTCGGAGAAGTACCATCGGCCGTCTGTATCCCATCGGATCATGTCGCCGGTGCGGAAATACGCGTCGCCCTTGTGCAGCACGTCGCGGATGATCTTGCTTTCCGTCGCCTTGGAGTTACGATAGTAGCCTTGGAATGTCTCTGCCGGGTCAGCGGGATCGATGGCATACAGGAGCTCGCCCGCATCCCCTCGAGGAACTGCTCTACAGAACCCTGTTTGGGGATCGCGCCATGGCTCCTGCGACTCCTGGTCCACCTCGACAATAGTGAGGCCACGTCCCAGGAGCCATCCGCTGAACAAGCCATTACGGCCAATTGCTCCTGCGCTGAAGTCGTTCGTCGAAAAGTTCCATGTTCCCCCAGTCCCCTCGGTAGCAGCGTAGAACTCGGCAACAGTGGGCACACTGAAGCGCTGCTTGAAACGGTTCCAAACATCCGGCCGCAATCCATTACCATACACTATTCGAACGTTGTGCTTCTTGTCCAAGTCTTCGCCGGTCACCGAATCAACCTCGGCAGGAGCGGCGAGCAGATATCTCAACGTTTCACCCACATACTGGATGACGGTAGCATCATTATCGCGCACCTCTTTCATGAAGTTTCTCGCGGAGAACTTGCGACCCACAATCAGTGTAGACCCGACAGCTAGAGCCGCTGCGAATCCCAGAATGGAGGCGGACGAATGGTAAAGGGGCATGCACTGGTTCTCATGTTAGTTACACAAAAAGCATCGCAGGGAAAGTTCACATACGGTAAAGATCCGGTCGTGCTTGGCCAGTTCAATGAAGGTACTGACAAAGATGCTCCCAGCCCAGCACTTCCTCCAGCTGACAATGGCGGGTTTCGGCAGCCCGGTTGTACCGCTGGTATAAATCAAAATGGCCATATCCCGGAGCTCAACACCGGCGCGAACCTTGTCATCTTCACGGATTGCCTCTGTTTGCAGTACTTGGGCCTCGATATCCGGAGTATGGAATATAACTTCCATTGCGCCACCGTCTTCCCTAAAATCAGGTGCTGTGAACGCCGACATCTCGTCGGGACCGAAAGACGAGCGGACATCCTCATCAACAATCAGCAGCCGGGCAGTCGACGTGCGAACCGAATGCGTCAAGGGCTTTCCAGTCAAGTTGTAGTTGATGAAGGCAGGGACCGCGCCAATACTCCAGAGACCAAGCCAGATGAAAATGAAGGTTGACGAGTTCATCATATCCATGGCAACAATCTCACGGGGCTTGACGCCGTGCACTTTCTTGAACCAGGTACCATATCGCAGCGCCAGCATATACGTTTCGTGGAAGGTCCAGCTACGGCCATTATAGACGACGAAGGGCCGGTCTTTCGAGGTGGGGTCGAGCGCATGGTTTTCCAGGATATGGAAAAGGTTCAGATTATCGCGGCGGAGCGCAAGGCGAGATTTGATGATGGACTTGAAGAGCCCATGGAAAATCTTTGCGTCATAGAAAAGGGAGTACCTGGCGTTCAAATAGGCGAGGGTGGTCGCAAGTGCCGGGCCGGCGAGCGAGAGGGGAATATCTATCGTCAAGTCAGCAGCGCATTTAAGAAGAGCAACCTGGTGGGGAGTGCTCACCAAGTGGCAACGGAACAGGCATGGTTATGTTGTGTCAATGAAAAAAAGGGTATCTAATGTCGCCGTCGACTCTATGGGGTCACGCAGCGGAGACGAGGAGGAAGGCTCAATAAAAGAGAGGAATTAAAGAGGACCGAGGAACAGGCCATGGGACTGAAGAAAAGGCCGGGGTAATCTCGAAGAGACCGTGGAAACATGATGGCCAACCAAAATAATCTCATAAAGCAGGTGGACATGCTGTCGACGCCAAAATCAGCAGCTGGAGCTGGGCTGCCCAGAAGGGATACAGCAAAGTTACCTCGGCTGCCGTAACGGCAAGCTCGGGATCGGCATTAGCAGTTATGCTAGCATGAAAGTGGGATAAGTCTGGCTGCCACCAATGAAATGCACCGCAAATCATGAATAACAAAGAAAGAGTTGTCCGAGAAATGTGGAGTGCAGCTGATCCCCCCTAATAATAGTAAATGGACTGCGGAGTTTCATTGATATTATTGTTCGGGCTCGGAGACTGCTGAGCACTGCTATACACCGCGCCTACAGGCTACACCGTACAAATGCCGTCACATGCTGCTGCTGCAAGGGCTAAAATGCGTTCGACGTGTAGAATCAGATATATGGTGTATCTACGTATAGGTCAGGCCTGCGCCGTCTTTTTCACCACAGGTACATCTTCATATCCCTCTTCCAGGAATTCCCCCAATGCCGCGAGCCCGTCTTCCAGCACCTGCGTCTCACACACGTAGCCGATCCGCACGTAGCCATGGAATTCCTCCCCATTACCAAAGCATAGGCTTCCAGGAACAAACATCAGTCCGGTCCGCTCCAGGAGCGTCTCACAGAAGGTGACATCATTTACAGGCTTGCCCATCTTGTTGAACCGTACAAACGCGGTTGTCCCCGCTCGGGGCTTTACCCAGTCGCACGCCCACCGATGGGACTCGATGAACTTGTCGAGGATCGCAAAGTTACGCTTTGCGAGCTCTATATTCCGCCTCAGCAGTGCGTGGATGGTGGTCGGCGCCAGAGCATAGCTTGCAACCGCATCGTCGAGTTGCGAGACGGATATGGTGGTATAGTCGCGGACCGAGGCGCAGGCCTCAATCACCGAACGATCTCGGGATGCAATCCACCCCACTCGAATACCAGCTAGGCTATATGCCTTTGACATGGAACCTGTAACAATAGTGCGCTCATAACCGAGAGACAGAGCGGACGAAGGGAACTCTGGGTCCATCGGAGTGATGGAGTGGAAGAGCGGGCGATAGACTTCGTCACAAAATATATAGATTGACGAGCTACGGGCAATCTCCACTATCTCGTCCAGCGTTTCCTGGGGAATAATAGCCCCAGTGGGGTTCTGCGGGTTGCTGAAACAGGCACAGTCAGACACAGGGCGCGCAGCAGATTGGTGGGGGGGGGGAATATACTTGAGGATGATAAGCTTGGTATTCGGCTGGATGAGGGCCTTTAATTCATCGAGATCTAATTTCCACCCTTCCGCCTCCTTTGACTTCCATAGGCTCACATCGGCCCCAAGCGACGTCGGGACCGAGTAAAGTTGTTGATATGTGGGGTAGTGGCAGATAACATGGTCTCCAGGCCCAACTAATGTATACAGCAAAAGAAAGTTCGCTTGAATTGCGCCTGCAGTGGCCAATACATTGTCCGCGGGTAATGGAGTCGGTGTTCTCACAGAATACAGATTGGCCAGCGTCGTCCGTAGTTGTTCAGAGCCGCGAATGGCACCATATGTGAGCTTGCGGTCAAGAATATCGTCCAGCGGATGCAATGATGGATCCTCGGAAAGAGTTTGGAGATCTCGAACCGACAGTGAGGCGCTGCAGGTCTCTGCCACGTTGAATTTGGCCGTAGTCTCGTACTTGTCCATCCACTGGTGGAATTAATTTCGGTCACGATGCATATATATCCAGATGGTGCGGGGGTGCCAGGGCACCTACTTGTTCCACAGCAAAATCCTTGATCTGAACCATGATGTCGGTTTGCTAAAATCGGGCAAAACGGACAGTAGTGTTGAATCTGGTTTGAATGCCAGGCGGGGCTGTATATCGCTGAAACAGGAACAAGTTCTGGAATCTGTGGGCATTTGGTTCGCATCACGTGGGGAAGAGCGGATATTGCCGCTTTGGGATAGCCTGTTCTATACAGGATCCATACCGGCAGGTTTCATATCAGCGAAACTCGTCCATCGGGGTCTGTTTATTTGAATAGTACTGGGGGTGAATTTCGAAGTCACAGTTTACATGGCAAATAAGCCTCCACAGGATCGCTGCCTTCAACGAGACAGCCTGTTTCCAATAGTTTGACAGGTCGATGGCCCCAGGCTGCCGCCGCCAAGCCATGCGCCAGCCTTTCCTTCGCCAGCCTTTCCTTCTCCGCCCTCGTCATCGCCCCATTTCACCCCCAACAACTCCATCATCTTCAGCCCGTGCCTTGCTTCTCGTCTTGCTGTCCTCTTTTTGCCCGATCAGTCGCCTTTTTTTCGATGGTGCCATTCGTGCTTGCGTTTAATACTGCGTTATTGCTCTGCTTTTCTTCCTTCTAGGACCGGTATCTTGCACTGTTCCTGGCGCGATCCTCGCCTTACTCCGCACCTCGCCAGCCGCCGGGTGACCTTCGTTGGCCGACCCTGCGAGCCCCAGCAGCATGCGATTACAGCTGCTTTTGGCACTTGGCATCTCATTGTCTAAACCGGGTGCCTTTGCACAGGGAAACAGCTCTGCGACCGACATCGATTCATTACTCTTCTCCAGCCTCGACGATCGACCGGGCAACTGTCCACCGTGTTTCAACTGCCAACTTGACGCCTTCCAATGCGCCCAATTTGCGGATTGCGATAAGAATTCCGGAAAATGTATATGCCCGCCCGGCTTCACTGGAGAGGACTGCTCGAAACCAGTATGCGGAGCACTCCCAGATCCCCAGCGACCGCCCCGGAAAGGCAAAGATTGTTCCTGTAAGGATGGCTGGGAAGGAATCAACTGCAATGTCTGTAAGACAGATGAGGTCTGCAATGCGATGATGCCTACCGGCGAAGATGGTGTATGCTATAAAGAAGGTGTGACAGTGAGGCAGAATTTCCAGATGTGTGATGTGACAAACCGGAAGATCTTGGACCAGCTGAAGGAACGGACACCCCAGGTGACCTTTTCGTGCGAAGCCGATGACAAGACTTGTAACTTCCAATTTTGGGTCGGCCAGGTTGAGTCATTTTACTGTGGTTTGGATACTTGCGAATGGGGCCTGGACACCGCTTACAACCAGAACACGACTCAATATAAATGCGAGAATATCCAATGCAAGTGCATACCGGGTCGTATGCTTTGTGGCGAAGAGGGTTCTATCGATATTGGAGAATTCCTTTCCGAGTCAATCAAGGGCCCGGCCACCTTCTCAACGACGTCCACTATCGGGGGCAGCGAAGATGACGGGAGCAAATTTAAGGAACCCGCAATGGATGACTTGATCAAGTCCGTTTTTGGTGATAAGAGTATTACTCTTCAGTGTTCCTCGGGTGAATGTGTTCATAAGACCGAAGTGCCGGGATACCAACGTCCAGTCAAAAAGATCAACACCCCTCTTATTGCAGGTGTTATTGCTGGATGTGCCTTATTTGTTGTTGCTGTCATTCTAGGTCTTTGGTATATGTCTCGACGGTCTCGATATGCCCCCGTTCACCTGTCTCTTTCGGATGATTCTGACGACGAAGCGTCAAAGCTTCTCGCTGAGCATCGCCCCGCTGCTCTCTACTGGGATAATGTCTCTTACTTTGTAAATGGAAAGGAGATCCTTAGCGGAATCCAGGGTGCCGCGCAGCCTGGGCAGATCAGTGCTATTATGGGTGCTTCGGGTGCGGGGAAAACCACTTTCCTCGACCTTCTGGCCAGAAAGAACAAGCGCGGCATTGTCCAGGGAGACTTCTACGTCAATGGGGAGAAGGTGGGTGACTCTGATTTCAAGAGCATGATCGGCTTCGTGGACCAGGAAGACACCATGCTACCCACCTTAACCGTGCACGAGACTATCTTGACGAGCGCATTGTTGCGCCTGCCCCGAGACATGAGCCGAGCTACTAAGGAACAACGGGTGGTTGAAGTCGAAAAACAACTCGGAATATACCACATCAAGGACCAGTTGATCGGCTCTGAAGAAGGTTCGGGAAGAGGCATTTCTGGTGGAGAGAAGCGGCGAGTGGGAATTGCTTGCGAATTGGTCACCAGTCCTAGCATCCTGTTTCTGGATGAACCTACCAGTGGATTGGACGCATTCAATGCATTCAACGTGTAAGTGGTACAAGTATAATTTGTCTTCCATGTCTAACGAACTTAGGGTTGAATGCCTGGTGACACTGGCAAAAACTTACAACCGCACCGTTATTTTTACCATTCATCAACCGCGTTCCAACATTGTGGCTCTTTTCGATCGACTAATTCTGCTAGCCAACGGCAAAACTGTCTACTCCGGACCATTCGCAACATGCCAGCAATACTTTGACAACGCAGGCTACTCATGTCCACCGGGATTCAACATCGCCGATTATTTAGTCGACCTGACAATGCATGCTGGCAATACCACTCACTTCCACAGCGACGAAGAGGAAAACACGTTATTGGCTGTGCGCTCTGACCCGCTCATGACCGCATCGAGTAGTTTGCGAGCGGTCAAGTCCGTTGCAAGCGCCTCAAATGCGAGTATGGAGGATACCTCTGGCGCAAGCTTTGATTATGGTAGACGGCCCAAGGGCAAGCGACGGACGTCTCTTAAACAACGGCAAGACCGCCAGCTTTACTCCCGACGAAAAGATCCCGAGGCGCCGCCCACCCCTCGAACTGACGAGGAGGATGCAACTGTGGGAGAGGCAGCAGGAAGCGATCGAAATCAGCAATGGTTGCGACTGTCCCGCCAACAGGGTCAGACGCCACCCCAAGTTCTTGACGACCCAGACAATCTGCCTCCAGCCGCTCCAGGTCAGACAGACTTGGATTTGATGGTTACTCACTACGCTGAATCCGACGTTGCGCGGTCCGTGCGCGAAGAGATCACTTCGGCTATTCAGCATGTCCATACTGCAAATGGGTCTATTAATTCGGAAATCTCGTCTGAATCTGCCACTCATCGTGCAAAGAGTTATGCCCGCGTGAGCCTAGGACGCCAGTTCATCATCTTATCGCAACGGACATGGAAAAATCTTTACCGAAACCCCATGTTGATGCTCACACATTACGCCATTGCGATCTTGCTCGCTGTCCTTTGCGGTTACCTCTTCTATGGTCTCACGGATGACATCAAGGGTTTCCAAAATCGACTGGGTCTTTTCTTCTTCGTACTAGCCTTGTTCGGGTTCAGTACATTGACCAGCCTGACTGTATTCTCGTCAGAGCGTCTTCTGTTCGTACGAGAGCGCGCCAACGGCTACTACCACCCCATCACCTACTATGCGGCGAAGGTAGTCTTCGATATTGTCCCGCTCAGGCTCATTCCCCCGATCCTCATGGGAGTGATTGTGTACCCGATGACCGGATTAATCCCCGCATCGGGTGTGTTCTTCAAATTCATACTGGTCTTGGTTCTCTTCAACCTTGCCGCTGCTACCATCTGCTTATTTATCGGAATTGTCTTCCGCGATGGCGGGGTGGCCAATCTCATTGGCAGCTTGGTCATGCTATTCAGTCTGTTGTTTGCCGGACTGTTACTTAACCACGACGCGATACCACCATCTGCGATGTGGTTACAATCGGTAAGTTTCCCAAGATTCCCCCAATTACTGGCCCCCAGCTAACTAGCCAATTAGCTATCCATATTCCACTATGGGTTTGAAGCATTGATTGTTAACGAGGTTACGTTCCTAACACTGATCGACCACAAATATGGACTCGATATCGAGGTTCCAGGGGCTTCTATTCTTAGTGCCTTTGGATTCGATACACTCGCATTCTGGAAGGACGTGATTGGACTGGCTGTTTTCTCTGGGGCCTTCCTTGTGATTGCATACGTAGCGATGCATTTCCTGCTCGTTGAACGGCGATAATTGGGCTGCGACATGCGGCATTATTCCGCCTTCGTATTGACATCGAGCTCCCGCAGAGCTCACAAATTGGGCATGATGACGAAATTGAAGTCTGCGGTTTCAGTAGACAGATTGAGTAGTGTTTGTACATAGCTTTGCGAATAATGACCGGCATTTTCGGGTTTTCTCTGATACTATACATGTAGTATGTGCTGTGCCAGTGGAGTGGAAGACGCCAGATGCGGATGGAAGCACGTGTTCCCCGCAATCATGAGCTCAGAACGAACACCTGCACCCGGCCTCAACAGCTGTCTCATCTCACGGCATCCTGCTGAATTTCGCAAATACTAGGTTCTTGAACAGACTTTACTCTCCCGCAGACCACTACTCCCGAGTACCTCCAGTGTCTCTCTCGAGAAACGCCGACAGCCCACTAGTCCGGTGCTCACCGCCCACGCCTATTTTTCCCCATCCGCGAAATCCACACCGAAGTCGTCAGTCCCAAATCTCCTGCTCCTCCTCGTCTCCTCGCCCGTTCCAATATCCACTCCCCCTCATCCTACGGTCCTCTCCGCCGGTCCCTGTTTCACCTCCTTCACTGACCACCTCTTTCGCCCTATCTTCTCCTCTCCCTCTCACTTCCGCCCAGAATGTCCGGTGAAGCATGGCTCTACCTATTGGCGGTGTTGATCAACGCCGTCAACCTGTTCTTACAGGTCTTCTTCACTATCATGTACAGTGATCTCGAGTGGTATGTACCATATTGTTTCTGTTATTTAGGACGTTCACCCTCGCAAGAAGACAAAGCGCATCTCGCTTGCGACAACTCGCGAAGGACTGTCTAGTGGATTTTTGCTAATCTTTCCCATCGCAGCGACTACATCAACCCTATCGATCTGTGCAACCGACTCAACGCCTACATTATCCCCGAGGCTGGTGTCCACGCCTTCCTTACCTTCCTCTTCGTGATCAACGGCTACTGGCTTGCAATCTTTTTGAACCTGCCATTGTTGGCCTTCAATGCCAAGAAGTGCGTTCCCTCAAGCTCGGTCCAACGACCGAAAATCTGCGTGCACTGACGATGTCATGCTAACCTTACTTTGCTCTATTCAGGATCTATGACAACCAGCACCTTCTTGACGCCACCGAAATCTTCCGCAAGCTCAATGTACACAAGAAGGTTAGATTGCGTGCCTTTACGTCATAGGTCCGCGTGAGACAGAATCTGACTTTCGGACTCTAGGAATCCTTCATCAAACTTGGTTTCCACCTTTTGATGTTCTTCTTCTACCTCTACAGCATGATCGTTGCCCTTATCCGCGACGAGTCTCACTGAATTCGCAAAGAGGCCGAGAACGCGATGCGCTACGGCCGGCCCCAATAAGGCTATCCTATATGTTCTGATCGGAGGGCGGAGTCGGCGGACTGTTCCAAGCTGCATGGGTGGGATGTTCCTGAGCATCCTTGGCCAATATCGGAGCTATGAGTCTCCGCTCGCGTTGTCTGTCCAATGATACGGAAATTTAAGGTTGCCATGGGAGCCGGTCGGAACTTGCGCCTGGGGAGTGAGAGAAGAAGTATATTATTATGTATGACATGACCATGAACTTACCGGTGGGTGTTGATGAAACTTGGAAGCGAACAACAGGGCGGCTTTAGTCCTAGTGGGCTAGGTTACTACCACAAAGTTGACGAGTGGCCTCATGAAGGCGTGTCATTATTATTTTCTTGTTTTGATTCTTATATTTTCCTGGAAATGTGTGTTTGTACTCGTTATGAATTCCTTAAGCCTCGGCTAGAGCCTGACGTTGCTGTGGGTTATATTGAGTGATGTTTTTATGGCTGTATATACCTCTAGCGGTGTTGCGGTGATGAGCGTTCGATACCCTATAGGGACCAACAATGATTTCTAAACTGTCTTTAAAGCTATTTATCAAAAAACATTCCGATTTACCACTATAATTTCACTTTTTAGAAGAGGTGGTGGACTGGCGGTGGTTGTCTGTTTCTGCGCTGTTGGTCGCGCCGCCACCCGTAAAACTTCGGTCGTCTTCAAGTCCTGCAGCAGCTCAGGACAACTCTTCTCCATCCTTCACACTCAATTTCATACAAAATGGCTTCATTACTCGGAGCCGGTTACGACTCCAGCGATGATGAAACGCGGAGTGCTCCCGCGACATCCGCCTCTAGGATTGTCGCGGCCCCAGAAGTCAACACAGAGGTTTGGTCCTTGCAATCCGCCAGAATAAAAGCACAGCATACCTAACAAATTTACAGGACCAAGCTCATATGCAGATGATGCTCGCTAATACCTCGTCGAAAACACTCACATACAACGCCACATATGACGATCTCTCGCGCCCCTCCCAGGGCCCCTCGAACCCGTTCAAAACCGCAGAGGCTGGACACGGGCTCAAGCGCAAAAATGTTCCCACCGGATTCGCCGAGTCCGCGGCCATCAGCGAGTCCACGTTCGCTGCCCAGCATCGCACATTCCAGAGTTTGGGTTATACCCGCAACCCTACCCTTCCCGGGCAGTTTGTTGGCGATCTCGACCAGGCTGCGCAGTTTGGTGGGCGTGATGTTGTGCAGATGAGGCCCTCGAAAGAGGCGTCGGCAACACTGCGCGCGAAGCGTCAGAAGAAGGGCGATTCAAGTATTGTGGAAGGGCCGGGTGCTTATCTTGGTCCTTGGGCGAAATACCAAGACGACGATCAGGTTTATGAAGAGGAACTTGCCAGCGACGAGGAGATCGTGGAGGAAGAGGAAGAGGAACAGGTTGGGTCAGCTCCTATGCCGGCGATGAGCAAGGAGGCAACAGATTACCAAGACAACGCGTCGAAGGTCGAAACAACCGAATTCCACGGCTCGGAGCAGTACGACTACCAGGGCCGAACATACATGCACGTCCCTCAAGATTTGGATATCGATCTCAAGAAGCCCGTGGGCAGCGTCAAGAACTACGTGCCCAAGAAACTCGTCCACACCTGGAAGTCGCATACAAAACCAATCTCCTCGCTCCGCTTTTTCCCGCAATCTGGGCACCTTCTGCTCTCATCTGCTGCTGACGGCAAGGCCAAGATCTGGGACGTATACCATTCGCGCGAACTACTGCGCACGTTCTCCGGCCACTCCAAGGCCATCACAGATACAGACTTCAACAGAACAGGCCGCACCTTCCTAACGGCCTCCTACGATCGCCAGATGAAACTCTGGGACACCGAAACAGGCCAGTGCATCTCGCGCTTCTCCACGGGCAAAACACCCCACGTCATCCGCTTCAACCCCAGCGCAGACCTCGGCCACGAGTTCATTGCTGGTATGTCCGACAAAAAGATCGTCCAGTTCGACACCCGCTCCGGCGAACTCGTCCAGGAATACGACCACCACCTTGCCGCAGTCAACACCCTCACCTTCGTCGACCAAGACCGCCGCTTCATCTCCACCTCCGACGATAAGTCCCTCCGCGCCTGGGAATACGGCATCCCCGTCCCGATCAAATTCATCGCGGAACCATACATGTTCGCGCTCACGCGCGCTACACCCCATCCAAACGGGAAATACGTCGCTTTCCAGTCTGGCGATAACCAGATCGTTGTGTACGGCGCGACAGATAAATTCCGTCAGAACCGCAAAAAGAGTTTCCGTGGGCATAACAATGCCGGTTATGGTATCGACCTCAAGATCTCGCCTGACGGGCAGTTTATCTGCTCCGGTGATAGCGCCGGGTATGTGTGCTTCTGGGACTGGAAGACGGGCAAGATGTACCATAAGATTCAGGCAGGAGGGAAAGAGGGCGGTGCGACGACCTGTCTTGATTGGCATCCGCAGGAGACGAGCAAGGTTGTTACAGGTGGGTTGGATGGGAATATTAGGTATTGGGATTAGAATTACTTATTTGTTACTGAGTAATTATCGGAGTTGCTTTTATCTAATTGATGATATTGTATAGTGGGCATCATGGTTATAATCTACCCTACACATTTACCAATATGAAAGAGCAATGATACGGACTAGGAACTGCGTAGTCATTAAGGCTGTATTGGAGCATATACATATTCTTTTCTTTGGTAGATTGGGTCGTCACACCCAATATCCCATATTATATTACATGTTAATCCGCGTCCCGAAGAATTCGTTGCTCTCGCGTACTCATACATAATGATACCTCCAAGAGGAGTCTCATTAGAAACTAGCCATCTCAATCCAACTGGCCACAAACGCCAGCTTCCTTCCGCGATCAGCAGCCATACGCTTCGAGAACTCTTCAAAGTTCAGTTTGGCGCCCGCACCACCACGCTCCTTCGATTCTTGCTCAACACGGTTGAGGTATGCCCAGCGTGAGATAGTGGCGCGTGGGGGTGGGTTCGTGGGCCCTTGACGTTTGCGTAGCAGGGAGGAGGCAGATGGAGAACGGGCTGGCGATGTTGGGGGAAGGGGTTGGATTGGTGAGGGTGCGCGTTTCGGTGCTGTGGCTTCAGCTTCTGGGGAGGACGGGGAGAGCGAGGGTGGTGCAGGGAAGGTTGGTGTTGCGCCGTTGGGGCGAAGGAGGAGGGAGGGTGGAAGGGTAGTCAGCAAAACACTTTCGTCATTAGGGCGGTGGTGAGGAAGGGTAGGGTCGTAGTCGGGGTCCAGCTCGAGGTCGGGATGAGTAGCCTCATCCATGCCTGGGAGAGTCTGAGGGCGGGGAGTTGGTGAAAGAACCAAGTTGTCCTGTGGCTCTACTATAGAGTGCGATGAGTGGGAAGCGGACGGTTCCACCGAGTCAGCTTCTTCTGGATTGGCAAGATGGGTTGGTCGGACGCTATCGTTGTCCTCTGCATCGCTGTTCTCATTGTCCTGAACAGGTAGTCTGAGCTCTTCACGCAGTTCGGGGGCAAGCCCATCTTCACCAGACTCAGTGGCAGAATTGCTGACGGAGTATCCAGCTCGACGAAGGAGCTCATCGAGAGGTCTCTCGCGGTACCGAGGCAGGTCTAAACCATCGTCCTGGTCATCGGCGTTTGACTGTGTATCACCTCGGCTCGCATTTGCGGCTTCCGTTTGTTCAACTTGCTCAATCTCGCGGGCCCAGATCTTACGCTCAGTGCGGGTCCGGTAACACTCCATGAGAAGATCTTCTTTCGGCTTGAACATGATGTCAAGTATTTCATTGAACCCTTGTTGGGTGACCTGGTACAAGATCTCCTTGCCAACATCTCTCTCGACTTCGGGCACCTCAAATCCACCCCACCTCTCACCGACCAAAATACTCCGGGAGGACGTTGATGGGTTAGACCTAACATCCTCATAATCGTCGGCATCGGTTAGATCATCTTGGAATCGCACCTTAGATGATGACCGAGAACGCGGCGAGGGCGGTTGCGATTCGTAGTCTGGCATTGGCACATCAACGTCGTCATCTTCTTCCCCGTCGGAGTCCGTCTTGTAACCAGGAGGTGCAGTTCCACCGTCCTCTTCGTCCGTGTAGAAAGCCCTTCGACGCCACCGCTCATCAATCCCCTGCCTCCTAGTCGAATCGACGCGTCTTCGATCGCTATCACACATTCGGTTATACACAGCTGTCCCGATGCGAGCTCTGTCATCCGGATCCGTAATGTCCTCAATAGGTACGTACGACCCCAACGCATTCACGATGTCTTCCTCTTGAATGTGCTCCGCTGGCGGCCAACGATCGCTCACAGCCGAAGAGCTGTCTGACTCGTCATCATGATCATCCGAGTCATCATCATTATCGTCTCTGGCACTTGACCTTCTCCGACTACCAGACGCTTCTGCCGCGCTAGACCCAGACGCGCCGAGGCGAACGGGGAGCAAAGGTTGTGATCGGCCAAATTGGCGCCGAACCGCAGCTTCGCCAACGACAGAGTGTCGGTTTCCAGTATCGACACCGTCGGGACGAAGCACACCATCGCCATCCACAATCTCCATATCTCCCTCTTGGTTAACGCGCTTGCCTTCTCCTGGCCTTGAAGCTTCACCTGAAGGGATGTTCCCGGGAAAAGCAGAGCTGATTGGTTGACTTCCAAGCACAACATCGCGTGTGCAACCTTCAAGGAAATCATCCTCCATACCGGCAACCATATCCCGCGTAAGCTCTCGGCTAAGGGTATAGTACGCTCGGAAAACACGTAAGAAGTCTTTTCGTTCAACAAAGCCGTCTCCGTCTATATCATAACCACGAAAGACACGACGAAGTCTCTCATCTTGGCTCTTATTGTTCAAACTAGCAAGACCTTTCAAGAACTCCTCGAATCCGATGAGCCCATCATTATTCGTGTCGTAGAATGCAAACATACGATCATAAATCAAGCTCGGAGGTGGAGGGCGGACGGATGTATTGGGTACAAAGCAGCGGTCAAATGTTTTTCGATCAATTGCCATACCCAGTTTATTCGGATCTTCCGCCCATTCACGATTCGCCAAACACCGAAACTGGTCCCAGAGAGCTTCTAGTTCAGTTCCTTCGAAACTAGTATCCTTCATCAAGCGTTTTGCTAACGAGCGTGGTAAGTTCCGTGGAAGCATCGAAGGCTTTCCGGGATACCATACAGGTTGGGACTGCCGAGGATTGCCTAGGAATGGCGCAGGTATCCGGACTTTGTAGAACAGATGTGTCTTGATATGCACTCCCATTGCCTCACAGGTCTCACAAAGATCGTAGTCAATGCAGTTGGCGCATCTGTAGCGGATTCCTTGGATGGGCATAGCTCCACAACTATTGCAGGTGACACCACGATGAATGTACCCATCCTTTCTTGCCTGATCCTCTGCGATATGATAAAGAAGGTTCAGTAGGTTCTGGCCTTCAGGTGCCTGCATGTTGTCATTGCCGCCTTCTCTCCACGAGAATACACTCTGATCGTCGACGACAGTCTCACCGCCGTCCATGACCTGCGTCTGCGGAGGTCCATCCGGAAAATTCGAAGTTGATAGAGTAACCCTTTCTCCATTCTGTCGTCGACGGCGGAGGTCTTCTCCATAGTTATTGTCCGCGTTGAACCTTGCGACTGCTCTCTCGATTCCTGACCGGGAAATACCGCGTCGCTGGAGCTGCTCCATCAAATATTCCCTTTCCCGGCTTTCAGTCTCTATTATGTGCGTTGACGGGAAATCCAGAGCGAAAAACGATTCTAGGAATGTGTCCTCCATCATCTCGCGCATCCGCTCGGCGTGGGCTTCGGGGACGCCGACCTCCTCCATAAGCTGATCCCGCGTCGCAAGAAGCGACGGAAGCAGCCCACTCTCAACACGCCGGCCATCTTCAGTCTCTATACGAAAGGTCCCATACACTCCATTTTGGCGTTCCAATTGCTCTAAATGGGCGATGGCTCGGAACGAAGGCGTGTCGACAGGTGCGCTCTCATCGATTCCGGTTCTTCTGCGACGACGAACTGCTTTTTGGCGGCGGAGAGATGACTGTGAGGATGGGGACGAGAAGAGGTGGTTCCGAATGTATACGAGAGCATACGCCGCAGCAACTCCGGAGAGAAGATAAAAGAGCGGACGGTATCGTGCGAGGGCTAGTCTTGGTTGAGAGTCCGACATGGTGAGGTAATGAGGTAAGCGCAGGACAGTCAGCGAGCGGAGTCCATAGTTATTCGATTGCAGAGCTGTTCTTGAAATGCAGAAAAGAAAGAAAGCGCTGGGAAATTCGCTGGGTAAAGGCAAGTGGGTGCTTAAAAGCAGAAGGTGGTTCTAGTCGAGAACGTCAGCGAAGGCGGAAAAGGAAACCATCATCTCCTCGCCGCCTTCCGCCGGGAGCATAGAGTCAGGGTATTTTTCAAGAAAATGCAATACTCTACTAACATTTATGCACGATATACACTAAATGCAGAATTTATATACATCTCATTCTCTCATCTTGTCTATAAAAATACTTTTATACCCTTCATCGCCTCATTGAGGGGGTTCTCTAACGTGTCAGGTTTCGTTCGCGGATGAATAAGCTGCTCACAAAAGCAAAGAACACAACCCCAATCAAGAAGGCGAATCCCTTATTGGTCGCCCATCCATAGCAGTCGCGGACGGTCCTTGCCACAACAGGGTCCAGAGTCTTGATGAAATCCAGGCTCTGTCGGACCCCATCGACGATCTTATCGACATCCTTGCTGTCGCGCAGGGCATCTCTCAAGCGTGTCCTCAGAACCTGCTGAACTACCGTTGAAGATAGGGAGAGGCCGATGACAGATCCAAGGGATCTGAATAGATATGAGCAAGCAGTCACGACCGCTTGGTCTTCTTGGGCCGCGTTCGAAACTAACACGTCGTACATTAGCAAACAAGCAGCGAAGTGGGGAAAGTGATAATACTCACTCAAGCTAATTAGCGTTGTAGTAACGCCAATGCCGTTTCCGAATGCACAAGCTACGGTTCCCAGGATAAGGGGCACCAAGCTGTTCGTAACAGCCCCGGAGAAGAGAAAGATAACACCAAGGCCCAATGTGAGTGAGGCATAACCAGCCACTGTGAGCCAATAGTACTTTCCAGTCCATTTCATCACAAATCCGGCGAACAGGGACCCAGTGACCCCGGAAAGGATACTAGGTAGAAGTCGGAGGCCGGCCCCTGTTGCGGAAAGGCCGTCAACGGCTTGGAAGAACAATGGAAGGTAAAAAAGTCCGGACAGCCAGCCACCAAAACTGAAGAAGTTACATCCGTAGGCAGCAACGAAGCCACGGTCGAAGATGATATGGCCAGGAGCAAATGGCTCCGTTGCATAATATATCTCGACCACGATGAACAGCACGAAGAGGCAAGCCGAAACGCTTAGCGAGGCTATCGTCAACGGCATCGTCCAAGAGACATTACTGCCTCGATCAAAGCCAATGAGGAAACCAAGGACCGCCCCAATAAGCACGATTGCCCCAGGAAAATCAATGCGGCGAAGCTTTGTTTTCCAGTGACTATCCTCTGGAGCGGGTAGGTCTAGGACAATGGACACTGCGGTAAAGGCGATAAAGCACAAAGGGAATTGAGCGATGAAGGCCCTACATATAAGTCAGGCTAGGTGTCAAAATCGTTGGCATGTAGGCTGAAATCTTACCATCTCCAGCCAATATAGTCGGCTAAGATACCACCTGTTGCGAGGAGTCAGTCAGAAAAGCAGAATTCAGCAGAAATGCTCCAGGTCTCTTACCCAAAGGCGCACCAACCCCAGCTCCAGTCGCATATATAATGTTAATAATACCCTGCCAAACGCCTCTTTCACGGAGCGGAACGATATCGCTTAGAAGTATGCTAACAACCGTGGTCATGCCGCCTCCCCCAATACCTTGAAAAACCTAGAAGACCGTATCAGTACACGAACAAAAAGAATGTCAATATCATGGCTTTCCCATACACGGGCAGCAATAAGCTGGTGAATATTCTGTGCAAGGCCACAGAACAAGCATCCTGTACCAAATACGGCATACGCAAATAACAAACAACTTTTCCGTCCAAAGATGTCACTCAGCTTGCCATAGAGGGGCTGGAAAGAAGTCAAAGTCAGGAAGTAGGAAGTAGCAATCCAACTAGTCAGATTCAAGGCGTTCAGATCAGAGCCAATCTTTCCATAGCTGGCGACAATAATTGTCTGATCGGCAGCAGACAAGAATATCTAAACAAAGTTAAATTTAGCAAAATGCAGAGCGAACGTTGGAAATAGAACTACCCCTTACCCCGAGCGAAATCGCTGGAATTATATAGCTGAGACCCTGTGCACTTTGCGAGCCACTCTTGGCCGCATCTTCACCTTCTGGGAGTCCTTGTTCCGATAACGCTGGATTTGGTTGCGCGACCTCCTCCGTCGCCAAGTAGGAAACATTGCCATTGCTTTGCGAGCCCAGCAACGGGGAAATTTCTGAGGGATCTCTTTCTGGAGACATGTTGTCGGCAATCTGCCTTGCTCAGAGCCTCTTTTAACCAACGCAGGAGAATTGAGGGGGTTGACTCAAGATAACCGATTTCACCACGCCTCTTCTCCAAGATGTGATTCGATCACGTGATAACAAGCTCCGCCATGGTTGGTATTCTTGCTTAGTGATTGGCCGTATCGGGTATCTTGAAGAGCGAGCGGGGTGACGCTAACTGATTTGGGCAACCCCGGGCCGACCTACACACCTTCCTAATCTGGATGGGAAATCTGAGCCTCACGGTCTATACTGTATAGTCTATCCGCTATGGATTCGCGCTATATAGGGCTATCGACTACTACTACCTAGGTATACTATATACAATGTTTGTCTAGGAAACTTAGCCACGTTTTAATTATAGCAGTGAAGTCATGCAAAGTTCGTCCCCTCGTTACATTCGTCAACTGTCCCAACAAAATGCACCTTAGCATCACGCGTCGGTTTTGGCTTCACTCCCTTCTTCTAATCCAGGGATTGGGATTGGTCCACCAGGCGAGTCCTGCAGGCGCGCGGTAAGAACTTCCACGCCGTCCTCCGTCACCAGGAGGGTATGTTCAAACTGAGCAGACAGCGAGCCATCGGCTGTTGTGCTGGTCCAGTCATCCGGCCACAAACGATCACGATGGGTGCCGATGTTAATCATAGGTTCGATTGTGAAGCACATTCCGGGCTTTGCGGTTCCAACTGCCTTGTTTTTGGCATAGTGAGGAACGTTTGGTGCACAATGGAACAATTGGTTGATTCCGTGGCCGCAGTAGGTCTTCACCACGCTGCAGTTTCGGCTCTTGGCATGTTTCTCAATCGTATTTCCAGGGTCGCGGAACAGCATACCCGGCTTGACGAGCTCAATAGACTTGTCCAGACACTCTCTTGACGTCTCCACTACCCGTACAGCGTCTGCATTCGACCGAGCCTTCTCCCCAACGTAGTATGTTTCGTTGATATCCCCGTGGAACCCTTCGTGGTACAAAGTAACATCAATGTTTATAATATCGCCGTCCTCGAGCGGCCGCTGGTCCGGAATACCGTGACAAATGGTCTCATTGATCGAGGTGCAAACCGATTTAGGGAAGTTAACGTAGTTAAGAGGTGACGGGTAAGACTATAGGCGCATCAGCATTCAGGATCTTGAATGATTTTTTTTGAACATTCCCTATCGGTACTTACATTGCGCTCAACGCACGCTTTGTGCACAACCTCGTCGATGTAGTCGGTGGTGACACCGGGCTTCAGCTCACGCGCCGCAATATCAAGAACCTCTCGCGCTAGTCGACATACTTTACGCATGCCCTCCTGCTCCGCCTTGTTTAGGATAGTGATGTTGTGTCGGCCAACGAATTTCTGCTCCGAACGGGGAATGCCATCTTTGGCGTAATCCGGGTGGGGAATCGACTTAGGGACGGTTCTCATCGGCGACAGTGGGTAGAGTGGTCGCAAAGACCCAGTGAATCCGAAGGAAGGAAAGGGGTTGTAATGTCCGGTAGCTGGGTCTGGTTCAGAAACTACTTTTGGAGGGAACAGGTTGGTGAGGAAATTACTCTTTTTATGGAGAGCTTTGTGGTCACTCTACGCAGATAAGGTCAGCATTCATAGATACAAGGGAAAGCACGCAGTAAGCAAGATCTTGAGCGCCTACCCAGCTCCGTTTGAAACAGTCCTGCGAGCAGAAGAAGCTGTCGAGGCCCATCTTCAGGCATGTCGGACACTGAAGCGATCCAGCATCCTTAGCACATTCGGTGCCAAGACATTTTCGGGGTGCCGCAACTTCAGCGGGCATAGTTGCTATATGAATGGCAATTAATTTATGGTAGTTTGTTTCTCATTGAAAATAAAGAACGAGCTTCAAAATGGTGAATTTAGCAGAGGAGGTGGAGGATCAAGTTGCGGCCAGAAAATTTGGGGGTGGGACGTTCAAAGTCGCTAGCCGGAAGTGGGTTAGCGTAATTCTGCTTATCGCTCTCCAGGAACAGACTAGCGTGCGACAGTATTCACGTGATTTTGATTTGCAGAGTGATCTACACTAAGTCGAAAATGGACGACAGGTCACCGGGACTGCTGGTCTCGTGACATAACAAGGGTCCGCGTCACACAAGCACGACAAGACCACCAATGGCCACAACAGGGATTGTCCTACATTCTTCGTGCTAATGCATAGGCTGGCACGGATCGTACAACAATCTGTTGGAGGAGATTGACCGTTTTGTCGCTACGCCGTCGCAATGGAAACTCCCGTCAAGCAAAAAGTGGTTATCGTCGGCGCGGGTCCAGTCGGGTGTCTGGCGGCTCTCTATGCTGCGGCTAGGGGCGACGATGTTGAGCTGTTTGAGCTTCGAGGAGGTCAGTTCAGCCCATTTTTTACTATCTTACACCCCTTCCAATCAGATACGACGGCTAGTCACACGATTTGGTGCCGACCTACCAAAGCATAATGGGTCCGAGCGTTGCATTCTTAGAGTATATGTTGGAGAGAGATGTCTCCAACAGTACATACCCACTTATCCAATGTATAGTTGTGCTTACCATCCATATTGATTACAGACCTCAGAGTTCCTGGCACTGTGCCTTTGAATTTCACAAAATCCATCAATCTTTCTTTGTCCCATCGCGGAATCACGGCAATGCAACATGCGAACCGCGAGAATGTGATCAAAGAGATTCTCGAACAGGTCGTGCCGATTTCTGGGCGCATGATTCATGGGAGAGACGATGGGAAACTATGGGAAGCACCACAAGCTTACGATGTGCATGGCCGGGTTAGTTGTCCTATTGCATGCACCGCAACGAATGATGGCTAACGATACAACACAGGGCAACTATTCGGCGGACAGGGGGATGTTGAGCAACGTGTTCCTCGATGAGTTGGAGCGAACACCCAACATCAAACTATACTTCAACCACAAGCTAACAGGGGCTGACTTCCACGCCAAAAAAGCCTGGTTCGAGCGTCGATCGCCCGGCGAATCACCCCTTCCAGGCTCGTCCGGCCGCGTGCCCGAGATACAGGTTGACTTCGACTTCCTGATCGGTGCAGACGGTGCCCACTCGGCCAGCAGATACCATATGATGAAGTTTGCTCGCGTTGACTACCAACAGGAGTATATCGACACCTTGTGGTGCGAGTTCAACATCTCACCATCACCGCAAAACGAGTTCCTCATCTCGCCCAGCCATCTCCACATCTGGCCCGGAAATGAGTTCATGTTCATCGCCCTTCCATCCGTGGATAAATCCTTCACCTGCACATTATTCGCGCCAGCAATCCACTACACCCAGCTCGAACGCTCCACCGAAGACCTCCTCGAGTTCTTTGACGTGCACTTCCCTGGCGTCTGCCCGGAACTCATCTCTCCCTCCGACCTCGTCACTCAATTTACCTCAAACCCTCACCTCCCCCTCATTAGCATCAAATGCAAGCCACACCACTACAACTCCAGTGTCGTCATCGTCGGTGACGCCGCGCATGCTGTCCTTCCCTTCTACGGACAAGGCCTGAACGCCGGCCTCGAAGACATCCAATTCCTCTTCGAATGCCTTGACAAACACGGCGTCTACGGCCCCGAAGCCCACAAGCACAGTTCTGCATCGCGTGACCTTGCCCGCCAGTTAGCGTTCCAGGAATACACTGACGCTCGCTCCGCCGACGCCCACGCTATCAATGACCTCTCCAAGCAGAACTACGTTGAGATGCGCTCGGGCGTCACACAACCCCTGTACAAATTACGCAAGTACGTCGAGGAGGCCCTGTACCACTACGTGCCACAACTCGGTTGGCAGACTCAGTATACCCGTGTTAGCTTCAGCAACCAACGATACTCGGAAATCATCCGGGTGAACCGCAGGCAAGGCAAGATTCTCAGTGCCGTTTTCGGTTCGACGGTGCTATCGACGTTGGCTGTTGCTACCGTCTTCGCCTGGAAGCAACCTGGGAGGTTCTTCTCGCCACTGACGGGGTTGAGAGATCTAGTGAAAGGTCTTTTGTCCAGATAGACTGCATTTACTTGAGTTGGCCTAGCTAGACTTTATAGAAAAGGCGAAGAGAAAAGTTAATATAGATTTCGGTTTTCTATTGTTGTAATTATCGTCGCCACTTTTTGATACAGCGTAATTATATATGGCATATCAGTTAATGTACTCGTTGTTACTACGATTACTTTGGGCGATCGTTCCAGGTATAAACCAGGAAAAATAACGCCGAATGCATGATAAAACAGCAAACCTTGGGAATCCTGAGGATGCAGCAGCTGTGTGCATACCCAGCTGAGACAGGCTGACAGTACACGAGGCAGGCCCGGAAATTCTGATTACTGCCTGTGTTTCCGATGTGGAAGAGTCCCAGTAGTATTTGCCCACAGAAGAAGTCAGTCCTTAAAGCCGATAGCGATTGGCAGCGGATGGTCCGGATACTGTGGAGGGTTTGGAAACGCTGCCTGATAGGTATGTTGGGTCCATGCAACTAGCCCCCCTCCCTTGGGTTGCTCTTGCATATTTAGGTTGCTTCTGTTCCTGTTTGCTTTTTGTGCTCTTTCAATGGAGTCCTCATTACTTGGGCTTGTGCATAGACTGTTAGTAGCCAAGGGACTCATGGTAGAGTGTGTGGATCGATCCATTCAGACGGATAACTGGCAAAACAACACAACGCCAAGAAGAAAAGGAACAGACAAAAATATTCAATAATAAGGAAGTTCCCATCAAGGAGAAAATCCAACAGCCCCATAGATCATGAAATAAAACACATTAAACTCGTCGTAACATATAGGCTGACTCGAAAACGGTGTGCCTGATTTCGATAACAGGCTTGCTCTCGTACAATACAAAAAAAGTCATATATCCCAGAGTACTTTGAACCAGTCACAAAATAATGTCAATATATCATAAAACGCGGAGAGCCAATCCCACAATTAAAAAAGAAAAAGGAAAAAACCGCCGGGATTGTCAAGCGATGAAAGGAAGAACGGATCCGACATGCGTAAGGAGGCAGCGTACGATTCTGGTTTATGGAGATACCACTCGCCGAAATGTTAGCGGGAAAAGGGAGCCGGAAGTTATGGTAGAGACAGATTAAAGAAGTCATGAACTCAGGCTGAGTCCTTTCATATCAGAGCCCAGGAAGGCTGCTTCGTGATATTATGGTCCGGGGGGGATGTCCAGGGGTTTGTTTTCCAGTTAGCTGGGGGTGGGATGGCGGATCACCAAATTTTCAAAAGGGCATCATTATGATCCGTGGATAGTTCTCCTGGCAGGCAGATCCTGAGATATTCCGGGATCGGGTATCCATCCAAGGGGGAAAGAGGTATGTAAAAGGGTCCAGGTCATAGTAAAAAGCAAAGGAAATATCAGCCTTGTTGGAGAGGAATCATATACCTCTGGGCATCATAATCAAGGGCTATAAGTCCAGATCCAGTCAAGGCGTGGCAAACTTGACTCGGCGGTTACGCCTTTCTTGTATGCGTTTCTCCGTGTCTGAATAAAGACGGTCAAGATACTCCATGGCACTGGCATCCTTGAGGATCTTAGCCACTTGGGTTCCGGCAGAAATGAGTTGGAGGACATTTCGGTCATCCTTGATCGGTCGTGATTGGTGTTTGGCAGCATGTCTCATTTCCAGAGAGTTTTCCAACACCGTGACTAGTTGTTTTATTTGACCATTGTAGAGCACTCTAGCAGGTATACGTCGTTTCGTCGCTAACCTCCTAAGAAGGTACACCCACTCAGTCCATTCACGGTCCGATGGGACCCTCACCTGTCTCTTGTCTGGCTCTAGCGGAATAGGGAATCGGTACTTTGCAACGAAGTCAAACGCGCATTGTGACAGCCGGTCATTCACCGAAGCTAGTATTCGGTCTTGCTCTGAGACATCAAGATTAGTAGGAAGATGGGGTAAATCCCTCCCTTGTGCAGCGACCAAATGTGGTGAAGGCGGATCTAGAAACTGATGGGGCCCATCAAACTCGTCACGGTTTGAGGGACGTCTTTGTGAGTGATGTCGTACAGTTCCTTTGTACTTGTCTGTCGTACGGCGACCTTTTCGTTCGATGAGGTACTCTGCATTCTCCGGTGGCTTTACGAAGTCGTAATCCCGCCTGAGAGAATCAACCGGAAGACGAGCAGGGTGATTCAGCTCTCGGTACAATGGAGTTGGGTGTGGCAACGGCCCCCTTGGAGAAAGACCGATAGACCCCGGCGAGTGTGAAGATGCTGGGATAGATCCATGAGGAATTTGGAAGTCAAACTCAGGCGATACAAGTTTTGGTGGCCTTGAAGTTGCAATTTGCGTGTTTATGGGTCCAGGGTCAAGCCTCGGTGGAGGTGAAAATGGTTTTGTACTAGATGGAGGTTTTCAGCATTGTAAGGAAACAGAAAATTATATAGGATAGAAATACCTTGGCTGATAAATCACCGGCGGTTCGCCAGAAGTCCCGTATATTTGTGGCTGGCGTGAAAACATCGCACTACGTAAAGTGAGCCTCATTCACATCACGCACCGGAATGGAAGACAAGGAAATAGGAGTGGAAAGGGCAATATAAGAATGAATGCCCGATGAAGCTAACCTCTGGCGAGACCACGTATCTGAGTCGTTACTCAGCGAGTGTGTATAGGAGCTGCTGCCTGTGCTTGTACCGGAGAAGTACGAAGACATTGCTGACACTGGAGGGTGAAGGATGAGGGGCATATGTTGAAAGTACATAGGGAAAGGTGTGAGAATAAGTATAACAAATGGCTAGTGGAGGGAAGGGGGGGGTTCATAAAAGTCCGGGTCTCATGTGCTCTATTGGAAGGGGCCTTGGCAGTATCGTGTGTATCAAACAAAAGAGTTCATAGAATTTGAAAGGCCGTGTAGCATATATGTAAAAAGCCAGGGCACGGGTAAAACCCATCGAGGCGGCAGATAAGCTCTTCCTTTCGAAGACCCACGGAGTGTGAAGAAGGCACTGTTTGTCGGTGACTCGCAGCCAGTGACCAGGATAGGCTGGAGGGGGATCACTATTCGCCAGGAATAAGCCGGGCATCAAGGGCGCCTGGAATATGGAGTCGTACACGGTGGACAACGGAGCCCAAGGGAAATTCCCCACGCTCCAGTGGATTGACAGGGTGGAAACAATCGATTGAACAGGAGCGGCGGTTACGACACGGACAAAATGACGATGGCGATCGAGCAATCATCGCAATCAGAAAAGAGAGAGGAAGATCTCCGAGGCTAGACTTTTTTGCCGTCCCAGTATCCATCAGGTGGATAGCTGTGGCAGCCATTGAGCACGGTTTGGCATGGATGGGCCTGACTCTGCTGAAAGACACTCCAAGATTTCGCCCCCACAGGAAGAACGTGGCCAGCTTTGGGAAGTTGATCCTATCCTCAAATGAGATTGGAGCGCACGCCAGTTGAGGAGAAAACGCAAGGGTTGAGATAGATTTTAGGGTTTTGGGCAGCAATGACAGAAGTTGGCAGGGCGCATGCACCCGCTCGGCACGACAGTCGACAACAGCCTCCCAATCCCTAGGCCTTGGCCCCATCAGGACTATGCTTGGCTTAAATCGCAAAATTCTTTTGGCCTAGACGTGTTTCACCCCAAATCTGATAGTATCCACAACTTCGGACGGCTTGAGATGGCTGGCAAGCTTAAAGGGCATTGGGCATCGCGAAGGTGACACCCGACAACGCTCGCGGGGTCCGCAAATCATTTGCAACCACTTATCCTGGGTCGCACAGAGCTTCGCAGCGTCGCCATGCCCAGTTTCTTGAGAGACTTTGGCCCTGGCCTTGCCCTATTCTGAGTGGTGGGAGGGAGGGGACTTCAAGTCATAATCCGACTACTCGAGACAGTTATAAACGATCAAAGTGCATGACTACAGGGAGTATCCCAGCCAAAATTTCCCGCTTTGACAAAGTGGCATCCAATTGCCCCAGTTTTTCTCGATATTCCTCAAACACGGGGGTGGAAATCTCATCAGAAGGCCATTAAAGGCATAGGAACAAAACTGCTGTAAATGAGGGTCGAACTGCGAGGTCCAAGTGTCTCAGCCCCGGGACAAACAACCGCCTAATATTGGGAAACGAAGTGTGGAGATCATGGGATCTTCGCTGTCTGCGAGTATACCGACCCTTCCGGAGCGTTGGGCAGACATATGGCTGCATGTGTTGCCGCCCAAGCCTGGAGCCGACTCACTCAGCTCGCCAGAAGTGGCATTGAGAGGGCGATTTGAGAACTGTAATTCTGAGAGCGGGAGGATCACGGCCCAACTCTTGACCCTCTCGTCTTCCGTTCAGAATGAAGGTATTGGTCTTCGCATACTTCGGATACGGAGCACCCGTTCCGTCATGATTTCGGTTTGCTGAGTTCCAAAACAAAGGAACAAAAGAGGGGAAAGAAGCAAATGAGAATGGAAAGCAAAGGCCATGAGTCTGAGACACTCATCTTGCCTGATGCTGTAGATTCCCTACTGATATCAGCTGAGACACGCTCTCCGGGTTATTTACGCTAACCTGGAGGCTCAGCCGATACCCCATGCTCCTATTTTTACCGATTGGGTAGAATCAATGGTTCAGTTGGCCGGGGGTACCCTGCTTTGGTCTCTGTTGTAATCCGTACTATCTGTCATTGTCGTGCAAGACAGGGTCACTCTAATAATGGTAGGATGGGACAGCGCGATAGAGGCGGAGAGGCAGGGAACTATTCTGATTTTTGTTTCAGCGGTGGTGACAACTCGAGCCCCAGACGACGGGCATAGTCCTTGAACCTCAGCATCAGTGGAAAATCTCGAAATATCACGCAGCGCAACATCGTCTTCAGTATTGGCTTACATCACAGCTCATGCGTATTCCGTCTTCGATACCGATGCGCGCTTCATAGCCCAAAATCTGTCGTGCTTTTTCTCCATTAGCATATCGGATAGCGCATGCATCTCTGACACTACCGCGGCTGAGAGTTGGCGTGTTCCCGAAGGCCCAGGTCGATACCTCAGAGATCAGCCCAGCATAATATGCCAACCATTCAGGAATATGGAGCTCAAATGGCGGAGTATGACCAAAATGGGCCCATATTGCGAGGCAAAAGTCCCTAAAGGCGATGGGCTCATTGTTTTGGATAAAGAAAGCTTCTCCGGCGGCTGTCTTCGAAGATATCAAGTTTTCTGCAGCTAGGACATGGGCATCTGCGATGTTGGTGACATAGGTGACATCCCATAGGTTCAACCCGGTCCCTATGACAAACGGCGTTTCCCATTTTGCGATACATGCATGAATTGCGGGGACCAATTGGTAGTCACCAGGTCCGCAAAGGACAGAAGGTCGGAGCGAGCAAGTAGGCATGGCATCGCTCGAATATTGAAGGACCAAAGCCTCAGCGGCTGCCTAGTAGTTGACCAACCGGCAACATCGTCAGTAACTCCAAAAATGTACGAGACGAATAGCAGTAAAGAAGCACTCAGGGCTCCAAACCTTAGATTCTCCATATATGAGAGATGTACGAGATGTGGGCCAGCTCTCGTCAACATTAGGGTAAGGCATCACCATGTCATCAGTCACTGCACAGCAGGAACTTGTGTAGATGAAGGCCATTGATCCACTTTTCTTTGCGGCTTCAAGCATATTTTTCGTGCCTTCGACATTGACTCGCCATACATGGTTCTGGAGTCTCCTTGCAAACCGCTCGGCAAGATCTGGAACGATTCCTGCGGTATGGATCACAATGTCTGGCCGAGTGCGCTGGAGTACTTCTGAAGTTTCGTCGGCATTGGTAATGTCAGCTTGAACGAAGGTAGCGCTTGCTGGCACGGCATGTATTGGCCCTGGAGGATGTAGGTCAATGATAGTAATGGCACATTCCGAGTGCCTCTCAGCCAATGCTCTTGCAGTGGCTGCGCCGACGAAGCCAGTCCCGCCTGAGATGACGACGCTTCTGATAGATACCATACTTCCAGTCATAGTAGGTTAGTAGCCGCTTCTCCGCCTTTCATGCTATTCCGTTATCATCTATTTTTGTCGAGGCTCGTCGTCCCGAGTGGCCGTGATCGTCCCCTTTGGCCCAGTTATGCAATTCGTTATTTCAATTTCAAAGATTGAAAATGGCATGCGCGCCCAGTAACAAATAAATCCGATAATAAAAAGGCAGCAGGGCCTGATTGAGGATGATTGTTTTGATTCACTGCGGCGGAGGAGAAGAGGGGAGGAAATGAGACGTCGACGGACGAGGATTTTGTCTCGTCCTGTCACAAGATCTCCGGGCTTCAAGAATGTTACCTTGGAGGGAAGGTATCGAGACCATGCTGCTCTTTAATTACGGTTCCCTTGATATATCCGCAGAAAATGGCTAGGGACAATAAAGAAATGGTAATTGAAGTTACTTCGGTTAATGTACAGTAGTTGTTTATCCCAACAGTCGCAAACAGGAAGTAAATGAGATGCTGCGACTGACCAAACTCCGGATATAATGCAAGCCCATCGTACAACACCCCTCGAATAGATATCTCAGCGACGGTCTATCCCCTCCACTAAGTTATTATAGAACGCGACAAAGGACAAGCCCTCCAATCTTCTTCTCGACACACTCTCGTGCTTCCTTGACGCCCTGGTCCGTCGAAAGGTAGAGACTCTCGCCGGGCGACCGCAGTCCTTCGACATAATCGCTTCTTTCCCCTCGAACGACTTCGCGCAGGCCGGCAACGTCAATGGTGATCCGTCGGGTGGGTTTGCTGACCAAGGATATTTTGGAAAGAACCGGTTGACTTTGCCAGTACTTCAGACCCAACCACAGCCGCCTTGAGGCAATGTTGCTCTGTGTTAAAGGCTCCAATGGCTGTGTTTCACCGTGTGCGATCGGAATTCCAAGCAGGTTATGCATAGCCGGCGGTTCGGGGCCTCCGCGCACGACAGACGAAAGGAAACCGTCATTCTGGAGGGCGAGGCAAAGCTTCAGGTGGAGGTTGGAGTTCGGGATCGAAGTAAAGCCAAGCCGAGCCTTGGTTGCATTGTTCAGGTGCGAGCAGACGTGGGCTAGATTGACGAGAGACATTCTAAGCTGCGATCTGGCGGAATTGACCCGGATGGGCCTCGGAGGAATTGGCAATTAAGCGTTCTGGAATTGAACAGTGGGTAATCAGTCTGGGGAAGCATTTCACGAGCGGGGGGTTCATCGAATATATACCTGTGAGGTATGAAGGGGGAAAGACCCGGGGTATCGCAAACACTGAGAACGTAACTCGAGATCTAGATGGCGTGAAGCTGTTGACCGCGGGCAGCTCGATGAAATTTTCGGAGAAACAAAAGGACGGGGCCGATGTTGGTGCCTTGGGGTCAAGGCCACAGAATAAGGCATCCACGATCTATCCATCGTCGAATCATCTCCAAGTTCTAAGCGCCCTCATTGCCGCCGGCGTTCTGCAGACTGCATATCACGGCCAGTAGTCTCTTGGTAAGTGGTTTTTCTTTGTCGAAGGCCTATAAATCATTTTTGCTGCCTGGTCTTTCATTTTCCCCTCCCTATTTCCATGTAGTCGCTCGACGTCCCTTCGTCTACTACAAACAACTGAATACTAACCGCTAATTATGCCTCCGCTACCAGGCGAGGAGCGAGTTCTGACTCTGTGAGTATCCTGACTGCCCCGCGTACTCTGGGATCGCATGGTCTGACATATGCAGCTTCGCCGATATCCATTATTACTTTACTGCTCCAACTCCGAAGCCCGTTCTTCATCGCTTCGAGAAGAGCTCCTATCTATATCTGTACCGCAACAACACCCAGCAGAAAACCAGGATTGAAGTAGCGAATAACCCTGGTACCCCCGATCAGGATGCATTTAATGGAGGTAGGCTCGCTGCAGGCGTGTCCTAATAGTTTTACCGAGGTCTAATCTGTTGACAGCTCTCGATAATTCCCATATACAACACTCCACCTCGTTTCCATCTCGATGTACAATAACCGTGGATGGACAGACACAACAAGCGCAAGGAGGACTGTCCTTTCCCCCGCCTCCCAATAGCGCCAACCCTTACGAATGGCAATTGCCCACGAACGATGCGCACAATCCTATGCAGCGTCTCCATACTCTAGATATCTATTTCTGGAGTGCAGGCGACGCCGACCAATTCCTAGACTCTGTTGAAAACTACTTGTCGCGCGCCCAGGTAGAAACCGACCGGCATCCTTATCCACCAGGCTCTTCCGAAGGCAACGCCACAAGTACAGTCGTCCAGCAATTAGAGAATGTGGCCATCACGGACCCGGCTTATCAGAATGGACAAACCCGGAATTCCCAATCAGAAGCGGCGGTCGTGAGCCCTGCGCTCGTTGATATCCCTCCACCACCTCCCATGGGCAATCCAGCCGCGTCACCCCAACACACATCCTCAATCAGCCCTCCTGCTGAGCAAAAGAGAGACTCCGCGCAGCTTGCCCCTCTACCCTATAACCCGGCCGCCCCCGCAGCGCCAGAACCGATCAAGCATCGCCAGAAAACACCTCCTCCTCCCGATGCCGCAGACGGAACCGGTCTCGCCGCCGCCATAGCAGCGGACAACGGCGTGTCCTATACTAACCCTGGCCAGACCCTCGGAGGAGGCTACCCCGCTACTACTGCTGCTGGCATACCCCCCCCTCCGCAGCCACAACTTGCGCAAGTCCCGACAACCCCATACTCCGTTCCCGGATCCTACGCCTCTCCACCCCCAAGCGCAGGGCTTCCCCGCACAGGCTCCTTCCCACCGCAACCGCCTATCCAAAGTCCGCCTATACAAACACCACCTATCCAAAGCCCACCAGCTACAACCCCCTCATATCCACCAACTCACCTCCAAGGAGGCACCCAGCAACAGATCCCAATCACCCAACCCGTCCAGCCCGTTCACACCTACGCTGCCCAGCCTCAACAAGTCCATCAAATCCAAAATCAGCAACAACCCCCAAGCTTCTACGGCAGTCAAGTCCCGGCAGTAGGTGGCTACTCAAACTACACCTACGACCAGACGCCCAACCCTCAACATCAGCATCAGCATCACCACCAACACCACCACTCTCAGCATCATCTCCACCAGCCATCCTCCTCCGAATACAGCATCCACGGGCAAATGTACCGGCCCACGGAGGCAGAAGCAGGCTCACACCTTCAGGAGCACGCGAAGCTAGCAGTGCAGCAGCCTCCGCAGCGATCACGGAAACTAGAGGACTCGGCATCGAAAGTTGAGGGCAGCGTAAATCGGTTTTTGAAGAAGTTGGAAAAGAGGCTTTGATTTGTTCCGTCTTCAACGGCTTGGTTTGTTTTGTTCAGTTGGTAATGTGTCAAGTTGTTTGTGTGGAGAGGTTATACCCATTCGTGTAAATAGGCAGGTAGGCATCAGAGATTTCGATGGGTAAGGAAGGCATTTTGTTGAGACCCGTTTCCTTAGGATTTTCGGCAATATGATACAGTGTATGCCTCAATGTAAACGTTTGTTTTGATTCCCAGGTGACAAAATTATTGCCTTGAGCATCGAGCTACAAGAAAGTGAGCGTCTACTTGGTACAAGGTACGCCTCTCGAACTAAGGTAGAAGCGGTACAACCGATCAAATAGATAGCGCATCTTAGTTACATTTTCACATATACCGAGGTAAATCTATGCTATTCCGAAGATAAAATTCGAGAACAGTGAGTAGTCTAACAGAAAAGGCCTTGGGACCAAAACAACAGCCCTGCGCACACGCTCTGGGTGACACCGAGGTTCCGTTCTCAGGAGTAGCAGCAAAAGTTAAATAAAGTAGCAAAACGATGAAGGTATAATCACAAGAAGGTACAACAAACATGTAAGTAGAAGGTGAGAAGAGGAAACAGCCAAGATACTCCTAGACAGATTGATGCAAGATGCAGGAAAAACGCTAAATCACCCAAGGATTTCTAACACCGTTAATGAATACGCAACTAAGTGTTAATTGAGCTGCGCTGTGGCATAAATTGTCCCCAAAAAGAAGAAAACCGAAAATCGACAAAGCCGGCACAAAAGGGGTCGTCTCTGGAAACGTAGAAGTGAGAAGGGTATAACAAAGTATGTCACAAGAAATGAAATAGTAATCAGAATTGTCAAGATATTTGAAGGTCGCCGAAAGACGGCGAGATTCATCTAGTTCGAGGCATCCTTGTCATTTACCGTCAGTTTGCTGAGATCAATATCAACTTCGGCAGACTTGGCCACTGGCTCAAGAGGGGCTTCGTTGGGGGCAGCGGGCTCCTTGTCTTGTGAAACAGCAGATATCTCAGTTTCAGTTGGTTCTGCTGTTTGAGGAGCGTCAGCACCATTGACATCTGCCGGCTCGGTCGGCTTTTCCACAATCTCTGCAGCTGGAGCCAAAACTTTCTTCTCAGGGATCTCCGTTGTTGGGTATGCAGGAACTGTTGTGGGCTCAGGCTTCTCGTCGACCTTCTGAGAGATTTCAGGTTCAGTGGCCTCGGTGGGTTCGGTGGGTTCAGTGACTGCCTCTTCGGGTATCTGCTCTGGCTGTGCAGCAGGAGTCGCCTCCAGTTGCTCGTTGGCTTTGCTGCCAGAAGGCTCGGCAGCAAAATTAGTAGGAGGCTCAACAGCAGGCTCAGCAGGCTCAGCAGGCTCAGCAGAAGAATTCACTGGTGCATCAGCGGGTGCCTCCTCGTGTGGCTTGGCTTCAACAGGCTCCGGAGACTTGCTCGAAGTCTGGGCGGGAATTTCTATGGTAGCTTGTTCCGCGGCCTCTTGCATGGGCTCAGCCTTTTGTTCTTTCGGTTGAGTCTCAGCTGATTCGCTGGCAGGGGGCTGTTCTGGCTCGGATGGCTTCTTGGGTACAGCTTTCTGCTTCATCGCCGGGGGTGAACGAGTATCCGACTTTGATGATACCTTCCCTGGGGAGCGGGTGACATTGGGTCGAGGAGGACTCTTGATTTCCACTTTCTCGTGCGTCTTGCTTGCGGAGCTGGCTGTAGGGCGCATCATCCTTGCCAGAAAACTCTCGTCGACTGGCCTAGAGGCCGTACTTGAACGGGAATTTGGGCGATCATTCGGTGACTGTCCAGGGGGCGAACGGGATGCTGCTTGCTTACGGACACTGGATGCGGTAGGGGTGATTGCACGTTGGCGCGTTGTGGTCTTCAAGCTGGACGGCTTGCGTGATAGAGTAGAAGTAGCACCAGACTTCGCTGCTGACGTTTGAGAAGCTGTGGTGGAGTTTGTAACGCGAGCTGGTCTAGCTGCCGATGACGATCGAACATTGCTACTCCGAGCTGCCGGCTTGGTGGCCTCACGAGCAGGAGGCGAAGCACGGGTGGGCCTTGTAGACGTCTTATTTGCTGTGGCAAGCGATGTCCGGCTTGATTTATGAACAGGTGCCTTCGCCGCGTCGCTCTTTCCACCAACAGTAGTTGTAGATGGCCTAGAGCTGCGGGTTGCCCTAGTGGTCTTTTCGGCGTCAGGTTTGGTAGCCGACGTTGCCGTGCGTGATGTGGCTGAGGTCTTCGAAACTGGCGCTTGAGAGGCAGGCTTGTTGGTCGAGGCTATCTTTCCGGCATTCAGGTTTGACGGCTTCTTCGAAACGGTCTTCGCGGGTTTCGCTGCTGATGCCTCAGGTACAACCGTTGGGGGTTTGGGTGCCGGCTGGTTTTCCTTGTTTTCAGATGTTATTTCCTCGGCCTTCTCTTTTCCTTTAGTCTCGACGGTAGCGGGGATAGGGTCTTGCTTCTCGGTTGCATTCCCTTGCTGGGGGCTACCAAACCCATTGGTTGGTTGAGCCGAAGATCCGTTGCTCTTGACGCTACCATCAAGATCTTCCGACCCAAAGCTTTTGGCCCTCGATGGCGAAGGAAGGCTGTCGCTCTGCGGGCTTATACGGCGTAAACCCAGAGCGGGACCCCCTTGAGACCCTCCATCAACAGCGACAAAGCTTGCGCGTACCTTCGATAGACTATCCGAGCCAGCGGGAGATCTGTCGCGAGGAGGAGGAGACGCGGCACTTGGCTGGCTATTTTCGAACCTCGCGAGGAGACTCTTCACGCCGGGGTGGGCACCTTTGTCGGTCATGGTGACGCAGAAGCTGATTCGCGGACCGGAAGGTGTTGAGCAGGCCTAGGGCGGCCGAAGTGAGATTACGCAAACGATTGTAGCGGTGGCCGCAGGATGTGATCTAATCCGCGGTTGTGAGAAGTAATGTGAGCTGTATCGCGCAGAGTCGCGAAAGCTAGGACACGTTGGTCTGACGGAACACGCAGAGCGGGGGAGGAAGGAGATATAAACAGTGTGGCGATAGTAAACAAACAAAGCCGGGGAGAGGCGGAGCAAGTCAATAGCAGATATGGGCAGCCAGAGAGAAAAGTCCAGGCCCAACAGACATGATAGAGAAAGGCTCTAGAAGAAGCATGGAATGAACAGAGTAGTCAATCATTTCGATGGAGGAAGAAAGGAGAGAGGCGCTGACAGACGCAGCAGCAGTGGGGATCACGCCTGAGGCAGCAATTCAGGGGGCGGATCCGCGGCTTCATCTCTGGAGCTTCCGGCCTTCTGTTACGCTCGCTCGGTTTCACTGGACCTCCTGCATGCAAACCAATAATCTCGGCCCATTTACCCCGTTTCGTGGCTTCATGGGCCATAGCGTCGCCACAATATTGCTGCTCGCCTGCCTTATGACCACTTGTTAACTTGCTTTTTCCCAAGACGCCGCCACTTCCACAGGGGCTCTATAACACTCCCTTTTCGCCCCTGAGATTGGGTAATTCGCTTTGACTTCGCCTGGGTGGACACCTCAAGTCATGTCCATCTTGCAAACAGTTGACGGACCATCCAACAACCGCGTTCATGTTTTCGTTGCAGGCTAGGGAAGGACCGAGCCTCTTCCGACAATTCGGTGTGCTCGGAAGCCAATTGCAATCCATGCCCCTGCGTGCTCAGAGAAGACACGACCACACTAGTAGACAGTAGACTCGACACTGGGCCAGTGCGGGCTCAACCGTCCGATCGGTGTTGGACTTGACTGTTGATCGGCCTCCTTGAACCGCACCACTGGGCAAACCGAGACTACTCTGTACAGCCACTGCAGGGCTCATACCCGCAAATCGGCATCCGTTGAAACTCTGCAAGGAACGGCTATTATGGTATTGTCGCAGACTTCGATAGTTAGTTAGATAGTGGGTAAAATCTGTCTATCGTCGCCGGATGTCTATGCGAACATCTGCGCGCATTATCATGCATGGATCCGCGGAGGGGTGCAGGAAAGTTTACATCTCAGGCAAGGAGGCAGGCACTCGATTGGAATGCTACAAATCTGCTTTTTCAGAGCTCCTTAAGTGATGTCGAAGCCAGGAGAGGCAGATTCCAGCGGACTGGGGAATGCCAGTGAAGCGACATGTTCAAAATCGATCAAGTCACCCAAACCAGACTATTCGATCACATTTCCTATTCCTTCTGTCAACCCTTGCTGGCTCCTTGAGGGGTCGAGAGACAGCCCCCATATGCACCCTGACAACTCGTCCAATACGCCATGGAAAACTCGGGAACATGAAATGATAGAGGCTACCAGCTGTTCTCGGTTGTCATCAGGTGAATTAATTTTATACAGTGCTAAGCTGCTGAGAATGTCCTCTTGTTGCATAGCGACGGATGTACCCGGTTTCATCCATGACTGGCTATCATATTACGAAGCGCTCTCTCCACACGCTGGTGTAGAGGACAGTGCGAAAGGTGCATTGTTTTGATTGACTGTGGTCTAAAGAGCGTCCGTAATGCTAAGTCGCTTGCCCAGCTTGTGGTATTAGAGAATCTGGGAGGTTTGGAGGTTTAGAGGTTTGGAGGTTGGGCTTTCGAAACAACAAATGCGAGAAGATCCAATTGCAGATTGTATATTATTTTTCATTAGTATTATGTATAGAAAAGGACCGCATTCCGTTGTGAACGAATGGATATATATCTTTGGTTAAGGTCTAATTTGAGCTGGTGATGAGTGTACTGTGGAGGTGCGAGACGACCATACAAGTCGGTATAACGCCTTCGTTCGAGATAGATTTAGTTTCAAAGACTTGGAAAGAGAAACAACATCCTGGACCTCAACATCGGATGGAGACGACGCAATCCTGATAGATGAAGTGCCGGTTCCTCGGCGATACCACGGATCAATATTATCCCGACCGCCATACAAAACAATTCCCTCCGATCACGGACGTTTTTCTGGACTGCAGGAAACCTCCAGATATTCGCAATGGCTGCTGCTCGGACTCTTCGCATAGGTCAATTGGTCTTTTCATATGTTATACAGCATTTACTGACAACCCTGTGCAGGTCTCATCCCCGGTGACGGTATCGGACGGGAGGTCATCCCGGTGAGTCGCATGTCGCAGACGACAAAGACGAAGAAGTGTTAATCGTGCTCGTACTTTTAGGCCGGTAAACGGATCCTGGAATCCCTACCTTCTTCTCTGAACCTGAAGTTCAACTTCGTTGACCTCGAGGCGGGTTACGACTGCTTCAAGAAGAACGGTACTGCTCTGCCCGACAAGACCGTTGAGGTCTTGAAGAAGGAATGTGATGGTGCTCTCTTCGGAGCTGTCAGGTTCGTTGTATTTCATCTAGCTGCAACAGGAGAGCATTACCTAATGCAGTTTGAATAGCTCCCCGTCCACCAAGGTCGCCGGTTACTCTTCCCCCATCGTCGCTCTCCGCAAGAAGCTCGACCTCTTCGCCAATGTCCGCCCCGTTAAGACCACCCTCGGCAGCAGCACCGGGAACCCCATTGACCTCGTCATTGTCCGAGAGAACACCGAGGACCTCTACGTGAAGGAAGAGAGCACTGAACAGACCCCCAACGGCAAGGTCGCCCGGGCCATCAAGCAGATCTCCGAGCGCGCCTCGTCCCGCATCGCTACTATTGCTGGTGAAATTGCTCTTCGCCGCCAGAAGATCCGCGATGCCACCCCTGCCTCCGGCCTCCGCACCAAGCCCATGGTCACCATCACCCACAAGTCCAACGTCCTCTCGCAGACCGATGGTCTCTTCCGCGAGACCGCCCGCGCCGCCCTCGCCGCTCAGCAGTTCTCCTCCGTCGAGATCGAGGAGCAGATCGTCGACTCCATGGTCTACAAGCTCTTCCGCCAGCCCGAGTACTACGATGTGATTGTTGCCCCTAACCTCTACGGAGACATTCTGTCCGACGGTGCCGCCGCTCTCGTCGGCAGCTTGGGTCTCGTGCCCAGCGCCAACGTTGGTGACGGCTTTGCCATCGGAGAACCTTGCCACGGTAGTGCCCCCGACATCGAGGGCAAGAACATTGCCAACCCCATTGCTACTCTGCGCAGTGTTGCCCTCATGCTCGAGTTCTTGGGCGAGGAGAATGCCGCAGCTAAGATCTACGCCGCTGTCGATGGCAACCTGGATGAGGGCAAGTATCTGTCCCCCGACATGGGCGGAAAGGCCTCCACCACCGAGGTTCTGGAAGATGTGCTCAAGAGACTGTAAAGTGCGCGTATATATTGAGTTAGACAGTTCTAGTACTTATGTAAACGAATAAAAGTTGAGGTTTACAGCGCTCTGGGTTTTTATGAAGTTTCGATTCAACTACTACCTGGTTGGAGCGCAAATCCAAAACTGTCCACAACATCGCACCTCCCTCACGAGCTCCCTGACGAAAGTAGCACCTGACATCTATGGACTATTCAGTTACTGCGATGGGAAGGCGCGATGGGCGTCGGGCCGACCCCCGTCGCACCTGCCTTGCGGAGGAAATCAAATATTGCGTGCATGGAAGGTGCGCTGGACTGTTATCAGAATCGGAAGGTGCCAGCAATACCCCTAGAGAAAGGATTACATGGCTTAATGAGTTTTGAATAATCGAACAATGCCCGCTAGGGCTAATTTAGCTGGATGTGAACATCATTTTAGTACTTATGCAGCTACCTATAACATATCTCTTCAACCTCGCATCCACCATTCTCCGTTCTACCCCCTCAAACTCTCACCGAGATATACCGACCTTGCAACCATCACAGTAGTCAATACGAAAGTTAAACTATAGAGCCCAACTGATACACTTATCCCGCTCGCCCCCATTCCCAAGCTGATGATATAGTTCACCATGGCCGCTGTACAACAAATGAAAATCCGGTGCCCGATATTCGAAAGCCACCTTGCCGCACTAAGCTGACCAGGCGTAAGGTCTCCTGACTCTCTAATGGCAGTAATCTTTGGCACGTAGCGACCGCCGGCCATAGCGAATATGCCTAGGCCTAAGACGAGGCAATCTTGCGGAAGTGTTGCGAGGGGATAATCTGCCAAACCTCTGAGAGTTACTACCCCTAACTCTGTCAGGAAGATGCATGAGATTGTCCTAATGTCGTTCATGGTGAGCGAGTTCCCATGATAGGGAGCTGCCATCGTGAACAAGGCACTCATCAGCGGATTGATAACGAGGAGGAAGAGGCCGCACATTGCCTCGTAAAAGGCCAATATACCACTCCCAGTGCTGTATGACGACGACGCGTATATAAAGTTGCAGCATTGGAGAGCGGTTTCCTCAAACAGTCCCCGTGCCGTGGTGAGTAGTAAAGAGATGTTCAGCTTGGCAGTTATTTGGGGTGGCAGTGTCTTGATTTGGCATAAGATGTTCTGGATTCCTGCTTGAATAGACTGGTTATCCTGGCTTGGTGAATTCCCATCTACAGTCTGATCGCCCTGTATTCCATTCTCTTCCTGATCGCTTCGGAGGCCTAAAGTCTCTGGAATAATTGCTGCCCGCAGAAGTGGTGCTAGAAGCAGATTTATAGTAAGAACAAGTAGGGATGTGATGCCATAGTACTGACTGTGCAACACGGCCAAACTGATGGCCGGCCCAGCAATATTAGTCATTGTCTGAGCAATGGCCAGGAATGACTTCTCATGTTCGTCTTCACCGACTCCAAGATCGCCCCGTATAGTCTCAATGAGGTCCCGGGTGACGCCGCTTCCACCACCAAGCAACAGAAAAACACCAGAGAACCAGACCCAGCGGACAGACATGAGGCGACTGTAGCAAACCACCACAATCCAAACTAGCCTGAAAGTTTCGCCGATGCTGTTGCAAAAAAGCATGCCCCTTCGACCGATGTGCTTACGCTCCGATAGCTTGTAGTATGGAAATCTGCACGCTATTTCCGGGAGGATGGGGAGTAGGGCCAGAATGCCGTTGATGAATGCGAGTTCTTGTCGAGTGTGTTGTGTTCTACACACGTCCCAGTTGGAAAGCATTATCTCAACTTGGTCGTATTGTTCTGTACAGATAGTACTTTGCAGGAGCTGCAGGAGCGCAACCGGCTGGAGGCTTTCGCTTAGGGTGAACGTGAACATGAACACGCGCAGTAAGATTAGCTTTGTCTGTTTCTGCTGGCGGTAGTGTCTGCTGTTGCAGTTGTTGTTTTCATCATGTTTCTCATTTTTATCTTCAGCATCGCAGTCCTTGTTGTCCGATGGCTTTTCATTGCATGTCTTGTCGCAGGGCTTGTTACCGGCTGCTTCTTCGGACACAAGGTCCACAAGGTCCCAGGCTGTATCGCCGAGAGAAGAGGAGACGTTTTTGGGAGACATTGTGCAGGTAACCTCCTAGAAAGAGGCGTAGGAGAAAGAAGTATGATTGATCAACTGCGACTGGACAGCCGTAGATTTTATAGTACTGGATAAAGCCAGGTTCACTCGTAGCCCTAGAGTGAGTCAGACGGTTATACTGACCCAGCCTTCCTTCTAGTGAACACTCGAGCCAATCAGGTATCATAGCTCTGTTAAATTCATAGCTTTCTTTGAGAAGAATAATTCTTTATGATTAGGCCAGAGTCTTCGGGCTTCGCCTTGTTCGCTTCACAGCCTGTCCATAACAGCATACTATGCTCCAGGCTCAGCTCTGGTCCAAGAAAATAGACGTATATTCGGGTTCTATCAGCTAGAAATAGTATATCTACACGTTCTAATTCTACTCAACATCAGCCGCGGACGGTTCTTCCTCCCAGTCAAACCTGCCTCCTTTGACTTTTCCTGGTTGCCCAGATACAGGATTCTGATCCTCGTTCTCGTGAACTAAAGTGAACAGAACAACCAGATAAACCTCCCCTGTTGTCCTGTTTTTTAATACATACCGCAGGGAATGTGTCTTCTCGTCAATATAATGCAACGCATTGATATTGAACCCGGGAAGACGAAGGGTAAAGTCTATATAGGCGTCTCATCAGCACCTATCTTACTCGGGCAGATATCAAAACAACAGTAAGAATAAACAGTCAGGGGGAAAAAGGAAAAGGTAGAGGAGGCATCTGACCATTAAAGTCCAAGTACTGATTCCCAAAATCTGCAAAATAAACCCTGCCCACCTCAAATTCCCACTCTTTTCTCTTCTCCTCATTGTGGAAATGCGATCGCCTGGCCCCAACTTCGCCAGGTACACCCAATTCTTCACGAACACTAACCCCCTCATCTTCACCCTCTTCAACAACCATCCCATGCACATCCGGCAATTTACCAACACCTTCTACCCCGCCTATTTGTCTCCCGACCCGGAGAGCATTCCACGTCGCCAGCGCAGGACTATACAAATACGGCTTATCGGCATGTGCATCGCCGTCAAGCGAGGGATCGATCGTCCACTGGACAAGACGGAGAGCGGCCCCGAACCCCGGCGGGAGTCTATCACGGATGGGATTGTCGAAGTCGTTGCCAAATAGAAGATCGTCGCCATTTATTGGTTTGGCGAAGGAGATTGCGAATGAGATCGAATACTGGTCTTTATGGTGTAAGGGGTGTGTGAAGTAGGGGTTGGTTCTGGGCGCGCCGTCTGGGAAGCCTAGCGGGTTGTGTTAGATGTGTTCTCTTGAGATTATGTTAGATATGGCTGGGAGTAAAGCTACCTGTGTAGTTCTGGACTCGGACGGCGAGATTTGTGGAAGCATGCGAGTTTGAGATGTATAGTGTTTGGTCTTCGTTTACTGGGACGTCTTGGTGGGTTGCGGGGTCGTAGTCGGGGCCTGCGGTGACTTTGAGACGGTATCTGGATACCTTATCTGATCCTGGCATGATGAAGTATCTCAATGGGCGGTCTAATAAAAATATAATCTGGAAGTCTAAACGGACATTGAAGAGATTAACCTTGGAAGCCGAATAGTTGTCTACATCTTAAGCTTCGTCGAGGCGACGTCATAGATACGATAAGATAAGCCATGCGGTCCTGGAATGTTGATCACCGACTACAACGTGGATGCATTTCTTGAGAAGAGCTGTTTTATCAAATTCTATGAGGTTTAATAAAACATATCATACATCTCTCCAGACTTACAGATGGCCCTAACGGTGGACTAACTTGTGCCAGAAGACGAAGTCTAGATAACGAAAGTAAATACAATAGATCAACGAAAGTAAAGGTTAAAGATCGGCTGGGTCCGAGGGAACAACGTCCACCTCGTCTTCTAGCTCGTCCTCAGTGAGAATACCAATTCCACTGTCGAGCCGCCTTCGATGCTTCCCCCGTCCAACCTCCACATCAACAAATCGTGTCATGCTGACTGGGGTGATGGGCTCGCTGCCACCCCCCATGCCATCTGCCTGCAGTTCATCTGACTTCAACTCCCAGTTCGCAGCTCGAACCTTTGCTTTGCGACGTTCAGCGCTGACTGCAGCCTTCATTGTTGTGTATGCTCGTGTCTGCTCCGCAACCCATTTATCCAGAAAGCCGTCTCTTGTTTCAACCTCCAGTCGTAGTTGTTCTTCGAGGCCAGAATTGCTGCGACCGAGCTTCTCTGCTTCCGCTTTGGCAGACTCCAATGCCGTGTTGAGTTCAGCAACCCGGACATTCAACAGACCAATTTCATGTTCATGTTTCTCAGCATTGCTCCTTTGGCTTTCGACCACCTCGGAGCGCTCGCGCTCAATTGTTTCCATTTTGGCAGTGAGGCCGCGGACCTGTATCCTATTTTGTTCAATAACCTGTTCTAGCTCGCGAATCAACCTTTCCATATCTGCAATGGTTGAATTGGCCGTGCGACGCGCTTGTTCTTCACCGGCCAGCTTATGGGCTATTTCAGATAGTTGTTGGGCATGGCTCTCGGTGCGCTGGACTTTCTCCTCTTCTAACTTGGTCACGAGTTCTTCAAGGCCTTTGACTTCGCCGTGATATTTGCTCAGCGCGGTGTTTAATCTATCGATACCGATGACCTGCTCCTGAGCTTCACGTTCGAGATCCTGCATTCTCATTCTCGTATGGAGCATATCCCCTGCAGAAGACACGATCGACTCTTCCATGTCCTGGATCTTCTTTGACGCGGACTCATAGCGGACTAGAAGGGTATCAAACTGTCCTCGCAGAGCCCTTTCGCGATCAGCCGAGCCCTGGTGGCGCGTCCGTTCCTCACCAAGGTCCGTGACGAGCCCCTTGACTCGTTTCACAAGTGCACTCAGCGTGGACATTCCATCATTCAGGCCAGCATCGGCCGTCTCTCCAGGGACTGTCCGTTCCAGCTCGAGACGTGCAGTGCGAAATTGGTTGTGCAATTCTTCCACGCTCTCATATGCACTTGCACCGTTGAAGCCGAGACTAGAGAGTTCAGCCTGGATATCACTCAAAGTTTGCGTGGCGTCTGAAGCACGGGTAAGCATTTGCATGAGACTTGGGATAATGTCGTCGAGGAAGTCGGGTGGAGGGGAACGTTCACGAAGATGGTGTCCAAGGGGTGTATCGTCTAGCAAGTGAATACGCGAGCGACACGCTTCGAATAGTTTTTTCTTCTCGTTCTCCGCTGCTTTCAGATCCCGAGAGAGAGCGAGGAAGTCAGAGTTCATGTTGCATGATGTCTGCGCAGAAGCATCGGTATCTGATCGCTCTTGGCTGAGTGAAAAGCTGTCTATAATAGGGTGGCCCGTACCAGCTGCACGAAGATCGGGAGAATCCGACATGAATAAGTTAGTGTCTCCATCAAAACCGCTATCATTTATCAAAATCGTGTCCACCGTATCTGTGTCGCTGTCGGATGCTATGGCCTGGTGGTTACTTTGAGCAGATGATGATAGGTGTGCCCTCAGTCGATCGTTGGCAAACTCTAGATGTTCAATCCGATCCTGCGGTGCCATCCATTCTCCATCGTGGCTTGGTGATTGACTTGACGGGGAAGTGTTTTCTCTTTTCGCCACCTCGAGTTCTTGTTTCAAAGTGTCCCTTTCGCGCAGCAGCGTCTCGAGAGATCTTTCGTACTGAGCTACTGCTCGCTTTTCGCGTTCGATGTTGGTAATCTCGTTACTGAGGCCTGTACGTCTGATCCTGCGTTGAGTCCGCGTGTCCAATAGCTGCCGTAGTGGCGTGAAATGCAGAACCCTCTCGGGTGATGTAGAACCTCGTGGTATCGGACTGTCAGTGGATCGGCGAGACCGTGGAAGAGGAGTGGGCCGGCGACGTGACGGGCGATTCGGGGTGCGTTGAGAACCGTACTCCTTCTCCTCAAAAGAAGTTCGACACAATACTGGAGTAAGGCCAGTCGAGTAATCTGAAAGATCCTGCGTCGTAGGGCCTGGATCTGAGAAGCGTACCCTCTTACGCGGACGTGGAGTCTCGCAGGGCATAGCAGAGCCATTATCGGGACGATTTTCGTCGACTGTAGCACACTGCCCAGCGTTTGAACCGGAGCTGGTACGCCTCTTTCGACTGCTGCGCGTTTCCATAGTTGAGACTGAATAATGTTGCATGGATCTATGAAACGCAAGTGGATGGGTGCGGTGTCGGTAAATAAGAGCCGTTGGTGCTAGGCAACGAGGAGCTCGAGCCACCACAACAACTGACAGGTAACAGGTAGACCGTTATTATGATTCACCGCGAAGTAAGAGAAACAACAACCCGTCGTGTCTTGCGCGTGATGGACCCAGCATGCCCTGCCTAATCGGGGAATTGTAAACAAGGCAGCAGTCAGGTGATCCCTTGCCTGGCCTCCAGGGCCTCAGGCAGCCGCTCCCTTGAATGCGAAGGTTTTGATCCGTGGAATAAAATGCGAAGGGTGCCTACTGCCGACGGAGTAAAGGTTCATCATGGTGATTGTGGAAATGAATGATGCGAGGAAGTGAATCTCGGGTATGCAGTCTGCTTATCGCCATCTTGTCGTAGCCTTATTGTAGCGTTCCCGAGGATACAACGCGAGGAGTTTTTGTTGCAATCATATTCTTTCAGAGACCGGTTGACTTTCAAAGTAACCTGCGCTCTGGACCAGGACCAACCAATTCTGCAAGAATAGGAGTGCCTCAGGTTGTGATAACTAAGAGGGAGGTAGAAATGGACGACTGCGATTTGCGGTGGATGATGTCATCTGAGGGGGCCACTCACAATTGAGCTCTTTTGGGGTTCTCTGCAGATACACACAACCTCCATCGACCTCAAGGTTATCTCCAGATGTTGCTTTCAACCCCCTGGAGCTTCGACTTCTCGGCGCGTCTCAGTCGAATTTCCTTGTTAGTTACTGGTTGAGTGGGCGATCCTTCATACCCACCTCCATCTCTGGTTAAGCTCACGACCACTGGCTCCGATGGCCGTTGCACTTATGGAGTGGCCACCGCCCCTTGGGCAGCGGGGACAGGATTCTCACCAGAACGAGAATGAAGAGGAAGGGCCTTCGTTGACAGACCGAGACTATATAACGTTGCAGAACCTCAAGACGTCGCTCCTGAAACTCCCTCCCGAACTGCTGTACGAAATTCTCTCTTATATCTCAGCGTCTGATCTTGTCCATGCCTCCGAAGCCTGCCGGGTACTGGCTCAGCATGCGAACAACGACCGGCTGTGGGCAAACTTGGTGAACTTGAACCTGCCGGAGCCAGTACAGGAACCTGGGGTTTTCGACTCGTTCCGCAGCCTTTACATCAACCATCATCCGTGCTGGTTCATTCCGCGACATAAGGTGTGGTTTTCGGATACAGAGCATACCGGCAATCTTATTTTAACCCGATACGACAATCGACGCGGAGTAATCGAGGGATACCGTGTGACTACTGAACGACGTTCTCACAAGTTTCAAGTGTGGGAGTGGAATCCCGATGTCGTTATCCAAGCATTTGAGCCAAAGGTGAACTTGTGGCTTGATGATCCTATTCTTCTTCTACGAAAGGACCCGGAAGGACGACCTAGATATCTTGACACCGAGAGGGTCATGGAAATGCCAGTCCAAGTGCAATACGTCTACAATGCCATTTCCCTATGTCGGCCCGGTTGTCCCGAAGAGCTCACCGAGGACACGCAGTGGCCACCATCCAATATCCCCAGTAACCATCGTGTCTACCGTAACCCAGATGTCCATTGGGAGGAATGGAACCGTGTGCCTCGACAACTTTCTCAGGTGTCGGAGCATGCATTTCGGATCAGGAGATGGGCGCATTTCCGTTTGGGTATGCCGATATTCACTGCTGGACAACGCGAGACAATGTCGACCTATTCTACTCTCGACCCAAGCCTATACACGCCAACAAAGGAGAAGCCATACCAAGGAATCTGGGTTGGTGATTACTCGGCCCATGGATGCGAGTTTCTCCTTTTCCTCCAGCATGATAAGGAAGGAGATGAATACAATGCGCGCGACCCACGAAATGAAGACATAGTACAGAGGGGTAGTCTGAAGGCCGTGAAACTCACTGGTGACCCTAATGTTCCCCGCGGCGAATACTCGTTCATGTCAGACGACCTCGGGCCCGGTGGCACAATCCGCATTGCAACTGAATCCCTCTTCGAAGGCGCGAGAGTGGTACGTAGCAGAGGCCATGTTGCGGGCCTTGGTTTTAGGGATGGTATGTTTTCGGCTGTATATTTCCCAGACATCTGATTAACTCCTTCTTTAGATACTTTCATTACCTCCCAGCTAATATTAGTATCGACCGACTGTGTCGCGCATTACTGGGAATCCATGGGCCATATCACGTACTACCGTCGCCTGGATATTGATGCGCTCATCCGAACATGATGTAAAGACATACATTCCTGGCGTCAATAATGTTTAACGATTATTACGCATAACGAACCTTGCCCTATTTCCCCCCCTTCCCCCGACCCTCCTGCTTTGTTTTAAGTGGCGGCCCCAGGTGTTTCCTCCTCGATCGTTTATATATTGGTTGGCGTTCGTGACGTCGTTACTTTTCCTTATTCGGTCCCGACTCATCGCTAGACTCTGTTGCATATGTTTTGTCTCTTAAACATTCCTATTGGAGAGCCGAGAAATAACCTGACATACGGAGAGAATTGGAGTTACCGGGTTTTCCCATATATCTACCGTATAGAACTCCCCTAACATGACTGACGATACTAAACCATGACGCAGGTTAGAGACAAACGCAACTAACCATAGTTCAGCAGCGCTGAAGTAATTCAGATAGATCAATATAGAAGCAAAGAAGCCATCCAAAAGATAATTCAATTCTAGAGCTCCATCGAGTTCACGGCAATGGTATAAAAAAATAAAGAAAAGATAGCAGCAATTCCTAACGCCAGGTTGCGCAGAACACCGTGGGAACGGTAACAACAAAGACGGAGCTGACTCAATCATTCATTCGTGGTTGAGCCGCTTAACCCCCATACCCCGCGGGATAAAACAAGACATCGTATAGTTCTTCCGCCTCCACCTTAGACTTAACGCCTTCTCTCCTCTCTCTTTAGGGTACCATAGCAATCATCAATCTCACACAGCACTCGCACAAATCTCAGGGTTCTATGGTCGAAGTGCGGTTTAACCAGTTCAATTCGACCCGCCCAGTGACCAAAAATTCACCGCTTCCTCTCAAAGTAGCTCGTCGAGCTGAGCACCGCGATCGACTGATCCATTACCCACTCGCCAACACCGAGGTAGTTATCGATCCACTTCTTGAAGTCCTTGTTATCGGTGACCTTGTCGGAGCTGAGACTGGGGCTGGATAGAGTCCCCACGCAATGTTCCCCGCGGACGGGGAGGAGCGCGGGGTAGAAGTGTTAGTTTCATGAGTCTTGTTATGTATATGGGCTCTCGATTGGTTGTTCAAGGGTCACCGTGATGTACGGGAAGAGAAGGGGAAGGAGGCATTTACGTGAGTCCAGTTGAGCGCTTGACGCCGGCTAGGAAGGCAGAGACTGCGCGGGACCGTTAGCAACTAGTTACATTTTTTTTGTGCACAGGACAAGATGGGATGTAAGCTTACCAAGTACCGCGTCAAAAGCGTAGTGAGTAAGGCGACCGACCTGAAACGGTCATAAGTCAGTTGAACCAGATACCACGACTCGGACTGTCGGAGGCTGAAACGTACCACCATTTTGGGAATGAGGGGATTGATATTAGGGTATATGCACGCCGAAGAAGCAATACGTAGCTGGATATGAAAAGGTCTAAGCTTGCGAGAGCTTGTTCGGTGAGACAGATAGGGAGAGAGCGAGCTCTGTAGCAATTGTTCCAGGACGGACAGTTGTATCTGCTCCGCAGCGGGTGTCGGCGATGCAACAACTCTCACGTGGTGTTTCACATGACATGGCTTGGTGGCTGGCGCCCAAACAGATGTGGCTGGTGATGCTCGAGTGAGCGCCAATACATGCTAGGCCTATAGTAGACTAGGGCCCGGAGATCGTTGTCCGGCAGAAGGCGACAAGATTGCTTTTGTTCCTCCGACGTTGAGATCCGGAAATGGAACTGAGACCGCCGATGGACAATGCACAAAGCCAATCAGGCACCCCAAACAGTGGGAGTGTAAGCTCTGCTGATCTCCGACAGGCCGCTGTCGCAGGGCCATGGGCAGGGTCACGGTGCAGAGCTATCGATCTTGGCTTCCCAGGCTGTGGGTGGGATCTGCCTCTAGGGTCCATTTGCTGGGAGCATGTCGCTGGAGATGGCTTGAGAAAACCAAATCACGAGTAGTGTAGATCATCAATTACGGTGTACAAATAGAGCCATGCCAATGCTTGGGTACTGAGGGTGGTGGTCTTTTGACGTCAGAATCTCGAGAGAAAAAGAAATTACAGATAAAGCGGAGATGATGCGAAACCGCAGCACAGACATCGGGTCAATAAAGTATTTGCAATTATGGATAGGATGCCCACGTTCTGATAGATACTGAGTAGAATCTGTTGCAATTCCCATTATTCATGCCATCTCGCTAAGAAAATAGACTACGGCCCACGGGGAGCCGGCCGATAAGGCGAACGAGACAGGCAAAGCCGCAGTCTGTTAGTACGGCCAACAGTATTTTCCCTCCCGGGCACACGCCCCTCCTCCCGCGCCTCTCCCACTCACTCTCACCGGGCGGACCAAGCTGACCCATCCTTCCCCTCTCACTTTTTTTCTTATCGTCCTCCGTGCCCTCTCCCTTTCTTTCTTCCCTCCTCATCCAGACTCACCTTCGATCACTTTTCCATACCCCTTTCGATTTACCCACAAGGGAAGCTCTCAAAATGGCTGCAAGCTCCTCCCTCGACCATCTGAGCAACCGGATGAAGCTGGAATGGCACTCCAAGCTCAACACCGAAATGGTGCCGGCGAAGAACTTCCGCCGCACCTCCATCATCTGTACCATCGGTATGCTCCTTCTGCGATTTTTGCGATCCATTCAAATTCAATTAATTTGGCCTCCGACTGACATCGCGCTCCCTTTCTAGGCCCCAAGACAAACTCGGTTGAGAAAATCAATGCCCTCCGCAGAGGTATCGCTATTCACCAGATGCATTCATATCGGGTTGGACGCTGACAACTATAAATAGCTGGTCTCAACGTTGTCCGCATGAACTTCTCTCACGGCTCATACGAGGTAATTTGTCCACATGATTTTGGGGTCTAAGTTGATCTGACCCGCATCAGTACCACCAATCCGTTATTGACCACGCCCGGCAAGCCGAGGCCTCGCAAACCGGACGCCCCGTCGCCATTGCTCTTGACACCGTGAGTTCCAAATAGTCCGAAACCGCCGCGTTGCAAATCTGACCGGAGTTTAGAAAGGACCTGAGATCCGTACCGGAAACACCGTCGGTGATCAGGACATTCCCATCAAGGCTGGCCATGAGCTCAACATCACCACCGATGAGCAATACGCCTCTGCATCTGACGACCAGAACATGTAGGTTTTGAATGGCTTCTCGGCCGTCAAACATGATGGCGAGTCCCGCTAACCCGGTAACCTGTAGGTATCTCGACTACAAGAACATCACCAAGGTGATCTCTGCTGGCAAACTCATCTATGTTGATGACGGTATTCTTTCATTCGAGGTCCTCGAAGTCGTCGACGACAAGACCCTCCGCTGCCGCTGCCTTAACAACGGTAACATCTCCTCCCGCAAGGGTGTCAACTTGCCCGGTACCGACGTAGACTTGCCTGCTCTCTCTGAGAAGGACATCAGCGATCTGCAGTTTGGTGTTAAGAACAAGGTCGACATGGTTTTTGCTTCATTTATTCGTCGCGGTAGCGACATTCGCCACATCCGTGACGTGTTGGGCGAAGCCGGTAAGGAGATTCAGATCATCGCAAAGATTGAGAACCAACAAGGTGTCAACAACTTCGATGAGATCTTGGATGAGACCGACGGTGTCATGGTTGCCCGTGGTGATCTTGGCATTGAGATTCCTGCTCCCAAGGTGTTCATCGCCCAGAAGATGATGATCGCCAAGTGTAACATCAAGGGTAAGCCCGTTATCTGTGCCACCCAGATGCTCGAGTCCATGACATATAACCCTCGTCCCACTCGTGCTGAGGTCTCCGATGTGGCCAACGCTGTGCTTGATGGTGCCGACTGTGTCATGCTTTCGGGGGAGACTGCCAAGGGTAACTACCCTTGCGAGGCTGTGACCATGATGTCCGAGACATGTCTCCTTGCTGAGGTTGCCATTCCTCACTTCAACGTATTCGACGAGCTCCGCAACCTTGCCCCTCGCCCCACTGATACTGTCGAGTCCATTGCCATGGCTGCCGTCAGCGCCAGTCTCGAACTCAATGCAGGTGCTATTGTTGTCCTCACAACCAGGTTAGTCATTCGTTCTTGTCTCGCTTCCCTTGGACATTTGCTGACATAGCACAGTGGAAACACCGCTCGCATGATCTCCAAGTACCGCCCCGTCTGCCCCATCATCATGGTTTCTCGTAACCCCGTTGCTTCACGGGTAAGTTTGGCGGCCACCGCTGTTGCTTGCGCATGTTGACTAACCTGTCGTAGTATTCTCACCTGTACCGTGGCGTCTGGCCCTTCCTCTTCCCCGAGAAGAAGCCCGACTTCAATGTCAAGATTTGGCAGGAGGATGTCGACCGTCGTCTCAAGTGGGGTATCTCGCACGGCCTCAAACTCGGTATCATCAACAAGGGCGACAACATCGTCTGTGTGCAGGGCTGGCGCGGCGGCCAGGGCCACACCAACACCGTCCGTGTGGTCCCCGCTGAGGAGAACCTCGGTCTTTCTGAGTAAATTCACCCAAGGAGAGCATTGCTTTCCTCGATGGAAGGCATAGCGGTACCGACAGCGATGGAATCGTAGGCGTCACGTTAGACGGTCCGCTTAGACTCGAGCCCCAGGGATTTGCGCGCGCGACCCCGCGACCTGCAGGATCCTCGTCACTTTCGGATCCATGCATCTGGCGATGTGTGGGCACTGGGCCAAAGGGGCGCTCCTCCATACTCGTTGGGCCCTCCACCCTTGGTAGAGAGAACAAACATGACCTGTAAATTCGAATTTCTGACTTGGCGTTAGTTAGCAAACCATCGTTAGTGGTGTTCATGATGCACGGTATAAAAGCTAGATTAATGATATTCTCGTCAACTCTTTGTCGCAAAGTAGACTGTATATGTTATGTTGGTTCTGCAAATGCCATCTTTGCAGGAGGACAGTAGTTGACTCGATCAATCAGAGTCAGCCGCGGTTAAGTTCACCTGGCAAGGGTGAAGCGGCTTGCGCAGGATATAGATCGCTCGATATCTAGAGCGCATCAGAAATCTGGGTTCGCAAGTGAGTGTTCAGCTGAAAAGGCGAAGGCGAAAGCAAAAGCGGATGAAGAGAAAGAAAGATTGGAAAGAGCAAGAAAGAAGGCTTGCGGGGGAAGCACAGCGTAAATCGAAAATGTCCGAGCCGCGGCAGCTCCCCAAACAGAGGAAATCGGGAAGTTGCTCCCCGCTCTATTCGGAAGGGGCGACTCGTCCCTGGCTCTTGCCACTGCTTTCCTTTGCGCTCTTGCCCCCAAGGCCAGTTGGCTGCTTGATGAGAGCGATGTTACCAGAGGAAGTAGTAGAGAAATTCAAGTTGAAACTGCGCCTACGAAAATAACTCAGGTCGGATTCTTCATATGATCTCGGCAAATCATCAGGCCGGGTTGTGTCCCGACTTCAGCCGATGATTCGGCATCCACTCGGGGGAGCGGAGAGATTACCGCCGAGTCGGATTTCTCGACATCATTGAACGTTGTGAAAAAATAGGTGTATACATTTAGTCTGTTTACAATAGTATAGACAATGCCTGGTCAAACAAATATGGAAGGTAATGAACGTTGGTTGGTTGTACATATATGGCGGGAAAGCCAAGGCTTTTCTCCTACTTGTTCTCATTGATCATAAATCATGTCTATGCGTCTCATCATAATTCATATCCTCATCCATTTGGTATTCATACACGAGATACCACCAGGTTAGAAGCTGTGTTCGGCAGCTCCTTCAATGGCGTCCACATCCGTCAAAGTATTGCTCTGGTTCAAGTGGCCATGGATGTCCACTGGCGCATATCGCTGTATTTGCGGTGACTGGAATTGGTGCCAGCAGCTGGTGTAAAGTTAGCCATATTTCGATATACAACGACCTCGAGGGTACTGACCTTGGTGCTTGAAGCACATAGCGAGCCATGGCCTCTCTAAATCGACTTTTATATTCTTTCGGACTGGTAACGGTAGGTCGATTCTTGCCTCCACCGGCGAATCCGCGGTCTTTGATCCAGGATTCAAGTTTCTTATCCCAAGTATACGTACGGATACAGTCGATAACACCAACCACTAACTCGGATCGACTCTCGTCAATGGCGATCATTAGTGAATAATCCATCACATTTTGACGCCCCAGGAACAACGTGTCATTCCATACGCTTTGGCTCAGAAGTTTCTTCGAATGTTCTCGTGTGAACAAAGGCGTCTCATAAATGAAGTCAACCATATTCTCATCCAGAAGAACCTCATTGCGTTCACCGGTGCTTTGCACCTTGCGGTTCCTCATCGATCCCTTGAGATCAAAGATTCGTGTTGGGACTCGGTCATAAAATAGATTCTCCATCAACAAGAGGAACCAGTTAAACTCGGTGTTTGTTGCAGGATCCTTGATGATCACCTGGTAGAAGCCAAACATCTTTGCAATGGCAGACGGGAGCTCATGAAACAAAGCCTCAGACATTATCTGGAAATACGCTGGAGCAAATTTCAAGAAAGCCTGGGTCTCGATGGGCGACAATGACTTAAGAATGAACCGGTCATCAAGGGTCTTCAGGAATAGCGAGTTGGTCTTTCCTCCCTTTGAATCCCACTTGGCACATCGGGATAATGACTCCACAATGCGATCTGCGATTCCACACTTCTTCCGCAGGGCGTCGAATTGCTCAGCATAGAAGACCTTGCATAGCATTTTTGCCTGGCCTTCCTGGAACTGATACTTGAGGTGAGTTCCAGTGGATCGTAGAAGAGCATGCTCTACTCGCGCTTCATTCACGTCTTCCGCGTCACTCTCCGAATCAAGCGACTTCTCAGAGACTTCGTGACGTCTTTGTATGTTCGCCAGCTTTTCTTTATAATCACCCGAGTCCAATGCAAATGCTATCAACGAGCTCGGTTCGTCCTCACGCACTATTATATCGCAGTCTGCAAAGACGTGATCAGACATCGTGAGAGGGTAATCAAGTGGGGCCCACCCGCTGGCTGATCTTTCTGACCAAAAGTTGGTTAGCATCTTCAAAAGAGTACTTCTTTCATGTTTGGGGAGTTCCTTGAGATCCAAAGTCTCCTCTTCTGGTGATATCTTAGCTAGTTCATCATTAGGATCTGTAATATTAAGACCGTCCGTAGAGGTGCGCTCCTCGTCACTAGGCCCCTCCTCAGCCTCGGCCTCGGACAGATTATGGTCAATGCTCTGATGCTGTTCTGGTGCCAGTTTAGGAGTGGAGGGCTTGGAGGTCGGGGGGTGCTCCTTTTGCTCCTCTATCGAGGGAAGCCTCGCGGATTCTTGGCTCCCCCTACTTGAATCGTCCGCAGACGCTCGAGGGATCGATGAGAGAAGGTCATCACTCTCGGCAGAAGGTTCACGCTCCTCAACTGCCTCACGAACATTCTTGTACACCTCCACGATCGGTTTCGAAGAAGCAAGCGGGTATGCACGAGAGTGACTACCCTTAGCAGCTCTTTGGTCTCGCTCTCGCTGCCGTTCTTTCTCGAACTCACGGCTCAATTGTTCGAAATGTTTCGCTAGAGATGATACGCGACTTTTCTTCGCAGGTATTGAGCGAGGTATCAAAGACTGGCCCGGTGTGAGTCGTCCACTTCGGAATGCGCCAAGACCAAATCGCTCTGACAACTTCTTATCCGACTGTCTTTTATCGGAATTCTTTGATTTGAACTCCAGAGGGGGACTCGCGGTGCCACTAGATCGTTGCAGTTTTCCGGGACCAAGTCTAGTCCCCTTCAATGAGTCTTGAGCCGCATCTTTGAGGGACTGGATAGGCTGGGACCGAGCGCGGAGGAGGGGTGGAGAAGATGCTTTTCCACTGCGACGGAAAGAGCCTTCGGATGGCCTTGGAATCGAAGAAAACCCGGGTTGTGGTGTGGACGGTGGGTTAATTGGCGCCTGCTCAACTTCATTGCTTTTTTTGTTACTCGTGTTGGTGCTCTTTTCCTGCGTAGCATCCCCGTCTCCGGGTGTTGCTTCAGGATTGCCGTAGCCAGATACAGGTTTTGTAGTGGCTCCGGTGCTTGACGATGGAGTTATATGAGGCTTATTGGAACTAAGATCGGCAGTTTCCGATTCATTTTCAACTTCAGTGCCCTCTCGGACCAAGTCTGGAGATGTAGATACCGGTACATCTCCTGGAGTAGGCGAGGGCGCAGCTGAACGTATCTCATCAGCATCGACTTTTTCATCAGGCAAGAGAGCTTTGATCTTCTCGCCCGAGTGCTCCTCGACAACAGACGCCAAAAAGTCCTGAGCCTTTTCAGGAGATAATGTCATGCGGCGAACTATTCGAGCTCCATCTGGCGTTTGGCTTCGCTCGTTCTCCGTTTCGGATGGAGTCGTCGGTTGGTCATCAGTGGAGGTGAGAGATGTGACTGAAGGATCCCTGTCCAAGAAAATCTTCTTCAACTGCAGAGTGGCCAGTCGTCTGATATCTTTCTCTGAAGGGAAGAAATTCTTTTCAAACTCGGCAAACGCAGTATCCCATTCCACGACTTTCTCCTGAACGGCCCTCATGACCCTATTCAAAGGGATGACCTCCCAATACCGGGAATCCATGTACCCCTCTTGCAGCTCTTTAATCAGTAAGGTGTGATCTTCATTGACCTTCTTCGTCAGGCGTTCAATCTCCTTCTTGCAGTCTTCCATTAGGTCCGGAATGACGCTCTCGACATTTATTACCTTGAGCCGGGCCTTGACAGAAAGCATGAACTTGGTGATTCGCTGCTCATTTTTCTGGTAGACATCGTTTTTAAGCCTCAGGTCATTATCGACTTTCCAGGTAACTCTTGTCCTAGGAACAATTATCTCGAGAAGATTAACGGCATCATACTGAATCCGAATAGCAATGTCTTTGAAGCCGAAGTAGCGGAGGTGGTCACGTTGCAAGTCATGGGGACAAACGCCTGCACGAGCATGAAGGTTCTTGCTCCAGAATGAGAGTTCAAGGTACTTTCCGAAGGAGTACTTCCACGTGCTGTCGGACATGGGGAAAACTTGAGTTTCGTTGCCGCATATTTTGCAGCAGCTCCACATCAAGATTGTATCCTGGAAGCCTCGGAGTTTCGAAGGATAAGGCTGCGTAAAAATGCTAATTTGTGCCTCACCATGCACATACTGCCGGTGATGCTCATACATGCGCTTTTCGCACCCGTTGGCGGTACAAATTGCATTTGCGTTGAGGCAGATATCTTCAACATACTGTCCAAGCGTACAGTCAGGTTCGAATAGTGCATCGTCGCCATGCTCATTGTAAAACTCTAAAGCAAGAAGATCCGGTCCGGAGCATGGAATGGATGTCGTAGTGCAGACAAGGCTAAACAGGATGACGATATTTTGATGAGCGTACGGATCAAAGAGGCCAACAGTTCCAGAGATATAGGCCTCCCATTGGCGCTTCTGAGTCTGATAATGGTGCAGTGCTCGGTCGTATTCGGCGTCATGAACGGCTTGTAGAACTTCTTTGACTTTCGGTGACGCCTCTTTAGGTGCCTCATGAACCATTTCCGGTGTTATGAGGCTGAACTTCAGATTCTTAGTCTTCTCATCGGTCGACTGGTCATCATTGAGGCTTTGGTCTCGAAGGCGTTTCAAGTAAGCAAGCCTTCGTTCCATGCTCCTGGCGCGCATAAGTAGGTGAGGAGGCTCAAATTTAACAAAGGGGGACGCAGAAAGAAGTTTCGTTTCATGGTCTCGAACAATATCCTCGTAATAAGTCGGCATAGGAACGTCATCGGGTACATCTGTGACTTCGTTGGAGACGAGTTTATCCTGGCTCGAAGTATCATGTTCAGGATTTGGTGATTGTATGCTAGAACTGTCGTGCATCACAGCCAACGAGGACTGTGGGTGTTGGTGCGGTGTGTCGTCTGGCTTTTTCTCCGTTGTGGGTGACATTGGTATTTGGGCGAATTCATCCCTCATAACACAGGTCTCCAACCTGAGATTATACACAACATAGGCCATGAACTCCGTGATTTTCTTTACTCTTGCAAGTACATCATTACTACCCCCACGTAAGACAACTGTGCACCCAAGCTCTTTCTTGCAGCCTGAGATGTATATGTATGTCTTTCGTTGGCCTCTGTAGACGTATGTTTTCACATCAAAGCCACCACATTCGCTAGTCACTGGGGTCGTCACAAGTTTATCCATTGAAGTGATAACACGGGTCTGCGTGCATCGAGAGACTGCCTCAAGAACAGAGGATTTGACGTTATAGACCGTTGCGATTCCTGCGTTGTCTAGTAGTTCCAATGCCAATCCTGAAACATTCTTTTCAACAAGCAGCAAATTGGGCCGCAGAGCTGATATTCGGCTGACCAGGTTTTCAAGGAACTCGCGCTCTTGTCGAATAACACGCTCCAGACTCATGAACTGTTGTTGGTGGCGAGCATATTCCAAAGCAAAGGCAATGATAAGAATTTTCGGTTGGGCGATGCTTCGGGGCATATTTTTAAGCGCGACATTCTTGCTGAAGACCAAGCCTGATACGTAAGAGGTATCGCCGGGTAGTCCGCCCGGTATCTTTTTTAACTTAATATAGTGACGGATATCCATATCGTCACCACCCTGAACTTCTGGGTCCACTTCGTCGGCGGCCTTCAGCAATATCGGAAGGAGTGCTGTCTCCCAACTTCGAGGATATGGTACCGAGGAATCGTCCAGAAGCTGTCGCAAGAGCTTGCGAACATGCTGTAAGCTAGCCTTTCCCATTTCAACTGGCGGGGCTCCCGAGCCTCTCATGGACGAACTGCGAGTCATTTTGAATCCACTAGAGTTCAGCGCGGCAGGTAGAGCGTAGCCAGAACTCTGGGGGTCATATGGATTGAAGATGCCTTCTTTCGAAGTACGTGGTGAGTGGCGGTGGATGCTACTTGCGACACTGAGATTGCGACGGCGAGAGGAGCGGGCTGGATTGGTCGCTCGAAGGCTGCTTATGCTGTTGTCGTCCAGATCACGTCCCCCAGCGGTACTACGATCCCCGCGCCCTTTCTTAATAGAAGCAAAAAAGCCACCCAGGGTTGTTCTTTCATTTTCTCCGCCATTTTTGGACAACGGCCCTTCAGACACTGCCGCTAGCAAGCTGGGTTGTTCATCACCGCTGGACGCATCGTCAGACAGGTATTGGGCGAGGTCTGGGTCTATTATATTGTCTTTGTGGAATGCAGGAAGGCGCGGCTCGAAAGGAGAGTCATCACCGTGGCGGCGTTGAAACGGTGCTCGCTCATCATGGTAAGGTTTGAAGTTGCGAATAACTTGCTGCCGTGAGTGATGGCGCTTGTGACCCATAGAGTGAGTTCGCCCACTCATAGTAGATTTCAACGACCTTGATGAAGTGGGCCTAGCCAAAGGCCTATCCGGGCTAATCTCAAGAACAGCTGAGCGGTGGTTATGCCCTTCTCCAGCGCGCCTTGTGGCTGGAATCGCCATTGTAGGTGTCTTCATTGGATTGGACTGGGAAATGATAGATGCCGCATCGTCATCGTCGGCACCGATACGAGATGAGTTTCCGACACTGAGTTCGGAAACCCGAGGATTGACCAAAATCGGGCTTTGTTCGCTGTCTGAAAAGTCGGATGAATCATCATCATGTCCGTTGATCATATGCTCGCAGGGTTTGCATACACGGATGGTCCCCGGCTGGCCGAATTTATCACCTGGAATGAGCAGTGTACATCTCGAGTCGAATATTTGGCCGCAGGTGCGACAGTGGTGTTTGCGCCGAAATGTCGAGAATGGCTCGCCACAATGAAAACAGTCTTTTGCATTTTCATCGCGCATCCAGAAGTCCTTACTTAGCAATCTACTTCTGAGCTGTGTTACGACACCGTCACCCGCATTCGGAGGACGACTTTGCGCATTTCGAAATGGCATTCTCTCAAGATTCGTGTTGATAGGGGTGATAATAGTTGGCGATCCCATGGCAGTATTAACTGATGAAATTTGTGACGTCGGATAGCCAGGTAGGCGACCGGAGCGAGTAATCTGCGGCCTTTCTTTGCTATCATTCTGGGCACCCGGATTGAGTGATTCCTTTGACTGAGCTTCTCCGTCCATGAAAGACACAGACGTGGCTATTGTAGAAGGTGTACGACCTTCTGCGTATGCACTATCATCCCCACTAGCAAATTGATTGATGCTACCCGTCCCAGAGACTGGCGCAGTGGCAGATGTATCGGGTGGACGTGACAGGGAAGAATCAGATCTTGTTCGGTCCGGGAGAAGAGGGCCATCCTGCGCCCCATCAATCGATAGCTTATTCTTTCGTATTGAGGAGGGAAGACTTGTTTCGGCCTCACGGCTGGTTCGTCCATCAGGCCTTTTCGAGTTATCTCGAGCTTGACTTCCACTATGAGTACTACCAGAATCCACTATCACCGAACCTTCATACGAGTTATGCCCTTTCGCTTGTAAAACTGGAGAGTTCGCCCGCTGCTGGCTCCATCCTGAAGAGCTCAAAGACGTTGTTCGTGGATAATCATCATTGTCAGTACCGCTCGAGTCCAGTATTTGGGTGTCGTGCAAGGAGTGGGCGATAGGCGTGTCATTCATGGCCCGGGCAGATTCTTTGATCGCGTTGACATGAACTTCGGTAACCGTCGGGTCCGCAGCTCCAGAGTTACCGGGTGGGTTGGGTAATGCGACGTTGTGAGGTCTTGTAGTCGCCGAAGGAGCTACCGAGGCCTTGGACGATATACTTCCAGCCTTGGAGGAAACCTTGGAGGACTTGGCTGCCCCGGAAGCCAAAGGACCATCATGGGTAGATGGGTGGCCTATGGAGGTTGGGGAATTAAGTGTAGAGGGCAAAGGCGAACCTTGATACTGCTGGGTTTCAACGGACATGGACTCTGGAGAGCGTTTCATGGTAAGGCGATCCGACTGAGAGCGCCTCGAGTCCTCTGCTGACTTTCCTACGCCGCTTACCATATCCCTCATCCCCCCAACCGATGTCCGTAACCGACTGTATAGCCCACTTAAACCGCCCTGGATCTCATCGGATATACTCTTATCGTCCACGGCCGATGCGGGGGCGGGTGGGCTTGCGAAGTCGTTGAATACGGTGAGGGCATCTGACTGATAGGCTGCTGTGTGTATTTGGTCAAGAGCAGCATTCAAGCTGTCGCGTTCTGCCTGAGTTGACAAAGAGGCTCGGGAGCTGCGTCGACCGAGAGGGAGAAAGATAGAGGATGCTGATGGGCTCGACGTCCCTTGAGACGCCTGGGGAGCCATCTTCGTTTTTAGCGTCGCAGGCAAGAACACAGATGACAAGAATGAAAAAAAGGCGTCTTAAGAAGGCCACATGAACTGAGTATTTAGCACCAAGTACCAGTTAGCACGAATAAGCGGTGGCGAACATTAGAGCTATTCTGCTGCGGAGACGCTTTGGCGTTCCGGCCTTGGTAGAGGAGATGCTGTGGAGTGAATAGCCATGCAGTAAAGCGCTTTGCATTGTCCAGATAAGTAGTACATCAAGTGCAGTAGCTGAGCGAAAAGCTGCCGCCGTAGAAAGGCAAGGATGGTCAGCGGGTTCTTTGTACCTTCGGAGTTCTGGAAATGACTGTTGTTTCTGCATCGGGTATACCGCTGCAGCCTCAGGTGCCTAACCAGATGACGTGGGGTGTGGCTTCTGTATGGCACGTGCAGTTGTGGCTAGTGAGCTTGCCTGTGACTGTGGCTTCGAAAACGCGACAAGCGCGTCGACAGTCAATTGATTCCATTGGTGGCCCATTTCCAGTCGGATCTCTTTTCTTTGGGGTGGTGAGATAGACGGTTCCCAGGCCTTTACCCACGCTAGACGCCTTGTTGAATGAACACAGCTTTTCCTGTTTTGTGTACTCCGTACTCCGTCCATCCCTGACAGTTCCCTCCGATGCGGAGCCCTCTCACAGGAAGTCAGTGACCCTCAATGCGCAAACTTCAAATAGGTTCGCACGGAAATACAATGTCGCATACGGCCTCAGGCGTTTTCAGAACGTAGTTCTGATTGAATACTACAATGAGTTTATCAAACCTCTGGATCTCACCTTTGATTGAACATTGCCTTTCCAGTTATGAGGAAAACCAGCGAAATCTTGGGTTAGACTGGGAAAACGACGGGAGCAACATTCGCTTTTCCTCGCTTACCCAACAAATTGCTCGAATCAATGATGTATGCCATATTCTCACTGTCACGGTTCCGCTGCTAACAGTCTTTTTTTTTTCTCCTATGAAGTTGAGCGAACGAAACGATATCCCCGTGGCGAATTTGACCGACTCGGATACGCAAATAGACGCAATCCTATCGCGAAAATCGCTGGAAGAATATAAAGAGGACTTTCCCACAAGGCCACTAAGAAAGGATGGCTGTCGAGGGTATACTATTCATTTGGCCGATTTCGAACTGGTGTACGAATATTCGACCGGAAAGCCCAAGCTTCATTTTTACGTCAAGCGGTTCAGCATCATATGGGAACGAGGTATGATCAAGGGGCCACCAATCGGCAAATCTGCTGGGAAGAAACCTGCCCTAGTTACATTGATAAAACGAGTGTTCTCTTCCATCAAGTCGCAAAATCGACCACGCCAAAGAACTGTTGATACAACGGGGGATAGTAACGGGTATAGCAATGGATACAGCGATATCCCTGCCACACAAGTGACCAATGGCCATACGATTGATTCTACGCAGCCTCCCTTAATGTCTCAACTGCCTACCCGCCATTCTACGGATCATGATTTGGCGGACCCTGGTAAATTATTGAAACAGCTCGGGAAGGCACGAGCTCCCGGGGATAAACAACCGAGCCAGGAGAGGTCCATAGTTACAGGGAAATTGGCTGCAGTAGCAGTTCCGGAAACAAACCGTCGCAGTGCGAGCCATATACCAACTGGCACGAGTGAAAACAGCACGTCTGATGAGCCGCAAAGAACGGAACTTGAATTTGAAAGCGGAGGTCCCCAGCCCAACTCAGATAAGCCATCTCCGCAAGATTTGGCCGAGGAAGACATTATACAAACCAACGCAGAGCCTTACTCACCGGATGCGCAACTTAAGGCTCAGCTCGAAGCCTCTCAGCATGTTACCCTTCGACAACCTGGTTTTGCCAAAGCGGCATCCTCAAGTATCGTCGATCCCTGGGAAGGTATGACAGGTATCAGGGCCATCGACGTTACAGTGCCCAAGGATCAACAAGAGCTCCTAGAGCCGGACAGGAAACCGTGGTACCCGCCTCAAGTGGGAGAACCGGTAGTCTCAGGCCGCGTACCGCCGGCGCTGTTAAATGAATGGAATAAGCTTGTTATCCAGAGACATCAGAAAGAGATTGACAACAAGTCAGAATCTATAGGAAACGACCACCTGGTCGCCCCGAGCACACCGACTGCCGACACCAGTTCAGATACCGACTCAGATCGTGAGTGGAGCGCAACGCCTGGACGAACACCTCGCCGCGGTGTATTATTGCCCGTGGATAGTAGTCCATTAAAAGACGACTCGGCTCATCCTGCAAGGCCTCGGAGGTTTAGCCCAAGTGATCAAGGTGGCCCCACGGAGGTTAGAGAGGAGGAATCGCAACATGAGGAGGGAATGCAGGCACCTCCAATTAACCAAAGCCCACGCGCTGAGAGCCCTCCTATACAAGCAGAGGCTGAAAATAACGGACCAAGTGCTGAAGCAAGCGTCGCAGAAATGACTCCTGACAACGACGATGAGCACAAATCTGATAGCAGCTCCGATTCAGAGATGAGCGTATCAGTTCCTCAACCGCTATCTGGCAGCACTCAACAAGGCACATCTGGCCAGGTGGAGCCTGGAGTTTCAAGCTCAGGGCCATCGCTTCCCGAATCTGCAGGACGGAATATTCAGGTTATGGAGACCCCTGCAACAGCTTTCAACAGGTCTCGCTCTGCCACATACAATCAAGACGGCTTCGGAATCGGGCCGGGCAACATGGAGTTCCAATCGCAAGCCGATAAATCGTCGTCTCAATCCCGCGTTCTCAATACATACGCTAGTTGTGATGAAAGCACCAAAGCCGATACCTCACAAGAGAGCTCGAAATCTCTTCCACCGAGCGGCCCAGATACTCGGAACCCTGTACTCGTTATTGGCACCCGATCCAGCAGCGAGGCCCCTGCAACACAACAAACGCGCTGGTCAGGGTCCAGCTCACTCTGGACATCTTCAGGACGCAAAGTCGTGGAGGGGAGTATGGCAACTGCTTCCTTACAACACTCTCAGTCGTCGAGACCGTTTTCATCTTATCGCGACTTGCCCCCGTCGTCCATGTTATCAATAGAAGACGACAATAGAAGCTCGAGCGTGCATAGTTCTGTAAAGGGTAGCCCTCTGAAGATCGATCGTGCAACACCGATGAAACGCTTCGCATCTGAAATGGGGGACAGCGATCGCGGTTCGCCCTCAAAACGAAACAAATTTGATAGCAAACCAACGGCGCTCGAATTAGAAGGTGGACTGGATGAGAGGATCATTTTCCGACGGCAGAGCTATATCATCAATTCCGCACAGTCCGTTGAAGCCGCAAGAGTATACGAGAAGTTTCGGAATGACTATCCCAGCTATCAAGGGAAGTTCGAGCACTTCACGAAGTTATGCTCCAGGCTGCAAGCCGTTCGGGAACGCGGCAGTCTACAAAGATCGTTTCTATGGGACGACTTCATTATCAAGCATCTTCATGACTACCCTGCATACGTCGCGGATTGTCTTGGAAATGAGGTCAAATCCCTAAACTATGAAGAGTACTTCTTATCTTCTTTCTCAAAGCCCACCTACAAGAAGCGTAGTCTCACTGTGGAAGGAACCAGCGCGTGTGCCGCACAGTGCATTACAATTGATGAAAGGCGATCTTCCTCACGTCCAGCTACCAATACTAGCACGAAACCGTCATTCACGGAAAGTCTCAGAGATCAGTTCTCCAACTTCCATGCTCACTCATTTGTGGAAACGCGGGACCTATCGACCGACGATGAACAGTCTGACGATAGCCAAAACGAGAGAGACACCGAATGGAGTTTATCCCAGTATAGCATCCCCGACAGCGAGCCTGCTCGCGCCGCTGCCGCCGCACAGAAAGACAGCAATGAAGATACGAACCTTGAACATATAAGCCACAAGCCAACCATCGCACCCGTCACGTATGAACACGTGGACAGCTCCGAGGATGAAGACGAGGATGAAGACGAAGACATGGAGGACGTCAACGACACAGCCCACGAAACAGCCAGCATCGAACTAGGCGACAACAATAACTCCCAAAGCCAAGCTGAAGCCAAGGCTCTGGAAGCCCCTCAGAACACAGCACCCGAAATTCCAGCCTCTGACGCGGCCTCAAACGCTGACGCAGACATCGAATCCAGCCACGAGTTCCCTGAAGAGTCCATCAACGAAAACTGGTTCGACTCTCTGCGCCATATTTTCCCGACCGGACCTGTCTGGTCTGATGACCCCAACACCCCGTTTAAGAAATGGGCACTCGCAGACCAGAATGTTCTGAGTGTGCGGAATCGTCGCGGGGGCGCGAGCGCCGATACCGATGAGAAGGGCGTTATACGGCGATTTCCGCGTGCATGAGATTAACCTTCTTGCTTATGAGATGACGGCGATGGTGATTAACGGCGTTTACATATGCATGCATGCATTTTTTTTTTCTTACTTTTTGCTGCCAGTTTTCTGCTTTCCGTACATGAGATGTACGTATGTCTTGATTTGCAGGTCCGCACTATATCCCCAGGATTTCAATTTCTTCCTCGCGTCTTCGAAGGCTGTATTATATCGATATCTTTTTTTACTGTTATCTGGGCCCGATTTATTTGTGATACTGGGGGAGCATGGAGTTCGGTTTGCTGGTTGTGGCACCATAACCCAGGGCAATTCTTAACGACTTCAAGTGGTGGATATATTTACAATATGAAATATTCAGAACAATACGAAAATTAAAGACAGGATAAGATATAGTTTGTAATGATTTAATTCATTCTCAAAAGGAGGGTATCGTTATCGTCCGTAAGATCTATCTACATCCCAGGCAAAACTAATAATAAAACATAAAAAGTCGGATATCAAAAGGAAACCAGACCATATATAACCCAATGCAGCCAAAGACATATTCCAGTAGTGTAATTAAATCAAGTGGGTGCAACTTGCATGATATCGTCACCCTTCATTTTCGAAGAGGAATCCCACCGCTAAAACAAAAGGAGATGGTGTTTTTTTGTAGATTTTGTCGTTTTCGTTTAAACGTGGCGGTACGGCTCGTAGGAGGTTGTCCGCTGAGGCGCGTGGTATCCAGGGGCGCTGGGGTGGAAAGGTGGCTGGGGAGATTGAGAGGGGTACGGGCTGCCGACGGGCTCGTAGGTGTAAGGTGCCTTCTCAGCGGTGACTCCACGGTTGCGACCGTGGCGGTGGTTGTAGGGCGAGCGACCGGAGCAGCAGCACGAGCTGATAGCCCAGAAGAGGGCGGCGGCGAGTGAGAAAGCGGTTGCAATCCAGGTAGCGGCGTAGATGTTCTTGCCCATGTTTCCCTCGATTCCGTACGGCTTTATTTGGTCGTTGAAAACGCCGGCGACAACGGTAAACATGGCTGTGGACGTCGCAGAAGCCGCGGCAGTGAAGAGGAAGGCCGTGATGGCAATGAGAGTCGTCACGCAGGAACCCCAGCGGCTGAAAATGGCGGTAATACCGAGGAGGAGCTCAAGAGCGGTTGCAGCAAAGGCGATGATGTAGGCGACTGACATCCATTTCGAGACGTTCTTGTAAATGTTCAGCGCCTTGCCAACATCGTCTGGTAGCGCATTTTCCAGGCCCATCTTCTTCAGGTTCCAGATCTCAATAGGGTCGAAATAGAACTCAGTTTTGGGCGAGGAACAGTTGGAGACCTTGTAGCTGTTGTTGTCGGTGAGGTTGCCCTGGCAGTATCCGAAAAGACCGATGTTGTAGAAGTCTGGGATGTTGAAGTATTCCTGGACCTTGTCAAGGGCGCCGCTGATGTCGCCGTCATCAACCTGGATGTTGAATTGATCCAGGGCGCCTTGGATATCACTTTGGACGGGCGCAGAACTATTTAATTGGGACAGATCGGCCTGTAAAAGTTAGCACTGGGAGTCGCCAGCAAAAAGATGGGAAAGTCGTACCCTGAAGAAGTACAGGTCGCGGATAGAGTCCGTGCCATTATCTGTGGATCCAAGCCCAACAATGATGAGACATATTAAGGCGGCGATGGTGAGAACATATGGGGTGAAGATGCAGATAAGACGGCCGCCTTTACCCATTTTGATGAAGTTGATGAGAGGCGCGAGGTGAGGAGGCGAGGTAAGGTGTTGTTGGACGCGGGAGGACAATGGGTTGATGGATGCAGAAGGACAATGAAACAAGGAGGCCGGTTGGATATTTATGGGAAGGACTGAAGGAGGCTGGATGGCAGTCAGTGATCGTTGGGAGGCGCAGGCTGACTTCGCCTCTTTTCTAAAATAAGCCAAAACAAATAACCTGTGGCTGATCTTCGTCCCGCTAGCCCGCTTTGGGCATTACCACGCGTCACTCACTGACGTCTGCTCTCTGCGACTGGAGGAGCTGAATGATGACTCGGGAGTTTTATGATGGTTTTAACTAGTTAGTTAATAACTGCCGATGCTCACTGAGACCCCTTGCGGTGTATCTGTGCTGATACATGTCGTCGCTGAGAATCTGTGGCTGGATATTCAGAGGATAAAGTTCTTAGCAGGCAGTCCCATTTCTTTCTTGGCAAGCTGCATTTCCCCACAGTAATCCAGTGCCGCCAGTTCAACGCTTCGTAATCTCCCGTCCCGCTGGTTGACCTTCAGCCCAAATCGCACATTCCTGCTGTTACCGTGGATAGGCAACGACATTCCCCTGGACGCTGGTTCTAATATTAAACCAGCCAAATTTCAATTCCGAGCTCGGGATAGTCCTTCTCCATCTCGTTCGCGCCTGTGGCTGTGGCTATTGGCTACGAGGACGACTATAACTGAAAAGAAGATGAACTCTGGGCCTGAGCAGGGCCTGAGCTCAACCTTATTACGTCGTTACCTGGCTGACGGGTCCACATGACAACCCATCACATGATCTTGACACCTGAGGCATAAACATATACTCCATCCACTGTATACGGTGTAAACATTCTTTGTTCCTCCAGTCCCGGCATCACTGTACCATCATTCGTCAATTCGTCTCTAGTTCTCAAGCTTACCAGCTGCAATCACTTTGTTAGCTTTAACCTCTTCTCCAGTATCCCATCCAAGTGCTTCATCGCCGTGTCTATCTCAGGGATCTGTTCGCTCTCCAGCACAGACCTCCCAGCCGTCATAATCAACCGCTCGGGAGCTGGAACAGTCAAGTATTTGTGGATTCTGGCGCGATGGGTGGCCCGGAAGAGCTGTAGATGTTCGGTGTTAGCATATCACAGTGACAATACATATTTGGTGCAAATATGTGTATATATATAGTTGGAGAACACTCACCCGCAGTTGCTTCAATATATTTTCTATCTCCACTCCAATCAACTCATCACCCGCCTCTGTCGCCTTCTCCCGAAACCCGTGATCCTGCATCGCCTGGAATAACTTCCGTTGCGACTCGGGGATATACCGCCTCATACCTTCCTCACTAAAATACGGCGCCAAAGCTAAAAACGCGTCAGCAACGCGGAAAAAAGTGGCATGGCTTCCGGATAGTCCATCATATTCGATGTATTCGCCATTGATAATCTCTCCGGCACCCCAGGCTGCAGGGCCCTGTACGTATTGCATCCAGACCTTCGTCGAGATCTGAGTCTCGATGAGCGTTTTGGAGAATACGCGTAGTAGAGCGGGGAGTTGCCCGACTATAGCCTTGAGACTCACGAGGCAGGCTTGCTTGTCGCCGCGGTTGTAGTGAAAAATAGAAGTGGCCATTTCGTGGTATATGGGAAGTGCCTTTGGCAGGTAAGTTAGATAACCCGACAGAAAAGATGGTAGTTAGGGCCAGGTTGAGAAAAGTGTATACATACGAACCGCTCAGTAGCGACAAACATATAAGAAAAGTTGTACTCTGCAGTGCGAATAAGCTCTGACAACGCCCCGTTAAACTCGTAAATGATGCGCCCCTGCTCATCAAAGTTACATAAATAGTTTGTCATGATATTCCCCCCCTTCGAGGTGACTCCATACCGCCGACATATAAACGACCAGGGCAACGTCAGTTCCTCAGGGAAGTCGATTATCTTCTTCTCCTGCCCGACCTTGACGACGGGGACCAGGGCCCATCGGTAGGCGTGTCGCATGTATGCGATGCAGGCGCTGAAGCCGTTGAATGAGGCTGGTGGCGTGATTCCTGCAGCATTGCCTTCATTTTCGGTGGCGCTTAGGATGCCTTTCACGCTTGGTAGGTTCACTCGTTCATGTAGTGCCTTTCGTACGCGCTCTCTGAAGGAGTTCCGCCGTTCGGTGTTGACGTCGTTGTTGGTGGATATATTCTCTGTCGATAGGTATGGCGCTACTTCGAGGTAGATATCGTGGTATGGACGAAGGACTGCAGGCCAGGTATCGCCGTGAGTAGCTCGAGGTGGCCAGCTGCCAGCACCATCTGCGTTGACGAGGTGCTTCAACTCCTCAAAGACGGGCTCGTTCTCGGGTGCAAGTTTGATCTGAGACAGGGCATTTTGGTATGCTTGGTTTTGGATCGAGACCTGTCATACTTTCACAGTTAGAGTGATATGGTTCAGGGATGGATGCAGTTGGAGAACAAAAAAACAGGGTATATCAGCCGGTCTTACAAGCTCTGATAGTGGCGACATATTGATACTCTTTGATTAACTGCTCTTTGAATATACAAAGAATGAACAAAGAGATGGAAGTCCATGATTTCTTTGCTTTATATGTCCCAAGGACAACTACTAAATTATCAAATTGGGAATTCACATAGTTCTGTTTGTGACCACTGGAAGCAGAGTACCCATGAACAAAGAATTCCTATTCTTAGACATGAGTGTCTCAAAATAGCTATCGCAACTACGGTCCTAAGTTCCCTCGCAAACCCTTGCGAGCAAATCCTGTGCTTTATCTCGGGATTGCTTTCCAACAATCTGGTTGAATGGTCCGAGCCGATCGAATGCGGCGGGCCGCATTGCGCCACCACCAGGGCGCTCTGGCCCATAGGCCGGAGGCCCAAATCTCTTGCATGCACGGTCTCTCTTGGCTGCCCATATGATTCGATGCGGGAACCACATTTGCTTCCGCTGCCATGGGTTTCTTTGTTGAAAGTACAGTTCTGAAAAATTAGAGCATTATGTCGTGGGTGCCCATGTATCCGTCTAGCCCTAACTACCAATGGAATGGGGAGCGTGAACTGTTGTACACTAGTGCTAAGCATGTATGTCTGGAAACGGCTGCCAAGATGGCACAGCAGATAACCAGGCGTCTTCTGGCTTTGTTATTACCTGGTTCTTGCAAGCAGTCGCAATGTTGTCGGTAAACCATTGGCGGCCTCTTCAGACGACCTCGAGGCTGGTGCGCCCAAAGATCGATGTGAGCAAAATTACGATAAGGACGGAGGAGCGGGGTAAATTATTCTAATGTTCTATACTTCTAGTTTAGAGATAATTCTCGAGCCCACGGCTCTTACCAAGGTACATCCTCTGCAGTAGCCATGCGATGGGTAGCGGAATGCCTGTCCACAAAAGAACGAATGTCACCGAACGCCTCCCGCACGACAGGATCTTCCTTATACTCCTTGTCTTGAAAGCCGTAGATGATACCATCGACCCGCGCTGTTCCCAGGAGCATATCCACTCGCCCTGCATCCCCCCGAGTACTTGTCCACCCCATGATCTTGCCTAACTGTCCCTGGTCACGCATCTCACTCGCATTCCTTAACTCAGCACACGTAAAGTTACCCGGCTCCTGGCAATTCCCAAAATTGTTCTCCATCTGCGGGAATCCATCATCCATAAGCCTCCGCGGCGCGTCAATACCCTTGCCCTTATACTGCGCAGCAACATCGCTCGCCTTCCCACTCAGCACAACCGCCTCGTTACTGTTATTCGCAATCGACTCGGCCATAACCTTAAACCCGCGACTATCAGCAGTCTGGTAGAAGCCATACAGCGCCTTCACGCCAGCCGGCTGCAATATCTTGCGTGACAGATCACGCAGGGCCTCAATCGAGCACTCGGGGTTGCGCTTAGGATCACAGTCATCCGGGGTTTTGATATCAAACCACACAAAGGTGATGTTCTGCCCGCGTCGGCGCTCGTTGGCGACGGCTGTGAATATTTCTTGCGCCGTGGCATCGGTGCTGTTGGCTTCGCCTGAGTGATCGGCCCACCATCCTGTTTTCTCTTGTGCTGTTAGGTCGACTTCTATGGCGTTGGCGCCGTGGGAGAGGGCTGTTGTGACGGCTGAGGGGCGGAGGACGCGGTGGGCGATGGCGTAGATTGGCTGCTGCTGTTGGTGTTGGTCTCGTTGCTTTTGTTGATGGAGGTGGTGATGTTGGTGGTGGTGGCCTGGCGATTGGGCGGCGCATCCGAGAATGTTCAGGGCACAGAGGGTAAGGAAGATGGTGCGGTAGACCGCACTGAGTAGAGAAGGCATTGTTGGTATGATTCTGTCTACCGCAGAGAAAACTACGGGGGCTGGACACGTATTAATGTCTCTTATTTTCAGCGACTCGGTGCGACTATCTGGCGTGAAACAATCAGAACCACACCTGGTGGCCCTGGGTTACAAGTAATATGGGGCTGGAACCCATTGTTTGCTGATGTCGTCGAGCTATTGGCTTGGGTTATCCTCCAGATTTGCCAATTACAGGTACGATCGTTCACAGATAAATTGGATTGAGCTGATCTGCAGATCTGCAGATGTGGCGTTGTTAAGATGTGTAAGTAGTCTACGAAGTAGACGATGTTAATATGGATTAACTATATATTTCAAAAATATTCTGCATGGTTTAACTGATGGAATAGCCTCACAATTGATATACTAGTAAATTAGGTATTTTCAGCAAGCAATGTGCTGGGTAAAGGGATTGGAACAATGTTACAGAGATGGCATAAATTGGGTGGAGACCTGAACAGGTCCACCCCTGATTGAGCACGCGACACATGCGCACGCGACACATGTGCTCTGTGCAACACCAAGGAGTTGCTAGAGATAGTTGGCGAGCCACCAGCCATGAATCAATTTTGGTGTAGCGATATAGCGTCTTGTTTGGCTATGAGCCCTTGTTTCCGGTCAATTTCCTTGACTGCCATAAAAGGCTGCAGAGAGAGCCTGTTCGGACCCTACCGTGGTTGAATTGAATACTATTTTTGAGCAAGCCCTAGGAAAGTACCCATAATAAGATTCTTGGTACTTCCATAGAAAGTCTAAACTCAGTGGGCCTAGGATTACTCCGTAGAGAGATCCTCTGTTGGAGAGTAACGCGGGGCATATCAATAAGGTACCGGTACCGAGCCGCCGGGTCAAGGATCTAAAGCCCTAACTGCCGAGGAATGTGCAGCTAAATCCAAGAAGCAAGGGGATTAAGGGACAACATGTCAAATCAGCCTAGCAAGCCGATGTTACCAGCAACAAGAGAGGAGAACACGAATAGAGAGGCCCTGGCGACGCTTGTAATGCAGAAAGCTACTCTCCGCGCTGAGACCGAGGAGTGGATTGACCTGCTATGCGAGCTGCATTCTGGACCTTCGATCGCACCTACAAACCCGCCCTCCCACGCCCAGCGATGTAACCACTGCGGCTTCTATCTAATAGGATATCATTTACTGCATAAAACTATGAGGGGGCCCGACTTTGTGCGATTGGACGGATGGTTCGCGCCTTTTAGTGGAACGTGTTCATGCTGCTATGTATATAGCCTATTCGGCTCCGGGGCATGGCAGGTGGGTGCTGGATCTACGGAAGATCTGGCGATATGATTTGTGAGGAACTGGCAGAGTCCTAGATCTGGATTAGGGGTTGGTTCTACATCTACTACTGTTCCTCCCCCTGCTTCTGGTGCTGAGGGAAGTGGCTGGGATGGAGAAAACGGTAGTAGTATAATAGATGGAACCAATATCGGTACCAGTAATGAGGCACCAAATTGCACGGACCAACTGCAGCGACGTCATATTATTTCCAGCAAGTTAGGTTTAGAGTGATAGCTTAGATAAGAGGTTCGGGAGTGTTTCAGGCTTAGTGACAGGGATGGCCGGGATTCACTCCGGGGTGATAGTTGTTTAGGCTGAAACAGCTAGATGAGATTGAGCAGGAGGCGCTGATTGTGGGAGACCGGCAGACCAAGCATCAGTTCTACTAATGTGATGCTGAATTGTAGACCTTGTTGAAAGGGGGGGAAGGCTTCTGTATCAGATGCAGCATTCGCAGTACATGAGACAAAGTCGGTTATTCGTAATGCAGTTCATGAATCATGATACTGCAGGGATATTAGATGCAATTATGACTTCTTAGTTCCCCGCAGGTACCTGAATGCTTAGATGCGGCACTAACCCCAGTAGCCCTAACTAGCGCAGTGTTTCTTCACGAGGGTCAATCAATTTCCCAAGTGGACACGGCGTCCGTCATCGTTTCAGCGCCCACGGTCCGAACTGCCGTCGTCTGTTTCATTTATATGTTAATTGCGTCCGTTTTGCATTCGGACTCGGCCAGGGCCTGGGCGTATAAAGCCAGCCCACTCTCGTTGCCATCTTATGACTCCAACCGACCACCGTCCTTCCTTTTCTTGCAATCTCCGGACGTGAATTGCAATTCTCTCATTCAGTATGAAGTTCAACGCTCTTTTCTTTGCCTTTGCGGCTGGCACCGCACTGGCTGCTCCTCGACACCAGAAGCGGGCCACCTTTGAGTGTTTGTCTCGTCTTGCTACAGTTTCTGGGTCTCCTGCTAACCAGTGACAGTCTTCGGAGTCAACGAGTCTGGCGCTGAATTCGGCGAAGACACCCTCCCCGGCGTCTACGTATGTCACCCAAGTTACCAGTAGTAGAACGCTGCTGACTAGTCATCCAGGGAACCGACTACATCTTCCCCGACCCGGAGACCATCTCGACTCTGATCTCCGATGGCTTCAACCTGTTCCGCATCCAGTTCAAAATGGAGCGCCTGACCCCCGAGATCACAGGCGCCTTTGACGATGCCTATCTAAAGAACCTGACCACAGTGAGTCCATAACACATCGTGCAGCTTGCAAGCCCTAACAAACCAGGCCATCGAGTCAGTCACCAGCAACGGTGCAACCGCGATCCTGGATCCCCACAACTACGGTCGATTGTATGTCCCTCATTCTTATAATACATATCCTTAGTCTAATCAGAGCCCAGCAACAACGAAATCATGAGCACCCCCGCCGACTTCCAGACCTGGTGGAAGAACGTCGCAACCGAGTTCGCAGACAACACTAACGTCATCTTCGACACCAGTACGTCCCTCCTAACACACAACAAACAAACATAATTATTTTTTTATATTCTAACTCATCCAGACAACGAATACCACGAAATGGACCAAGAGCTCGTCCTCAACCTCAACCAAGCCGCAATCGACGGCATCCGCGCCGCAGGCGCCACCTCGCAATACATCTTCGTCGAAGGCAACTCCTGGTCCGGCGCCTGGACCTGGGTCGACGTAAACGACAACCTAAAGGCCCTCACCGACCCGCAGGACAAGATCGTGTACGAGATGCACCAGTACCTGGACAGCGACGGGTCGGGTACCTCGGAGACGTGCGTGTCCGGGACGATCGGGTCGGAACGTGTGGCGGACGCGACGCAGTGGCTCAAGGATAACGGGAAGATTGGGATCATTGGGGAGTTTGCGGGCGGGAACAACGACCTGTGCCGCACGGCGATTACGGGTATGTTGGATGCGTTGAAGGCGGATTCGGATGTTTGGCTTGGGGCGCTTTGGTGGGCTGCTGGGCCTTGGTGGGCGGATTATATCTATAGCATTGAGCCGCCCAGTGGGGTTGCTTACCAGGGGATGCTGGATACGTTGAAGCCTTATCTGGGATAGATAGGGTGAGTCTTTCTTTTGGGAGATGTACATTATAGCAGGAGACGAGGAAAGAGAAACAGAGTTGTGAGATTCATTCTCAGATAAAATCGTGGCCGTCATATTGAGTAAATACATTCCAGTAAAAGTATCCAAGTAGTACAATCTCAAGTATAATTTCCAAATTGGAAACCTGCGGACCAGCGCAGGGCCATGGCCAATTGTATACCGACGATATCGGGAGTTCTATTACTTTTATTCCTGTGGCATTCGTTGCTTCACCCTTTCATCTCGCATATCGACGAGGAAAGATAAAATTGAGCGACAGCATCGCATGTGTCCATGCTTAATGCTTAAACAGGTTGACTTCTAATCAGACCAATCCCCCAGCAAAGGAGCCCTCTCATCCAAAAGCTGCTGCTCGCGATACGAGTCCATGCGCCTCCGCCACGTCGCAAACCACTGAGTGTAAGCATCAAACGCGCCTTCAGTCGGCGGGGTATCCGCATCAACAACGAGAACCATTTTCGTGACTCCATTTATATCCATGATATGCGGCGTGATGCTCCCGTATCGAGTGGCCGATCGGAGGGGCGGCTGGGCGCCGGTGCCGGTGCCAGCCTCGAGATCGGACATTGCATTCATCCCGTCGGGCTCGCTGGAGCCATAGTACTGGTCCTTGTCCTCATCGTCTTCGTCGTCCCAGTACTGTCTTCGTCGGGAGAAGAAGATTGGTGTCTCGTAGAGCTGGTTGCAGGAGGGGCATCGTCTTAGCGTGGGATTGGGGAAGTGTATGGCCAAAGCGGGGTGAACATACCTGGGACACCAAGCCAAGGGCGAAAGTCACAAAGACGACAGCGCCAAGGATCAAGATGATGATCTCGTCGGCGGCCTTGGCTCTGTCATGATCTGATGGGTCGCCGTGGCCGGGGAGGGTGGAGTTGGTCATGATAACATGTTCACGGCCAAGGCAGAGTTGGTTGAGATCCAATTTCCAAGGCAGCTGCAATTGTGGGTTTGAGTCATTTAAAGAGTTGAAGGATTTTTCCGTCCCGCACTCTTTTTCCTTTGCATGCCTGGTCTAGTCTCTAACAGTTTAGAGTGTGTGATATACTGTGACCCGGCCTGGCCCGAGCGGGACCGGGACTGACTCGTGGACCCACTCCAGACATTGTATACATTGTACTATTCAACAGTTTATATAATATCAACTACCATCCCAACGGCGCCAGCACTGCTTTCATGTCTTCAGCCTGCAGCTGGTGATATTTCGCCGAGGGGTGGTAATCATTCCACCACACACAGCTCACGCCGTCCTCATTGATACATGTCGCATCCTGGAATCCGTATTTTGCAGGGTTGTCCAGCACGTCCGTCATAAAAGACCACGAGTCATAGAGCACGGCCGTGACCTATACTTATTCAGTCGTGTTCTTAGAAGTCGCTATGGGAAAAGGCTGTGCTTACCTCAGTACCGTTTGCGCTCAGTCCCGTTACTAACGACTCAAGCTGCTGATTGTACACATCCAAATACGCCGCATGCTGTTCTACTGTGTCCTCGCCCTGTTCGGTGAAGAACGGACTCCGACTCGTTGGCGGGACATTCAGGAACAAGAACTTGCGTCCTCCGGCGCTGATGATCTGCTCAACCAAAGAGCTAAGCCGGTCCATCAGCTGCGGAATGAACGTGTCCGCCTCTGTGTTGTAGAAGGCATTCCCAATGCTATGGTGCACATTATTAGCTTCTCCATACACAGCCACAAAGGAAAGAGGGCTATACTCGTTCACACCAATCCAGAACCCAAACACCGCATTCTCAGCAGTCCACGGCGCAGACTCCGGCTTGCTGGCGTATGTCTGCTCAAATGTTTCTACCTGGCTGACTAGATCTCCCTGCGAAGAAGCAACGAGAGAGTCGTCGATTGTCGCGCCCCCGATCGCGAGGTTATAAGATAGCACAAGTGATGCGTTCTGCTCGGTTGTTAGATAGCCGACCCAGTTGAGGCCGCCGGTTGTCGTGCCGGTTCCTGTGTTTATTAGCATTTTGTAATGATTACAATCCATACGTATTTACAGGGATAAAATAGGAGCTGGGGAACACAGAAACTTACCCAATGCTGGGTTCCCCATCGGATTCGAAGCGGATGGTTGCTCGCCTGTCGTGCTGAAGCCAGTCTGCGTATACGAATTGCCACTGCGCTTGGAGGGCCATGTCAGATACACCATTGATATGGGCCCGGTATGAATAGCAAGGAGAATCCATACAATGTGAAGAAGTAGGCCAATTCGTTGGCCTGTCGTCGCCACGGCCTGGCGAGTACCATTGGGATGGCACTAGCCATTAGACATAGTAAGAACCTCATCGTAAAGAATTGGCAAGTATTCTGCAGTAATGCAGGTTTGTCTGACACTTTAGCAGTTTCTTCCTGGTTCTTGACTGCATGGTGGGATATATCATAAATTCATAAATCCCAGTTCTGCCGGCCCCGCATTGGCACAGAGAAGCCCTGTTGGAGATTGATTAATTGCTTCTCCGCGTTTGCCAAAATGGTCTCTTGTCGCCGACGGGAATAGTTACTCCGGATCAGCGTTTGAAACGAATTCTCCACGCAGGAAACATGCAGGGGAATGTGGAGAACTGGCATTTAGGCGAAACCGCAAATGTGTTGCATCTAAGCCACTTTGGCCACGGGAGAGCCGATAGAGAAAGGTTGACAAGCACGCTGATCTTTAATTCTATATACAAGTCTATTTCGAAAAGGGAAGTATCAGTTGCCCACTGTGAACATTTCCATCCCGACCCCGCAAACAACGAGCTTAGTTTCTCCCTCGTCTTGGAAAACATCCAACGACGATATATCCGCCACGGAGCTGTACCGGTCAACCAGGTTCTGCACCTGAATCCCGTCCAAGGCTGGACGATCTTTCATATCGATGGTCACGCGCCAAAGCTTGACTCGGTGGTCGTTTCCTGAAGAAGCGATGTCCAGCTGCATAACCCCGTCGCTCATAGTAATGGACTTCTCAATCGCTTTGACATCGTTGACAGATGCTGTGTGTGCATCTGGGATTGAGATTGTAGCTGCGCGATCGCTTGCTTCGTCGTCCTTGTTGTCGGTGTAGAGGAGGGAGAGCGTGATCGCGTTGTCGTCGCCTCCGGCGATCACGAGTGTCGTGGTGTTGGACAGGTAAACTAAATCTATCGACTTTATGCTGTTGGAGTGGATTTGGTGTCGGCTTTCGCAGGCAATGTTTTCTTCTGTTTCAGCTATAGAGCTGAGGGGCTGTTTTAAACTCAGGGACTCGCTGAATGTATAGAATGGCTCTAGCACTGTAGTTACGTCCCAGAGCGTGAAGTGCCCGTCCGTCGAGGTTGTTATCAGGTATAACGATGATACTGTTCGTAAGAATCGTACTTGGGTGAGGCAGTTGCTGGTATATGTGCCGCTAGCCAAAAGTGTGAAATAGCCGTCGTCATTGACGCACGATAAATGGAAGACCTTGAAGATTAGTATAAGATCTCGAATGTGGACACTCGACTTACTTTAATAGTGGAGTTGGAATAAGTCAGACAGAGCAAGAAGCTACCTTCAGCCTGCCCATCATCCACTTCTAAAATATCAAAACACGTCACTCGAAGCTCCGAGTTGGGATTGCTTTTCGGGCACCAGCCCTGAAGAGCCGCCGCCAAACCAAACACGGGAATTGAACTGATCTTCCAAACGAAGAAGTCCTCCATAGCACTACTAGTAAACAGGAATCTCCCATCCTTCGACCAGCCGATATGTTGCGGCGCAGAGTCATGCGCTGTCAGAACCCGCACACACTCCAATGCTCCCCACGGACCTGACCTATGTGGTGATTTTGGCGTGAAAATGCGCAGCGCTGTATCTTCAGACCCGGTAACAAGCAAAGGGTTCCCACCATTAGGAGGCTGGAAACTTCCCAGTGCCTTTATCTCTCTTCCATGTCCACCAGCGCGAATAGAGCGTGAGGCGTGCGCATTGATATGAGCTGCATTAAAGCCGCCCTGGGACCAAATCACTAGAGCCTCTCCAGGCCTTTCGCTGCTCGGATGGAACGCCCAGCGCCGATGGCCGCCGCCGCAGTGGATCCTTGCGACCTCGGAATGGGTCGATTCGTTCCAGATAACAAAGCTCATGCCGCCAAATCCGTAGAACATGAGCTCCTGCGATGAGCTGTCAATGTAGGCACCCTCTATATGGAACCCCAGCGTAGTAGGAGTATGTAGGGTGCGAAGGGACATGGCGCTTTCGGATATTTCCAAGATGTTAACGCGGTAGGTTCCATCCCGTCCGCAGGTCAAAAAGTGCTTGCTATCCGTCGGGGAAAGAGAAAGTGAAGTGAACGGTACGATTCTCGTCAGACCTTCCTTGCTGTGGACTCTGTCAACTTTCATGAGGAGATGTAAAGAACCCGTGGGTACCCTTTTGTATACCACCAGTGATCCGTATCTAGAGCCGACGGCCAGATAGTCGTTGTTGTGGACCAGGGACGCACAAGCAACCTCAAATCCCTGGGTAAAATGCACTGTCGCTCTCTCCACCCGAGGCTCTGTATCGGGCGAGAGGTGGATGTGGAATAGATCGGCTGTGAGAGGGTTTGCGGTTGTTGTTAGGAAAGTAATCACAGCCGGTGAGTCGGACGTCTGTGGTTGGTAGCCTAAGAGGTGTAGAGTAACCGGCCGTTGACCCACTGATACCACATTGGTGAAGGATCTAGCTTGGTGATCGTAGAACCGAATGAGCCCTTGCTTGCTTCCGATGAGAGCAACGCCTCGGTATGGCAGACCCGATATTACGGAATAAGAGCCAAGGTCTTCGTCCACGAACAGAGTTTCGCAAGCCATGCGTCGGTCAATACGGTTTGGGGCCTCAACCCAACGAATTTGGACTTCACCGGCGATGGTCGTTGCGAGGAAGCAGTCTGGAGAAACGAAAGCGAATGCTCTCATTGCAAATTTAGCTCCAGTACTGGTACCCTCCGAGCCTAATGTAACCGCCATGCGAGTAGTCCGATTATAGCATAATAACTCTCCTGCCTCCTGGACAAGTTTCAAAGCCCTGACGGCACCATCATTTCCTCCGGTGTAGACTGTTGTCTCCGCACCCTTGGTGCACATTCCAAGAGACCAGATGTGCTTGCCACTGTGTTGGCGGAGAGAGCATGTGTTGGTTAGTATAAAATCTGGCTTTTGGGACAATGATCGCTTCCAGGCGAGATCCCACACTAAACAACACGCATCCTCCCCGCGGGACACCAGGCTCAGCTTCCCAGTTCCAAACAGCCCGGGAACGAAATCTACTCCCCATATCCGGGCTCCGTGGCCAAAAGCGCTGACAACACAAGATTCTTCATTCGTTCCCTCCCCGTCCTTCACATTGCCGAAGCCAGTACAGCGAAGCTCAAAGCCATCCGTAGAATAAGCGGACGGCTCATCCGGAGACGCATTCTCACAATCTGATATATCCCAGATTCTAACGGTCCGGTCATCACTGCAACTAGCCAGTAGCCTGCCAGGAAGATCTCCGTGCAAATTAGCAATCCCAGGGGATATCTCGACGTCGAAAATAGACCCTTCATGTCCCGTAAAAAAGTGGTGTATCGAACTGACAGCACTGGCAGCCGATCCTTGATTTTCGCGGATAAAGCATGACCAGACTATTATTTCGCCAAAGACCGTTCCAGCCGCCACCACGAGATGGGAAGGAGATATCGGGATGATTTGCGCGGAATATAAGATAGACTTGACCCCTACCACGAGTTGCCGAACATGGATTGCTTTTTCGTAGGTTGACGAAGTATCTTCGACCACGGAAATGCCAAAGACGGCATTATGCGCCGTTACGAGATACGCCGTACTGCCATCATTCGTTGTACTCGGTGCGCATCCAGCAGAAACCCAATCCGGGGCCAAGTACTCAGCACTTGAAGTTACCAAACAAATCACTGGCTCTTCCCTTGCACTGCCCTTTGAGTACTTCAAGTCAACAAGTCTCAGAGACTGACCACCCCATGCTAGAAGTTTAACATGGAGATACCCCTCTTCTTGCTCCTCTCGCAAGACCGTAAACCCGTGAAGGTGGCTTATCTTGAAGACTTTTAGAGATTTTAGGACTTTCCCACTTCCCTCTTCAATAAGACGCGCAAATACCCCTTGGCCAATAAGTACTAGCCTAGAATCTCCGAAATCGAATGCCCGGATTGTGGTGACTGGGAGGCAGGCATCAATTTGCTGGCAGCGGATTAGCAGTGAACAATTAGAGTAATGCCAAAAGTTACCAACTTCGAGTGATGAACCCATGTCTAATACCAGTGAGCTACATGGGCTCGCCTCCAAAGGTCAATCGCTTGCAACGCAAAATGCTCGCTTGTTCCCCGCATAAAAAGATCCAAAATGATAAAAATCCAGCGATAAGGATTATGTAAGTCCCTTATCAGCATTTTGCCCAATGTGGTAAAATTAACACGTGACTTCGCGGCTCTTCGTGTTCAGCTGTGGCAACGCGGGATCCTGTCGCTGACGACACTCGAACACCCTTCTCGCCGCGATCTGCCTGTTCTCTATGCCCTGGCATGTCTTCTAAATTTTGCGCGGATTGCTACTCTGCGCCTGCTAGGCTGCCATGGGTGTCCAAGGACTCTGGACTATTGTCCAACCTTGCGCTCGGCCCGTGAAACTCGAAACCCTCAACAGGAAGCGACTTGCTGTCGATGCGTCCATTTGGATCTATCAGTTTCTAAAAGCCGTGCGCGACAAGGAAGGAAATGCCCTCCGCAACTCACATATTGTTGGATTCTTTCGCCGAATATGTAAACTCCTGTACTTTGGAATCAAGCCCGTTTTTGTCTTTGACGGCGGCGCCCCCATCTTGAAGCGACAAACGATTGCGAATCGAAAGAAGAGACGCGAAGGTCGCAGGGAAGATGCCGTACAGACGGCAAGTAAGCTGCTTGCAGTGCAGCTGCAGCGTACTGCGGAGCAAGAGGTAGCCAAGCGCAAGAAACGGGGGAGGCAAACGGAGGAGGAGGCAGTTCCGGACAATCCGGTTTACGTGGAGGAGAATTTCATGGACGAGAGACAAAAACAGCAGTCTCGGACATTCAAGAAAAAGGATGCCTACCATTTACCCGATATGCAGGTCTCGCTTCAGGAAATGGGAGCGCCGAATGACCCGCGGATCATGTCACAAGAAGAACTCGAAGAGTACGCGCGACAGTTTCACCGCGGTGAAGACATCAATCTCTATGATTTCTCCAAGATAGATTTCGACAGCCCTTTCTTCCTCAGCCTACCGGCAACCGACCGTTACAACATCCT